GAACCGCTTCCCCGTTCTCTTCACTTCATGTTATCCCGGCTACAAATATATCTATTAAGTACAACCCTTCTGCATTTCAGGAATACATAATCAGTTCTCATCGTTTCCTTCTCATATCCTTTACAATTGAAAAATGCTGCTCCAATTTATGGGGAGGTAATGATATATACATATTATATATCCAGCTTATAATCTACTTGACATTCAATAGCAAAGCAGCACTGAGACATAAACCATTCACTGATCAAGATATTAATGTCTACTTCCAATCCACGCTCCCATCTTATCTTCCCGAATAACAATCTATTTCAATCCTTTCTTATAAAAGGGATCCCCTTTTCCATTCAATAAAAAGATATCTAGTTTTAGTCTCAAATAATTTAACCGTTTATTTCTTGGAATTTTGTAAATACAGTCTATTTAGTCCATTCGCAATAAATTAATCCTTACTTTTATTCTATTATAGCATAATTTCATCATTGAAATTGTTTCTTCAGTGATATAACTTTTTTCTTACCATATCTGTAAATATTAATAATAACATGAAATTCGTATTACAAATGCTACATGCGCTTTGCTATTACTGCTAGCTCGAGACGAAGAAAACAATAAGGAACCTTGGAAATGTTTTTATAGCTGCAGCTTCAACACCGTTTACAAGTAATTCAATTCTCATGTAAAATCCCAAGGAAAAGTCTGACGTCATTTTTTTTTTTTTTATGTGAGGAGATGCGAGATAAGAAACATGTTCACAGGTTTTTTTTTTTTCTTTTCTTTTTTTTTCTTTTCTTAATTCAACAATAAATAAATCAAAATCATGACACAAGCAATTATTTCAGTTCTTTCTGGCAATGCATCCTTTTGCTTGCCTATCAATCAAAGCAATAACACAACCGATGCCTTAAAGCAACAGATTTACACTCTTACAAGTATTCCAGTGAATGATCAAGTGCTGAGTACGATGGGTGGTCACATTTTACAATCACAAGAAAGTTTTCCATCCGATGACATTCTCTACTTTAATGTTTCTGGTCGACTTTTAGGTGGTAAAGGCGGGTTTGGATCGATGCTTCGTGCACAAGGTGGTCGTATGAATGCTCAAAAGACTACTAATTTCGAAGCTTGTCGTGATTTACAGGGACGCCGAATCAGAACCGTCAATGATGCCAAAAAACTCCAAGAGGAACTAGACGCTATTCCTGAACGTGAGGCAGAGAAACGAGAAAAACTAAAGCGAAAGATTGATGAAGCTTTGAAGGAAAGAGAACCCACTAAGCATTTATTTGATGATAACCAGTTTTTGGAAGATAAAGAAGAGGTTGTGGAAAGCGTGAAATCAGCTGTCGTCGATGCGATTAAGCGTCAAAAAGTGTCACACAAGCCTTCAGCCACGACTTCGGCCAGTGTATTTGACGATGATTTGTCATCCGAGGATGACGAAGATGACGAGGAAGAAGAAGAGGAAGAAGTGAAGGAAGAGGAAGAGGAAGAGGAAGAGGAAGAAGAGGTGATTAGTGCAAAAGGGAAGGGTAAAGGAAAGGGAAAGGCTAGAGCTTCTCGTTAATAAAAAGATTGTCTGTCTTTATCCATGGTTCTAGTGTAAACACTGATCTGATAATAAAATGGCCAAGTTGATTTTTTAGCATAGTGTTTTTTTGGCACATGAAAGCTCTAATCTGGAAATTGATAACAATCTACAAACAATGTCACATTTGTATATATTTATCATTGTACAACAATAAACAAAGAGGGAAAAAATAAAATAAAAAGTAAGAGTCAAGACGTTTATAAATTTCATAGGAAAATGGGCATAAAAAGATCTTTTTTGGGGGTTGGAGGAGGTGAGAGAATGCAAGTTGTTGTGAATATATGTAATGCCAGTAAAATGTGTAATAAAAATAAAAAGAGTGGGTGTATAATGTAATTCATAGAGGTATTTTTTGTTTTGTTTTTGTGTTTTGCTTTTTTGGGGGGGCTGTGAGATAAGAGATATCAAGATATATTATGGGTGTACTGGACAATGCTCTATCAGGATGTAATTAGCAAAAAAACAAAAAAAAACTAAAGAATGCAAACTAATCCATATATACTTACTTGTCATATGATTTTGAGAACCACAAGAAGCACATTTACTGCCGGAAGTATGAGAGTTGACAAGAGTGATATTTTGACGAGACATTTTCGCGGGTTTTATATTTTTTAGAGCTGTTGTTAAGGAAGTGAAAGAAGAAGAAAAGAAGAGAGACAAAATTAGTTTATATAAGAAAAAGGAAGGAAAAGCGTGGCTGGAAAAGCTAAAGATGGCAAAACCGAATCTCTTATCGTTACTCATCCCTAATGGCTATGGACACAATTATCGCTGGGCGGCCCCTCTTTTCTTTCTCCCCTTCCCTTATCTGATATTAATGTTCCGACCGTTTGACACACTGTCTTAACAAACTTTAATATTTTATATGACTATTGTAAAAAAAAAAAGAAAGGGATCACCCAGTCTGACTAAACACGTGTGGGTGTCTTTGACATTCGGATGATTGATTGGCTGCAAAGATAGAAAAAAGAGACATTGACAAGCGGAGAAGCCGGTCCATAATTAATTTCAACTAAACAATAAGTTTATTATTTACACAAAAATCATGTGATTATAGAAAATCAAAGCATGTCGTTATCTGCAACTAGAATTACTCTTCCAATTGCTTTTTGAATTTGGCCATCGCTTGTATAACATCATCTTGTCCTTCAAGGTATTCAATCAAGACTAATTGGGCCTTTTTGTGTGTGCGCATAATGCTATCTTGATCCATTTCATGATCGACTAGTTTTAGTAATCGCTTATTCTCCTCCTCCAGAGCCTGTATCTGATTTCTTGTGACGTCTTCAAACTTGTCATTTGAATCCAAAGTGGCAGTAGCTGCTTTTGTAGAAGCCATTGTCAAGTCAAGGATATCTTTTTGAGATTGCTCTGTTTGTTCTTTTAATCCGATATTCTCCTCTTTTAGGATCTCCAGCAAATCTTTCAACTGAGTATTTTCTTGCGCAATCTTGTTTATATCTCCATTCGACTTATCTTTATTACGCATGAGGTCCCTGATTTGGGTGGTGCAGTCCTCCAACTTTAATTTTTCTTGGGCTAAAACCGCATTGTGTTGTTCTTGTGTTTGATTGGCTAATTCTCCCGATGCCTTGATCTCAGATTGAAGGAGTCTTTCGTCATTTTCCAATTTCATGATCAATTGTTGATACTTTTCCAAATCTTTTTTTAACCTGTTCATTTCCTCCTCTTTATCCATCAACTGTCGAGACATTTCCTTATCGGACGCCATCAGCTTTTCTATCTTTAGTTCTTGTCCGTCCATGTCCTTTTTCAACGCCTGCCATGTTTCCTCGTATTCGGCTTGAGCCTCATTCTTGGCCTTATCCATTAACGCCAACTCCTTTCTGAGCGTAGTTATCTGCTCCGTCAATTCACCTTTTTCTCGGACAAGCGTATTTACCTGTTCTTTCAACTCGCATTGATCTCCCGTCACCATATCCAACTGCTCTTGTAGCTCGGTTTTATCTTCTACTAGTGCAAGCTTCTGATCCAAAATAGATTGACATTGTTCCTTCAATGTTTTATTCTCTGTCAATACATCCTGCTGTTTCTTTTTCAATTCACTGTTTTCGACGTGTTGTTCTGTTAAACCTGCCAAAGCTGCTGTATGATCTTTCTTTAGCTCTTGGTTTTCTTCCGTCACGGATAAAATGGTCTGTTTAGAACTGGCAATCACTGTTGTTAGTTTGGTTTGCAATTGGCTACTGCTGTCCAGTGCATTCACTAAAAGCGTATTAACATTGCCTAGTTTATGTTTGATTTCAACCGCGTTTTTCGGATCCACCGTATCCAGTTGTAAAGCAACCGCCAGTAGTTCACTGTGTAATTCATCCTCTTCTATTTATTTTTTAAAAAAAAAATAAGGGAGGGTTTGTTTTGTTTTTTTCATTGTTTTTTTAGGTGGGCTTAGGGTTAGGGGCACTATTTGTGTTACCTTGCTCTTCGTTTTCTAGCTCCACTTTTTCTTGATAGTTATCTACGGTGATGTTTGTTGGTACATACGAGACGGGTGAAGTGACATGGTCAAACGAAGTTCTTGCTGTAAATGTAGAAGGGACGTCTCTCATGGAGTCTGAAGGCGTGACTGGACTTGTTTCAAACGGATTGTGACTCATGCTCTTTGAATGTTGTAATGAAGAAACAGACACAGCAGGTGAGGGCTGTGAATTTCTTTTGTTAGACTGTTTATGTGACCAGTTACTGATTTTTGAAAGTGTCGAGGATCTTCTAGCCTCGTTTTTACCTTCCTTTGTGAATAATTTACCAAATCCCATTTTTTTTTTTTTGTGTTTTTGTATATGTGTTTAAAGAGAAAGTCGGGAAATAATGCAAAAAAAAATAGAGAGAAGAAAAAACAGTGAGAACTCGTGATGTCATTTGGTTCCGTGACGACATGAACCCAAAAAGATATTTTTTTTCACTCCCTTTTGATCATATTACGTGTTTTGCGCTTGTTTACATGCTGAGTTTCAAGCACGAATTTTGTAGTACATGCTTCAATTTCCACGTTTTTCCATGTTTGTGTACACTCTTTCCAGAATTAGCTTGTACACATTTAGACTTTAGATTACACACTCACATAAATGACCATTGCTTCAAGTCTAATGTCAATTCCAAAAAATCAAAAAAAAAAAAAACTAACATTGAAGCTTGAAGATAATCTTGACTTTATTTATCGAGCCAATACGAACATCATTGAAAGAAAGCTAAAAAAAAAAGGTTACCGTCGTCAAGGATGTCCTCGATTACCAAGGATACGTCTAATTACCATGAATACGTTCAAGTATCGTATATACGTTTGATCATCATGGTAATTTTAAGGAACAGTATCCTTTTGCTCCTCTGCATACTGCAATTTAAGGGATGACAATATGTTTATTTGGCCCTCCTCTAAGTTTAGCCCAACTGTTGTCAAGAGACCTCAGCTACAAGAGTAGCTGACACATGTATCCAAGAGTCGAGTCAAAGGGATACCCAAAGAGTTTTACGTAAAGAACGGAGACAGGAAAGTGTGTCTTTTTCAAGTGTACATTTTGTAATATATATTTTTTTTATTGAGAAAAGGTTGTGCACAAATGATTTCTCAAATATAGTATGTAGAAAAGAGTCTCTTTTTGACGGATATATATGTGGTAACACACTAAAATACATTGGTACCAAAGGAAAGGGGGCTATACAAGTTATAAAGATAGGAGAAGAAATAGGTGTAATGATGTGTAACATTCATTTATCTAGTTTGTTTTTATTTTTGTCTTTCTAATTTTTTTTTTCTTTTATTACTTTTTCAAATGAAGAGAAATTATTTTAGTGTACAAACAATAGATGGAAATATGAAAAAGTGATACACTTGGTGTAATCATCGGGAAAATTTTGTTTAATGCACGTACTCCTTTGGATTACAACAAAGAAAAAAAAAAGATACTAAGTTTCGGCTCTTTAAAAAAAATCAGTAGTAGTGTGTCAACCCTGTTCCTGTTTTTGTATTTATATACAACGATAATTGGGAAAAAGTTTTTTTCTTCTTTTATCTTTTTTCTTTTTTATTAACCCAACCCTACCCTTTCCTTTCCTTACACCACACCCCCAACACAATCCTTTCTTTTTTCTTACTATAATGAGTGAAATTGTTTTATCTAATAATAGCTACGATTACTCCAATGGATCTATGATGATTAATCCCGGGTTAGTTCAAAAATCCACGGATTCCTCAACAAGTGGATCACCTCCAGCAAGTAGTTTTACAACAGATAATCAGCAATATTCAACTTATCCAGGTAAAAATATTTTCTGATTGGATGGAAAAATCATACCTCCTTATAAAACCAGCGATATACTTATCGAAGTTCTCTCCCCCTTTATATACATAATAGCTTATGCCTTTCAGCCAATGTCGATGGGATATCCCCCTGTAACAAATTATTCAATGTCACGTTTAGGTTACTTCAAACAACCTAACAGCCCTGAATCTAGCAGTTCATCTCCCACCCCATCACCACCACCACCTACTTCTACCCCCACCACCACCCCCTCCTCCACCGCCACTACTACTAGTAAACCTAGATTTAATAATCCCACCACAGCCAGAGTGAAAGAAATGATCACCCGCGCCAATTCAGTCCCAATGGAGTTCTATCATACCGAATTCTTGGAGTATTCAAAAGAAACTTATGAAAAAAAAATGGAATCCAAGCGTAATAAACGCAAGAGAACGGATGAAAATGACACTTCCTTTGAAAAGAAACAGAAAATCGTGTTTGAAGAAAAGGAGGAGGATTCTGAGGAAGAAATCTTGTTAGACGAGTAAAGTTTTTTTTTTTTTCTTTTTTTTTTTTTAGGTAGTGTCATCGTAATTAACTTTTTTTTTTAAAAATAGTAATCTTTCTAGTGCCGAGATCCGTCGTCAAATTCACATTCAGTCAGAACAAAAGAGACGTGCGCAAATTAAAGATGGATTTGATGAGTTGAGAAAACATTTACCTGGATGTAATAACAAAAAAATGAGCAAAGCTGCTTTATTGACCAGAAGTATGAGAAATTCAATTCTTTTCCATATATCACATGGACTAATCTTTATTTTTTTTAATATAGCTGTCCAACAACTTCAGCATTTAAAAGGCATGCAAAATGAGCTTTTATCTGAAGTAGAGAGACTTTTGCAAGAAAATGAAGCATTGAAAAAGTAAATTTCACACAAAAATTGAAGTTTCTGTCATTAATTTATTTTTATTTAGATTCCAACATGGAGTTCTTCAACGTCAAGCTATGGAAAAAATGTATACCTTTTAAAAAGCCTATAATATCCCCCCCCCCTTACTTTTTTTTTATATTACACACCATCCCCCAATTCTTATTACACTCCTTAACTAATAATTAACCCTTTTCTACTCCTCTCTCTTAATTTATAAACATACACATTTGTAACTATCATTTCCACTCTCTCTCACTCACTCAATCACTCACTCTTTCAATTGTTTCATACAAATAAATAAGCTTTAGCCCTATATCAACCTCCGTTATAAATGTGCATCAAAACAAATATATGTGTGCAGATCATTCACCTTTTTTTTCCCTTCTTTTTTTCTAATTCCTCACTTCTTTTTCTATTGTACAAATAAAAAAAATGATTTTGACTTTATTTTTAGCAAGTTTTTTCGGTTTGACACGTCAACAGATATGGGAGGAAGAAGATGAGGAAGAAGAAGACGATGATTGTGCCTTTATCTCAGGTCAGGACTGTGATCAAAATGGGATTTGTAAATATTGTGCCATGTGTCTTCAAAGTTCTTGTATCCTCAGTAAAACGATTGGTACTGGCCCAACCACTTGTAATACCACGCAATTTGGTACGACCAATCTATATAACTGGTACGATTATTGTTTGTCCAGTGATAATGATGTAGCCGGATGTAATTATGGTTTATCTTTGTGAAAATGACGCGACTTATTAATTTATTTATTTTTCAACAGCTTATTGTGCAACCAGTACAGAGTGTTACCAATATCGAAAAAGCGCTGGACCATCCGTCACTTATGCGTGGCACAATTTGACATGTAACCCTTCTACATGTATGCTCATTGCCAGTAACGGTGCACCACCACCCATACCAGTACCACCTCAAACAAACAGTAATCTACCCGACAGTAATCTTCACCGTCTTAATAATAACTCACATCATCATGATGATGAAATATCTGATAATGCTGACAAACACCACTACTATCATGACAAACGTCCATTACAAAACCCAGCTGCTATCGGTTTAACTATTGTCTGTTCTCTATTGATCGTTGTATTTTTATGTTATATAGCTAAACGTTACAAGAAGAAGTCGGATGAGCAAAAAGAAAAAAATAAACAGCCACCTTCAGCAGCAGCAGCAACAGCAGAAAGAGGTAGAACTCAATCGGTCACTTCAACTATTCCCAGCTCAGCGCCACCTTCTTTTTCTTCTGCTCCACCCGATATGTCTGTGATACGTCATCCGCACGTTCGTTGGCAACCAACTTCTTCTACACGTTCCTCCACGGGGTCTGTGGAACCTTTGCCATCGTACTTGACGCCTTACTCATCTCCTCCTAAATATGAACAAGCCATTGTGACACAAATTCGTGACTTGCGGGAAGATAATGCAAGTTCCTCCACACGCCTTGAACAGCAGCCACCTCCCACGGCTTGGGTTCCCGTTTATTTCACTAGGCAACAAAATAATTTCCAGTCTAGTGTAAATCGTGGTGAAGTCTTTGGTTTCACCCCAAATCATTCTTACTGGCTACAGCACCTGGACGATCCTTAATTTTTTTTATTTATTTTTCTTTTTTCTTTATTCCCTTACCCCTCCCCTCCTACATACATAATTATAATAAATGACTGAACAACCTTCTTTAAAACGAAAATTGAACGAATCACCTACACGACACAGGCCAATAGAACACTCTAAAACTTCCACAGACACCAACGGCCTCATTTGGTCCAGACATCACTGGAGCAAACTTGAGGAATGGTACATTGTAGAGGACCGTGATTATGTAAAAGCAGCAGAAGCTTATTACAGCCACCATTGCATTCAAGCTGAAGAAACATGGACACTAGCTCAACTCACAAAGAAGAGCAGATGCTTGGATACATTTGCAAAAGCCCATGATAATTTATTGCCGTCCGAATTACAACAGAAACGAAGGGAAATCATGATGACACAGCTACCACCACTACCACCACAGCGTACACCCAGCCTCACACCTCAAGGCACTCCTACGCGTATGAATAGTGATGAAACGAGACTGTATAGAAGCCCAGTGCGTGATTGGTCGCCTCGCAATACACTGGACGACAATGACGCACCACTACAGCAGCAGGAACAAACGAGCCCGTATCGTTTCCGCCCTTCTTTGCTGGAAAGAACACCGTCCGTGAAACAAGAAACTGAGGATCCTGTGCGCTCGCCCAATCGTTTTCGCCCTTCTTCACTGGAAAGAGCACCGTCCATGAAGCGAGAAACTGAGGATATCGTGCGCTCGCCCAATCGGACGCTGTCGAGAACGGATAGCTTGCTTCGTCAAAGTTCTTATTCTGAAGACATGCCGCCAGCAAAGTATCCCAAGCTTAAAAGTTACCCTAGTGATATGAGTCTTTCTTAAGACTCCCCCTTTACCGTATGTTCCTTTTCTTTCTGAATTAGGTGCCCTTTCCCAAAATTATTTATTAAAAAAAAATGTGAGAGTTGGTCTGAATAGCATACTCTTTCTCTATTTCTTGTGTTCAAATGTTCTCTAATGACTGTGAAGGTATTTCTGAGAAATAGCAGTGACTCTCCACCGGAGCAGGCAATGAGACACAAGGTCAAATACCCGGCAAAGGAAAAAAAAAAACGTTATTTTGATGAGTTTGCTTTTTTACTTTTTTAATTGCTGTAACTTTTAAAATGGTTGCCTCCCCAAAATTCCCCTCGTGATTGTGATAAAGAATATGCACTAACTTTAGAAATACGGAATAATTCTACCGAATTTAACTACATCTTGACAATACCAGTTAGCCGCTTTTGCGATCTACAATACCATATTGATTGCATTCCAGAGGAGGAATTGATGAAAGACAATCCTGAGGGAATATACAGCTCTATTAAAGCCGCACTTTATAATGTAATGGATAACAAAGGTCAATCGGTAGCGTTGCCTTCAAAGATCAATATGTTTATTCAAAGGTATATAGCTATTTCTCACTTCGAAAAACAAGAGACCAATCTATCAAGGAATACAAAGGAAATGTCTAGAACCCCGTATTTTTTTCAAACGTATTTTCACGTGATGGTCTACAAGTCGATTGACATGCCATAGCATCTAAACTTCATAGGATGATCGATTTCTGTTTTCCATAAAATTTGCTTCACTGTCATTACAAGCTACTGCTGTAACTCAGATAGACAACTACCAATTTCTGACTTGCTTGGAGGTTTTTGCAAGTGTTTCTATCATAAGTAAAGACCCAAATATTATGGATGATAAAACAAACAATTAAGATATCACTTTCGTCTAAAAATATATCACACCTGTCTAAATTGGTTGGTCGAATTTGTCCTGAAAATAAATGAGACCATCCAAAAATAAATTTAATTGGTCTAAAAAAATTGCGGAATCGTCTCAATTTCAAGTACTTGAAAGTGCAAGACTACTTGCCTTTACGCATGAAAGAACCCAAATAAGAAGAAATGGAACTCCGGGGAGAATTGTTATTTTCTTTTGGGCGGGCAACTTTTTTTTTTCTGTTCTTTTATTAGTGTCGATTTTAAAATAATGTCGGGTGAAAAGGCAACAGATTGGGACGCCTTGCGTGCTTTCATGCCTACCTCGTTTGGTAAGCAGGCAAAAGCAAATAACTTGAACCAAGAATTCGAAAAGACAAAACGAGAGGCAAAGATCCATCCAAACGCAAACAAAAATACATGTATATACTAACCTACATTACAGGAAGCTGGTGCTGCTGCAGAAAAGAAGAAGGCACGTGTAGAGACAAAGGAAGGTCAAGTGAAAGCCGTTGTAACAGAGCAAGATCAAGACGACAGTGCCAACGACATGGATTCGGAATCCGATGGAGAGAACGATCAAGTGGATTTTTCTGTGCTTCCTACTTCACACGAGATCAAGTTAGCCGATCATCATCGCACGGTTTCTTCATTAACCTTGGATCCTTCCGGCACCCGACTTGTGTCTGGAAGTTACGATTACGACCTCAAGTTTTGGGATTTTGCGGGTATGGATCGTTCGTATAAGCCCTTTCGCACAGTACAACCTTGTGGCGAACACCAAATTCACAAGGTGGAGTACTCCCTATCGGGTGATTCCATTCTCATCATTTCTGGAAGTGCGCGACCAAAGATCTTTAACCGTGATGGCCTCGAAAAGGCCGAATATGCAAAGGGAGATCCTTATATCCGTGATTTAAAACACACCGACGGTCATACCGGTGCTTTAACAAGTGGTAATTGGCATCCTCTCGATAAAGAGACATTTGCTACTGCTTCACAAGATGGATCGATACGAGAATGGGATGTAGAAAAGAAGAGAAGACAAAAGACAACCATTGTTTATAAATCGCGTGAAAGAGGAGGTCGTTCTCCCTGTACTGCCATTTCTTACAGTCACGATGCAAAGTATTTGGCCGGCGCTTATCAGGATGGAACTTTACAGATTTGGGATACAAAGGGAAACCATATTCGACCTGCAATTCCTATCCCTGATGCTCATCAAAAGGGAACAGAGACTTCTTCTCTTTTGTTTTCTAGAGATAATAGAACCTTGGTTACAAGAGGTGGTGATGATACTGTCAAATGTAAGTAACCCACTATTTCCCATCAGTGAACTCTTTTTCTAATAATATTACAAACATCAGTATGGGATCTTCGAAATGCAAAGAAGCCAGTAAAGACAGCTTATAATTTAGATATCGTGAACCCAGAGGCAAACGTCATCTTTAGTCCTGATGAAAAAATGATTTTGACAGGTACTGCATGTCCCAAGGGTAAAGGATTTGGTCAATTGGTCATGTTAAATAGAGAAACCTTGGAAGTACAAGAATCCATCAGTAAGTCTTGTTTTTCGATACTTAAAGGAAACGACAAAGACTAAAAAAACAACAACATTGAATAGATGTTACACAGTCCAGTGTGGTTAGCGTGTTATGGCATCCTCGCATTAATCAAATTATCACAGGTAGTGCCGATGGTACTGTCACCGTATTTTATAGTCCCACACATTCCACACGTGGTGCTAAACTATGTGTGGTAAAGGCAGCTAAAGTACGTGCAGTGGATGATTATGAAATCAATCGCCCTATTATCACACCTCATGCGTTACCCATGTTCAAGGATGAAGAGCCAAGAGCCACAAAGAGAAAGAGAGACAAGATGCGTAGCGATCCTGTGGCTTCTTATCGTCCCGACTTACCTGTTAGTGGCCATGGCAAGGGCGGTAGAGTTAACATGAATCAACAACAAGCTGTCATCAAGACTTTTGCTAAGGATACAACTCGAGATGAAGATCCTCGTGAAGCTCTTCTCAAGTATGCTGATTTAGCTGAATCCGACCCTCTTTGGGTCTCCAATGGTAAGTGAAAAAAGCGTTGGAAGTGTATCTTTTCTTGTATATTCATCCTTGTTTTTCTTTTTAGTGTATAAAAAGACACAGCCTAATCCTGTGTTTGAAGAGGAAGAAGAGGAAGAAGACAAATAAATATCGGTTAATGAAAAATTTCCCAATTTAAAAAGGTTCCTTTTTTTTGTTTTTCTTCTATTTTATTTTGTACATTGTAATGCCTTCTGCTCTCAACACTTTAGTGGCAAAGGAACCACTCTTGTCAAGAGACTTTGAGAGTCTTACCAACATTGATGAAATTCGTGAATGTCTTCGTTTACTAGATGAAGAAGAAACGCGCATCGATGCTTCCCTCGACACCATGTTAGCTCAAGAAAATAAACTTGACTTGTCTCTAAATACATTAGCTGTTCTCAGGTAAAATCCCTCCCCCTCATGCTCTTTCTTTCTTCCATTTGACTGAGCCCTTTTTATTACTTCAGACCACAGCTGGGACATTTAAAATCGAATTCCTCACGAGTCATTCATACCGTCGACAAAACCTCTCGCTTAGCTGAAGTAATTAGTGACAAGGTAAGACAACTAGACCAAGAACAATCCCGAGCGAGAGAAGCTATTAAATATGTAGAAGACGTGCAAGAATTAAAGTATTGTGTTGCCAGTCTTCAAGAAGCCATGCAACGAAAAGAATACGATGAAGCCGCCGTCTTATTACAACGTGCTTCCAAAATTGATGATTCCATCCTCAACGGTTCTCTCGCTGAATTCACCGTCGTAAGTCTTCTTTTTTTTTTAGATTATACGTATAACTCATACAGTATTATAGTCAACATCAGAAAACCCAGATCATCCTGCAAAGACACTCGCTGACGCAAAAGCAAACTTATTTCAAATCTTTTCTCGTAAATTCGATGATGCCGTTGCACAAAGAAATCAAGCAGATATCACTCGCTATTTTAAACTCTTTCCTCTCATTAATTGTCAGACAGAGGGTCTAGATAAATACTCGAGATTTGTATGTAACATCATCAAGGCAAGATGTGCGGATGAGATACAAGGAGGTTTAGGTAAGCATGTTATACAATTAAACTGATTTTTTTTTCAACTCACTTTACTGATCGCCCCCCTTTTTCTTTTCATATTACAGTGGCTGCACCCACTTATTTCGCCGACGCATTAACCCGATTATTCGAAAATATCGCCGTCATCATCGACCAGCATCAACCTCTTGTCGAAACGCATTACGGTAAAGGCAAAATGTTACGTGTCATTCAACGTTTGCAAGAAGAAAGCGATGTCCAAAGTATCATCATCCTCGACCGCTTTTTACAGATACGTCGCTTAGAATCCAAATTAGTTGAAATCCAAGTCTTACTTATTGCTATGATGCGTAACAACTCCACCTACACATTGAATCGACCGGGCACACCCAACGGTTCTTCACCCACACCATCAGAACCTACCAATCCTCTGGTCGAGCATCGTCAATTAGATGCAAACTTGCATGAATTATCCTTAATCAGCCAACGCAGTGTTTTATTCAACAGCTTCATCAATGAAAGGGCCAGTGATGAAATGGATATTTTGGAATCCGCCGATGAAAATGAAAGAGAAATGGTCATGAAGGGAAAGGATAGCAAGTACTATGGTAATAATGGTCTCCTGTTATCTTCGGGTTTAACCAAACGCGTAAGAGAGTTGATGAACTCTTATTTGGTCATTGATGAATATCTCTTGAAAAAGAGTATCGATAAGGCCATGAAATTGGATGATTATGATCCTTCGACTGCACAAACCTCCACATGCGTGGATGATGTGTTCTTCATTTTGAAAACAGTGATCAAGCGATGTATTTCTACTTATGAACCAGACGTGGTGGCGGCTACAGTCAAAACTACATTAAAGACTTTGGAGATTGCTTATTTAAATCAATTTCAACAAAAAATGTCGACTGTTTTCACTTCGTATGATACGACAGGGAGAAATGCCGAAAGAGCAATTGAGCAGGCTAAAATCAGTTATATGGTTATACTGAATAACTTGGATGTTAGTGCGGATTATACACATCGATTGGCCAAGGAAGTGCAACCTAATATTACAAATGGCATATGGTTGGATGAAGAAAACGATGTCAAAAAGACAAGGGGGTCAATTCAAGATTTCGAGAGCTTTGCAGATAAATTCAAGCAATTATTACAGGTAAAGCATATGTCACTCTCTATTCTTTTGGGTTTTTTTAAAAAATATTAATATATGAAATAGAATGGTTTGGAGCAATTATTAAATCAGATTTTAAAACCTCGTATCCGACCTTTATTCCAAGACGCCTATCGTGAAGTGAAATACGTGCTTGAAGAAGAAGAATATAACGAAGCGGATATTGAAGAACGATTTGTAAAGAGATTCAGACGTGGATTTGAACACTTGATCCAAATCTATCAACGTACCTTGACAGACAACAACTTTAGTACATTAATGGGTCTCGTGTTAGAAGCTTTAACTGCTCAATGGGAGAGAATTGTGTTTCAAACAAGGTTTAATCAATATGGTGCTCTTCGTTTCGATAAGGATCTTCGTTCCGTCATTCATTACTTGTCTACCTTGACTGAGTGGTTATCCAGAGACCGGTTTACACGATTAAATCAAATGTCAACGCTACTAAATTTTGAAGAGGTAAGAGAAGTCTTTATTCTTGCTTAGATTGATTGATTTACTTAAAATTTTGTTTTGTCTTAGCCTTCTGAAATATACGACTTTTGGGGTCAGAAAGCAGGTCCTGTCAGTTGGCGTTTGACTGTGGCCGAAGTGAAAAAGATTTTGGCTTTAAGACTTGATTTTGATGCGGAGGAAGTGGCCAACTTGTTGCCAAAAAGCTCTTAAAATCTCCCGAATAATAAATCCTCACTTATAAAATTCTGTTTCACGGTACTGTAAAACTCGCACTTTAACTCAGGGCATAAAACTCTTTTTTTTTTTTTTTTCATGATCACTAAATAGGTGACTAGTTTTTTCCTCCACTTGGCAGTAAAATGCAGCGACTTACACGTCAAACTCAGTGACTCTTCCCCTTCCGCTCTTTTTTGTTCAAAATACATACGACTAGAAATGACAATTATAGGATACACAGAAAATGTAAATCGTACTTGAAAAATACAAAAAAGAAAAAAGAGGGCTTGTTGAACTAAGCGTTCATTAGGAAAATCAAGTACTTTATACTGTAGTCGAAGGACAAGGAGAACTCGAAACAAGGGAAGAATTGACTGCTCAACAATTGTTAGCTACTAGACCTGTCCTTGTTGAATTGTATGAATATAAGAACGATGTTACGATCGAAACACGGATCGAACGCAGAGCTGAAAAGCTCGAAACTTTTCCAAAAAGAATGCAATTAATGATTATCGATTACTTTGAAGTTGGTCACCGTAAGCCCTACGCCCTCGATCAAATAATTCAATAGACTGGTTCCCAACACCTTTTTTTCATTTCTGTAGTTGATGTTGGAATGCAACTAATCGAAAACATTTTTGGGCTAGGAAAAAAGCCACCTTTGTAAGTCTGACAGCGACTGATGATATGCAAACATTTGAGCTTAATTTTTTTTTTATATAAATGTATAGCCCACTTTTGTTGATGTTGATAAACTCCATGTTACAACCTAAGGATAAATTTTCAAGGAAAGAACAACATAGAAGTCATTGGATTTTTTGTAAGAGGGCTCATGCCACTTTGATGGACGTATTGAGTTTGTACGGACCTGAAATTTACGATCCTATCTGGAATCAATTTAAGTACTTCAAGTATGTGTCTGCCACAAAAGCAAGCCTAGAAGACGACGAAATTTATAGCGAGTTCGATAACAAAGAACTAAGCAACTATAGCGATTTTTGGGACTACACTGACACGTTATTAAATCATGGATCAGCAAACCTTGATTCAAAGGTAACTTTTACTTGATCAATTTTTCTCATTCCATCTCATTTTTTTTTTATTTCAAAAATATTAGTGTCGTAGATTAGTATTAGACTTTTTGGTGAATGTCTTACAGATTGACTTGAAATCAAGATTGGATCGTGAGGAAGATGTCAAGAATTCCATCATTTACAAGACTGTAAAGTTGGTTAATATCAAGCAATACTTGAAGATTCTCTTTAGAAAGTTTCCAAGCCCTGATGAAAATCTGTATCATCTTACGGGAGACCTTTTGAATATGGTAAGAAAAGAGAGAGAGAGAGAGTCTGTTTAGATACACATGGACTGACTGGGAATTATGGCTAGTTTATTACGCTGTCTTGCTTCGAGTCAACCGATATTGTGAACCAGGTTTATTCCAAATTTTCGCAAATGGATGCAGACCGTTGTCAGCAACTCATGCAAGTGATTCGATACCCAACCTTCCTTATCGAAGTTTGCGATAAGGCCTTATCCGACACAAATATCTCCAAGGTAGACGATGCCTATAAGCACTTTCGAAACAGCAACCATATCCCGCTTCATTTAGAAAAGTTACTTTTCTACGTCTTTAAAACATTGCCTCTCTCTGATTCGTTGCTTGACATCTATCGCCATGTTTCCATTGTATCCAAATACTGCATGTGTGTTTTATCGACTGCTTCTATTAGCCATAAAAGAGCAAGTCCAGAGACGAACTCGGCTCTGTCTGAAGAACAGTTGTTCTTATTAATAACAAATCAAAATGAAATATTGGATGACTGGGAAATCATGATTGAACAAGAAATGCATAAAAATGGCAAAACTCCAGATCTGGAAGTTATGGAAAAGATCCGTTGGACAGTCAAATTGACCAAATTAACTATCACTGAATACCTTTAATAATCTAGAATTGAAATATATTATATATACATAGACTTTTAAACACATGTCTATTACTTGTTAAAATGTACATAATCACATTATTTGCTGTTCTCATTTTCTACTGTTCTGGTCTCGGCCCTTTTTCAGTTACAGATGTGGTGAATAAAAACATGACGTATGCTAGTCAAGTTGGCTAGACTAGAACACTTTTTCCATGTGTGCATTATCCGGAAAAAAAAGATGACTTGATGGTATACACTAAATACAAAAAAAAAAGAAAGGCCATTGTTGTTGTCTTACAAGAAACTATAAAATATTCAGCTCACGGTCCTACTTAATGCAAGCTGATTGGCGTTGATCTTTTTTATGTTGAACACGAAATGGGTTACCAAACAAGAAAAAATATTCGTATCTGCACTGGAATGCAGATCGTTTATACTATTTATGAATAGTGTTCTAATGAATTGGGCGTCATACTTTTGTTTTAAACAATAAAGATCTCGGGTACAAACAATTCTTCCTTTTGGTTTGTAATCTACCCTTAATAAGTTGTATTGCTCCATACATTACACTGGCTTGTCCCGTAACTACATATGTTTGTGTGCGTAGTAAAAGGGCTGAGTGCATGCTTCTTATAGCATTCATTATTTCGTGCCAATAGAACTCGTTTAAACTATAATTGAGTTTTGTTGGCATAGTAAACGTAACTTCCATATGAGGGATTATTTTTTATCCAAGTTCAATGTTAAATTGAAAAAAAATAAACCCCCAACTGCAAAAAAAAAAAGCATTTATTACAGAACAATCTTATGGAAGGGATGCAAAAGGTCATTTGACACAAATTAAATTTTTAATAGAGGACCTTCTGTAGTTAATCTGGGATGATGCCCTTTTGACATTACATGTGGCGACTCATATCTCATTCCATCAGAGCGAAGTTTAAAAATGTAGTGTATTTTTTTTTTCTATGATATCATTTAACTTCATTACTGCCACTAGTGTTCTGACGTTTTTTTAATGTTGTAATAACTGAACTTGCTAGATTTTACAGGAATCATCTGGTTTTTTCACATAATTTTATAAACGGGTTAATCAATAAACTTATGACATCGAAAAAAAAAAGATGTACAGAGATATATTCGATCGCATTCTTATTACAAATTGTGTCACTTTATACTAAAGGGATTTTAAAAAAGAGATAAGAGAAGATCTGATACAAAAATATGGTATAACATGGGCTAAGCTAAAGTTTTTTTTTTAAAACCACACAGCTAATAATAGTTTCACAAGGAGTTTTATTATTATTACAAGGAGATTCATATAAAATGTGAAAAGGAGGAAAGACGATGAATCCCAAATAGATCTTATTCTAGGTACACATATTCCAAAAAGAATATACAAACCGGATAGTAAGACTGAGCCTAAATGGTTACGAATTTAATGCTACACATGGGAAACTTTATTTCAGGGCGCACCCGTCAAGTACCATTTTCATGTCACTGACGTTTTCAACAAGCTAAAAAAATGAAATTTAATTTTTTTTTTTTTTTTTTTTTTTTTTTAGGGCCATGGGCTGCACGGATTTATGTTGTGTATGTAGGTGGTGGTAGAGGTTGTTGCTATTCCAATAATTTTTTCTAGTAGTAACCGAATTGTTGTATTTCTAAGTGAGATTGCTCCTTCATAACTTGAGATCCTTTATCGCTGGAAAAATGCAGTTGTATAAAAATTAAGGTTTGCCATGTCAATGTGTAGGCAATAAAAGCTTGTATTATCTACAAATAAACAGGATGGAACATCCCCGTGATAGCCCCCCATACACACACATACACTTAGAAGCAGTTAATTTAACCGCATTGGCCATGATACGGTAAAATGGATCTCATTCCCGGTTAATAGAGTAAGTACATGATCAGGAAAGCGTCTGCGCGTATGACAGACCACAAGATCTGTATCTATTTTAAAATATTCAGACTGCGTGTGTTAGAAATAGTTTCCATATACCATCACATTGACCGGTAAAAACATCTGCCAAAGTGTCAAATGGGATTGTTTTGGAAGTAAGAGGAGAATTGAACTCAAGCAAGCCTAAAAATTTTAAGGCTCCGGTTTCGAATTCCTGGGTTGAAAGGATCATCAGTTTATTTATATACAAAAGAAAAAAGAGCCTTTTTTTTATTGTGTCTTTTTGTACAATATCATGTATGGACACCCTATAAAAGAAGGGATGAATAATGCCTGTGTAACAAACAATAAGGAAAAAAAAGAGAGAAATATAGAGAAAAAGATGAATGTTAATTAAAAGGATAAAATGGTCGGAATTTATCCGAAAGGTTACTGGATGTATCCATTTCTTCCCCTGCTTCTTCTTTCGGCGCACTCGACAGAGTATTTCCTCATGTTGTCTTGTGTGTATTTATATAATTACTTTTTTGACGTCCCGATTTAATTATAAGGTACGTTAAAAGGCAATTCCTGATAAGTAATCATTTTTCCTCCTTTTTCTTCCCACTTTCTTTTTTTATATATTTATTTCACATCAAAAATCAATGTTTGATGCACCACCAAGCACAATCTTGAACTCTTTGAACAATTTACTGGAAAATCCTAAACAATATTTGGCCGACGTATGCTTTACTTTTAGTTCCATAGAGATTTGGGCTCATCGTGGTAATGACATTGACTTGAAGATCCTCAAGTAAATACTAACTTTTCTTTGTCAGCTATTATATTAGCGCGAGCACCCAAAGAGTTTGTGCAGAGTTACTTGCCCGAACTATTATCAGGACAAACAGAAATTATCTTGAAACTAGATATGAACAATAATGCAGCCATGATTTCAGCAGAGCTATTTTCCTCGTTGCTACGATTTTGGTACACCGCCAGCTATTATCAACCTGTATCACCTCATTCCAGCATCAGCGAATTATCTATTGCTACACCACCGAATGCTTCACCCAGTCTCTCAAAGTCATCTTCTACCGAATTTATCACCATTCAAAACGAAATTGAGCAGCTTGGCATCCAATTAGGCACAGCACTCTTACCCTTGCACTGTGAATCCGTGCCAGATTTTGTCCAACTAGTAGCCGATCTAAAAAGAATGCGTGATGATAAAATCGCGACTGATGTCACTATTTCCTTGATATCCAACACAACTGACAATACACCTGTCTTGTTGTCTACTTCCCCAGAGAACCATACCCATGCTATTCCCATTGCAACATTCAGAGCACATCGTTTTCTCTTAGCAGCACAGTCTACCTATTTCTATGCACTCTTTTGTACACAGTTTCAAGAAGCCAAAAGCCACACTGTTCATTTTACAGATGATCTCTTCAACGAATCAATTATCGATATGATGCTCAACTTTTTTTACACAGATAAGATTATCGTGTCTCCTCTAAAGTACGATACTAAGAAACCTTATTCGCCATTGCAACGTCAGCTTGAACATAGTAAACATGCTTTACGAGTGATTCAAAAGGCTTTTTACTCTGCAGACTATTTAGGTCATAGTGATAGTTTAGGTCAGGCATTATTATTCGAAATGGAAAATGTGTGTCATCAGTTTAAGTGTGTGTGTCCCCAATGCGCAGTGCTATTACCCTCCATGTTGGCTTGGTCCGACAAACATGTGGATGTTGTACCCAAATTAAAACGAACTTTGATCTTGCTATTTTCGGAACCAGTTCACTCCCTGGCATCGCTGTGGTCGCAACGTCCCTTTGCATTACTTGTGTCATCGATGGTGCCCTCTTCTTCTCTACTAGGGGAAGAAACATTGGTGGCGGTCAAGAGACAGGAACCCTTATTTAGAGCTAGAGCAGCTAAAACTTTAGTTCATGAAATAGTTGAACGCACATTTTATAATGTAACGAAGCATAATGCAATTCATGTATTACATTCAATTCATTTATGTTTGTCACAAAGTCGTAGTGCAGATCCCAATCCGTCTTGGTCTCGGCCCACTTTAAGCCTGGTCAACTCACTTTTGAAATACACGATCGACCTGGTTTGTCAATTCTTTGATTTTTATTGCGTAGAGTATCCCATTTTATTATCATGTGTTGATGGCATCGGAGCTGGTTTCTCCGTCGATTTCTTGGATTTCCTTTTACGTCATGTGCTTCAAGAAGGTATCCAAACATCCAATGCAGGTGTCATTTATCAAGTCATTGTACGTGATTTAGTGGGCAGACAGGAAGTCGTACGAAATATGGCCGTCGATGATGTACTGACAAAAGCAAGAATAAGATGCGCTACTTACATTGCAAAGAACTGGACAAAAGTGAAATCCCAAGGTGGTTTCCGGACTCTGGATAAATCATCTATGCGTCAACTAGCCGATGATATCAATATTCCCTATCGAAATTTGACGAAACCCTATGAAACCGAATTTGCCAATATCTTTAGTTTCAAACCAAAGAAATCAAAAAAGATTGCAGTCACAGATGACAAGAATGCTTTGTTGACCGAAGTGTATACTCGTCGTCTTTCACTGGGTAATTTGATGACCAGAGCCTCGAACCCGAACTTACGCACACCCAAATCAAGACCAAGAGCTCTTTCGACTGAATCTGTATTGGCGTCGGGATTAGCAAGATATAACCCTCCTCGTACTACGCCATTGGAAAATCAACCATTGATTAATTTACTTTCCCATGAGACCGACGAAAGAAGAAAAGCTTTAGAAGAAGCAGATATTATCCCACAACCTTCCATTTCAGCTACTTCCTCCCTTGTTGAATATCATCGTCCTTTACTCAGAACAAGTTCATCCTTTACTTCTTTAACAGATCAACTATTACCTGTAGATTGTGTTGTGATCACACCACCACCTAGTACAGCTAGTAGTAGTACCAGTACTCTGGATGGGACAGTAAGACCCAGCCGACTTAAATTTGAGTTACCTACCACACCAGCCAGATCCAAGTCACCCAGTTTACCTCATCTCGTTCATCATTCATCGGATACCCCTTCTTACCTATCACCCCAAGGTACCAAAAATCGTAGTCGTAGGGGTAGCAAAACCCGCAAGTCCAGATGGAGTATTGGCAGTAGTAATTATAATAGTGATATCAGCGATGATGATGAATTTGCGGCATTGCCTGTTTTGGGCAATAAGATTGAGTTGCTACGTCGACCTTTACCTACTATGGGTACGATTAAATACATTGGTCCTGTTCGATTTGCAGAGGGAACCTATATTGGAGTTGAGCTTGAAAGTCGATGTAAGTAAATTGAAAAAAAAAGGGGGGGAGACAGAGAAAGAGAGAAAACTAATATCAAATCATAGTGGGTAAGAGCGATGGATCGGTAGACGGAATTCGATATTTTCATACAGATCCACAACGGGCGCTTTTTGTAAAACCAGACGATTTTAAGATTGTTAGTTACCAATAAAGAGTGTATATATATTTATATATAAAATTATGTTTATTATTCAAACAACAACAAAAGAAAATATTTTATTTTTATTTTATTTTTTATTGGGCACCGGCAGTTGCATCCTCATCATCTGCCTTATCGGCATCTTGAAGGTCTGATGTCCATAAGGTCAAGTTGTCTCTCAATAATTGCATAATTAAGGTGGAGTCCTTGTAAGATTCTTCGCTTAAGGTATCGAGTTCAGCAATAGCATCATCAAAGGCTTGTTTGGCTAATGCACAAGCACGTTCAGGGGAGTTGAAAATTTCGTAATAGAATACAGAAAAGTTCAAAGCAAGACCAAGACGGATGGGATGTGTTGTTGTTAATTCAGTCTGAGCAACTTCGGTAGCTTGTTTATAGGCTTCATAGGCTTCGTTTGCTGAGGCCTTGCGAGCTTCACCGGTTGCGTATTCAGCGACATAACGATGATAATCACCTTCCCTGCAAATTGATGTTATGCATCGTTAGTAGTGTACAATTATTTACAGAAAAAAAAAACTTACATCTTGTAGTAGAAAACCTTGGCTTCACCATCTTGAGCAGAAGGAATCAAGTGTTCTTTCAAGAGCTTCAAAATATCATTACATACTTCATATAATTCATTTTCAATCTTATTTCTATATCCTTTAATCTTTGTCACTTGGGCATCATGTCCTTTACTATCTTCCTTTTGTTCAATAGATGAAACGATTCTCCATGAAGCACGACGAGCACCAATGACATTCTTGTACGCGACGGATAAAAGGTTACGTTCTTCAACTGTTAAACCAACATTCAACTAAAAAGAAGGAGAAAACATCTTAATAAAATATTAAATCTGTAGTCATCTTTTCTTCTTTACCTGGACCACTTCCTTCATAAAGTTGACCATTTCTAAAATGAATTTTAATGTGTGTGTGTGAGAATTTGATCTCTTTATTATGATGACCACAACCCTCGGGAGACTATCCGAAAATAGTTTGTATCCCCGATTGTTTTTGGGTTCTCTCCTTCTTCCCCTCTTTTTTTTTTTTTGTTAAGATATATTTTAAATATGGGGGGGGGGAGGTACTAACCATCGTAACGCTCAGCTTGTTCAGCAATCTTGGCCATATAGACCTAAAAGTTAAAGGAGAAAAAAGGATAGCTTCAGTACAAAGACACGTATTACGTATGCATCTTTTTACAAAATGCTATTTAAATACCTTGTCTTCACGTTCCTAAAAGTTGCAATATAATATATTAGATACACCTACATCATATAAGCAAATAAAACAAAAAAAAACTTACAGTAGCCATTATTATTTATAGTGTGTATTTATTTTTTAATATAATAAAAAAAAAAGAAAAGAGGAAAAAGAAGAGAATAAAAAAAAAGGGGGATAGATAAGAAAGAGAAATGAGCCCCCAGCCAATTAGTTTGATTGGCTGTGTCGTCATAAATGAAATGTTGCATGATTTTCTTTTTCAAGGCAAGACCTTTTCTGGGTTCATCAAACCTTTTGGATCCAGTGCTATTTTAATAGTCTTCATCATGTCTACGGTATTTTGACCCAACTCTTGAACCATGAAATTCTTTTTACCAATACCAACACCATGCTCACCAGTGATCGAACCTTCCATGCGGATAGCTCTCTCAAGCAAGTTCTTGTTCAGTCGCTTGGCCTCTTGGTATTCCTCCTCCTTGTCCTTTTCAAATAAGATAAACACATGGAAGTTACCATCACCGACGTGTCCCACTAAGGGACAGGGCAAGAATGAACTGTCGATATCCTTTTGCGTTTCTGCAATCAATTCAGGTAACCTAGAAACAGGCACAACGACATCAGTTGTCCAAACAGAAGCGTTTGGCTTCAGTAGTGTGGATGACCAAAGTGCAATCTAAATGTAATGCATTAATGATACAGACACTAAATCATAGTGCTCCATAATTTTTACCTTTCTTCCTTCCCATAGTGTCGTCTTCTCTTGCTCATTCTTTGCATACTTGAATACACCGCCTTGATGTTTCTTGGTAATTTCTGATACAATCTTGATCTCATGTTGAACACTAATGTCTGAACCACCTGAAAATTTAAAAAACAAGGTAGGCTTCTCAGAATGTCCCAAATCTGGATTAGCCAAATTAATGGCCTTCATCATTTCTGAATCTAATAATTCGACTGCTCCAATTTGAACTCCAGCTCTTACAAGGTCCGGTACAACTGCTGCTGCATCACGAATGGTGGGGAAATCACATACGGCTACTGTCTCCACCTGAGGTAAAACTGCCAACTTCAATGTGATCTCAGTGACCACACCCAATGTTCCTTCTGACCCAATAAATAATTTTGTCAAATCATAACCTGCCGATGACTTTCTTGCTCTTTGACGTGTCTTTGAAATCTTTCCGTCTGCGGTGACCACCGTCAAATTAATAACCCACTCTTTGATTGTACCATAACGCACTGCATTTGTTCCTGAACAAGAAGTACCAACCATGCCACCAATACAAGCTCCCGGTCCGGGGTCTTGAGGGAAAAACAAGTTTTCTTTTTTCAAAAAGATATTAAGATCTTCCCATTGTACACCGGGTTGTACAACAATATCCATGTCTTCCGGATGAAACGCAATGATCTTGTCCATATGCTCTGTGAAAGAAATACACACACCTCCCTTGGGTGCAGAGAAGTGGCCTTCCAACGAAGTACCGCCCGAAAATGGAATAATGGGTAAATCGTACTTGTTGCAAATCTTTACAACTTCCGCTACTTGCTCGGTGCTCGACGGGTAAACAACAATGTTGGGTGCGCCTTCATTATGATACGAATTATTCGAATAACCATGGTCCATCAATGCTTCTTCGTCCACAGTAACATGCTCGGCAGGAAGAACTTGTCGCAGTTCCTGGAATACTTTCAAGATGGTTTCATGAGTAGGAATGGCGGGAATGGGAATCGTAGGGTGTTCGGCCACGGCAACAGTAGCAACGGGAGCAGCCACAGTCTCTTTATTTCCCAGCAAATAACCAGTGCCTGCAGCTAATGCTGTAATTCCAACATAAGGTAAGTAGTTTATTTTTGTCGCGGTTGAACCTTGATAACATCTTCTTTGTTGTCGTAATACAACATGCTTGTTATTGTTTACAATACGTTTCAAACTGTTTCTCAACATGACAAAAAAAAAGGTTTTTTTTTTTTTTGAACAAAAATAAATAAATGAATACAAACAATTTTATTTTGTATTTTTGTGTGCTTTAAATAGTAAACTGGGGTTTACATAATTTCCGATTGGGGGAAACACGGGGAAATATTGAACCTGTAGACTTTTCATACACGCTGAATATATATCACATTTACTTATACCAACACTTGCATTATTGTCAATGCATTCGTTATTGACAGCGGTTGTGTGTATGTGGTTTTTACTTGCCAAAAAAAGTTAATTGACGGTTAATCGTTTTGTGATACTGTTTGCCAACATATAGCGTTAATTGACAAATCTCGATTTATTACATAAATAACAGCTACCAATGTAGCTGTTTAGCACTTTGCTGACAGATGAAAGACGTCCCTACTAAAAAAAAATACACGTAATTACAAGGAAGTGTTAAAGTTTACTTATAATGGGAATAAGTTGAAATATCGTGAAACATCTGCTCAATGTTGCTACCCAGGATGTGCGACAAAACTTGGTTACTCAACGCGTAAAAATTTAACCTCCCCGCCTCTTTTCATAGATCTTTCAAAATCTAAGCTTTCAGCCCATACTTGTACAGTCATTAGAATTAGAAATAGCGGGACGCTTTTTATTTGTTTTGATAAGTAAATTGATTGTTTGCAAGGCCTCTCCCTTGTGATATCCAAGATATTTCCCCCAAAGTTTTCTTTAACTTTTTTTTTGTCTTGTTTTATTCACCAAATTATACAAATTCCGAGATAGCCAAGTGAAACTCGATGATCGAACCGATTGCCCTAAACTTCTTTAGTCACAGTTTTTTTGTCAAATAATATAGAGCCTAATGGCTTTATGTCACTGACTCAGAATGATATTCATTGGCCGAAACTGCCTGACCCACCTTCAACAAAATTATTTAGCGAATGCTGTAAAGCTGTAATTATCGTAAGCCAACACACGTTACGAATCCAATTGATTATCTACTCACTGACAATTTTGTTGGTTTTAATAACTACCAAGTAGGTACTGTTAAACCTGTGAAGTATAAGAAATTAAACCACACTTTTAAAAGGAAACGCATGTTTTGTTTAAAGGCACTCTTTATTCAACTTTTGTTTTTTGGTGCATTAAAACTCAACATATTCTGTTTGACAGTAAGCGGATAACACGCTATTGATAAAGAACAGTGTCTTGCAATAAAGACTTTAAATATTGATAGGCAATGGTGCTACCAGAAGTGGGACAGCCATGTGAGTTACTTGGTTTGGAAAATGGACAATGATGTCAACATTTGTCAAATAATTTGTTAACATTCTTTTTTTTTTTTAAGAATTTATAATTGACTGCCAATAGATATATCGTGATAGTTTTAGCACCATATAAATAGCTCTATCGTATGCTCATTTGCTATAAACATCAATGCCTTACTTTTTTATAAAACAGATCCCCTTTATTACTGTCATTTCTTGGACGCAAGGAATCCTATTTATAGGATTTTTTCTACTTCAAATTTTTAATTTTTGCTTAAAGGTTAAAACAGACTATATAATTTTAAAACTTACTAAAATTTTGGTGAAGAGCAAACACAAACTATCTAAACCAGCCATTATTCAAATCTTCTGTCAAAGTTCGTACCTGGGAACTGGAGCCAAAAAATACATCTACATGCACTACCAAACATTTAAAATGTAAAAGTTAAGCCCAACGGGGGGGTCGAACCCCCAACCTTGAGATTAAGAGTCTCACGCTCTACCGATTGAGCTAGCTAGGCGGGCTATGGTCCATTGGTATAAGTGGTTAACACTTTGCCATAAATTCTGGTGCGCTCCCATGCCACCAGTTCGAATCCCTCCGCCGGCATTTTTATAAGCAATTATAAAAATCGCCCTGTTCATTAAGCATGTTTTTCTTCGTCTTGAGCTTGCGGCCGGTCTGGCCGGCAATTGCCCAGTGTCCACGTTCCGAGTCCCTAGCCCTACGCTAGATAAAATATTGCCCCTCTCATCATGTTTCCCTTTCCCGCCAGGGTTTTGACGCCGCTTTTTCTGTTGTTCTCGGTGTGTGTTCTGTGGTCGACTGGCGTAGTAAGTATTTATTGGACGGTACCACCCCAGGTTTAATCAAGTCGTTTCCCCGTATCTTAATACATTATTGGCCCAAAAATATAATAATTATTAGTTAGTCTTCCCCCTTCCCCCCTACACAAATTAAGTATGCTTTTCTCCCCACGTTTTCCCGAATTACAAGGCATATATACTCTACAGAGCCCGCCCATTAAGTAATCTTATAAATAAAAAAAATCTTTCACCTGAGCTAGCTAGGCTGTTTCATATTTTATGAATTTGCATTACAAATGTCGTGATCGAGGCTATATACTTAATATATGACTCTATCTACACTTCTTAAATCTTCCATTTGATAATCCTAAATATAATTCTTATTGGTACTTTATATTAAATACTGATCATTTACTTTATGTACAGGCTTGATCTTATATCATCCTTCATACAAGTATAAGGCATACATTTAAATAATAACATGAATATGAAAACATATGAAGGTTACATCAGCCACGTTGAGGTGCCACAGCTATCTTTAATAAGAACTACATTTTCCCCTGAATGTTGTGCTACAAGACATACACAGTTTAAGAATGAATGTTATTGTTATTGTTATTGACATCTCATTATGGTCTTTCTATATGGGATCATTACATCCGAGTATTATCTGGATAAATCTACCCACAACCGTCATCAGCCCATCTGTGATCAATGTCTGAAATAATGTGTATATAAAGACCCCCATTTATTTGTTTAATAAAGCTTGAGTTTATTTTTGCAGTTTGATAATTTCACTTTGTTAAATTTTACATTTTTTCTTAATTCGCTATTATCACTCTCGAATTTCTCAACAAATATATCAACATTAATTTAAAAAAAGTTTATCACGTGATAAACACGTGAAAGAGATATGATTGGGTTGGTTCTTTCTTTTTATTTTTTAAGGCAAGCACTCAAAGTTACCGACACTAAATAAAGAGAAAAATTCGTTCATTTTGTGGTATAGTACATTGTATCATTTTTATGAATTTCTATTGAAAATCTAAACATCTTTGAAATAAATCAACTTTTTCTCATGTCATTAAGATTGCCACTTCAAAACACGTTATAAAGCTCCATAATATAGAGCAGTGGTACAAAGTGTATGTTAGCGCAACTAATTATTTAATAACTACGTCATTTAGTATTTCGTAAATGCATAATAAAATAAAGACGCCAAATTCTTTTCACTGCTCTAAATTGTTTCCTTCTTTTTTGTAAACTTTAAAAATAAACTCTACTACTTTTATGGATGATATAATTATGTACAAGTATGATAAACAGCGTAACAAGGCCCGCAAAAGTCGAAAAACCAGAGCAAACTATCAGCGACCTGATCTAGAATCATGGTCAGACGAAAAGTGTTATAACATGTTTCGTTTTACCTACAGCGAGATCTGCCGGATTTGCCATATCATTGGTTTGGATGCTATATTAAGATTCAATAGCCTGAAAGTATCCAGGGAGTTTGCTCTATCTCTGCTGCTTTATCGACTCTCATTTCCCCGTCGGTTATCAGATATGGTAGATGTCTTTGGCATGGCTCAAGATAACATTGGAAGAACTCTCAATGGACTATCAGATATTTTGATGGAAAAGTTCAAGTATGGTCTCGAGTTTGATGAGAGACAATTCTCTAAATCCAACTGCGCAAAATTCTCAAGAGCTATCCTAGAGAAAGGAGGATACTATCCAAACATTGTTGGATTTATCAATAGAACAATGTTGGAAACATGCCGTCCAAAGAACAATGAAGACCAAAAATTACTATCTATTGATCAAGAGCATCAGCACTGTATTGAATTTCAAGCTATCTCTACTCCTGATGGAATCACCAACATTCTATGTGGCCCTTACGTTGATACCCGAAATGACAGAGGTATGTTGAATGAAAGCCAAATGCTTCAACGAATTCAAGCGCACTTTGAGCATATTTCTCCGGAATACGAGTATTGTATTTAGAGACGAGGGTCACTGCTCCACGATACATGTCATCTACCCTTATCGTAATCCTTTACGAAACGAGTTCGAAGGAGAAGTGAATTGTTCCATGTCGAAAGTTCGCGTAGCACTTGAGATAGAATTCGGCGATGTCTCTCGGGTGTTTAAAGCATACAAATGGAAGTATGGAAATATTGTTTCGCAGTCAAGACCAGCAACGAAGTATATTCTCAGCACGGTTTTTAAGAACTTTCACACCTGCATTAATAAATCTACCGTGTCCTCGGTGTCTGCTTTACAGCCACCAACTCTCGAGGAATACATACAAGGGTTGATGCGAGAAAGAAGCCAATTTGACACCATGGAATAAAAAAATGTTACATATATAAAATACATTTTTTGGGTGTTGCGCTATGTGCTACTAAACTTTCTGCTACAAGAAGTGGTTGTATTGCTGCACATTCTCTCTCTCTCTCTTTTTTTTTTTTTTGTATAGTCGAGAAAACACCGCTATGTAAAGAAGCATTCACCTTCTTTAAATTGTAACTGTGATCACAAAAAAAGTTTTAAATTCGAAGACTGCCCTAGAAAGAAAAGAAAAAGGCAATGATAACAAAAGTATCTCCCTTTTATTTCTCGGTCTGTCTTTATTGCTGCAAAATTGACCAAAAACTTGACTGCTGTACCGGGCTGATCATGGACCATATAAACCGGGATTAAGTAATGTATTGGTAGTGTATAGTATAAAATTTAGGGCTGTGCTGCTTGACATGCCTCAGCCACTACGCGCTATTGTTGTATGAAGAGATTAAATCAGAATGCTATAAGGCAAAGGTAGGTCTTGAAAATCAAGACCAACGTGCTGGCGTGCTTATGTAACAGCTGTAAACATTTTGAATAATGTCCTTGCGTATGTCAATGAAATAGCACAAAAGCGACATTTAGAAAATCCGTTATTCGATTTCGAATTTGCTGAGCAACAAACCGACAAAAACGGACACATACCATAGAAAGCTCAATTCCAACAGTGGAGAATATTGAAGCGCTTTGAGCAGTAAAAGTTGTACAAAAGTGCTCAAAGTGCTCATCACCACTCTATAAAAAACCAAAAGCAAACTAAACAAACTGAACACCGACAGGGTACATTTGTCGTAGCGTCTTCATCATTACCTCCTGGGATAAGACAGCTACCCTCTTAAATTAAATTTTTAACAACAGTTATTTATATGTTCCCCTTGTCATAGTTTATAAAATATAATAGGAAACAAAAATATTCGAGGCATTAAGAACCAACAAAGGATCGCTTAATAGTTGGATGAATAAATTGTGTAGAGAGGCGTTGTTGTGACCAATTAAGGCTAAAAGTGCCCAGGTTTTTCAAAATTAAGTGACCAATTGACGACGGAACTACAGTAGGAAGAGTAAGCCTGATTTTGCAACCCGCATGCGGAGAACTGAGTGGGTGAGGTCATGCGCCAGCCAGACGGGAACTCTTGTCCCCCCCTTTTTTTTATCTGTACGCCAGATTTTGACCATCCTCTTTTTTTAATAAAAGAGCTTGTTCTAACTTTGAACCTCAAGTTATTTATTTTTGAAATGAGCAAGAATGGTGTTGTAGGCAGAACTGTATTCACACAAATAAGACGTGGTAGCAGAGAGGTTCATTCTTTGCAATGAAAAAAGAAGTAGAGTTTACAAATGTTCTTCTGAAAGCCAGGCGAATGTAGTCAATGATTTTGCAACCCACCCACCAGTCGAAGAGCATTGTCACTGTGTGGATTTTCTATCAGCTCAAGCCACTCGAACAACTTCTGCTTTGGGATGAGATCAACAAGCAAAAATAGATTCTACAGAGTCCAGGGCAACTGTAGAAAGTATTTCACAAGTATTTAGAGCAAAGTTGGACGCTAGTCGAAGATTTGAAAAATTAGACAATATCTGAAACCTCAAGACAAATTTAACGGATCAAGTTGCTTGAAATTTTTTTATAATATTTTATCAAAGTCATAGTTATAAAAGCATAATCCATAATGAATAAGTGGATAATTAAAAAACTAAATGAAAAATAAGCAGACATGTTAAGGATGGCTACTCTATCTTATTTTTTCTTTGTCGACAATTGAGCCATCTTGTCTTTGCTGAACGGTGTTACTGGCAAGTTTCAGTAAAAGTAATAGAAGAAAATAAAAATAGAGGTTTAAGATAAAAGTTCTTAAAAAGTGAGCACCAGACTATACAGTTGTCAACTGAAAAAGATAAAATATATTTATATAAGAGGGTAATTTATACGACGAAATCAGATAAGAGTGGTATTCGAAGGAGTATAGTTAAATACGTAATGGAATAGCTACAATGCTGATTTTACAGAAGGAAATTACAAGCAATTATAATAAATACAAAATCACAAAGACTTAAAGTATTAAGACTTATTCAGATTAAAGTAAAGAACAAACTAATTATTTTATTATGAATTTTTGGGAACCTTTTATAGAAAAAGGTTCAAAAAGCAGTAAAAAAAAAATGAAAAATCTTAAGTCAAAACGACAAAAAGTGCCGTGTAACAACTCCAGAAACAGAAGAAGTACTGGCAGTCGATCGTACCGCACTAACCGCGGACACAGAAGAAGAAGCCGACGAGGAAACCACCGCACGAGCACGAGGAGCCGCAGAAGAACTTGGCCGTGAGACCTTAGCAGATACCGAGCCAGAAGACGACAACAAAGAACGACGAGATACTTTCTGCTTTATTGTAGAAACAGATTTGAGACGCATAGACGGCATGTTGACATATTGCCATAAAAACGTATACGTGTCATCACGACCGTTCAACGTAGGAAACACATAATACGCCGTTGACTTTCGTACAAGAATCTTACCATCGACCTTTCTACAAAAGTGTGTACGGGTAGCCGTTGGAACGTACCGGAGCATGTAGGCACACCCAACCATCAGATTTGCGTGAAAGTAGATCAACTCTGGGTAGGGGATCTTTTTCGAAGCAAACAGTTCCAGATAGAAAGCCCGAGAGCCAAAGGAGCGCCACCTGGGATCATTATCCGGACCTCTCACGTACGAATCAATGGTGTCAACTTTACCTTTACCCACCAAAGGCAACAAAAACTGCATTCTAGAGGAAACTGATGCGGTCGGCTCGTAATCACTAGCAACGTCATGGGGATCGATTTTTATTTTTTGGCTTCGAGATCCTTTCTTAAGCGTCTTGATATCACAGCCTTCGAAATCTTGACCAAGAATTTGGAAATACTCCTTCCAAAACAGAACCAAGAACCAGGCGGCAGCACGAGTACCAAAGCGATGATAGGAAATAATCTGCTTGGCATCAAAGGCCGAAGAGACAGCAAGTGGGTTCGTCACGTCATACCTAAACGCTTGGTACTGGCGGAACACCAAGTCAACAGGATGGGTGTTTGGATTAAACACATCACCAAAGGATGCAACAAGACCAGTGGTATCCAAATCAAACATGGAACCTTGTGGTTTTACTCGTTTATAGACTTGTAGAAGACCATTGGGGTTGTTAACAGCTTCAACAATTTCGGCCGGAGTACCAGCAGGCAGTTTTTCCAGGTTGGGATAAACCCGAACATTTCCAGGCAGGTTGTTCTCAACGATCTTCACAGCAGGAAAAGCAATCTTCATTCGGCCAAGATCAAAGGAGTGCGCAAAATAGGCATCATGCCCAGAAGCAAAAAAAGCCCCACGCAGAAAACAAAGTCTGTTTTTGACGCACCGATTATCCTTCACGTAATTTTTTGGATCAGTTTTCTTCTGATTTTCAGGATGCATAAGAGAATTTAGCATGTACGTCAACAGACAGATACCAGAAAGTGCTTGAAGCATGACATTTTTTAAAGAACAGGCAATTAACAAATCAATGACATCCAGCATGCAGCCAATGTACTCCAGATAAGCCGAGGAAGATAGGTGCAGGAAGGCATCAAGTTGTTCGAATTTCCTATTCATAAAACGAGTTAGTTACTTGATAATTAAAATTAAAGAATTTCTGTAATATTTACCGAACTCGGTTTTCAAGCTGGTCCAGAAATTCGTCTGATACCTCCGTTGCGTAAACACACACTTTTAATCTTGTCGTAAACTGTCGTTCACCGTACTCTTCGATCCTCTTGCGGTACCAGCGCTAATAAAAATATATTAGAAAAAGAGAAAAAATAATAATCATGAAAAACTCACCAAGTCAGATTTGTGACGACCGATATCTTGCGTGTTTGTTTTCAAACTTTTGCGTGCCCTCTTGCCCAATATGCCACTTCTTTTTAAATCTAGCCTTCTCGCTCTTTCTGCTACTCTCAAATTCATTTGGCTGGGCCATTGGGCTTTTGTCTTTAACGACCCTCCTTTTAATACTGCTTCCACTATTTCCCTCGCGTCCAAAAATATTTGAAATATTAACTTCATCAATCTGGCATCTCTCCCATTTTCTCTGAACACAGCTTGTATTCCCTTCATTGGTAAGACCTTCCAATGTTGAGACTTTCGTTAAAAACCGCTTTTTATTTTTTAAAATTTTAAATTTGTACCTACTTCACTTGTGACTATTTCCCTTTTGATCACAGAGACTCCGTCTCCATACAAAAAAAAAAAAAAAAAAAAAAAAAAACTGACGGACTCGGGGCTGTTGATTCTATGACAAATGACCTTAACAAATGTAACAAAACCGATGGCATTGAAGCAAACGTTGGAAGCGCGAATATTTTTTATAGACGACACCAAATTTCCTTACTTCTTGCTCGCGAAGGCACTGAATAACCAACAGTACGTTTAGTGGCAAAAGATTCTGGCTTGTTGGTGGTGCCAGCGTCAGTACTTATTTTATTAGCGTGTGGGGATTTATGAACATTTAGTTTTGGATCATAGGTGACCTTTTGAGAATGATACAGATACTTTGTGCTTAGCACTATTCATATGAAATAGCCGTATTTTTATTTTTTTATTTGTCTAATTTTAATTGATTGTTTTTTACTGTTGAGCACAACGGACGCCACCTTGACCTTCCTCATCCTCACTATCATCTTCATCGTATGCATTACGAGAATTACTTGAAGCACCGAATGCTTCCATATTAGCATCTAAAAGAAGACATTCATCGATAAGTTCTTCTTTAGGTGTTTCTCTCTTTCTCTTAGGTAAGACAGTTTCGAGATTAGATAATTGAGCAGCAGTAGCAAAGTGATCGGGAGGGAATTCGACATCAAATTCAATATAAAGATCACCACGGTTTTCAGGACGCTTGAAAGTGGGCATACCTTCGTTAGGAATGCGCTTTACCATACCTGGCTTGATGACAGTACCAGCAGGGTTACTGACTTGAATGCCACGACCATCAAGGTGTGTAACAATGACCTTGTCAAAACCACAAAGGGCTTCTGTCAAAGTAATTTTGACGGTACACTTTAAATCAGAGCCTTCACGAGTGAAAACAGGATGTTCTTTTTGATTTAAAACAAGGATAACATCTCCAGGCTCAACACCAGGTTCTTGATCACCTTCACCCTTCATGGCAATCTTTTGACCATTCTCCATACCCTTTTCGATAAAGACATCGAGATATTTCTTTTCGACAGTAACCTTCTTTCCTTTACACTTCTTACATCTGTCTTTTGCGACTTCACCAGTGTGATCACAATCGGCACAAGGGACTTGCATCTGTTGAATCATGCCCATGCCCACTTGACGCATAGCCACTTGGAAACCACGACCCTTACAAGAGCCACACTTTTTGGTAGCACCAGTCTTACCACCCTTACCTTCACAATTGGAACAAATCACATTCTTTTCCAAAGCTAATTTGGTCTTTTTACCCAAGTAAAGATCTTCAAGAGAAACAGCTAAAGGATATTTCATGGATTCTCCCTTTCTAGGGCGACGAGGCATACCGCCACCCATACCATGGAAATCACCCCCACCAAAGTCAAATCCTCCTCCACCACCTCCGCCACCAAACAAGTTGGCAAAGAGATCATCAGCAGACATGCCATATCCTCCTCCTCCACCATGTCCAGGTCCATCTTCTCCAAACTGATCGTAAGTGGCACGGGTTTCAGCATCAGAAAGAATCTCATAAGCATGAGAGATTTCCTTAAACTATAATTACTCTTATTTTTTAGTCGCAATCCCTTGTCACGGCTTGACAACTTACTCTTTCTCCTTCATTGGGGTTTTTGTCAGGATGGTATTTCATGGCCTAAATGACGTGTTAGTTTTGAAAGGTTCTGTCTTCATTTTGTTTACAGCATACCAATTTTCTGTACGCCTAAAAGAGAGTTTTTTTTTATATATGTATTAGAAAATGCTACCAGTTTATGCTTTGTCTATCAAGGTGATTTATACTAACTCTTTTGATTTCATGGTCAGAGGCGTCAGTCTCTACCTCGAGAATTTCATAATATCTACTTTCAACAGCCATATTTGTTTAGTGTACAAAAGTGAAAAGAATTACAGAAAAAAAAAAAAAAAGTAAGACTTCTTTTTTTTATTTTTTCGCTCAAGGGATAATTTTCATTGGATGGGGGAAATTAAGCATATTCTTTTTCTTTCTTTGATGGACCTTGACGAGGTACATTTTTAACAGAAGAGAACATTTGATTTAATCTTGATAACTCAGAATTTACGTTCGTATCAGGTACGGGTGGAGGAGATACAGGTAAGGGTATGGATGCAGGAGAAGGAGATTCACGAATCAATTGTGACAATTCATCCTCTAAATCTTCATCTGCATATTCTGATATATCACCCATTTTCATAGCTTCTTCAATTTCCTTTTGATCTTCAAATGCTGATTGTATATTCTGCATAGCCTCGTCTACTGACTCAAGTGTCAAACCGTCTGATCCTAGTACATCTCTCAGTGTATCCGCACCCATATTAAATGCTTGTACAACCTAATCATTGCATAAGTACGTCAAACCAATCCATCACATTTTTAATACTTACTTGAAGATCGTCCTTTGATGTTTGAATCTTTAATAGAATATTATCCATCGTCTCCAACGATTGTAACCTGCGCTCGAGAATTTGCTGCAAGTTCTTTTTTCTCTTTAAGCAATATAAAGCCTTGGCTGTGTGCCCCAAACGCTTCTCCTCTAATGACTCTTTATGCAATCTAAAAGCAATAGAAGAGTCAATATAAAGCTATTGATATCAAATGTGTTGCACTGTACTCTTCTGATTTACGCTGTAATTCATCGACTTGGACTGATAGTGCCTGACATGTGGTACGAATACTAACAATGGATTTATCGTGTTGTGTCATGGTAGCTACTTCGCCTTCCCTTGAAGGAAATTTAATGACCATATACGTTGTCCCGTAACCCTGCACATTGTTCGCCAAAGCAACACCATGCTGGGAATGTAAATATCTCAATAACAACATAACATCATCATCTGTCAATTCCATATCATTAAAGAAATCACGACTATAATTGGATTTGAATTGTGTGAGTGTCAAGATTGGATCTGCTGAGGGAGTTTCATAATGATGTCGAAGTACAGCTTGGGATAATGCCTTCACTGTGGGTAAGACGACGTATCTAGTTTCATGTTGTACAGTATTTCGCCAGCGGAATTGCCAAGCGTTCTTTACAACTGCGTCGACCATCCATCCCAACCATGTAGCTGGTGGGGAGAACCGTGTGTTGAAGTTCTCCAGAGTAATCAACTCTTCCTGTCTTTCCATGGTGTCCTAATTTAAGAGGAAGCTTAATTCAAACATAAAAGTACAAAAGGTATTTGCTTACAAGGACACAATCTAACGCCAAAGGTCTACCAATGACGGGCCTTTGAAACTTTTCAGGTAGTGTGTCTTTTTCAATAACCGTTGCGAATTCTCTGGAGCCCAAACAACCTTGTTGATTACTGTCTAAAATAACTCTGCGCCAGTAACTGACATTAGTGTCATACGCATATTTGTTTAAAAGGGAAAGTTTTGAAAAATCAGAATATAAAGCTTTTAAACGTTCTGAATTTTGCTCATTGAATTCAGTGAAACTTGCAGACAGAAAGTCTTTCAATTTCGAATGTTTTTTTGTGGCCATTGGAAGAGGGAAAAGATATAAAAAGGGTGCATCAAAAATGGAACGGAGCTTTTATTACATTGTACACACTAATTTTTTTTTTTTACAGTACGAACAAAAGATTCATATCCATTGGATGTGATGAAGACAATTGTGGTCTTTGGTTATACTTTTGTTTTAAAATGGCTCGAATGCTGTTCAATAATTGAATGTATGTTTGGTTTCTATTTTCTCTTAAAGCTCTAGTGATAGCATAACTCATGGCACCGGTGGCTCTACCAGCTTCTGAAGCATCCGCCGAGGTTTGATCGTCTTTACAGCCAGAAAACATGATTACATCAGCAGCGGATCCTTTCATTTGATGGATTTTTTCTTTCTTCATTGTATTACCACCACTCATGATACGAGAACCAAGCGACATGACTGAACTGATGGCTCGGGACGGATCACCGGATATGTAGGCCTTACCTGCATTTTTTAAACTACTACCTGCATCCCTAAGAAAGCTTTGTTGCTTGATAGAGCCTTGTGTAGAGTATACATAGGGTAGATCGAGAGCTGTACCAGAATGGCATGAATCAAAAATAGCGGTCAGTCTACAGCCAGGTACTAGCCTTTTCACCATGATATCATTCATCATCTGATAGTAATATGAATGAGTGGGGTTACATTTCTCTCTTTTTTTATAACTTACATCATCGACAATCTGCCCATAGGTTGCATGATCCACAGGATAAATTGTCTCGTCGTATCCATCATCCTCATCACCGTCATAATCTTTCATCTATCAATCATTGTTAATATGTATTTTGAAGTGATATATTATAAAAAAACCTACTCTACCACCATGTCCACTAAAATGGAAAAAGAACCTGTTATGGATAATCAGCAAAAGAGCATCACAATATAAGTTAGGTAGAAACTTACGAATCATTAGGCCTGGAGTCATGTACCAACCATTGCATGGCGCGAATGATGTTTTGTTTTGTGGGAATGTTTTGTGGATTTGTTTGGTTGTCTGTCAGGATAACCATATCCTGCTCATTAAAATTATACAAGGTAACCAAAAATTGCTTGATATTCTCCACGTCATTAATACAACCTTTTAGTTCTGCCGAGGTGCCGAAATAATTGATACCAATCAACAATGCTCTTTTTCTACCCTGGCCTACAAATAAATAAAAATCAGTACATTTTTTCTTTTCTTTTATCAAAGGATACGTACAATTGGAGAGTTGGAAATTAGGTGGTGGCATATTTCGATATTTGGGATTGACATGCATCACATAATCACTTGGATTTGATTGTGGTTGTCCATAGGGCACTATGGTTATTTTCAACTTCAATTAGGCTCAGCCTCCTCTTTTTATTTTTAGTTGCCGTTTTACCTGGATTGGGTGATTGGTTGTGCATAGAATGAGGCGGCTGTGGATAGTTTGCTTGTGCAAGACTTGGATCACTTGGTAAAAACATAGGATCCTGGACTTGCGGCGAATAAGCAGGCGGAATCTACGACTATTGTTTAGATAAAAGTGTGAAATTTTTCTTAGTCATGGTCCACTTACATTACGATCGAATGAGGTTTGTTGCTGTGGCTGTTGAGGAGGGTAACCACCGTAGGGTGAAGCTGGTGGTTGTTGAGGAGAGTAACCACCATAAGGTGAGGCTGGTTGTTGCGGAGGATATCCTTGTGCTGGATAGCCTGATTGCTGTGGAGGATATCCTTGCTGCTGTGGAGGGTAACCATTTTGTGGAGGTGGATAACCGGCTTGTTGAGGGGGATATCCAGGTTGTTGAGGTGGGTAACCTGGTTGCTGAGGCGGGTATCCACTTCCATAAGCTTGTTGTTGAGGTGGATAACCACCAGTACTGTATCCTTGTCCTGGAAAGTTCATTTGTATTTGTGAAAGAAGAAAACATTTTTTTATTCTTTTTTCAAAATATAAATAGTAGCATCACGTGTACCAAAAAATGCTTGGATTTTTTTTTGACGGGCAGCTCAGCTACACCCAGCATGATTCTTGACACCATTACTGCTTTTTTGTTACAGTGTGACAACTGGCGTAACACGGTCTTAACAACCAATCGTTTGATGGCATGATTTTTACATAAATCCTGAGAAAAAAAAACAGGGTCCTTTCCCTTCTTTTTCTTTATCTACATACACAAAATTAAATCATGGTTACTGATATCAATAATGTTCCAATCGGCGAAGCACTTGAAAAGAATGGCTACGTCGTGATTGATGGTCTTATTCCAATTGATTCTTTCCAAAAGCTAACCGATGCTTGCGATCGTGTTGTAGACCGTGCTAGACGTGGTGACTGGAAATACCGTCGCTTAGTAGGAACTCAGTTTCCTCCATGGACAGAGGGCACAGACGTATGGGGTGTTCAACATTTGATGCATCCTGAATTGAAAGAGTCAGTTTTTGCTGAATGGTATGGATCATCCCAGCTTTCAGAAGCTGTATGCCAACTTTTAGGCACAAAACCCGAAGAGTTACAGCTGGGTAAGGTCGTAATCCTTTATTATATGTCTTTATTGTGCTGATGCCATTACAGAACTGTTCAATCTTTTAATTAACCCTCAGGAGTCTGATTTTGACCTCACATGGCATCGTGACACTGTCCCTGCTGAGGCTTCAGAAGAAGAAGAAGCAAAGATCCTTACTGTTTCCCACTATGGTACACAATGGAATACGTAAGCAAAAAAAAAAAAAAGTATGTGAGATCACAAAAACATAAATATTCACATAGACCCTTTTAGGGCTTTATATCAAGACGAATGTCTTTACGTTGTACCACAATCCCACCGTCGTCTTCGCACAGAAAGAGAACGTGATATTACTATAAATGATCCCAAAAGTCACGATATGCCTAATATGCTCAAGGTAGTCTTAAAGCCAGGTCAGACTGTGTTTTATGATAACAATATTCTTCATCGTGCTGCCTACTCCAAAGCCAATAAGAGAGCTACGTTGCATGGCTGTATGGGTACAATCACAGGTGGTGATCATCGTGCTGCCAGTATTTTTCAACATGGTCTTGACTGGATGAATACTCCCGAGTTTAAGAACTCTTTACCTCCTTCTTTGGATCAGTCGTACAAGAACACTCTTGCTATGGCTGAAAGTGCTGGATTGAGCCAAATGACCGCCTCTCCTATCCATTGATCATAATGTTTTTTTATCAAAAAAAGTGATAAATAAATTAGCGCACTAATGTTATAAACTATATATATTTATCAGGAATTTTGCATAAAGGCATCATTGATAAAAAAAAGAATTTGTCTTCCCGTGAACAAGAATAGTATCTCACAATAGGGGTTCAGGTTACAAGGACGTACAATAAACTTGTATAGAATTCAGAGATTTTCGATTTACCCAACACCCTGATTTTTTAAAAAAAAATGCCGTGTGTATTGGTTTTTCATTGAAGACAATAGGAACTGATTAAAGTCCTAAGCAAGCATAGGTCAAAATTTTAAATCAATACAATATGTATGCTGTCACAACCTAAAACAAAAACCAGTGCTCAGATTTGAAAATGTACCATACTAAAGAAATAAGTTTTAGATATTACGTAATTATCCAGGTATGGTTACACTTGAATATGATGTTTGTTTTTGTTTTTAGCGTTACACGATCAACATAATTACAGGATTTTGTTTTTGACTGGTGCGACTTGCGACGAGTATTCTGTTAATCTTTTTAAATTTGTTGAACCTCGTTTGACGAACCATTATGAGTATTGTCAAATACTGCTAGATTATTGACAATCAATTGAAAGATAAAAAATTACGAATACTTATCACTGCGATGTATTTTTATCTAGTGCGTCTGGCTATTTCTTGTTTGAATAAAAGCATCAATAGTTATTAAGTACTTTAACAAGTGGCCATTCTATCTTGAAGAAATTAGTTTTTTGAGCTTCTTTATTCGGCATATTATTTTCAAGCTACATTCCAATGCAATTAAGAGCCTCTGCATACAGTTTGTATCATAAAAATCTAAGCAAGCTAGAGCTCATTTCTAATTAAACCAAGAAAAGCATTTATAACAATACGATCAAGTTTAATCTTTAAAGTAAACATTGCAGTAAAACCTAATTACATTACAGTATAGATAGAAGTTTGAAGGTCTGTTGGCTGCAACGATAAATGAAATAGAACATTCAAGGTAAATTCATTCTTGTGCTTTTCGTTTAATTCCCCTACAGCTAATGTCTCAGGCATATTCTCCACATCAATACCGACAAGTATTGGTACGACACGCTTTGCATCGTAGTCCCTCTTGGTGTTGGAAGGAAAAACCAAGTGAAGAAAATATAATAAAATCGTGATAGTGGCAATACGGCTATGGTATGTATCAGGTACGCCTGTATAACGGGTAATAAGCTTATATTGCACTTCCATGTATTTATAATAATTGGTGAAATGGAATTTGCGGGAATCCCGGATCATTTTTAATTTATCACCTGACAATTTGGAAAGCTCCTCGTCAAAATCCACAGAGAGTGTATCCAACTTATGAGCACGCTTAATAGTTACTGCTTCATTAAACATCTTTTGATGGTATTATCTCTAATTACAAAGTTGAGTTGCTGTCATAGTGGATTACGGGGTGAGGTTTGAATTTTTTTTGCAGCGCCCGCATATTTCATAGTCCGCTGACGGAGTCGTGTTACGGGCGTGGACGGGCGTGGAAGAAAATATTGATTGACTTGAGACCATATAATTCTAGTTGCCATGTTTCAGAAGAAAGAAACAAGCCACTGCTTATTCCTTACCAGATTCAATCTCCCAGATGTTTGATATAAAAAGCGTCCTCCCTTTTGCGATGACTTTCTCTCCATTACTTTAATAAAGGATTAATAGAGACTCATTTCTTATTATTTCTTATTATTTTTATTTTATTCTGTTTTATCTATTTTCTATACTTAAACATCACATTGTGTATGAAAACGCTATCAGATCACGACTATGACTGGAACAGAATCCAAAAATTCGGCATCGGCTTGATTAAACTTCTTGATCATGATGGCGTCTCTGTTGCTGTTTCAGGTAGATAATCATTTAGTTTCCAAATCTCTGTGATACTAATTTCCGATTAGATTTGGGTGGTCTTGTCGCTTCTCCTGATGCTATCCACAGGCTCCTTAACAAAAGTAGCATCGACTCCGTAAAGACGTTTGATGTGTGTCGCAATGGGTGTTTTCTTTGCGATGAAAACGTACAGCAATTACGCTGTATCAATCCTGATTGTGACAAGGAGCGTTATCAAGACCAGGAAAAAGCCGAGACATCAATTCGTGCTGGTGACTCTACACCTCAGACTGCTTTCCAAACGATGGGGATATCTTCTGTTGGCGCATCTCTCGCTGAACTATTGGTCGATGATGAAATCCGAGAAGAATTCCAATATTTCGGCCAGTTTGATGAGTACGATGAAGAAGACACGTACATTGATATGTTTTCGGGTTCGGTGTATAAGCAGTATCTTGATCAAAACTTGCTTACACGCAATGACATCTGCCTTGTTTTGTACGTCGATGGATTTCCCAATAAATTTAAACCTGGCAGTTCTCAAACACTCGTTCACTGCATGGTGATGAATATCCCTGCGTCAAAAAGGTATGTAAATTAGTCTATGCCTTGCCGTATTTTAAATTTTAACTTATCTGGTTCACAGAGCAAAAGAGTCAATGATGATCCCATTAGCCATCATTCCCGGCCCCAAAAAGCCAAAGTATTTGATGAGTTTTTTGAAACCAATCATTGACGAGATCAATTCGTTGAGTGTTAGAGGATTTATGGTGGAGAAAAATGGTGAGATCGTCCACCAAAGCAAAGTATTTCTGCTTGGCATGACCGGTGATATTGTTACACTACCTTTTTTTTATTTTCTTTGGGTTTTCCTTCCAAACTCCCCCATTTTTTTGATTGCCTTTTCCCCTTTTCTTATAAAAGGGGCCCCCAAAAACGAATAAACATTTCTTCAGTTAGTCTTTACTTCACTTTGAGTTTGTCTTTAAGTCTCATCTTAATTCGTATTTTTAGTCATTGAATATAATAAGATATTACTTATACTTGAACATAACTTCCAACATAAATCATCAAATTAAAGATTCAGTTGTATATTACTACTCCTTCGAATTCTGCATTGAACTGATTTCATCGCTAAACTTATCCAAAGCTATAACCTTTTATTATTATTTCTAAATAGGTTGACTACTTTCACAGTTTGGTGCTCACTATAAACATATCTGTTATTCTTCATTTTAAATTTCATACCAAATACCTCACAACAATATTCCTGGAATAGCTGGTCTTATGAACCATTCTGAACATATGAGTGAACATGGCTGTAGATTGTGCCACATAGCCGGTGTAGTTACGCTACCTGTAATTCTACTGGAGAAGCAGCACCCACTCCATCTATCATTTATGATAAATTGTATGATACTCTCAAAGACTTGCCTTCATATTTGTCACCTGTCACTTATTCGTTAATTTCAGGACAGTTCAGAACAGTCGAAGGTGCTCCTGAAGATGATGTCAATTTGGAGCCTGAGGTTGTTGAATTAAACAGTATATATGGAAATACAATAGATTTCTTAAATTTCCTTAAAAACAATGGTAAGGCATGCGTCGTGGCAATTGACTATACCAATGTTTCAGATCTCAAGGTAATTCAAGGTAAAAAAAAATTGATTTTAGTTTTTCTTACAAAAAATATTTCATTTATAATGGAAATCAAAGCTTAAAAAAAGTAATCGTTGATCAATACTTTTATGAGAATAATTTCAAGTATTTTAACAATGATCAACTCTTAAATAATCCTATAGATTTAAAAGCTTTTAACTGTCGCTCAAAACCCAAGCAAAGGGGTAAATAAGTATTAAATAAAATTTATGGCATAATGCTTTTTTTTATATCATTGTTAATAAATCAGTTTTAAATTGTTTATTCTACTTGTGTTTCTTCAAATGCATGCTACTACAATATCTTTTAAATTTTAAAGGATTTAAGTTAATTCTTTCGTTGCAATGTAATAGAGGCTTATATGGATCTTCTTCGAAGCAAACGTCGACATCTTTAATTTTTTCCATTCTTTGTAAAGCTACATCTACGTTAAATTCAGTGTATTCAAGACAAAAAAAAATACACAGTGCTTGTTCTCTTGCTATATTATCAGCCATAAGGTTGGGATTTTTACGATTTTGAGAAATGTGTTTTGCCAATAAATGGATTGGTATCTTTCAAGCTCCCCAATTTTAACGCGTACACGAAAAGCCCTGATAGAAAAGAAAAGCAGTGAAAAAGCCCAGTTAAAAAAGGAATCTGTAATTTCCGACAATATCAGGTCATAATATTAAGCGATACTTGTGAAGGCTCTCCGAATTTCTGCAAATTTTTTTAAATTGAAAAATATTTTATCCGAGTAAGTATTTTACTATATTAGCCTAGTTTCTGGCAAAGGGAGTAATTTAGCCAAACCTTTATAATGTTCACAATAGCGGTAAAAACCGAGCAAATGAAACATAATTGCATACAAGTCCAGTTTCCCAAAAAGTACATGCACCTTTCCCTGATCAAGATGTAACACAATGTAAATCTAATATCCTGTTATATGTATATAATATGCCCCTATAGAAATATTTAAGGTGGATATAAGCTGCAAGCAAACTTTTGGTAACTACTAGCTTCGGATAAAAACAAAAATCTTAACTCCTAGTGAGTAATTTCATAGTTTAGGCGAGCAATCCCTATATATAACACCCTGAACGAATATACTTCAATAATCAGATGTATTTTAAAAAGATAATGTTGGGAAGGTTATTTCCTCATTGACAAATGCAACCGTAGAACAAGTTTCCCAGATGCAGGATATTCATTCATACAGGCATCGTTAAACATGTCCAATAATATCACCAGAACATCAATTTCATTCCGAAAGTAGTTAGTCCGACAGAAATGATGTATTCGTGGAAACCGTAAAAAAAAAAAAAGTGCTCTGTTAAGCGCCAAGCTGAGCGGGGGACAAGCAACATTAAAAAAGCCGGGCTCCGCCTCGGATATTTAGTTTTCAATGAAAAGGTTAAATTTTATATATTATCAAAAATAGTATTGTACCAGTATACGCCACCAGTAATATAGGGAAAACACCGTTCATGTGTCCAAGTTCTCACGTCAAAACATTGCGATATAGGTACATTATCACAGAAAAAAATATTAAGGTTGTTTAATATAGAAATAAAAAACCCACGAAAGAGTGAAGTGCTTTTCAAATGTCATTGTTAAATTTTAGCGACAGTTGTTGGGTTGTGACACCTAAAGCGGCTGCATAAATTACAGATACAGTACTAACGGTGCAAATGGCACTACATAGTGCATCCACTCTCAATTTCACATGCTTTTAGTGTTGAGATTTAGCTTTAGATGTCTTATTAAACACTTTGGATTTAAATTTGGGATCATTTACACTAAAAAGCTTTTTGAAAATTGTCACTTTCTTGGTAAGCGGTTTATATCTCTGGGATAAAATATATGCTTTGGAATCGGTATGTATCGCTTGATTATGTTGTGTAATTTCTTCTTGAAGTTTCGTATATCTGAGTCTTCTTGTGAGGATAAGTTAAGTTATTGCTTAAATAAAGAATTTTTGAAATTTTTTTTTTACCAGAAATCGGTCAATTTATTTTTCAAACATCCGGCCCTTTTTATGGGCAATGTAGTCTCGCACAAGCGCGCGGTCTTTTCCAACATTCAGTAAATTGAGAGTGGAAGCACTGTACAAACAATTCCATTTCTAAAACTATACGTGGTACGAATGTGACGTAAACGGCTATTACAGCGTCTCATTGTAGATATGTTTGCAGGTATATTATGTATGAAATATGTTGTTCGACCAATCAAAAAGTCTAGATGTGTCATAAACAGGGGCAACTATACATAATAACAAAACAAAAAGATATTTACTCTTCAAGAATCAATGTTTCTCTCTTTTATCAATATATTATTAAAGCAGCGGTCGAAAGAGTAACACTAAAATCTGGTCGCTCTTTACAAATTGTTATAGAGAAGTCAGTTGTACAGAGCATTAAGTGGATTCCCATTTATTTTTGTTTTTTCCCTTTTTCGTTTCTGCCAGGACGACCGTTTTTTTTTTTTTTTTTTTTTTTTTTTAAATATTTGAAGTAAAAAAAAAAGAAAACTCCCTTTCCTTTTCTTTCCCTTCATTTGAAAAAAAAAAAAAATGTCAATCGAATTCAGTGTCGATAGACCTTTTGGCATATATTTGTATGACTATTTTGATAAGGCATATACAACTGTAGTTGGTAGTCCAGCCACGGAATTCACTTTTGTTCAAGGTTATACCCCACTTTCCACCTTGCCAGAAGGTACAGTAATTAACACAGGTTTTACTCTATAGCAAAGACTAACATGATATGTACATAGTTTTGGTTGGATGCATTACATATTTTACAATTATTTTTGGTGGACGTGCTTTAATGAACAATAGTAAACCATTACCCTGTAAGTTCTTCTTTCAAATTCATAATGTCCTTTTGACTCTCGTCTCTGGTGCCCTATTGGCCTTATTGTTTGAACAATTGTTCCCCCAATTATACCGTCATGGTCTCTATTATACTATCTGTTCGGAAAAAGCATGGACACCTCAATTGGAATTGATCTATTATTTAAATTATTTGGTTAAATGGTGGGAATTGGTTGATACTGGATTTTTGGTCATTAAGAAGAAGAAGCTTGGTAAGTTGAAGAGAATACATGTACGATTTAGTATTGATTAGAATTTCTATTTCAGAATTTTTGCACTACTTTCATCACAGTATGACAATGGCTTTATGTTATACACAATTAGTTGGTAAAACAACAGTGGTAAGTGAAAGGCGGGAAAGGAAATTTAAGAGTGATCTAACAATGATAACATAGTCCTGGGTTCCTATTATCCTTAACTTGACAGTCCATGTATTGATGTATTATTATTATTTCCGTACCGCCACTGGAGCCAAGATTTGGTGGAAGAAGTATTTAACAACTTTACAAATCATCCAATTTGTTATTGACTTGGTTGTCATTTACACTGTCACCTGGTCATATTTTGCTTTTACCTATTATTCGGACTTTTTACCCAACTTTGGAACTTGTGCTGGAACTGAAAGTGCTGCTGCTTTTGGATGCGCCATTTTAACTTCATACCTCTTCTTGTTCATCAATTTCTATAGAATGACTTACAACCAAAAGAAACAACAAAAGAAGGATCTTTAAAATTACACTTTTCTCTAATAAAAATTATTTATTCATACATATTTTCATTGCGGATAAATTCAAGAATACGAGGATCCAGGATATCATTCAATTTGTCGTCTTGCCTACCAGATGCTAAGAGGGATCTAGCTAAGGTGCTTGAGATATATTCCGTCTCTGGATCCAATTGAATACGATCCACCTTTTGTTCCACCCCTTTCCAAAATTCCTCGTTATTTTCACCCCGATTTGCGCAAATCAAATGACAGGTTTTGAAAAAGGGTGCTAGTGCCTCTTTAGCCGAGACTGGGGAATAGTATTTGGGATCAAACAATCTCGTTATGGTGTCATAACCTAAAATAAAGTAGAGTTCCACTGGTGATTTAAACCACGCTTGTATCGCTTGTGCCTTATCGACAAATTTCCCATACGGTGTAAATCCAACCGCAACATCTTGATCAAATGTTTGTGCCATCAACTCCATCATTTGGGCTCTCTGTAAGACACTAGCTCCAGTCAACTGCTTATCAACATTGTTGGTAGAAAATAAGAGTAGCGATCCGTCAAAATAGTGCAAGGGCTTACTTGCTAATGCTTTGGAAAGTAAATTAGCATGCGCTTTTGTAGGTGGATTAAAAGAAGAATCCAGGATAAGTAAACGGCGTGGCGGATGACTCGACCAAGGGTTATAAGTGGTGTAAAACTCTTGGCCGTGCGCCTGTGTCAATATTTTAGCGATAGCGTCTTTACGCGAACATACTTTCTGTACCAACATTATATAATTAAGAAAGAGGTGTGACTACAGGTACCTTAACAATCAAATGTTTGGTGCTCACAGTGCCAACGTGCGCGATTTTAATTTTTTTTTTTTTTTTTTTTTTTTTTTTTTTTTGCATTTGTGCGTTTCAGCATTGCCCACAAGTGCATCTGCGATTATAGTATAGTATTCTATATTTTGGAACTGATGTATACATGTTAAGCACAATAAATATTTACATATTGATTAGCTATTTATGCACAAATCATATATATCAAGAATTACTTTTTCCTCCTGCAGATACCAAAGAATAACGTTTACATTTTTAGGGTTAAGTATACTGGTTTATCTTAATTAAACACAGTGATATAAAGGCGTCACTAGTACAGACTTTAAACAGATGATCTATATTGTGCTTTTCACTTTTGATCCCGGCCACGGTGCGGTGTATATGTTTGTGCCCTGAGTTTTTTATTCAGATGTCCCCAGGTTTAATATTTGCCTTACAAATTTTTACCTGGTCGATGAAAAATTTATTTTGTTTATTTTTGGAATTATAATGTATAAATTAGGAAAAAAAAGACTTAAATGTGTTGTTTAATTGGTTTAACTTAAAGGGTGCGAGCCGTGGTATGAAGTGTTCCATAATATTGAATCTAGTATAGTCTCAACCATACCCATGGCATAGCCACACGTCAAAGATTTTAAAAAGTGTTCGTTAGGAGTTACAATAAAACATCCATCGTCGCAAGCAACTAATCCAGATGCCCACTGACTGATGCATGTAAAGGTTAGTAGATAGCGTGCATGAAGCACGTGTCATACAATAGTTTCTTTTGTTTAAGAAGTTATACATATAGACCTCAACACTGGGGTTAACCTGTACCTGTATATCCTATGTATAAAGCCTTATAGTTTCGCCCCCAGAGTAACTTCAGGCACAAATCTTTGTTTTAAATACTTTTACGATTCCTGCAATATCATTCAAGCCGATAAAGAACATTTTAATTTCACGAGAAAAACAAGATTTGAATCCCCTTAATCCGTCTTCACGTTTTTAAATGGACATTTGTAAAAACACAAATCTTTGCTGATATTGTAAAATATAAATAGTAAGTAATTTGTTTATTTGGGGGGTGTATAAAAAAAAGTAATAATAGAAAAATTATTCTAACGCATATCGCGTAAATGAACATCTTGAGCTGAATTCAATTGATGTTGAGAGTTAGCATCACTGCTAATACTTCCACGGCTTTGTCTTTCGTTAAACATGTGAGAGAAGCCATTTTGGTTATCGCCTGATGGTTGTTGAGAAGGATAAGGATTTAATTTCTCGGTGGACTGGAAAAAGGGATTTTCTCTAATGCCTAGACTACTAGGAGTCTGTTGGTTTGTGTAAGGTTGTTGAACATTAGCCAATGGCTTATTGCTAGGTGGACCACCAGCAGCATTATCGAGGGATCTGAAAACTTCATCATCAACGTAGTAAGCCTTGAACAATAATTCTAAAATTTGCATACGTTCTTCGACACGAGAAACACGTTGAGCTTCGGTTTCTTGCCCGATGTTTTGGAACTCGTTTTTACTGAATCGATGATGAACGGGATGCACCAAAGGAATACCACTATCAGCAGTCTTAAATTGAGCCTGTAAGCCGGAAAGCAAAGATTGCTTACGGCTACCAGTAGACCAACGATGTACAACACCCCAAGGAGATCTGGGTCGATAACCAAACAACCAGGCTTGGGCACCGATCAATAAACCAAAGATACCACCGACAAAACCTAAGGCATTAACCAAGGTGTACATCTTAACCTCACGATCTTCCAAGATGGCATATGATTGAGGGAAAACGGCAACAAGACCAAGATCAGTGTGACCAGATGAATAAGTGGGGTTGGGAGCTTCAGATCTGAAGTTGGATTCGATTTCGGGAGTAGAATTAGTGACGGGCAAGAAACCGACATAGTTCCAGCCGACAGGCTGTAAGTACTTGTGGTTAACAATATCATAACTGAGAGCACTATAAGTAAAAGGTGCAATAGTAAAGACATTAGTAGCTTGGAGATCGTTACGTTCAGCATTTTGCCAGTTTAAGACATCAAATTCGGATAAATAGTTAACAATATCATCACCAAGAGGGTAGATCTTGGCATTGGGATCCATCTTCTTGGGGAAAATAGAAACATGGACACGACCATAGGTAGTAGCTTGATCACCATATAAGGTAAAAAGTAAACGGGAACCGTTATTAGCACCTGAGGTAGATGTCAATTGGAACTCCTCAGGGGCGCGGAAAAGGAAACAGTTGACAGCACCCAAATTATCAGAAAAGGTGGGTTGGAAAATTGACATATCAAGAGTCTTTACAAATTGGGAACAAGAATAGCCATTGTCAGTTTGACAAGAGACACCAGGAGCACCGCTATCACCGTTGGTAGAGACAGCACTTTGAGCGGGGAAACCGTCATAACAGAAACGGACATCGGGGACCTCGACACTGGCAGTTGAATATTCAATTCTTTGTACGACATTAGGACTGTCGATGGCTTGACGAATAACAAAATAAAGGAACATGACAAAGAAGAATAAAAAGAAAACTTGGGATACAATACGACCAGTTTCAGCCCAAACAGGCTCACCAGTACGAGGCTTCCAAATATCGTTATGAATACGAGTAACTAACCAACGAATATAAGATTGGAACTTCCAAAGCAAGAACAAGATAATAACGAGCAATACAACGGCAGCTACAGTCACACCAGCAATAAGACCCTTTGATACAGAGCCATCGCCACTACTGCTTGATTCGGAAAATGATTGTAACCAAGCGCCTGATTGAAGATCGTATGTATTAATGTCGTTATAATAAGAATTTGATGAGGAACCTAAAGTCAGGGAGTTAGTACGAAGGGGGTAAATACTTATATTATGCATATTACCAAAAGCGACAGTAAGATGTTTGTCATCTAAAATTCCACCAACAGCGAAAGAACGGCGAGAGGGAGGAATACCAGTGATACTAGGAATAGACCAAGACCATGTCTTTGTATCAAGAATAGCGATGCTGTTTAAATATTGTCTTGTTCTTTGGATGGATCCACTATCACCTAATTAAATAAACATATAAATTAATAAATGTTTATTAATTTGATTGTTTCTACATACCACCAAAAAGGATGATTTTATCATCAGAAGCTTTCAAAAGAAGACATTAGACGGAGGTTTAATTTGATTTTTTTTAGAGAAAATTATACTTACTAACGACAGCAGTGCGATCAGAACCAGTTGAAGGAGTACCTTGAGGGGCAGAAACATTTTGGCCAGTCCAATTATCACTCGAGGGATCATAAACCCAAACAGAGGTCATATCAGCTAAGGCACCAGTAGCACCATTGACACCACCAATAACAACAAGTTGGCCCGTACTGTAACACGAAATAAATAAGTAAAAATAAAATAATAAAAGGTCGTGTTCCGTTACCTTAAAATAGAAGTTGTATGTCCATATCTGCCATAGGGTGTAGCTTTTAATGCAGTAGCTTTAAATTCTGAATCATACACATGTAAAGTATTGAAAATAGTGTTGAGTTTAGTGATAGCACCACCATAAACATATGTTTTCTGATTTTTAGCATCATAAGTAGCAGAAAAATATTCTCTGTTGAATACGAAATTAGCAGGAATAGGTTCAGTAATATTGGTGACTCCATTTTGAAGATGAGCAGACCAAGTTTGTGTAGCGAAATTAAAATTATAAATTTGAAGAGGAAGTCCACGGCCGAAAGTCGAGTTGGACATACCACCTAACAAAACCATATTTTGACCATCAGCAGTGATAATGGCTTTACTGTAGACAGTTCCGTTGGGTCTATTCTTTTGTTCAACGATTTTCCAGTCATAAGAAGTCGATGTTTGAGTGAGTTGATAAAGGTCGTTTGTGTAAGCTGTGGTTGCATTTTCACCACCAAAGAGATATAAAGAATTGTTGCTTTGGGCTGCTGCCATACCACCTTTGAAAGGTAATTTATTCATATAGGTTGGAACATAGAAGTATCCTTGTACTGAATTCATAAGTACAAATGTACTCAGAAATAGTGAAATCAGCAACTTCATTTATATAATATTTAGTGCTACTGATATCGTCGTAATAAATTTAAGAAAAAAAAAAGAGAGAGAAAAAAAAAGAAAAAGAGTATTTTAGCAAGAAAGAAAGCAATAAATAAAAAAAAGGGGGGAGAGCGAAAGGGGAGTTCTGGGTACCCATTGATCTAGTAAATTGGGCACAAAAAGAATCAAAGGAGGTACAAAGTGGAGATTTAATATTATTAGGCCCAGAACTTTTTTTTAATATATGAAAAAGTTATTTTTGTAATGTTCCAGCAGTAAATTAGCAAAATTCTCATTTCTGTTTTTTTTATTGATTTGTTTGTAAAATGTAACTCAAATTGACATAGATAGTCCATTTATTTGTTATTTCAATCATACCAAGCCCGGCTGGTCCCCAAATGGTAGGTCAATAAAATAAGCTTTAATACCGCTGCCAATCAGAATTCGTTTCGCAAAGTACGCAGATCCCTTGTAAGTATTCACACACGTGTCAGGTAACAAAAAATAGATTATTTCAACTTTAAATCCAGACAGTTAGTATACCACTGGCTCCGCGTAGCTGATCAGTTACTGTTTTAAATTTAATCTTAAAATAAAACAAGTTCTTTCAGACATAGAATATATTTGGGTTGTCAAGCTTTATGGTATCAAATTCAGTGCATGCTAGTGACTTCACAAGGCAAAAATATGCAAAATGACATAATAGTACAACAGTCGTTTGACTAAATGAGATAATTAAAGAAAATCATGGCTTCATGAGACAGACACATATCTGTAGTCATTCTTGTTTCTCAAGTCGCTTTGTTACAACTTATGATCCTTGTCTAGAATACTTTTACAAAATTTTTGACTTTTCAAATATAGTGAATCACCTATAAATCAATATAACTTACACTGCCCATTTTCCCCTTCGATTTTAAATTTTAATCATTTTAATGTCAATCTTTTATTGGTTGTTAAATTTGCAGCTTGAAACTCCCAGGCCCAAAATAAAGCCAAGCCTTATGATTCATTCAACAATCGACCATCTCGCCCTAACGTAAATTAGCTATTGTTGATAATTTTTATTATAAACAAAAGACAAAACCTCCCTCACTTCAAACACTAGAAGAGTGTTAAAAGAACAAGGTCCTTCATAAAATTTAGCGTAATAATTATGCTCAAAGATAAAGTCAAGACAAACTTCAAAAAGCAGTAAAAGTAGCCAAATTACGTAACAAGGAAAAGCAACAATTACAGACAAGAAACTAGTGAACCGGAATATAGACGGCGACTAGAAAGCTTATTAAGCATGATTTTAGTGTTGCTTAAAACACAACGGTTCCTCCGCAAAGAGCTATAGTTAGCACCTCAAGTTTTAGCTACAAAATAAATAAAAACACTGCAGATGTCAAGTTAATCAGATGGAAGCTGCAATAAATCCATATTGACAACTTTCACGTACGTCCTGTTGATGATGTGTCGCGGCATATATGAAAATAATAATCAACACTGGTAATTTTAGCTGCTATTTTGTCCAAATCCTATTTTTGTGTTGTCCATTAAGGTTTTGACTTTTGAGGTGGAAGTCAAACAAAAGGAAAAAAGACAAATGTTTGGTTTTTCGGGGGGTTTTATATACAAATATGTACAAATATATACATTTTATTTTAAACATTATTGTTGCTGCCAGTAATTTTACTAGCGAGTTTTTCAAGCATGTTCTCAACCTTGTCAGCAAGTGTTTCCTCATGGTCAGTAGCTTGAGGTTGGTTACCATAGTAACTAGATTGGGAAACTTGGGGTTGGTTACCGTAGTTACTGGTTTGAGACAAACCAGCTTGTTGTTGACCGAAATCATTTGTTTGTTGTGGGAGCTGACCAATTCCGTCGCCATAACTGTCATCTTGTCCTTGCTGCTGATACATAGTGCTACCCTGTCCACTTAAATTTTGAGTGGTAAAGTCTTGATTAGCCATTTCTTGGCTAAAGTTTTGCCCATTTTCTTGTTGAGGATTATTGATGTTTCCAGCGGAACTGCGAGTATTATAGGGATTAGGCATTTTATATTATTTGATTATTCTAATCATTTTTTTTACCTAACTGAACCTCCTGTATTTATACTTCTATTAGTAGCCGAAACCCATGATGTCTTATTCAAAAGTTGCATTTTTGAAACAATGTCATCATCGTTTTTAGGTTTGTCGTGACTTGTTTTATTTTATCCGCCATAAGGCAATATACGCGTTTTTTTCTTTGTGTTTGGCATTTTCTTTAGTTCTAGTGCACAAACATGTCTGATAAGTACAAGAATTTAAAGGTTAAAGAGCTGCAAGGTAACAAAAATAAATAATCAATGCGTAATATAAAGCATAGTAACAAGTTTCTTAGAGTTATTACAGAAAAGCGGTCTTCCTCATTCAGGTAAAAAGGAGGAATTGATTGAACGTCTTGTTAAACACGAACAAACTGTTGATGAATTCGCTTCTTTGGACGATGAATTTGGCGATCTTGGAGAATTCGATGATTCTAAACTTGCTTTGGAGTATGTGTGATTTATAACATCTCATCCTGATCCACGTTTTTAAGCTAATCTATTTGTTAAGCAGTGACATTGAAGACCCAATTGCACCCGTTGAAGATGTACTTGAAGAAGAAATAAAAGAAGAGACTAAAGTGGAATTGAAAGAGACTACTACCACACCTGTTGTAAAACCCAATTCCAATTTCAAATTCACTCCCATCGTCTTCGATAAGACAGCCACTACTGAAGCTACACCGGTTGCTGCTCCAGTTGTAGAAGAAAAAAAGGCTGATAAGCCAAAGTTGCCTGTTATTCCACCAAAGGTCACCGATGATGCAGAAAGAGCTTTGGAACGCGCAAAGAGATTCGGTATTCAATTGAACGACACTGCAAAGAAAGATATCCGTGCACAAAGATTTGGTATCCCAGCTACCTCTGTGTCTCCTAAACCAACATCCCCCAAAGCAGCTAAATCAACGCCAGTCAAAGCTGCTAGCAAAGGAATCGATCCTGAAGTACTTAAAAAGCGTGCAGAGAGATTTGGTTTAGCCAAAACCGCAACTGAGAAAAAGACTCCTGTCGTGAAGGGTAAAGTACCTGTCAGCCTTGATCCCGCAGAGGAAGAGAAGAAGCGAAAGAGAGCTGAGCGTTTCCAACAAAGTGAAGACGCCAAAAAGCAAAAGACGGAGTAAATAAATAAACACCTTTTTTTTTTTTTTTTTTGCCTTTTTCTTCCCTAATAAATAAAAATACACAAGCCTTGAAAAGAATATGAAAATAGGTACCATTTCACGCTGGTATATAAAGCTCTTAATATTAAACAAAAACCAAAAAAAGCGTGTTGTCAATTTGATCCGGAATGGTGTAATGTAAACGAAAATATGAAAAAAGCTGATGGATTATTGGAAATGTAAATCAAGCGAAAATAAAAATAAAAAAGTAGTTGGTGTTTACTTGTTGGAAATAGGTACACGACCAATGATATCGACATTCTGATATTGCCAGAGATGGCTTTCACAGGTATAACACTCAATTAAGTTTAAATAATGCAAACTCATTGATTTCTATAAAAGGATATGTGTTTAAAAGCACAGAAGAAATTTTGCCTTACTTGGAGGACTCTGAAACAGGTCCATCAGTGCAATGGGCAAAGAAGCAAGGTAAACACTGTTGCCAGCATTGCGATCTTTTTTTGACCCAATTATGTAGCTATTAGATTACAATGCTTTGTAGTTGTTGGATATCCACAGAAAACAGGTAGATACAGTTCAAATAATCGCATGGCAAAAATTTAATCTACCATAGATCAAGCCAACTATAATAGTATATGCTGTGTGAATGCCCAAGGTTCAGTTATTTATACGTACCAAAAGGCATTCCTATACGAAACAGACGAGAACTGGGCAGAAGAAGGCCCTGGCTTTGTATCTCTGAATGTAAATGGATTAGGAAAGGTATATTTCAGAAAAAGCTGCTATTTTACATGAGCAGGATCTAAAATTAATTAGGTCGGGTTTGGTATTTGCATGGATTTGAATCCCTATAAATTTAAAGCGGATTTTCAGGATTATGAATTTGCAAATTATCATTTGCAACACGATACAGAAATTATAATATGTAGTATGGCTTGGTTACGAAGTAAAGATAGTATGTCTACAATCAAATACTGGGCAACGAGGTTATTGCCACTTTATCAAGAAGCCGATGATGGTAAACGAACAATATTTGCTGCCTGTAATAGAACTGGTTTAGAAAGAGGATCTGAATTTGCTGGGGCGAGTTGTGTACTGGAAATAACGAATGAAAATATTACCATTCTAGATCATATGAACCTTGATACTGGCGTTATAATCGTACAAGCATAATAATAAAAAATGGTTTTATTGGACAATATCTACTGATAAAAATCTGTGTCCTTGACGGCAGTTTCATCTTCTTTATAAATCTTAATGGTCTTATCAGCTTCACCAGTAATCAAACGAGATCCAGTCTTATCAAAAGTAGCACAAAATACACCAGCTTCAGCATCGAGAGAACCAGGCTGCACAGTTGTATCCATAGATTGGAAATTATGGCCTGATCTCCAATCATTGAAGCTCAAGGAACCGTCATCACCACCAGAAAAGATAACACCATCCTGGTTAACGGCTAATGTATTGATGATAGCCTTCTTTCTCTCGTAATTCTGCATAAATGCACCTTCAGGGCATTTCCAACCTTTAACGGAATCAGCACTTCCACTCACAAATCCAAATTCAGTAGGATGAAGTGCGAGAGCACGGACACTCTTTTTGTGATGTGTTAAAACGCCCATTGTTTTACCAGCAGCTAAATCCCATAATCTAATTGTATTGTCCATAGAACCGGTAATAACCTGAGGATCAGCTTCTTGACATTTGACAGCTGAAACAGTACTTGTATGACCTGTAAGCACATGTACAGCTTGTTTTGTTCTCATATCCCACACTCTTGCAGTTGCATCACGTCCAGAAGTAACTAATACATCTAATGTAGGATGTAAACTTAGCGAATAAACACCAGATAAATGACCGTGATAATGACGGATGACTTTGTTTTGTTCTAAATCCCAACATTTGACCATCTTATCCTCACCACATGAGAATAAGTATGGATGCCTTGGGGATACTTCTAATCCACGCACTGTAGCAATATGACCTGTCAAGGATAATTTCAATGTACCGGATGCCATATCCCAAATTTTGATTGTACGATCACCTGCACCTGTAGCGAACCATTTATTTCCTGGTTCAACTGTCACTGCACGTACCCAACCCAAATGTCCACTAATCACACGCATCAATTTCCAAGGTGCGTGCCAGACCGGACGAATTGTCTTTGCGCGTGCACGACGTACAAGCGATCCACTTCCTGCCAAAGTATCTCCAAAAATGTCTGAAGAAAATTGGTCTTTTCCACGAAGAGCAACTACACCTTCATTCTTACCATCTCTAATGACAAATAACGAATATTAAACACTATAACACGAAACAAATATAAATCGACATTACAAAGACTTATCAGGTATGGCATCAATCATTTGAGAAACGGCTGACTTTTCTTCTGAATCATCTACTTCTTCCACAACTGTATTTTTGGCCTTAAGACGTGCTTTAAGTGCCTCTTTTTGTTGTTTGATCAAAGCTTCGGGAAGTGTACGAAGATCGTCGTATTCATCGTGGATTTTAGTGGTCAGTTTTACACGTTGACTAATAAAGATCGATTATTAGATTTGGCCTTCCACATCTATTTTGGTTGATGCTTACCTTTCTTCTTCATCCATGGCTGCCTGACTATAAGCTGTAGAAAACATGACTCTTGTCTTCTTTGCTGAATTTGATAATAAGGCATCCATGCTATCAACAGTGGTATCTTCGACAGCATCGTTCACTTTCATTTCAACATCTTCTTTTGGTGCTGATCGTTTCGCGGCGACCATGTTGTTTTAATTTTAAGCTGGAAACAGATAAAAATATTTTTTTTCTTTAGACTTGACTTGCAAGCTCACTGCGTCACCCGCAATACATCTTCAAAGACCGCCCATTGCATTCAAAAATATCAAAGGTCTTACCAGCAATCCGGTAAAACATGGAGTTGGTTGTATTTTAGACTGATGTATATATTTAAATTTTTGACTTTAGCATAATAAAATGACCCTATTTCAAAAATCAATAGCACTGTAAAGTCGTATTATTTTACATGCACTGCATTAAAATTACAGCGCGTTGACTCATCTGCGTTTGTAGTGGAGTTATGTATTGTTTGAGCTCGCATATACATACCAAGCTTAAATTCTGGTACTTTTTCTTAAAATGTTGCCCATTGAACTGTTCTTCTGAATTATACGTTATGTTGGAAGGTGGCTTTACTCCTAAATACAATCGTAAAATTGGGTGCCATATGGTAGCATAAACGTTGTTGTAGGAGATCTGCCTGTGTGCATATTTCAGTGAGGAAACAGGTACTACACTTAGAATATATCATGCTGTCTTACATATCGATACTATTCTAACAAAAGGTACAACAATTTTACAGAATTGGGTGCTGTTTAAATAATCTTGAACACATAAAAGGAACGACGATGCAAAGTCTTCTATTGGCGGAGATGTAAAGACGTCTTCAGAGCAGTAATTCTATCACATTGGCAGGAAAGAAAAATCTTCATCTTTTATGTGCAATAGACTTAATTTGAAGTATTTTCTTGTTTTATTGTAATAGAAGAAAGAGTAAGTAATTATTATGGGAGTTTTTTTTTTTTTTTTTTTTTTTTGAGTTGTCAAATTATACTGATGTACAAAAAAAAAGAGAAATGAAAAAGAATAGGGGAATTAAAGAATCACGCAACAAGAATCCTTGTCTGGGCTACTCGATTGTTGTTGCTTAGCTTTTCTGTCTCTGATTTGTCTCATTAACTTTGTGTAAACTTCTTCGACGTTTTGTCTTGTCTTTGCAGATGTTTCAACATAGGGACAGCGCCATTCGCTAGCCAAGGCATTTGCTTCTGTTGCAGGTACTTTACGTAAATGTGCTAAATCGACCTTGTTACCTACAAGAATAAAGGGGATCTATTGCATGATAAATATGTGCAATGCAAAAAATAAAAAATCAAGCATTTACCGTCTCATCATCTAAAACTCTCAATATTTGATCTCGGAATTCTTGAGTATGTTCAAGAGATTCTTGTTCGCAAACGGAGAACACACAAAGAAAACCCTCACCGGATCTGTAGTAGTTATCACGAATCTAATAACATATTATTAAATAAAATCCCGTTTTGTACTATGCTATCTTACAGCTGCATATTCTTCTTGTCCTGCCGTATCTAAGATGTCGATTTGGCACTCTTGGCCATCCAACACAACCTTCTTACGATAAGCTATTATAAAAAAAAAAAAAAAAAGATGAATTAGCCACTTGGAAAGAAAAACAAAAGATATAAATATAGTTACAATCAGCCTTTGTGGGATCGTATTCTTCAACAAAATCACCATACATGTATTGTAAGGTTAATGCAGATTTACCCACACCACCTGAACCAACCATAATGATCTTGTGAAGTGGGAGTGATTGTTTTGCTTTTGCTTTAGCCATAATTTAATAAAGAACAAGAAGAAAACGAGGGAAAAATAACGGAGAATGAATACAAAAAATTAAATTGAAATAAATAGGAGGAGAAAATTATGCCTACTCCGCAATTGGGGTTTGAAGTGGTTTTGGTATACCAATTGTGGATATTTCTATGCTTGTACAGAAGAAAACAATGAAAAATACGCTATCTCTAAGAGATTGAGTATCACTTCACTCAGCTCGTGTTGAAATTTGTTGATGAATATTTAAATGTACCAGTTAGCTCTATGTCAGCTTGTATCAGAAGATAAATCCTTATTACACAATGGTACTATACATTTACAATTCAGTGATAAAATACAGTGCTTGGTCACCTTACCCAAAAAATTGGTCACCAATTGGTCACTTTTCTAAATGCCAATTGGTCGCTTTTTTGAACTTCAATTAGTCACACCTTAAAACAGTTTATACTTAGTGATAAACAAACAGCACTTCATATCTGTTGCAGTCCATTGTTTGACTCAAGCCAGTCAATTACCAATCTCGGTACTATTATTTCTAGGAAACGGTTGAAGTATTACTTTCCTGAAAGAAAGATTGCATTCGGTCTTCAAGAAGTTATGAACAGTACTCTTTTTAATACTTAAAGTCTACAAAGTTGTGAGTGAGAGAATCTGCCCGGAAAAAGTTATAAGGTTTTTGTCGGAATCTTTTTAAAAATTTGGCGCAGGCATAAACGCGTACCAAAAACCCTTCTGAATTTACGGGAATGTTTTTTTTATTTGCAACCCCTTCTCTCTATCCTTTTTATCATCCAATCTAAAAAAAACAGTTTCCAAAATTACACCAGCGAGAACTTTGTCAACGGTTTTAATGGCAACACCCAAAGTGGTCGACCCAGAGCCAACAGACCAGCACCTGCCATACCTGATGTACCTGTGTACCCATTTTTTAGAAATCTTTTTATTTCGCCATTTACTACTTTGATAACAGCGCTCAAAAGCACTAGTATCTTGAGAAGTAATGACAGTCTTAACAACATTATAAAATATGCCAATAGCTACTTATCCTCCCTATAATATAATAGTGTCTGATATTAAGTATTACACAATAGTATACGCTTGCCATCTTTGTGATGCTTCAGAGTTCTCTAATGCTCGAAACTTGAGAAACCACTATGAAGCTTTTGAGGGTATGTAAGAAGCTCGTAATTGAAGTACAACTTTACTATATCAAACTTTATTTGCCAGGCAAAAAATATCCATCTACAAAGAGTAGAACTTATAATACACCAACGTAAGTAAAATATAACGCCATCTAACTTTCTTTTCTGTCTAATATTTCATTCTGTAGCAAAAAAGTATCTTTCTCCCCCTGTTGCAAGAAAGAGGGTAAGTCCCTACAATTGAACAATTTTCTATTGTTTTTTTTTCTGACACTCTTTCCCTGTTTATAGCAAAACGTAGTTAAAAATTATGGTCGCCTTAGCTGTTCTGATCATTATGATACCACCGATGAGCTCAGGAATCATCTAGATAAAAAACATAATGAGTATTGGAACGAATCTTCTTGAATTTGTAAAAATAATAGTTTTTATTAGCACCCGAAGCAAGACCAGAAGTAGACACTAGCTTTGAAAGTCTTAAGAACGAAGACAAATGGACTCCCTCAACTGGTACAGTGGTAGAAGACCAATTATATGAATTTGGCAAGCTTCAAACTAGAGAGCATCCTTCTCAGTTTTTCATCTTTAATGTCAACAATTCTGAACTGTATATCAAACATGGAACATTCACGAGTGGTGAGAGTGAGGAAATAATGACTAATTATAACAACATAACATCACAACTGCCTGAAGATTTCAAACAATATTTGAACAAATTCAACTGCAAATCAACAGTAGACATAAGAAAAGCATTTTTACAAAAAGAAAGCTGGGAAGACAGTTACGATCAAGATAAACATTTCGATTTAGACTGGATCAAACAATCGATACATATGCTTTTACAAGAGTACACACTTGATAGCTTTGCAAATGATCACTCCGAGAATTGGTATAATATACACTTGTGGCGTATTATTGACAGGTGTATGGAAATCTTAAAGGTATCGAAATTATAAGGTAAACACCTTTTCATGCATTCCTATTTAATCTTTGTATCAATTGTCAAGCGTTTTAGAGGCGAGGGGGTATCGGTGGCGTCTGTTGTAATAAAAACCACCAAAAGAACTTTAGTAGACGTATACAACTCAGCTAGAAAAAATATGGGTCGACGATTTGATTTCCTAATAAGAGAAAATCACCCAAAAAGCACCACTAGTTTAGAGTATGGTGCGGCAGAGGTGGCTAAAAATTACGACTTAAACAGCAACAAAATGATAATCGAAGCTTGCCAAATTCATATAATTGGTCTGGATATAACTAAATAAGCAAATGACTTTGTAATCAATAACAATACTTATTATGGAAATCGGTAGATATTTTATTTGCGAATTTCTTAACCGTTTTAGCGTATGGAAGAAACTATAACGTGCCAAAAAAACACTTCCTTTTAATGATCTCCACGTTTTTTTTTAAAAAAAAAGCTCAGATACACAGAAGTTAAAAAGAACGAAAGTTGCCTGTCTTTTTAGATGCTTGGCAGCGATAATTCCCAAATACGGAATGTAGGCTAAGCATGCCTCGTTTCTATTTTATCTTTTTCGGGCAAGGAATCAAGAGACATGTTAAGAGTTTTTTTTAGAGAATAGTAACATAAACTTTGAGGTGTGACAACGGTCATTGTAAGTAATTTTTGTTCATCATCGTCGCAATGCATTTCTAAATACAGTATAGTCATAGACATACGGAATATTGTATATAGTGCTAATTTCCGAAGTATTCACATCATTGTAAAATTGAATATTATCTTAAAAAAGTCACATAAAACAATCATGATTCTCGGTTTAATTATTATATTTAAGGATTATTTGTGCAATAAATACAGAATAATTGTTGCCAAACAATAACAATAGCGTTTATTTTTTTAAAGAAAGGATAGGTAAAGAATTCATAAATAGATGCTTACACACTAAATGATTCTTAAATTAAAGTGGTTATATAGCTCTTCTGCCAAAGATTTTCGGTTTCTATCCCTGCATGAAGTAGGGACATGCATACATATTAGCACAAAGGATTAAAATATGGTGGTACAAATATATTAACAACTGTTTGTAGGACAAATAATGCATACAATTAGTTTTTGTATTAAGCTGTTTTTATTAAGATTAAAAATAAAAGTAATTATTTAGACAGACGGTTTGAAAGATTGCGCTTCACAAAAATAAGACGAACCACTTTCTTTCAAGATATAATGCACTGTTCATCGTGCCCTGCAGAGTTTTTCTTACTGTTATGTCTTTTTCTAATAAATTTTTCAATCAGAGTTTCATTCTCTACTGCAGCTACAGGTATAATTGGCGTTTTTTCCATTGCAATTGTATGCATCAACAAAGCAGGGTTTTCACACAAAGCTTTCTGCTCTTGTGGTGTAAGTCCTAATGCGCGAGAATATTTTCGGATACTTTCGGCTTGAGGATGGTTACTTATTGAGCTTAGACTTGTACGGGGTTCTCTCATACTGTTGCTTTTTATAGGCTTGGAGATATTGAATTCTGGTGGAATGTAGCCTCGTGTTATATTTATCGTATTATTACCGGTACTGCGATTGTAAATCTTTGCAGAAAATACCCACTACAACTAAAAATTAATATCACGAAACATTCTGTAAAACTTGATGCTTACATCGTATGATGGCTGTTGATCATTGACTCGAGGAGGACATGAGAACGCAGTTCTTTTGCAATCTTTATGACATACTAGAGAGCAAACTAAAGCAGTTTGAGTATCGACAAACTTACTATAATAATTTGACTTACCTTCACAAAATACGGATTCTTTTTCCATTACTTCACTGCACACTTTGCACTCGACAGCTATCCGGTTGAAGTTCAATACAGTATGTCAAGCTTCAAATAATTACAATTATTTACCTTTTCCAAAGGAAGTTTGAATAAATTGGTGACTATTTGCATCGTCAAAGGATGTTGAGGACGACGGTAATGTATTTGCATTTAAAGAATAATACTTTGTGTTCGCAGCGCTAGTCGTCTTTTTCTTGATATTACTTACATGTGCAGCTTCGTCTATCAGATGAAACGGTGTTGAATCAACATTGTTTACAGATTCTGTCTTTAAAATTAGACATGGTCCAATAAGAGTGTTGTAATATTATTTTACCTTTAGGTTTTTTGTTGCCAGGTGCCTTCTTCTGGTTTTTTTTTATCCACTCATGCTGCTGTAATTCTTTACTTGAAGATCTTTGGTTTGGATCCTTCTGAAAACAGCATAAGAGAAAATCTTTCATATCTTGAGATATACTCTCAGGCAAAGGAGGGTATTCATCTTCTACAATACGAAACATAGCAGACATGGCAAGCAAATCGCCATATGGCGGTTTCCCAGTTACTAACTCTACCAATGTACATCCCAAGGACCATATGTCAGATTTTGTTGTCGCCCCTTTTAATTCAATAACTTCAGGTGCCACTGATGAAATAAAGTTAGTGGATGACTTCCAAAATGCAAAATAGAATTAAATAGAATAGACTTAATTTTTTGGGTTGTGTAACGTGGAATTAACCTTAAATTTCACCGCTTAAATTTTTGAAGTTAATTCGACCACCCTACCCCCCCGAATTAAAAAAAATTAACAAAAAAATCATCTTTCTATTAAATAATTTATTTCTGATAAACGCTAATAACATTCAGATAATAAATATAAGATCTATGAATAATATTTATCAAAACAGTTTATTTATTTGGCTCTTTTACGCTTCTGAGAACCGTCTTTTTTGCCCTTTCAGGAGAAGTAACAGTGAGTTGCTACTGTGCATATAAAACTGATGGGTTTTAGTGCGAACGGAAGGAGCATCATTGATAATAGTTAAACTATCTTGGTTACCGGTGTCTGGATGTATTCAAACATCATTGTCATCTGATAATATAGCTGTTTAGGTAGAGTTTTGCATATATGGTACGGGTCAAAAAAGTTAATTCTATTTTCAGTGTTTTGGAACAGAAGTAAAATTAACTCGGAAAATCAAATTTCCGAAGTTAATTCTATTCTATTTAATTCTATTTTGTATTTTGGAAGTCATCCAGTATCTTTACTAAAAAAGAAAAAGAGAAAAATTCACTTTACTCCAATTGGGTGTTCCAGAAATGGAATCTGCATCTACAGCTTTTATTTTAAGGTTGAGTGACACACCAAAATCAGTCAATTTGACATCACCTGTCTTGGTTGTCAAGATGTTTGCCGCTTTTAAGTCACAATGAACAACTTCATTATCATGTAGGTATTCCAAACCCCTCAAAATTTTTATACAAAAGGAAGCAACGAGTTTCTCGGGAAATGCACCAAATGCTTTTAAAGTTGACATGAGGGATCCGTTTTCTGCATATCTATAAATAATTGATTATTAAAACCGTGCATACATAGATTATGCATAGACTTACTCAAGAACAATGTTTAAGTATTGCTTTGTTGGTATAAACCCAATATATTTGACAACATTTGTGTGCGTCAATGTCTTTAATATGTTTACTTCTTTCTGTAAAATAAGGTTAAATAATGCCGCAAAACGAGCTTTGTCGAACACTTACAATTATTTCTTGATAAAGATCGTCATTTTCAAGCTTCACTCTCTTTACAGCAACCACTTCTCCAGTGGAAAGATCAAGTGTTCTATAGACTGAACCGAATTGACCTTTGCCAATGCAGTTTCCTAATTGCTATTTTTAGAAAAGTTAGCCCACATTATGTATACAATGCACAATTCACATTACATAGGTGGTAATTGTATTTCCTGCTTCATCTTCGAGGGCAATCTTTCCATTAGCAATAGTGATACCTTCTTCTTCTTCTCCGTGCGGCCTATCTTCTGGAACACTTTTTGTAGAGTTCTTTCTAGGTGTCATTGGCATAGGAGGTGTCATAGGCGTGTTTGTAGATGTTGACGAACATGATGAAGTGGTCGAACAAATAGAATTAGATCTTCCCTCTTTAGTCTTTCTTCCTGATGTACCTGAAGGAGGGCGTAGTGGAGACTTTGGAGGCCTATTATTTAAATCAAATGATGTGTCTTTGGTATTCACAATTAACGGTTTATCCTGTTTGCTTGAAAAAATCTCTCGTATATCTCTATGGGCTCCTATTTGAACTCCTTTTAGTTAAAATGTAGCAAGTGTAAATTCAAGTTTTTTTTTCTTGCTACCTTGATCCTCTTTCTCCCTATTGAGGGATGTAGTGTTTAAAGAAGAAAATTCAGCTAATGTCAGAATTGTATTGATTACCTGTTTGGAAGATCAGCATAAATTCCACTAAATATTCGTAAATCTTACCGCAGACATGTCTTTTGCTCCATGTAGATCGTTGGCTTCAAACAATCTTGGCTCATCCATACCAAGCTATAATATGTGATTGGTTTTTTAATAATTTTTCCTCCTCAATTTGTTAATAGACCGTACCTGCCGTACCCCTTGCAAAAACCGCGTAATATTATCCATCTAAAATAGTAAGTTATTGTTGGCTATAATGAAATTGAATCGAGGAGCTTACTTGAATAAATGAAAAATCCTTTTTTTGAGCTACCATTTTTATGGTTCCAGGTCGTATATGATTTACTAGGCTGAGTTATTGAAAAAGATAATTTATCAATATACAAAACATTAGCATAAATCACATATATTTGCTACCCACTTGCATAATGCTACACCATCTTTCAACTCCTGCTGTAAGCTGCCCAGATGTATATTTAAATTGAGAGTTTTATTCAAATAATCTATCGCAAGCTGCTCTTCTAACTTTGATTGCTCTAGTTTGATTCTGTCCAATAAATTTGTACTACTTTTAGCTTTTGTTAAATGAGGAGCGTTGTATGAAGCCGTAGTGGTTGATGACATGATTGACAGGGCGTAGTATTAAATAATTGTGTATAGAACCGAATACGTAAATGTTATATATATAAAAAAGAAAAGGAAGGGAATAGAGCCAGGAAAAGGAGTGCAATTATATAACATACAAGAAATAGGAGAAGAGGCGAAACCAGCGCACGAGCCTTTCCAAAACGAAAACTTAAATCAATAAAATTCAGTCGTCACATTCTCTAATAACAACACAAGCAACACTTTCCAAGCAGCAAACTGCATCACTGTCTAAAAGTTTTATTTAAAAAAGATGGAAGACGTAGTGTGGTAAAGTGTGGTGAAAATCAGCCTTGGTATTTACTGATGCTAGTATAAAAAACAGGAAATCCTTCTTGTAATATTATGTCTAGATATGGTAGTCGTGAGCGCCAACAGGATGTCACGAGACATGAGTTTCTGGGATAGATGTTTTTACATTTAAAAGAGCTAAAGTTAATCCTGTGTTTTGACGGAATAACTAGTTTTGGAAAAAAAATTACACTGTTGCTTTTATCCATATTGCACACTCGGGTGTATTTTCCTTACATCTCTTGCTTTTAGTTTCCTTCATATCAAAAAAAGCCTTTATGTCTCAAGCTGGCATCTGTTTCTTGATCGTCAATTAGCATTATCAGTTTGGGTTTTGACTGATTTTTACATGTCCACGTTAGATAAAAATGGTAGAAATTCATTAAACAGAGCTTTATTTAGGTATACCTTCAGTTATTTTAGAGCTATAGAAACTTCTGAGATCTCCACGATATTGACACTGACTGGTATAGATGCGGCGAGAATTCGAACAATTTTTCAAAGGTTCTTGTGACATGAGAACTTTTATGTCACTCACCCTTTTCCCATTGGTGCATACTTTTTATTTATTTTACAAACACTTCACACTAGCTTTTCTATATCTGTCCCGAAACAAAGCTGACTTCTCTAAGCGCAAACATTTAGCTAAATATATTATTTCGGACAAGTTATAGGTATAGTTCATTGAATCAGACACGGGTTCTTGTAGGCTAAATCTAAAAACGTCTTCATTTCTAATAGTCAAATTATTTTTGAGAATTTTGTCCATACTGATTGTGCAAGTTCTTAATGACTGCTACGCCGAATGAGTTGGGGGTGATTAGTTGGTTGATATATCAAGCTTTACGCTCATTAAAATATTGCTAAACTCGATTCTACCAAGATGTTACTTTATGTAATCTTGGTTTCTGCAGAAAGGGTTTTGTTCTTGCAATCCCTAATAGGAAACCTGTATTACAATTAGAGAGTTTGGCTGTCGCAGTAAGAATACCACCAGGGAGAATTGTTTCAGACATTTCTTAAGCTTTTAATCTATCAAGTAGATGCCGGCTCATGCTCGATTCTTTAATCGCATTGACTTTGCCCCGTATTCTGGATTCTAATGTATCATGCATAGGTCGTGCAAAATTGGAAATCATAGTTCCACCAGATGCTGATGTAACATGAGGTCGCTTTATTATGTAGTAGTAGATTCTCACCAGGATTTAGGCGTTTTTGAGTATTTAAAGGGAGTAATTTTGATAAATTCGGCATTGTTAAAATCGTTATTGGCCTTAGTTTTTATTCTAAGGCTGTTTAAATCAGATACTGAATCTACCCAAGGTGAAAGATTTAAAATCGTAACAACAGAACCATATGAGACTTATTCTGTACTTGTAGCAGGGAAGCAAACACTTTTAGTTGCTTATTCCATTATTTTATCGGGACATTGCATTTGTGGGCCCATTTACAGATATTCGGGGTTTAAATTGGATCAATGAAACATACGATGGAGCACTATTATCGTTTTCCTTAACATCCTTTATAACATAAAAAATGGCACCTTTTTACGCAGTAAAGTCTGATAATGTCCTCAAGAGAGTTGAAGGTACTAACAGAATGGATGGATAGATAGATGGATTGATTGATTAATTTTGTTACTTGTAGAACTCCAAAGTGTTGGACAAGATGAAGCTGCATTACAAGCTCTTCATGATGTAGTTCTCTCAAAGCGTTCTCGCAGTAATCCTATTACTGTTATGGAACCCATCATGCTTAAGTATGTTGAGCTTTGTGTTGAACTCAAGAAGGGAAAGATGGTTAAGGAAGGTCTCCATCAATACCGTAACATTGCTCAAAACACCAGTGTTAACTCTATTGAGGTAATAATTGGATTCAACATTTTAAGATTCAACTTTTCAGATTCAACATTTTTCAAGCTCAACTAATGTAAACTTTATTTTGATAGACCATCATCAACAAGATGCTCAGTCTTGCTGAAGAGAAGGTCGCTGAAGCTCGTGCTAAGGCCGATAAGATCGCTGTCGATGTCGAAGATTTAGAAGCTTCAGAGACACCTGAGTCCATCATGCTCAGCACCGTTTCCGGTGATCAATCTAAAGATCGTACTGATCGTGCCGTCGTTACACCTTGGTTAAAGTTCTTGTGGGAAGCATATCGTACTGTTTTGGATATCATGAGAAACAACTCTCGTTTAGAAAGTCTTTACAACTCTGTCACCTTAAAGGCATTCCAATTTTGTTTGACCTATGATCGTAAGACTGAATTCCGTCGTCTTTGTGAAATTCTTCGTAACCATTTCCTCAACGTCGCTAAATATTCTCACCAACCTCATGCCGTCAACTTGAACGATCCCGAGACTCTTCAACAATATTTGGAATCTCGTTTTGCTCAATTAAACGCAGCTGCCGAATTAGAATTATGGCAAGAAGCTTTCAAGTCTGTTGAGGATATTCATACCCTCTTGACTACCAGCAAGCGTCCTCCTAAGCCTGTTATGATGGCCAACTACTACGAAAAGTTGACCAAGATTTTCATGGTTTCTGACGATTACCTCTTCCATTCTGCTGCTTGGAACAGATTCTCTGCCATTGAACGTGCTGTTAACAAGAACTTAACTGACAACCAACAATCACACATGGCCTCTGTTGTCCTTTTGTCCGCTCTTGCCATTCCTATCATCACCACCACCAAGACTCGTCCTGGATATGTTGAAGCTGATGAATACCGTGTCCAAAAGTTGAACCGTCTTTCTATGCTTATGGGATTAAACGCCCATCCTACCCGTACCGGTTTATTAAAGGAAGCACTCAACAAGAACATTTTGTCTCGTGTTCGTCCTGAAATTCGTGACTTATACAACATTCTCGAAGTTCAATTCCACCCTCTTTCCATCTGTAAAAAGATCAACCCCATCATGAGCAAGTTGTCTGAAGATAAGGATTTAGCCAAATATGTTCGTCCTCTTCACCAAGTTATCTTGACTCGTCTTTTACAACAATTGTCTCAAGTTTATACTACCGTCAAACTCGATTTTGTTTTGAACTTGGCATCTTTCCCCGCTCCTTTCAACTACGATGCTGCTACTATTGAAAAGTTCATCATGAATGGTTGCAAGCGTGGAGAATTAAATATCCGTATTGATCATGCTTCTCAAAGTTTGATCTTCGAGACCGATTTGTTTGCTCCTCCTAAAGATACCGTTACCGAAGGTATTCAATTACAATCATCACCCGCTGACTTAATGCGCACACAATTGTCTCGTCTTGGTGTCAGTATTCATGCTGTTGTCCAAATGATTGATCCCTCTGTCAAGGAAAATGCCGAAAAGGCTAAGCAACTCGTTGTTCAACGTGCTCTTGCTGGAGCTGAAAAAGAACACAAGCAAGCTTTGGCCCGTAAGGTTATTATTGAACGTCGTAAGGAAATTATCGAAGCCGAAATCACTGCCAAGGAAAAGGCAATTGCCCAAGAAAAGGCTGCTGCTGCCGCAAAGAAGGCCGAAGCTGAGAAGAAGCGTGTCGAAGAAGATATGAAGCGTCGTGAAGAAGAACGTATCAAGCGTATCCAAGATGAGGTCCAACGTGATCAAGCTAAGCGAATTGCCGAAGAAATTTCTTCCAAGACTGGTCTTCAATTGAAGCCCGAAGAAATTGAACAATCTGATGTCACAACTCTCTTAAACCTTAAGGTGTCTCGTCTCCAAACCGAACAAAAAGAATTAAGCGACCGTCTTAAGCAAATCTCCAAGCGTATCGATCATACCGAACGTGCATTTAGACAAGAAGAAATTCCCCTCTTAGAAAAGGATTATGAGGTTCAACAAAAGACCGATAAGGCATTCTACGAAGCCGCAAAGAAGGCTGAACTTGCTGCCTCTAAGGCACAATTCGAAGAAAACATGAAGCTTAAGGCTCGTCTTTCTCGTATTCTCGGTGATTATAAAACTTACAAGAGTAAGATCGAACAAGAACGTAAGGCTGCTACCGATGCTAAGCGTAAGGCTGCTGATGAGGCTATTGCTAAGGAGAAGGCCGAAAGAATTGCTCTCTGGCGTGAAAAGAGAGAGAAGCTCCTCAAGCTCCGTGAACAAGAAGAAATTGAAGAACGTCGCCGTGAGCAAGAAGAACGCGAAAGACGTGAAGCTGAGGAACGCGAGAAGGCCGAAAAGGAGGCCCGTATTGCTAAGGAGAAGGAAGCCTATGCTGAACAACAAAAGAAGAACGACGAAATCGCTAGAAAGATTGCTGAACGTGAGGCTGAGATTGAACGTAAATTACAAGCCAGCAAGGCCACACCTCCTCCTGCCAAGGCAGCTTACACTCCCCCTGGTATGCGTACAAGTGAAGCTCCCTCTGCTGGTGGATGGAGAAGTCGTGCTGCCGCTGCCGCTGCTGCCCCCGCTCCTGCTAGCGGTGTTGCTGCTGCCGATAGAGAAGCACCCGCCTCTACCGGTGGATGGAGAGGTCGTGAAGCATCTCGTGCCCCCGCTACTCCTGAGCGTTCCGAAAACTCTGGTGCCTGGCGTAGTGTTACTCGTCCTACCAGCGAACGTCGCCCTGAAGAACGTCTTCCTCGTCGTGAAGGTGGTTTCGGCGGTGAACGTCGTGAAGGTGGTTTCGGTGGTGAACGTCGTGAAGGTGGTTTTGGTGGTGAACGTCGCGAAGGTGGTTTTGGTGGCGAACGTCGTGAAGGTGGCTTCGGCGGCGAACGTCGTGGTGATAGCGATCGTTACCCTCGTCGTGAGGGTGGTTTTGAACGTCGTGACGGAGCTCCTCCCGCTCGCGGTGGTGCCACTGGTGGAAGAGGTGGTGCCGGTGCCGGATCTGCTGGCAGCGAAAGACGTTGGTAAATTTATCTATAGTCTACCATTCTCCCTTAAAAAAGTGAACCTTTTTTGTTCCAATAATCAAATAATTTTAAGCTAAATAAAAATTTAAATTACATATATCACTATTCCATTTATAAATAAAGGAGATATTATAGGAGCAGTGTACATTGATTAGTCTTTTCAAATAGAAGAATAAAAAACCGGGATAGCTAATTTACAGATACGTCAATGGATGAACTAAAATAGTGTTGCATAATAAGGGGTTCTGTCAAGTACAGTCTGATCCCAATAAAGCAGCTGTAATTTAGTATAGGCAATACGAATTTATAATAAGCATTCTATTAGGGATTTTAAGCATGCCATTACGCCGCGATCTCGATATAAAGAGCTATCACATGTAACGTCATTGCAAAAAAATGACTACAGGGAGGTAATATGATTAACTTTAAAAGGAAATTGTTTTATTGACGAGTGTTATTAAAAAGAACCTGCAGGATTATGGAATCTGGATTCTCTTGTATAAATACAAACACATGTAGTAATTTTTTCTTTGTTCTACGACGCTGTCTGTAATTTGCAGTAGCGTGATTGTTTTAACAATGAAAATCAATGATCTGCAGTGTTACAAAGTGCATTACAATAACGAAAACTTTTCGTGTTGTGTATTCACGAAAATAACTGTTATTTCTTACCCCTATTTTTTCTATATATGTGTTGTTTCCCCTTTTTACAGCATGGGATGTAAACTTAGAAGAATACATACCGCCAGAGTGTGAATTATTTTTAAGTCTTCATTTTCATGCAGTCAGCTGATAAAGGTTACTACGCAAAAAAAGGCTTCACAATAGGTAAATGACGAAATATACAACCAAAAAGTGCAGAAAGGGTCCTTGACATCTTGAATGCGAAATTGGTATACATGTCACAAGCCGCCTAGTTCAGAAATCAACACTGGCGGACTAAATACGATATTTCATTATTCTTACAAACTAAAATATTATACAAGTCAATACTCTCCTTACAGAAAAAAAAAAAAAGTAAATAAATAAATAATAAAGAAGACCCCCAATAGAATGATGTATAACAAGCTTCTTGACATCTCTATTATCGCTCCCCTTTTGTCAAATGTTTCTTTAAAGTTCTTTCTCCTCTTCTAGACAGAAACAGAATAACATTGGTTTTGTTTCTTCTGCTTGTTTGTCTTGCTTAATTAACAAATAATGTAGCATTAATGGAAAGAAACAATTACGTTTTTACTATCAAGTGTACATACTATTAAATATGATTGGTGTGCATATTCAAAAGTATAGTTACAATGCGTTTCTATGGTACTCCTATATATTTTTTGTATTTTTTTTTTTTTTTTTTTTTTTTTTTTGCCCCTTTAACTCTTTTTGATTCGGACCCCTCAACATTCCTAATTCATTCAATAGAATAAAAAAGTTACCAACACGCTTATATAAAGCGAGTAAAAATTATTTCTAATTTTTTCTTTCTTTTTCTCTTTCTTGACAATCTGTCTTCTTTTTTTTTTTTGTATATATATATCATGTCTCCTATAATTAACAGCACCTTAGATGAAGATGAATTCGATGATTATCATGAAGAACGCAAGTCTTCCGTATCTTCTAGCAACTTCAATCCCAATTTCTACAATCCATTTGAAATTAAGCATCGTAGACGTACCTCACGTGGACAGTTCAAAATACTTGAAAAGGCATTCATTGACAATCCCAAGCCTAATGCCAAAACAAGACAAGAATTGGCCGACAGTTTATCAATGACTCCGCGTGGTGTCCAGGTTTGGTTCCAAAACCGACGTGCAAAAGCCAAGCAGCAACTAGAAAATAAAAAATCTCATGACAACATAATTGATGACCTTCAAGTATCTTCACCCGTTGTATTATCATCATCAGGTATGGCCCATAGCAGATCACAATCTTCTTCTTCTTCTTCAACCTCGTATTCAGTCAATCACGTGACCCTTTCACCTTCTGTATTACCTGTACCTGTACCATCTCATAAACATAATCAAGCATGGTTTAGTGATGCTGCATCAACCGTAACAGAGGAAATAGTTTCCTCTTCACCTTTGTTATTGACACCCCCTCAACAAAAACAACAAGATGACTATTGCTGGTGGATTGATGATGTATCTGGTATCATTAGCGGTCAGCCGACACTTTTCAATGCACCAACAGATACTGATCCTTTTACTTCTGCAGCAACAGAAGATCATCCATTGGACGCATGGGCTTACATTAATAGTCTTCAAACTAACACCAATGCCAATCACAGTTCTTTTTTACATGCACATAATCGAAACGTAGCTAACTGGATTTCCTCAACCAAAGAAGCCTGTAGTGATAATAACGTATTAGTCATGTTGGAGCACCAGAAAAGACAGCCGCTTATCGAGCAAAACGACCAAGTAAATACATAGAAATTGCATCAGATATTTGCACAATTAACTAATGTAAAATTGAACTAGATTATGCGACGCTTTTCCGAGCCATCTGAAATGGTAAACTCCTATTATAACATCAACTTATAATCAACTCTCTTACAAGACCTTATGCCTTTATTTATGACTATGCTTTACTTTTTTTTCTTCTTCCCCTCTCCCCTATCTTTTATGACCCGGCCGGGTGAACCTTATGAATTCTTTTATTACCAAGCAAATTATTTATTCCCATTTTTTTTTTAGTTCAATCTCTGCTATTTTCCTATTCTGTACCATCGTCTTTTTTTTTTCTTTATATATAATAAACTTTGAATATACACATATTAATCAACGGATCCTGTCCGTGTAGTTTAATACACCACTATATAAAAACCTTAATTGTATGCCATCATGCCAAAAAAAAAAAAGCCATAAATGGTGACTGCGGTATCACAATTGCATCTTTTTTGTTTTTGCTTTAGAATTTTCCATTACTCCTTGTTTATTTCTAATGAGTGCTTACGGTGCCGGAAAAGCAGTAAGTGTCTAAAAAAAACCATATGATATCAAATAAACTAACAGCCCCTACATAGAAAGACACAGATTTCAGACGTACATGGAACAAAGAAGAATATGCAGCAAAAGCTAAAGCTCGAGATTCACGCGATCGTAATGCCGAAAAGAATGATGAGCGCAAGAAACTCGGTTTACCTCCCTTAAAACCCCGTAGAGAATATAAAGATGACGATTCAAGCAAGGAAGCATTGAAGCATCGTGAAGAACGAGTTAACATTGAGCAAAATGTTGGTAAAATCCAAGTTGTACAAGCTGCCGATTCCAGAAAACAACCAGGCTTCTACTGTAAAGACTGTGATGTCACAATTAAAGACAGTGTCACTTACATTGATCACTTGAACGGAAGAAAACGTAAGTGAGATCTTGGAACGTTATATATTTATAAATATAGAATACTGATTCTAGTTTAGATTTAAATAATGTTGGTGTCTCCGGAAAGGTTGAAAAAGCAGATTTAAATTCTGTGAAGGAACGTTTAGCCATGTTAAAGAGAAAAAAGGAAAACCCAGAGCAAGATGAATATAGTAAGTACTTGCTGTTATTATACATATTAATTTTTTATTTAACATATGATTTAAAGATCTTGACGAAAGGTTAGCGTCGATAAAGCAACAAGAGGAAGAAGAAAGGCAGAAAAGACGCGAAAAGAAGAAACAAAAGAAGGACCACCACAAGAAGAAAGACGACGAAAATGACGGAGAAGATGAAATGGCAAAATTAATGGGGTTTTCAGGGTTTGGTTCATCAAAAGCGTAGTTTTTTTTTGTTATTAAGCCAACGAGGATTCCCTTCCTAGCGTAGCTAACTGACCCAAGAACTGATGGGGAGATAAAATATCTGTTGAACCGTATGTAATTTTCTTCTTGCTATTATTTTGCTATAAATAAAATGACAAATCAGACATCCCGCGTAATGAAATATAAAGATAAAACTTACTGTAGCAAGCTCTTGTAAATTTTGATATTCCACATAGTTACCACCGCCTACAACAAATACAATAGCCTCTTGGAAAGTGACTTTGTGCTGACGTGGTGATCTAGAGTTTTTGCTAACCTTTGGATCGAAATAGAGGTAATCGCTCACTTTGGTAGCTTCATTTTGAGGAGGGGTCATGATATCAGATACGATTTTACTGATAACCAATTCTTTACGGGTTGGTAATAAGTTTTTGACGCCAGACAATAAATTCTCAAACCCACCGCCCAAACCACCTTCCTTTAATCTGTCAGACAACTAACAACAGTCAAGTTAATATCTCGCATAATTAGTCCCATTAGATCATTACCTTGTTACCAATACTACTGAATCCACGGAATAAGTCAGTTTGAGAAAATCCGGTTTGAGGTTGAGGTGGTGACGAGATCATGGAGGTCATTCTCATTAATGCACGCACTCTAATTTCAAAAAAAAAGTCAGTAAATATTTGTATCCTGCAGTTGAAGCGTGACATACGATTTAATATAATGCAATGGTTCAACATCACAGCCAGCCTCAGATAAAGCATTTTCGTAAGTTTCCATGTCATCTTTTGAAATTTCTTCTACAGTCGAGAGATAATAAATCAAAAATAGTCTCATTTTATCCTCAGGGTTTTTCTTTTCCATATCACGAATAGTTTCTAGTAAAGTATTCTTGTTTTGTCTAGTGATGCTTTCTTCAATCTGGAAAAAATTATCCAATTGTCTGTCCTTGATATCGTTCAATAAAGCAGTTGCGATGTTCATGTGCATATCTAAGGTTGCCTTTCTTGCAGTTAATTCAGGCAAGGCGTTAATAGCGGATTTCAATAATTTCGTGTTTGATGACATGTCAATATTGCCAACATCTTCCAAAGAAGAAACGCCACTAGCACCAGTAATTTCAGCAGCATCTTTTTTGTACTTGTTCAATTCAATGTCAATATCCTCTGCTACTTGTGGAAATGGACTAGAAGCATTCTTTGCCCAAAAGAAATCCTTATTTTCAATATCATAACTTCTTTTTTTAGCACCCTCGTTCGCTTCAATAGTGATACGGTTTAATTTCATTGAAAGTACATCATGAATAAGTGCTTCATACGTCCACGAATGACTTAACATTGGTGTCAAATCCATACTTCTGTCTAACAAGATCAATACGGGACGCTGTAAGTTGGATGATGTACTATCTGAAAATAAATTGGTCCTGCTGTTCATGACATGGTCGCGTAATTTACTGTCCAATTTATTGGCAACAATTTCAGATGCATTTCCACGAGGACAGCGAATAATTGGGATTACCCCCATAGTGACAATGACAGAGAAAAGAGCATTTACAGTCTTATCAATAGTCTCATCAATCAGAGATTCTGTTGCTGTAGGATTATTTAAGTTGATAAATGTTTGTGGTTGATTGAGAGAGAATACGTTGGGATTTGTGCAAATGAAATTGAGATATTGATCAAAAACTTGATTGACCATATCTGACGTATTATCGGTAATTGTTGTCGTCGCAAATTCTTCTAAAACAGGGCGGGGTATGGTCGAGCAAAAGTTAATGTAATAAGAATCATATAAATTACGGTTTAAATCCTACAATGCAGCTGTAAATTATAATGTTCATCTACTTTATCTAAGGCTCATTACCTCGCAAATTTTCTTCACGTTTTCAGAAGTAGGTTCAACGAAATAAACTGCTGGAACGTCTGGTAACGGAGATCTGTCTTGTGACAATAGCCTATGAAAAGCCATGAGTGTCGATAAAGATGTTATTGCCGTAAGTTTTTCTGCTTACATGTGAACAGTGATACCATTCTCTCGAAGGTCGTTAACACGCATAATTGAGGAAATAATATCTTGACCAAATTTGTCAAATATTAACACTTTCCATACAATATTTTCTGTATTAGTTGATGGGCCTTCAGGTGAATTCAGATGAAGCATATTTGCTACAGCGGCTATTTATAAATCATTTAGCTTTCACTCTTTAAAAGATTTGCTGTATAGTCTTACCATATTGTGCTGAACGTAAAGAGCTAGCCTCCAAGTTGGGTGTTGTGCTTATTTGATTTTGCATGTCTATTCGCGTTCACTAATAAAAAAATCAGACGAAGAACACTTTTATTGTCTTATTAAGGCAAAGCATTTCTTTTTCGACCAACCACGTCACTGATCATAACTTTGAGTTTAGCCAATCGTTTTCTCCGTATGCGATTCAGTTAATTTACATAGAACATTCATGTTGGCTCTCGAACAAAAAAAAAAGTATTTATACACCTTCATTTGAAAAATGCCTGAGAACTTGTGAGCTGAAAGCACGACAATAGGGGGATAGTTCATCAAAACACTTGCTGAATATTTTGGTTACATGATAAACAAAACGTCAACAGGAACTAAAAATTTAACAACTACTTATAAGCTGTTGAACTTTTGGATATAAGAAATCGGATTAATTACTTTCAAACTTTCAGTTTTCCCGTATATTTTAAAACTATCTCAAGACTACAATGTAACTTTAAATTATTTTAGGTTTGGATACATGTAACTCAAGGCACTTGCTCTGTCTTATTTCATCATTGATAATTGTGGGAAAAAAATGTTTTTTTGTGTGAAAATAAAAAAATTTATTAAAAGGTATATGTAAAATAATTAATGATACATGATATAAATATATATAATATGGCTTTGAAAGAAAATGTATGGTAATGGGAAGTTGTATTTAAGTATCGGAAGGAATCATTTGAGGAATTCCGTATTGTTGGACACATGCCATAGCTCCCACAAAGCAGCACATGAAGATGGAATGCAAGATGGTACGACGAAGTACCTTACCCTCTTGACCCTCTAAACCGATAGTGGAAACACCGGTAGTAAGATTTTGAGGTGAGATCATCTTAGATGTAATAGCACCACTGGAGTTAGTAGCAGCCATTAAGACTTGAGATAAACCAAGTTCACGAGCTGCAACAACTTGCAAGTTACCAAAGAGAGAGTTAGCAGAAGTGTCACTACCGGATAAGAAACAAGCTATTTATAACAATTAGTCAAAGTACGTAATGATGATATATATAAAAAGTGCTTACCAAACCATCCGAGCCAAGCTGACAAGAAGGGGAAAGCTTTACCAACTGATGACAAAGTTAATCCGACGGTGTAAGCAATACCACTGTAGTTGTAAAGATAAGCAAAGGCCATGATGAATGAGACAGTAAGAATGGGTAAGAACAATTGCTTTGCAGTAATCTTTAAAGAGACCCAGAATACACGGGGAGGACTTCCGTTCCATAAAACAAGACCACCAAAAGGGAATGCAGAAATGAGGATAGCAGTACCAGTGCCCAAAGGCTCGAAAACCCAAATAGCATCGTATGCTTTACCATAAAGAGTCAAGTAGACTTTCTGATGAAGATCTGGCCAGTGTACGAGAGTTTTTCCGTAGTGGGGAACCTTAGCAAAAGTCCAACTATAAATAAATAGCATATTAGTATAAACGGTAAGAATGGTTCTTTCCAATGCTTACATAATAACAATAAGGACAATTAAAGCCCATGGACTCCAAGCTAATAAAGTCTCACGGGTATTTGGTCTTTCAACGATTAATTTAGCTGGTCCATCTTGAGGCTCGGCATCGGCGGAATCATCATTTCTGTCTTCAATTTGTGTATCTTCAACCTTTTCGGCAGATGCTGTCTTTTCTCCTGTTTGAGCATTTACGTTTGTAGCATCGTTTTGATTAAGAGAAGATCTTCTGCTGTTATTCTCTTCATCATGGTTTCTTGCTTTAATAGGTGACACAGAAGCAGCATATTCTGCTCTATATTTGGGCTTCCAGAATTGGACAAATCCAACAAGTGAAATTAAAGATACGAGACCAGCAATCAAATCGGGAAGCTCGGGTCCTACGAAATTGGCAAATACACCCTATTATAGAATTAAGTCAGATAAACTATCAAATTTTTCTATTGCGAATACTTACTTGGACAATAGCAAATGAACCACCGGCCACAAGAGCTGCGGGCCAACATTCAAGGAAACCAGCTCTGAAACCAGCATAGAAAGTCAAGGCGTAAAGGGGAAGGAACAAACTGAGAAGAGGTAATTGACGACCCATCATAGAAGAGAGCTTCATAACATCTAAACCAGTAATAGTAGCCAATGTTGTGACAGGAATACCCAAAGCACCGAAGGCGACAGGTGTGGTATCAAAGATCAAAGTATATGTCAAAGCATCCAAAGGATCAAAACTACGCGCAATTGAATCGTTAGATATTACCGGGAAATAAACAAGCGGATATTCACTTACCCTAATGACACCATTAAAGAAGAACAAATAGCACCTGGAATACCAAAGCCAGCAACACCTAAACACACGACAAGTTAGAAAAAATTTTCTTGTGAGTCACTAAAATTCCTGTTACCTTCTAAAAGTGCACCGAAACTGTAACCAATGATTAATAAAATAATACGTTTGTCAGGTGGTGTATAAGTCAAAAGCCAACGACGGAAGTATTCAAAAATACCAGACTGAACAGCCAAGTTATAAATATACATCGCATTCACTACAATCCACATAATTGGCCAGTTTGCAAAAACTATACCATTTCCTATAGATTGGAAACATTGTTTTGCGGGCATGTGCCATCCGAAAATAGCGATAAATATACTATTTTTTTTTTTAAAAAAAAAATTGTAAGTATGAAACATTTTGGTTTGATGAATTAATATATTTACCAAACAATTAGACCTGCTAAAGCTGAATAATGCGCCCGAACTCTGAATATACCGAGCAGAACCAAAACTAATAATAATGGGATAAGACCAACGAAGAATGATCCAATAAGACTTCCACCAATGGGTGTTAATGGTTGGACAAATAGTCCGGCTACCTCAGGACCTGTAGGAAGTGTAGGTACGTTAACCATTATTGTTTAAGTAATTGTTATTAACAAAGGAAAGAAAAGATCAAATTCAAGCGCTATTTATACTCTCGTTGAACTCCAATTATTGGTGTATGACCCATTTGTGCAATACAAACTCACTATGTGTGAATATTCCAAAGTAGGTTAACTAATAATCATTTGAGAAGAATTGTCGAAAGTGTGGGGAAACAAACGATGTACCACAAACTGTAAGTTATGGAGATTTTACCTAGTCTGGCTGCAGTCTGTGTAATCCAGAACCTTATCGTATTCCTATCAAATAACCTCCTTCCCCCGCTTTTTTTTTTTACCAACATATTCCCATAAGTTACATATACACATGTGAAAAATTATTGCGATAAATTGTGAAAATAATTTCAGACACTGAACTAGGCATGTAAATCTTACAAGTTTAAAAGTAACAATTGGATCCCCAATTACCACTAATATACACTAGGTAGTAGACATTTATTTTCTCATGATGGGATTTTTACCCGGTTCTCGTGAGAAAAGTAAGGGAAAAAACAAGGCTCTTTGTGGTTACATTGAGAATTTCAAATATGGTGAATCCTTTGTTGTAGGCACACTGATCTTTGTGATTTCCCCACATTTTTTAAACTAGTTTCTTAAATTCTTTCCTTTTTTGGTTCTTGGGAGTATTTTTTGTTTTTAATTAGCTGATACCCACAAAGCATTATGAGGTGATTTTCTTTCTTTATATCATACGGGAGAGGCACAAGCTTATTATTTTGTTGCTTAAAGTATCGACCATTTTCTTTGCTTTACTTGATTACTTCATATAGTATTTAACCTAAAATTGCATTGGTAAGCGCGGGTATGACCGAGCTTTTTATTAGTAGCATTAAAAGTCGTAACACGACCATTACTCCTCCGAAGAAGAATACAAAATACAGCAGTGTCCTGAAGATCCCGCTACTCGGCTGTTGTACGAAAATATCGTGTAATACTGACATATACACCTATTCAAATCCAGAAAGAGAGGTACTGTGATTTGCGTCCAAAAATCAGGGTTTTATTATATCAGCCAATCAGGAATTTCTTTACTTAAAATTTGGACATATGACCCAATTGTTTTCGGGTAAGTGCTTTACAAGCTTGTTTTCAACATGATCCAAATGCAACTAAAACATTAAACTAAAGCTAACAAAATAGTGTCGAGACAACCTTATTATAAGGACACTTTACATAAGATGATAGTGGTTGAGGGTCTTGCCACAACTTCGGTCAACTAATTCTGCTTACAAACGATGTGACAGTACCTCAAAGAGAATTCATCGCAATTGCAGAAAAAAAAAAAAAAAAAAAAAAAACGAGAGCAAACACCAACCAGCCTTTGGACATAAATCTCATGGATCTAACAATATCACATTGTGCAATTAGCTTATGCGAGAAGGGGGTGCAACTGTTACCAAGCAATCTAAAACTCATCACAACTCTCGTTCAACTACCTACAGAATAAAAGCGACAGCATTACATTTCCTATTGGCTATCCAAAACCGGTACAAGATGACAATCAAGCATACTGGATTTCTTGCCGAACTAGTCGACAAAAGTTTCTGTATTACAAGCTGTTCGATAGATTTAGTGTTTCTGAGAGCAGTTTAAGGAAACAAATAAGAGTGTCTTTCTCATAATTGTACGATGGAAAGGGATACCTGTAGAAATCTAGGGCTTCGATTTAACACTACATTTCTTCGGAAACCAGCGTCAGACGAACAACGTTTTTATGAACAAGGCTGGATTCAACTAGTAACAGACTAAAAGAACATTATTGTTTACAAAGGTGCGCTCACATAGTGTTCAAGGTGTTTATTTAACCTGAGCATAAACCCGTTTTTCAAGCAATCGCGTGGGTATCAATATAGCATCGTAATTAGCTGGTCTACCTTTAAACCTAGGAGTGATCACTTAAATTTCCCTAGTTATAAGCTGACAGGAAACATTACATGTACCAGTACATATTAATGATTGTACAGCTGAAAACCTCAATTAAAAGAATACAGATGTACCATATGATACAAAGATACGGAAACTCGACTGAGTGGAGAGAACAAGTACAGCCATTGCTCACTTACTATCCGATCTTTACCTCGAACACTACAACCGCTATAGTTCATATATATAATTTTTTATCTTAGCATCATCAGTTGTATTGCACATTTCAAAGCCATGAGCATTTTTTAACCAACTGCACGTAAAGTTCACTTCGGTAGTTCCAATGAGGAGTGCTTTGCGATTTAACAAATAAATCAGGCTCAAGCTGTGTTTCACTTAGGAGCAAATCAGATACAAACGTTACTATGTCACAGAAAATTTAAAAGATGCAACATCACCAGACAACAGAAGCTAATTTATGTATCAACTGAGGTATCTAAAATAAAAAAATAAGGCAATATATTATTAAAACTGAATAATCGTTTACCGAGTCTTCGAGGGAAATTATACGAGAAAATGCAAAGTATACCCTGATTACATTGAAATATTATGTGTGTATGTAATGTCCCTTTCTACATGCTCAAACGCATCATCAAGTAGAATGATATATTACTGTAATTCTGTACCATTTATTATTTTAAACTAGCTTATTTGATGTCATCCAGGTTATTTCCTATTATTCGTCGGAAGCGTCCTTTTCATTAAGTCAAACTAATGGTCGCTTGATTGGCCAATCAAAATCTTGTTTTTTACACTCAAAGTTTTGTATTCACGTTCTCTATGGCACACCAAAAATAAAAATCAAGGCATTGGAGCTTTGTATTCAAGACAATAGAAATATGGGGATGTTCCACCTGTTCGATTAAAGTTTCTTTTCATTCTTAAGAAACAATAGACAATACAAAAATTAAATTGAGACCCGGGATTAATATTCCATAATGAATCGAGTAACGTAACTATGTAATACATGTGGACTAATGCCTCCGACGGGTCATTTACATTTTGTACAATTTTTAACCCCACATTATGTGAAAACAATACACACGTACAAGTGCACATATACAGAAATACTATTCAAACCTCTAAGACTTGTTATTAAGTTGCCGACTTTCATGTAGTTTGCTACGATCCGAAAGAGCTAAGCTCACACTTAATGATTTATTTCAAATAGACCTTTACTCATCTTTTATCGTGAGAAAATTATAATATTCCAAGTGAGCGGGAAAAAACACTCTAATATAAACAAAACAAACAAGTGATTCGTAATTTGATGACACGATGATTATAATTTTTAATGATTAGATTCGGTTACGTAAGCAAAGAAATATGGGATCTACGGCATTTGTTTGGTTTTTTAACAGTCGATACTATTTTTTTATTACTGTTTATAGGAAATTAACTCTTACGTTTATAGGCTAGTAATAGTTACTAAATCTATTTTTTAACCCATGATTGTGTTTCAATTTGATTTTGGCTTACTAAATCCTTCAAAAATGATGTTTTTGGAAAAATTAAAAACCGTGGCATCAACATCGGACATGACCTTAAAGAGAAAGCCCCTTTCCCAAATCTTTCCAAATCTTCCCACATCTTCTTTTTTCTAAATTAGGTGGTGGCATTGAATAGAACAAGCGCTATAATTTTATGCTGGGGTAACACTTATGTTTTATTGTAAAGTATTTTTATATATGTAATAAACATGTTTTATGACATGCGATTATTTGAGAATATGTAAATTGCATCATTATGGATACAGAGAGCATTCTTTCTATAACAAGTTCCACAGTATTAATCTTCTCTGTCAGCTTAGCTTGAAATACGTGAGAATATTTTATTTGTGTCAGCTGCCTGACCTCTTGCACACAGGTTGTGTAGATTTGACTGTTTATTTTTTGTGCACGAGAAAGTGAAACAAAAAATAACATGTTTTTATATTAAATGCAACGCAAACAGCGTGTTTAATATTATTTGTTCTTACAACACTCATAATATCTGATACTTAAATTCAAGGGGTGTGTACAATGTTTTATTAATTATTTAGTGTTAAGGTTATTATAATACATGAGATATCTAGATACATTAATGTTTGTCGATATTTTCTGTTTGCGATATATGATCTTTTTTGAGGATATCATTGTCATCAAATCCTCTGTCGACAATTGATGTAGGATTAAGGATGGGCTCATCCACGTAACGAATCCATCGATGGCCTACGAGACCGTAAATAAGCACAACAATAAATGCAATCAAAGGAATGACGAAAGCAATATTAACATTTGTGTGATCATGGATGGCTGCCATAACTGGGGGAAGGACGGCACCGCCAGAAACACCAGCGACAACTATTGGACAATTGGTAAATACATAATGGCTTAAAGAAATTTTAAAGTCAACAACTTACTGAATGATGATCCACGCTTGTGATTTCTTCCCAAATCTTTTGTACCCAATGAGAAAATTGTGGGGAATAAAATACTTTCAAAAAACATAACAGCTAATAAAGCATAGGTAGTTGCTTCCGTCTTCATGGCGATAACAAATACATTAGAGATGATGGCTCCAATAGAGAAAATAACCATTAAATAATCTGCACGGTATCTATTCATCAAAATTGCACCCAAAAGTCTTCCAACTGTGAAGCAGCCCTGACCTACTGAGAGTAAAATAGAGCCAGTTGAATCCTTAAAGTGTCCCACTTCAGCTGCGTAGAACATAAACATAGAAGCTACACAAACTTGAGCACCGACATACATAAATTGAGCAAATGCACCAAATAATAAATGAGGGGAAAGCAAGGAGGCACGGCGAACCTCTGATCCGCTTTCTTTAGCATCGGCCAACATTAAAGCTTCTTCATCTACTTCAGGAATATAGGCAAAGCAAAACATAACGGCAACAAGAGCAACACCTATAGAAAAAATAACACATAAATATTGTGCAAGTCGAATGTGTGATTTCAAAATATTTTACGTACCACCAGCTACGCCAACATATGTCCATTTAACAGAGTCCAAAGAGGCGTTTGGGGTTTCTTCAACACCACCGAAGAATGCGTATGAAGCAACAACGGGAGCGATTGTACTGGCAAGACCATTAAAAACATGAGCTGAATTGATACGGAGTGAGGCAGACTTAGCGGATCCAATAATTGTGATATAAGTATTGGCACCTAATACACATGTTAGTCATGTCACATCATGCACATCCGTCAAAGAGTGTACTTACAATTTTCCAAAGTTGTAATACCACATGCGATGACAAACAATGACCCAATAAATCCTCCGTAACTCAATGTTACAGCAGATGGATAGAAACATACTGCGCCAATGACGTAAAGTGAAAGACCGAAAATAATTGACCTTTTGTATCCAAATCTTTTTGAGATCATACTTGCACTGCAAAACCGTAGAAAACTTCAGATTTTTTTTTACAGTATATCAATAAATTATAACTTACGGCACACTGAAAATAAAGTAGGCACCAAAGTATGCTACTTGCATGTATGTTGTTTCGGTAGTAGCTGTACGTTTATTTTGTTAGTAAAACTACCTGATGAGACTACTTTGGTTAACTTACTAAGGTTAAGAACATTTTTAAAGTGCTTGTTTAATGTATCGAGTAAGCCGTAACTGAAACCCCAAAGAAAGAAAAGGGTGGTGACTAAGATACCTGGAATGAGGTAACTAGGTATAGCTGCTTTGTTCGCTTCTTCATCATATTTTTTCGATCCGACCACCTCGTCATTTTTCTTTTTAAATAGAGGCATAATATTTTAATTTTAAAATTGTATAGGAACAAAAGAAGAGAATAACTGTACAGATGCTTTTATAGCAACTTTTTTTCCCTCTCTTCTACCGTTTCTAATTTTCCCATACTAATATACCATAAAATGAAGAAATAACCCTTCATCGGGTTGCGGTATTGTTTTTTAAAGTATGGTTAGACAGGTGATAGTTGCACGTCTATAAATTACACTTTTGATTCACACGTTAATTTTTACATTTTTTATTATGTGTTGAGCAAAGATATAGGTATATCTAGGTGCAGCTTACTATAGACTTATTGCAAAAAGATAGAGTAACAATTTTTCAAGTTTAATGCCTGTATGCATCGATGTAATCTATCATTTTTTTTCTTTTACTATGATCATTTCATGTCACAAAAAAAAAGGGGGGGGGGAGTTTGATGCGGTCATGTGTTGGTGAGAAAAAAATACAAAAGGGTGCAAACAGTATTACAAAATATACTGGCAACAATTGTGATTCGTACGGAGAATTATTTTAATCCAAATCAGGGACTTTGTGAATTGTTACATTTTTAGTGTGAAAAAATTATGTAACTTTTGGACGTAGTGCAACTAGTCTCAAATAAGCTGTAGAGTTCTGTTCAAGGGACTAAAGGTTGGCCTCACCCTTTTTTTTGTCAGGGAAACCCCCATGATACTTTTTTTTTAATAAAGTGATTATGCTACAAATATTACCTTATACTCATCCTAGTTTCTTTACTGATTACTTTTTTTCGCAGTATAATTTACTTAGGATACCATATAATACGAGCATTATGATGGCCACAAAAAATGGCATTACTAAACACTCAAGTTACACATCTGCTTCTTACAGAGTACAATTATACCAGATATCTTAGTAAACACATAGTTATTTGTGCATAATTCTGGGGGAATTTACCTAAAGAGCTCCTTTTTCTGGGGAAAAATTTCCCACGAAGCTATATTTTTTATAAAGCGGGGAAGTCGATATTTTGAAAGACAGGTTGTCAGTTAAAAAAGTCCCCTATATTAATAAATTTTAATGCAATACTTTTTCATATACCCTTTTGATACATAATATAAATATCACCGCTATAATACATATTGAGCTGGAGTATGTGTTCAGACAATGACCCCACTTTTATTTATTTCTACTTGCCAACTCTGGATTAAGACGTTGGTATGGTTACATTAAGAATTTTGGTACAAAAACCAATGCCTTGGTCAATTTCAATCCAGCTGCCTAATAAACAGCTCTTTTTTTATTACTATCACTCAATCCCGAATTCCAAGAAAATCATCTGCTTTATGAAAACTGGCCATTTTTTTTGAAAACCGCGCTTTAATAAAATTAACATATGGAATCAGTTAACGGGAATAAAAAGCCAGCATCTCAAGCTCGATTGAAATATTTTGCTTGTGGATTGTCTGGTGCTACAGAATTTTTCGCTGAACATTCAGAGATATTGTGTTGCCACTCGGAACATGTTAGTTATTGATGTCTAGTTTTACTACTCATACAATTTTTTAAGGTACTCCACCTCATACAAGCTAAAGAACTGGTGTGCATGTCAAGGATCACACTTATATAACCTTACTGGCAATCGTTGTTTAATATTGTTAACTAATAAGCGGAAAGGTCAATTTAGAGTGCTGTAGTTTTTTGTTCAAATTTAAACGTTGTGTATGTTTCCCCAGTAAATGCACTGCACACCTTTCAGGGTAAAATTTGCCATTATCTTCGCTCCAATCCTTTTTATAAACACCAATATATGTCTATTGACATACCCATCAAATATTAACTTAGAGTCAAGTAAAGGTTTACTAAGTCTTTTGCTTACTTTCTTATATTGTTTACAAAGCCATTAGCTCATTTTTTTCCGACTTTGTATATAAACAATAACATATGCTGACTCTCCTACTTTGGACCAGGCTCGTCCTCTTATCATATGCGTATTAAGGCCTGCTTCATCTTCAAATATGCAATTCTCTCTAAAATAGACGCCAATCTTCTTCCATTTACTTACCATCTTGTGATTGAGCCGAAGTGTTCGTTCAGCGTCCCTTTCTCTATTGTATGAAGATGCTTTTTTTCAAAAAAAAAAAAAAAAGTACAGTCAACTGTTACATGTTTCCAAAGAGAAGGGATAGAAATATCTTTTAAGTCAAGAAATCGCTGGCCAATACAAGTGTTACAGACTTGTGGTTATCGAGGTAATGAATCAAAAATAAGTTATGCTTCGTACCTCTGTTCATGGCTTTTGGAGCAAAACCAGGCAATACATTACCGTTGCTGTTATTGGATTCTTTGAGCAACCTGTAAGCACTCTGTCGAGAAATGTTACAAAGTACTGCCGCTTTAGGTACAGTAGTACCTTCATCGTCTTGCATTATCTATATGAACATGGGCACTTGCTCGGGTGTGTACTTTTTGTACTTTTTGTCACCGTCGTCTTAACCGTCATCAATAAAAAATCTGTGTGTGTTGCTCATTTAAATATTAAAATCTGCCATTTTGGGGCTGTACGCACTGTAATGATCAAAATAATTTAATTTATAATTTTTCAAAATAAAAATAGATGAAAGCTACGATAGTTAAATAAGAAGAAGAGGGGTATTAGCGTAATCAAGTGGCCTTTTCTTTGCCCTTGTTATTATTGCTCTTAGGCGCTATATCTACAGCAGGAAGCGGTGCAACCACAGTTTGTGCCTGAGGATTACCGTGTTGACACACTGCGCAATCTTTGACCGTGCCCAGTTGTCGCTCTAAACAATCGGTGTGGAATCCATGGCCACATTTAAATACCATATAATTCTTGGGTGGCGCTGGTTCCCCATCCATAGACTCTTTGCCTATTTCTTCATCATCTTCAAAGCCCCAAGCGAGTGATGGTTGCAGTAAAGAAAGATCCAATATGTTGACACCACAGATCTCACACACGGCCCTACCAGGTCGCCATCCTTTATTATTTTTACGCACCAGATCTTGTAAGCTTACATGTAAATCACGATCAAATAATCGATTGGTCATCTCCAGTAGTTGACCTTCATATTTATAGGTATCCAGCATGCTCAAAAATATATCACGGAAATCCGCAAATGTGGTTTCTCCACGTGTCTGTGATTTAATCAACCGTTTCAGCAGTCTGGGGAGCGAGACCTGCGGTGAGGTTGACAGTAGTAACGATGTTAGAATAGATTGTACAAATGTTTTAAAGGACGTAGTAATGCGTTGATAAATTTCAGATGGTGCTGCCAGTTTTTTGTCGTGTTCGTTTCCTAGCATATTATACATTTCAATAGAGCCTTCCACGTATGCATCTAATAATCGGAACCATAATGTTTCTACTAAATCATTGGGGATTATTTCTTCTTCTTCGTGGTGTGATTCATCACCTAAAGAGCTATCTTCACCGCGACTCAGCTCGGGCAAATTAACATCGTCCTCTAATTCAGTTGAGTGATAAATAGCAGCACTAGATCGACTACTGCTCTCACATAATCTGGTTCCCACACGTAAAACACCGTTTAATCCAATCAAACAGCTATGTATTGTACTTTGTTCTTCAAAAGTCCAACCAAATTCAGATAACCTATGTTCTTTCAAAATATGAAGAATACAAGCATTCTTGGATTTGGCTACTTCTAACATCTTTTCAAGTGCTCCCTGGGTATCACCACTTTTTTCCATAATCCAGACAACTGCATCCATCACACCATACTCTTCGCAACTTTTTTTGACGTTTTCCAGCGAAATATCATCATTTAACTTGGTATTGAAATAATTAAACACACCAGAAGGATCGAATCGACACATCAATTCGATGTAGCGCTCCTGAATTGCACCGTCTACATGAGGAACATGTGCTTCACGAATCAAGCCTTGCTGTACCTCATTTGTATCAATCAACTCATTTTCCTCGTATGGTTCCAAAAGACCTCTTAAATACGAGAAGAGGCGTTTGTCCGAGGTCACATGATGCTCATCGTCGTCAAATTCTTGATCCTCTTCCAATCGTCTTATAGCGTCAGCATGATCTCCACCCAGAAAATTTTCCACAATAAACGCGGCTTTTTGACCATCAATCTCGACAAATTGAGAGATACGAATCATGAAAACACGTTGTACTTCGCTCTTTTGTCGATCATTTAAATCGTTTGAACTCAATAGCTTTTCAACGCATTCAAAAACCATTTCGCGCCGATCATCGTCCTTGAGATAGGCCTCAACTAGTTTACCGTATTTTTTATCACGGCGATACACTTGCTCCAGCACTTTCCAAAATCCAGCTTCTTCATACAAACTGACGATCTGCTCCTCGTTGGTAGGTGTGTAAACCATCAGCAAATTCTGTACTGCTTTTTCGCGTTCAATCCGGGTATTCGGGTCATGATCTTCAGCTAATCTGACAAGGACTTTGTGTAACGTTTTAGGTGGCAACAAAATGAATGTAGTGTACATGTGAAGGTTGGATGCGATAAACATATATAGTAAAATGATATTTTCGTTGGAAACGTAATCATAGGCAAGTGATGAATATTCGCTACCCATGGATGAAGAAGGTACATTGATGTGTAAATTAGGTCGATTCGTACTAAATGAAGTGACAGTAGAAGCCGAAATTGATTGCTTCGGTCTGGGAGGAGGTAGAGGTAAGCCATTTCCTGTGAGACCACCGCCCATAACATCTAACAAGGTGTTGACAATGATTTGTCGAGAAATCACTTTACCGGGTACCTCATCTTCGAATTTAGAACTCAAGATATCTTCACCACCGTTCAACCAAGGATCTTCAAATGCCACTTCCAATGCTTCTAAAAACTTTTTGGTGCTAAATCGAAGCAAGAGTCGCAAGTAGGGATATGTAGGTTCCGAAACACCTTCTTCATCGTCTGCTGTTAAAACCAATCTTCCACCTACAGGGGGCCATACCACACATCGACCAGAGAACACAAATGAGTACACTGCACTACGTGCGTCACTGGCTTCATCTGAAGCAAGCATGGTAGAGCCTTCAGGAAATGATTTTCCTGTTAAAATCAACTTTAGATAGTCAAACAATTTTTCAGCATTTTGTCGCGCGTGCATATTGTGCTGACTATTCCCATCGCCTTCATGACGAAGTACAGAACGAATCACCTTGAGCATTTCTACTACGGGACTCACATAGTCGTGCATACTCTTGTTCCAAACATACATCATAGCTTCATACATACCCTCACGATGACACATGCTCACGATTTGATCGATATCCAAATTATTCGGGTTGACATGCCAAATGACTTGCTCCAATTCATCCAATAACCGTTTTTTACTATAGTGGTCCACTAAATCCTTCATAATTGACGGCGGCACATCTGGTATCTCATCATCTACAATAAAGGGTTCCAATACCTCCAAAAAGACACCCTTGACATTATTTTCTGCAAATCGATCATAAACAGTATCAAACAAGAACTCCATATTATCCATACTCAAACAGGCCTTTACGCATCCTTGAGCTAAATCGTGGAATAGGATTGTTTCTCCTCCGCCAATTTCATCTGCCATACCTTCATAGGTTCGTTTAGACGAAAATGCATAGTTCAAAGAAGCCACCAACAAATCCATCAGTTTTTCTCCCACAAGATTCTTTCTGGCTAATTCTTCTTCAGGCAATCCAATCACTGTCTGAATGCCAATACCGTCATAAAACGATGTTGCTAAAGCGATACTTTCCAGAAAATCTCCAGCCTGCACAAGAGCAAGGATACGATCTGCCCAAGATAACAACGTACCGACATATATCTGCTTGATACCTAACAGGAACAATTTTCCTTTATAGCTCTTGATGGAACCAAAATAGGCCATTTCGACAGATTTCAGCACGGTGGCGTTTTCAGGTGATTTAACGGTTTCTTTCGCAGCGTCCACTACCAAATCCTTTAAAGGTGCGTTAAACCAATCGTGATAAACAAGTTGTTTGGTGCGGATGCTGGTGTGTTGCGTTTCACACATATTTTTAGGATCGAATAATATCATTTCTTCGTTTGGTGTAAATAAGACCAAGATCTATCAGTAAATTTATGATTAATCTGTTGACGTCTTCTTCACATAATTTATTGCAGGCTTTTTTTTACCTGTCGATTGATCCATTGAATACCAACGATAGCATCCTTACACTTGTATTCACCAATCTTGACAAACTCCAAATGAACCCCCTTTTTTGCTGGTTTAGGGGCAGGTGGTGGAGGAGGAGTCCTTGATCTACCGTTATTAACAACAATTTTGGGAGTGTCGTTATCTACACTGACACGTAGGATGAAAAGATGATCTCCCCAAGCAAATGCAAGCATGGGATCGGACGGTAAGTTTTGATCTTTGCTTGTAGTGTTGGGCCCTAATTTGATCACGGGCAACCAAGCCAAACATCCTGATAAAGGCTCAATATTCGCCTTGGATCTATCTTCCTCTGCATGAATCCTGTGGTCGGGGTGTTTGACCGCTTTCGGTTTCAGGAATTTGTACAGTGTTTGAAGCGAAGGCTTGATACCTACTATAATCATCTATTCAAAAAAAAGTTTAAAAAATGATTTTATAACCAAAATTTAAATCTACTAACCTTATAGGGAGTTAACAATGCAACAAGACCAAAGTTTTCGGTCGGATGGGGTATTTGGCCTAAAGGCATGGGTTGCATCGCAAATACCGTATTCGGTCTTCGTTGTTTTATCGGTGTACTTGTAGGTAGATGAAGTCTCAATCTTGCCGAAGCTGCCACATGTTGTGCACGTTCCACTTCAGGAAATAAAGACAAGTTTTGATACCTTCCTAAGATACGAGTGGTGGCTACTCCATTCACCATAATGATTGTATATAATAAATGATGGAAAGCCATACCCTGGTCATCAGCCGAGACAAGGTCGGATTTCTTAACACCTACAAATCCCACATGTAGCACTGAAGTGCCCTTGACATGTCCTTCGGATCTACTTACATTTTGGTGAGGATTAGAGAGTGTGCCAATCACTTGATTGACAGAGATAGGATTGATAGTGCGTAAAGGAGAAGCCGGTTTACGGATATCCCAAATGACAATATATCCTTGCGAATGCCCACATGCAATGGTTGTATGATCTGCAGAAACGGCTAGCGATGTGACTGATCCTAGCTCAATAGCTATTATTGTTTTTGTCAGTAAAAGTTGCTAGTCATATAGAAGAGGAGTTATTTTTTTTCTTTACCACGGGTGCTGTCACCGAGAATACATTTCAAATTTTGTGAATAGTCATAAACAAAGACTAAACTACGTGTTGTACCAATCGCGATCACTCCACTCACCACCATGACAGAAATCAGTCCACTTTCCCCTTTGATAGCATCTGAATATAACTGATCCGAAATCTTTTTGAGCGGCGTCCATTTAAATGCTTCCCAAGGCTCAACATTCTCTTTGCTTTGCACTTCATTCAACGAGGCAAAATCTGAAGATGAGTTGTGGGAGACGGAGGACGATTCCAATCGTTTTCGGAGGCTATGACTGCTGACAGGAGATGCTAATAGTGAAATTGAGCGATGAGGCGGTGTACTAGATAAAAATGATGGTGTTCCAGGTGAAGTTTTGGACATTTCTGAAGAGGAATCCTATTCATAAAATAAAATAAAAAGAAGGTTACAAAAAAGTGTATACGTGTGTAAGCTTCATATCTTTCTTACGAAATGGAGTATACTTGAATCTACATCAAATGTATCAGAGGATTCATCTTCATCTGAATTATCTGACTCGTTTAAAATACTCTCCAAACTAAGATAGTTTGCTTTTTGTTTTGTTTTTCTATTAGAATTAAGGTTTCTGCATATATATGCTTTTCAGTTGTTACCTTTTTTAACAAACTCTTCGTACAAGCCAATTTCTTGGTTAATTTCATCCAAAAATTGTAGGACTTTTTGCTTCTTTTTTTCCCCAATATTATTCTGAGCTACAATGTTCACCAACGGTCCACCGTTCAAATGAATATGTAAGTCTTCTCTGATTTTATAAAGTCCGTTCAGTCTGGTTTGAATGGTGGTATCGGAAGCTACGGGTAAATCCAATTCAGGGATTCGTAGCGAGTTAAATTTTTGTTCCAAGACAGTTAGAGAAGGGACGCCGTTGATAAGGCGAGTTTGGTAAGGAACAGCATCGAGCACTTTCGAAAGTGGATCAGGTTGTATGCGATCAAAAGGTTTAGGTGAAAGTAAAGGCTGGTTTGAAAACGAGGATTGCAGTGGGGTATTGGGTCTAAACAACAAATAAGGATGAGTATAAAGATGTTTGCAATGTCTCTTTTACTTTACATGGAAAAATCGGAGCTAATGGAATGAGATCTTCTGTGGCTCATAAAGGTCTTTAAATTGGCTAGATATTTGTCTGCAAGTGAACGATCCTCTAAAGCCGCTCTCAAGTCATCAGGTAATTCTGCTGTAGCTGCATTCAAATCGATATCGATATGGTTCAACAACTCTTCTTCGTCTTCTGAGCTTTCTTCAAGTACTTCCTTGAGTAAAGCATCATAATCTCTACGAAACTTGACCGTGTTTGTGCTAATGCTGGGTTGCATTTCGGGAAGTCCCAGATTAAGTTTTTTTTTATCATGATTTGGGTCCATAATGTATAATATGTATCACACAAGACGACGTTTTTTCTGTTATTTGTATCTATTAAGAGAAAGAGAGAAAAGGAGGGAAAGAGAAGGAGTTAAACAAAAAAGAAAAGAAAAAAAAAGGGTGCGTTTCTAAAAAAGATACAAACAAATGCAACTTAGTGTTGCTGCACCCTTTTTCTCTCTCAATCACTCGGAGCACTCTGCCACACATGACCACGTTCACCTCTCTTTTGAGCTTCATCGTCGCCCTTTTAACTTTATGCGTTTCTGTGTGACAACTGGACTTTTAAACGTTATGAAATTGTGTTCAGCGTCTCCAACCCCAAAAGTTCCCAAAGAACTGAATTCTCTCCTGTCTCCGATTTTTATTTGGTTTTTCAACGCTTTTTGACGGGTGAAAAGTTCTTTTTTTGTAAACTACCCACATTTTTGCCTCAGTTAACACTCGTTTATGCTCCGTTTTTTTTATGAGACACATAATAAAATTTTTTTCATTTATAAAAGGGGAAATTGTCAACAGAGTGTTGAGCAAAGTTACAGTAATGCGACACATTCTAATAAAGTCGAAGACTTCTTTTTGGATTCTACTATTCAAATCCTCTGTTACTTAACCCTTACTTGACTGAGTAGGTTTATTTCACAAGGAGGTTGTCAATAAACCTGATGCATTACGAAGGGTGAAATACAACACCCCGTAATCATCTCGTTGACTTTTCAGATGGTCAAACATATAGATGTATTCGTCGGTAAAACTCCAGTGATTCACCAACACATCAAATTCTCATTAAATAGATGTTTTTGTCAACGAATACACATGCTTAGATGAATGTTTGCAATTGTCCAAAAAGACATTAGCTTTTCGGAAACGGAGTGATCAAATTAGAACCTAATAAGCATACTCTGAGTCATCCATCATGAACATATTGTTCAAAAAGTAGACAAGGATATCAGTGGTGCTATCAACTGATCTCTGATAATAGCAAAACCGTGAATTCTTCTTTAATAATACATCACTATGTGTTAGCCTTTACAATGTTCAATCATTTATATCTTTTTACGTTCACTCAATTTGACAAAAATTGTCATTTTCAAAAGTAGCTGGAGTGAGCTGCTAATGTACATACAAAAATAATGTGTTTTAGTACGAATAAAAGAAAGATCGTTGAGCATAGTTAAACTACCTTGACTACCGATGTCTTGATGTATTCAAATATCATTTTTATCGTATAATGTAGTCGATAAAATGGAGTTTTACATTAGATTAACTCGGAAAATCAAATTTCCAAAGTTAATTCTGTTTTGCGCTTTGGAAGTCATCCGGACACCACATATTCTTCCTGGTTGTACGTCCTTTTTTAATATAAGTTACTTTTTAGGTTTCATAACGCTTTGATTTGTTTTGACTATCAGTATATAATATAAATAAACAAACCACAAACGAACAATTTATACTTGTAGCATGAGTTACATATATTTCACAAGACGGACTTAACCAATATCTGCAAAAAAAAAAAGTGCAGCTAACTATTCCTTTTTAAAAAATAAACAAGTATCTTATATTTATATACACCCAGTTTTCGTTTCGCTTTTCTTAGGGACAGCCATTTTTTCCTTAGGGACAGCCAAAGTGCACGTAGTCATAACGTGCGATCTGTGATTTGGCTATCCTTTAGATTTGGAAACAAGACAATATAATCGAAAACAACATGATAATTACAAATAAATGAATATTGAATGATTTGCACTTGGTTTGATAATTCTACCATCACTCCTTCGCCTTTAAGCTCGTTTGATCTTAATCTTACGCAGAAATATTAAGGTAAAGTTCAAACGAGAAGTTGAAGGTAAGCTATAACACACATATACTGGTTTACACTATGCTGGCTGTATCTTTTTTAAGTTATCAAGATATATTGACCCAGCATTACGACTACGCGCACCATGACTGTCCCTAAGAAAAATGGCTGTCCCTAAGAAAATTTGGCTGTCCCCAAGAGACCTGTTTTCGTTTATAGATAAAATCCTTTCTCACAATCCGTTCTTCTTCCTTTTTATTTTTGACAGTATATCATTGAAAAAAAAATCTATGAAGGTCTGTTAATAATATATAGTTATTTTCTGCTAGAACGTGACAGATATTTGTTAAAGCACATCTTTTTATACTTGAAAAGTTGCGTACTAATTTCTGTGGCACATGGCAAATATCAAGCATACGGCTAGTTAACACTATATGATGGGGACTTCAAGATGTCTTCTTAGTTTTAATCCCAAATTATTGTAGGCGTTTTGCCCTTTAATATGAAATCTCCTCATTTTTATTAACAAATGCATGCTGATAGCATTTACCACAACAATAACAAAAGAAAAGGGGTCTTCTTTCTGAGACTCAAGTATAAAAGACTAGTAGTAATACTACTGATAATGATTTGTAGCTGTGATAGAGTTTATTACGTTTGGTTGATAGTCTACACAGTGTTTTAAGCAGAGAGCACGCCGTATTAAAATGGTCCCTCAACAGTAAATGGAACACTGTGCTATGTCCCTCTTGTTGGATTCAGAGGTTAACACTGATAGTTGCAAGTGTGTGTTACTGTAATAATCGTGTAGAACTAAAAGAAATGTAAAGTAAAATATGTTTTGACTCCTGTTAACATCTCTTTCGACAACATCGGAGGTCTGTATGATGTTTGAGAAGCCAGAATGAGCCAAGAAACCAACTGTCAGCACACAAAGATTTCAGTGTCATTGCTCACAATACCATTCCAATTAATATCCAGGTTGGGACGGCTTTATTTCGGTTAGCTAATTGTTCTTTCGGATTATGTCAAGCGTACATGTTTTTATATGTTTCATCAGATAATTACACTATTATTAGAAAATATCAGAATACGTTCATTTTCCGGGAAAAGATTGGTTTAAAAGTCGTAAAAAAATTGAGCTTACCACTCACTTAGTTAAGTGTATCTATGTTTGACCTGCGATAATAGGCCTGGAAAATTCTAGTTACGACGTTGACGAACATTTCTAATGTTTGCTTGGTCATTTTGGGTCCTTGCTCTTCTCCACGTCGAAATCTTGGGGGGGGGAATGCCGTTTCCAGCACGAAGTGAACGAACAATATTAAACATGTTTAAGAAAGTAGTCATATCATGATTCCATAGACGAGGAACAATATTATTTGTGTTATTAGTCATGGTTCTACAATTTGGACTTGTGCCTCTGTCCTTAAAACAAACAAAAACTTATTAACAAGTGAAATCAACATATCTTGTGAAATGTACTGAGTTTGTTCAACCAAAACAGCAAAACGAGCAGTGTATCTGCTTTCACGATCCATTCTTTTCTTGATCACAGTAACACGTACCCCCATCCGTTTAAATAGTTCCTACAAACTGGAGCTCGCCATTTATAAAAATAGTGAATAATACTTTTACAAAAGCAGTTAAGGACATCCAGTCAAACTTATGGAAATTGGCATTTTTCCACAAAAATGATTGGCGAGAATTGCATGACAAAAAGACGCGTATTTTTTTTTTTTTTTTTTTTTTTTTCACTCCTCTTGATAACATTTATTTTCACTGCTCTTGACTACACTTATTTCTACTCCTCTTGACTACACTTATTTCTACACCTCTTGATTACACTTATTTTTCATTCCTCTTGATTACACTTATTTTTCATTCCTCTTGACTACACTTATTTTCACTGCTCTTGATAACATCTATTTTCACTCCTCTTGACTACACTTATTTTCACTCCTCTTGATTACACTTATTTTTCATTCCTCTCGTGGGGATTTGAATTTGTTCACACAAACATATTATGCCACATGTCTTTAAACACTTACTTTGTACCAGAAGAGCTTGAAGTTGATCGTTATTTCAAGAAAAATCCATTTCCTGATTGGTCCTTCCCACAATACTATGAATGAAAAAAAAGACTAAATCCGTTCAATGAGAAGTTCAACAAGATGCAAAAGGAATATAACGATAACTTGGAAATCATCAAGAAAAGTAGCTTGGTCCACGATGACGTCAAATCCCAAATTCAAGTCTTCAAAAAGTCTTCAAAGGTGAATACAAATCAATATTCTGCATATAAATGCAAAAGTGCTAACGTTTTGAACAGGGAAAGGCCAAAGATAAGGAGATCCACAAAATTGTAAACAACATAACGTACAAGGGCCATGCTTCTCACTACAAGAATAGCACGATCAATAATATCATGGAAGTACCTAAGGACGAAAGCTCACGCTGTTCGATTGTTGCTGAAAACAAAAGTGCTATGGAACGCATGTGCTCTTTTGGGAGGCGACTGTAAGCGAGGATTGACAGAACCACTTGTTTTGCTTGAGAGCCTCAACTTTTTATAACTTTTGGAAGCCTTATTTATGTCGTTATGCAGATTGAGTATGAATTCCTAAAAAAAAATGCCTAATTACTTATTTTGAAATAATGGATTGGATGTACTGCTTTACCTTGAAATTTAACAATTGGTCTAAAGTGTTCCCGAAGACTAAATCCTCCAAATCATCGAAATCCCCTGGTAAAAACAGATTGTCCTCTTCAACCTTCACTGCAGCTATGATATCTTCATATTGATAAACAGAGTAGACAAAAGCAGAGAGACCTTTCAATTTTTTTTTCAGTTACAGCAAGGTTAAATCTTAAATAAGTGCGCCTAGTTTACCTATAATATCTATACCCAGGACATAACAATCATCACTAAGCTCTCCCATATGTGCAGCGATATTATGCAAGATACTCTTATTGACTCTGATATTTTTGTTCAGTTGGATGGCTTCGACATCTTCAGACACACTGGCAGGCTTGATTTCTACAGAGCTCAGCTCGATATTCTTCTTTATACGCTTGTCGTCAAGTATGGATCCCTTAAAAATTAAATCTATTTTTCTACCATATACACCAGTCGATACATCTCCGTATTCGTATTCATTGAGTTGACGATCATACTTCGTCGCTAGACAGCACGCCTCTCCTCTGTGGGGTCATGTAAGCCAATCAAAATAACTTTGTAATAATCCCTTTATTTACCTTATCAGCGAAACATTGGTTCCTCGAAATATGATATCAAATACAGACTTCCAATAGCACCCAAAGTCCTCCTCATGCAAATGTTCTTCGTACCAGTCCTTGAAGGTTACATTATTGAGTCTACATAATATAAACATACGTTACATTAGAAAAAGTGTTTAAACTAAGTGATGTGATATGGTGTTAAGGATTTTACATCAGATCGTAAACATCCATGATCATCAAGTTAAACTCTTCTTTATCTTGAACTTCATCCTCATATATTCTACGACGCTCTCGAACTACAAACTTTCGAAGACCTTTTTTACCGCCAGCCTCATATGCCTAAGCAGAGAAAACGCATATCGTTAATGAAAGTTCAAATAATCAAAATTGCTTTTAAGTTGGATTGCTCACCTTTTGTAAGTCTTGTTTCAACTTGGCCCATATTGAATTTGCGTATTTTGAAAAGGACAGTACTGGCTTAGAAGTAAGTATGCAGTTTAATTAATCAGTACCATTGATTGATCTGATCGTCCTCCGACAACTAACTGATACAGTATTGATATAACTGGACAAAAGAACACTAAAATTTATGACAACAATCATTTAGCAATCGTTAATGGGCATATTTGTATGGGTATTGTACTTACTGTAACTTTGACTTCTCTACTGGAGTTAAGTCTTTGTACGTCTTAAGTAACCGGATGCATTCATTGTAAAGTTTTTGATCAATAGTTGTAGGCGTCGGTAGAGTTGGAATTGTATTCAAATCGATATTTTCATGTTTGTGCTACAAAAACAACTCTGTTTTAAAGCCTTACTTCAAAGAAGTATAGATTTCCTTACCAGTTTATACAGATAATGATACAAAGAGTTCATTCTTGAATCTGTTGTGGCTACTTCATTACTATCTTCATGAAATTCAAATGTTCGCTTTCCTTCCCTTTCCATAGCACTTTTGTTTTCAGCAACAATCGAACAGCGTGAGCTTTCGTCCTTAGGTACTTCCATGATATTATTGATCGTGCTATTCTTGTAGTGAGAAGCATGGCCCTTGTACGTTATGTTGTTTACAATTTTGTGGATCTCCTTATCTTTGGCCTTTCCCTGTTCAAAACGTTAGCACTTTTGCATTTATATGCAGAATATTGATTTGTATTCACCTTTGAAGACTTTTTGAAGACTTGAATTTGGGATTTGACGTCATCATGGACCAAGCTACTTTTCTTGATGATTTCCAAGTTATCGTTATATTCCTTTTGCATCTTGTTGAACTTCTCATTAAACGGATTTAGTCTTTTTTTCCATTCATAGTATTGTGGGAAGGACCAATCAGGAAATGGATTTTTCTTGAAATAACGATCAACTTCAAGCTCTTCTGGTACAAAGTAAGTGTTTAAAGACATGTGGCATAATATGTTTGTGTGAACAAATTCAAATCCCCACGAGAGGAATGAAAAATAAGTGTAATCAAGAGGAGTGAAAATAAGTGTAGTCAAGAGGAGTGAAAATAGATGTTATCAAGAGCAGTGAAAATAAGTGTAGTCAAGAGGAATGAAAAATAAGTGTAATCAAGAGGTGTAGAAATAAGTGTAGTCAAGAGGTGTAGAAATAAGTGTAGTCAAGAGCAGTGAAAATAAATGTTATCAAGAGGAGTGAAAAAAAAAAAAAAAAAAAAAAATACGCGTCTTTTTGTCATGCAATTCTCGCCAATCATTTTTGTGGAAAAATGCCAATTTCCATAAGTTTGACTGGATGTCCCTAACTGCTGTTGTAAAAGTATTATAATGGCTTTGCTTTTTTTATGTTTGGTAGCAGCAACAAAACCAAATATGGTACTGTCGGGAGTTCAATTTGACCTTGATATCCCCCATTTCCTGCCCCAAAAAAAAAGAAGCTCCCAACTTGGGAGTTAGTTTGCAGGGCTAGTACAGTATATAAAAGAGATAACTGGAAGGCAACTTGCTGCGTCTTTTTAAAAAAGAAAGTTTCCACGTGAATTTTGTCAAGATATACTATCCAAAGTTGGCTTGATGTCAGGCATGTCAGCGTTTCATGGCTAAATTTGGAATTTTAGTCCTTAGTCAATCCAACTCGAATAAATGCAGAGAATCAGATTGGCTTATATAAACAGGTCCAAATATGTTTTTTCTTCCTTTTTCCTTTTAAATTTTATACACCATGTCCATTGCTCAAAAACGAATTCAAGCCGTAAAACAACATTTGACTCCAGAACAAGAACATGCCAAGGCTGTCGAGTAAACAAACATAATAGCTCCCCTCTGAGTGTATATTCTTGTCACTAACACCTTTTTTTCTAATAGTCCTGTAGCCAGTATGAATGAAGAAAGAGCTAAGGCGGCTTTTGATATTCGTGCCTTGACTATCTTGATGGACGGCGGTGAGAAAGCAACGCTTGTAAATATACTCCACTCCTCAAAAAAAAAAAAAAAATAGGCTGGTAATTGACTCTTTTCACTTGTAGTTAAAAGAAAAGATTATGCAAGAATTGGAAAGAGACCCCCTTTTCAAAATGGATGATATCCACGATATATCTAAATCAGAGCTTCGTGAACGTACTATGGAAAAAGTAGGTATTTATCATTTTAATTCAATTTTTAATTATTGACCTTCTGTACACCCAGTTCAGTAGCATGCTTCATCATCTTCAAAATGAATCGGTCGAAACCTTTAAAAAGCGTATGGAGATCGTTAGTTTGGTTGATCCTGGTTTCTGGACCAGATTTGGCGTACATTGTAAGATCTCCGTATCTTCATTTGATGTTTAATTTTTATTAACAAACTTTCTTGGAGCATAGACGGTTTATTTGTTGGCGCTTTGCAGAGTAATGCCACACCGGGTCAATTAGGTTACTGGTTTGGAAAGGGAGCTCTTTCGCTATCTTCGTTTGTGGGCTGCTTTGCTATGACAGAACTAGGTCACGGCTCAAATGTACCTGGCCTTGAAACCACTGCTACCTTTGATGAGGCTTCCGACCAATTCATTATCCATACTCCTACCTTAACTGCTACCAAATGGTGGATAGGCGGTGCCGCTCACTCTGCTACACATGCTGCGGTATTTGCTCAATTAATTGTCAAAGGAAAGATGCATGGCACCAAATGTTTTGTTGTGCCTTTGAGAGACCCTAAAACATATAATACGTTACCCGGTATTAACATTGGTGATATCGGTAAAAAGATGGTAAAATCAACCTTTTTTTTGTCACTCGAGTGTTTTATTAATTTTAAATATTAGGGAAGAGATGGTATTGATAATGGCTGGATCCAGTTTACAAGTGTTAGTATTCCTCGTGCTTACATGCTCCAAAAACACACCAAAGTCTCTCGTACTGGCCAAGTTCAAGAGCCCAAAATGCAACAACTGGTACATAGATATATCATAAAAAAAAGAGAGAGACTGTTTTACAAACATATCCTATTATAGACTTACGGTGCCCTGTTACAAGGTCGTGTGACAATGGTAGCAGATGGCTCAAATGTTTCTAAAAAAGCACTATCAATTGCAATCAGATATGCCGCTGTTCGTCGTCAATTTTCCAGCTCTAAAACAGACATCGAAACCAAATTATTGGATTACCCAATCCACCAACGTCGTCTAATGCCTTTACTTGCACAGACATTTGCAATGTCTTTTACAGCAACAGAAATGACAGACATGTACAATCTTATGATGACACGATTAGAGGGCGCCAAGGAAGGGGATGCGGATATTGATGAGGTTATGGAAATATTGAAAGAGACTCACTCCACCAGCGCCGGTCTCAAAGCCTTTTGTACCTGGAATTGTTTGAGCACCATTGAAGCATGTCGCCAAGCTTGTGGTGGTCATGGTTACTCTGCTTACACAGGATTATCCTCCATGTACGCAGACTTTGCTGTCCAGTGTACCTGGGAAGGCGATAATACCATCTTGACACTTCAGTTGGGTCGTTATTTGATCTCCAGTTACCGTGATGCATTAGGTGGTAAAAAGCTGTCTCCAGGTGTAGGTTATTTAAACAAATTAGATGTGCTGATTGGCAAGAAATGTCAGGTGAAGCGCATGGAAGACATCTTGTCACCCGAATTGATTATTGAAGGCTGGCAAGTGGTGTGTGCTAATGTAGTTCGAAACGCCGGTATCGAATTTGACGCTTGTCTTAAGCAAGGCATGGACGTAGATGATGCTTACGAACATTGCTGTAAGTATATCAATGAGTGATACTGGTATATGTTTTTTCTAATGTACATGTATATAAATTTAGCACAATCTCGCCTTTATGCTGCCAAGCTTCATTCATTCAGTTACTTATTCAACCGATTTGCAGACGGTGTATCTAAGGTTACAGGATCACTCCACGATGTTTTGATCAAGGTCTGTCTATTGTACGGACTCTACTCAATTGAAGAAAACGCAGGTGCATTCTTACAATACGAGTACTTTAGTCCTGCACAGATCGAGTTCATTCGTAGCAGTGTAAACATACTTTGTAAAGACGTGCGAGAACAGGCCATTCCTTTGGTGGATTCTTTCAATTTATCAGACTACATGATTAATAGTCCTTTAGGACGCAAGGATGGTAATGTGTATGTGCATTACTTTGACCAGGTGAAACGGTCGAACCCTCAAACTCAACATCCCTATTTTGATCGTCTTATTAAACCATTAATCACACGGGATGTGGGTGGCGAAGAAGACGAAGAAGATGAAGAAGCAGGCTTGGAAGATGAAGACGATGAAGATGAGGATTAAGGATATATAAACAATGTTATTTTTTGCCAAATAAATTAAGCTTTTGATTAAATTAATTGAGGACACAGTAAGGATCACGTTTGCTAATTAGGATACCAATATGACGTTAGTTAGACAAACAGTTTGTACACTTAAACTACTCTACGCATATATAGTATTTCAGGGTAAATAACTTAACTGCCCACAAGTAAGTCTGGAACGGTTCCAAGGTATACAAGCAGGGTTTGTGTCTAGATTATTCTATCTAAGTGGAATTATGGCTCCTGGAATCAGGACTAATTTTAGTTTTTTAAGCCCACAAACTTCAGGGCTTACATTTAATGACGCTTTTAAAGAATTGTTTAAATTATCCCAAAATGTTGCTAACTGCTGATTACATTTAGTACAATTACGGTCTAGTACTTTCTTGTAGTTTGGAAAGTCACACGATTGCACATCACCAAAGAAAGGCTAAGATTGACGATATATAAACACGAAAGACACAATAGTATGTTTCCTGTACTGTAAATATTTTTTTTAGGGATTTTGGACAAGTATAGAATGAGTTATTTTGCTATTTTTATAGACAATCGCTCGATCCATCCATCTCAATAGATATGAAATTGATGCGATTGAAAGTTGAGACTGTCATGCCCCCATATTCTCCTTTTCGCCATCTTTCATGAGGAGATATATCAACTCCCGGTATATCACTTATACATACCCTGTTCCAAAAGACTGTTCTGGTGGGATAGGACGTTCTGAACCATACCAAGATAAAAAGCAAGCATCGTTTAGAAACTCAATTTTTACAGTTGTCTGAATTTGAAATACAAATCCAGTAAATTCAAAAAAGTGGGCGGTGTTTTCAAACATTTGGTAAATTGAAAGTATAAAGTTTCCCCCCTTTTTACTTTTTTATTTTTATTGTCCTTTTTTAATAAAAAATAAAAAAATAAAATCCAAATTATGGCTTCAGAAAGAATGTCTCAAGTTTTGCCCACAGTGAAATGCTCAGACTGTGGAAGAGATGTACTCATTAGACGTCTAGGTGATCATCTTTGCTCTAGCCAACCACCTGTACCTTCACTCCCCATCATTCCCGCCATGAAAGGTAAAAGCTTAATTTTTTTTTAAAAAAAAGACCTCTCATAACACCAAAATAAACTCTTTATTAGACAAATACATGAAGAAACCTATCTCTCCATTACAAAGCCCCAATACTACCAATAAATACAACCATTTTAATAACACAACAATAGGAGGATCGGTGACACCTCCATATTATAACGGCATGGCTAAAGATCTACAACGTCCATTAAAAGATACCTATCAAGACGATTCATATGCTGACGATTTCTACAAGTCTTCCTCTTCACTGGATTTACGAAAGAACAGTAATTCACCTGCTCCTTCCAGTCCAGTCTATCGGTAATTTAAACGCACATATTAAAAAAAAAAGGTGTACCTTAGTAACCATCCTCTATACATAGAAACGACTCAAGCTCAGATTTTCGTTACGAGGGAACAAGAAAGCAATCTCTGGGAAATATTTACAATCAACAAAAGCCATCACAGTCAGGAAGTAGTGGTGCCCTGGATAATTTAATGGCGGATCTAATGAACTCGATGAACGATGATATTCATCTCATGTCACCTCCAGTACCTACAAATACCAAATCAAACAATTGTGCCGTCTGTCAAGAGGAATTCGATTACAGGGATGATGTGAAGACGGTTGGAAGAGATGTATGGAGTATATTTATAAAAAGGAAAAGCCTGTATTAATTTAAATTCTTAGTGTTACCATAAGGCATGCTTTACTTGCCGCTTGTGTAGCGCTCCATTTGATATACGTCGCACACATCATGAATACGAAGGTAAACTTTATTGTGAGAGAGATTTTCATGTGGTCAAAAATCGCATCATGTGTGCTGCTTGGTAAGACAAACATCGATTTACCTGGTAAAAAAGAGATTAGGGCCAAAAAATAACGTTAATTTTTAGTGATAGACCCATTCCTCCCAACACACCAACAATTAAAGCATTGGGTAAATTTTACCACCCTGGGCATATCAAGTGTTACCATTGTCTTGTCAGTATTGATGATCGTACAGGTTGGAAAGAGTATGGGGGAAGAGTGTATTGCCGCATGGATTTTAAGGCCCTATTTCTACCCAAATGTAAATCATGTCATGGCACCATCGAGAAAAACGCTGTATCGGCTATGGATGGTAAATTAAATGGAAAATGGCATTTGGAGTGCTTTGGTTGTCATACCTGTCACCGTCCATTCCCTGATAATACATTCTATGTCTTTGATGATTTACCGTACTGTAAAAGACACTATCATGAGCTTAATAACTCCCTTTGCCGCGAATGTTGTGAGCCCATCGAAGGTATTTATATTATTCTATTTTTGTTTAAAAGTCATAGCGTTAAAAATAGATATTTTTTCTTTACATGTATATAAAAGGTCAATGCGCACAGACAAACGAAAATTGGCGATTCCACCCAGGTTGCTTTGGATGTACAGTCTGCCGAGTGCCAATTACAGATACCTACTATATGTATGATAGACGCATTTACTGTGAAACACATATCAGGCAATTGCAACGCCAGAAAAACATTCGAGCCGAAAAACGAAAAACTCAGTTTGGTCAAATTTAATTAATTTAAATATATATACACACCTTTTACCAACCAAAATATAGTGGGTGATTTCCAAAACTGTTAATCCATTGTGCATTTACCGGACTTTTGAAAAAACAAAATAACACAATGTGTAACAGCGGATTTAAACTTTTAATCGTAAATCAATTTTACAGCCCAAGTCAATTGGCCTGCCCTAAAGGTTTAGGTCTATTCGCTATCGCTCTTTCAAACTTTACCCATTGAAGACATTAAAATATGTAAAGCTCAACGCGTGCGACATGACTTGTATATCTTACGTTTTTCTCTGAGGAGCATACTGCTCGTAGATTTGTCGATATTTGCAATGCAGTAACAGCTTATAAATTTGATTTAGAGAAAAAAATTAAAAAAAAATTCTTCTAAAGATAGCATAAGAAAATCACCGTATAGTCCCGTTGTTTTCGCCCTTAATGAAGGGATTAATTTCATAAACTTTGTTCGCAATATCATTAATGAATTCAACCCTAGAAACAACATTGCCAAATCCCATATACAAATGATTTGTTGGATTTGTCGTGCATGTTTATCTAATGTTTATCTAGTGTTTATCTAATATTTATCAAATATATATCTAGCAAGACCGTTTTTTTTTCTTTTTTTTTTCTTTTTTTTTTTTTTTTTTTTTTTTTTTTTTTTTGGAGAACCTTGTATCATACACATTTTGCATTCAAACAGACGATTTATAACTGATATTCCCAATGAGGTTAAATCTTTTATTTCACAAACATTTACTCATTTTAAAGAGGGTTCTGGAATCCTATATCAGAATCTAATTCACATGGATAGTCTTTACAAGAAGAGGCCAAAGTCATTATACTCAGTCTTTCTTAAGTGAACAAGCTGTCCATTTACGATCTCTGCAATTCTATCATACCCATAGAAAACGACAAATTTGATATCACGCCTGTCACATTGAAAAATGGTCGCTCGAGTATTTATATCTTCTCTCCTTGTCTGTTGTTCCATATAATCCAAAGGGATCGAATCGATAGTACATCTATTCTTTTTTATTCCCAGGCTGTAGTAAGTATGAACTCCCCCATAACATTGAATCCCCATAAACACTGTATGAGTCATACGGACATCCAAGCAAGTAGCATCTAGATAAATCGAATTCAAGTGGTGGAGCTCTGTCAAGTCTACATTGATACAAGTCGCTTGATCCATAGAAGGTGGTTTACCACCACATACAAGTGTCTTGACATCAGGCATATATGTGCGTATAAGATGTACCAGTTCTTCTGATGGAAGCATGTTCCGTATTTTGATCGCCTTTATGTTTTCTTTTAATGTGTTTGTCAAACTGTTCCTATTTTTCGGACCATATCGGCGAGCTTTGGTGTCTGGACCAAGCAAAATATGATGGCCACAATTAATCGAATAATAATTAAAGTATTGAAGATTCGGGCAATTTGACAATGCATACTGCAAAAAATTCATATGTAGAGCAGGATCACGGTCGCGCATTTCTATCTGCAAACTATGTATAATTTCTGGACCGATAGTAGAAACCAAATTATTTGGTAAAGCAACCAGGATTGAGCGATTCGATGGGTCAGTGTCAGTACCTACACCAGTATTTTGCAAGGTTTGGAAGCAATAATCAAAATAACCCAAGCCGTATTTCACATGTAGGCCATTTTCTGGAGTGTATTGAATGGATTTGTGTAATGGGTTCATATCTCCATAATCGCCGTTACAAAACATTCGTTTGTTGCCTCTCAGGGCATGAAGCAATGAGAAAAATATAGTGGTGTCAGAGTCATCGTGAATAGAATGTCTCTCGTAATTCTTGCCGGGGAGCCAACTAATACTGAAAGAGGTTGTCGTAGTGTTAAAGCTGCGCAGAAGATCCAATACAGTGTCGTGGCCAATTTCATGAATCCAATCATATAAATCCACTCCTTTCATAATAAGCACCAGTCTATCCACATACGGAGAAATATAATTTATGATATATTTGGCATAATTCTTTGTTATAGATGGAACGACTATCTCCATTTCCACCAGTTTGTGATCCAATTTTTCTGGGTCCGGTTCATCAAGAATTGCTTTAACTTTGAAATCTGGAATGCCAAATTTGCTTCTGTATTTAAGCAAAATCAAGTGAGGACAAGCATCTTGAATGTCAAACGTAGTTAACTGGTCGTCACATTTGTTATGGAATGTCAGATGCGTCAAATTATTGAATTCTCTTAACAAAGGGAGCATTTGAATGTTTATAGAGCCCATACCAATAACTGACTGTCTGTAATTTATATAAAGAGTAGTGATTGTTGCACGGTGTCTATAACAGGCACCGAGATAAATGTTATCAGCATTCCCGAACATGCTGGGTGCATATTCATCGTTGAGCATGACTTGAATTTTGGGCAAAATGTTGGTATCTGCATCTTTGATATAGCGAAGATATCTGTTGCCGTTAGCACTTTCACTGAAGTCTAAAACTTCTAGGTTTGGTAAGTATTTCAAAAGCGCTAGCCAATCTTTTTTGTCAAAGGCATAGCTAAGGTCTGGTTTATCGTAAGTGTCCATTTCTGTGTCGTATGTAAGATAGTCAGAGTGATCTTGATCGATTCTGAGTGTTTTTGTTAAAATGCCTTGTTTGAAATAGCGATCACGGGTAATGGGACGTAGCTTCATTCGCTTCTTTAAACGAGTAACCTGTCTAGAGGTCCACGTTAGGTCTTTATGAACAAAAGGTAATCCTGCTTCCTTCCAGCTTTTGCAAACAAAAAGGCATTGTGCAACATCTGTCTTGTACAAATGACTAAACACTATAGTGAGAATCTCGAATCCTATATTGTTCATGCTTAAAAAATAAAAGGGCGCGGTCTTCTTTATTTGCGTTTTTGACAATGTCTTTCGGCGGCAGTCGTGACGGTCACACCAGTTTCCTTCTTTGACATAGGCGAATTCCACTTGAGTTAATGGACAAACTTTACAATTTAAAAATAGATCTTGATTACCATACGCTGTGCTGGTATTGTCAATCTAACTTGCTGCGAAGGAGTTACTAGATATCTCCAAAAGGACCTAACTATAAAACAGCATTTTGAGGTGAACGGAACATCGACTTACACAAATGCGAGTTAGGCACTTCAATTCAACCGTCAAGTCAAACGATGAAACCAGATATATAAGATGAATTTGAAGCTCATTTTATCAGAAGAAAAGGAGACAGAAAAAGTTTGGGTTAATGTATAGGATATTTTGCAAAATAAAGGTAAAAGAAAACGTAACAAATGAGTGATTGGAAGGCTTTATTGGTTTAGTTTTTACGAAGACTAATCGAACCATCTAGTAGCTGGTTCCTGCTGAAGTTTCCCTCAGGATATTCAGCAAAAAAAAAATTACTGGGGGAAACCTATGTACTGGTCCTGTCCTGTATGTGAAGGACTTGCAGCCAACAGACAATAAAAAATACAACCAGTAGAAATAAAAATGCAGATGGCAAAAAAAAAAAAAAAAAAAAAAAAATAAAAAAAAAAAAAAAGATTTGGCTGTGCTCACAGCTAAAATGAAGACAACGTACGATTAAGATCAAATAAGCTCAAGAACAAAAGAATAAATATGGAATTGTCGAAAAAGGTATAGACTGTTCAATATACATTTATTTGTAACTAACACGTTGTTTTTGATTGCATATTCTTGTCTTCAGGTCTAAAAAACAGCTAAGACATTGATTTTAGGTTGTGGCTATGTGCACTTTCGCTGTTCCAAGAAATGCGTACTATAAACCCTAACACTACATGCGGATACTTAATTAAAAAACTAGAGACACAGATTCAGCACTAAAAAAATTAATGATGGGAATCGCAATTATGTCTAGTATGAAAGCCTTCAAAACAATTTACATAAACGCGAGCATTTGACTAATTAGGCGAGAAATTTATTCTTTCCCTTGGATTTTCAAAGATCGTCGTGATTGCACCAGACACATCAAAAATTATTCCCAATTTCGTATTCGCGTAATAAACCGTATACTGTGTAAATGATCCAATCTATGTATTTATCTGGGTTATATTTAAGAATGTGATTTCTCTTCAAAGCTGAACGGATATCCGTGGTGGTTTTGAGATTGTATTTGTCCATAAGTTTCACCACATGTAATGGAGGCAAAGGGAGCTTCTTCTCTTCAAATTTAAGGATTTTATGGAGTTCTTCCTTACTTAGTAAAGACACCGTATTCAACATAGCTTAAATCACCTGGGTCTATTATGAGAGATTTGCTCGGATGATCTTCTGGGCACTTTAAACTAAATATGAATAGTTCGTTGTCCACATATTTTCCTGTACTGAATCTCCATTTTTTGTCCGGATCCACCGTTTTCTTCTGTTTAATTGTATTCAATTTCATCTTCGATCAAAATTGATTCATTCTCAATGGCAGTTGTTTTTTCCTCCCCAGCTTGAGTTTTTGTTAATGTCTCCAAATGTATTTTGGTAATGATATTTTTGACGCGCTGCATGATAAAAACATATTGCTTTATCTCTGTTGTGCTTGTGATATATTAACGCGTTGTTAGACATCAATAAGAAATCAGCGTCGTAGTAGTTACTTACATCATTCTGATTGTTACGTTTCTATCTAGCCCAGATCATCATGTCTTTGATATTTTTATTTTTATTGAAGTCTAGATTTGCGATCTCTGCTAAACATTTTGCAAATTATTTCTTAAATGAAGTTAAACTTTCAATTTGGTTGTTTTCGCTTTAGATATTCAACGTTAGAATTCATTTATATGTAAGTTGTCTATCTGAAGAAAGAGCATTATCAAAAATAGTTTCTTCAGGATCTATCAAATGTGATATAATCGGTGATTTTTGACCGTGTACATACGTAACTCTCAAGGAAAACGTCACCTGTTCTCCAGTATCAATGAGAAGGGAGGCAATCTTTTGTTGAATATGTTACGTAGTTGTTTCGATACGGAAAGGAATGTCACTGAAAATAGCAGTGAGTTGTGATAGCCAGAGTAACTGCAGAATCGCTCCTGGTAGTTGTGTGAAATTGCAGTGGGTATGGTGGTGATGAGTCCTTGGAACTTGAGTTGAAATATGCCTTGGATAATAACTGATTGCTGTTCAGTCTTGGAGATGTCTTGAAGCTGATTAAAGAGGAGTAAAATTGAAGTCCATAAGGCCCAGCAAGAAGGGGACATGGTACGTCCCCCTGCCACTTCTTTGGATCATACATTTTCTGGCAGCTTTGGCCACACTCAGCCGCTCTTCCTTGCTGTATAAATTATAATCTGAATTTAAATTCAATAAAATCATATCTTTTATCTCTCCCTTCCACCTTTTTTTTTACGCCTATAATAAAATGAGTAGTGGATCCGAAAGTGAATATGCAAAATACTGGATTGACTGGTTCTTGGACACCAAAGGCAATGAATATTTTTGCGAGATTGACGAAGAATACATTTTGGACAGATTTAACTTGACTGGACTCAGTGCCGAAGTTCCACATTACTATTTAGAGGCACTAGACATGATTACCGACAACCTGGGTAAATGAAAATAACTTCGAATGTTGTAGGATGAGATATACTAAAATAAAAAGCTTCTTTATGGTAGACGAGGATGGGTTGGATGACAAGGTGAGAGAGCAAATTGAAAAGTCGGCACGCCATTTATTTGGAATGATTCACGCCCGTTTTGTAATTACTAGCCGTGGGTTGGTAAAGATGGTAATAATATTTGAAGGTATATGTGTGTGTATGTGTGTTGTGTGTACTCATGCACCAAGTGTAGCTGGACAAGTATAAGAGGTCAGAGTTTGGACGATGCCCACGTGTGCTTTGTAATATGCAGTCTCTACTTCCTGTTGGGTTATCAGATATCCCAATGACGAAAACGGTTAAGTTGTACTGTCCTCGGTGTGAGGATATCTACAATCCTAAATCATCACGTCATGGAGCAGTGGATGGAGCTTATTTTGGTACTTCATTTCCTCATATGCTATTTCAAGTTCATCCAAACTATCTACCTTCCAAAAATCTTGAAAGGTATGTGCCACGCATTTTTGGCTTCAAAGTCCATGAAATCGCAAACCAACAGCGATTCCAAGATCAAGCCCGTGAAAAATACCTCCAACAACAATAAACACACATTCTTTCTACTTTACATATCTGTATACTGATTGCAGTGACAATTTCTTTATAAACATATACCTCTTTTATGTGTAAACACGGACAATCAGCTGATCGGGCTTTAATTTTCTTCTCTTTCATACCATTTGTATTTTTTCTTCTATCTCATTTCTTTCTTTCTTTTTTTTTCGTGTTGTCAATGGGAAATACGAATTCAACAGACGGAAATAACCTTGTTGCTTCCATTCAAAGGAGAAGAAGTAGAAGCAATAGTTCAGCTTCTATTCCGCAAAAAAACATTGCTCAACCTTCCCCACGTCAATCCTTTCAGCTTTCGATTACAGAACCCGTAGAAGCCACAACTAATCATTGGGAACCCACCGAACCTCCCATTACAGAAGACTCGCCTACAAAACCTATTCAAATGAAACGAGATGATCCTACGCCACCCGTCACAAACACAGCCCATTCAAAGGGGTGGGTTTCAAGTACGGGCGCCGCCAGTCCTTGGTTCGGTTATTTATCAAGCTCGGCTTCCTCCCATCACCGTGCCTCTATTAGCGGCCCATATTACCGTACACGCGGCATGAGTGTCACACGTGACAATGAAAACGATGAGGATCTATCTAATATCATTGCTAGCAGTTCGCTCAGTTCACCTCCCAAAGCCGACGAGCCTGTCATTACTATAGATGAGCCTGTCACTGCCGATACAACCACCACAGACACGCCTACAAATGATTCGCCAACAGATGATGCGCTTAAAATAAATACATCTTCAAAGGATAAATCTACGGATGATACACCCACAGATGATGCGATAGCTGTGCAACCTGTACCTAGCATTTCAAACACCAGCACTAGCACTACTGCTACCAACACTACTACTAACACAGCCACAGCACAACCCTCTGCGCCACCATCTACCACAAGTCACGGTAAAAAGATATTAAAAATATAAAAAAAGAGAGATACAGAAACTGATAGATGAAGGGTTATAGGTGTGCCGACCATCATCACTTGGACACAAGGAGGAAACAACGTTTATGTCACTGGCACATTTAATGGATGGAAACACAAGATAAAGTTGGTAAAAAGGTAAGCAAATGACAGAAACAGGAATAAGATCGAGAAAAGCTAAAGATTACTTTTATAGCACACACGATTTCAATGCTGTGTTGGAATTACCACCAGGCACACACCGATTAAAGTTTATTGTGGATGATGAATGGAAGTGCTCAAATGATATGGAAACAGCAACAGATCCCGATGGTAACCTAGTAAATTATTTACAAGTGTTGGATGAAGATGAAGAAAACGAACATGAAGAATTTGATGTGACAGAATATTCCAATGTGATTCCAGCCGATTTATTACAATTAGCTGCCGTATCAGAGTCCTCAGAGGAAACAGATAGAAGAGTGCTCGAATGGGAGAAAAAGCAACCACAACCACCTACTCTGCCTCCTCATTTGGAAAAAGTCTTATTAAACTCAAATACAGTCAGCGAAGAGGATAATTCCGTGTTGCAGGAGCCCAATCATGTCACTTTAAATCATTTGTATGCCTGCTCTATTAAAGATAATGTAATGGCACTGGCTACTACCTCCCGGTATCGCAAGAAGGTATATTTAACATAGGAAAAAAAATGATTAAATATCTTTTTTTTACTCATTTCATCTCCTCTTTAGTACGTCACTACCATGTATTACCGCCCTGTATTTCCCAAGTCTTGATATTTGGGAGTTTTTTTTTTTTCCAATGGTTTTTTTAATAGAAAAACAAATAATAATAAAAAAACAGGTTAAAAATATTAGTGACATAGCCCGGAAGGATCCCTTTACAGAGTTTTATTTTTAGGCCCAAAATAGTTGGTTCTTGATTTCCGCATGATAGTTCGTGCATCAATAATCTGAGCTGTAAAAGTGCTTTTGGATCGCCCACACACATCACCCTTTTGTCCGGCAAAGAAATGAACCGAACGCATAGCAATTAATTTATCAAGAATGCCCAGCCAACCACTATCAATCATTCTCGGGCGATCCACGTCTGCTAATTTCAATCGGTCTGGAATCTGCATGATCTGCCAATGATCAGGTGGTGTGCCACCTCTTTCCATCTCCGTTTCTAACACATGAAATGTATCGTGTTGATACAAGTAGTGGATCGCTTCGTGATGCTCTCGTGTAAAATCCGTCATCAAAAACGAGTCTGAGTTGGATTGTAGCCATTGCGAAAGCTCACTTGTTGAAGAGACACCTTTCATAGCCGCCTCTTGCTGCTCTTGTGTAAACATGTGAGGGTAATCTGTCAGCAGAAAGAAGTTAAACTTTTTCTTGCGTTTCAATAAAGATATAAGGTGTTGTGCGCAAGGCAACATGTTGTTTGTGTTCTTGCTGGCTTCCATACGCCAATGTATTGCCACAAAAGGACCTAAACTCTTGGCGGTAGTATCTGCAAGTTTAATTACCGCTGGATGATAGGGAATAGGTATATCGGATTGTGCCATTTGAGACCATTGATTTCTAAAAATATAACACATTATTAAATTGACTTGGTTGCATATTAAAATAGGTAATAGTTTTTTACTTACGCTTTGTAAATCTCCATATGGAGTACTTCAATATCCTCATTGGCGTTCATACCATTTCCAAGAGAAGGTCCCTTTAAAAACTGAACCATGGCTATTTCGCGTGCCTGGATCGATAGCTCGCATGTTTGTCCCGTGATATTCCATTTCAAGATCTGATTGAATGTGGATTTTGGTTTGGTGAGACCACTGAAGCAATGTGTGACGGCTGAAGGATCGACATGCGTGTCGAGATCAAACGTGGATAGAACTTGATCGGAAACAGGCACATTAGCTTCTTTGCGCTCTCGAATCCAGGCAACAAAATCCTTCATGCGAATGGAATTAAAATATTCTTTATTTTGTCTTGTCCACTCCATATCATAGTAGTATTCAAAATCATGACTCTTACACGCACCGAGATGAGAGCCGGACACATTGGGTAATACAAGTGTACGATTAACTTTGGCCGATGTAAATGCCAAATGCCGCACATGCAATTGTGCCCTTGTTTCTGTTGTTGTTTATAAGTAAACACAAAAACATACACAACATATAAATAAACATTTGTACCTTGTTCTCGGATATATAACACATTTATGAACCTACAAGGACCACCACAATATTTAAAATCAATCCTTTCTTGTTCCTTTTGCAATTTTTGCATCTCGAGATTTGTCAAGTAATTGGCGACTTGCATGGCTCTTTCTAGAGGAGAATAACCAAGCACCTTATTCGTCTTGACATGATAGTCACGTATGGAAAACTTATACATGGTGCGTACTGTACACAATAATAAAAATACAATGGCACACATGGATAGAAACATGCGGTTTTTACGTAGAAATTTCTTCATGGTAAATATATACATAACAAAAATAATAAATGTAAAAAAAAGAGGAAAAGAACAATCTTTTTATTGGTTTTCCATTCTGCCATCTTTTTTTTTTAATATATATGTATATATAGTTGTCTCTGACAGAAGGTGTTGCCTAATACATTTAAAGGGGGAGGGGGATTGTTTGTTTATATACAGCTATTCTTGTAAAAAAAAAAAAAAAAAAAAAAAAAAAGGGGGGGGGATTCTGGCTATATAAGATTTATTTTTATACATGTCTATAATAAGGAAAGAGCGATCTTTGGTTTTTTTTTGTTAATGACCGAAATAATGTATATTTCCAAGCGATAAAGCACTTCGTTCATCCATGATTTGTTTTGTAAATGTACTTTTTCTGGCACAGACTCCACTTTTACCAGCAAAGAAGTGATTGGACCGAATTGCCATTAATTTGTCAAGGATACCCACCCATCCAGTATCATACAATCCTGTCTGGTTCTCATTGGTGCTTAACTTTTGTAATTCGATAGGAATAGGTAACACTGTCCAGTTATTCACTTCATGGTCGTGCGTGCTATTGGCTATTGTTTCAAATAACGTAAAAGGCCGATGTGTGTACAGGTACCGGATCGCTAAATGATTGTTCGATTTAATTTTATCAGGTCGGAACGTGTCGGAAGTGGATACCACCCATTCCTTTAGTTCCTCAGCGCTGGCGGTTCCATTAATAGCAGATAACTGCTGCTCTTCTGTAAATCGATGAGGATAATCTGTCAGTAAAAATACGGTATGGTTTTTATAGATAGGGTTCATTTGGAGTGTATCAATCAGGTGTTCAGAACAATGTACCAGGTTGGCGGATCTTCGAACTGTTTCCATGCGCCAATGAACTGCAACATAGGGTGACATTGACTGCGCCGTTTTGTCTGCTAAGGTTCTTAATTGCGGACTATACGGAATAGGATCATTGGCTAATGGGTGATGCGAAAAAGGATTCCTATACAAAATAGGCAAAAGTTAATAAAAACCAAAATAAACAAACAATTCATACTTTACCCCTTATTCAAAGATATATGAAGAACTTCTGTATTTACATTTTCTTTCTCTGGGCCTTGTAAGAATTGAACAAGTTGGTTTTCACCCGTACGAAGGATTTTACTAGAATATATATCCCATGACATGACTTTATCATATTTAGATTTAGGCATAGTATATTCAGAAAGACAATGAGGTTCTGTAATTGTTGGTTTTGGGTTTGGATGGAGCAAAATATCATGAATGGTCATAATCTGATCATTAGCTGGAACTCCGTGTGATTTTCGCTCATCTAACCAATCAATAAACTCTTGCATGGTGATATATTTGAAATGTTCCGCGTTATCTTTGGCCCATTGGATATCATAGTAATACTCAAAATCATACTCCTTACAAGCACCGATACGGGAATTGGCCACATTTGGTAAAACAAGTGTACGATTTATTATTCCCGCAGTAAAAGCAAAGTTACGCAAATGCATCTGAGCTCTTGTTTCTATTATAGTATATCCCTTGTTAGATAAATTAAAGAAAGGTTATTTTATATGAAATACCTTGCTCAACAACTGTCTCGAGGTTCATGAAACGACAGGGACCACCGCAATACTTTTCATCAATACGATTGCGTTCCTTCTCAAGAAAAGCACGGTCCTCTTCACTAAGTTGTGGTTGGGTCAACTGGTTCCAGAACGTATCCACAAATCCAGTTTGACGGTCGTCTCCAAATCCACCCAATGCGTCTAAAAACTTAATCATGGAAAGTAAACTGATAGACACAACGCAAACACATAGGAATATTTTAAAATTCTTGTTGCTCCATGCGTTTGTCTGCATTTTTTTTTTTTTTTTGACAAAAATAAAAGAGTGAACGATAAAAGGAACAAAAAAGGGAAGGAAAAACTAAGCTTAATATATATTGGTTAACGTAAATGGTATCACACACGTACAACGTTATCATGTTTATCATGAGTGATTGGATCTTCATAGTTACAGTACCACACTGTGGTGGTTTTTACAAATCAGGAATGTAATCTTCTGAGATTGGAGCAGCATATGTTTCTTGTTGGGATCCATAAACAAATACTTATAAAGAAGGGCAAGACCATTGCCACTCATTATAGGCTCATATTTACAAATTATGCTAAATATACTTCATTTTTACGTTGAGAATGGTAATAATTTGGCATTGTGCGCCGTTAATTTAAATGATATGGTGGGTGCAATTGGAAAGCTCTACGGGCAATCTGGAATATGTAGAACAATGCCATTACACAAAACTGAGGAAACGTACGGAATTATAAAAAAACAGAGTTGGGTATTTTCTAATAATAGAAGTTTATTCAGATGCAGCAGCGGCAGCGGCAAATCTAGCTTGAGCATTGTTGACCTTTTCCTTGAAAGTGTCAATGACCTCGCTAGGCTTTTCGGCCTTAAAGATGCCGGTACCGGCAACAATAACATTGGCACCAGCATCAGCAGAGGCATCAATGGTGTCTAAAGATAAGCCACCATCAACTTCGATATCCAAGTTGGGATACTTGATACGGAGTGCCTCGACCTTGGGCATACATTGAGCCATGAAACGTTGACCACCGAAACCAGGTTCAACAGTCATGATCAAAATCATATCACATTGCTCAGCAACAGCACCCATCACTTTTTCGACAGGCGTATTAGGTTTGACAGCAACACCGGCTTGCATACCAGCTGCATGAATTTGTTGGATTAAGCTTATAGGATCTTCAGTGGCCTCAATATGGAAAGTGTACATTTGTCCACCGGCTTTAGCAATGTCATCCACCCATTGGGAAGGATTAGAAACCATCATATGGCAATCTATGATATGAAACAGTGAATAAAGCTTCTTTCTTTTTTCAGTCACATCTTTACTGCTCTTTACCAAAATAAGCTTCGGTGTGAGGACGGATGGCTGAAATAATAGGAGCTCCCAAAGTAATATTAGGGACAAAATGTCTATTGTTATTTTCTGTACTCGTCAGTATTTTATCTATCTTCCACCTAAATATTTTATAATTTACCCGTCCATAACATCTATTCATTAAAAAAAAACTCATTAGTCTTCATCTTTTCCTATCTCTAACTTGTTTTTATTTTTACCGAGATGAAGCCAATCAGCACCATTCTTGGTCATGCGCTTAGCTTCCATGGCCAAGTTGGCGAAATCGCAAGAAAGCATTGAGGGGGCAATTTTAGCAACAGGCATTGTGAGTGTTAAGAAATAACAGGTATACTCTTTTCAAAAAAAAAAATAAACAGGAAGTCGCGTCGGTTTTTGGTATAGACCCCCACCCATGGCAGCAAGCTTACGTAAGCATGACTGCTCTCTGTTTGTTAGTGATGGTGATGCGGAAAAAATGAAGAACCGTATTATTAAAATGATGGGCCGAGGCTCTACCGGGGGGTTGGGGCAAAATAAGCTTTAAATATTATGTAATGCATGTATTTTTAGTATCAATCATACACTGAATGTGGAATGATTAAAGAATTATGGTGAAGTAATATCTACATTACTTTTCGAAAGGAAAAAATAAAAATAAAAGAAGGGCAACCTGTAGACCCCGACTATAATTGTTTAATTTGAAGAACACATGTTATCTTGAATTCTAAAATATGCGATTTATCGTAGCACAAAGTAATTCATCATTCGACAGAACTTTTTGTTTTTATAACTATTACACTGGTGCAACTCTTGTACACACTAAAAATCCTGTTCATGGCGAGACTTGCACCTGCAAACACTCATTTCATTGGCCCTAAATCTCGTTTTTTACAAAGATGTTTACAACCGGTTTTTGAGCTTTGTTCATGATTAATACAACAACCAGTTTTCTGGGTGAGCATTTTCAGCATAAATCTCCTTATAAGGGAGACTGCGAGATTTATCTTTTTACTCGAATTAAATGCTCCTACAGGGTTTGAATTACACCTAGTAGAATATTTTAGTGAAACAGTAGAAACCAGCAATCCCTAAAGGTTTATACACAAGAATAATCCTCTTTTACGTAAACAGCTGACCCGTTTTGGGACGATTGTTGCTGATGTAAGAAAAAAGTGGATTCATATAGTCTTTAGATAGAGAGATGCTTAAAAGACAAATAAACAGAGCTGTTATGGTTACTTTACTTTGTCATTATTTATGCATCTACTGCAATTGTTTCTGTCTCATCTCGTCTTCTTGATGACGATTTCTTTTTACTGTCTTGATGGTCACAGGATATGATAAGAATGGCTTTAACAACGTGTAAAGCCCAATTGATAGTACGGGTTAGGATAACAAAACCATGTTATTTAAGCAGTTTGTCATAAAACACTTAATTATACATATACATTCACACAGAAGAGAGCAAGGGCGTTATGCACTTATGTAACAACCTTTTTTTTACTGAATCAAAGGAGGGGAATATTTTTGCCACAGATTTTGTTTGTTTGTTTGTTTGTTAGTTTGTTAGTTTGTTTTTGGACCAATTAAATGAACAGTTCTAGTGTACACTGGAAAAAACAGGGTCCAGACAAGCTGAGTGGGTTGATTGGATGATCATTTTTTGGGTAGTCGGAGCTTACATAAACGAATCAAATAATGGAGAAACATGGACCCTTTTTTTTATTATTATTATCAGAGGGCGAGAAAAAAAAAACGATTACTTTTTTCCCTTTTCTTTTTGTTTCTCTATTTTATTTCGTTTTTATTCTTAAATTATATTGATATCATCGACTAATGCAACATTCACCGTACGAACAAAGAGAGAAAAGACTCAAGGTATCACGAGCTTGTTTCACTTGCCGTGTAAAGAAAATCAAAGTAAAGAAAAAAAAAAGCTTTTTTGTTATATTTTAACAAGTCATTAAACAATCTTTTCTTCTTTTCTTAGTGTGACGGTTTGCAGCCTTGTATGCAGGTAATAAAGATAAATCACATTAACAATATTTTTATTTAACGTCATTTTATCTTTTTTGTAGTGTAAAGGTAATTTAGAGGGAGAGAAAAATTCATGTTTTGCAGCCTACTTTTTATTTTTTTACAGCATCTTACCAGTTTAATTTTATTTAGCCCGTAGTCGACCCTGTTCCTTTTCCAAAGATGGTAAACCAGATAAAACTCAGTTATCGTCTGATATTTACCCCGCTATTACTGCTATGAATCCAACTGCAGATGATATCAGCCCTCCACCACCTTGTTCACCTAAACCTGAGACATGGCGACTGAAAAGTAACGAATTGATCTCGACATCACAGCAATTAGACCGACTTGGTATGATGTGGCCTGGAGAAGGAAAAGAAGGACGATGGTTAGTGGACATCAATTTGCTATACAATGGACCTGAAAAAGAAGTGCCTTATAGAAAGGTCCCTTTACCCACGATCGATTCAAACTTGATTACCTTATTCTTTCGTCATCGTTACAATGTATTTCCTATTCTTCCGAAAGCCATCTTTTATCGTTTATTAGAAAATGGAGATCCCTTCATCAATCAACTCTTACTCTATAGCATGTATTGTAACGCAGCTCATTACTCTCACGAAAATGCACCAGAAGCAAACACCTACTACTGGAAAGCAAAGAAGTTATTGGATGATGATTTTGATACACCCACACTTAGCACCATTATTTCACTCTGTTTATTATCCACCTTTGAATCTAACCGACATGGTCCTGGTCCACATGTGAGTAAAAACAGATCCAGCGTTTATAGTGATATGGCGCTCCGATTATGTTATGATCTCAGGTTACATCAGCGTTATAGCTTCCATAGTACAGGAGCAACACCTGATATGAACGAGCTTCAGAAACGTGTTTATTGGTCATGTTATTGCTTAGACAAGGTGCAAAGTTTGGTGTCAGGTAGGCCCTGTCTTCTTCCTTCCAAACATGTCAAAATCGATTTTCCTATGGTGCTTCGTTCGGACGATCCTACCGAATACGAAATCAATACTTGTTTTGTCGAACATATCAAATTGATGCAACTCACCGAACGTATCTTACATCTACCTTTACCCGATAGACAAACAGGTACACTTCGATCTACTGAAAATGAACAATCCGTTCTTGATTTAGACAGCCAATTATTGCTATGGCTCAAGAATCTACCACAACAATTACAATGGACTCCATTAGCAAATGATACCAATACCATTCCAACTCAACCTCCTCCAAACTCTCTTGTAGCTCATCTTCATTTAGTCTACAATTATGTAGAAATATATCTCTTACAGCCTCACACTTCATTACCCTCATCTTCCACTTGTTTCACAATCCAACAACGATGTGCTACAGTTGCCACCAACCTCACACAACTTACATGTGCCATGGCAGATCAACCAAACTTTATTATGTCATTTGCATTTATCTCTGAAGCCATTATGGCTGCATTACGTGTCCATATCATTGAATGTGCCGATGAAAAACTCAGTAACGCAAGACATGCTAGATTTATGTTTCAACGTTCACTTCGTTCCTTGAAATCCATCTTGCATCATCGTGTGATTGACAGAATCCTCGAATTCACCAACACCATTGAAAAGGCATTATTGGATGCAGATACAGGCAATAGTTCCAGTCGCAACAGTAGTCCAAAGATTCATGTGTTATCACCCATCATTCCAAGAACCACAGCTGCGACTTCCAGTACAAATGATACGCTGATGGATGAACGATGGTCAAGTCGATTCAACCCTTATGGTATGATATCACCTGCCTCAAGTACAACATCTGGCCCAGCAGAAAAAAGTACCATGACACGAGATGAAGAGCTACTTCGACCTCAAATTCAACCTATTTATAATTCGATGGATCCCTATCGCGCACCATTTACTATACCCACAACTATGAAACAGGATGAACGACCACCTGTATGTCATGAGCAACAACATATGGAAATGTATTCTAACCTGTGGTCGAAATCCTCTTTATTCCCAGCCAATCAGCATTTAGACAATGCATTTATCTCGTCTCTGAAACCACATCGATTGTCAAATAGCAAGACAACGGATGAGCTATATTTATGGGAATCCGAACCCACAGAGGAAGCAGGAAAAACAGAAAGAGTACCCGTATTATATACACCACAACAAACAGGCAGATATGGATTAGGTGTATATGCTTCTGCTCAACAACATCATACGGACGTCATTCGTCAGCACATGCCTGGATTAAAGTCCACTAACTTAAATAGACCCGTCTTGTTAAACCATCATGGTCAAGTCGTGGTTGCTTCCAATGATACCATGAACTAATTTTCCCCTTTTACCTTGCTTTGTAAATAGTCTTTCATATGCCCCCCTCCAAAAAAAACCCATAACATCATATGTATTCTCAAGTAAATATATCTTCTTTTCATGCAACTATGTCTAAAATAATTATGCAATTGGGTTGAGTAAAATAACTAAAGCAAAAAATGTTCGAAATTATACTAAATGACTTGGTTCATGCTAAAGTAAACAGTAACCCCTATTATTTTGCCCCGCATTACAAACCCCATTTTAAATTGTTGCCCGGTTTATAAGAGAGAAAAAAAGATAAGGGTCAAAAAAACAAATAATGTCTCTCTATAAAATGTTCTAGACATATCATGTATCTCACCCGCGTGTAAACAATTAACCTTGTAAAAGGTGAACCTGTTTAACAAACCTAAATTGCTTTTTTCGGGTCATAGCGTTTTCATCTCGTACGATTTCATTGACGAATGAAAAAAAAGATGATTTTAATCAATCAAGGCTCCTCCTGAAAAAAAAAAGATTAATTAAATCAGGTGTGCAGATGTCTGTTAGCATATACAGGATTAATTGGGCATTGATAATATTATCCCAATGACAATATTACATTGGCACTACCCCCAAAGTTCGTTTTCTAATTAACCAAGTCGCTCTAGTCTCCGATCGAAATTGTTGCTTGTCTTACAGCCCAAAGTTGGCCAAAGCTCGTTTTTACATTGCTTTTTATGTACATCACTCAAATATGTTCAAGTTATCATTGAAGTCTATAATCTTATGTGAGATCTTAATTGAACCAAGGCATATCAAAGGTGTTCTTTATCAAAGCATTCTTGAGATTTTAAGCGTGTTTTTGAGCGATGTTATGAAAAGTCGTTCTGCTGACTTTTTCGCTGATCCCAGTTTTCAAATCTTTGGTTTTGAAGTACACTTCGTTTGGCCAAATTGCCAGCAATTGATCAGAAGGGTTTAATTGTGTTTAGCTCAGAATAATATGGAGACCGGTATATAGCCCTCTAGTCTCGATTTTCGATCAAGTTTCTAATAGCCTATGAGTTATGGATTGCTGCATTATCCAAATCATATAGCAATTTCTCATTTCAAGGAGCTCAACCTTTGTAATATGATCTTTTGACATTCTGTCAGTGAGCTAAAAAAAAAAAAAAAAAAAAAAAAAAAAAAAAAAAAAAAAAAAAGTTAATTGATTAAAAAAGAAAAGCTAATAATTTCATTGGCATTGATTATGAGTAGACGAGACTTTTGTTTCGCTTTGTAGTTCAACCAGGGGAAAATTTCCCAAACATGATTTCGAAGTTCTCTAAAATCGATACCAAAATATGAGTCGTAGCCATGGACTATGCTGGTTTAACGACCAACATAATAGATCTCAAAAATCACCAAGGTTACAAAGAGTGTAAATTTTAAACAGTATCCAGAGACATCCCAAGCCTACAAGATATCTCTATCGAACAATTCTTATATGAAAATCCTTTCAAGTATTTCAATGTTGAATAATTTGGAGATCTTAAATTGTATGATTTTTAACCTCCCCTGTTTTCTTGTGACACGATTCCCCCCATTGTCCAAAATTTTTAAACGGACTTGGAACAATAACTCCAATAATGGGGTCCGTTTTGAAGGGAACCTTAGTAATTTATTGGAGCGCTGTTCATACTTGCTACTGCTGCCTTTATTTAAAATGAAACAATAAAAAAATAAAATAAAAAACTTTTTATCACACACTCTCTCTCTTTTTTTTTTCTTTTTGTACATATCTTTTTCATCTCATTTATGCAATACTATCTAATACCATGAATTTAATAAACAATCATACGCAACTTGCGGCAGCTTCTTTCTTCACATCATTCACAAAAAAGAAACCACTGGGTTTACCCAGCACAATTAACAGGTCGTTTTTACAAAGCCCAACATCATCATGGCCAGAAAAAACATCATGGTCCGAGAAAAAGCAAAAAGAAACGATTCAACAAGCCATGTATATCTTGCCAAAATCACCTTCCACAGCCTCCATCTACCTTCAGCTTCCCAAATTTCGTTCACTTTCAGTCTTCTTGCGATGTGGCCATGTATCTCAACTGGTTGAGAACTGGCTTTGTAATCCCATGGAACAATTGAAGCGAACAGCTTTCCAGAGACGTATCATGCCTCATGTCGGCACATTATCGGTTACCAATCACGAAACTTCCATCGTACCTTACAAACCACTTTTCATTCACTTTCAAAATAATCAACAAACACAAATGATGGAGGTCAAATATGTACCTTGTCTATTCACGGTCGTATGTGTTACCTATGACTGTGGCTCAGTTTCGTTGTCCGTCAACCAAATTGACTCATTAGAGTTTCTGGCTTCATCGGCCACCATGGACCCTTTTTTGGTCAAATGTAACCTATTACCGAACCACCCTGTTACCATACATCATCTAGATGAGGCTGGCATAATGCACACTTCACTTCCTCTCATTTGCGATTATGCTTCCGATGACACCATCGATAACTTACTAAACACCTCCACTATTTCCGAATATTCTTCTGAAGATGAAGAGGTACTTGTTGATCAAGCAGTAACGGATGATGTCAGTATTATGATCGAAGACCCCGTATTGATTGACAATCATCCAGTTTTATTGGTAAACAGAGACCCAACATTGGATGATAAAGTGGTTGAATTCATGCATCTAGACGAACCTATACTGTACAACCAAGATGACGATGATGATGATTCGTGTCTTTATTCATCTTCTGAAGAATATTCAGTATTGGAAGACCTGGATACAGAAGAGGAGGAGGACGAACATGCTCGCAATGATTTATTACGTTTGGTGCAGGACACTTTAGAATATATTCATTCAAATCATGGAGCCTACTCTGATGAATTAAACAATCTTGAGTATAAGTTGTACCAATACAACCGTGCCGCTACATCCGCTTATAATTAATCCCTTTTTCATTTATAAAAAAAAAATTAAATAAATACCATATTTCTGTACATAAATTACTTTTTGACATGATAATGACGTCTTTATGTACTCCAATATAAATAATTTGCGCAACCCCTTCAGCCACAGTTTAAGATGTAAATGGTACTTTGTGCAAGCTTAATATTGATTAAGTGAATCAAGGATCTGTTCTTTACTCATTATAATTACGTTGATGACATGAAGAATAGATGAAAGAAAAATAGACAGGGAATAAATAAGGCTCACTTTTAAACTCAAAAGTACGAAGCCTTTCAGCAGATGAACAGAGCACATGTTTATTGATGGTGTATTAAAACGTATTTAAACTATCATTCATAACTCAATGAAAGTTTAACAACGCAACTAGATCGACATCAGAATAACCTGGTATTTTTTTCTCCGTGCAGTAGAGAATCACACAGAGCTGTACCTTATTCTGGGAGAGGATGATGAAGTCAAACATGTCTTGGGTATCCCCACCACAATGCATCAGATCTTTTGCTTTGATGCTGTTATTGCTTCTAGAGAAATCTCGCTCCAAGATCGATGATGATGATGTAGAGCTGGTAGAGACGAAAATCTTCGAGCAAAAGCATCTGTTTCTGAGTTTCAAGACCATGGACTTCAAAAGTCGTTGCCGTACTACCAAGCTCCTTTAAGCAATACCTGAACCAGTCAATAATATAGTGGGGCGCCAAAAACTCATCAACGCCTGGGGATTTTCTGACATATCCAACATTTATCCAGTTATCACCATCATTAATTACCTCTTTGTGGAATGCAGATGCGGATTCTGTCAAATTTCCTACATATGCAAATTGTTTATATAGTAGTAGCAAAAATAAATGGGGACCTTTAGCAGGTAATCAGGTTGTATATCCTAAAGTGATGTACATATAAAGAGCTCAAACAGTCAATTCTGCTACACATACGAGTATAAAGTGATATTTCGAACTTCTCCTTCCTTTTCACCTCAAGATGCTAAGGGTCGAAACAGACTTCGTGCTCGATGCAATGGCCAAAATAAATGTTACACTATGTATTATATGCCTTATTATAATTTTGATATCATTTGGGTCTGAAGTAAAATGTGAAAAAAACGCCAGAAAGCGCACCCAGAAGATGTGAGGTCGTTGAGCTCGTCACAAAACTTATTAAAAATGACATATTAAGCAAATTTGTTTCCTTAAGATTCACTGAAATATTGCACGTAATAATTTAGCTCCCCTTTAGGCTTTCATTGATATTCACTGCATTAAGCAGAATACCATTAAATTTTGATAAAGTGTACGATTGTTGTGCCTTTGGTTTCGAACACGATACCACTGCAGGAAATAGTAACATACATATTAACTTACTCTGCTATTGCTTCTCTCCGTTGAACTCACTTGAAATACGCAACGGGTTGACGTTTGTTTTTTTACTTATGACGAATTCCTGTTCTGTCGGTGCTACACCCTCCAATATACAACTTTTTATAATTTTTTTTATAAAAAACATAGGATATAAAGGATACAAGAGCATCTGGGAACTCATTTTCTTACACTTGGAGAGGTCTATATTAGATTTTGCTGCTTACTTTTTGTCCAAAAGAAAATTAAATTAGATAGAGTGTAGCACACTTCTTCCGAATTAGGAAATTCAGATGAGATGCTGATTTCATGTAAAAAATAAAAAGGGAACCAAAAGTTTTTTTATTTATTTATTTTAATCTGCTTCCTTTACCAAGGCTATTCTATAGAAATAATGTCCAATACCGATAAGAAATCCAAAGATCCCGTGTTATCACTTTTATCCGGAACATTTGCAGGTGGTATCGAAGGTGTTGTTACATACCCTACCGAATATGTAAAGACAAGACTTCAACTTCAAGCAGGCGGTAAACTTCAGGCAGGCGAACTGAAATTCAAAGGTCCTATCGACTGTCTCGTAAAGACAGTCAAGACACATGGCCTTGGTGCCATTTACACAGGTGTCTCAGCTCTCGCCATTGGTAATGCAGCTAAAGCCGGTGTCCGATTCTTGACTTACGACCAAATTGCTAATGCTTTAAGAGACAAGGATGGTAAATTAAGTGGTTTCAGAAGCATGTTGGCAGGCTTAGGCGCTGGTATGACTGAAGCTGCTCTTGTTGTCACACCATCTGAAACCATCAAAACAAAGTTGATTCACGACAGAAATAGTCCATCACCAAGATATAAGGGTCTTGTTCACGGTACAAAGTTGATTGTAGCAGAGGAAGGATTAGGTGGTATTTATCGTGGTTTAGGGCCTGTCATGGCACGTCAAGGAGCCAATAGTGCTGTTCGTTTTAGTTGTTATTCTTATTTTAAGGATTCCCTTCAAAAATTACGTGGAAAAGGTCAGGAACCTTTGCCCTCAACCCATACATTTGCTGCAGGCGCTTTGGCCGGTATTGTCACTGTATATACAACAATGCCATTAGATGTGGTCAAGACACGTATGCAAGGCTTGGATGCTAGAACAATGTATAAAAACTCTGTCGACTGCTTAATAAAGGTCGTCAAAGCAAATGGTGTGTTCTCTCTTTGGAAGGGCACAACTCCTAGATTAACAAGACTTATCGTAAGTTTATTAACGCTGTTTTTTTTCATGTTATAATAACGTGTTTTTATTTTTCGTAGTTCTCGGGCGGTATTGTCTTTACTGTATATGAAAAAGTTTATAACGCATTAGAATCTGTCAAGAACTAAAAAAAATAAAAATAAAAATGTCACTTGTACCATACCATACCAAAAATAGAATGATGCTTCGCCCGGAACAAATTGAAAGGGACAGGAGAGGGATTTTTTATTGTTTTTACTGCGGAGGTTTTTCTGTCCCTTTTTGTTTATCAATGGATTCTTCTCAAATTATAGACAAATTAAGCGAGTTAATAAAACGTATTACAGAAACCGGCGATTGGGTATTAGATCCTGATGACCTAAAGGTTAGAAATAATACGCTTTGATCCCTCACTTTTTACCAATAAAGCCCGAATTAACTTTTAAAAGATGGTGAAATCATTCTGTAAACGATCTGATTTCAATGTCACCATTGTCTTTGAACTTGTCATGACTCAGTTAAAAAAGAAGCATGCTCAGGTATAATATTGGCTCCTTTCTTCAATGATATAAATATATCATTATAACTTATTTGTTCTTAAAAGATTCGATACTCCAGTTTGCAACTTATAGAACAACTTTTTGCTCGCTCGAAACATTTTCGAGATTTATTGACTGAAGATTTTCCAGTCTTTGTGCAGCTTGTGGTTGGTATTCAGGACAAAATACTGCCCCCGCCTGTACAAATAGCCCAAAAATTAAGAGAATATGCTCTTGCTCTTATAAAAGCATGGTTTTTAAAATTTGGGGAGAGATACCATCAATTGGGAGTGGCATTTGATTTTTTAATGGATAATGGGTGCTACGCTAAAAATGGATCGGCATTGGCTAGCATTCATGCAAATGATCTCAGTAGATCAAGCACTGACGTAATTGTTTCGCATTTGAAAATTATTAAATTTTAATTTATTTATACTTTAATTAGGCAAGAAGAAAAGCAATTCAATTAGATCGTTATAGTTTATTAAAGACAGATGTTGAAGGTCATATTGATATAATTCAGGACAACTTGGAGACCATGGAAGGTTGTTTTGAAATTTTGATTCCAAAAAACAATTTTGTACACGACGATATTGATTTCGATGCTTTAATGAGGGGTGAAGCCAGTTACAGTCAAAAACAAGACGATGCATACAAAGACGTAAATAAATCTTCTTTTCATAAGCACGCATACTTAAATACCTATTTAGACAATGCTATCTCATGGTTTAGGCTCCAATAGATACACAATCACTGTAGATTTATCTGAAGATTCAATTATAGAAGACGTTAAAGAAACAGATGACAATCATATTGTTTTTGATCAGCTTCGAGAAGCATATACCGTATTAGAAACAAAACATATTCCCCAATTAAATGTTTGGATAAATGCACTTGTCAAAATTGAAATCGCAGTAAGTACCAATAGTTCAGATAAGGAGACTTTCGAAGTAGCATATTTTAACTCTGAATCGTATCTAGGATAAAGCCGAAAAAGAAAAACTTATTAGTAAAATTATCAATCTCAAAGGAAAAGCGACTGAAGAAGCACGTAAAGCAAAAATGTTGGGTATTCAGGTACATCATCGTGAATTAATTACGTCCGTTTCAAAAGATGATAATGAGGATGACGAGGATGAATACCAAGATGAAATTTTTGAATCGGTTGATGTTTCAGCCACTAAATCTACAAATAATAAAAACACACCCACAAGTTCTAAATTACCTCCAACACAACGTATCTTTCCGTTATCTTTTGAACCCACAATGATCGAAGACGCTACTTATAGAGGGCCAATTATAGGCCCATTAAAGTAACTTATCGTAAGAGATGTGAAATTGCGTATAATACTAATTGGTTTGTTTTGTAGACGTGCTTCCATTGACAAAGGAAAAGGAAAAGCTGATCCCAAAAGAGAAGGTTAGTCAATAAGCTGAGCAAATCAAATTGTATTGTAACTCCCAATCCTTTATTCAGATCTTTTAAAGCGTGCTCCTGTAGTAGAGGTAAGAACTTTGAGGATTTTCGATTCATATGTAACTAATGCATAAACAACTAAAGTGGGGAGAAGATCTTTATTATTGGGATAAAAAAAACGTTCAATTCAATACAAGTGGTATAGGTAAATATATAATCATCCTTTCTATAAACCAGTTTTTTCAAACTGTTTACTGTAGAAAAAAACCATCGATTTTTGGGTATCGGTGAGGGCGATAATGAAATGCCAGAGCAACTTTTAGAGCAGCTCCGCAAGAGATACACATACTACAAATCCGAGGCGCCAAAAGATTTACAGGTTATTTGATAACATTCGGACTCCATGTCATTCCGGTATTAACAATCTTGTAGGCATGTAAACATCCGCTAAAAAACGGTGGGCTTTGCCCTCGGAAAGACTTGGTAACGTGTCCATTCCATGGGCGTATCATACCTCGGGATGAACTGGGGATACCATTGAACCCATCAGATGTTGTAGAGAAAACCGATGATCATCCTCCAGCACAAGAAAAAGAGAAGTCTGTAATGGATAATCTTTGGGAATTAATTGAAGGCGATGTAATGGATCAATCTGGCCGTCAAAAAATGAGCCCAAAGGGTGGTCGAAAGAAAAAAGAAAAGTCCGCTCTTATCGATATTCGAAAGAAGTCAAACACAAGTATTACTAGATTAAAGCGCCAAATTGATTCTTCCAAAACAAAAAAATTGGTGCAAGAAGCTGCAGAATACGAGCGTCAAATGAAGCAACACAACAGAGACAAGCTGGCTTAGTGTATTCTTTCTTGATAAATCAACTGTATCTAATGAATAAAAGAGCTATTTCTTATTCCCATATCTGAACCACGGCTGCTGATATAGCAATGTAGTTTTATTTCAGTTAAAATATACAATTAATCTTGCAGTAAAATGAAGACATAATGAGTATCACTCAATTTTCCCCTCAGAATGTTAACCGTGGAGTTATTTTAGCAAACGATTCCTCGCATTTTGTTAAAGTCATGTAACGATGCACAAATGATCCTTGTTTAGAAGACATATTCTTGCAACTTTACACGCATTAAAATATGAAAAATATTAGGTTTTTACAGAAAACGAAGCCATAGTCCGAACTTATTGTTAGATTCATTTGTAAAAAGCTGAAAGTGTTGGTTACTATGATTATAAAAAAACAATTCATCAAAATATGGTCATGGATTTCGCGACATGGGAACATATCAATTAGCGGAGAGAACCTCGCTATCAGTGTCTGCTGATGGCGCGGCCAAAAAAAACTTCTTTCATCTATGGTTTGGAACAAGGGAAGCTTAAACGCGTATGATTATAAAGCCTTATTGATTTCGGTATTTGAAGATCGCTTGTTTAAAGTTAAATTACGAAAAGTATGTTCCTGCCAAAGAAGGTCGGAAGCCTAGTGATGTAAGGATGTTTACTCAATAGCGCTAAAGTAAGTTTGTGAATGTTACACCATATTTACTTCTGCAAGATACCTCACCGTCGGAGATTCATATGACATCGTAAAGCACTCATCATCCAGTTCCCATTTTTTTATATATTCAGAAATAGTTGCCCTTGATTAATGATATGAGTCTTGCATGTCAGATATTCGGGTGTATCAAAAATATGTCACAATGTGCATCTCAATTAGGTATCTGGTGGGCAGGAGGAAAAGGAAAAATGACAATATAAAAAACCCATCTCGGAGCAGTGTTTTAGTAATACAAAGGAATAAATTTCCCGCGGCGAGCAAGTTATTCCTAATTTGAGTTACGTCAATAAAAAATATATAAAAACGTATTCTGTAATTTTCCTTTTCTCCTTTATTAACTTTTTTTTTTAAAAAACACACAAATAAATTATGTCTAACGTTCCAACTGCAAAGGTATAGAAATCTCCTGCTGTTTATTTATTTTTATTTATTAATCGACTGTTTGTTTACAAAGCTTAATAGCGGATATGAGATCCCTTTGATCGGTTACGGTACTTTTGGTGGCAATGATGCACCTGAGCAAGTCTACAATGCTGCCAAAGCTGCTTTGGATGCTGGTTACAGACATTTTGATACCGCCTATATCTGTAAGTTTGAAAAAGTTCAATAGACGCGCTAGGTTTCTAATGCCTTTCATATATCAGACCAAACCGAAGAGGCTCTAGGAAAGGCTATTAAAGAAAGCAATGTTCCTCGCGAGGAGCTCTTCATCACAACAAAGTTATGGCAATACTTCCATGAACCCGAACACGTTCGCCCTGTATTCGAGCGTTCTTTAAAACTTTTGCAAATGGATTATGTAGATATGTACATGATCCATTGGCCTATTTCTTGGGCCTTCAAGAGCTACGAATTCAGTGAATTGAAGGCTACTAAAGACATGGAACCCACCAATGTTCCTATTATTGATACATGGCGTGAAATGGAAAAGCTTGTAGAGGATAAAAAGGCTCGTTCAATTGGTGTTTCCAACTTTACTATCCCCATGTTGGAAGATTTGTTGAGCAAATGTTCTATTCCTCCTGCCGTCAACCAAGTTGAGATTAACAACGCTTTCCCCCAAGAGGAATTACTTGCTTATTGTAAGAGCAAGAACATTCTTTTAACCGCATATTCTCCTCTTGGTAACCCTGGCTACAGAAAGAGCGTTCGCGCTACTTTGGAAGACCCTGTTATTCTTGATATTGCCAAAAAATACAACAAAACTCCAGGTCAAGTCGTGCTTAACTGGGGCGTCAACCGTGGTTATGCTGTTATTCCCAAATCTACAACACCTTCTCGTATTCAAGCAAATCTTGTTTATTTCAAAATGGATGAAAGCGATGTTGAGGCTATTACTGCTCTTGGCCGTGAGCATCCCTTCCGTTCTTGGTAAGTCAATATTTTACTGCATTGTCTATGTATGCTAATTTTATTCTATTATAGTAACCCTGAAGAAATGTGGGGACCCAAAAACAAGATTTTCGATTAAAATGTCAACCTTACCATCCATGAGCAAAGTGCTTGATAAAATGCAGAATAAACATTTTAAAGCCTTCCGTATTAATATATATATATATATTTTTTTATTAAACTTGAGGAGATATACGATTTAGTTATTATTCATTAGTGGGTACGCTGACGATGTAGTATGGGAGAGCAGGCTATAAAAAGAATAAAAGAAAATTGGCATACAATATGTTGTTAATGGATCTTTCACTTACCTGAATCTTTTTATTTCTATCACATTGAACCAGCCATTCAGGCTTGACAATAGGTATAGAATGATGGACTGCACGATCGTAATTTGGCCCACCAGGGAGTTGAGCCAACAAATGTGTTGTTTCAACACTAACTTCCTCCGACCAAGAAGCACCCATCTTGGCCAACAACTCCTTCAACTCTGTGATTGCAGGCTCTGGTTCCTCAAACAAACCAAATGCGACACGAATACCAGTCAAATTATCCATTTTGTGTGTACGTGCAGTGACTTTGTTCGATCTATATTCACCGGCAGTTGTTTTAATAACAACATGAAACTCGAATTCATGATCCACGTCCAATCCTGACAATTTAATAAAGTTGGTATCACTTGGCACATGCTACAATACAAAAAAAAAAATGATTAATAAATTAAAATGAGCGTTTGTTTTTTCGATTTTTTTATTTACTTGAGCCAGTTTGGTTCCATTTTTATAAATATCGAGAGATCTAAGTTTAGCGGTGTGCAATGAAAGAGGATCCCACTCAAGAATAAGAGATGTTTGTGTAATATTCTTAACACGAACAACAGGAACCTCCGGCTCTTCATTGCCAAACTTTGCTAAAATGGTGTCTTGCAACTCCAAGAATTCATTCATTTTCTTTTTCTCCTCGGGCAAATTACGACTAACTGCAATATTGACAATGCTGCCGGATGTGACTCCCTTGGGCAGCAAAAGTGAAGGAAACTCAATGAGATGATGGTCCTCTGTTAACAAGATGGCCTTTTTTAAAAAAAAAGGTTCTGTTAATATTCCCTTAACAACTCCTACATGCATATATATAAAGTAACCCACCATGCCTGCATCAAGCTTTCCTACAGTAAATTGAACTGATGTCATGTTGTCGTACTTTTTACTTTTTTCGTTAGTGTTTGAATTTGAAAGAAAGACAAGTAGAAACCAAAAAGCCTGCCGACTTTCGCGTGAAAGCTATGGCGGTATTTGAATTAAAGGTAACAAACCTTGTGCGCCAAGCCAATAATTTGCTACACTTTGAATTCTGCGTAGTGGATATGCATTTTTTACAAATATGTAGCCATTCGTGGCATAAAATACGATGGAGTGCTTTTTATTATGTAATAAAAATATAAATAAAATCTGAGTATAGCTGGAACACAAACGAAAATAAGGATGATCGACCTGCAGGAACCACCACAATAAATACTGTTGACTAATGGCGATTTTATTTATTCGTAATGATGTCTCTCATTCTCTTAAATTGCTTTGTATGTATCTCCATAAGAGCAGAAATTGAATCGTATACATCTTATTAAATATGTATAGACTATTATTTCAGGAACATCATATGTGTTGCCTCCAAAATGTGAAAACAATCGTATCCAGTCAAATAGTAATGTTAATAGAAGTATGTAATTTATGTCAGGTAGTGTAATTTATGTACATTGAATAAAAAGACATCCTTCCAGTCATTATTATTATCCTTACCTTTTTACGGGCAACTTTAACAGAACTTGGTTATTTTCAACTACGAAGTGATTTTTTAAATCATGCAACACAACACCTCAAGAAAGGGGTGACAAATATTTATGGGTAATTCGTATAAAGAATTGATAAATAGAGCGTCTGTATCTGTGTGCAGTTACTGAAAAATGGTTTATAATTTATAAAGAATCTGATTAGACATGGAATCTATTTCGAGGTTTACAGCTGCTAGCCGACTTTCGTCTACATAAAAATAATTTTATTTATACAAATTTTACGAATTTACTGTTATTCTTATGAGATGTTCAAATTACAGATGAATATAGAACCATCTCCCAGCAGGTATTATTAAGAACCACTGGTGTCTTCCTCTGCAATTTGTAGTATGTGTTTGGAAAATGGCATCTGCCGTAGAAATATCTGCATTGACATAGTTCCTGTTTTGGAATGCACGCGTTTTGCCACATATTCACTTTATGTGGACATGCATATCCATAAACTCTAATGCGCAAGTAATTATCTTAACTTTGATACATGAAGCGTTTTTTTTTTAAAAAAAATTGGCGATGATAAATTAAGAACGAGTTTGCATGGTCGTAATTAATAATCCGCCTTAATTTAACTACGTATAAAAATATTACGTGATGTGGTGATTATCCACATATGTCTCAAAGTACTTATAAGTCAAGCGCGCTACATCATTGACAGTGGAGTTCTAGCTTTTACAGTTATCCGCAACGAAGGCTCCTTGAATTAGCTAAGGAGCTGTCTTTCAAAAGCTTTGTAATATTATACGCATCTTCTGCTTTGTGTATAAAATTGTTGCTTTAGGTAATACTTGGTACGCAGTCAAATCACAGGTACCGGGCCCTTAAACCTGAGCACAGAAGATAGATGATTGGGATATTACCACTACAGGGTCAAAAAAAGGAGTATTTATCATGTATATGTAATATGACAAGCCTTAGGAGCCATTGATTTATTTTTAAAAGCCTGTAATTGCCGCAGTAAACAATCAGATGATGGACATACAAAAGGTGAGTCAACAAAACCCTTTTGTGCAAGGAACTGGTGCTGTCGATAGCCAATCAAATAGTCTGAAATAAAAATTGTCATAACGTACACTGTGGCTTGTCTTCTTCTATTCGTTGTTTAAATATGAAATCCCAGGTTCAATACAAAAATCTTTTTAAAGCTCAAAAAAGCCTTTCTTTTTTTTCCCTTAAACTTCTTTTTGTTGAATAATTAACATGTCTTTGGCTGACTGTAAGTTGCACTCGAAAACACGTCATTCCAAAACGACTTTGGACTAATTTCTTATTTTTTTTTTTATCTTTTTGACAACAGTGTCTGGTCAATACAAGTAAAACACACTTTCACGTCAAACAACCCTAAACCTAAAACTAACGTCTTTTTTACCTTTAGTTTCCCCAAGGAGGAAGAGAAAATTCTCGAATTCTGGAGAGAAATCGATGCTTTCAAGACATCTTTGGAATTAAACAAGGATAAGCCTGCTTTCAACTTCTACGATGGACCTCCTTTCGCTACAGGTCTTCCTCATTACGGCCACATGTTGGCTGGTACCATTAAGGATATTGTCACACGTTATGCCCACAACACTGGTCACTCTGTTGAACGTCGTTTCGGTTGGGATACTCATGGTCTCCCCGTTGAGTATGAGATTGATAAGAAGTTGGGTATCACTGGTAAGCAAGATGTTATGGATATGGGTATCGATAAGTACAACGCCGAATGTAGAGCTATTGTTATGAGATATTCTGGCGAATGGCGTAAGACCGTTGAACGTATGGCTCGTTGGATTGATTTTGATAACGATTACAAGACCTTGAACCCTACCTTCATGGAATCTGTCTGGTGGGTTTTCAAGCAATTATTTGAAAAGGGTCAAGTTTACCGTGGTCAAAGAGTATGTTTTAGTTTAGGCGCTTTTTTTTTTACAGTGGCATTAACAATTTCTATTTGACAGGTCATGCCTTATTCTACTGGTTGTACCACTCCTTTATCTAACTTTGAGTCTTCTCAAAATTATAAGGATGTTAACGATCCTGCCAGTATGTACTCATTTTATCAATAATTACGTATGATTACTAACTTCAATATCAGTTGTCGTCGGTTTCCCTTTAGTCAGCGATCCTACCACTCAACTTTTAACCTGGACTACCACTCCTTGGACTTTGCCTTCCAATTTGGCTGTCTGTGTTGGTCCTGAATTCGAATATGTTAAAATCCATGATGAATTAACCGGCAACAACTATATTTTGATGGAGAAGCGTCTTACTATTCTTTACAAGGATCCTAAGAAGGCCAAGTTCACTATCCTCGAAAAATATAAGGGTAAAGATATGGCAGGTTGGGAGTTTGTTCCCATGTTCGATTACTTTGCTGAAGAGTTCAAGGGACAAGCCTTCAAGGTTATGGTTGATAACTATGTTACCGATGATTCTGGTACTGGTATCGTCCAAAATGCTCCCGCCTTTGGTGAGGACGATTATCGTGTCTGTCTCGCCCATGGCGTTATCACTGCTGATGGTCATTTACCTTGTCCTATTGATGGATCTGGTAAGTTTACTGATGAAGTTACCGACTATAAGGGTATGTATGTCAAGGATGCCGACAAGATTATCCAAAAGGACATCAAGGCCAAGGGCCGTATGATTGTTCAATCCCAATTCATGCATAGTTATCCTTTCTGTTGGAGATCCGACACTCCTTTGATTTACAAGGCTGTTCCTGCTTGGTTCATTCGTGTCACTCCTGTTATTGACAAGATTTTAGCTTGTAACGATCAAATGCGTTGGGTCCCTGCTTTCATTCAAGAGAAGCGTTTCCGTAACTGGATTGCTAATGCTCGTGATTGGAATGTCTCCCGTAACCGTTATTGGGGTACTCCCATGCCCGTCTGGGTCAGTGATGATTACCAAGAAGTTGTCTGTATTGGTTCCATTGCCGAATTAGAAGAACTTAGTGGTGTCTCTCCCATCACCGATCTTCATCGTGAATCTATTGATCATATTACTATTCCTTCCAAGCAAGGTAAGGGTACTCTTCGTCGTATCGAAGAAGTCTTTGATTGTTGGTTCGAGTCTGGTTCTATGCCTTATGCCCAACAACATTATCCTTTCGAGAATGAGGACAAGGTCAAGAACTCCTTCCCTGCCGATTTCATCTCTGAAGGTATTGATCAAACTCGTGGTTGGTTCTATACTCTTTTGGTCTTATCCACCCATCTTTTCAACAAGCCTCCTGCCAAGAACGTTATTGTCTCTGGTCTCGTTTTAGCCGCTGATGGTAAGAAGATGAGTAAGTCCCTCAAGAATTATCCTGATCCTACTCTTGTCATTGACAAGTTTGGTTCCGATGCCTTGAGACTCTATCTTATCAACTCCCCTGTTGTTCGTGCTGAAACTCTCAAGTTCAAGGAAGAAGGTGTCAAGGAAGTTATCTCCAAGGTCTTCTTGCCCTGGTATAACGCTTACAAGTTTTTCCTTACTCAAACTGCTGTCTTGAAGAAGGACTTTAGCTACGATTTCCAATATAACCCTCACATGCAAAAGTCTGATAGTGTTATGGATCGTTGGATTTTGGCCTCTTGTCAATCTCTCATCAAGTTTGTCCGTGAAGAAATGAGCGCATTCAGACTTTATACTGTCGTCCCCCGTTTGTTGAATATGATTGATATCCTTACCAACTGGTATGTTCGTTTCAACCGTAAGAGATTGAAGGGTGAGAATGGTTTAGATGAAGCCAAGTTAGCAATGAACACTCTTTATGAAGTCTTGCTCACTTTGTGTGGTACCATGGCTCCTTTCACTCCTTATTTGGTTGAAAACATGTACCAAAACCTCAAGGGTTTCGCTCCCAAGAACCCTGATGTTGTTGATGATCGTTCTATCCATTTCTTAGATTTCCCCACTGTCCGTGAAGAATACTTTGATCCTGAGATTGAGCGTGCTGTCGGTCGTATGCAATCTGTTATCGAATTAGGTCGTACCGTTCGTGAACGTAAGAACATTTCTCTCAAGACACCTTTGAAGGAATTAGTCATCATCCACAGTGATCCCCAATACCAAGCTGATGTCAAGGCTCTCGAATCTTATATCACTGAAGAATTGAACGTCCGTAGCGTCATCATTACCGATAACGAAGACAAGTATGGTGTCAAATATAAGGCTGAAGCTGATTGGAAGGTTTTGGGTCAAAAGCTCAAGAAGGATGCCATGAAGGTCAAGAAGGGTCTCCCTGAAATGACCAGTGAACAAATTAAGGAATTCCTTGTCACTAAGGAACTTATTGTCTCTGGTATCAAGGTCACCGATGAAGATCTTAACGTCGTTCGTTACTTTGACGTCAATGCTGATGTTCTTTACGAAGCCAACTCAGACCGTGAGTCTTTGATCTTATTGGATGTCAAGTTGTACCCTGAATTAGAAGAAGAGGGTGTTGCTCGTGAAATCATTAACCGTGTTCAACGTTTAAGAAAGAAGGCCAACTTGTTGCCTACTGATGATATCAACATGTATTACCGTTTCGCCGCTGATTTGTCCAGCGAGTTAGAGACAATCATCAAGAACCAAGAAGCTACTTTAGTCAAGGTTATCAAGAAGCCTTTATTGGATATCAAGCAAATGTCATCTTCTGAAGGTGTCATTGTCGAAGAAGAACAAGACGTTAACGGTGTCAAGTTCGATCTTGTCTTTGCTAAATAAGTTAACAAATAATTTTTCCTCTTTTTTGTTTATTCACTCCCCTCTTCTCTCTCTTTTTCCCCATTGAGACTCATCCATTTTTACCATGAACATATCAACCTTTTTTTTTATCTAGAAAATAAAAATGAAAACTGTAAAAAAAAAAAAAAAAAAAAAAAAAAAACTGGCTTTCAAAATGAAAAACTTTTGGGTTCGTGTAAAACCCACTCTTTTCTGAATTCCACTCATAAAATGTCTATAACTGGCCATTGTTTAATAAAACACGATATTTACTTTACACCTTATGACACAAAGTGGATCCCATGTTCCTCAAGATTATGTGTTGTGGGTGCAAATAGTCATGGGGCAGGTACCATTGCAGTATATGGCTTAGTCGACAAGCACTTAGAGTTGAAACAAGAGGTATGAGATTTCACTTCTTCCCAAAAGTTTCCATATCCGTCATTGACATGCTACTCTAAAGGTAGAAACAAGTTCTGCAGTGCGTTGCGGGGTTGTGACAGGACAAGCACGCAACTTTGCCACAGGTGATTTCGATGGTCAATTACAAATCTGGTTAGAAGAATAGAGGGAAAAAAAGGTCATGTTACTAAATGTACATAATATAGGGACGTACAACGATTCGACATTCCTCTTGTATCATTCAAAGCACATGACAGCATCATAAATTCAATTGACAGCTTGAATCGAGTAGATCAACCTCAAGAATTAGTCACCGGTAGTAGAGATGGTTGTGTTAAAGTTTGGGACGTTCGACAACCGGAAAAGGCAGTGTTGACAGTAAAATCTAAAGATAACTCAAAAGACATTTGGGCTGTTGCCTATGGTAAAGTATCGATTTTTCTTTTTCCCGTGATTGCTGTCAAGTTCACTGATAGAGCTTATATTTAGGACAATTAAAGGGACACAAAGTAATTGCTGTAGGCTACGAGGATGGAAATATCAAGTTATTCAATGTCGATAGTGCACAATATTTATGGGAAACGCATGTTAAAGATGGTGTATGCTCAATTGATTTTGACAAAGAAGTCCTCCGTGTCAGTACATTGTCAGGCGCATTTATAATCAACGTAGATTCAGGAAAATCAACAGAGATACCAGTAAAGTATTATTAATGTGATAGCATTTTAAATGAGGTTTAGTAACATGTTATTTTAGTTCCCAGCAGACACAACCTTATGGTCCATTCGTCATATACCACAACAACCGAATTATTTTGCTGTAGCTGGCGGTGATGGCAATCTTTCGACATATGATCAAAAATCACTTACAAAACCCATCAATGTCCTCAATTTATCCAAACATCCCATCATTTCATTAGACTGGAACAAAGATAAAAAGGGATTGTTTGCGTGTAGTTCATTTGATCAAACCATCAAGATTGGTATGATTCAAAACTTGTAAAAATAGTAACAATAATAAAAAAAAAACTATGCCTTTTTATTTATCATCTATTTTTTACGTTCGGCACTCCATTTATATACAGCTAATCCATGCTTGTCTGTTCCAACCTTCTTCTTTCTACCCTTTTCTCTCATTGCTTTTTGAATCGCTAATTCTTGTTCGGCTCTAGATAATTCTTCTTCACGCTTCATACGAGAAGCCAATTCTTTGAACATACGCTCTCTTTCCTTTTTGATATCTTTAAGTTCTTTTCCAGTATGAGGTGCAACAACTGCTGATTCACGTAAAGTTTCAATACGAGGACGGTTGAATTTACGATTCACAAGTTCGGGTAAGGTATCAAGATGTTTAGCGGGTGAAAATTTACGAACTTCAGCCTCTGAGTCCACAAAAACAATATGGTTGGTCTTATTCTTCTTTGCTCGTCTGGAATTATCCTCTTCCTCGTCGTCGTCCTCCTCTTCATCATCATCCGAGTTCTTTCCGTCGTCAATAAAATGAAGTGAAGCTTGTAACTTTTCTAATCTCTACATGATAAAAATTTCTGGTGTTAATAACGTCTCGGCTCAATAGTAAATGACACAGTAAAAAAAAATCTTACTCTTTTACTAAGATCTCTTTGATACTTAATGTACTCTTTATCTTGAGACTTCATCAACTGAATCATTTCTTGAGGTAATTCTTCATTACGCTTTTGAATGTGAACACCACCTTTTGTTTGGGTGTTAATCATTTTAAAGTAAAATTCATCAGGATTTCTGAACAAGGCCTTCTCTCTCATGGCCTTTAATTTGTGTTGCTTCGAGTGAAAATCTTTGGCACGCAAGAGATAATCTTTCTTCTTTTCCAGAAGACCAAACTTCTCACGTCCAGCTACTTGACCACGCTCTTTGTGATTTCTTCTTTGTACAGCATTACGTAAAGTCGACATTGTATTTGTTTTGTGCCTTCTCGTTAAAAAAAGAATGCTTTTGAATTCAAAAAATTACTCGAAATTCCATAAATATAATAATAATCTAGTCACATAAGCCGTAGGAAAACACGTCACATTCAAATTCTGTTCCTGCATGACAACCCACTTGCCCTGTAAGATCCTCAAAAAAATGGCTATTTAAGATAGTTTTTGTGATATTGTAACAATGGGCTCTTGTATACATAAACGTTTACAATTAATTTGAGTAAAAAGCTTTATTAAACAAAAAACAAAAAAAAGGGTGTATACATATCTATTTGGCAAAAGTTAAATGACCCAAATTTTATTAAGTCTGACTAAAACTGATGGCAAACGCTGATATGAAAAAGTCTAAATAATATATATATAATAATGGAAGGTAGATAAGTCTAATTTTTTTTTACAAGAAACGAGCCAATTCGCTAGCGGAGATACCCAAAGTAGGAGATTGGGCGTTTAATGCACGTAATAATTCGACGAGTTCAACACGAGTATCGTCATTTAATTGGTCCTCGTTGGACAAAACGTGATGGAAAATGGGAAGGAAATTAGGGATTTGACTATGAATCTATAAGAAAAAAGAGGTTAATTGACGATCGTTACAAAAAAAAAAAAAAAAAAAATGTTGCTTACATAAGTATTGTTAGCACGGAAAAGTGAAAATAAACAGTTAAATACAGGCTCGTTTTCTGCAAAATCGGCCTTCAGAGGAAGTACACTTGTGAACACAGGTAATACTTGATCAAGAGGCACGGCATCAGGACGAGACATAATTAATCTAGCAACAGCGCCAGTAGCATTATCAGTGATATTGGGTACAGGTTGGTTTTGGAAAAGAGGATGTAAAGCTGTCAGGATGATAGGGTATTGTGTAGTAAGATCGATTTGAGAATTGCTAACAAGAATACCTAAAGCATAGGCAGCATTGCTTCTAACAGATTGATCTTCGTCACCACAGGCCTTGATGAACAATTGAAGTAAACGTTCAGTGTGAGGGGTAACTGCACTTTTAATACCAGTAATACATTCGCCGAGACAGCCAATAGCCATGGAACGCTCAGCAGGGGTTTTTGATTTCTTGTAGTATTTAGCGATCAATGGCATAAATACATCAAAGTATGAAGAATATGACTCTCCAACAGTCTCACAGATGGTAGCAACAAGGTCACCAGCAGCACTGACCAAAAGAGATTCGGATTCAGCTTCTTCTTCCTCATCCACGAAATCATCATCATCGTAACTTTGTTGACAGATAGATCTCTTTTCAAAAATATCGAGGATATTGCGGGAGATTTCTTCAATATGATCGGCGACAATACTGGGGCCCATCAATTTAAGGGTTTGGACCAACTCTTGGCAGATTTGAACAACCACCATCTTATCATCCTCGTCCTTCCACATAGCTAAAACAGTAGGGATAATAATGGTAATCATATTTTGGACATTTTCGTGAACAGCATAAGTTAAAGGCAAACCTGCCTTCCATTCGTCCGTGCCTGACATGATGTAGAAAGTCTTGAGGAAACTGAAAAGACTACCGACGACAGCCTTACGAACACCATCAAAGAGATGGAACGAGAGCTCAGTTAACTCTTGAACGGATTCCTCGACATAAGGTAAGAAATGTGCTTGAGTGCTTTCAAAGAGTTCTCCAAGAGCATCAGCAGCAAATTCCTTTTCATCGGCGATGGCAGAATTAAAGTTGAAAGCACTGTCATCGTCCTCCTCTTCACCATCACCCAATGTGAGGTCGATCTCGCTGCCAAAATTAGCTTCATCCTTTTCTTCAGCTTTACATGAGGCAATGATAAAGGGCATCACAGTGGGGAGATAAGGAGCAAACTCTTCACCAAAGACACGAGCCATAATGGAAAAGAAAGCATAAGAACATTCACGAAGACGAGGAGAATCTAATTCAAGTTGTTCAATAGCAAGAGCCATTAAATCTTGAGTGAAAGGTCTGAACTTCTCAGCACCAACCGCTTCGGCGATAGCACCAGCAGAGTCGGTGGCAACACCACGAAGCAAAGCTTCGTCGGACCCCTCGGTCAAGGTCATTAAATGACGGATACGAGGCATAACACTGCTGAAGTAAGGTTCAAAGCCTTCACCAGCAGCATGAGCAGCACTACCGATAGCAGCCATAACAGTTGCCTTTGTTTCGGTTTGAGGAGCATTATCCAAAAGGAATAAGAGTTTTTCCATTAACATGGGCAAGTACTGAAGTACTTCATCACCTAAACTTTCCAAAATTGCATCTAAGGCATTACAAGCATGTTTGGTGACTTCGGGATTAGTATCGTTCATCAAGTTAAATACAAGAGGAAGCAAGATGGAGTGACTCTCAGAAATTTCTGCAGGCATCTCCTCAGCAAGACAGCCGAGAGCCATACAAGCTGCACGACGAACAATGATTTCGGGATCCTGGAGACCAGAACAGACAAGCGGTAAAAGCTCGTTTAATTTAGGGCTCATGAACTCTGCACAGCCTTCGATAATCACAGCAAAAGACATCATGGCGGCCTTACGATAATTAGGGTCGGGGTTTTGCATATATGCAACAACAATTGGCATAACAATAGGGAAAACTTGTTGAGGAGGCATATTTGTAGCAAGAGCGTTCAATACTTTAAAAGCCAACTATAGGTCACAAATAAGAGAGTCAGTAATTTTGATCCCTTTACTTCTTATCTAATACATACACGAGAAGGAGAATCCTCATCCACATCCTCGGGGTCTTCTTCAGAACCAATAGGCATTAAGCCTTCAACAATGGGTCCAACCAATTTCAAACTTCTGATCTTGTTTTGTTTACTATAAAAAGGCAAGTTAGTCGATGAACCTGTGACAGCTCATACACCTCTTACTTACTATACAGCAGCCCACATGAGGAAAGAAAGGGCCATAACACGAAGGGAATCGTCTAATTCACGGTTAGAGCCAATTGTCAAAAAGAATCGGATTAACTCCATCAAATGGTTAGATAAAAGAGGAGCATCCAACATCAACAAGGTGTCAAACACTTCAAAAATTTCTCCCGCACTCTCCTCATCACCTTCCTTTAAACATTGTTCCAATACATTAACCATACCGGGAATCATCATTCTAAAGGATTTCTACAGGAAAAAGAAAGAATACATTCGTATGAAAATTTTGCATTGTTTAAGCTATCTCCGTCAATATTTACAATATTTTCTTTGTCCTCAGTTTCAATGAATTCAGCCAATTTACCCAAAGTTCTATAAAGAAAGTTTGTGGTTAGACAAACAGTATAACGCCCCCCTCCCATTTGTTTCCAAACTTACAAAACAGTGGTAACTCGAACGCGCTTACTTTCAGGATCAACAATGGCTTTTGAGAAGAGATCATACAGAGGAGCTGTATGATCCATGAAAAAGTCTGCAATGACCTCGAAAAGAGTATATAAGCAGTAAGTACCTACTTCACGATGAATAGCTGTTGCACTAGCACAGGCCCCGTTCAAAAAGCCTAGTAACTCGGGCCATTTACTTTCGGGGACATCAATACGAGCAATGGATGAGATAACACGTGCTGTTGAGTGACGAACAATTTCACTGCAAGGAAAATAGGTTAGCGTGGATCATAGAAGAAAAAAAAAGCAGGGCGAAGCTTACTGTTGCTCGTTTAATGCGATTTGTAATAACTGGGCACGAATAGCGGCTTGTGCTGACTCGGGAATCTCTTGCCAGCGCTTGGAGATACGCTTTCTTAATTCGACAGCAGCAAGTTGGCGAACAGTTTGGTGAGGTGAACGACTAATGATTTCAACAAAAGCTGGAATGCAATCAGGTGAAACATAGAACTGTGTATTTAAGGTAGAGGTAGCCTATAACAAAACAAAATAGTTAGTGGTATGTAGCCACATATGCTGTATTGTACAGTACTTGTCTGATAGTGTCAGAGTCTTGGGCTGTTGCAAGCTTAGTCAAAAGTTCTTCGAGGCCTGATACGAATTGCTATTATTTTAAAAGTTAACTACTTTTCTTTAAAGAAAATACCTGATTCATTTGCTTTTGTACTTTACCTCCATTTTTGATTTGAATGAAATATACAAGAAGTGAAAAAAAAAAAAAAAAAAAAAAAAAAAAAAGTTTTTCCAAGCCCGGATTGGCTTTTATGTCTGAACCAGAGATTGAACTTTCGACCAATCAAAATGTGGTTGCCACCAAAACGAGCATACAAACTTTCGGTTATTCTTTTTGAAATGAATTTATGCTTGATGAACCAAAAGTTCTTGTGACAAATATGCATCACAATGCTTTTTAATATTCACTCTAAGTTAGAATATAACAGTAAAAATACAGTGTGCAGTAAATTATCTGGTTTACCTTACTCAATTGACGCCTTTTGATATATATTATCAATTCCCATTTGGACATCACTTCTTCATATTTAAATACGTCTTGTAGTTTCAAATAAATTTGCTTTAATATTGTCGTCTTATTTACATAATTGAAAGGGCTATGGGGTGATGATACTCTTAAGAATTACAATCAATTTTAGCTACAGAAGCATGCCGAGTTTTCAATATCTTTGTTCAGCTGCAAGTATCAATGCAACCCATCTTTCGTAGTTACTATGTAACAGATGTTTGTGTAGATTTATCGTTTTTTAAAAGACTTGTACAATGAAAACTATTCAACAATCCCCTTTTATTTCATTATTAGATGCTGTCTATTAATAAGACGCTCTTCTATAACTACGATACTGTAAAAGTATACCCTTCTCAAGAGTCATATCAACGTTTACTGAACTCTAGAAGAGTTCAGTAACTTAGGAAAGCCGAGCTGTAGGTTGAAAGTCAGATAAGTTACCTTAAAAAAAAAATAGGTGACGTAAGTGCTAGAAAATTGGTTTGAATGAACGCGTATTCCTTTTGGCAAAATAAAGAGGTGGAGGGAACTGTATTTTTTACTTTTAATTTCAAACCAAACATAAATCATGGCTGATCGATACAGTTTCTCACTTACCACTTTCTCTCCTTCGGGAAAACTTGTTCAAATTGAATATGCCTTGAACACTGTCTCTCAAGGTGTTACTAGTGTTGGCATCAAAGGTAAGAGGAAATGACAAACACGAGAAAATCAGCAAATCTAATCTCTATTGATAGCTACCAATGGTATTGTCATTGCTACAGAAAAGAAGCCTGCATCGAGCCTTGTTGATGATTCTACAGTTGAAAAGGTGGCCACCATTTGTTCCAACATTGGAATGATTTACTCTGGTATGGGACCTGATTTCCGTGTTTTAGTCAGCAAAGCACGTAAAGCAGCACAAGCATATAAAAGATTATATATGGAAGAACCTCCAGTAAAGATTCTTGTTCAAGAAGTAGCTGGTGTCATGCAAGAATATACTCAAAGCGGGTAAAGAGTGTGCAATAGGTTATTATTTAATATAATCTAACCTATGGTTTTATAGTGGTGTTCGCCCCTTTGGTGTTTCTATTTTGATTGCAGGTTACGATGAAGTTAGTGGACCTGCGCTCTACCAAGTCGATCCTACCGGTTCTTATTTCGCTTGGAAGGCCAGTGCTATTGGCAAAAACATGATTAATGCAAAGACCTTCTTGGAAAAGAGATATAACGAAGAAATGGAATTGGAAGATGCAGTACATACAGCTATTTTGACTGTAAGAACAAGTTTTTTCATAAATCACTTGGTGCATGAAATACTAAAATTATATATGTAGCTTAAGGAAGGATTTGAAGGACAAATGACAGAAAATAGTTTAGAGATTGGTATTATCGGTACAAGTACTATTGGTGTTTATGGAGGTGAAAGAAAGGAAATTCCATTATTTAGAAAATTAAGCTTGAATGAAGTCAAGGATTATTTGGCTAATATTGCTTAGTGTGACAACAATAAGGAGGAAAAGAGGTCCTCATTTTTTTTTCTTCCCCTTAAAAATAAATAAACACAAAAAATAAGTCAACTTTTTTTTTTTTTTTTTTTGTTCTTTTTATTTTTTTCTTTCACGATATTTATAGTTATAACAATAAAAAACACCAACAAATTTGAAAAGCGTTATTTTGCTTTTGGTTTTTATCATGTGGATATCACGAAAATTAGCTTCCATGTCAATATCAGAACCAGCTGCATTAACCGATCGATTTAATAAACCTTTGCCACCTCTTTCCAGTGTAAAAATATAATAAACACCGGACAGATGCATGATCACTAACAAACATAAATAACAGAAAATAGAGCCACTTGTTATTGTTGTTACCGGTCAGTCAAACATAGGCAAGTCCACATTTATCAGATTTGGCCTACAAAATTTGATTGCAAAGCATGACTCCAACAGACCAGGTAAATAAATAGATAGTAAAATCTCCTTATATAAATCACTACCGTCCCTTCTAATAAATTACTTGATAATAGATCTTCAGTGCTACCATACAAACATTACATTAGATAGCATTAATTATCCAATTGATATTATAGAAGTAAATGAATCGGATATGAACATCAGTGACTTACCTTTTATCCATGGTGGAATAGCCTGCTACGATGCTACGGATGATGGCTCGGTAGATTGTATACCTGATTTATTAAGTAAGTGATATTGCCCCTCTTTCATGCACCTCTTTCTTATTAAAATGCTTTAATAGATTATTATTTGACTAGACAGATCCCTACTTTTTTAGTTCAGCTAAAGTCTGACTTGACTGAATCCTTTCAGCTTAACAAGGATTTGTATCCTGTTCAACAGTTTAAAGTAGATGCCTTTTCCGAAACTGGTGTAAATGAAATGAAAAATGTGTTTAAATGTCTTGTGGAGCAGTATTATCCAAGATGTGTAAATAAGCAAGAGGAGATCAAAACAAGAGACAGTTATGTTTATGCTCCAACTCGGACAATAGTTAGTGTTAGTGCTACATCGGGGAGTGAAGCCGATCCCGATAAAGCCTTGAATGAAAATAATCACATTGTTTCTTTTCCTCCATCTTTTCATATGACGAATAAAAGAGGTACATTTCCCTCACACCTTAATTCTCGTCGTGGTTCAAAAGATAGTAGGTAAAATCAACCCTTTTAATTATTTTTCTACGTCTCTTATTTTTACTCTCTTTATTTTTATACTAATTTCTTCATATGTCTACTTTATTCTTTGATCAACTATTTTCTTTTTTCAGTGACTCTTTTGGCATAGGCTTAACTCCAGAAGATATAATCGACCGTCTGCTGTCCACAGATAATAACAAGACAGGTAATAATAATAATCAAAAAAGGGGGGCAAAAAAAAAATTTTTTTTTTTTTATAAGTTAGCTTTAGCATCAATAACAAACCTCCTTATTAAAATAGATGAAAACATTATACCAATATTTTTGACGTTTTTCCGAAAATTCATGAAACCCTTTGAACTAGTAAAAACACTGGTTGAAAGGTAAATATACGCTTTATTTTATTTCGTTTCCCTAGCTACGAACTCATGCCTATTCAACAGATTCGAAAATGATGGTTTATCAGACGCTTTACCGACTGATTTACAAAAAAGGTTTGTCCCATTTTCATTGCCCGCAGCGTGTAACAATGATTTATTTATTTTTCTTGCGAAATGACAGAATACACAGCGTTTTTACATTATGGTTATCACATTACTGGAACGACTTTTACGGTTCACATGCAAGAAAGCATATTATACTTTTTTTAGACCGCATTTCAAAGTATGACAGTCTTACACCCATTTGCGATTCGTTAGCACCACTTGTTGTACGCGAACCACCCTCATATGATCCTGACAAAGTATGGGGTCTTATCGACGATGAATATGATGATGATGACGAAGACGACCAAATGATATCACCGCCAACAACACCTATAAAAAGAAATGAAAAAAAGGATAGTGGCTATGTTTCAGGTACATTTTCCTTTGTCCCTTCATCCCCTACTAAACCTGAAGCGCCTCCCTTTATATTAAAACGACTATCAAATACAAGTCAGCCATCAACATTATTATCTCCTAATTTAAATCGACTGTTATTACGGACGAACAGCAAAGTAGTAACACATTCAGAATCGCATCCCGATCTAAGGTCCACTTATGCAGCACACAAAAGTCCCTTGTCCTCTGCGAACGAGTTACCCAGACGCGCTGAATTCGCAGGTGGTCTGATAAACATTGACAATGCCATAAAGCATAATAAGTTGCATGGTCCATCATCCATGACCCCATCGCTCGCAACCACAACAGGTCGCTGGACTTCCTCTTTAGGTCATCAGTTACTTGCATCTAGTTTTATAAGCTCATTCAGGCCCAAGACGGATAAAGATCAAACCGGGTCTAATTACAAAACTTTTATGAAAGCGGCTGATGCCAGTGTAGCAGATCAGTTGACGTGGATAGAGTCCGAACTTTTTTCTAAAATCAAGGTAACACCCAGCAATTTCAGTTTCTATATTTAAATGCTAACCCTAAAAAAATCGTGATTATTAGCCCAGAGAATTTATTCGAAATATATGGAATACACCTGTCAGCGATAAACGGTCATCGTTATTATCATGCAGCAATACAGTTCTTGCATCTATTGCACATTTTAACTTTATTTCGGCCTGGGTCGTCACCGTAATTGTAACTCAATCCAGATTAAGTAAACGGGTCGCGTTACTCCAAAAATTCATGTCGATTGCAGTTGAACTACGAAACCTTAATAACTATAATACATTGATGGCGATTTTGGCAGGCATCAATAGTGCGTCAGTTCTCAGATTAAAACAAACAAGACAAGGCGTTGCAACAAAAAAAGTCTATAAACAATTCCAGAGTCTAGAACGATTGATGAGTACCGACAAATCATTTAGCTCTTATCGCATGGCTTTAAAGGCTTCTTCCAGTGGCGCACCCGGAATACCATATCTGTAGGTGATTTGTTTATTTATTTATTTTGCCTCCGCTTGACAGAATCAAAATTAAACTTACTTTTTTTTTTAGCGGTATTCATACTCAGGATCTGGTTTCGTTGGCAGAAGCAAATAAGGACTTTCGGGCGGACGGCACAATTCACTGGGAGAAATTTAGGTTGATGGGTGAAACTATCATGGCAACCATGAAATTCAAATGCCCAAGTTACACAATCGAGCCTGATGCCAAGTTACTAGCCTTCATTGCTGACACGTATATTTTATCTGAAGACGTAAGTCTCTTATTTTTTGTTTTGTGTAAAAAATCGTTTACTTACTTCTCTCTCTCACTTGAAAGGATCAATACAAGCTATCTACGACCATCGAACCAAGATTAGCTACAGCAAGTACAAGCAGACTAAGAGAATTGTGGTTACGCATTTAACAGAACACAAGTTTTCAAGTCCGTTTCTGTATATATTATTTTATATTATTAATTACTTTTTTTTATTCCTACAGTACATTCCTTATAACGCAAATACCCTTCTTCCCTATATACATATATACACACACATTCTATCACTGTACTTGTCAACTTTCCATGCTTGCATACGCATGCACACACACACACACACACACATATACTCACTCACATAGTTATTAATTATATATCTTTTAATATTTTCTTGTTCTTTAAATAATACAAATCATTTTTTGGAAATCATCAGATCTTGATAAATAGCATCTGGTCTAGGGGATAAAAGTCTTGTTTTTGTTAAAATATCGTCTGTAAGAACTAGTGTCTGTAAATCGCGTGCTTTTTTAGATTCTGGTAAAGAGTTTATATAATTATGTCGTTGCTGTAAAGCCTCTTCAGAAACGATATAAAACCAAATGTTCCCTTGCCCAAAAGCTCTATAAGATGGTGTATGAGATGATGTCTCTCTTTTACGTAGCATTTGTTGCGCCATTTCCCCGCCAACTGACTTCCAAACGATACTAGGAACATGATTTTCAAGTTGGCAGGACACGATTTCAAAACGTTGTAAAGCGGAACAGTTTTTTATCAACGTTATCATGGAGTTATCTAAGTCTTCATCTTCCGATGTAACACGAATTATCAAGCTTCTGATATCAGTTGCATAAGTTGCAATCGCTTTAAGCGTCGAAGCATTGTCACAGCGAATGGAAAGGTGTTGCAATTGTGTTCCATATTTGGCAATCGTGTTACACAAAATAGAACTGCTGACTTGTGGCAGAGTTATGGTCAGATGTGTAATGTGTGGACAATTTTCGTACAGAGATTGAACCATAAATCCATTGATTGTATCGTATTTGTTGTGATTTGATCCCAATTCAAGTCGAGTTATTTTGGGAAACAATGAAAAAAGTATTGATTTTTGAGTAAAGTCTGTCCAGACAAACGCAACTTGGTTTACTAGATCATTATTAAACGTCGTTGTATTCTTTAGACCAAGACATTGTCTACGATTACTGAGTAGCGTTTGTTTTGGATTGTACACAAGATGACAATATTTAAATTGAACATGTTGAAGTTTAGGTAAAATTGATACGGTATGCTGAATCATGTCGGTAGATAATGCATGAAAATCGCTAAAAATTAACGTGGTGATTCTTGAAGACGGACCCAAAATACTTTTTAAATCTTGAATGCGCCAATTGTTTCCATTTTGTCGTGATCGTAGCGTTAACTGGCGAGTGTGCGAAAGAATAGTTTGTTTCAAAGACGGGTTTGATACAATGCCTTGTTGCAATTGTCGCATGTGAACATGATGTCCAAGTTCTAAATGACCGTAAAGAGATGGTACAGTTTTATTATACAAAGTTCTACAAGTAACCGTAATACGACTGATATCTTGACGAGATAATAGCTCTAGAATTTTTCCAATGATTTCAATTGGCAATTGTGTCAGCATTTTTTTTTTTTTTTAAGAATAGATAAATGGAACAAAAAAGCACAAAAAAAGTCTAAATACATTTTTTTTTATTAAATAAGATTTTCACATTCCTTATGTGGGGGTATAGTTGTCAGTCATATCACAATAAAGCATTATCCCTCCCAGTAAGTCATGATTTGATACACAAAAAGCACTGTGCCCAAAAAAACAAACGCCAATTGGCTTAGTGGACGTTCCACGAGATTTTTAAAGTATACGCTATGTCCAATGAAAACTATTGTTGATCATTGAAATTCTTAATCGAACAGTAAACTGCTGAAAGGCATTATTTCGATTTTTATGATTAAGAAGAACACAATATTTATTGCTTGAATTCACCAACATATCAAATTTATAGCGTCTTCAGCACTAATTACCGGTCTACTGTTAAATATAATAACTGATCAGATTTCAGGGGAGGAAATGCATGTCTAATACCGCTAATTCTTGTGTAGAAGAATACCACACTATTAAGTATATCAAAGTCTTGACCTTACCATAAAATTTTATGTGTGTCAGGGGAGAATTACATTCCTCCGATTGAGATTCGAGATATAGTTTTTTTATTTTGGTACCGTCCATTTTGTTATCTACTTTACAGATTTATGCATAAACTTTGCCTCATATTTTCAAAGTTTAAAGCGGAAAATCATTAATAAAGCCATGATTTGATCAGCATACCAAAACTAAAACACACTTCCGCATAACCCATAAATAAAAATGTATACTGTTGATGGAAGTGATATGAAATACCATAACAGTGATTCGGAAAAGGGCTTGTGATAGCTTCATCAAGATTTATAAGCTCTTAAGTATATGGCGCAAATACCTTTCATTTCTTTTGAGAAGTGATACATATAAATTCTTTTACCAACATTTTTTATATTCGTTCTATACAATATGTTAGGAGCTTTGTGGCGAAATGACCATTTTTTTTTTTTTTTTTTGGGAAAATATGATATAAAAAAGAACGGGGTGAGCCAGTGGCTATTTTCTACGGAAATAGTTTGTAAGTCCGTCTCTTATTTAATTACATTTCCTTTATGTTTAGTAGAGTTTTTCTTCGATATTAGGTCCACTGCTCAAAACGTCTGCCTGCTGCTTTTAGCTCCATGATCCAATGTAGGATTCTAGTCAATAATAAAAAAGAAAAATCAAGAGGCCTCGCATGATAGAGCATCTTCTCAGGATTGTCGATATTTTGATTAATTTTACTGTAGCAGTTTGAGATAAGGTCACTGACAATCAATCAGGCCTGTCCTAAAAAAAAAGAAACTCCATAGTCATCCAAGACGAATGATGATAAATGGTGTTTAGCAGTCTTGAAATAATTAACTTCTTAAATTTATATCTGTCTCAATACTCTGATTGCTTTATTTTCCTCTTTTCACGACATTATGTTTATCAATATAAAATTTGTACCAGATGGGTTCTTATGCCGTTTGGAAGTCGACCCTTATTACACGGCATTCAGTATCAGGGAAAAAATTGAAACACTATGTTTTGTATCTCGTAACAATCAAACACTTGTATACGAATCCGTTATTTTAAAGGACAACGATTTTCTTGAAGACCATGATATTGAAGAGTACAGCATGCTCAGTTTAATTACAGAAGGGCCTGGCTTAAAATCATATAAAATACAAGTTATAACACCTCGAAAAATTGAATTGATGGTTAAAACTTTTTACCGCGTCGAATATATAAAATTAATGTTGATGGCAAAAACTGGTATTCCTGTCTATTCGCAACGTCTAACATTTAAAGGTTTCACTTTGAAAGATGAAAATGAGTTGTGTTATCACAAAATTTTTCACGATTCTACAATACACTTGATGATTGGAATTCGTATAAGCTAGGTGTTGATAATTACAATATGACTATTAAAAGAAAAATTGTTTCTCAAAAATAATAAAGGTATCGATGGCATTTATATACGATTACTCTGTCAAATGTTCGTTCTGTGTCTGTTCATCCCATACAAACAGACGTCACTATAAGACAGCTTTAAGCTGCTATACATAAAGCTTTTTAAGCAATAGTGATAGTGCATTATAAATCTTTTAACTAGTTATGATGATAGATTAGGGGTAGTTCCTTTTACAAATGATTAACATATTCCTTGTGTTAGTTGATTGTTTTAAAATTCAAGGATTCCATTACCACGGTAATCTCATGATCTAAATTAAAAAAAAAGCATTAGAAGAGAATATTTACGAGCATATTGAACATTTTTACTGCAGAAAAGATCAATTAACAAGATTTACAAAAATTATCTACATTAAAAAGAAGCATCTTCCAGTAACTAAAAAAAGTTTATCGTAGGTACTTAGATTTAAGAAGCCCCTCGTCTGTTGTCATAAAAGGGTGTCAATTCCGTTCTTGAAATATTTTGTCAAATTCATGCGTAAATTGAAAGTTTTACTGATCGAGATTAAAAATCCTGCGTTACATCCCCCTCAGCCCGCCGGATGAACTAAAAGGAGATTTAACAGTCACATTTGACTGGCTTCTTGCAGTTTTTAAAAATTCGATTTTTTCCCCCTTTTTACAAGAAACTACAATGAATATAAATATAAGGATAGTTCCCGACGGATTTTTATGCAAGCTGGCAGTTGACCCTTGTTACACGGTTCTCAGTATCAAGAAAAAGGTCGAAAGCTTTTATGGTGTACCTCGCGACAAACAAATACTCGTATATGAATCCGCTATTTTAAACGACAACGATTTTCTTGAGGACTACGATATTCAAGAAGATAACACTATCCGCCTAGTTGCAGAAGGATTAGGATCACAATTCCTTAAAATAGAAATCGTAACGATGACTGGTGCTATCATTGAAATGCAGGTCAAATCTTTTTACCTAGTCGAGGATCTAAAATTGATGCTGATGGCAAAATCAGGTATTCCTCCCCACCAACAACGTCTAATATATGCGGGTCGACAAATGGAGGACGAAAGAAATCTAGCATCTTATAGAATTGATACCGGTAGTACCATTCAATTGGTACTTAGACTGGGCGGTAGTTAATTCATAAAGTGTTTATGGCCTCAAACGACGGCTTTGATAAATTCAAATAGCAGACTTAATAAATAATGATAAAGTGGCGGTTTTGAAATTAACAAATGACTGATCTTTCTTGACTTAAATAATGTAACACAATCAACAAAATGCACTTTCTAATTGAATATTGTTGAGGTGTAAAAGTTACAGACGATAGTAATGAAACCATAGGTTACATCCATGAAGAAAACGAATTTAGTTCTAAAAAACTCCAGCAATTCGACGAATCACAGTGAATCGAGATCAAACATTAGTAAATGATTTATATAACTACTTATGTGCCTAGATAGCTACATCATTAAACTTTAATTTGTGCTCCTGACTTTTATGATAAGTGCTGCTTGGACCACTGACATGTTGGGAGGGCTTGCCTCCCGTAAGCCTTATATAATAATGGGGTCAATGACACCTGTCGCAAGGAAGTGGGGGATCAGAATTGGTGTAACTAATCCTTTGTAAGACGCCATCATGGCTCTCAAATTTGTAGGCATTCCATTGTATTTTGAAATGCAGCCTATTACGGTGTTAATCTGAGAAATGGATATTACAATTTTTCAAGCACTTACAGAGAGATCTAAACGTAGTTTAATAGAAGGTAAAAGCTCAGTGCCATTTTCACAGAACTTATTCGGTATCTCTACTATACGTTCTTTATAGATCACAAACAAGTCTTTTTCATGAAAGGACATGAACAACGGTCCGAGAGCCGTGCCTTAGATATAAAACATCTACTACGGTACAGCATTTTAAAAAGCACCCAGTTGCCATCCTTCTTTTTTTAAAAAAAATGAAAAAAGGGAAAGGGATTGAAAGAAAAGAAAATGAAGGTAGAGTATATAATTATTCTTCAAGGCAGCCTAATTATGTTGACGGCATAAGGTAAGGTGTGACAGGATCTAGTTCACAGACCACAAAAGACTTGGTAGAAACTCAGAAATCATTATTAGATAACTCAAGTAATGACGATTTTCAACCTGTCGCTTCAACTGTGATTAGAAAGAGAAGAAGTATGCTTCACAATTGATAATATTGATACAGTAATCCAAAAAAAGCCTTACATAATAGTAAAAGAGGTAATGAAAACCTGCATCTACAAAAGAATCGTAGTAAGGGAAAATAGAAGGAAGAAATTACAAGCAATGTGCAAAATCATTAATATATCAGTGATAATGCTGACTTTCTCACCCCAATAAATCCCAATTACAAAGAGTCAAGCAGGTTTGAGCTAAAAAGTTTCGTCAGCAAAGGTTTCTTTGTCGAAGTTTTCCTGGCTCTTGTTGATAAGAAAATTCGTGATGGTTCTTATCATGAGAAATCTAGACTTAGAGGTTCTGTAAAAATTTACAAACAGCTAATAGCAAATCACAAGAATGAAAATTGTGTACATGTCAAGTACACTCCTCCCAAACTTACCAATGCTCAGCAGATTGCATTATATGAATGTGCGAAAATTGAAACTGCGTATTTTAACAACATTAGAAAACATATCTCTAATAAACTTAATATGTTCTTGAACCATCTTTGCGGGGAAAAAAAGTAAAGTCAGCTGGTTTGAAAGAAAAGTTGGAAGCTGAAGGTCATAATAAGGAAACCATTAAACTCAGGTTACGCGAAGAGATTTTTATACCGTGCAACAAGATCAAACTCGCAAACTCTAAACAAGAAGTTCTTGATGTAGACATATTAGATGATAAGTCTAAAGCGGTCCTTAAAGCCTTATTATCAATGTATGGTGATGATTACAAATTTCAAAAAAAATTTCGATTTACTATGGTGTACAAGCTCATCCTGAGAACCATTTCAAAGCTTTTTACAAACTTTAAGAGCTATGCGAGACAGAAAAGCTGTAGGAGTTTACATGTTTTCCTATCAGAACTACATTTATACCTTCGTACATGACAATAGATGCCAAAATAGCAAATTATCAGGTTTTGAAAAACAAAAAGCCAGTCAAGGACAAATCTGAAACTTGGACTCAAGTGGTTAATTTAAAGAAAAAAGCTTTTAAAAACGGAGGCCATAACAAGTCTTTACGTTTTGAAACCACAATTGAAACTGATGGTGTTGGCGTGTCTATTATAAAGCAAAACACTACTACAGATAGAAAAATACCCAACAGCAAAACAGTTACAATAAAACAAGCAGGGACTAAGAAGGATAATGATTTTGTAGCCAGTCCTATAGAAAAACTAGATTAGGCTTATTTAAAGAAAACAATTGGCAGATGCGTATTAATTGATCCTGGCCGTAGAGATCTATTGTATTGCATGAAAGAAACGAGTACTATCGAAAATAAACAGATCCTTATATTTACTAAGAACAACAGAACACAACTTTCCAGGCATTTCATATCATTGAGAAAGCAGAATCAACCATTGGTAATGAAAGAAGCCGAAGCAAACCTTTCTAAAAGCGAATCGGTCTCTGTCATCGCAAAAAGTTTATACAATATATTAAAACTGGAGCATCAGTAAAAGACACTTGGTATAACTATTATGCTAATGGAGCAATAAAATCCTTTCAAGCATTTTATCCTGCTTCTGAATTTGACTTCAAACTCGATCAGAAATGTAATCTGTATTATGGAAGTTGGTTTATTACACGGATCCTAGATTTCCCCCCAAAAACGGCAATACTACTCAACAGATAATTCACTTATAAATCCTCAAATGTTTCTGACCGACCGTTATCTTACTTTCCAACAAGGCACTTACGAAAGTGGCTCTTTCCAACAAAGGTAAGAGAAAAAGTGAAAAAGAGAGAGAGAGAGAGAGAGAGAGAGAGAGAGAGAGAAAGTGAGATAAGGGGGCAGAAACTGATGGTTTTTTTTTTTTACATAAGGCCTTCACTTTAGAAGGATCTCCTAACGATGAAAGCACCTGGATAGTTCTTCCTCCTACCATTACTGAAGAAGAGGCTGGTTACGAGGTTAGATTTGAGGATAGCATTCGTCCCAAGCACGTGACTGACCGTGCCAACCTCCACTCTCATGAGATTGAGAGTCCCGTCTCTGGTCAACAAGAAGTTTCTTGTTTCGATGATGATGACTCTACTGACGAAAACGATGTTTGGAGAGTTGAGCAATACGATCAAGATGACGAGCAATATGACGATGTAAGTTCACTCATATCTCCAATGCATTTAAATATATATATTGAAATCTTCTATATAGTTCTGGTGTGCTAACCAACCCGTCATTCTTCGCCATGTTGCTACTGGTAAGCTCCTCCACTCCCATGAGATTTCTTTGGCTGATGGCGAGAACGAAGTGACTGCTTTCGAAGGTCTCGATGACAACGACAAGTGGGCCGTTTCTTTTGATTAAAATTGTATGATACCTATTCCCCACACATACACATTTAAATAAACCACTTTTTTTTTCTGTTTTAGTACTACGCTAAATGACCGTACTAGCTTTATCCCAATAATGGGATGATTTTTGAGCACAAACCGATAAATTTTTCACCGAAGTACTAACACGCTCTTTTGTCCCAGCACGCGATACTTTGGTCAGAAGGGACTGTCTAATAAATTCTTAAAAATGACTTTGTGTAAAAAAGAAAACTTCTCCCTGTTTAACTTAATTTCGACTAGTCATCATGTTGCTTAATTTAATACTTAAACCTGATTTGTATAAATTCCAAATCACTGTAGACGAATTTTATACGGGACTTAGTGCTAAGAAAAGGATCGAACAGTTATACGGTATTTTTTGTTTATCTCAGACTCTCGAACATCGTTACGGCCCGTGGAGAGATAATGAATTTCTTGACAAACGCATCAAAGAAGGCGACAGTATAGATCTGATGGTGGATCCTGTTCATTCGCAAAGTATTAAAATATACTGCAAATCAGATAATAGGTTAGAACGGCTAACTGTCTACATTAACCCCACTAACACTGTGGGTCAACTGAAAGCTAGTTTATCGCCTACCCTAGGCATTCCTACAGAGAACCAAACTATTAAATACAATGAAGAAACACTCGAAAACTACAAAACATTATCCGAATATAACATAGCACCTTTAAGTTTAATACAAGTGAACTACACCCACAACAAGTGAAGGTATATTTTTTTTTCTCGTGCACCCTATAATAAAAGATCGATGAACCAGCCGTATCATTGTTGTACATTTGTGTGTGTGTTCATAGATATGTGTTTTATTACGAATTTAATCATGTGAGTTACAACATAGCGTTGATAAGGATAGCGGGATATCTTGAAATGCATCACGTTCGGTAGATATTGTCAGGGCGGTTCCTTCTGACTCTCCACACATCGCATATATTACAGTAGTCGCGCTATAAACATATTTTGGCTATTGGGGTTATTTATTAAAAACCTGTGATATTTCTCCTATTGAAACCACTTAACCACTATAGATAGGATGTATTAGTATTTTATATATAATGATGTAGCTTTCCATCCTTTTATCGCACAACCATTATAATTGTGTGTAAAGGATCTGCCAGATTTACTTCTACAGTTACTTGCAGATAACATAAATACTCTGAATGTATGGAAGGTAATGCTCTACTACGGATCAGCTACAGTAATTGAATGGCACATTAGACACAATGAAAGTCAGATAAAACAAGAGTATATTATTGTACTCATTATTAAAAGCGATGTTTAAACGGTCAAATATCGGCTATAGTTAATATTATATTTAATATTGCATAAATGCATTGCGATACTGTTTAATTTAATTTTCTTTTACTTTACACAATCAACAATTATGCAATTAAGAATAACGATTATGAATAAAAGCAGTGATTTCCAACTGGATGTTTATTCCTCTGAAAAAGTTGCTAGTCTTAAAATGAGGATTGAACAGATTCAAAATATTCTGTTGGAAAACCAAACCTTAGTCTACAACAGTACTGTCATGAAAAATAGTACTCTTATTTCGCACTATGATATCAAGAGTAACACCTGTATCTATTTGATAGAGGGATCTGGATCTGAAGCTTTCAGAGTAGACTGTAAAAAGCCTGATGGTGAGATCGTAGAATTGAAAGTTGACCCGTATACCACCATTTACGACATCAAGTTAATGATTGAGGCTCTGGATAAAGCAGATCCTTGTCACCAATGTATCACATACAGAGGAAAGACCCTTGAAGATTCAAGTACTGTCTCAAATTGTAGTATTTATCCTGATTGTATTTTAACAATGAGCTACTTCAAATCGGAAGTTGATTTATATTCTCGTTCTGTTTTATAACCACTTTTAAATAAAATAAAGGGTTTTGTATATTATTTTTCGTTCGTATTATGTCTTAAATCCGTATATCAATTTACAAAAATATTTAACACCAACTGACAGGCCCTTTCATTTGTATATTACAGCACTTATGACATCTTCCAAAGAGCGTCAATAATTGGGATGGGAACGATTCCAGGCAAGCAATTTTATTGTACTAAATAAAAACATAATGTGACACATGTTGTTATCTATCAGGTGCTATAGGGAAGTAATTTCGTTAGTATAGCGCCTGGTTGATTGTTTCCTTAATTATTTGACCTGATTTTTTTAACCCATTCTGTTAGAGCTGTACTTTCATTCCTTCCTCCTATAATATCTATTGCTTAGTAGAATGAAAATTTACATTTTACCTTTATTACGAGAACGAGAGATTTTTCAAATAAATGTCAGTCCCGTTTACAACGCTCTATATCTTAAAATGAAAATAGAACTTGAACATGGACTATGCTATAAGAACCAGACGCTTATCTATAACTCCATTGAAATGGATGAAACCAAACCCTTCTCAAGCTATAAAATGCAAGAAAATGATAGAATATACTTGGTAGAGGATACAAACACCCAATTCGTTGATGAAAGTTTTGAGTTGACTATCAAAGATCTGACACCCAAAACTTATAAAGTCATGGTTCACCCAAAGGATAAAGTTTTCATCCTAAAATTAAAGTTACAAGCTTGCTCCGGGTATTTTCACGGCCTTCAGTGTCTTTTGTGGATGGGCGATCAGCTCGAAGATTCAAGATCCATTGGAAATCTTAATTTAAATTCATCTTCGATACTTAGCTTAGTGCCAAGACAGCTTATTAATACGTAAATGCCTCCTAAATTTATCAGACGTCTAAAACAAATTTCTATATTCTCTGCAAAATCATAATAAAATATAATTAAAGCATAATATAACTTGAGACATTTTTCTATTGCAGCAGTTTGCCAATATTGGAATCAACCATTAAATTCAAATTACTTTAAAGATTTATGCTAGGATTGCTAAGTGCTCTACGCCCCATCTCTCGAGGAAAATGTTGATAGGGGAGGGGGGAGATGGGATGGAAAGTTTAATCCATGATATGTCACAATAAATTACAATGAAAACTACCAATGTTATATTGAATCTGATAGATAATGATCCATGTCTGCAATTGTGTCTATCAATAATAAATCAAATTTTTTAATAAGGATGAGGTAATTAAAGGCTTTGTTGACTAAATTAGACTTTTTTGTAACAGATGAATTGTTTATTTATAATCATAATCCCAGATCTTACTATTGGGTCCAAAACTATCGCACTAACCATTGTTGTATTTTTCATTTTTATCTCAAAATAGTCAATATTGTATTTCATAATATTAAGATTTAAATTGACAATGAATGCGTTGCTTTTCACAATTTTGGCAATGAAGATTACATATTGGAGATAAACTAAGATTTTAAAAAAGATATTGGAAACAGAAAAGAATGTTTTTAGCTACTGTCATTGCATTCAAGTATAAATATGTAATATACGAGAGCTTTCTGTGATAAGCTAGAATAAATTTATACACAATGCAAACAACGTTGAACATTCTTTTATATACGAACAGAGTAGCTTTCAATATCACCATTGATCCGTCCATGGAGACTATTCCAAACATTTAAAAAAAGGGTCGAACATGAATATGATGCTCTCTATGAACGCTACAGCATTTGCTATTAATCGTAGTGATGCTACACAACTGTTCGTTAATTCAAGAGTGTGGTATTTAAGATGGTGATGTGGTACATGTGGAATCTACTTACAAATCGTTTGGATACTTTAGAATCTATCCTTAAGTTCGAATAAGATTATTACCAAGGTTATCGTCGAAAGTTTCAACACGTTATAAAATGCCTTACTATGTCATGACTCGAATATTAAGTCACTATCTGAAGATATACCACTTTTGGTATTTATGTGAAGCAAGTTTATTTGTGTGTCCATTACTATCGTTGAATCAAACCAGCCACCTTGTCCCCTACTTGGTTATCGTATTCTCGTCGATCTCTCCAAAGAATTTTATGTGTAATTTTAAGCTTGTATCATAGTTTCGTTATCCTTATATTGCCGTCCCATTGCTTGACTGTTATTTCTGAATAAATAATGTAGGATCGAAGACGGCACCAAGCTAGTTTTTTATTGGATCTACTTGTCAAACAAACAAACAAAAATATGCAATGACATAAAATATTGGCTTGAAATAGAAAAAGATGTTTGTGCCACAGAATTTGGAAATCCATGTTGTAAACCCATGGGGAAGATCGACAATTTTTAAATGTATCAAAATGAAGAGGACAAAGTTAAAAGTTTTTAAATTATTTTATGGATTTTTATTTTGTTTTTTGTTTTTTATAAAAAATGCAAAGAGGGGGATATAAAGGTATGATAAAGGGTTTTGATTTTTTTTTTAGACAAACAAAAACATTGTTTTACAACAATGTTTTGGATAAACGATTTGACATACCATCAAATTTTTTTTCTCAAGGGATTGCAAGTAGTGAAAAAAAAATTGATTAGTAAGAAGACCATAGGAGCGGTAGTACCATAGTAAGGGTTCGGATAGTAAGAAAGAGAAGAAGACAAGCTTTTTTTTACAAAGCTCTCCCAAAAAGAAACATCAACAGCGCCAAATTCAACAGTTGTCCAATCAAAAGTTTAACACCATCAAGAGTACGCGAATAATAAAATCCAGTGAATAATGTCGCAGAAACTACACTGATAAAATCAGTATATCCATAATATGCCCCTGAGCTGGCGCTGTTGGACGAATCTTTAGGCTTACTATCAAAAGATAATACCTTTATGGATCTACATACTCGACCATGATCCATCGGATCTGGTGATTTTTTAGATTGGACACTAAACCAGGAGTACCAACTGCTACATTCAATATGTTCATGATGAAGTATAGAGCTGTGATATTTTGGAATTTCGAGAGGTGAGCGAATTGACAGAATAGTCAACGGGATAGATATGAGGGAGGTCATATACAGATGGGGGTAAAAAAAATGGAGGGTTAGTATTTTTTTTGGGGTTTTTGTTTTTATAAAGAAAAAGAAAAGAAAAAAAAACTCAAAGAAGGGCCTGTATTTATATACATATGGACGTTGCACAATAAGTGATAGTCAAACATTTACCCACAGATAAGGTTTATGTCTTTACGCCATTACTTGGCACAACCTTTCAAGCTAAAATCTATTTCAATGGCATCCTTGCTTTATTACTGCGGTGAAAGGTTAAGCTTAACATTACCGATCGGAAATGACATGCCCTGGTAGAAATGACTCATTTTAAAGTTCGTTGTAAAAAGGAATTGAAATAAGGTTAGTGTACACATTGATGCAAAAAAGGGCATGTACTGCTATCCGCAAATACCTAAATATTACAGCGCTCTCTTGGCAAAACTACTGAAAAAGATTCGGCTGCTACATCTCCAGCCATATTTTGAAGAAACATAACAAGGGCAACATTTTTAGTATGAGTTTCTAAAATAGATTCCGGGCTATATCGTACTTCAATAATTTTTTTATATAGAAAGTACCACATTATGGTAACAACTATTATTCTAATTTCTTCATTGTGTTACATCGTTTTCATCAAGCCTAGAATGTAAAATGATTATCACAGCCAAGGGCTTTTGCGTGTATACACGCTGTTTCATATTGATTAAAATTTAGCCAACGCTTCAAATCGATACTAGAGAGTATAAAACAACCAAAGTCATATAATGTCTTCTTTGATAATAAGATGGCTTGAGGTTATACATGTAATAATAGTTGTCATACGATACCAGCATAGCAACCACGGTTGCTATGCAATTTTTTTTAGATACTTTATGTACACAGACAAATATTTGTGTTAGTCGACCCAATAATAGATTCGTGTGAACCGTGATGAAATTGTTGGATAGACTTGATGCAGTGTAACAAGAGGCTTTGCTTTTTCTTTTTTCTTTTTTTATAGTTCCAACGGCGTCTTAAATTGTTCCGTTCCTGGAAACGAGCTAAACAGCAATTACTTGATCTTTTGCTTATTACTTTCGTTGATGGAGGTTATTATCAACCTAAACAAGAGAGCGACACACTCTCTGTAGGATTATGGGTATGAAAATTTCAAATCATGATGAAATAAGCAAAGTGACATCATTGTTGTGGATCTACCACCCTGATACATGTATTACGTTAAATCAAGGTGCGCTTTTAATAATAGAATGGCGGGAGTAACTTACTCGCCACAAATTTAATATAAAAGGATGCGGGGGAATAAACAAATGAATTTTTTACTTCTTTTTTTAAAAAAAATGTATACAATTATAGACTTGTGTTTTTGAAAGGATACCGTATTAGTACAGATTGTGTGTTGAACGTTGATAGGTGTCAATGTCATTAGCCATGTGGTGGGTTTAAAGAAGTAACCGTTCACGATAAAAATAGATTTTTAAATTCTAATCTGGGTCGACAGGCGTTGCGATTTTTTTTTCTTGTCTTGCTGATCCGTAATTGTGTGAGCAGGTCGACATCAAGATATATACAATATAAACGATTACTATGACTATCGTACTAAAGTCAAATTATGCCCAGTCAAATATAATTGCCGTGATCAAAAATTCGTTTTGTCGAAGCGGGAGATTCTCGCCGAGATTGAGAGGGGAAAGTTCTGTGATCAACAACGCCTTTGTTTAGAGACACATTGTAAATATTTCTACCGTCCTCTTTTTTCTTTTCTTTTGTGGCGTAAAAGTATTGCGTTGCTCATTGGAATAGTTTGTATGTTTCATTGTTCTCGCTGATGTATCCAGGGCTTATACGGAAATAATCCCCATGAGATTGATAAAGGGACAATGGAAGTTCTAGCATCATCAAGCTTCTTTCTATACAGCAGTAATTTATACCACGGATCAATTTAACTCTTTTACATTTTTTTTTCACTCAGTTATCATTGTTTTCTTTTATTTTCTTCTCCAACCATCATGCAAGTAACTGTACGAGCTCACTTAGTCAACACGGAGACCCATCTCCTCAATCTGTACGTAAACCCACATTCTGAAACCGTCCTTCAAGTCAAACGCAAGGTGGAGAAGGAAGTTGGCATCCTGTATGAAAACCAGCGCATCACATTTAATTCAGTCGAGCTGAAAAATTGGCAATTGTTGACATACTGTGGCGTTAAGGACGGCCACGAGTTAAGGATGGAAGAATCGGGAAAATCAGCCACGAGTTTCAGAGTGTATCTTCATAACATGGATGGCAATTGTATTAAAGTCGTGGCGGAAAGACACGATACTGTGTACGATTTAAAAGAAAAATTGCAAGCGATTGAAGGCAGTTGGTCTAATAAGCAACGATTAGAATTTGAAGGAAAAGTACTTGAAGAAGAATATAAAACTTTAGCTGATTGTCATATCCGCACAGGATCTGAACTCACCATGATGCTGATAAAATAAATACCATCTGTGATTGTAAACTTGTGTATTTAGGAGCTAATAAGAGGAAATTTTTTGATTATTTGAGATTATTATTCAAGTTTATCAACACCTTAATAAATAGGAAGGACGCGTTGACAAAGTACAAAAAAATAAATCTGTTTTAATACCTGATAAACATCTGATCTCTTGATTTTAGGGGTTTCCATCAGTGAATTTACTTCGTTTTTGATCACATACACTAATGATTTTGGGTAGCCGGTCTGCCCTATTCTTTAACTTGTTGTACCCATTTCCCTCGTCCCGCTAGTAGTATTGTACAAACAATGACTACTAAATTAATGTTTTACAATGACAAGTTTGACACCTGATTTTTTATTCCAGCAAGAGACAATAGGTGAATAACGTATTGTCTATTTTAATATGTTTTTGCTAAACTATGCCAAACTCTATTTGAGATTGTCGTAGACATCGATCGGTTCTTAAATACTAACAGGAGACCTAAGTCGTCAGTTGGAGTAATCCGACGAGAGAATTTCTCAACGTGCTTACCGTTTTTTCAATAAGTGAAATAAATACTCTAATCACGTTTATTGATCTATCGCTTTTATAGTAGTATCAACAGTAGATTTTTAGCTCGAATGTGAGCAGAGGTTTGTAGACTCTCGTTGTTCACTAAAAAAATCTAACGAAACATATTTTTTTTCTTTTTTTTTTTTGCAAAGAGGGTAAGGATTATTTAGTACTACGATCGATGAAATAACTTTGGTATAGTTTCGGTAATGCATGCAATGCAACTTTTACATGGTTATTACTAATGGCTTACTGTGTGACCACGATGGCACTGCCGAATCAAGAAATAACGATAGTTTCACGCCATGCTCTTGTTAAGTCGTCAGTTGACTGTTGAAATAAGAGTTCTGTAAAGTTCTGTATAAAATTAGACTACTGATACCCCAAAAGATAAAGGAACAAGCAGCTTTACTCTCTCCTTTTTTAAATAGGATTAAATATTCACCGTTTTTTTCTCTTAATAATTAAAAAACTTGATAAACCAAGTGCGACCTGTTTAACGTATTTTCAGTTTCAAATAGCGATTTTTTTCAAGCAGAAAAGTAATACTAGAAATCGCAACGGTGCAGGATACGCATCTGTGATACTCATGAAGGATAATTTGAGCTTGCTTTGACATTAAAAGTGCAGTTATTTTAATCTCTATCTCAGGTCAATACTCAGTTGCAAGCCTGATTTTTTCGGTAGGACAGATAAGACTTCAAAATATCATAGGATAAATGGGACGAGTTGTTGACCTTTATGTGAAACGTACTTTTAGATGTTCATGTAGAAAAGAGGGAGGAGAGAAAAGCCAGAATAGATGCGTAGGATTAAAACTCAAATTGTGAAGCATAATATTATCGAAATCCGGCCATTACTCACACTAATTATTAGCCTATGATACCTCTCGGTATCAATAGTATCTGTACTTGTTTGTGCAACTTTTAATTTATACTTGCATTTACGTAATATTTTGGGCTTCGTAACGATCAACATATAGTCTCGGAAGCTAGCGCAGCCAGCAGTTCCGACACCACAGTGGTGTAGTATGGGGCCTTCCGGTGTCCTTCCTCTTTGAAATGTCTCTTTCAGCAGCTTGAAAGATATCGGGTATTGCACTTGCAACTATTCGTATTATCTATGGGAGTATGGAATCTTATTCGGCGTATGAGTTTCACTGTAAGCCGAAGGATTTTGGCCATTAGTAATATGGCCCCGTTGAAAAACTATAAAAAAGATAATGCTATTGCGAATTAAGAACAGCTTATTTTTAGACGTCATATTTATGGTAGATGTGATAAATCCAGAAAATAAGGAAAGAGGCAGAATACAACATACATAAAACCAGTCAGGGTAGTAATATCAAACCACAAAACAAAATGACCACACTATTCGGAAAGTATGGCAGATTACTAACGGAAAGGGATGAAAAGATCAAAATAACATGGTTGCATTTTTCATGTATCAACAGGTGATTTATTTTCATTTGACATGAGCAACGGGCGGGTCTAGTATCGAGTACGACAATAATATAAGGTTTCCCTTGATGTGGAAGGGAAGGGGGAAAAGTAATTCATATCGTCCAGTAATATGTAGTCCTATTATGTTTTGTTTTATCAGCTAATACATACATTTACTTTGGTGTGACCACTGAATACATACGTGTTGATGCACTCTTATTGTCAATCATTGAATTAACTTACTTAGTAAAACGTAATGCATGATTTTATAACAATATTGACACATTGTTTAGATATGTGTATGCTAAAGTAATGCGTAATCTCAGTATTTAAAGGAAGTAAGTGTCATGTAATAATGGAGGAGCAGCTGTCAATATGCAGCATTGCGTATATGTATACGCATAAAAGTAGGAGTCTGGCGTGACAGGCGTATTACGCCTTCCAAGATGAATAATAATTGATAAATAAGAAGTAAACGTGGAGACTCCAGAGTGATGCTGGTACATGAAAGACGATATCCTCAAGTGGTTGGGCGGTAATAGATTTTTCCCGTTTCCCCGTTATGTATTGTGAGATTATTAAAAATAGAATGATGCATCATTTTTTAATTGTATATCTGTGGAAACCTGTCAGAAGGTTTGTTTTCTTTTTGGCTTTTTTTCCCCCTTTCTTTTTATATATATTTCTGTAACTAAATAGAAAAGGTTTTCTTTGTTTGTTCAATGTTACGTGTCGATCTTTTTTTTAAAGAGGGTGTTTTTACCCAAAAATCAACGTGCATCTTGTTACCAAGGTCTTGTTTCCAACAATTAAAAAAAAAATGTGTGAGTGTGTAGTGAATAAGGTTTTGTTTGTTTTTGTTTAGAAAGAACGATGCAAAAAGAAGGAGGTTTATTAAGGAGTTGAGATCAAAGTTGGTTTTTGACAATGGGTGGCCAACCTTATTAAAATAAGGAGAAACAAATTTAAGAAAAATAAAAAAAAAAAAAAAAAAAAAAAAAAACCATGTGATACACCCCTTGAACTTGTTTATTATTTTAAAATGACCAAAATAAAATAAAATAAGAAAGATTTCTTTATAAAAATGAAGTCAGATTTAGGGTTTCTTCCCAAGCTTTACGTTTTTTCTTGTCTACTTTATTACGAAGGATCAGTTTTATTCTCAGTTTTATTTTATGTCCATTCGTTTCTAATCCTTGACTTTTACTTAAACAATAAGAAGAATACACAACAGATGGCTCCATATCAATATGGTGCTAACGGAGACTTCCTTTTAGGTCTCAACGCTGTACGCGAAAGATGCTATAAAGTCCAAGAAGCCGCCAATAAGAACAGATTACACCATTTTGACGTTGATCCCTCTAAACTAGACGATATGGTCCAATTCGTGACTCTCATCATCAAACGTGATTACGACACCCCTTCAGATATACCCGTCTATGGTCGATGGCGTCACTTTGATATCGGCAACAAGTTACGTCTCAACATCCTCATGAAAACGTGGTCTTCCCAGGGTATTACCTCACTCGAACAAACAAAAAGACTCATTGATATTCTTGTCGTCGCCTGTCTTATGGACATGAAACCCTGCCAGAATTACGTCTACAGAGAGCAATCCACCGGAAGACTCTTGAAAAGAAAAGACGGCATTGCCGTTGCTCTTCTCGACATGTTTGTCGCAGGTGCTTTTTCTACTGATCCATCTCAGCCTTATCGAGTAGACTGTAAGTATCACAACAACAAACAATGTGTAACTATACCATAAAAATAATATTAATAAAAATAAACCTGTTTATTATAGCTGAGGCATTGATGGATTTGTCCCTGGAAACACTGAAAAACGGCCTTCAGTTTAACGAGCAGAATACGTTTGTCGGTATAGAAGAACGTCACGAATTATTAAATCACCTTGGTTACGCGCTAAAGACACGACAAGACTATTTCGGCAGAGAGACACACCGACCGGGCAACATGATGGGTAAGGAATAGCATAGTTTGAGATAAATATATATTAACACGCACTATATTGTCAGACTACCTTTTGAGCCACCCAAGCACGATAAAGACGAAAAAGGGCCCACTTATCAGCATTGAAACGATCTGGCCAGTAGTACAAGAAATGGGAGAAATTTGGTCGGCAGAAGAAGGCATTGGTGGTACAGCAGGACTTGGCGATGTCTGGCCTTGTAAAGCAATTTTGGGTGACGATAATATGGTACCGTTCCATAAGCTATCACAATGGCTAATTTACTCTATTATTGAGCCCATGGAAAAGTTATTGGGAGCGACTATTGAAGGTTCTGATCTATTAACGCCACTGCCTGATTACTGCAACGGCGGATTCTTGATTGATACGGGTTTTCTGACGTTGAAACAAGCAGATATGGATCGTGGTATCAAAAACTATCATGCAAACTCTTTATTACCGTACCAGCCTAAAGTGGAAGTGGCCCCGATGTTTGATATATCGGACCCCGTCATCACTGAATGGCGTGCTTTAACTGTTGCTTATTTGGATCTTGTGGCTGAACGTGTTCGCCAATCCTTCCGTCTTAGCAAAAAACTACTCTCGCTCTCTCAACTCATTCAAGGTGGTTCCTGGAGTGCTGGTAGAGAATTAGCAGAGATCTCAAGACCTAATACTCATGAACCTCCTATTGTTATCAAAAATGACAAACGTGTCATTTACTAATTTCTTTATAATAATAATAATAATAAAATAATATATTTTTTTTTAAAAAAAAAGAGAAAAATGTATGCAAGAACATGGTGTTGTGAGTGGGGGGGGGGGATAATAAGAAAAGAATGATTGTACAATGTGAAGAATAGGCTTAGACACGGTCTAAACACTTTACAAAGGCATCTACATCGTAATCTGTTAATGGATATTGACTTTGACTACAGACAGCCTTCTTCTTGAGTTCACTACATAAAGAATCCAAGTCGAAATCTGGGCAAGATGCTTGTAATTCTTGATGTACTTGGTAAATGTATTTTCCTTCTTGTTGTCCCTTTTTTAATTTCTCTACCAAGAGCTTTTTCTTGTCATCAGGACACATAAAACGACGTGTGGCAGGAGTTTCAGGTAATCCGAATTGTGAGTTGAAAGAGAATTGGTTGTTATTGAAGCCAAATAATTCATTATTACCACCAAATAGACTGGTCAAGTCTTCATTGGCAAACAAGAAATCGTCATTGGGAGGCACACGATAGTCTTGGAATAGGTCATCTTTACCGTGAAACAAATCACCAGTGTAAGCATCACCTGTAACAGCCAGGAAATCCAGATTATCTGGCTGTTGTTGTTGTTGCTGATGTATTAAACCAAATTGCATGGGCTCGTTTGCTGAAAAGACATCATTGACAGGTGTATCTGCACTGTTTGAATCTTCTTCATTAGATAAGGGTGAGTGTTGTGCATCTTCTCCGCTGTAACTATTTCCGCTACTCATGCTGCTACCGCTGGTTGTTGTTGTATGATAAGGCTCCATTGCCGCCGCCACTGCTGCTGCTGAAGCAGTATTAGTAGTTTCATGCTCGTCTTTTACACCAGCAGTAACTGGGAACTCAAATGTGAATTGAGCACCCTTTAATGCATAATTTTCTTGTTGTAATTCTTGCAACTTCTTTTTTAATTCTTCGTTTTCTTGTACCAGATCTTGGTCTTTTGTTGCATTAATGGCTTCCAGCTCATCAATACGAGCTTGTAATTCTGCTACATGTTTTTCTTTACGGTCTCGAAATGCACGTTGAGCTGCTCTGTTTTGTGCTTTTCGTTTTTGTTTAGGGTCCAGCGAAGATTCCTGTGATTTTTAGTTTAGTTTTTTTGATGGTTACACCCTCCTCTTACTCTCCGCACACTTTACCGCTGTTTGTGACTTATCCAATGGTTTGCGACCTGCACGTTTGGGCGCAGTCGTTGTTTGTTCATCTACAGTGTGTGTGAATATCTATCTATAGCTATTTTTATTTTTATTTTTTATTTTACCCTTTTCTAACTCTCGCTTGGCTGAAAGAGATAAAAAGGTTAGACTCTAATTTTTTTTTTTTATTATATCTGTATAAATTATATTGTACCGTGCAAGAGGGTTGCTTCGTCTTCAGTTGTATCTTGCTCATCTTCTGGTTTTATGTGCTGATGGCTTGCAATAGCTGCATTGAGCAAGTCAAGAGCAGAGTCATTTAAATTCAATTCGAGTATTTCAGCAGGTGTCATGAGTGAAGTCATTTTGAAATTATAGGGAAAAAGGGAAGAAAAGGGAAAGAAAAAAAAATGTTGCTGAATAATCCAATGAGAGAAGGAAAAAGAGTGTTTCCACGCACACTCACACACACACACAACCAACTAGCAGTCCCAACGGCCTTAATTGGCTCGTTTCCAACCCATGTTGTCATATTTTCTTTTTTACACTTTTTTTTTATTTTTTAAAATCATGGTTAAATTTTATCAGCATGTGTTTAATTATGAGTATGTCTATTTCTTTCTATATATTTACGGAAAAGCCCCTTTATTAACCCACCTTTTCCTTTCGACAGCTACCAGTGGCAGAATGTAACTCTTGCCTTTTGGTTGAGATATCCTAACCCGTTTGCTTCACATGGTAAATAATCAGTTGGGGACCAATATGAAATGCGTAGATTCACTTACCTGTTTTCTTTTTTTTCTAGTTCTCTCGGTCGATGTATTGGATCGTTACGTCGATGAGCAAGGTGTGTTAAAGACAACAAGACTCGTTTTAAAGAAGGGAAAAGTCCCCAAATGGTTCCCACAAAACGTAACTAAAGAGAAAAAGACGCTAACAAACAACTGATACTAACAAGTGCATGTAAAAAATAGTTGTTAAAGAACTCTGAAGCGTTTGTGATTGAAGAGTCCGAAGTGAATCCCAAGACGGGCACGATGATCACTCGTACCAAGAACCTGAATCATGTCCGTGTTATGCAGGTAGAAGAAACACAAATCTTTCAGCAATTGGACAACAACCGTACTTCGTGTAAAACAGAAGCTCGTATTGTCTCCAAGTTTGGCTGGGGAATGACTGGTCGCATTGAAGGTTTCGGTCAAAGCACATTCATCGCCAATGCCGCCAAAGCTCGTAAGGGCATGCAACATATCTTGCAAGCTATTCGTGAGAAGCAGTCTCCCTTCCACACTCCAGCCTAATTATTCTTCTTTGCTCACTCTTCTTTGTACATATCCCCATCTAAAAAAAAATAAAAATTCCCCCCACACACAAACACACCAACAACACACAACACACTCACACCAAACACAATTTATCCGATACCCGAATTTTTTTAAAGTCACACAAGATGCAGATTTGTTTTAACATGTGCTTTTATTTTTTTTCCATCATTGTACAGCGGGTAAGTTTACTTTACAACCTGGCCGAAAGTCCGCTCTCTTAACGTCACTCGGAAATTGTTTATTGTTTTTCATTAAAATCTGTCTCATAAAAAAAAAAAGATTGTTTCAACCTGTTGAGTCTTTTTTTCCATTGTAATGATACTTTGTATCACCATTGCTATTAAAATTAATGGGGAAAATGACAGTTTACAGACACCGCTCTGCAAAGAAAAAAACGCTAATAAGTAATGTTATTGTTGTACTGAATCAATTGAGTACTTGTGGTTCACTACCGCCAGTGTCTTGCTTAATTAATCATAATATCGATTTAATGGCGTAAATCACATGTTTTTTATCCTGGAATACGATTACCTCCTGATGTAAACTAGTTATTTAACCATATTTTAAATCAACCGCAGTTTGGTAAATAAAAAAATAAAAAAAACCAGTCGTCATATATGCAAAGAGAAAAAAAGTCTGAATGGGTTACAGTTGATTAAATAAGATTAGATAAAGTCCATATAAATACGTCATTTTTTGGGCTGCATGATCCTCATAACATTCGCTCCACTATAGGTACCTGTTACTTCTGATTTACTGATACCCATAAGCCTGTCAATACAAGGCGGCTTTTTGACCCTTATAAATACTGATTTTTGATGATATTGTTTTTATTATTATACACATTTTTTATTAAATAATGTCAAACTAGTATATGAAAACATACTGGACGTCTCTATATGTTTTTTGTTGTTGCTGTTACTAACCACTGTACGGCGGTGGCAAAAAGCTATCAGTACTATCATAATCGACTAGACTGTTGTCGTTCCCATAATTATTATTATGATTGGTTTCTAATTTGTATTCTTCGTCATCATTCACTCGGCTTTCTGGCGAAGGTTTCTCTATCGTCCAAAGATGTCCGTACAAAACCGAAAGTAAGATAGATATAAACAGGGGAAATTCAGAAAGGCAAAAGAAGATAGCCAGACGGGCATAACCATAAAGGGCATCAATATTCGCAACCAAGAAGAAAATTTCTGAAATTATGTACATAGAGGCGTACACAAGTAATGTGATATTGGCTCTTCCCTCTAATATTTCCCAAAAGATTGCAAGATATAGTATAAAGACGCCAATAAAGCCGCTATGTCCACGAATCACAAATTCAACTAATCCGTAAACAAGAGGATCAGCTAGAATATACACAAGGCTCACAATGACTAAAAGTATAACATAAAAAAATCCTAAATAAGCTAGCCATGGAATTCGTTTTCTCCCTATCTGTTTAGACATGCGTAAAAAGGCAACCAATCCAGGTAATGGCGCAAAAGAGGGCCGCAAAAAGTCGAATGCACGTACGACAGGAGTATTTACAGCTCCAGAGTAATGTCTGGATGCTATATTTTGTGATAAGACAGCATTCAAAATAGCCCACACCAATTCGAATATAGCAGGCATAAGAGCAGCGTATAGAACTGATGATCTGTGTACTGAGCTCTTGGTGATGTAAATCGCTATTACAATTATCAAAAGAGACCATAGGATGAGAGGCCCTACGAACCAATAGCCATAGAGATACATCATTATAAGCGAATCGAAGACGAAAAAATAAAATAAAAGGCTGGGAAAAGAAGAAGTAGAATAGGATAGGAAAATGCTTTTTTTGAACATTTGTAATATGTGTCTTTTATAAAAGTAGTTTAATTTATCACCAACGGGTATAAAGAAGGTCTATGTTACTTAGCCACCTTACTGTAGCACAATATAGTCTTTGGTACTATGGTACGACTAGTTTTCGACTAGCAGAAAATTTATTTATAAAATAAACTGTAACTGATTAAGCATATGATCGAATGTCTCCACGTCCATCAAAGTATGACCCGAGTATGATATTACATTTATAAACTATATTAGGTAGAGAAAAACTCGGTATGCTGAACTCGGATAAAAAATATTCTTATTTCCATCATCCAAATACATACTCTAGTTTAACATTAAATACTGCTTTTTTAAAACATTTTGCATTTGATATACATATTTGATATAAAATAAGCGTGTATTTTTATGGGAAACAGGTCTTTATACTAAATAAGTTTTGGTTTGAATGTAATTTAATGTGTGCGTGTGTGTGTGTTTTACAATCTTATTCTGTCATTGATTACATAACAAAACAGCTGTCTGTAGAATTATCCTCGCTTATATCTTCAAATTTGTCCTCGTCAGCGTCAGTGTCTCCTTCGTCCTTATCTTTGCGTTCTAAAGGTGTATAATTTGTCCAAAAAGGACCAAAAAAAACTGCAAGCAAGAGAGACAAAGTCATTGTAAATTCAACAAAGATCAGTTGGATAACATACTGATCGATTGCCTTTAAAAAATAAACAAGATATAAGACCACTTTAAATGTTTCTGACAATATAAGCAGGATGCTGTAAGCAATCAGGCTGATATTTGCTGCTCCATGTAATGTATTTCGATGCATCAGGATCAAAACCACAAAGACAATAGCAAATCCAAGCTGTCCGCAATACACAAAGTCATATGTACTATCTTTAAAAGTACTTCCCCGTTTATGTATCAGCAAAACCACAAAGCTAGCAACCATCAAGACAACAATCCACAGACACCCCAAGTAAGCAATACATACACCAGCTTTGTTACCCCTTTTTCTCGACATGAGTAGGTAGGCAATCAGTCCGGGCGCAGGCCCAAATGATCGACTGATAATGTCAAAAATAGTCCTGCAAGTGTTTATTTTGGAAAATATACTAGCATATTCCGTATCTATTAAGGCATTCATGATTTGACACAGTAATCCAAATATAACAGGGATAAAAGTAGCACGAATTACAAGCAATTTGTAGAATGGCTTCTTGATAAAGCAAAATACAGCAGCATTTATTGTTACAATAGACCATAAAATAAGTGGTGCTACAAATGAATAATCAAGACTGGCCATTATGAAAAGAAAATATAAACGGAAGAACGATTTACTTGAACTGAAAAATATAATATAGTTGTATTTATTTCAAGCATAATTTAGTCTCTCCTCAGCCTGCTTACAGTAATACAATTGATTTTTTAGCGTGTCGATTGTACAACGCTATACAATTATAGTCGCAAATTTATTTTTAAATCGAACTGTGAAAACTATCATGTGGGCATAGGAGCAGACAAAGTTTTTTTTTTTTTTTGTCATGTTTATTAAATTTAATTTTTATTTTAAGAAAATAAGTACAAATAAGTGTTTATTTATATACAGATACAGGTATGGGTATACGGGGTAGAAATTAATTGAACCTGGCACACAAAAACTCGTCAAGTCGCATACTGATTAGTCTTATACAATGAAAAACTAGCTAAATAGAATTATGGTTTGCAATGAGTTACGGACTTTGCTGCACTCAAAGTTTTCCAGCGTTAAATTTTGAGAACTGTGTTGACACAGAAACGACACAAACAGAGACTAAAAAGGTAAACTTTAGCTTGAATTTAAGGATGCTTGCAACCATGTATGATGCAACATTATACCCCCTCATATACATGTGAGATAAGAACAGCTTTGAACATCACCGGATAAAAATAAAACTAAACAAACACAAGTAAACAATATTTATTGACAGACGTGTGTTGATTACAGCATTTCAAAATGCATAAGTGACACGTAACGGCTATATACGTTTGCATGCACAAAAAACCGGGTCTCTATCTAAAAAAAAAAAAAAAAAAAAAAAAAAAAAGTTGGATTTATTTCTAAAGAGAAGAGGCGGATCTTGAGATGATGTGGGCAATTTCTACGTCTACTCTCCTTCATTTAATTTAAGGCACACAAAAAGTGCTTCGGCAGAAGGCACGGAAGCCTTAATTTCAAAGTCACGAAATTTCTCAGTAATCCATTAAAAAGTCACCACGCGTTGTAAGAGGACGGGATTCCCCTTTTAATCTTTTAACTCTTTCAAAAAAAGATGGACGAAGCATTAGCTTATTTAGATAAGCTGGATTACAAGCAATTTGTAATTGGGTTCTCTTGTATTGTATATACTTTTGAGCAATACCTCAAGTAAGAATCACAAAACTAATAAAACACCCACACATACTAAATAGTGCGAATAGTCTTCGTCAACATCAACGTTATTTAAAGCCTGACCGTCCCAATGAATTGGCAGATATTGTGACCAAGGAAGATTTCAAAAAGGCACAGCTTTACAACTTTGACAAATCTCGTTTTGGTTTCTTTGAAGGCTTGTACAAGCAAGTCGAAACCATCTTGATGCTTCATTACGATGCACTTCCCAAAATTTGGGATTGTGCTGGCGAACTTTTGTACAAATTCACTGGCTATGGATCCGAGTATGAGGTAATATATATATAAAGAGGGCTGAAGGGAATCCAATTGAACAAGTATATATCTCTTATAGATCCTCCAATCTCTTGTTTTCCTTACACTCTTCAGCATTATCTCGACCGTAACATCTATGCCCTTCAGTCTTTACTCTACCTTTGTTGTCGAAGAAAAGCATGGTTTCAATAAGCAAACACTTGGTTTGTATTTCGCAGACATGTTAAAATCTCAACTTGTGATGGCTGTTCTCATGTTCCCCTTTATGTCTGCATTTTTATGGATCATCAAGTCTACTGGTGATAAATTCTATTTTTATGTTTGGTTAATTGTGTAAGCTATATGCATTTCCAGATTTAGACAGGATTTGTTGGAAGGTTTTCTAATCTTGTTGTATTTAGTATTGTGTTCCAACTCTTCATCATCACTGTGTACCCCACATTCATTCAACCATTGTTCAACAAATTAACACCCATGGAAGAGGGCGAATTAAGAAGCCAAATCGAAGCCTTAGCTGCTCGTATCGAATTCCCTCTCAAGAAATTGTACATTATTGATGGATCCAAGCGTTCAGGTCATTCCAACGCTTACTTTTATGGTTTCGGTAAGAACAAGCATATTGTGCTTTACGATACCTTGATCGACCACTCCGACAATGATGAAATCTGTGCTGTTTTGGCACATGAATTGGGTCACTGGAAGATGGGTCATACATTGAAATTACTTGCTGTTAACCAAGTCTATTTGCTCTCAATCTTTTGGTTGTTCTCCTTCTTTATTAACAACAAGCAACTCTATCAAGACTTTGGATTCAACACTATGCCTACCTTGATTGGATTCTTATTATTCCAGTTCATCTACTCACCCATCGAGAGCGTTATTGGATTTTTGCAACACGTGTATCAACGTAAAAACGAGTACGAGGCAGATGCCTATGCTTTAAAGTTGGGTTATGCCTCTACTTTGCGTAGCGCCTTGATCAAATTGAGTGTTAAGAACTTGGGAGGTTTCAATGTCGATCCCTGGTACTCTGCATGGAACCACTCGCATCCTAGTTTAGTCGAGAGATTAAATGCACTCGGTGTTAAGCCTACCTCTGATAAGCCTATTGTTGTTGAAGACAAGAAGGAATTATAGACTTTCTCTTCCTTTTTTTCTTCTTCTGTAAAAACTTGAAATAAATATTACAACACTTGCATGTAATTGATGAATTAACTTTTTTGTGTATGTCGCCATGATACAGTTGTACTTATTGCGGTTTATAATTATAAGACATACAAATAACTTCAATTATCAATCATTAAACATTATCGTTATTCTTCCTGCTTAAGGATTGTGTTTTTCATTTAGAAACAATATAATAGAAAGTCTCAGACGCATCATGCTAATAAAGGAAATCAGCGTCACCATTAAAGGAAAAGGATAAGGAAAGTGCCACCTTACACTTTTTTTTCTCATTTTCAAACATGTGGAGGCTTCCTCGAGAGATTTTAGCTCTAATATTTAGCCATCTCAAAAAAAGAGACGTTTTACACTGTGCTCTTGTCTGCAGTACTTGGAAGCGTATTGCAATGCCAATTGCTTACGAGACTGTGATCCTAAATGGCGAACATGTTGATCTTGTAAAAAAGCTTTTGGGATTCGGTCCGCTTGAACGCGATCGACACTTTCAATATGGAAAATTCACAAATTGGTTGATGATTGAAAGAGAATACGATGATGTATACTTTAACAAGGAGGAATTGATACTACTATTAGAATACTTGCCAAATCTCGAAGTTTTAGACTTGGGCGATAGCAATAACTATGTGTCTTATATCAAGTATATAAATGAAACTGAGTCCAACAAATCTTTGTTGAAGATTAAAAGCTTTATAACCGAAAGACTAGAGGACGATTTTGCTTTTAACAATCTTTACTTCGCTACCTGTTACAAATATCGTGCCACTATCATTGATCTGGATCTGCAATTTGAAAATTTGTTCTTCAACATAAGCTCTATAAGTGGAGATATCATTACTTTGTTAGCGCATTTCAATAGGTTGACAGATTTGACCTTTACAAACACTTGCTCTGCTGAACTTACCACGTTGGATCTTCAAGAAGCTTGCCCTCATTTAGTTTCGCTGACTTATGACAGTGATTTTCATATTCCGGATTCAACAGTGAAAAATGTTCTTGACAAGACAAATCATGGGGAATTGGATTACAAGGATTTGAAAGAATTTGATATCACTATTCCGTCAATTCAAAAGAACTACGCTGATTACATTGCAAAATATGTCTCTCCACATGTGGAAATATTGAGGCTGCAAATCAGCAACCTGGATTTATATGATTGGATGGATAGCATTGGTTATTATAATGCTTTGAGTCTTTTAAACAGTTTGTGTAGCGTAGAAAAACATGTTCATATTAGCTGGAGTCCCGACAAGGATTACATACGACAATCTTCGGACAGTAGGTCTGATATGACCAATTTTTTCTCGTGTCTGAATGCATTTAAAGGGGACGATAGAGTATACTGTAGTTGCCGGTTTTCAGACCGTCAAGAAGGCTATAAATCCATTCAGCATACTTCAAATCATGACTTATACTTTAATTATGGGTTAAACCATTCTGATATTTATAGTACCAGCGATACAGATTCATCATTTCGTAGTACTGAAGTTGTTCTGCCCGATTATTCTAAATCTACTATTGGACCCAAAATAATCAATAATATGGAAGTGAATATATCTATGCTCGATGATCATGCAGATTTACTTTTGAAATTCGCACAATATGCACTAACAAATTGTCCAAATCTTGAATACTTTTTATATAAATCAATGGGATATCCTAAAGGTGATATTTGTATTTGTCCTGATATATACATCGATACCTTCAGAAGAGAAAGGGAAAACAGGGTATTAAATACGACTCAAGAAAACCTCAAGGTTGTAAAGACTCGAAACATAATCCCATCAACAGAAATGCTGCGACTTTTAAATAATTACGTTCCTGCTATGGAGACTCTTGTGTGTGGTTATGACAGTCCCTATGATGCACCACGGGTAGACGTGACCCTACTAGATCTAACTGAATCCGGAAACCTTTCATTAGTGATCATTGACATTCAATTTTTATGTGTTGATAGTCCGGATGTATGTTATATTGAAATGGAGTATTCCTCTAAAGATCGTAGTTACTACCTATTGGAGATGAATGAAAATGGTCTTTCTCTTAACTCTGTTACAACCGAAAATATTGAAGAACAAAGCAACAAGGATGGTGCCATTATCCTGTCGATCCTTATCAAATGCCACATACATGTCCACTTTAAATTTTACTGTGAATACACAAGGGTTGCAGATATCATCAATGGGGAACTTATCCAAAAAAATGAGGTCTCTTATGATTCCTTTATATTATTCAAGTTGTAAACACTCACTTTTTATCAAATAAATCGCATCAAGTTATGCATTTTTTCAAACTGCAGACAGCATTTTGCAAAATGTAGACAGGTTATGGCATTTTAATTAAAGATTGTTATTTAATCATACAAGTATGTACTTCTTTCACCTCTTCATAAACCCCACTTTGTTTTCTTTTTCTGTTGCTACATTTATCAGTTTTGGACTGATATTGAATAAGAAATTGGGACAATATATTGCGAATCTTGCGTCGCTTTCCAATTAACAAGCCAACAAGATCGATACAAAGAGGCCTTTTCAATGTTTTGGCTCACAAAATGAGTATTCCATATTCCGCGGCTTACTGAACAGCCGCAACCCCAAAGAAAAGAAATAGAGACATATATTATTGTGTAAAGCAGAATGTCCTTTTAAGTTAAATTTCAAGAAAGTGTATGATTAATTTCTGTACAGAAAGCTTTTACAAATGACATGGCTTTATTTTGGATAGGCCCATGCGAATCCAAGAATGACCACAATTTATCAATTTGCGACGATTGTAATATTTCCCTGCAGGACTACGGATGCTATGACAGCCACGCAGGGACGTGGGGTTTGCTTTGCTCTCTCGTGTGTGAAACTTTAATCTCAGTGTATCGTAGCAACAAAGGCTACTCCAATCTTCATCTAAAAAAAACAATAAAAATGAAACCCTTTAGGGAAAACATACAAAGTACAGATAACCTGAAGTGATATTAAAGTGTATTGAAAATATAAAAAGTGGCAGTAATATAAGAAAAACCATGGTTATATTTCCCTTTCGTCTTTAATCACTTTAAAATAATCTTTATTTTATTATATATTCATGCATTTTTCTTGTACCATCGTTTCTCCAATATGGATGTAATTAGTTGAATATGATTGGTGAAGCATCTGTTCCCCGCGCTCTTTTTTTTTTTTTTTTTTTTTTTGGCTTCACGATAGCTATGAGATAATTTAGAAATAAATCGTTCGACCCAAAAGTGCAGAACCGACTCGTCCGGACGGTCAAAAAACCGTCTGGACGGTCTTGGTTTGAAGGCCTAGTAGCTTGATCTTCAACTTCTGAGACATGTCTCATTTGGCAATAATTGTCGTAGATCTTACTTATCTTCTTGAGATCGTCGATGACGTTGTTAATGTTGGCCAGCTCTTTGATTTCTAGTGGGACATCGAGCTAGATGACTTCATTCATGATGGTTATGTCGGGGGAAATTTCGCTAAGTATATAAAATGAACAATGTTTTCCTTTTTGGTATTTGAAAGTTAGATTTTCTTTATATACATACTATATTAAATTTCTTACCAACTGCTTGTAAAGAACAGACTACATGATTGGCTTTTCTTAACATTAACTTTCTAGAGAGAATCGCCAAACGGATCAGGTCAGTGCATAAACTATCAACGTCCTTTTGGGCATCTGGGGGCTTGACTTCACAATATCCAAGAGTTGTACCAAATAATTTTCTATGAAAACGCTTCATCATAGCATCGGGGCGGAGATGTTCGGTATTATCTTCTTTTCTGTTTAGCCTACATAAAGTTAAGGCTTAGTAATTCTTCTTGCTTTTATATGTAACTTTCTATTATTTACCATATTAGATGCTTGTTGTTTTCCGGACTGTGGAATTTGGGTGAGAGCACAGGGTCAACGTAGTTAGTCGTGAGCTCCATTTCGCTAATTTCTTCAGTCTTTTTAAAGTTTGACAATTTATTAAGGCTTTTTTTTTAGTCATAAATATGTCACATAAAACATTATAATAAGCCTGAAGTATTCTTACCAGTTGAAATAAATATCGAGAATTATTTGGTCATCTTCAGTAACTTTGCCGTACATCTTTGCTAACTCTTTTTTTAAGGTAAATCTGTTTGATTTGCCGTCAACACCCTGTTATTGAATTAATGGATAATGATAGCGTGAGCCGGTTTGACTTGATGAGAAACCAACCACGGAGACTTTACTATGAGCTCTATTACTCTACTAAAAGTGCAATAGTATAGCATACATCAACTTTATCTTGCTAACTCTTGTAAGTTTTGTTAATTCAGCATGGATGCTATCATCAACCACAGCTTTCGATTCATATTCTTTAGCTATAGTATCCCTTAAAAAATTGATGTTTTCTATATCGATATATCGTAGCAGGAAAGGGTCATACTCTTTGTCCTGGGTAAAATAATGCTTTTCGAGGCGCTACAAGGAGTGATTGTTAGAAATAGCCCCATAATGTATTTTTAGGCTTATGCATTTACAGTAGGTGGTGGGTCTCGCTTTTGACAAAGAATCCTTTTCTTTCAGAATTTTGCTTACAATAGTTGATGTATTCCTTAAGAGGTCCAACAACTTCAAAATTGTTAACAAGCGTGTACGTTGGTTGTGCTTGTGATGGGGTTGGTGGCATATAAAATGCAGACGATTCTCCTTGGGTTGAACAATTTGGCTGTTTGTAGCCAGAGGTTCCGCAAACTGGACAGATATATCAACGTCTGTCGCCTTATTGGTCCGCTCGTTTGGACAGTGTTTTTTGAATGCTGTCTGGAAGACTCTGTTCAAGACATTCTTTCATCCCAGCAATTACACTATATCATATAGTCAAACTTATATCAAACCTGGTAAAAAGAACAAAACTTGCTGCACCAAACAGTCTTACCGGGTCACCACCAGCTCCATCCACCGATTGTTATCACCTCCAAGCATGGAATCATAGACCATGTACGAAGATACCCAGTCACTTACTATGTTTAAATTTTCCTTATCGTGATTAAGAAAACCAAGTAGACTGGCCCTTCGTTCTTTTTGAGTAATGTATTCGTCAAAGGCTAAGAACAAAAAGCTGATTAATAAACCGACAGAAGATTGTCTTAAGAGAAGAGCTTAAACTACCTTTTGACAGGGTTGAAATCTTAAGGAAACGCGTAATAGATTTTTTTTGTATGAAAGAGAAAGAGTGATAAACGCTTAATACTTTTTTTTATAGGAAAAAAACGCGTAAAAGACTAAAAAAGTTGTCAATTTTAGATTATCCACTTGACGGGGAAATGTCTAGACCTCCGTATTTTTTTCAAACGCATTTTTTTTATACTACTCACAGAAATTCTGGCCAGAAGACCAGCAGGCCAGTATATTCACAACTATTTACAGTGCAATCACAGCCATTCACGGTTCGTGAGTTCCAAAACTCATGAACTCTCTGCCTAGGAGGTCGCCCTCCTATAGCAAAGACTAGCCGCAGCCGCAATATCACAATCTATCTTTTTCAATTTAGCTTCTTTTCAAAGAAACAAGAGTCGCTACTAAACAAACCTTTTTAGGTGATCGGTTACTTTCATACGATAAAAGAAGTATGTCAAGGGAAAAGAAAAGAAGAAGAATAAGGTGTGTGAACCAGCTTTATGTATAGATAAACAAGCTTATGTCAAGATGATTTCATATGTCTATTTTATCATCCATAATGTTTGAGCCTTTACTTAAAATAAAAAGGCTTTCTTAGGGACGGCCAGAGTGCACGTAGTCGCAACGTAAGATCTGTGATTTGGATGTTCTATAGACCTGGGAACAAGAATATACGATCAAAAACAACGTGATAATTACAAATAAATGTATATTAAACGATTCATACTTATTTTGACAATTCTATCATTACTCTTTTGCCTTTGAGCTCGGTTGATCTTAACCTTACGCAGAAATATTAAGGTTAAGTCTAAACGAGAAGCTGAAAGTAAGCTGTAACACACATATACTGATTTAGACTATGCTTTTTGTGATAAATGTGTATATATTTCAAGTTGTTAAGCAATATTGACCTCTTGATGTCTATGAAAGTACAAAGCTATTAACGCGCAAATTTTTCCTTTTTGGGATATCCGCACCCGGCACTCAACTCTGGCAGCTGAGACTCAAATATTTGGGTGTGGATATTCTGGCTGGGATAACATATCTGGGGGTTACTCAGACCTTTGGATCCTTCAGTGATTGGATATTGAATTTAAAAGTGACACTCAGCAGCCAATATATTTTTGATCCAAAGGCTGTTATTAAATACATTGACCAATAGTTTCTGAATCCAAAGGCTGCAGTTCAAAGTTCGACAGCTGCTGTTAACTTGGCATGAATGTAAGGACATATTCAGTACACTATCTTCATAATGGGTGGTTAATAAAATTCGCTGGAGCCGACCACAGTTATCGAACTTCAATAAGAAATTTGGCTAATGGGGTAATATTCGATATGATTTCTTTATGACAACAATGTTATATAAAAGGGCTCATTATATGCTTTTCTTTCTATTAATTAATTTAACTGTTGAAAGTTATTCGACAATTGAATACAGTTCTGTCTCCTCATTTAAACAATGGGCTCTCTGAAATTAGCTGTATCAAGATAAAGACTTGTTGAATTTATTGCATCAATAAAAAAAAATCATGATAAAAAAAAACGGAGTCAAAAAGGAGACATAAACAAAAAAAAAACACAATCAAAAAAAACACAATCAAAATAAAACATAATCAAAAAAAAACATAATTAAATGTTATAGAACAATAAAATACATGTGCATGATATTTATTTTTAGAAAATGAACCGTTTTTAAAAATACCAAGAACCCGTTGGCTCTTTGGAAAAGTATTTAAGAAGTACGTTACTTAACGGAGGTGAGCATCCCTCCTTTCCACTTTTACATACTTTTTTTGTTTTGAATTGACTGACTTTTTGCTTATGAGCTTAAACGATACCTACAAAAACAAATCGGTGCGTGAAATTATACAAATGATGAAGGAGCGAAAGAAAAGGGCCATTCAAGCAAAGGAGGAAGGCGAAGAAGAAAACAAAGAGGAGGATAACGAAGGAGAATACGAAGGTAAATTACATGTCTCAAAATTTAAAACTTTTTGGTGATGACACTTACCCTTTTTTTTTAGAATATGCTGAAGATCCTGGCCCGAGTACACCAGTTAAAAGAAGAAGGCAAAGCAGAAACAGAAAATACCAAGAACTTTTTGAGAAAAAAATGGAGAAGGAAGCGGGAAGACTTCAAAAGAAATCTAAAGTTGTTGCTGGTGATGGCGCAAAGAAGTGTAAACGATGTACAGAGGCAGGCGTTTATAATGAGGAAAGAGCTCATACCACGACTAGATCCCCATTGTGTCCTTTTCATCAGACTACGAAGCAAGAGGCAATAACTGCTGCATTAGAGACAAAAATCACTTCAACATTTACCAGAAAAATTGGGCTGGAGGCATCACTTACTTCCAACATGGATGGGGAAACAAAGACCATCTTTTGTGACAACGTTTTGACGCTCGTCAACTTTATGCGCGAGACTGCAATAAAATCAATGTTATTCGCAAATTTCTATATTTTAAAGCTATTACAAAAGAACAAGGCTTACGAAGACTGGGTGCTGCCAATGATATTTTTTTCTCCTGTATTTTTCAAATCCTGTCAGCAACTGGTTTGTGGGCGTAATATGAGCAGCAATAACACAATGTTTGATAAAGACGATATAATTGAAAGTTTCAGACAGTACAAATTACTGTATCCGGGAGGCTCACAAGTTTCTACCGATACTGGCGGAATATTTTACAGTAGTGCCCAATCTAGTTTAGCAGCACAGAGCGCCACAATTTTCTCAAATCATGTAGTAGAAAGTTTTGAAAAAAGAATGAAGTCATATTTTATATTTTGTCTGGCCAACGTAAGTGACCCACTGTGTTAATTATTCAATCATATACTTACATTATTATTGTATCTAGTTTAAGTTCACAAAACCGGAAAAAGTTGCTCTAGCGGAATACTTGTTTAATAAATGTACAATGCTCAAAACACCTGTTTGGCCAACAAATATGGTGTCCTCTCCTGCACTCACGGAATACTTACTAGCATTAATAATGATGTTCAAGGTTAGCAGCGTCCATACACCTTTGACGGTCTCTAAAATTTCTGAAAATCCCGGTATTGTCATTACAAGCTTGTTTAAAATCTTAAGAGCTACGGAAATGTCCAATGTGGCTCAAACTGTTGCTGCGGAGGAGCCTCAAGATTCTGTATCTTTACCTTGGGTTTACAATATGTTGAGCATAACCTGTGAAAATGAAGTTGAAGATATCAACAAAAGAAGACGGTCAGCTTTGGCAAGGAAGATTCGAAACGCTATTAATTCAACAACACCTGTTGCTTTAAGTAAACCATCATTCCTGTCTGAAGTGAACTTTAACAAAGTACAAGAAAACGTTGGAGCAACACGTCTGCAGTTAGCACAGTCAAGAATATACCTCTCCGATCCTGAAACCAGAGACCCAGATGTTATTATACCCGAAAGAAAAGATTGTTTTATACCAGAAAATTTCTCTATTCACCATTCCCGTAAAACGTTTTCCATGATGCCTCACTACGGACTGAAACGCCAATACGTAACAATTGATATTACTACTTTAAGGACTCTTGTTAATAGATCTGACAATATCAAACGTATTGCAATTTATGATCAATCGCTGGATGCATATGCCCGAGATTCGACTTACTTCATGAGTCTATTTGATTTGAAAAAACTAGGACAATCTGGAAGGTAACGATTCTGTCTTATAATTTTGGTTCATATAAAAAAAATAACATTTTATATTATCGCAGTGTCACTGAAATGCTTAATAGAAGAAAAGTCATGATGCGTAATATTCTTTGTACGGACGGGCGTTCGGCTGACTTTTTGTTTACCAGACCTGCAGTTCCCAAGGACAATGAAGATATAAAGCTTGAAATGAACGATTTTGAAACATGGGAGATGCAAGACGTAGTCAGATTGTGGGGTGCTGATCCGGGTGTCACTGACATCTTTGTTGCGAGCGATGGAAATGGAAATGATGCGCATGAAATAAGGTCCATATCGACAGCGGAGTACTACGTTAAAGCTGGCTATAAAAAAAATCAGGTAACAATGAATTCGCTCAAGCAAGAAGAAGGGATTACTACAATTGAAACGAATATTCCAACCCATCGAACTTCAAAGCTATCAATCTTTGAGCAACATTTACAATATTACTTCACCCATCTAGACACGCTATTACAATTCTATGATGGTCGATTTACGGATCTTCGTTTCTCTAATTACCGTGGTCAGCAAAGAATGGATAATGAACTTGTAAACATATTTTGTTCAGGCGGTAAAAAATATAATCCGGACAATAAAACCCATCCGCGCAGAAATAAGGCAGATTACAAGCAAAGGCGCCAAAAGAAAAAGAAAAAGAAGAATAAGAAAAAATTGACTTTGCAGGTGGGAAAAAGCTCACTATCGGCGCCAGCAACAGCTTACACTACTGTATCTGTAACAACGAGCGGCCCTTCAACCGAGACTCAAAATCAGAAATGGAAGAAAGCTCCCTTCAAGAACGAGAAGAAAGTGCCTTTGATCGCCTTAGGAAATGCAGTATTTAACGTGACAATGAAAGGAAAGCAATCTGGTATGCTTCATAGGTTAAGGAAAAAGATGGAAGAAGCAAGTGCAGATGAAAGGCTGATTCTGGTGTATACCGATGAGTACCTTACTTCACAGGTAAAATAATGAACGATTCGGATTGTTGTACTAGATATTAATACTTTAATTTAGATGTGTTCCAATCCTTCCTGCTTGCTGAAAACACTGGAAAATGTTCGAATCCCTGATGTCGGAAAGATCCACAATTTGTTGACTTGCAAAAGTTGTAACAAATTATGGAATAGAGATACCAACGCGGCTCGAAATATTTACTCTATTGCAAGTTTCATGCAAAAAAACAACAACTTACGTCCAAATAGATTCCAAAGACCTGCAGCAGACCCCCAATCATCCATATCGTAAACATATGTTGATAGTTCGGTAAGTCAATATATTTAATTCAAAAAAAAAAAAAAAAAAAAATTATAATATTTACGATTTATTCTCCCCCCAGACATGTCCCCCGTGTCGATATTCTGCTTTCCACACCCGTATTTTTTAGCGCTGATTGCACGCCAATATACACTTGAATTTTGTATCCGAGCCAAATAACGTACAATAAAAAGCTCCAAATATCAGAAATTAAGTGGGAGATAAGCGCTTGTCTTTTTTTTTCTGCTTTAAGAATCGAATTAGATGGGTGTCTGACTGACTGGGATCGAAAAGTCTGAAGAATTAATTGAGTGTCTGACTAACTGGGAATCGAAATATCTTAAAAATTACGTGGGCTCGACTGTGAATCGAAAAGAGTTACAGATTAAGTAGAAATTAACTTAGTAAAAAAAGATAGGAACTAAAGTTTCACCCAAGAGGCTAAGAAAAGAGATACAATTCGATCTGACACTGGCGTATATGTAATCATTCGCAGCAAAACAACGGTGAAGAAGCTCCATAGTCTGCTTAACCATTATGATTCTACGGCATGTTCCAAGGCTATTACTTTTTAATAACATTTATAACTTCTTCTGCAGTCTTGTGTCTATTGATAGGAAATACAGGAAGAGGTTCCTGAACAGCATAGGTCGTGTCATTTAATCAAACACGTTTCGATTGTCTGTGTTCATTTCTAAATCTGATAATATCCGTACCAATATGGGCTTTTTTTTTTCGTATAAAGCTTCATATAATTACACGTAAAACTTATAAATTAAGCAGATTTCGCCAATGTTTATTTTATGGATCTGGAAAAGGAATTTGTTTTATGTCAATTGAATTACTGGGTGTGGAAACAGTCAGAGTCGGAAGCCGGGTGTGGATATCCCAAAAAGATAACTTTACGGGTGTGGAATATGTTTTTCGTTTTTTGTTTATTCCCACCACTTTTTTTGTAATGGCTTGTTTTATGAACGTATTTCAAATGTATAATAGTAGTTAACCCTTTTTTTTTTATTAAATGACTGTCATTCATTGCAAGAATCTACACACTAGCCTTAGGCTTAAACTTAGGTTGATATTGCTCTTATGATCACAATGGCTTAATCAAATACTTAAGAAGACATACAAAGTAAAAAACTTACCCACACAATTCATTCTTGAAGGTTAAATGTCGGTTGAAAATGGTCCACTGCTGCTGCTGCTGCTATTGCTGGAGTAGGGAATCCTTTCACACTTCTATTACCATGTACTAGTCTGTGATTAAGTATCGATCTGTCGTTAGATAATCGGGCCCCTACGATTCATTCTTGAAGGTAAAATGTTAGCTGATAGCCGTGACCATGTCATCTCTTTATAAAGTCCTATTCATTTGGTATAGATTAACATGAGTTACTTCACTTGTACGCTCCACCTCCTCTTCAAGGGTTATGTCACTCATGATATTGTCGATGCTCTCTCGTGAGAATTAAACTTTTTTTTCTCAAAAAGGTTCTATTAGTTGAAAAAATTGTTCCCAAAAAGTTCATTCCTGAGTCCCTTTATTAGTTGTATTTACTACGATCTTTATTATTTTATTACACATAAACTTCAAACCAATTGGAAGTTCACAAAAAAAATGTCCAATAGTTTTTTAATCCCGACCAGATTTTAAAAAAGTGTTCAAATGGCACTGTGATAGCAGGAGACAGTTAAACCTGCATACTTTCTGTGTCCCTTGATCGACAGAAATCCCCAAAAAAAAAAAAAAAAAAAAAAAACTTATGACACTAAATTGCGTGCTTTCACTCTTTTTTGTCGAAAGACACTCAGGCTCCCATTTTACTCTGCTACTGATCCCGTATTTAATTTAATAAGCGCTATTAGAAACCCTCCCATAAATAGAATACATCCCACAAAAAAAAAAAAGATGTAATCTCTATCTTTTGAATCATTTTTTAATATTATTTCATGGTTGGTTTACATGAACTGGATCAAGCCACTGAGCTTGACATCATGCTAACTCGTATGCAAGAACTAGTCATCCAATGTAAGGTCGCACACACATACATATATACCAGTTATGACAACACCCATAATAAATAACACCCCCTCTTTTATTTTGACAGTTATTAAACAAGGACAGGATGAAATTACACCCGTTGTCAAATATCGTTCACCCGAAGAACTGTACAAGGCCATGGATTTCCACTTACCTTTGAAAGGAACAGGTATCGAAGGTAAACAGTGACAAAGTGTACAGGTAGAAGACTATAGACACTTACCTATGGCAACAAAAACAGGCACTTTTGATCTCGTTAAGTCTACGTTGGAATATAGTGTCAATTCATGGAATCCTCGCTTCATGGACAAATTGTATGCGGGTACCAACCCCATTGGTGTCATTGCCGAACTTTTATTGGCCGTCTTGAACAGCAATGTCCATGTCTACCAAGTCTCACCCGTCTTGACACTCATGGAAATATCTGTCACCAAAGCCGTAGCCAGTCTTTTAGACATGGGCGAGGTAAATACACATATGACAAAAAGAAAAGAAAAAAATATCTAAACAAACAAAAGAATGGCGGTGGATTGTTATGTCCTGGTGGCTCAGCATCCAATTTATTGGCTTTGGTGACAGCCCGTAATCACTTATTCCCATCCATCAAATCAGAAGGATATTTCCCACGTCCATTTAACCCTGCATCTGCATACGGTAAACTGATCGTCTTTACTTCTCTTCATAGTCATTACAGTATCGATAAATCGGCTCAAGTCATGGGCCTGGGTACAAACAATATTGTCAAAGTACCCGTTGATGCCATCGGCCGTATGAAGGTGGATGAATTAGGTAAAACTCTCCTTCTTTCCATAAAGTCTTTTACTCATTTTTTATGTATGTAGAGCGCTTGATCAAGTTGAGTATCGAAAAGGGTGAAACTCCCTTTTTTATCAACGCAACAGCAGGAACAACCGTGTTGGTAATAATAAGGAGAAATATGAAGGAGGGGGGAGGTTAAAAAACTCATACAAAATCATTTTGTAGGGTGCTTTTGATCCTATTCGAGCTATTTCAGGTATTGCGAAAAGATACAAGTGTTGGCTTCATGTGGATGGATCATGGGGAGGCACAGCAGTATTTTCAGACCGTGTGAAAGAAGAGAAAGATTGGTTTGATGGATCTGGTTTAGCGGATACTTTTACTTTGAATCCACATAAACTCTTGGGTGTTCCTTTACAGTGTTCCATGTTGGTCACACCACACAAGGCCCATTTACTCTTTGCACAAGCCAATTCTTTAAAAGCAGATTATCTTTTCCATGGCAACCCCTATGACTTGGGTGCAGGTACCATCGGGTGTGGACGTCGTCCTGATGCGGCCAAAGTATTTCTGGCATGGAAATTCTATGGTCAGCAAGGTCTAGGAGATCGCGTGGATAAAGCAATAAAGACAGCACAAAGATTTACAAACATGGTACGAGAACGACCTCATTTCAAGTTGGTGATGGATCCTAGTCCGTTCTTGCAAGTATGTTTCTGGTTCATACCTCCAAAGGTAACCGTAGATATATCGCATATCACGCGAGAATTACATCGACGCGTGAACCAGTCTGGCGAATTCTTGGTGGATCATGCACCGTTGCAAGGTGTGCCTGATTTCTTCCGTATTGTCATTAACGCACCCACTGTTCATTTACGTGATCTTGAAAGACTCCTGGTTTCCATTGAGGAGGCCAATGCATCTATAGACTGGGAAACAATAAATATCACTTGACCCTAACCAACCTATTTTCTCCTTCATCTATTATTATTTAAAAAAGGCGGACTTTTTATTATTATTTTTATTATTCTCTCTCTTTCCTTTTTGTTTTTCTTTCTTTTTCTTTTTTCTTGAACATTCATTTGTTAATTACGAGATTTAGTTATTTTCTTACTGTAAGAAGGTATATCAATGGCATCCCCTTCTCTGTTATGTAGAGTACAGGCGCTCTATCCTTTCGAATCAGACGATCCTTCTTCGCTCAAGTTTGAAGAAGGCGATTATATTGATGTTGTATCAAAACTTCCTTCGGGTTGGTGGGACGGTTGGTAAGTTACTTTATTCTGTCAAAAAATAAAAATAAAAATAAAAAGTCTATCTATTTTTTTTTAATTTTATTCTAAACAATAACGTAACAGGTGTAATGGAAATCGTGGCTGGTTTCCTAGTAATTATGTAAAGGTCATTGAAGAGCTTGGTAGTACAGGACTTGTGGTACGCATAAATTTCTTTTTTAGCAGGAGCTAGCAGCGGGATTTTTAAAGAAAACAAACAAAATTAAAAAATATAGGCAGGCAAAAAACCCACAGGGACAAGTAAAAAGAATAGCGTGGTGGATTTGTTTGATGATAGAGTAGGAGGTGTAGAATCGAGACGTTCTTCATTACCAGCACATTGGTCGCTTCAGACAAAAGAGGACGGAACAGCCAATTATTATATCAATACATTGACGGGCGAGATGCGATCCTCGATGCCAATGGATGATGCCACTTCTTTTTATGACGCTGAGTCAGACGAGGATTCAATTACTTCGACTATTGATAGCTCGGTATTGGAACCAACTTATTCAGAGGAGGGGAATGCAAAGGTAACAAAAGAGGCAAAAATAAAAGGAGACACCACTCTTTATCCTTTCTTAATTTGTACATGTAGTGGACAGAACGCAATACAGGATTACCATTATTTAATATGTCAACCGTAGATACTGCATGGCATGCGGATTCACAGGTAATATTCTTTAGTTCTGTTGAAAATCTGACAAGATCATAATTTTGCGGTTTTGCTTTCTCTTTTTTTTTCTTCTCTCTTTGTTCCTCCTTATTAAAAAAACCCCCCTCTTCAATGGTATAGGAGTCAAAATTACAACCATCGAATCGAACTGGCGATATAACATGGAACCAAGTCTCGATGGGAGTCACACTCTCTATCAACAATCTGATCAGCGCAGTTAAATCCGATCAAAGGGACAGCTACAAACCCTTGTGTGCGAAAATCGTTCAGTCCGTACGATCCATGTTAGTTGCTTCAGATACCATCAGTAAGGATTCGCTACATATCAAAACCAGCGGTACATTGCGTTGTCATCATCGCGCCATGATGGCATCGCTATCCAAAATTATCCTATCTTCTCAACTGTGTGCAGATAATACAACAGACGATGTGAGTAAATTACTCTCGGATTTACATGAACTTTTGCTAGCCATTCGTAATTTTATCAGCACCTGTGAAAATATACCGATTCAAGTTCATCCCGTCGATCCCGTCCTTCTTACACCAGAAACAGGCGCCTCTATTCATCGAAGACAGAGTTTGGATGGTGGCATTCGAGCAAAATATCAGCTACAATCTGACTTGATTGAGAATTTAGAGGCATATGGATCTAGTATGCAAGAGCAAATGGAGGCATTTAGGATGAATTTATCAAGACATAGTGATTCTCGATGTTCTTTAGCCGTTTTGCTATTCACACAATATCGAAATTTTGGTAATCAAAACGGACAATTTCTTTCGATTCTAGAAGACATTGATTTCGAAGGCATCCAATCCCCCGCATTAACCGTTGCCAAACAACGTCTATACGATGGACTAGGACTGTTATTTTGCAAGATGCAAATGATGACGGATGAATCTGTTGCTATGGATACCGTGACCGAGGATATGCAAAGTGCAGCAAAGGACATTATGGAAGCCATTGGCTCCATCTGTAAAATCATGTCAAGTTTGGTTGCGGCTAAAACTAAACAGTCTCTCAAGAGCAGCAGCAACAGCAGCATCATGAAAAATCATGGTAAGGAATCTACCCAGATCAGTTCTTTTTCAGATTTCTTGCAAAAATCTGCAACACCTGATCTTTCTTATAAAAGGTCCCAATCACTTTCTGTTGAATCATTAAATATGACTCCAATCAACACCCATAAACAAAACCGCTCTTCCGCTCCTGTCACTCAAAATCAACCCGCTGTATTATCGGAAGAAGGAAAGTCACCCAGCACGGCAAAATTAAAACAATTCTTTGGGGATGACCCCCTTTCGACTGAAGGAAGGGTGACCAAGGATGAAGAAACAGTAGAGGAAGGAGGCGTCCCTCGAAAAGAGCCACAGAAACAGCAGGAAGGGGGACCGCAACAACAACAGCAGCAAGGGGAGGAGGAGAGTTATCTTCAATACGACTATAGTCCAAATGAAATTGTATTTACTTTGGATGGCAGTGTGAAAGGAGGTACTTTACCTGCACTGGTAGAGCGCATGACGTTGCATGACTATTTGGATATGAACTTTAACAATACATTTCTGTTAACGTATCGTTCATTTTGTACGTCCATGGAACTATTGGAACTATTGGAAGCACGCTATAATATCAAACCCCCTCACGGTCTTTCCTCACAGCAATTGGAAATCTGGACTACTAAAAAGCAGAAGCTCATTCGCTTACGTGTATTTAATGTACTCAAGATTTGGCTGGAACAATATTACTATGAAGAAGATTCCGTCATTCTCGATCGTCTCTTGTTTTTCACAAATACAAGCATCAAGGACACCTTGAGCTTCTCTGCGTATCAATTAGAACGTCTAATTCAAAAACGAAAAGAAGCCTGCAAGGATCTTAAAAAGCTCATCATCACACAGCAAGTCGAGACACCTGATCCCATCTTACCCCGCAACTTGAAAAAATTTCGCCTATTGGATATCGATTATATTGAAATGGCTCGTCAATTAACCATGATGGATTTCAAAATGTACAGTGCTATTAAACCCGTCGAATGTCTTAATAAAGCATGGTCTCGTGACTCGAACACAGCTGCCAATATTCAAGCATCCATTGATTATTGTAACCAAGTAACCACCTGGGTTTCCGATGAGATCTTAACGCCATCCGAAGTCAAGAAACGTAGCACATTGATTAAATACTGGGTGAATGTAGCCGAACGATGTCGATTACTCAACAATTTCAATACGTGTATGGCTATTTTATCCGCCTTTGATAATAGTGCGGTGGGTCGATTAAAAAGAACCTGGGAAATGGTGGGTGCACGCACCAACCATCTTGTTTCTCAAATCCGTAAATTAATGGGCGCCAATCGAAATTTCAATCAATACCGTGTCCTCATTCACTCGGTGAATCCTCCCTGTATCCCCTTTTTAGGTATCTATCTGCAAGATCTTACTTTTATCGAGGATGGTAATCCAAATTTCCTGAAAACATCCAAGGATTTAATCAATTTCGCAAAGAGAGCAAAGACCGCTGAAGTCATTCGAGAAATGCAACAGTATCAAACCATGGGTTATCAGTTCAGGATAGTCGAAGAAATTCAAACTTTTATTATGGCGAACTTGCACAGTTCCCGTGATGAAGATCAATTGTACAGAGAGAGTCTCAAACTCGAACCCAAGTAAGTCCATTTATTATTTATATCTCTATATTTTTACTAAATAACTCTATTAAGGGAAAGAGATGATGAAAAGATAACGCGACTCTTGCAGGAATCAGGTTTCTTGTAAACTTGTCCTTTATAATACCCCCCTTTCACACTTTACGTAACAATAAAAATGTTTTTTTTATATACAGACACGCACACACACATATAATTTTTTTATTTCGTATTAAACATCCTGTCTAAAAATGCGGTGGTAGCATTCCATGAAAAGCCCAATACATGTTTATCATTAGAATTGGAGTCAACGGATGAAGCCAACGGTTGATGAGGATGGCGTGATAAAGCAATGGACTTAAGATGGTGATGACGATGTGCTATTTGCCTCTGTTCCATATGAGGTACATAGGATTTCTTGTGGTTATCCACTTGATTCACCATGGCAGCAGCAGCAATCACTGGAATCACTGAACTAGACATGGAATGCTGTAGTGGATTTCGATTGACTTTTGTAGACTCTTGCTTGATTAAACTCTCTAAACATCGAATTAAACTGTCCTTCATCGGATCTTGATATCGTCTGATACATTTATATTCTCGATTTAATTCTTTATTCACTTTTTGCACATGTCGATTATTATTTTCTTCGTATACTTGTTGTCGTTGTAGCATGACTTTTTGCTGTGTTCGAGATAAGTTTCGTCTAAGATTGTCTTCTGCTATCATTGGCGCTGCTGGTGGTTGCGGTGGTGGTAGTGATGGTGATGATGATGAGGAGGCATCGGTGGTGATAAACTGTGAGCGAAGCAATTGCTTCTTTAGCACGGGTTCTGTCTTGACGGGAGACACGATTTTTGTATACAAGGGTTGTTTGGGCACTACTAAATTATCAGCAGTTGCATTCAATGTTTGTTCAACGGGGGCAGCCACCACTCTGTCAGTCAATGAAGCTGGGTTACTCCATGTTTTCTTTACCACACTTTCCTCGGCCTTTTCTTCAGCACCTTCCTCTTCTTCTTCTTCTTCTTCTTCTTTAGCAGGTGCGGCCTTTTTATTATTACGTGGTGTGAGAGTGGTGAAACCCTTTCTGTCAAAGGACATGCGATGTAACGATCGTTGAGATTGAGAGCGTCGCATCACGGGTCGCTCAATGCTACTCGTGTCGTCTACTAAATCCGCTTCAGAGTCCGTATGGGCTGCACTATTGGCTCTGGCCATGGGCGCCAATTTCGCAACATGCACTCGTCCACTCGATCGTCGTTTTACATGATGTCGGGTAGGTTTTTTATGTGTGTGGGAACTAGCCGTTGTCTTATTTGTATCTTCCTCTTCTCCCATGACGAATTTATTGTCCTTCATTTCTTTTTTTTTTTTGTATAATAAAGAAGAGAAAAAAAGGTGAAAAAAATAATAAGAGAAAATGTGTGTGCTTTTTTGAATATCCGCCGAAAAAAGCACCATCTCTTAGTTATCCCAAACCCGATAATCCACCGACTTGGCCCCCTTCTTTTTTTTTATGCAAACTTTTCCATAGTTACACAGACAGCTCTTGCTCGTCCAAGGTGAGCAGTAACCCCAATCGCCCTCTTAAAATAGTCATGGTTACCGTTCTTGTATTTCAAGGGGTCAGTGACGTGTCCAACATTTTTTTAACATCTCAAGTGTAACAAATTGTCATCTTTACGTCACTGCCTAACAAAAAAAATGTATTTTCGCGTTTAGAGAAAAGTATATTTGATTTAGACGCGTTGTTGTTGTCTCTTTGTTTGTTACAGAAAGTATAAATTGGGGAAGAAAAAAAATAGTGTTTTTAACAACGGATATTTTGCTTTTTACGTTCACCCCGAGCATGCCGTCTTGTGTAAACACACTTTCTTGTTTATATTTTTCTTTTTCTTTGTGATCCTTGATATACACACGCCTGAGAAAGAAAAAGAAAATTGTTTTAGGCTCATGATATTGACAACACTTTTTTTTTTTAGTTTTATCAGCCCAATGCAAGTTGTCAATAAAAAAAAAAAAGAGATAGATAAAAAAAAAAAAAGCGAAAAGCGCACTTTGAACAAATAGGCAACATTGTGTTACCTATTGATATTCGCATAAAAACAATTTTAAATATATATATACATGGCTCATGTCAATCAAAGAGAAAGAGAAAATCTATAGTGATGGTGGTGCAATCCTTTATTGTACGACATTTATTATTATTTTTGGGTTTTCTAACACAATCAAAACAACAAACGGGTTAGTTCAAGTAATAATAAAAAAAAAATTATGCAGAATACATAATATGACAACATAATGTGTTCTCCATACACTCTTTTTTTTCTATCAGTGATGATCCAGATGATTTACAAGCGTTTTTTGTATAACCTTCAATCTACGCATAATATACACGCGGAACTCATTCCGCCCAGTCAAACTCGGAGTTCCACAAAGCTGTTTTGTTTATTGTTGTCCAATAGACGGCTGAAAAAAAATAATCTCGCATTATTCAAGCACCGATGATGTTTTATGTAGTCAAAACACTCCAGCCAAAATAAAGCAAAACAACTTTTGTTTTAGTAAAAGGGAATGAAGAATGAATAGAAGAGAATAAATAAGAACTTTAAAAGGTTCATTATTTTTGTTGTTGTTGTTATTATTATTATTATTATTGTTGTTGTTGTTGTTGTTGTTCTTAAAAAAAATAAAATGGTTTGTTTTGCTTCCACTTGCCTTTTCAAGACCTTTTTTTTTTTCCTTTATAAAAAGAGTGTTCAACAGAATATTTTAACTTTCTTCTTCACTACCTTTTTTCTTCTTCTTCTTCTTTTTAAACATGAATGGTAATATATATATATACATTTTTGATGGAACATATGGATTGTAACTAACGATATACTTACTAGTCTCTGCTTTACTTAATCCTGTAACTCATGGTCATCGTTCAAGATGTGTTTCCAGCCCCGTTCTGCCTGTTCATAACCGACAAAAACAACAAAATCATCAGCAGCAGCAAATGATGGAAGATGATCATCTTGGTGGAGGAGTGGGTAAACCCAGAAGTCGATTCTCAGAATACGAAGACAATATCATCCGCAATGGTGTTGCTCAACGATTAACATGGGGTCAAATATCCGATCTGTTACCTCATCGCAAACGAGCCACCTGCTTTAACAGATACAGAACATTGCAAGGTATTCGTAAATCACGTAAACAAAGCTCGGAAGCAGGCTCACCCGTCATGACATGTTCACTATCCACATCTTCTTCTTCATCAGCCAGTCCATCTAGCCCACTCCACTCACACTTTCAACATCAACAACATCAACCTATTGCAGCCTGTTTGGCACTACCACCGTTAATGACAAACAGTTGGTCAACTGACATCATTTATCCCATGAACAATTATCATTATGCAGATATACAGAATAGCAGTAGCTGTGATTCTTCTTCCGATGAAGAAGATCAATTGATCTCTCGCATTTCCTTACCCGCGATAACAAGACAACCTTATTACAATCTGTAAATACCCCCACCCTTATTCTTATGCTTCTCTTTCTTTTCTGTATTACTTTTTTTTTCTATCCCTTTTTATCACCACTTTATATTCCCCCATCAAAACTCCAATATATATATTATGCCTTTTACTTTTTTTTGTTTGTATTTTTATGATAATAAAACTTCAATTTCCTCGATACTTTTTAAAGGTTTCTCGTACACCATGACCTTCTTTGAGAGCCTTCATACATTGATCGTCGATGGCAACATATTTCTCACAGTTACAAATGACGTCTCCCACAAGCTTTTTTGGAATACAAATCACACCGTCCAGATCGGCCACCATGATATCACCAGGTAGAACAGAGGTTGGGCCAAGTGTGATTGGAACCTGGATTTCGGAAGGTCGTACAAAGGCGTTTTGTGGCAAAATAGAGTGTGACCGAGCAAACACGGGGAATTGCATATCGCGCTGTTCACCAAGATCGCGTACCCGACCATCAATAATCACTCCCTGTACACCTCTACTTTGCGCTCCGGCCGACATTAAGCCTCCCCAAACTGCGTTTTTCACATCTACATATCTTCTTTTTAGTCTTCTTGTTGATTATCACTTTTCTTTTCTGTTCTTTTTTTACCTGATGGTGCCGAAATCACTATAATGCTTCCTTCATGCGCCGCATCCACCTATTATGTATTTTTGTCAGACTTTCACTTACTTTAATTGGGCAGATAATACACTTACAAAATGCTCTGAAGGTGTTGGTGCACAAGTATCGCTTTTTTCAACCATCTGTGTTTTTGTTACAATGAGTGTTTCCCATGTTGTTTTCATGCTCTCAGCGAGCTTACCTTCACCGTAAAGGCAGGTCCGACAATACGCGTGTCTCCTTCACAGTACTTGGGTGACCATAACTCAATATCAGGAATATATCCTGCCCAAGGCCCTTGACCTAATTTCAAGAGTGCATCTGCAATCTGTTTTCTTTCTGGTTAGTTTTTTTCCCTCATGAAGAGAAAGAGAGTAAACTATTTGCTTCTTACCTCGCAAGTGGAATATTTTTTCAATGCTAAAAGTGTACTATCCATAGAGAAAAAACCCAAAATAAAACCCAAAATAAAAACACTCTCACCCAGTGTGCCTGAAGAGTCATGTGATTGGAGGTTTTTTTTTTATGTTCACACACAAATAAGGTTCATTTTGAAATCAATGTTTGTTTTTCCAATATGTCAACCGTTGCATGGAAAAAACAAGCTCACTTTTTTAAAGGTCTCGTAAACCCAAAGGTTGAAAACCACTCTCTTTTACCCACTTTTTTTCTTCATCTTATTTATCAATTAAATGTTCTCATCAAAGCATCAAGGAGGAGGACTACTCTTTGTGGAAAAAACGGGTGTCAATCCCATCATTTCTTTACAGCGTTACTATAATACTGAGCAAGCCCATGAAACAAGAAAGATATCAATTCGCATGGAGGAAGAAGAGGAAGAAGAAGAAAAAGTTGTAGAAGAACCACAGGAAGAAACCATAGATTGGGACCAAGATCCGTTACGGTTATGCTTACAAGAAGCTCCTTCTACACCTACACTGCCTCCACCTGTGATTTTACCATCTGAACTATACGAGCCTGCACAAGAGAGTATCGGCAACGATGAAAAAGCACCACCGCCCGCTTGGTTATATGAACGAGACCCCGAATTAGCGACAAGCATGACTTCTTTTGACACAGAAACTATCACAGATGAAACCTGGGAAGCCATCTTTCATCCACTTAGTACGTTCAAGCACAAGAAGGGTGAATTAGAATATTTGGCTTGGAACCCTTCTAATTTACCAGCTGCTGCTGCTCGCGTTGCTTACCGTGTCATGCATGCTCGTGCATTTGCTCCAGAGTCAGATACAGTTGTATCTGATGTAGAGCCCACTATTCCAACCATCTTGCCTTCACCTCCACTAAAACCTTCCCCTGTGTTATCCCAAGAATTAAAAAACGAGATAACAGTAGAAGATCAAGGTTATTACTTTGACATGCTCAAGAATATCCGAGCTGATTCCCAACCATCTCCCACATCATCGTTACCACCAAGGATTGCTAAGCGATCTTTACTAGACATGATCATTACCAAGAAACAGGATGTTAGTCAATATATGATGGAAGAAGAAACACCCGTGACAACACAAGCCATGATGAAGGATCCAGAAACTTGTTCAGACGAAAAAAATATGAATCGATTTTGGACAGAAAAACGACTATTTTGGTTTGGTTTCCTATGTCCATTACTATGGTTTTATGGAAGTTATTATATTCGTGCTGCAAGAAGGAATTTAAAAGATCCAACAAATTTGGTTTGGCAAAGAAAATGTAGATTGGCTTCCATTTACTTCTCGGTCATTGTCTCTGTGGTGGTCCTCGTAGCTGCTGTCAAGGCTGCAGGGAGTGCAGGTGTACGACAAGCTCAATCTGGAAGTATCCGTGCCGTTATTGCTAACTAATTAGAAAGAAACTATTATTTATTACTATTGCTATTACTTTTTTTTTCTTTTTTTTTTTTTTTTTTTTTTTTTTTTTTTTTTATTAAAAGAAAAACTATACAATTGAAAAAAAAAAGACAAAAAAATGAAAGGTGATAATGTGGTATGCTGGTTTTTGTTGTTCTTTGTTGTATTCTATTTAGCCCATTGTCTTTGAGCCTTGAGTTTCTTGAAATGTTTCTTTCCTCCACTGTTGGTTCTTTCTTGCACTTCGTTATACTTGCGCTTATAATACATCTTTTGATCATCATTAGCCATTAATTCCTCTACAATGGTCTGTTTACGATCCTTCTTATTTAATCGAGCCGAGAAGAATTCAGTTGGACTTTCAATAATCGTACCGATCTGAAAATACTTGGGATCAGGACGATTACCCATCTTCTTATAATGTCTCTTACGATCCAAAATATGACGCATCTTGAGAATTTGTAAATCACGCTTGATCTCGGGTGTCATTTCTGCCTTGGGCATATCAAACCATGCTGATCCTGTTGTCTTTTCTCTTTCCTACAATTTTAAATTGTCTTTTTTTTAATATCTTGTAAAAAAAAATCTATGTATTTATGCACTTACAAGTTGGCGTTGCTTTTTGCTAAGTCGCTTGGCGTCATCGTCTTTGGAAGCAGTCAAGACTACAGTAGCATGTTTGGATGCTTTTCCGTCTTTGTCAACTAACTCCACTGCCTCTGCAACCAACTTGGGTCGACCATTCTGTGTTTGAAAGTAAAGCTCCTTGTCTACAGAAATGCCAATATTCATCTTAGACATTCTTGTGTTAATAGCTTTTTTAGCTTCATCAAGTTGGATTTCGGGAGTATGTTGTTGTTGAAGCGCTTCTTGAGCCTTGTCTAAAAGGGCATCAAGATCCTCATCATCGCTCACTTCCTCATCGGCACTCTCTTCCTCATCAGCACTCTCCTCATCAGCACTCTCCTCATCAACACTCTCCTCATCAGCACTCTCCTCATCAGCACTCTCCTCATCAGCACTCTCTTCAACGCTGCTTTCTTCTTTAGAGCTTTCCCTTTTCTCTTCTTGTACTTGGGCTTCTTCAGCATCCTCTACATTTTCATCGCCGTTTTCCAACTGAGCTTCGGCACCAATCGGTGTCATTTTTCCTTCAGTCACTTCATACTGAGCCAAATTATCTAAATCGATCTTTTGGTGTGTTTTATTTTCGATTTGTCTGCGTTGGGCACGTGTAAGTCTTTCCGTCATCTTTTATTGTTTAGAGTAAGAGCAGAAGAAAATTAATAAATCAAAAGGAGTGGCTGAAAAAAAAAAATTAAAAATTTAAAACTTGTCACTAGGCAACGAGCATAAACAGTCACCTCTTGTTTATCATCTATAAAAGGGACGCTTTTCTTTCTTTCCATTTTTTTTTTCTTTAAGGCACTTTCGAAGCTTTTCGTGAATAATCTCAACATGTCTCGGAAAGTCAAAAAGGAGCCGAGATCTTTATTATTTTTTTAAAAAAAAAAAAAAAAAAAAAAAAATGAAAATGAAAAAAAAATTGTGAGAGCTTTTCCCCCATGTTCATCTCTCTTGCCCTGCTTTAAAAAAATTAATATGCGCTGGGTTTTAAATTGTATGTGGACAAAAAAAACAATGACATTCAAGTCAAAAATGCATCTAAAATAAACGTGTTTTCAGCATATTTTCCTTTCCCTTGACATTTAGAGAGATTATATTACTATTGTTATTGGGATGATACACATAAAATATCAGGAAATGACATTTACTTACCCACGCATCGGTAGCAGCATCTAAGCAGGTGTCGCTAACTTGGGTTGGAAGAGCATTCTGTGTTATAAAAACTATAACCCAAGTAAGGGTTGTCCTTCATTGTTGTAAAACTTGCTAGTTCTAGTTCCAGTAAGGGACATCATAGTGAGTATCAGCAATGAAAGATATACACTATCCTTCATCCGAAGGACGAGAATATGAGCAGGTCAATTATCTATCATTTATAAAGTGATTCACAGTGGTATTTGATATATTAAGCTAGGACTTAGCGTACACTTGTACAATGTCTGCTGGGACAAAGGGAAGCACTGGGATGTAAGCTGCGTCTAAAAAAACTTTTTTTTCCAGGCATGTCACACACAAAAAAAGAATTGCAAATCGCGAATTAACTCTTTTTTTTTCTTCTTTTTAACAACGAAAACTTTATATGGAACCTCAAACCCAACCTCACCCATGCTTGTTAAAAGTCCCTGATTTTGCTGATTGGGCCACCAACACAACCGAATGCACCCACATTAGCCTAGGTAAAGAAAAGAAAATAAAATAAAAATATAAGAGAAAACTCATGGTGGTAATTCTAGTCGAGGAACAAAAGGGAGACAGTGATTCAACTGATCAAGCCAAGTACATAACTTTTCAACCTGAATTCACCTATCCTATTTTTGGAGATCATGAAACTGCTTTTGGCTACAAGGATCTGTCCATCAAGGTAAACCATGGCTTGTTGTAAATATGTTTGATTCTTTGTTTTTATTTTAAAAAAACAATTGTTTATATTAGCTTGATTATACAAGTGGTGGATTAACCACTTTACTCAGAGTTGACTATTCCCAAAAATACATACCCGAAAAAGACGTGGACAATGTATTTGACACATTATCCGAGTATTTACACCGAGGATATCTTACAGATCACGACCGATTTATGGATGCAGTGAAGACTGACGCAGAGTCCTTTAAACCTCTAGGCGAGAAAATCAGTGAATATACACGAGAGATTGATGGTATTACACAGCATTTCGAAATATACAAGTCCTCCTTTTCAAGTGCCAAGTTTAGAGAATATCATAGCCGTATGCAGTTATTTGTCTTGTTATTTATTGAAGGATCTAGTTTCATTGAAGATGATGATGACAAGTGGGAGATTTACACCTCGTAAAGCATACATTTATAATATCTCTCTCTATAATATATCTCACATGTATTTGCAGTTTTAGACGCGATGAAAACGTATATCATTTTATGGGATACTGCACAACCTATCCTTTTTACTGCTGGCCTGAAAACACGAGAATGAGAATTAGTCAATTTTTAATGCTCCCACCTTATAAGAAGCGAGGTCACGGTAGTAAATTATACCAGACAATCTACGATATTTTCAAAGCAAGGCCCGAGATTTGTGAAATCACGGTGGAGGATCCCAATGAAGAATTTTCAGATATGAGAGACAAAAATGATATTCGATACCTCTTAAATCATGGTGCTTTTGAAGGCGGCTTAAAAGCACCCGTGTCTGCGGATCGTATTTCTCAATTATGCACCCAGTACAAATTAACCAATCGACAGACACAACGATGCATTGAAATGTACTTGCTGTCCAATATCAATAAGATGAATCCAGTAGAATACAAGGACTATCGATTGCAAGTGAAACAAAGACTTTATTCTTTTAATTTTGTAAGTTCCAACCCTTTCCTTATTACTTTCACCATTAACACTTTTCCAAATAGGATGTGCTTCGAGAAATGGACCCTAAAGAAAGAAAAGAAAAGCTCCAAGAAACGTATTTGGGCGTAGAAGAAGATTATCACAGACTTTTAGAAATTATTTAATATCAATAAAAGAGAATAATAAGGGTAAAAGGGGGATATAATAATACAGTTTATAAGAGGTTGTTGAATATGTGTGTATATATATATATATATATATTTTTTTTTTGTTTTTTTTTGTTTTTTAAAAAAAAAAGAAAATGTCGTGTTTTTTTGTTTGTTTTGTTTCAAAAGGTATATAAAATAGATATTGTTGGGTATATTATATCATTCAATAAAAATTGAATCGTTGAGTATTATTTGGCATCGAGTTATCAGTATTGCTATTGACGGCGACAGGGATTGGTGTGCTGAGTGAGCTAGAGGGGTTTTTTCCTGTTGTTTTTTTTTGGTAAGATAAAAGAAAAATATATATACATATTTTCAAATAATAAACTTACTGCTTTCTAGAGGATATAATCGGGAATTCATCATATAATAATCATTAGGGGTGGCAACGCTGACTCTGGAAGAAGAAGGTACATACAAAGGATAGGCACTGAATGAATTTGTGTTCTTCATTTCATTATTATTAACAAGATGGCTACTGGTGCTGATATGATGACTTCCAATCGTGGGTAATAAGGAGGTACTTCTTTGTCTCGAGTAACCAATGGGGGCAAATGGATTATCGCTTCCAGATGTAGAGGAAGAAGGCGAAGGAAGGTAGTCTCCATGCTGACCAATTTGGTAATAATTATTGTTCATGTTATAGTTTAAATCGTTCGTCGTATTATTCGCAAATCGGTTACTGGCAGAAGAAGTCGAAAAGTTGGGCTTCAACTCGGGTCGTGGGTAGTAAAATTGTTGTGATTTAGACCCTTCGTAAGTCCCAGTATTTCTGCTTGATCTCGCACGAAAACTCATATCATTATGTGATTCAAAGTTACTCATATTCTTTTGACTCTATATATTGATGCGTCAATTATTAGTAAGAGTGCGAAATGCATCCATATAAAAAAAATTACCTCATGGCTAATAGGATTTTCGGACCAAACATTGAATTCGTCGTTGGAAGGTTGCTCGAAATTTCTCTTGGAGTTACCAAAGAAATGAATGGCATCTTGCTTGGAATGCGACAAAGACTTTTTAGGGGTTTGTTGAAAGAAATGAGGATTATTACTACGACGAGGTTCCATTAATTCCGTTACATTGTTATTTTTGGTATGACCACCTTCATCTATAAAAAGAGAGTCAGTTACTAATAGGGAAATTAAATGTGTGCATGCGTATGTGTGTGCGTGTGCGTGCGTGCGTAATATTTTTTTTTTGTTTTACATACATGATTCAGGGTGATCGATGTGATGCATCACAGAAGGACTGATGTGACGTATATCTTCGGGACTAGGAGAGCCGTTAAAAGTATTGTTATGTAAAGTATCATCTACAGGGACAGAGCGACTATCCATGAAAGCATCAAACATATGGCGTGCCTTGGAAAGAGCATTCTTTGAATTGGTATCAAAGCAAAGTTTGAAAGTCAATACACGACAGTCGTTGGCAGCAAACAAGGAAATGCTTGTGTTTCTGCCTTGAATCTTCAAGACAGCATCTTCTGTGGTTGAATGGGTGGTGACAAGTGTTTCCGGTAAAATCAAAAAGACAGCCGTTTTGGTGTAGATTTTGTCTTGTAAATCTTCAATTTGGGGTGATTCGAGAATGGTTTCCAGGACGACGGAAGCAGGGACTTGAATATCAATAAACTGCGGTAACAAACTTTGTACTCTGGACTGCATTTCTTCAATATGAGACTGCGGACCAATGATGAGCACATGGTCTGTACCATTTCTTTCGGGCCAGATAATTTTAGAGTTGTACAATCTTCCTTTATCACGCAGGTATTTTCCATTCAGGTAAAAAATATTTCTTTGTGCATAGGTGGGAACATACTCTGACCTAGACACATAATCACGGTCCTTTTGAAAAGTAATAAACTCCATGACGGCTGCTTTTAACTTTTGAAGACTGTGAATATTTTTCTCGGGTGTTCTTGCTACCACATTATGCTCATTTTCAAAATAGCCACCAAACGTGGCCAGTTCGTCATTGCTTGAGAATTTGACGTAAACACCGTATTGTTTCATGACACGTTGAATATTTTTACCTGCTACACCAATGATACGACGATGACAAATCTCTGGCACAAAGAATGAAATTTCTGCAGGTAATTCATTCTGCAATGAATCCAATCCATCTTTTGCTTTAAAGAAATCTTCGCTTTCAATGGTGATTATAAAGTTAAAGTCATTAAATGCTTCAAACTGAATTTCAGCGTCACACGACTTCATAATCTTATTGATCTTGCCGTTCTTTTTCCCACTAATAAATTCTCGTTGGTCCAATGCTAATTCAATCGAAAAAATCACTGATTTATGTTGTTCCTAATAATATAAAAGTGAGTGATACAATTTAAAAGTGTTGCACACACACACACACACACACTTACTTGCGAAATTGGTAGTCCACGTATAATTTGAACGGCAGATTGAATTTGTTCCTTAGATCCTGTAATTTCAAATTGATTTACGTCTGTACGATAAATGACTTCCGCTCCAGAATCCTGTGACAAGCGTGCAACTAAATCCGCTGACTGAACTGTGTTCACGTAAATCATTGCTTGGAATATATGACTTGTCTAAATAAAGGTCAGCAAACATATTAACTAAAAAAAAAAAAAAAAAAAAAAAAAAAAAAATTTTGTTATTATTACCAGATAGTTTAGGGATCGGAGTGTTCTTTCGACATTAATGTTATTTTCGGCGTACACCTGTATTTGACTCTTTTCGGAACCAAAGGTTGAAAAGGATATGTATGAACCTTATTTATAGCAAAAAAATAATTATTAAACACTAAAAAAAGAATACAGTAAATAGCTAAGCTTACCATTATCTCTCATTATTTTTGTCAAGTCTTGCTTCTTGTACAAGAGTAACCAATCCCTTTTTCGGGGGTTTAGTACAGATTGGGAGTTACACATCAGTTTGATCTACGCAAAAAAAAATAAAAAAAAAAAAAAAAAAAAAAAAAAATAAAGAAAAAAAAATTAAAAAAAAGTAAATAAGGATGTGTGTATATGACATACCTTTTGTGGAAGCATCTTTTTAAGTAGAGAAGTAGCCTTTTGTACTTCTTCTATTGTGTTACCGGTAACATGAATGATACTTTCAGATTCAGCAACAGATGGCTGAGTAATTTTAGACCATGGCGATGGCAAGTAAATATTAGAGCCTGTCTCTTCCATAATTGATAAAAGGTATCCGTGTCTTCGACTGGCTAATATGTTTAACGTGTACAAGGGCATCCGGATACTCTGACACTGCAAACCCAACTGTAGCAATAATAAAATAAAATATTAAGAGATTGTATTGTCTATAAATGTATAAAACTTACTAAATGATCGAAAAAGACCAGAACATCTATACGCGCTAATTCGACCTTGTCAACAGGACCTATCAATCGAATGACAATTTGGTTATAATCGACTACCACCTTAATCTCTCTCTTGAGACCAATAGATTCCAGCTGTTCATGTAACTTGTTCCTGGCTATATTTCTATAGGCTAGCCCAGGATAAAGTGAATGAATTGATAAAGTAACCTATACAAAGAAACAAATATAAATACAGTGAACATCTCTCTTTTTTTTCTAATCTTACTTCAATGGGCTGTAACTTTAAAACATCAGCTCTTGCATTGGCTATATGAGTCGCACTTCCGGAAATAGTAAGACAACTGTATTTGTTGGAATGGCTCAAAAAAATAGAATTTAATTGAGGGTAAAGTAATTTCAAACGATCGCGAAGTATAGTGGTATTATTCAAGTTGTCAAAACAAAACGAATATGTTGTAAGGTGTGGCATTATTAATTATTAGTTTCGTTTTCTTTTTTTCTTGTTTTTAATAAGAAGGATGATATAACATGTATCAATTAAAATAGATTATGTTGTTGGGTATATATGTATGTTTGTAAAAGAAGAGAAAAAGGGAGAAGTTCCTTTCCTTTTCCCCTCCGGGTTTATAAAAAACCAAAAAATAAAAATCGGAGTTTGAATAAATGACACACAACAACTGTCGGGGTTTGCTTGCTCGCGCGGCCAACCACAGATCGAGAAACCATATAGTCGCTCCCTTTGCCATTTTGGGAATTAATGACGCGCATCTCTCCTCTTCCTTGTTTAAACATCTTCACATCAACAAAACCCATAGAATCCCTTTCCCAAATGGACACTGAACTACACTCGTTAGTAACCGAATACAAGTCATGTCTCTTTAAATTATCCGAAATCAACACAAAAGTTGAAAAAGTCAATTCATCAGAGCAAGTCATTGCCAACCACATGTCCAAAGTGCCTGATCCAGACAACCTTCTGCCTGGTCCCGAAAACAAGGAAAAGCTGAACCAAGTATTTACAAAGTTAAAATTGGATGTAGATACTGTATTAAATAGACGTATCGAAGATGTAAATATTGCAAAGATAAATGTACAGCTCTATATCGATAATACCCTTTGGAACTTGTTTTCTCGTACAGAATTAAACAACCATAACTTAATATTTCACAATGATCCAAACAGACTGGCTGACAGAAAACGTTTAATGGAAATGATTACTACTTTATTCGAGCTAGATCGATTACAAACTCATCTCGAACAAGACGACGAAAAAGAATACGACCCTTTCTTTCACCAATTACATGAATGGATGACTCAAATTATTACTGTCTATCTTCATTTATGTACAATACCCGAAAAAAAGGGCATATTGCAACTATTAACTACAACGAGCCGAATTTATTCATGGGCAATCCCTTTAATTCAATTTAACGATCTAAAGAAAATTCATGATTTCATGGATATCTTGGTCATTGTGTTTGAAGGGGATGTTTGGGTGGAGGATGACTACATTGCAGTCCTGGATCAGCTGGCTGTGGATTTCACCTTTAATAAATTGGTCATTGAATCATCATCTGTAAAAGTGACAATAGAAGACGACGATTCACATTCCGACACCATATTCTCTCTCTGCAGTCAAATCACAGACACACTCATGAAAGCCATACGACAATTATCTCATATGAAGAGCGTCACAAAACGACTCTCACAAATTGTAATGCATATGTCCATCTTATTAGTCGAGAGTACGGCCACTGTGAAAAACTGTCAGGATCAAATGGATGCTTATATTTCTCAACTAGTTCATGATTTTTATGACTTGAAGACAGGATGGTTCTTTTTACCCAACATACCCTTCAAGGCATTATCGGTCGATGCTCTATGGGATGTCACCATGTATCTTTTAAAGATCAAGCCAACCACAGCCCCAAAGCCCACATCATTGGATCAAGTATTAAACGAGAATTTGCCCAGCATTACACGATTTCAGTACGAATTAGCAGATAACGGAGCACAAGGTTTTTTCCTGCTAAGTTGTCTGACCAATATTGCCACATGTATACCACCTGGTGTGGATGAAATTACTTGCACTGTAGATGCCAACAAAAACACACTTTCGGCATGTATCATTACCGTGATTTCCTACACACTTTTTACCATTGCCTTTGTCGATAAGAACCTACGAGAGATTTTTTATAAGGACGTTCGAGACAATTTCGGTCCCATCTGTAAATTACACACGTTTATCATCTCTCTCTTGTTCCGATGGACTGTACAATATATTTCGGTTATGGAACGTATGGCATTGTACCTCTTTCATTCGCTGAATTTAAATCATTGGGTTATCTTGAACGACGATTTAAAGTTGGTTCATAAATTATTATCGCAAGAATCTCCCACCACACCGCAGCAAACTGCTCAAATCCTGCTGGCAAAATACGTCATTGAGAACCTGAATTATGGATACATGGGTGGCTCGGTCGATACAAACATCTCAAAGTCTCAGCCATGGTACAGTCGAAAATTACCCTTCTTGGCTTACGAAACTCACGAAGAAATTGCCTTTATCTTGTTGGACGCCTGCCAAAAGGTACAACCTTTACCAGATGCTAACCCAACCGTCGAAAATAAGGGTGCCATTGAATTGGTGGGGTCAGTTACCTCTGCTGTATCCACCTATTTACCTATCGCAGACCAAATGTTACTCTTAAAATCCACCTATACAACAACACCCAACCATGCCAATGAATTTATTCAATGGGCCTGGTCCGTTGCATTACGTTTAAAGCTCTACGACTGTAACGTCTCTTCTCGTGCGACCGATATCGAGAAATCCATTACTTTGCCTTTCTTGCGACTGGTCTTGAATAGTTATAACGATATGTCTTCATCGCATAGTGCTCTATTAATTTATATTTCATTTCTACTATCAGCAACTAGTCGACATTTCTTACGCTTTGAATCGGGTGACGGATGGATGAAGTTATTAACAATTCTGAAGCGTGGGAAAGCAGAAGCCATCATTCAGATATTCAGTGAAATCATTCCTTCCTTTGTCTATATGCACGGCGATGATTTCTTTAACGATGAAAGTCTAGTTGACTTTTTTAAACACATGATTGAATTAAAATCAGACCCCATGCTGGTCAAAGCAGCCAATACTTTACTGCCAAAGAAACATGAACGGATTACTGGCGTGGGTATTATTATTGGCTCTCATGTCTGGCAAGCACATTTGATTGATTCGGTAAGCAACTTACTGGATGACAGCGGACAAGGGTTTTCGTATGTAGACCTGGTGATGCATTCTTGGTTAAAAACCGTCTTCCGAAAGCATGATTGGATGTGGCATCATGCCTACGTGAATGTAGTGGATACCTTGAGTAGGCTTGCGTTTACCTTAAACAGACATCAAATGGTGTATCACATGCTCCTTGAAGAACAGAAACGAATGGAAGCCAACAAATTAGCTAGTGCAACGAGTTCCCCCAGAATTACAAGGTTCATTAAGACTATGATTCCTGTATCTGAAGGTATATATCCTAGCTTACTCATTGGCGAATGGTCCGTCTTAAACTTGAAGGCCAACACCTTTAATAAGACTCCCGGGGTGGAAAACAACTTGTTCTGGTTTGCCTTTGAAGCGCTTGTGATGGAAACAGTGTTGGAAAAGGAGTATCGGGATGAATTCGTCATTCAGCTGATGGCAGGTGACCATCTCTTGGATGTGAATGCTGTATACCAAAAGTTAACCATCTCTCAGAAGAAGCCAATAGAATTCTTTTCTGTTTATCGTTGGTTACAGCATATACTTGTATTACCTGTGCAGCATGTCCTATTACCCTTATATCTGCAAATGTTCTTTAGTCTCTACTACCAGCCCTTGGACAAAATCACGTTAGGCACCCTGTTCTTTGATAAGAAGTCAGACATGATATCAAGGTTGAGAGATTATATTGCTAGCGTACAAACTTATTATGGACAAAAAATGTCGGGTAATACAGTCTTGAATGCCGAAGTATTACAACAAACCTTTTATGCCATGTGGCTTTGGCTTGGCAACGTAGATCTATTATCACCTGGCTTTGATGTACGTAGTCTTCCATCTCATTATGATGTCAATAGATTGTCTCTCTGCCACGGCAATGCTGAGGACGCGCAGCCATGGTTACACATGGACAAATACTGGATGGATCTTATTGACACTGATAAACTCGAGCAAGACTTTTTACAGTTCCCCTGGCAAGGCTCCGGAAAATTTCGAATGAATGATGATGATAACACTTCAAGAACTACCGTAGAAGATTCAATCTCTTTATCTACCACTTTTCGAAAGCAGAGATTCATTACTGCTGAATCCACCATTATCCCTTTACCCTCTGTCACCCTTATCGAACCAACAGTTTAATAATCACCCAAATAAAATTACGCGAATTTTTGTGACTTGTTTGCACATTAAAGCCCTTTTTTTTTTATAATTCGCACACTCTCGTTTGTTATAACAAAAAGAACATGGAGAATAGAAAACGACCTTTAACACCAACAGAATCAAGCGCAGGGAAAAGGCCTAGAGTGGTTGGTACAAAGGCCTCACAAGCACGTGCAAAAGCTATTACTGCTCAGTTGGATTCTACAAAACCTAAAGTACCCCAAAGAAAAAGACCTGCAGTTCTAGCAGAAACAGATCCCTTGGCCAAATCTTACCATACAAAGGCGTCAGGCTTAAAAGAGAGGCCTTCCTGGGATTTACGAGTAATATACTATATTTTAGATATACATGTCTATATAAAAAGTAATAACTTGAAGACTTTCTTTGTTATAGGGCAAAGTAGAAGACATGACTCAATTACACAAATTTAACAAGGAACGATGTAAGTATACTTGCGACAACATTTTCCTTTTTATGAATTTATGTATTAACTGTCATTTTTTAAAAAAATAGTGGAAAAGTTAAACCAATATAAACTCGAGTTGGAAGTATTGCGCGATGAAAAAGAGTCTGCAGAAAAGGAAGCACTTTTAAAAGCACAAGCATTACAAGCAGAAATTACGGTATATTATTGTTTATTGAAGAAAACAGGCGCAATATTCATCTATTTGTTTTTATCTAATAAAAACCGTAGACTTTAGAAAGAAATCATATCACCAATGTTGCTGACCTTCATACCAATCAACGCATAGAATCTCAACAGTTGGAAGATAGTAAGCTGAACTTTGATCGCAACTTGAACAATTTAGAAGTTGAAGTCAATGAAGCAAATAGACGGCTACAAACCGCCAAAGGCGAATTAGAACAAAGGTTATCAGAGAATCAGTCATTGAGGGTAAATAAGCAATCTTAAGAATATCATCGTATGTGGTGAAGCTGAACTCTTTTACTCAGGATAAAATTATTAAATTGCAAGATTCATATGAAGGTGCAGAAGCTGAAATCATCAGCTTGAAATCAAAAATCAAAGTAAGCTCTCCTTTGACACAAGCTTGCAAAAAGAATGTGATATTAAAACGATCGCTTTTTATTTAGCATACCAAATCGTCGATCACAGAGAAAGAGTACGAAATCGAACATAAGAGAGCCCAAATCAAGAGCGTCAATGTGAATGTGGACGATCTTAAATCAAAGTTAGCAGAAGCACATAAAGATCGTGATCGTCTATTAAGTATCGTAAAGGATTTGGAAGAGGATGCGCTCAAAAATAAGCAAAAAGGTAAAGAAAAAAAAATTGGTCATGGTTTTGCATGAATATGAGCAACTGACTTACCCTATTTTTAACAGTTGTGACAATCTTGAATACTTGAATAATTCACACACACATGAAGGCAATACACGCATCAACATAACACATTTACTAATAAATAATTTACCCATACACGCAGCAATAAATTAACATTCTCTGTTTCAATCGCAGTGAATTTTTTGATTGCACAATCTTAATAAATATCCACTACGACTCTTATCAAGTCATAATAACGCTTTGTATCACATATTTCATCTTTATATAATTATTTACAATTATCATTCGTTTTTCTTTAAACGCGTGTCCCGTAAATTTAACTTTAGTGTCTGCCATAAAATCGATAAACTAGGCCTAGATATATACATATAAAAAAAATGAATTAATGGAAACCAATCCGTCAATTTATGTCCTATGGCAAAAATTTACCTTGTTTCTGGGAGCATTGGGTACTAACATTGAACGCAAATGTTAGCTTTATTATGCAATCATTACCAACTTTTCTTACCTGTAGTTTTGGTATAGGTTTAATTGGCTCGCCATGCAATAAACAGTTGAATACATATGCAGAAAAGTAATGTGCGCTTAATCTTTTCCATAACAGCATGTACTGAAAAAATATAGCGCCTAACGGAATTGGCATGTTCTGTATAAAAGCATTTCAGTATCCTTGTATTATTTTTTCGTTTGCTAAACATATTTTTACCCGCATCCATAAATACGCGCCTCTACTAGAGTTAATGGGCACCTCGGGCGTCTTCTTTTTGGATAAGGTGGGGATACTAAAACTGACCGCTCGTTTCCTGAATGCTTTCTTTGAAGGTTTTTTCGATAGACCAGTCTTCTTTTGCTTGGATTTAGAGCGCAAAAAAAATTGTTTAATTCGATACAGGATGCCATGGTGTTTCAACAAGAAACTTTCATGGTCAAATATTTCAAACTCTAGACCACCTACGCATCATTACGTGTATGTTAGTGATTACTAGAGATTAAGTTTCTTATATATATATATATATTTACCTGGCAATCTATGGGGATCTTTTAAGCGCAGCATGATCGCAAATAACGGAAAATGATTAAAAAAAGCTAAAATTGTCTCCATAATTGCCTGTAAGAATATGACACCGACTCTTCCCTAAATATGTCAATTATTAGAACTAACATCGTGTAAAATAGCTATAATAACTCACAAGAGCAAACGTCAAATAATAGATCAACACCGTCGGAAACAGAAAGGTCAGCAAGGTAAATAAACTTGTTCCTAGTAGCAATTGATCCAAATCATAGTCACAAGAATCGATACGATTACGAAGAATGTTTCGTTTCTTGCCTCTAAATAAATTGAACAACGAGTTCAGAATCACCAATTGCCAATTAAAGATACGTGCTGCTACCATATAAAAACAATAAACATGCAAGGTCATGAAAGCCAAAAAATCAGAAGATAGTGAAATAATCATGGTTACCCCAAATACCCCCGATAAACCAATCGCATGAATAATTTGAGGTGTATAAGGTTGGACAGTTTGCGTACACAGTGTCCAAAGTCGAATAAGCCAAAGAAAAAGCTCGCTCAGAAAACTTCCAAGTTCATGATTAAGTTTAAGACCGGCTGGTGATTCTAAAAACCAGAGCATCATCGAGTGCAACGATTCGACTGTATATTTCTATTTAAAATATCAGTATTATTTTTTATCACAACAGAAGAACTTTTTTTTATTGTTAGTATTACTTACATGTAAAATGCGATGTAACTTGTCTGCCATGGCTGCATTGTTTGCCATCAGAAATGATCCTATTGCTAGCCCAATGATAATATCGTTAGCAACAAGCCACATGCTGTTATAAAAACTTGATGGATACTAATTAGATCTTTCAAACATTGAAGGATAAATAACCTTATGTATAGGTATATACCTGATGTAATAAGCTCTTGTTTTTGCTGTGTTCGCCCAATTGTGTTTTCTAAGCATCATATACTGACGTGGCCAAAAAAAGAGTTGCTGTAATCTCAAATCTACTTGCTGACCTGTCAAAATATTATTATCGGGTTTTTAGTAAAAGTTCTGAATATAGCTGCTGACTGATTTTTTCTTGTTTTTGTCTTACCAGCTGCAAACAGATCTTTAAAGGCAACACCGTTAAGTATGAATTTAGGCAGTCGAACACTTAATGCATGAAGTGTGACTTCTGCCAAAGCCAAAATCAAAAATAAAATCGATAGCGATACGCTAACAACAATTTTCTTGGTGTAATAACCAATGAATCCTTTAGGGCTGGTGATGGTGGTGCGTACCAAGTAATTAAACGTTGTGCTTAAAAAATTGGAAATACGGTCGAGTGTTGGGTATGTTGCAGCATTTTTACGCTTGTAGCTGCTTGCCAGTAAATTGATACCATATTCTAAAAAATAAGACGAATTGATCTAAAATATAGGAATGTAAGTATGGAAAAGGGAGAAACCTGTTGCATGTGGAAGTACCTGAACAAGTACAATCCCTAAATCATCAGAAACGGACTTTTGTTCATTATTTAGGATATGTGCGTAATTGATAATTTTTTTAAGGTTTGCTAATTCTTCGAGTTGCTTATTAGTGAGCGGCTTCTCTTTCTTGGTAATGTTCATGTCTATCGATGAAATATCGAGTTCTAAAGGATTTAAGGCTAAAAATTGTAATCTTTTGGGGTTGGGCTGTTCATAAAATATAATTTCAAATGTATCAAAATTTAGTTTTTGGTCGGCTACATTGACAGATCTACTCTTAATTTTTTTCTTTAGTTGTTTCTCAATTGATGATAGAAGGAGATTTAACTTACAATGGGACAGGTACGTATGCTCCATTTAATGTAACCTTGAGCCAAACGTTATCGTTTCCTATCAAGAAGCGTTATTACAGCTCTCGGGCGCGTGTGCTAATATTTTTTTTACCTCGATCTGTTATTGAGGGAACTGGAAAGTCACAACGATCGTCGACTAAGACACCTAGAATTTGTGGAGGCACGTTGCACACTTTATTAATATGTGTGAACTCTGAATGCTCACCGGAAATACAAAATTCGGATAGAAGCCGATGCAATTCGTTAAGCTGATTTGAAAGAATACTGATTTAGGTCGACCTGCTCATCATGTATGAAATTGTATAAGAAAGTACCTCGACACCAGAGACAATGGAAGCAACACAAATGGTGCTTGTGGAATTATACCATCCAATTAAAAAACCTCCACGATTCTTTGGCGAACAAAGATGCGAAGGCCAAAATAATTTAATGGTGCCATTGGCTGACATGATCCCCTTTCAACAATTTATTTTGTTTCTTAGTTTACACTACTTTCAAATTGTTCGTGCACTCGAGGAGAAAAAATCGTGGAAATCTAACAGGCTGTTCTTGAATATATCATCCAATAGCTGTTTCTTGAAATATAGTCACGCTTCGTCCTGTTTTATCTTTGTTACGTTTTTTTTTTTTTTTTTTTTTTATAATCTAAACCTGTCAAAGATCATATATCATCCTCTCATTTAAAAATTAGCTGTTCAACTGATAGAAATTGTGCTGAAACCGCAAAGACAAGGCGTATCTCTAAATAGCCGTTGTATTCGGGAGTCTGTCAGAACCAGAATTTTTAAGTTCAGGCACAGACCAAAACAAAAAATAAGAAAAAAAGTTTTATTTTCTTTATCCCCCTTTTTAGTACAGTCGAAATGTTGAGGCATTGCCGACATAAACTTGCTTTCTCAAAATCATGTTGGTATACGTCTGCCTTAAAAAACCTCATGTCTAGTAAAGAAGTACAACAGAAACCATGGAAACACCAGTATCGTTCAAACTCAAACGCGGCCTCTTCCTTGCAGACAATTTCTACTGACGAAATTCAAACCACTTTTGTGGAACCGTCCCCATTGCTTCCTATTACACCATTGCAAACGACACAGAATGAATGTAAGCCAGAAGTTGGAAAAGTAGTCATGCTGGAGAAATTCCGTCGTTGTTCTGTTAATAGGTCTTATGACGGACACCGTTGTGAACGACTTGTTAAAACAGACCCCACACTCCCCCTTACAGATCAAGTGCGTTGCTATAATCATGACATGTCGAAAAGCAAACAAGCCAAAAAAGCCGCTCAACTGAAAGCCGTCCAACTTAAAGCCGTAAAAAAAATAGCCAATCAACAAAACTCCAGCAGGAATCGAGCGTCTGAAGAAATAATCAAAGCTCTTATACAACAATACAGTCCTTCCATACTGGGCAGAAAAAAAATTATACCACCCAAAAAGCTTTATGATTGCTGGGACTGTAAATATATATTTTTCTTTAAAAAAAAGGGATCATTCGTTATAGCAGTTGACAGTTTTTTTTTTTTTTTTTTTTTTTTTGTTTCTTCTTTTCAAAAAAACAGTATGGATCGGCCATCACATTTCCGAACCTCAAAAATCAACAATGCGTCAAGTAATGGAAAAGCCGATATCAGACCGTGATACCAATGGATTTATCTATGCCTATTCAATAGTTAATGGCCCACGAGTGTCAAAAGATACGCATGCGTATTTTAAAATTGGCAAAACGACAGATCCTCACAGACGAATGAATCAAGTTTCCACCGTTTGTAAACTAGAACCAAATATTATCGAAATATTCCCTAGTTTTCCCTTGACAAAAAACAAGAACACTCTGCGGGCAAATTTGGCATTGCTGCATGGCTCTTTGGAAGGGTTTCCAAAATGCCCCTCACCTCATAGAGTGGAAAGATTGATCCATTTGGAGCTTTCAAGTTTATACAGTCCGGCTGGGTTTAAATGTGAAGGTTGCGGGAAAACACATAGAGAGTGGATTCGCGTCAATAGAAGAAATGGCCCTAATGGAAAACCAATGACAGATACGGAGCTTTGGTTGTCTTGTATAAGACCTGTTATTTTAAAATGGGTTCAATATGGCGTAGCAGTTTCTGCAATCAACAAATAATAAAGATTTATTTACAAATAAGCGAAAGGGGGATGAAGGAAAATACATATTGGGGTAAAATCAAAATTTTGGGAGTTTCAATCGAATGCAATTAAGCAGTCTCGGTAGAAATTCCGTCGGTAGTGTTGCCATTGGTATTGCCATCCACAGATAAGCTATAATCTATAGATGAAGTACTTTCAAGAGGAGTATGAACCTCACCAGCTGCTTCTGAGAATCTATCCTTGACTTCTTGCCACATCAAAATACGTTCCTTGCTAACACCTCCTAAAACTGCCGAGTTCTCTTGTGCACGACGGAGCAAATAAGGTATAACCTCATCAATCATTCCGTAAGGTAAGTACTTATAAATAGAGTACCCGTTTTTTCCCAGCGTGTAGGATATTTGGTCCTGCATTCCAAATAATTGACCAAAATGAACTACACCAGAGCGCGGTAATACATGGTGCTTTTCCATCTCCTCGACTGTCAAAATAGTTGATTCCCTGTTATGACTAGCAACCATGAATACAATCGGAGCAGTTGTAGCAGTTAGAGCATGACCGGTTGTATCTTGATAATGATGCAATTTTTTAAGTAAAAAGCGAACACCATTATTATAGGAATCATGAGTGTCTTCAAGAGTGTCGTGAATCGGTGATGGGTACCTCATCTGTTCGGCGCGCTTTCGTTCCGAAACCATGTATGCCCCACGTACTAACTTGGCAGCAAAAGCAAAGTTATTACGATTAGCTCTCTCTACATCCCGCTCTAGTTTCTTTTGAGCTGCCTTTGTATACATTTGATCTAAGACAAAAATTAGAAAAAAATTCGCAAGATAATTCTCCCACGCTATACTCACAAGTATTATAAACTGTCGGCGAGTGATCTGTATCATCCCTACGATTATACTTTTCTTGCAAATTCATAGCAACATGATCAATAGCTTCTTGAAAATAAGACTGCTCAGCATCCACCATAACACCCACTCTAACATCATGTGCCAATTGACAAACTTGTTCTAAGCGATTCACCATTCTATCATAAGCTTGCAAATCATCGCAGGTTAAAAATACTTCTTTTTCCGTCTTGGAATCTTCTGTTTCCCACCAAATCTCACGGCCAACTCCTCTTAAATTAAATAGCTTGGAAAATTCTGCATAATCTAATGTACCCTTATTTTCTTGCAAGTGTGACAAGATTTGGATTCGTTGCAACTGCTGTAAATTTGATGAAGGTGTGGGGCAGATTTGGTTTACTACGTGATTCAAACATGCACTGTCTACGCGTCCGTCTGTTTGATACATTTCAAATGCTTGGTCTAAATACAACATAACTTGATTTACACGAAGTAACAATTCAGGGGGAGCAAACGCGGTAACCTTGACAGCTGCAAAAGCACCACTAGTAGCATACTCTTCATGTTGACCTTTCGCTGCTGTCTTGAGACAATCCTTGATCATTTCTAAAATAACATCTGCCTTTTGTTCTTGACGCCAGTATTTACCAAGAGACTCTTTATCGGACACGTTTTTTACATCATCCATGTGCAAGTCCGCTTCCACGCTAAGATCCAGAATACAATTGATACCTGATTGGGATAATCGGGTCATAGTTGCGACACATTCCTCGGCCGTTTCACCACCGCAAAATTGACTGAAAAACGTGTTCTTCACAAACCAATAAACAGGCGTTTGGAGATGCAATGTCTCTGCCAACTTGATTATATGAGGGGCAGCATCTACAATCCAAGGATATGTGCACAACTTATACACAAACAGTCCCAATAAAAGCTCTTGGGTGCTTTTGGCTTGCATGGCGGAACGGTTGTTGTCATCAAGCAATTGAGCAATGGTCCCTGTAGAAGTGGAACTGCTGAATGCTGAAATAGGAGCAGAAGTACTTTCTACTACTTTTCCATCCTTATCATTTGTAACAGAATAATGATAGTAGGATGCTGCCATAGATACAGCAGCGACGGAAGAGACTGTCTTTATCAGAACACTCTTACTTGTATAAGAAGGATTGGCTTGTCCGCCAGAATGAAAACGAGATTTAGCGAGGAATGTTAAGGCATTGAAGGGAGCATTGTGATGATTTACTCTTTGAAATGATTTGTTTAAGCTAGTAGTAGTGTTGAGAAGGGAAGAAGTACGGGAAATAAAATGACGTTGCATACCAATTCTGGCACAATTGAATAATAGATATAAAGGATAAAATATAAAGAAAAGATATGTTTGAATGAATGTTTGTCTTCTTTATAAATGAAATCACGGAAACTTGATTACTATCTAAACTTCGTATGTATGGATCCATTTATAGCAACTTTTTTCACACGTTCGAACCAATCATGGTTATTTCATTTAAAGTTAAACTGCTTTGACAGCCAAATCCGACATGTATCCCATTTTCTACCTTTTCTGCCTTTTCTTAATTGTGGAGAATTTATTTTAATATTAGACCAGCTAATTCCTTTCCGTAATTTTCTTTATGATAGTAATTTGTGTTTCATGGTATAATAAGATCAGCATCTGGACTATTTTTGTTTGTGTGAAGTTCAAGTCTCCAGTGAAAAAAGGGGATCTAGATTTCAACATGTTTAAAAAACCCGGAAAATAAGCCCCTTCGTTTTGCTGAAAATAAATAAAATTCTTTATTATTTACAGATTATCAGGCAAAATAAGGTAATGAAACCAGCCTTTACCTAATTAATACAAAGCTTGCTGTTGGAATTGATTGATAGGTAAACAATATTCAGTAGATAAGGATGAAGATGCCGTATCATCAGAATAATAGACCTTTCTTCCTCCTTTTTTAATGTTGCTGAGAAATAGGTCTTCCAAATCTTGTTGCTGTAACGTTTGCTTTCCTTGTTGCATATTTTCATTATTATTCCTCAGCAAATGCATGGTTTCATATAATGCTGCGTCCATTTGCTCTTTAAGACGGTTTGTTTTTATCGCGTTTCTTCTTGCTGCTGCAATATCCAGTTTTTCTTTGATATGGTCGTGCTTCTTTTTACCCTGTTTTTTCAGTTGTGCCGAAATTAAGGACGATTCATCCCGCCGGTCTGTAAACTCCTTTTTGGAATATAAATTACAATTGTTGTTATTGTTATTATGATAGTATTGTAAATAAGAAGGTGTCGGCATGGTTGTAGTGGCTGGTTTAGGAATACTGTTATAATGAAGCCAGTCATTTATCATGGTCTTTTTCGATATCACGCCTAATTTTTCATCCATCGCTGCTAAATAATTATGGCTAGCATGTCTGTTGCTGTCCATGCCAGATGGTTGCAAACTATTCACTATTAATTCATTACAATCGGTATTGTCGATTTTCTTGATTTCATCAAGTTGACATAATACAGAATTTGTCCAATCAGTCGAGCCGTTCCCTAATGTATGACTTCCACTAATTGATATTAAACTATCCTTTTGAAGTTTTGGGATTTGTATTTCACCCATGTACTGAGTATGCTTAATGTCAACTTTATTTCCAGACCCTGTAAAATGCAATTAATCAGCCTCCTCTTATTTATCTACATTTATGCCATGCATGCGTGATGTACAGGACATATGTGGTCTTCTTAATCGTCCAAAACTTACTTTGACCTGCAAATGGTGATTTGAATATTGCTGAATTTAATTTTTTGAAAAACTTTGAAAAAACATTTTCTTTTACTGCACGATTGTCCTTATCTTGCCTTCTACTGCCGTACAAAAATAGTGAATGAATAGTTATTTATATTTATTAAAACTTAAATACCCTTTTTCGGACAAGTTTGTATTGTCGATCGTATTCCAAAAATACGACTTTTTTCTTTTACTATTATTAGAATTATCAAGTTTCATGGTGTTCATTTTTAATATATGCAAAAAAAAAAAAAAGGAAAAGACAAAAAAAAAAAGGATGAATTTTTTCTGTGATTATATGGGCGGAAAAGGCGGAATCAGTCCGAATTTTCCTGCTGAGAAAACCGTTTTCACCACCATTTCTCATCATTTATTTACTCGAGTCACACAGACAAAGGAATATCCATTTTGAGAAGTTTTTTATGGTCTTCCGTAGCATTTTTCAGTCTCAATCTGATTTATATCCTGGATTTTGTGGAATATATTATAAATTTAACTCATGTAATAACCCACCCTTGTTTTGAATTTCACTGTATCAAGATTCAATGTAAACAACATGAATGTATTATCGTATAAGCTGTGATACAAATAAATGTATTACGAAACTAAAGCACACGAAATAAGTGGCATTACAATATTACAACAAACACAAGTTTTTATTTACATCGTCCCACTGAGCACGTACATAAAGACATGTAAACACGCGCACAAAATAATTTAAAATGGTCCTTTTTACCCCGTTCATGAACCACGCGTATACAAACATGAAGACTACTATTTCCGCCATTACAGTCATTATATTAGAAGGTGGGGGAATGATTTGTCACTTGCTTCCGAGACCTTGTGCTACACCGGATATTATGAAGTAGGCTTAAATTGTACCGACCATTCAGGCAAGAGCATGTTAGTATTTCGCAAAAGATCAATTATTCGAGAACCAATTGATTGCCGCGAATTAAGCTTTTTTCTTGTTGTTATTATCAATAAACAAGATGCATCCTTTAGAATATCAGATGACCTAGTGCTGGACTATAAACGTCTAAAGATAAATATTACAAATAAGGAAGGAGGGGGACTTGAAAACAGATTACTGACATCCGTGGTAAATATCTAAACTGCCGTTTTCGTTAGAGCCGTGCGAAGGTTAAAGGCCCAGATACTTAAATTATTCCAAATAAAGAGAGAGAAAGGGATATCTCGATCATATTTTTGGTTGAAGTTGTTCCATGCGCGTAAACTATGTGTATATTCCTCATCTAAAGGCCTCGTATTGTCAAGCCGTGTCGTCTTGCATTTGCTGCAAATTTAGGATATTTCAAGTTATTTCTGTTTCGAGTAGAACATTACTTTATATCTATTCATTATTCTGCTTGTATTATAACTACTCATATATATTTAAGGCGTCTAACGACCTAAAGAACTTGCTTCTTTTTTTTATCTCTTTATTTTATTCTAAGAAAATGGGCTCTTTTTGGGTTTAAGAAATATTGGTATTTACAAAAAGAGACGAGTTCCTGCTAATTACTATTAATTTGAAAAACTATTATTTTGAAAACTTTTAACTGGATGCAACGTTGCTAAAATGATAAACAATTTCACCGATTCATTTCCCTTTGTAGATTGTAATATCATAACGATTATTTTTCAGCAGATACATACGCCCGCATGATATTTGATTCTACCGGAAATCGGGATAACTGAGAACTGTGAGCAGCTTCAACAAATAGCACTGAATACTTTTAATCCTATATTTAAATCTCATAATTATTTAGAGTTATTTTTTCAAAATAAATCAAAACATTTCTGCAAGTACATAGCTCAACAACTTTTGTGTAGATTAATAGTTGACTTTGTAGCATCTTAATTGTGGGAAGGGTGTTAATTAATAGAAAGAGTACAGCTGCACCATACTTTAAAAGTTGGATCTTGATAGAAAAGCGGTATATTACGGCATCTTTGTAAAGAGGCATAATCTTGCCAAGCATACTGGTAAATGAATTTTAGGTTTAAAGTAGCTATTTTTATTTACTGCTTAACACAGAATTAAAATTTTTCTCAGTTTAACATCAGTAACTTTTTTGTTCTGTTGATACGTCTGGTAAGAGGGAAGTATTGAACTCGTTTTTTCTTTGCTAAACGCGGACTTCGGCGTAATTCTGTCAGGTTTATATCCCATTTGTTGACTCGCTTTCTTTTAAGTTGCTGCTGTACGGCATCTGCAGTACCTACTGGGTGATTATTCACTTCTTTTGAGTCGACATCTATTTCAGGCTCTGCCAAACTGCTTAATTGAGATCCATTAACCTTGCAGAGAGATTCATTCTCGACTTGTTCAGGTTGCATACTTGGGTTCGGCCCATCAGTTGAACATCTGCTTTTTTCAATATCAGTCACCAGTGTGGCTACCTCAATTAATTCATGTTCCATCTCCTCATCTACACCTTCTTGAGTAAAAGCTTTATCATGGGTTTCATCCGCATTATCATCCGGTTTGTTGTTTGATGACAAAACTTGCGTATCAAGTTTTAAAGGAGGTGACATAACACCATCCGTTTTTTCAGTTTCGTTTACATTTGAATCTGTACTATCAATGAGCAATGATTTATCAACTTCGGCTGGGACAATTACAGATTCCATCTTGCTGCTCATATTTTCCGCTATTTCGTGCGTATCTTTTTCTTGAACAATTTTATAAAAATCATTATTATCGGTATTCTCTGTACTATGTGGAAAGTGGGTCGGTGCATCATTGGTTTCAATTGTTATGGCTTGCTGATCTGACTGTACAAATAAATTTTCATTCATGTAAACATTTTCAGCCTCCATAGTGGCAATGGTTAGATTTCCATCCATACCATATGTATCCATAGGCTCGTCAACTGAATATTCTATCATATCGTTATTATGAGTCAACGGATTAGGGCTTTTTTTCATTTGAGTAGGTACTACATCATTATCCAATTCGGAGGATTCATTGTCCGAGTTTTCACCTTCAGTATCTTTTGTTTTATTGATTTCAGTATCAGTCTTCTCGGTTGAGTCAAAAGTGAGATCTCTCGGGTTTACTGAATCTTCCAAGTTACTATCATGCAGCGAAGTCGATGAATTGTGTGTATTTTCCAGATTAAGCGGTTCTGCATAATCTTTTGATGTTTCCATGCTATCATTTCGCATCGTTTCACATGTGATTGTTTCTGATATATCTGTCTCTTCGACTTGCGCTGATTTAATACTTTCCATACAATTAACCAAAACAAAACCCTCTTTTATATTTAGTAAGCTTTGTAATCGTTCGGGAATATTTACTGGGATAGGGTTTACTGTTATATCAATTACAGAAACTACCAAAGGCCAGATGCTTGATTTATCTACGGAATTTTCTAGAGTTACAAGCCCATGAGCTACTACAGATAACCCTTCAACTCTTGTTGGATGCAAAAAATCATTAATGGAGTATGCTCTTGCTAACTTTGATTTTCTTAGTTTTAAGATTATGGGAATATCCCTTTAATAATGAAGCATTAGTATCGTTTTTGTTTTTAAGAAGCTAAGCTTATAACAAATTTACGGATTTTCAGTATAGCAAGGAACACTTAAGAGGGGATCATCATCTTGATCATCTGACTTTGACAAAACAGCAGTGATAGGTATAATTAGCCCATCTTCTACTGTTATTTTCATTTGAGAACTAAAGTTTTCTTGATAATCATGCATTTTGTGTAAAATGAGATCGTTAGGAGTGAGAGAAAGCAAAACGTAGTGAATTCATCATTATATATCCAAGAGTCTCACAATCTATCAGCATGAACTACAATAGTTAACCAGCTGATTTTAATAATCTTTCCAAATAACTTTAATAGCCTCTATTATATTTTATTGCTCAATAACAGGATTTTACTATAAAATTAAATCTTATCATGGATTCTCGCCTTGTGGCATGTTTATTTTTACACCAGCAAATACAGCCACTTGTATGGTATACCTAACCATCTTAATGTAACAATTCTTTTTTCCCCTAAATTATGTTTACTTCTGTGAGCAAAGGATAGAAATATAAACACTATGGATTGTAATGGAAGTATCAACTACTGTAAAATTTCTATATTCACCTTTTTATTTTAATGTCAGCACTACTTGGCATCCTTCAAACCTTTTTTCTTTTTAACATGTTGTGCTTCCAGCCATCATTTTATCAAGTAATCATTTAAACACACAAATAAAAATAGGAATAGAAAAAATGACAGCAAACACACAGTAACACATAATTGAAATAAAAATAGCTTATATTATAATGTCGTAAAAATAGATGTCAGAAGTATTAAGGTATAGTCGTAGTGGTTGTTGAGGAGCTACCTCCACGATGCAATGGTGGTAAAGGGGGTACACCTCCTTCGTCAGGATTGTGAATGGACATTTTACGTCTGCTGATCTTTTTGCCTGTGGTAGCTGATCTTCTTAATTTAGGCACCGCGGGAGGATTATTGGCGTTTTCAGGGTCGAATTTAAGCCAGTCATAAGAAGGTACTGTGGCGCTTTTGATGATTGGAATATGATGTTCCGCACCATCCCTTACTTCTAGCGAAGGAGAGCTTCCTGTATCCACTTTAAGTCCCTTTCCTTGGAAATGGGCTTGGTACTTTCTTCTTTCAACACTTCCAGATCTTGAAGGGGTATCTTCAGTGTTTTTCGCTGGTGCTGGTGAAACTTGTTCAAGCGAAACAGGAGCTTGTGCTGACACAAGAGGAGTGTTTTCTGACTTTAAAGGAGCTTGTTCTGGCAAAATAGATGTCTTGTTTGGTGTCATAGGAATTGTATCTGACAGGGGAGGAGATGGTGAGTTGGATCTTGAAGAAGATCTTTTTGGTAGATTATCGGCCGACAAATGGGATACAATGCTAGTGGAGCTACTATTTGCATCGGGCAAAGATGTAGTAAAGTCATTATCATCCTCCTCCTCCTCCTCATCATCATCATCACCAACAAAGGAATAGACATCATCATCATTATGATCCTGGCTTTTACCCGTTGGACTATCAGGCGATTGGATTGTCATAGCATATCTATTAGCGTGCATAGACTGGACGGGAGCATCTGTATGGTCAAAACCATATTGAATATGACCAGTTATGGCTGAGTTGTTATGCAAATCCTTATTAGCAAATATATCTTGGCTGTTCATAATCAAATCCTCCAGAACGCAATCTTTTGCCCATTCGCCAGGCGAGTGTTGGGCATGATTTAAATCTTGAAATATGGCAGGTGTAAAAATAAGGGTAAGATTGCTGGTTGTCATTTTATTTTTCTCGACACGTGATTGAAGCCTTTTTTAGGAAGATTTGTTTAGCTTTATGTGATTTCGGCTGGATAGATGCAACTTACTTCGATAAATGATGTACCAGTACTTTGAGTGTATCATAATTTGCAGGCTCTAACTTTATAAGTCTTGTCAAAAGATTCATTAAGCGCAATTCTTGATCAGGAATTTCTGTAATACTGCATTAATAAAAACTATTATTTAGTCAAGTCCTACTTACGAGAATACACCAAACGATCGGTTAGCTTAAAAGGGAACAAGGGTGACTTCAATTCACGTAAAAAAATCTTTATAACTGAAGCAATACTGAATATATCTTCGGGCATTTCATTTTCTCCAATGACAACAGCCTCCTCGTCTTGTTCAAACGCGTGTCTGATTTTTTCCATATTGCTTTGCTTTCCAGAAACACGATAAATGCCCTCTCGGTCTAATCCGCCAAGTCTTTCGATTGCATCAATACATTTTGTGATCAACAAGGGTGGTGATCTGCCTCTTTGCTGAGCATATTCTGTTAATGAAGTTCCAAATATTAAATCTATACAAACAAGATTCGTTAATTAATCTATAGCTCTCCCAGTTACTAGTCGTACCTTTGCAAACGCCAACATGATGATTTTCATAATATATAGGAGGTGGTTTAGGATACTTTGTGAATGCTCTGCTCGAAGAATGATTGAATTTTTTAGATTCCATATCGGTATCATACTGTTGAACCGAGTCTAATAAAGAAGCAATAGGCTGTTGACTTTGTTGAATATATTCCAAATCAGCATTCAAAGCTAGCTCTAGTAACTTCTTGATTTTCTCAGCCTTTTCTTTTAAAGCAAGTTGTACATTATTCAAAATATGGTGGTTTGTGGCATCGATTTTAATAGAGAGAGTACTGATTTCACGTACAACATTACGATAATTAGTGTCTAATATAGCATTAGTGACAAATTTATTATAAACCCGCCTTTGCTAGTACTAACCTGCTTCCCCTATTTCAACTTTTAATTTCGCAACTCTAATATTTTGTCTTGTGGGATCTTCAGCTTTATTCAAATGTCTCTTCATAAATCTTTCAATTCTGCTACTCTGCTGAGGACTGCCGGCAACATCAGAGAATTTTAATGGTTGCTGTCTCACTCTGTCGTCATCCATGCTCATTGCTCTAATATCCAATTCTTCATCATGTGAAAGTTTTTTACTTAAAAGAGGAAATGCAGATCCACCTCCAGACAAAGTAGTACCTGTGGATAGTGTTGGTGTCATTGGTGTCAGGAGCATGGGTGAAGAGACTGTTGCACCAGCACTGGATCTATCGATTTCATCCCACTTTTGAGTGTAAATTTCTTTTACCTAAAATCGTAGCTATTAGTTTTAATGTTATACAATGGTTAGTGCTACCCAAACTTACATCTGGTAGTTTTTTCAGTCGAGCAATGACATACTCTTGATTGGATTGGCTCATCCAAGCCTTGTTTTTTTCATACGCTTTTTGTTGTTCTGACTAGTATTTTAGAATACTGTTAAAAAGATATTAAATTTATCTGCAATGCTTATAGAGTTACCCGAAATTTAATCATTTCATTCAGTTGAACTTTTAATTTTTCCAGGTACTCTTCTCGATAAGGTTTCAGAGTATCTGTTATACCGACATAATCCATAAAAGACTTTTGAACTCCATTAATACTATGGGAAGTACAACATTCATGAAGATTGCTGTTTATGCTGGCAAGTTCTTGGAGGTATTTTTTCTCCAAGTTTAATCTAAAACAAAAAGGTTATTGACAAGCCCAAATCATAAAAATGAATATATATATGCGCCTACTTTTGTTTCAGGTATTCAACAATGTGGCCTGTATCTCTAATAATCAAATACGCTGCAATTGCATCAATTTCTTTTGAAGGGGCATAGACCAAATCCTGAATAACTTTATCATTCCCTGTAAAAATAATCTAGAGTTAAATAATATAAAGAGTCAATATTTTTTCTTTTTGACGTATATTAAATCATGTTTCAGGTACTTGTTCTTTCACTGTTGGAGGCGATGTAGTTTTTGGTTTACCCGCTTTCTTTTGTGTTGGTGTACTCATTAAAAGTGATTTAATGAAGTAATGTTGTCAATGTTTTTTTGAATGGAAGATGGTTTTTTTAAAACAGAGTTTTTTATATATGGAAGAGAAGGAAGTCAATTAGCTTAAAAAAGAGCGAAGGGGTGTGTGTCTCAGTTTTTTTTCCCTCCTCTTTTTTAAAGTACAATTCAGTGTAACCTGAATCTGAATTTCTCTAAAATAATACTTTGTCAGTCCTTTTTAGACGAATCATAACATCTAATTTCAGGGCAGAATCCTGTAAATGAGGATAAATCCGACGGATATAAACTTTTTTGCGGCAATTCATATCAACAAATATTTAACTAAATATTAAAGCATCAACCGATGCCTATTATCAAGAATACAATTATTTTTTCTAAAAAAAATATCTATTTATAGTGGGTGTATTATAATATGTGAGATTGATTACAAAGTATGAGAAGAAATATAGTTAATGTCAATTGTATATGGTTTTAAATAAGATAAACAACGCCGCCAGAATACATAATTTTGTTCTCATTTGACATCTCCACCAACGCAGTCTCAGTTTCTGTCACTGAGAATGCTTCATCACCAGATAAATCTCTGTTCACCTCTTGGAGAACACTTTCAAATGTAATCTCAGTTGCATCAGGGTTATGGGCAAAGTAACGACCCAATATTTCTTTAAATATAACCAATCTATAATGACAATAATTGTTAATTTACATAATAATATTAAATCTCTTTCTTGTTTGTTTGCTTCCTTACCTCCTGGGCGAGATCTCCATATCTTCATCCACATCCATTGCATTATCCTCAGCGGGTTCAGCAGCAGCAGGGACGGCGTTGGAGCTAAAAATAAATTTTTAGTTACTTTAATCACATATATTTCAATGTTAACAAACCTCTCAGCTTCTTCCATTGCGTCATCTTCATTGGCTTCAGCCTCAACTTGTTCCTCCTCTTCTTCTTCGTCAGAATCTGCTTCGGATTCAGCATCTACCTTTCTACGTTTAGTCTTCTTAACACGAAGAACTTCTTGGAACATGGCAAATCTCAAAACTTCAGCGGCCGCCTTGGCATCTTTATCTTCGATTGTAGCGCTTAATCTAGACTTGGCATGTGATGCAGAAAGACGAATTAAAGTCTCCAAAGTACGTGCAGTAATAGGGGCAGTCTTCTTTCTGTTAGGATCGTCTTCCTTTTGATTTCTGAGTGAGGTATATTCATTGATAATTCTATCTGTAGCACGCTTTGTTAATACTGGTTTAACAATATTTTTGACATAATAGATATATTTCTTCACAAAACTAGATTTAAGGATCTTTGTAGTACGCTTGACACCAGCATGCAAGTTGGGGTTGTATTTCTCGTAAATTTCCTCTTCATCGGCATCTTCTTCAGGCTCTTCACCAATAATATCGTCTACAGCCTCTCTGATAGGGGCGCCTTCCTCAGTACCGGGCTGAACATAGCGATGCATTCTCAACACGTGTTCAGAAATTTGTCTGTCACGAGTTTCATCAAGTGAATCGGTAACGATAAACAACAAATCGAAACGTGAGAGTAGAGAATCGGGAAGTGCGATATTTTTGGCAGGATCTTTAGTCAAATCGTACATACCATAAATAGGATTTGCAGCAGCAACAACACTACATCTTGCATTTAAAGATGTATGAATACCGGCCTTGGCAATTGTCACGGTTTGTTGTTCCATGACTTCGTGAATAGCTACACGATCAACATCACTCATCTTATCAAACTCATCAATACATACAACACCACGATCGGCTAAGACCATTGCACCAGCTTCTAAACGTCTTTCGCCAGTTTCCTTATCACTTGTAACAGCAGCAGTTAAACCAACACCAGAAGAACCACGACCAGTAGTTGCAATAGCAAGAGGCGCAATATTTAAGATATATCTCAAAATTTGAGATTTGGCGGTGGATGGATCACCCACCATCAACATATTGATATCACCTCTGATATGAGTACCATTTTCCAAATTCTTTTCCACACCACCTAACAGCATCATCAATACAGCTTTCTTGATGTATTCGTGACCCCAAATAGAAGGCGCTAATGATTGAGAGAGGATTTTGAAAGAATTCTTCTTTTTAGCCAATTCGGTAATATGGACAATATCATTATCAGTAATGATGGGAGCAGCGATGCCACCACCCGCCTTTGTACTCAAAAGGCTGATTTCGTTACAAACAATCACGGTTTTGAAAGTAGAACTGCTTTGATTAGCATTTTTGCTACCGAGAGAACGATAGATACCAATGATACTAACACGATCTCCAGGTTTAGCTCTATCTACTAAATCATCATCGAGAATAACATCAACTGATCTAGGCAATTGACCAGCAGGAGCACGTTCGGGCATTTCTTGAATACTGAGGGATTGATGATCGCGATAGGTACTATAACCAAATTCAGTGACAAGGGGATTACCCTTTTCATCTTCGGTGGGATAAACGGCACCGGTAGGAACGAGGCTACCAGGTGTAGTGGCATCATGATATTCACGTTGGAAATGAGTGTTTGTTTTGGCGGAATAATGAATCGACTTCACAACTTTAGGTCGGACAAGAGAGCAATGGGTGACAATACCTTCAATGCACACGAATTTACCCAAGTACATGGCACGTAAAGTACGTGGATTGACGTGATTGTCACCAAAGCTTCCTGTAAATCCCACATAATAAGGGATACTCAAATCTATGTCTGGTTTGATAAGTTTAACCATCTTTGTGAGTGCTTCGTCGAATGCGGGTAAGCATTCTGCAGGGTTGTTGATAAGTCTAGAGGTATCGTTTAGTATAAAAAATATACAGGTACGCTGTTAACACTAAAAAAACGAATACTTTACTCTGTGGCCAAATCACGGTTGAAATTACGGAGAGCATCAATGCTAACAACCAATCGACGTTGATTTTTTGACAGCATGGCTGGAATCATATCTTTATATGATGCCTTTTCAGAGATGACAGTATGCTCCTAATTTGTAAAAGGAAAGCGAATATATGTTCAGTACAGGGAATATGAGTATGTAAACGTTTACTAATTTACATCAAATTCAAGGAACTCTTGAAATGTATCTGAGTAGCCCTGAGCAACTGAATCAAGTAATGTGTCTGTTGTTGCTTGTGTTGAAGACATTGTTGTTTGTATTAAGACAAAAAGATTTTTTTTTCAAAACGCGTTTTAGTGAGCGAAAAATTCTTTCCGCTGCGCTGCTCTCGCGAGGACTATAAAAGGCAATTTCCAGTCACGCGTGTGTGACGTTTGTAGAATGACAACAGTGCTGTGCTTTGAGTAAGTCATAAAAACGATACTAATGGAGTTAGCAAGTTTGATAACCACTTTCTTCTTTCGCCATTTAAGTATCCATATTCATTTTATGATTCTCTTAATGGTTTGTTCTGCCTTCATAAGTTTTGTAGAACTTTATCTATCGCTTGTATCATAACGAACAGTGGGGATCTCAACTAGCTCAAAGCATTAGTGTAGCCCGATTTGACACATATACAGAATGTTTTATCGATGAGGTTATTCATTATTTTCGCACGTCCCTTTTTTAATTCGGGCATATAGTTCACTGTCTTATCAAAAACGTCATTCAAGCTCTTTTCTCATCGAGTTGACATCAAAATTTGAGAGTGGGTGATTGCTGCTAAAGGTCTTCCAGCAATACAGCTTATACATTCATATTGTATCAATTGCTTTTTTATATCGGGGGTAGCGTTTTAATTCTCTTTTGGCTTTTTTAGTTGTATTTATATCTACATAGTCCAAAAAAAACTACTACATGTCTTCATCTTTATGTCTCTTACATCTGGAACCTTAATAGTCATAACGATTTACCATTTGTGAAAAAATCTGGTCCCAGTCAATTATTCGCACATCAATTATTCAAAAATTTACCTGGTCAAACATACATCACCCCAACACCCTAACAACAATTTACACACAAAACAAAAAGGAATTAATCTCATAAAGTTATTTTATTGCAAATAAAACTCTGAAATTTTAACTAAGTCTCGTTTTCCATCACTTTACTGCAATACTGTTCGAATACTTATTCCTCAAGAGAGTGCTATATCTTGTCCCCCGAATATCGTCTATACGGGAACTCATTCTCCGCAATCACACAGTTATCGTGATCTGTGAACCGTTTCTGAAGATGTATATTGTTTTGGATTCAAACATGGTTATTAGCAAATACAAACATCAACTAATAACTTTTCGTTTGGCCAGGTGGTGGGAGTCCTGGAGAAAATAGTACATTGAGCACATGTTCGTATACTATATGCTTTACTACGGGAATTTTTATGTCCTTTTACAAAAATAATAATTGATGTCAAGTTTTTAATATATATATTTAACAAGGTTTTACACATACATGAAATGCTTGACGAATCATGTATATAAAATAGTTTGCAATAATATTTTCAAAGTTCTCTATATAATAGTTGTTATAACAAGTAGCTATAGACTCACAAGCGGATGAAACCACTTGGCCGTAAAGAATTAAATTTCCTTTATCAACTGTCAAGTTGACGCCTTCAACACCGTTAAGCTCATCCCATACTTCGACGAGGCGGGGAATAAGTGGATATTGTGATTGGAAATTTTGAACTGATAAATTTTATTACACCACTCTACACACGCTATACCAAAAAATTTGTTTCAATAGTTCATTAGGCAAACTGTTAGGATGTTTTTAAATATAAAAGTTGACAAAAAGCTGAGCGTTGTAGGCGACTTTTCGCAGAAACATAGAAAGACTTTTAATTTTTTCAACCGCCGTGTTATTCGCATTCGCATCTAATGAAGACATGACTGACTTGAGAGGTATAGAGACAGTATATCTTTGTTTTTGAGAACCCAGATTTTGTTGAATCAATTCTTTTGACCGCAGGACTTACATACTAGACTCGATATATTTGGGACAACATTTCTAGCTCTTTTTGCATCACTTTTTGCCTTTTTCTCTTCTGGAGTATCTTTTCTTTTTACACCTTTGAGAATATTTAGTTATTACAACACATTGAAGAAAGCTTTTATATTACCTTTCTTTCTTTTAATTGGTTTGTTAATGGTTTCACTAGCAGTTTCCTGTTGTTGGCTTTTCATATTTTTTCAACTTTTTCGTTTGTATAAAAGCTTCAATTTCTGGATGAATTGGTGTACGCATCCCGTTTTAGATATTAGAAAGAAAAGGACATAATTGTTGTTTAAATCGACATCAGGCTCATATATATATATTTGTTGTGACCGCTGCTTATTATTAATTTATCAAAGTATTTGTACAAACCAAAGTTATTATTATTTATATCAGATTGTATCTATATGCTATGAAGTGAGGTTATTAGTAGTAGGCTGGGTATGATAATTGTAGGCATGTAAATCACTTTATTCATTTATAATATAAGTCGTATTAAACAAAATTTGTTGAGTGAGTTTTGGCTGTCTCAAAGTTTGATTGAATAGATTATTATGGTTACGCTTTTCTTCAGGACCGGTAAAGTGCGCGTATTCATAACCTAGGATCACTTACCTGTTCTTTTTCACCGCCGTACGTTTTTCTATGTCATATTCTCTATCATTATCTTCTTTACCTCCGCTATGTCCTACCCAAATAACATCCCGCCTCTATCATTACATCACAAGTAGACCATGCCAATCATCTGCACAAGTGTAGGAACCTTTTTCGGTACCTCCTTACTCTCTTTTTCTCACTTAAATCGTCAAGTGTTGGTTGAAAATAATTTGACGTCCTCTTTAAATTCCTTGTAACATTATCGACACAAAAGATGGTATTGACTGGGATGGATATCTTGTCTGATTATCTTTTACATTTTTCTGAAAATATTTTTAAGACTGTCCGAAATATATTTCTGTTTGTCTGAAAACAATTATAAGCCTGTCTGAAAACAATTATAAGCCTGTCTGAAAACAATTATAAGCCTGTCTGAAAACAAATATAAGTTTGTCCAAAAATAATTTGAAGTAACAACACTGTAAGGAGAGGGGATTTTATACCCAATTTCAGCCAACGCTGATACAAGCAATTTAAGCCAATCAGATTGCCCCAAGCTGACAAGATCAAGCAGCTAAAAAGTAAGGGCTACTGCGCATATGTCGTTAGCAGGGCTGATTTATGCTATTTGTCTGACAATCGTGTAATCGTCTTTAAAAGTTATTATTTCTATGCTTCTTGTCTAAATCACAGGTTTCTAGAAGATCTATAATAAGGATAGTGTTGCAGGAATATAAAATAGATCCAGGGGTAATGAAGTTGACATTAGGAAGGTTATGCAAAATGTCTTTTGGCATATCGTTGTTGTTCATCAGACGACGTTTATAAGGAGCGAAACTGGAGACTTTACGAATGCTATTCTTAAGAAAGATGTTACCATGTGGAGCAACCTAGCGTTGCATAATTCAAGTTAGTTTTACACACCCAAACAATACCCGGAGTACAAAAACTAAATTATGCAAATCACTTGGGGAATTTTTTTTAGCATGGACAATGAGCATGTGTTGAGAATAACAAAAATTGTTATACATGGATAAAAAGATGATAAATGAAACCAAAAGACAAAATAAAATGCAGTTCAAGTGTCTTTTGATTACATTTCCTTGATATTGTTTTACTAGTCGGAGATGATTGCTCAAATATCACAAAATGCGTTTAGAATGGCTCAAATGCGGATGTACTCTAACTTAAATATATATAACCACTCTTTTCAGTGAAGACAAAAGAATTGTACATACTAAAATTTATCCTTGTTGGATTCCATATATGGGTACAGTTTTCTACTAGCAACTTTTATTTGTATCAACCGAATGGAAGGAAAAGTAACAAATTCTGAATGTGCGTACATTTTATGAAGATATCAGATATATTACAAGTGCAAAATTGTAGAGCATCTATGACTAATCACACACATTAAACTGTTCCTCACTTTTGGGGTCATGATTTGGCTGCCAGTATAGTTATTGTTAGTCAACGTCGCAACTAAAATTTTCCAGCCCTGTTATCACAGGTCAACTATAAATACATTTACGCGGTAGTAGAGGTTGCCGATGTTTTTTTTTTTTTTTTTTTTTTTTTTTTTTTTTTTTTACATTTGGCCTACTAGGGATGGTCAGTAAGAAATTTGTTCGAAAATTATCAATAAAAAAATCCAAAGCCTAAGAAGTATGTTGTTGACTTGCATGTTATGATGCACTATGTTTACATATGACATTATAGACTCGAAGGTGCGAATAGCTAATATATACTGTCTTATAAACTACGATTCAATCTGATAGATCATTATAATCTGCATACAGTATGGGCAAAAATAGCTTTAAATAGATTTATATACATGATATAAAGGACGGATAGCAGAATTTTACAGTGGTATTTCATATGTGTATTTTTCATTAGTTTTGTATTTGCATGTGGCTGGATATTTATAGTTACTTTTGAGCATGAGACTATAAGGATAAGAGGAGGGAGGAGAAGAAGATACGCTTTAAAATAGACATCTTTTTTTAAAACTAGCCCTTTAAAAATACCACTATGTGGAAATACAAGTAAATTAGTTATCTACTCACAAGACACCAATGTTTCCCTATTAAAGCCCCCCTGTTTTTAATCAAATCCGACACTACGCCATTGAACGTTTAAACTCCGCCAATTGCCACATATCGTGGTTAATTTCTTTGGTAGGAAGGGTATTCTTCGTGATGTTAGGTGTCTGAAAACGTTTAAAGAAAGTGGCACTTCCTGATACAAAAAATTTCTAAAAAGAAATGTCGACATTGAAGCACTATATACAAGCTTCAATGAAAGCTACGCCAACATGATGCATGTTTGTAAAAATAGAACTACGACAATCCGTTCTCGAATGGCATAGTTTAATTTACTCCTACAATTTCATGCGGTGGAGACGAAGCTGATGCCAGATCTACCATTTCTACTCAAACGGATTCTAGTATGCGCATATGCCCCTTTTGTTTACGTTGCGTAAAACAGACAATTTATTGAAGTAGCGTGATATTCAAACAATCTCGTGCGGTGGAGAAATGTATCTTTAGAACATTGGTCAAACACCAATAATAAACATGAACGACAAGCTTAAGCGTATATATGCAGAAAAAAGGAGGATCTCCAAAAGTTTTTTTTTTCGTTAAAGCTCAAAACACCTGCTGTAAAAAGCATGCCTAAATTCGAGACATATCTCTATCATGTTAAATGATGCTATATATATATATGATGCACCCTGTTGCTATGATGATCTTAAATACTATATCTGTGGTAGCTGCTGACAAACTCACACACTTACGTGATGCAAACCAAGGACGCGTATGTTGCTGGTTTTGTTTGTGTCTATTTGAATTATGTTTGTATCATGCACGTGTACGATAAAAGAAAATCGATGGTCTGTCAGTCAAATTGTTACGATATTTAAAAACAAACAAATAGAAAAGGTGATTTAATCAAGGACAGGTGCACATTGAAAATAAGTCAGATCAGTGAAAGTGACCAAAAGAGCGAGGATAAACAGGTGCTACCTGCAGCTTATTGTCGCACACAATATTAACTATTTTTGAAGACTAAAAAAAAAGGAGAGAGGATTGTAAAAAGACAAATATGTCACTAAAAGGACAGATCCATTACTAAACAGCGTTAATGTATATTCTCATTAAGGAAAGAGGACGCCAGTTGACCAATGTAGCTGCGGTGGGATGGTAGTTCGAGGTTAAGAGCAGATTTATATAGGATGTTGCACAGAATGGTGGCTTGTCAAGGCACAAACCAAACGATGTGGTGTGTGTAGACATGGCCAATCAAACGATATTTGATTGCTAATTTCGCACAAAAAATCAAATAAAGAAAATCATAATACAGCTTCTTTTTGTTTCCCTGTTATCACTGTAAATAATCTGCCAAAATGGCATTTGAAGGTGATTTGAATGAAGCTAAACAATTACCAAACTTTCCCGAGAAAACTGCTGTTGACTATGCGGATACCTGGACGATGGACAAAGTAGTGCGTTGGTTGGAGACAAACGATTTCAAAAACACGATTGAAGTATTCAAAGGTTTGTACAAATTTGTTCATCTTGTTTTCCCCTTTTTTCATAAAATTGTTTAAATACTCATCTTCCATTACTCCTATTTTCTTTGTTCATATTGGCTCTCTTTTATATATTTTCTTGTGCCTATTTTTTCCTCTTTTTCCCTTTTAATTACTACTAATTAGCAAAGCATATTTGCGGAAAAGCTTTTCTCGAAATCGACATGTCTTACTTAATGGGATCGCAAAATGACTTGGGACTTTCATATACCGAAAAACGCAAAATGGCTTTAGCCCTCAAGAATATTCGCATGGTAATATATGCCTATTTTAAAATTATTACAATTTTCTTATAAATTTGTATTTTTAGAACGAGGAATACTTTCAAAGACCACCTTCAAATGCTCGATATAATAATGGCTCTAGATATGCTATACCGGCAGTAAATGATAGATTAACTAGCTCGGATTCTGTCATTCCTCTAATACCTGAAAGAAAATCATCAAATAATGAACAAGTATTGGATTGGATGAAAAATTATAATATACCACATCGACCTATACCAACACCTGGAATACCCGTTAATAGAAACAGTAATATTAGACCCTCAAGTTCAACTACAAGTAATTTATCAAATGCACCACTTAATACATCATCATCTCGATATCCATTAAGCCCTAGTAGCCCAAGAATATCAGACAATGATGTTAACTGGAAATTTGGTAGAAGAAGACCAACAGCTCCTACCCCAATTCTTACTCCAACAACAATGGTAAAACATATATATTTGTTTATAAATATAGAATACTAATTTATTTATTTGTTATAGGACCACCCTGTGCAACTTCCTCCTCAACGTGAACAACAGAGCATTCATGTTACAAGAGACTCTGATACTTTTCACAGTTTACATGTTACAGGAATGCATGATCCTCGTTTAATCAAGAATTCTATTCTAAGAAAATTAGGTTTAGAAGGTGGATGTGACAGATACCTATTTTATCATGAAAACGGCAAGCATTCAGGTAACAAAGAAATAAAGGGACAAAGAATTATATAAAGGGGAGTCCGTAGTAATCATTTATACACACTTATTTAGATACTGCTTTGAGCGATGGAGAACTATCTCATATATGTCAGATTTCAGACCATAGTTCTACCAACAGAATATTGGTCAAACCTGCAGATCATGCATCAGAACATTATAGGTCGTATTCTAAAGATGGAACAATTTGTTATGATTTTGCTACACAAGGAGGTTATCAAAGGTAAAAAATTTCATTATATGCACAAGGGGATATATAAATAAACTAATAGCCATATAATTAGATCAAATCTCCAACAACAGCAACAACAACAACAGCGTTATATTGGTCAATATGCCAGTAACCATAGTAGCGAATATGATTTAAGTCGTTCCCGTTATGATCTTTCTGCTAACCAGTATACTATTGCATCTCCATCAGAGGGTATGGAAGATAGTAGAGATGATAGCGGATACTTTGATAAAATTGGTAGAAATTCCCGTAAGCAATCTATGGATGCTGATGCTAGTGTTTGGTCAACTCACCCCCCTCCAGCCGTTGATGCAAATAATAGACCTCCTTTATGGGCTGTCACTCCTCCATCCCAAAGAAGTAGCACCTCATCCACTGATACACAAAAGCATTATTATCAACAGCAGTTACAACAACAAGCTCTCTGGCCTGTGCAAAGCACTTCGGATATGAGTCTAGCTTCTTTAGGTGAAGCAAGTACTGCGGTCAATTCTAATGAATTATGGCCAATCCATCAAGATATTCATCATCACCATCAACAAGAACAACCTTCTTTATGGGCTGTACCGCCTAAACAATATCCCGAAGAAACACTTACTACCTCTCAATCACTCTGGGCTATCCCTCCTTCAAACAATGTATCCGCTAATCCCTCTGTAAATCACTACCCGAATAACACTGCTACAAATAACACATTAACTTCGTCCGTCTCACTTTGGGCCGTTGCACCTTCCAATGTTTCTGCGCCCACACCATCTCCTTCTTTGTGGGCAATTGCACCTCAACAACAATTGAAAAAAGCCGAGTCAAGTCCAGTTGTTCCCACAACTACATCACCAGTGCAACAATTTGGATCTGAAAATCTCAATTTGCATCCTAGTATCTCAGCCAAAACATACATGAACTCGCCACCCAAAAAGAGAGGTGTTCAATTCACAATGTCATCTGAACAGGGTGAAGAACCCGAACCTGAGTCTGCTGCTAGTAATGGCAGTGCTCCTATCATCGAAGAAGGTGTGGAAAGTATTTCATTATCAGATCCACCTGCCGCGGGTCTTTCCATTGATACAGCACCCCCTTTACATCATCGTAATAGTACGCCCATTTCATCTCCTTCTGGAAATGACCACGACGATGGCAACTGGGCTGAACGTCCTTCTGTCGAAAAGCTTTACAAGGATATCGATAAATATTTACCTGGTCATGATTTGGATAAAGAAATTATTGTCGAACCCTCCATGGGGTCAACTCAAACCACTACTGCAACCCTTGTTACTGCTTTACCTCCTGGAAGAAGACTGCAGGGACATAAGAAATCTATTCGTAATGTCGCTCACGAAGCTCATCGCAACTGGAGAAATGCCGTCAATGTCATTAGAGCAAACAATCTGTTAAGAAGACGTAGCACTAAGATGTGGCATCGTACCGTAGAACAAGTCAAACCTGGTATGAATGCAAATATCCAGACAGATGATTTGAAGCCAAGCAAGAGTAAGTACACTAGTTCTAGATCGACAACACAGCATGATCTGACTTTTATTTATTAATTTAGAAACCAAAATCTTACAATGGATTCGTGGTGAATTGATCGGTAAAGGATCCTTTGGTAGAGTTTACCACGCATTGAATGTCGAGGCAGGAGAATGGATTGCTGTCAAACAAGTAGATTTACCTGTTACAAAAGCCGATTATGCCAATCCTCAATTGCTTGAAACTAAAGACTCCTTGTTCCGTGAGATTTCACTTTTAGAGGATTTGGATAACGAGTACATCGTGCAATATCTTGGCTACAATGTCGATCTTGAGGAAGGTCACATCAATATCTTTTTGGAGTATGTTCCTGGTGGAAGTATTGCTTCTTGTCTCGCAAAGACTGGTAAATTTGATGGACCTTTAGTTCAATTCTTTACTAGACAAATCTTAATGGGTCTCGCATATCTTCACAACCGTAATGTCCTGCACAGAGTAAGTTAATACATGCATACTCGCCTGCTGCCTGCTGCCTGCTAATATATTTTCTTTTAATCAATTAGGATATTAAAGCTGGTAACATCCTTTTGGATCAAAACGGTGTTTGTAAGATTACCGATTTTGGTTTGTCCAAATTGAGTGGACAAGATAAGGCGTACGACCCTCATTCAAATAACTCTGTCATGCGTGGTACTGTATTCTGGATGGCACCTGAGGTTGTAAAAGGCACCAATTATAATGCTAAAATTGATATTTGGAGTCTTGGCTGTACAGTGATCGAAATGCTCACAGGAAGCCATCCATGGCTCGACTTAAACATGCTAGCTGCATTATATAGTCTTGGTAAATATCAAGCACCCCCTATACCTGATCACTTGCCTGAAGCTGCCAAAAACTTTCTTAGTTTATGCTTCACCATGTAAGTTTGTTTGTTTATATAAGGTTAATTGTGTCGTACTGATCATATGCAAAACAATAGTAATCCGGAGGATCGACCTACTGCCGAACAGTTATTGACCCATCCATTCGTTCAACCAGATGCTTCATTTGAGTTCAAGGTAGATATCAATTATGCATGAATATATATTTAATACGGATACTCATACATTATATTATTTTAGAAATACATGAAGAATGCTGAAATTGAACGAAGAGCATCCAAAAGAATGCAACCTATTCCCGTAGAAAATTAAAAAGCACCCACCCGTTACACACATACACACACTCTACAATATAATGTTTTCCCGTACCTACAAAATAATCTCTCCCTTTTTTTAACCTAATGTATTCTCTCTTCATCTGTTAGATTTGACTTCTTTTCCTTTTTTTTTTTTTTTTTTTTTTTTTTAATAATAATAATAATAGTAATAATAATAATATCGTATATACAACAAAACGAAAAACAAAAAAGTAATAACGGAAAGGAAATGGACGGACCGAAAAAGGGCTGGTGTATCTGCTGGTGCGTGTGTGCAACAATAACAATAGGTGTGCGTTTTAAGTATAATACGGCTACCTAAACATGCCATTATACATGCTGTTGTGATTTACTCCTTCTACTCCTAATCGACCTCCTAGATGTCCACCATAAGGTTGGTTAACTCCTCCCATATAAGGGTACTGTTGCTGTTGCTGTTGCTGTTGTTGCTGCTGCTGGTAAAACATCATTTGTCGTTGTTGTTGTAATTCTGCTGCGCTACCCACGCCAGTACTATTGAAATAAGGTTGCTGTTGTGGGAAAGATTGTTGTTGATGCATTGAATTCGAATACATATTCTCCGCACTATATTGCTGCTGCTGATGATGATGACGCGCACCTCCATTCATCATTGACAACTGTTGCTGATGCTGTTGAGGGAAATACTGTGGCTGCTGGAACTCGTTGTCCATACCACCATGGCCTTTTTGTGACATTCCCCCACCACCTGGGGGAAAAAATGGTAACTGCTGCTGATGACCACCAAAACCATCCTGTAAACTACTATTACGATGATGTCCGTTATAGGAAGAAGGTAGTGAATGATGTCTCTGACGTCGATAATCGTGATTATTGTTCTCACCGTTAAACATTCCTTGCTGCTGTGGTAGTTGTTGATGTTGCATTAAATTACTATTGCTATTCCGGTGAAGCATAGACGGTAGATTTTTATGAGACTGGCGTCGATCCAGCATTGGTTGCTGTAACTGCTGGTGTTGCATTTGCTGCATTTGCTGAATTTGAGGTTGTTGATGTTGCTGGTGCTGTTGGTGTTGTTGATGCTGCTGATGTTGTTGATGCTGAAGATAGGATTGGTCTTCACCATACTTTTGGAGCTCATTATTGTAGTACTTCTTTCTCGATCTTCTGTTCCAGAAGTGTCGACCTTCTTTTTCCTCAGTGTGAAGACTTATATCGGATAACCAATTGCCTACTTGATGGTTTTTTTGCTGACGCCAATTGTCATTGTATGGGTATTGTTCTTCATTATGACTACTATGACCGGATGATAGGTACTGGCGAATGGAATTAAACATCGTATTTTTTTTTTCTCTATGGAATAAATATATATAAAAAAAAAGAAAGATAAAAGGAAAAATAATTGAGTTATAAATATTAGTCGGATTGTGTTGCACACCGGTAAAAAGCTACTAGTTTTCTAAATTTATGATAGACATCTCATCGTCAGCTGCCCCCGGATCGTTGACCAATTAACAAATTCTTGCTATTTAAGGCACTAACGACATATACCTCTGCTTTTTAATCTTACTTCAGGGCAATAGGCGCGTAGATATTACCAGCTTTGAATAAATCAAGAAATTGACTTTCAATAGCATAAAATTCTAAAGTGGCAATGTTTACATGTTCATTAAAAATGGGTCTGTTCTTTCTGTGTAACAATAAAAGCCAAAATAACTTGGGTTTCAATCAACCAGCATGACCAAAAAAATCTGTTAATAATTTACTTTGTGGGTCTGGCTGTCAATCCTTTTGTAAATAATAGATGAAACACTATTTTTATTATTCAATGATAAAACTAGCTTTTCCTGTCCACAGTGCCTTTTAGATCATCGAGTTAAAAAAGCCTCGTTTAGTATTTTAGAGATCTAATAAGCTTATTATGAGAGAAAGGGATGATATCTTTACATAAAAACATCTGGGAGATTAAATCCGGCAGATAATATCTAATAGTTTGTTTCTGCCTTCTGAAATATGACAATTACATCAGAGAGCTTTGGGAAATTTTGTCTCATATCAATTTTGCGATCTAATTTTATTGTTACACGTAATTGGAATCAATCTTCACATCAATTATTATATGCTAAATTTCAATATATACGGCATGATACTTTAGAGCTAATGTCGACCGTTGTTTTAACAAGTGACTGATCGCCCACCTTGACAAAAGTAGACAGGTTATGATGTAATGCAATCGTCTAGGTAATCTAACTAGCTCTATAAAATACGTCGTATTTATCTTTATGGGCTAATCTCTGTTTGGCATAAGTATCGTCATTGCGGAAGTTAATCACAGCAACATATGTGAAGCTTATTCCACGGCAGAACTGGACATGCTTTCATCTTTGAGCGACTCAAAAAATGAATTCTTAATTATGATACGAAAGCTTTACGCATACTAATAACTTTTTTTTTTATTATCATAAGAAAACTGCCTATATAAAGACGTTGTTCATTTTCTCGTGGATACTATACAACCTTGGTCAATATAAATTTGTAAAAAAATACAATCAACTTAAAAAAATATTGTGAAAGTCAAATGTGTCTTTTTCCTCTGCAACAAATTCCCCGTTAATGATCCCCCCTACTTTTACATAATCCGTGTGGATTAGGATTTCGACACGTTTATCACATCTAATGATGGCCGATTGAGCTTTTACATCCTCTTTGTTCATATTTTTTTCAACGTATTCCATTGTAATAGGTTCCAAATTGATATCCCTTCTTCTTGCTTTTACAGAGTAGTAATCGCGATCTCCATCGGACCATTGTATTTCCAAGAAACTCATATCGAATCCACGACAGCATAATAATTCAGGATGAATATATAACACTTTTAAGTGGCTCAACTGAGTCAAGTCGGTTTCCATCACTTTTGGGGGGTCCGTGTAACGATTTTTGCAACCACAAACAAGAGTTTCGATACGAGGCGAGTGCGTATTTAAAAGCTCCATTATTTCTTCTGATGGAAGCATATTTTGGAATTTAGCTACCGTGATGTTTTCTTGGGCTGTATTGGTCAAGCTGTTCTTTTTTTCTTTCGAGTGTAAACCGCTATCGATGCTGTTACCAACGCAGATACGGTAATAAGGATCATTCATTGAGTAGTAAAAAAAGCATTGAAGATTTGGACAGTTTGAAAATGCATATCGCAAGAAATTTACGGGTAAATCAGGGTTACTATTACACATAGTCACACTCAAATGGTGTATGATCTCTGGCCCAATGCTTGAGATAGATGTATCGGGCAATTTAATCTGTACTGTTCGATTTGATAGACGCACGTCAGTTTCTTCGTCGCTGTCTTCATCAGAGTCATTTTGCACATTTTCATTGATTTGGAGGTAATCATGATAACTCAATCCATATTCGACACATAAATCATCTTTTGTGTTTACCATTCCTTTGTGCCGTGGCCTAAAATCACTATAATCAGCCTTGCAATAAATCTGCTTATCTCCTTTAAATGCATTTAATAAGGTAAAGAAAATGGTGGCGTCAGATCCAGTATTGGTGGATGCTCTTTCGTAATATTTATCCGGATGCCAATGGACGCCAGCTTCTTCAATAGTGTTCATATTACGTAAAAAATTTAAAGCATTCTCATAACCAATATAGTCAACCCAGTCGTACAGATCATGTTCATACATATTCAAATTAAAAACATCCAAGTATGGAGACACATAATCAATAATATATCTGCTATAATATTTTGGAATAGAGGCGCCGGAAATCACCATTTTTTTTAAGCTGCATTTTACATTCTTTTCATTGCTCACTTCATTATCGAGTATCTCTTTAAAGATATCATCCGGCACTTTGTAGTCACTGTAATAATCTAATGAAACTAGAAGAGGGCAGGAAGCTTGAAGGTCTAGTGTTGTCAATGATTCATCACATTCGTTAGTCAAGGTCAAACATGTCAAACGCTTGAAATCATTTAACAACGTAATAACTTGACCAGAAATAAAACCAAAGCTGAAAACTGGATCGACAAATGCAACTTTTAGCGTTGTGATGGATGCTCGATACTTATAACAGACAGCGAATAGAAGGCTTAGAGGTTCCCTTCTATATGAAAATGGATTTTGATCAATTGGTTTGATTTTTTGTATTTTAAGTAAGGCCTTTTTGGAATCGGTTTCATAAATATACTGTAGATATATTTCGCCATTACAACTACGACTTAAATCTAGCTCCTGCAAGTTCGGTAGATATTCCAGTAGCTGAACCCAATCTTCCTTATCAAATCTGCAGTCATCCTCCTTTACCAAATTTTCATCAAGCTCTCTTGAATAATGGATAAATTCTTCCTTATCATTCCCGATGTTTAACTTCTTTGTGAATAGACCATACTGAAAACAATTATTTCTTTCGACTGCAGGCAGCTTTAACAGCTTTTTCGTCAGAAAGGTGTTATAAACCTTCAAGTCCAAGTTTTTATAAAAAGAGGCCATTGCTGTTTCTTTCCAGTCTTTGCAAACCAGGGCACATTGTAACATGTCATTTCTGCATAAATGCGTGTACACGAGGGTGAAAACTTCTGTTGGTATATTCGGCATGCTTATTGATTAATTAACAAAAGACGCGTTCTCCTCAAAAAATAAATAAATAATCTAACACGCCCAAAAGATGTTGACATCATTTTATAGCTTAAAACGTCACAGTAGCACTAATTTCCTTTGTGGACAGAATGTGTACACTCTACGATTGCTTTCCAACACAAGAAAACATAAATTTGAATATAGACACTTGAGTGCCATATATACTTTATTTACTATAAAGGAAGAATAAGGCTTTGTTGGTATGAATTGATATAGTTAAGTGCTTGTAAGTAACACCAACTTATTTTCTGGTATTTGAGCAATGTGAGTTATAGGAATTTCCTGCGCCATGCTTCAAACTCAAAAAAAAGTAATTAACACCTAAATTTAATTGAGCGAGATATCCAGATTAAACCAAATTGTTTATTCATTATAAGAAAAGGGAGGGGGGTATCATGCAGGCCAATATATTATTGACGAACATTCTCTGTTTTAACAACAACAAGTTTATCTTCAAAAGTTTCCTGGTTGATAGAAGATGTATCTGCAAGAGGTTCGTTGACGTATTTGATCCATGTATGACCTATGATGGCATAACCAAATACAAATACAAAGGCAATTAAAGGCACAATGAAAGAAATATTGACATTGGTATGGTCATGTACGACAGCTTGGATAGGAGGTAAACAAGCACCACCTGCTGTTCCCATAATAACTATTATTGAAAGAAAAAAGTAATGAGTTGGGAGTGTATATTAGAATAAGATAGATTATTAGTAGCTTACTAAAAGCAGAGCCACGTTTGTGATTTCTTCCCAAATCTTTGGTTCCCAATGAGAAAATGGTGGGGAAAATGATACTCTCAAAGAACATGAGAACTAATAAAGCATAGGTAGTACCGGGTGTTTTCATGGCAATGATAAAGACCATGGTAATGATGGCACCGAGTGAGAATGCAGCCAGCAAGTGTTCGGGACGAAACTTTTTCAAGAGACCAATACCTACAAATCGACCAATGGTAAAGCAACCCAAAGCAACCGATAACAAGATAGATCCCTTTGAATCAGAAATATGACCCACATCGCTTGCGTAAAATAAGAACATGGATGCAACACCAACTTGACCACCTACGTATAAAAATTGAGAGATGGCACCCAAAACCAAATGAGGAGAATATAAGGAAGCTCTGCGGACGATCTCACCGGTTTCTTTGGACTCGGCCAACATGACAGCTTCTTCATCAATTTCAGGGATATGCGCAAAACAAAATAAGACACCAATAAAGAAGACGCCACCCGCTACACCAACATAGGTCCATTTGACTGATTCTAAACTACCACCTACAACATCATCTTCAGATTCGCCACCAAAGAATGCAAAGGATGCAACAATAGGCGCAAGTACACTGGCAATACCGTTAAATGATTGAGCAATGTTAATACGCAAAGAAGCGTTCTTTCTGTCACCAACAATTGTAATATAAGAATTTGCGCCTAAATATAAAATGGATTTAGAGAAATAAGCAATATTATAAGAGTTAATGCCACTTACAAGTTTCCAATGTACAGATACCACAGGCAATAATAAAAAGAGAGCCTACAAATCCACCAAAGCTCAAGTAAACAGCAGAAGGATAGAAACAGAGTGCACCAATTACGTAAAGGAAAAGACCGAAAATAATGGTTTTCTTGTACCCAATCTTTTTACAAATGTAACTTGCACTGTTTATTAAAAGAAGTAAATAAATATTCAAAATGAAGGATATAGACATCATTAAACTAAACTTACGGTATACAAAAGACGAGGTAGGCACCGAAATAAGCGACTTGCATAAAAGTGGACATAGTTGTAGCTAATTTAATGTGAGTATATATATAAAAAAAAAACTAGCTATTGATAGTTTATCTACTTACAAATACCAAGAACATTTCTGAAATGTTTGTTTAAAGTATCGAGTAAACCATAACTAAAACCCCAAAGAAAGAATAAGGTAGTTACGAGCGCGGCCGGAATAAAATAGCTCGGTCTTTTCACAGCGCCATATTCTTCTTGGTTAATGGAAGAGACCGATTTCTTGTCTGAGTGTAGCATGTTTGTGTGTTTTGATTTGTAAGTAATTAAATAAAAATCGTTGGAAAGGAAGAGCCCCCTATTTATACTCTGTCAATGTAAACTTCCCCGCATTTTACCTTTTGTTCCTTTGTATGCTGTGCAACCTACTGAATATAGAACTATTTTGACCTTGTGACCTCTTGATCCCGCAAATTAGAGCAGATCTAACGTTCATTCCCTTCCGATATACCTCATATAATAGCCTTATTTAAGCTGCCATTGCCTGCCTCTAGTCTCCCGAAACAAAAGATCGACTCATAATCAAGACATGCAGACTTTCAGTTGGACTTTAGTAAATTAAAAATGAGTAAGCATTTTAACTTAAACATGCAGAGAAATAAAGTGATGTATGATGACGGGATTCTATAAGAAAAAAAAATTCCGTGAAATACCAGCACTTTTTTTTTTTACAGCTGTCGCTTCATTCTCTCTAGTAAACCTTTCCTTTATAGAACCGATACTTGGGTTCTTTTTTTTAAGGTTCCCGTTGGATTGTGTGTGAAAATCCTGGGCTAGAAGATCAGATTATAGAGTAGAGTCAGATCTGGGTAGAAAAATATGCACACAAATTTAGCCGCGGATTCTATTCACCCGTCAGATCTGCCTCAAAAAGAGGAGATCCCTTATCACTCATTGGTTCTTCTTCTTTCGCTTTCCTTTCTCACACGGCTTTGTTCTTTTTTAAACATCTTACCCAACAATAGATCCTGGCTAAAATAGTCCAGGTACCTTCCACACTTTCACCCTATCGTATGAATCCGGATATGGATAAGATAGAATGGGATGTCTTCATTCAACCCTTGTCATACCACAGAGCAAATAAAAGAAGAAAATGAAACGCGTTATACGCCACAAGTATCTAGGCTACATCCTGCGCTTATAATATCACTATATGCATGTACTCTGAGCACTCTTTATGTATAAACACACAGTCAGAACATTAAACGATGTCACAGCATGAGCTAAATGATGGATTTATATACTAGACTGCAGCTAAACCGGACGCCACAAGCAGGATAAAAGTGGCTAAATATTCTACGTTTATTGTTATCCTACTTGGTAACTATGTTCTCCAGACATTTCTATGTATGTGAATACAGTGCAAGAGTATCAAAAACTGTCACGGTATGGAACATATGACGGAGAAATATATTGCAATACAGATTAACAGGCACAAAATATGTTGGGCATATGGAACAACAATGAGCAGTGATCTTACCCCACTCAACTGTCATATTGACCTTCCAAAATGGGTTAGACTGAAAAGACGACACGTTTTTTTTTTTCTTTTTTTTTTTTTACTTTCAAACATGGTTCTTTGGTGATGTGAATGGGAAATACAGGCCACATGCATATCAATTCAAATACTCATAGAAGGGGGATGATACGTGTTTTACAAGTGAGTATATTTGTTGTTGCTTTTATGTTTAAATTTGAAATCCGTAGAGGACTGCTGTTATCTACTATCATGTGAGACCCAAACTTGAGCTCCTTAATTGTTCAAAAAAAAAAATTACCTTATTTTCTCTTAAAATAACCCTACTTTTTTTTTTTTTTAAACACACAAAGTTCTTGGCGCTCTACTTATAATGTCGAAAGCTATAGCCCTTTCTCCTCACAGTCCCGAATATAAGGGAATCTCGGCACTAAACATCATTTACGAGGCTGGTAATGCAACCAAAAAAAAAAAAAAAAAAAAAAAGTTCCCTCTTGACAAAAGACTGATGACGACATTTAAACTTTTTTATTACAAGGCCTCGACCGTGATAGTCGACCTATTTTAGTTTTGTGTGCAGATAATTTGCCCAATCCAGATATTTATGACTATGATTTGATTTTATCGTAAGAGAGAGAGAGAGAGCTTGATATGAAGGGAAATTGCATAATTTTTTTTAATTGTTTTCTATATCTGTTTAGGTTTATTATGGGCAGACTGTATGTATTAAGAGGCCTTATTAGTATGAAAAAGAAAATTAATTAGCTATATAGTGATGAATTTGTGGAGAATGATTATGTGATGGTATTCTTTGCTTCGCCTGCTCGATACTCACCTGGCTGGTTCTGGTTATTAAGAGCTTACAGATCCTTAGACCGAAAGTTCGTCACACATTTCATATTTATTTTTCGTGTATTCTAACTTATCTGTACAATTAGGTACAAGAAGAATTTGAAAGCACTTTACGTTGTTCATTTATCAAGAACTTACCGATTTGTATTTGACCTTGCCAATAAAATCATCAGGTAAAAAGAAAAACAAAAAACCTAATACAAAGAGATAGAGAGTAACACATGATGTAGCCCAAAATTTGCTCGTAAATTACGCTATGTTTCAAATCTCCAGCTTTTAAAGAGCAGCATTGAATTAGCCCCTCAATTTATACCTCAACGTGTCATTGATCATGATCGCCAATTACCCACGATTCAGCAACATGTAGAGCAACAGCAGATACAGCGTCAAAGGAGACCATTGCCTTCTTTAGCCTTTGGCAAGTCCTTGGAGGATTTGGCCGCGCTGGAAGGCAATACCTCTGCTGATTTCGTGCCCAAGTTTGTCGTTCAAATCGTCAACCACATTAAAGAACACGGTAATTTTATATTTTTATATATGTATACAACAAGATGTTGTATGTTCTCATGTTTTCCATTCAACATAAAGGGCTTGATAAGGAAGGTATTTTCAGAAAGTCACCATCGAGTGAAGAATTACAATCTGTCAAGGCTGCCTTTAATAACGGTAAAGAAAAATAATGTGGTATAACTTGGCGTTTTTATTCATTTATCTATTGCGTAGGCATGAAGGTGGATCTTTCACAACATGACATTGATGTCTCTGCCGCTTTATTGAAAGTCTTTATCCGAGAACTTCCTGTCCCATTAATTGGGCTGAAGCTGAGCGAAGCCATGGGAGCATTACCAGGTAAAAATAAGACCTAATATTATCAGTATAACCCTGACCCTAACCCTTTAAAAAAAAAATAGATGCTAGTATTTGCACAAGTGACACAATCCAAAAGGTGAAATCGAAATTGGCGTTACATTATGCAGAAAAGCCCAACCATCTTGGGTTATTAAAATACATTTGTCAATTCTTGAGGTTGGTCTCTGAACATGCAAACCGAAATCGAATGAATACACATAATTTATCGGTAGTGTTCACACCCAACATGATTCGAGCTGAAGAAGTGGCATCCGCTGCTTACATAAATGTGCCTGATACACAACAATCGGCTTTGGCAGATGCCGCTGTCTATTTAAAGCAAATGAACCAAGGCATGGTTCTTGTTCAATTATTGATTACTAAACACGACGAGATATTTTAAGTTAAATAATAAAAAAAAACCCAATTGTTCTTTATTATGTGTGTGTATATATGTGTGAATAAAAATGCGTAGAAAAGCAAAAGAAAAAAAAAAAGTTCCTTTAAAAGATTTTAGTTAGAAACAGGCTTGTGGATCATGGCCTCTCTTCCAGGACCAACACCAATCCATTCAACAGGAACTTCAGTTTCCTTTTCAATGAAGGCAATATACTTCTTTGCGTTTTCGGGAAGATCTTCATACTTGGTAACCTTGGAAATGTCAGTCATCCAACCATCCAATTCGACGTATTCAACCTCGACCTTGGACAAAAGTTCAAGACAAGCAGGGAAAGATTCCAACTTCTTGCCATCCAAATGGTAGGCAACAGCAACCTTGATCTTGGGTAATTGATCAAGAATATCAAGCTTGGTCAAGTTGAAGCTGGTATAACCGTTGACCATATGAGAGTACTTGACAACTACAAGATCTAACCAACCACAACGACGCTTACGACCGGTGGTGACACCAACCTCGAAACCAACAGTTTGGAGATGTTCACCGATGCTGTTTAATTGTTCAGAGGGGAAAGGACCGCCACCGACACGAGTACAGTAGGCCTTAACAACACCAATGATGTTGGTGATCTTGTTGACGGGGACACCGAGACCAGTAGCAACACCACCGATGGAGGTGTTGGAAGAGGTAACGTAAGGATAAGTACCGAAATCGATATCGAGCATTAAGGCATTAGCACCTTCGACGAGGACACGCTTACCGGCCTTAATTTGTTGATGAAGATAAGGAACGGTATCAATGACATAGGGACGAACGCGTTCAGCGAGTTCCTTGTAACGGGCAAGTTCAGCCTCAACATCATATTCAAAGTTACCATAACGCTTACGCTTGTTTTCGACCATGGTCTTGAAACGAGCAGTAAATTCGTCAAAGTCATAGAGATGATGAACACGGATACCAGAACGAGTAGCCTTGGAAGAATAAGTGGGTCCAATACCCTTACCGGTAGTACCGATACTGCCACGACCCAACTCAATTTCCTTGAATCCATCCACCATTTGGTGGAGATCAAAAACAAGATGAGCGCGGTCGGAAAGAAGAAGACGACCCTCGCAGTTAAGGCCTGGTTAAAAAAAAAAAATTTTTTTTGGTTATAAATACAAATTTTTTTTTGTTTTTTAATTTTTTTCCTTTTTAATTTTTTTCCCACTCTCTCTACTTTACCCTTAGCTTCAAGTTTGGCCTTTTCTTCAAAGAAAGAAGGCAAATGAACAACAACACCGTTACCAATCAAAGCAACACAGTTGGGATTGATTAAGCCTTAAATAAAAATGACAGTTGGTTAATACAATAAACAATACTTGGAGAAGAGAAATACTATACCAGAAGGCAACATGTGGAAATCGTACTTGATATCATTGACAACAATAGTGTGGCCAGCGTTGTTACCACCCTGTCAAGAAGAAAAAATAAACTGTTATTACGACGCCATGCTTTTTATGGCTCAAATGCAACAAATACCTGACAACGAGCACAGATTTCTGCTTCGGCACAAAGGATGTCAGACAACTTGCCTTTACCCTCATCACCCCATTGTGCACCAAGCACAACAGACAAACGACCCTTTTGCAACATAGACATTATGATTTAGAATGAAGATAACCAACACGAACATAAGCTCAAAACCCTTCCACTCCTTTTAAAGGCTTTGAGAAAAAAAAAAAATTAAGTGACAGCCTTTTTCTTTCGGATGGACCGGGATGGGAGTCATCTTTTCTCTCATATAAATTTTTTCTTACATGGTCTTTTTATTGGGCAAGAGTTAATCTGCACCATCTCCTGAGTTTTTATTGTTTTTTTTAAATACAATTTTTTATTATATGATAAATTTACGAAAATTTTATCGTGAAGATTTAGCTTCTCTAGTGGTTTTTTCTTGTTCCTTTCTGAAATAAGTCTTTCTACGTTCTTTCTCCTTGATTTCGGTTGTTTCGGCAATCTTGGCCTTCTTCTTAGCAAGCACCTCACGTTTCTCCGTGCTCTTGATCTTTCTCTTGCGACTCTTTTCGTTGCGGAGTGTGTTCAATTGTTGCATAAGTGTCACAATCTTCTTTTCCTCAGGCTCAAGAACAACCGCTCGTTTGTTCAAGTACGATTGCTTTTTACTCTTGGTTGCATTCTTGGGCTTATTCGCAAAGGGTAATTCCGATTGAATTGACTTGGGGACCTTTAAAGTATTGAAACGACGTTCCTTTCTTTCAATAGGCTACACAAAAAAATTATTAGTTTCCATGTCCCGGATAATAGATAGAACTTAAACTATTTACCTTGTAGATAGAATCCACCTTTTGGGGTGCATGTAAGCTCAAATCCTTTCTGACTTGACCAGTAAGTCTCATACCTTGCCATTTCTGCTTGGATGACAACAGCAATGATGTGACGGGGTTATAGAATTTACGAGGCTTAATAGGATACCATGCTCTCAAAAACACAATATCACTCATCAAAATCTTATCTTCAAAAGTGGCACGGAAGTTTCCTTCGGGCTTGGGTAAGGCCTTCTTCACTTGACCACGAATACCAGACACAGTACGGATATTGGCTCCCTCGAACTTGGCTACTTCCAGTGACGATGTAAACATGTCCTTGATGAAGGCTGTGTTCTTGTATACCTTGGTAGGGTGACCTGTCAATTTCAACTTCTTGACAATATCAGAAGATTGACTGATATCCACAACCACACCCGTAGCACTAATACGGAAAGATGTCTATACAACAATATATACAGTTAGAATAAATTATACACACACACATAAATATACATGTAATACTTACAGCTCTGCTGTCAGCCACATTTTGAACGGCACAGAAACCAGTGTTGGGAGTATGAACAGGACCGTAAAAGGTAGCGAGACAATGCATATGCTCTGGTGAATATTTGAGCATACGGTTACGTGTACCGTCATTGAGGGAATAAATGGGAATACTCTGGAAACGTCTCCAACCCATGGAAAAGATGAGGGGATCATTGGTCTTTAAGATTCTAGGATGCCAACGATGACGCTTGATTCTAACTTGAACCCACCCAAATTGATCTTCAGTGGCCAAGAGACCACCCACAAGTACAGGATAAGTAGGGTCGAAATTCTCGACAAATTCACAAGGCATATCCTTAATGAGGAGACGCACATAGCTACCGGGGCGATAACCTTCGACCAAAGCTCTTGTATGAGGATCATCATTCTCAAACTCTTCACGATTGGTCTGAAGTTGTTGTTCAATCTCGGATTTCTTTTGCTCATAAAAGTCCATCTTGGGTGTATCTTCATCATCACCAAATTCTTCAAAGTACTTTTTACGGATTTCTTCTTTACGCTTAGCCATCTTTTCGCGTTCAACCATTTGAGGATCACGAATCATGGCGTCTTTATCACGCTTACTAGAGGATTTCTTTTCGGTTCCTTCAGCTTCATCACCCTCTTCTTCAGCTTCGAGATCTTCAAATTCTCCTTCTTCCTCTTCCTCTTCTTCAGCGGCAAAAGCACTTTCGCCGTTGGCTGCATCAGCATCACCCGTAATAAAACGGTTTCTAATGGAGTCCAAGGTTTCCTCTTCATTCCATTCCTCTAATTCCTCAAAATCAATAGGATCACGACTACTATCCACAATGTTGGTGTCCTTGACAGTCTCGCGATTTAACTTGAAAAATTCTTCTTCTTCATCCTCGGCCTCTTCCTCATCTTCCTCGTCATCACCGTAGTTACCGGCAACGATATCTTCAGGTGAAAGATCAGTTTGGTTATAAATAAGTGACATCAAATTGGTACGCTTTTGAGAGGCAAACATTTCACTGGCCTTTTCCTTGAGATTAGCTTTCCAACGAAGTTCACCCGCAAGGTCTGCGTCTGTCTTCTTTTGTCGACCATCGACAAGGACCATATCCTCTTCCTCGTCCTCTTCTCCCAAATCACTGTCACTATCTGCAAATTCAAATTCGGGTTCATCGGCATCTGCAGCATCCTCCTTCTCACCCTTCTTGGGAATATTTCTAGTGTCGAATTTACTCAAAGCGTTACCACGACGAGGAGCATCTTCTTCCTCATCATCATCGTCATCTTCTCCTTCGTCCATGAGATCATCCTCTTCCTCATCATCCTCATCATCCTCATCATCATCCTCTTCTTGTTCAGTACCAAAGACAGCACGTCTACGTGTTCTACCGGATTCATCATCTTCCAAGGCCTCAGTGATATCTGAAGCCTTGACAGGCGTGGAATTAGAAAAGATACGAAGTTCGGAATCAGCTAATTGAGAAGCCAAGGTATCTGTAGCATCCTGCAAGTTCATAACCAATTTCTCACCGGTACCATGAGGAATGATTTCCTCAGGTTCATTGTCATTATCGACTTGCATGGGCTCACCATCTTCGCCTTGAAGATCAGCAGGAGCATAAGCGGATTTCTTGGTGAAATGACCGGGTACGTTAATATAGACGGCATCCTTATCATACATGACACCACCAACATCAGACATGGGAGCGTAAATGAGCTTGTTCTTTTCGTCGAGCTTCTTTCTGACTTTATCGGGTAAAGGACAAGGATCGGGCAAGACGGAGACGTCAGCGAGATAATGATCACCGGCACCGGGAATATGAACACGCATATTGGGCTTGAGATTGGTTCCACGTAAATAACCGTACAAGGTCACGGTACGATCACAATTGGGTTGGCGATGCACGAGTTCGGGGTCGGTCAAGTCTTCAATACGATCTGCAACCACGTAAGGATGCGTGTTTCTCCAGAGAAGAGGTCTGAATTTCATGACGGAAATGAAACGAGCTAAATTCTGGATCTCCATGTTGGGATACTTACCATTAATGATACCTGATAAATAAAAGAGTTTGGCACCCTGATAAATTTCGGTCCAGAAACGGTTCTTCAATCTTTTCTTGGTTGTCTTTAAGGTTTTGTTGTTACGGAACTTGTCCAAATGTGTCAACACGCCCATGACTTTGGGGAAACCGTGCGATTGCAAAATATTCAAGAACTCGAATGTTTCCTATATTCATTGACATTCATTAATTCAACTTTTCACTATTTCTCTGTCTCTTCCATTTCCACACTTACCATTTCAAAACCGAAACTGGCATCAATCATCAACAAGACAAGATCGGCCACTTTGGCGACATCAATCATGGAGTTCATATCATTGTTACATTCCATAAATGTCAAACGTCTCTTTTTACCACTGACGACAGTGATAGGGCCCTTGATGTCTGTCAAGTTGTGCTTTGTATAACGCTTTACTAAAGAACGAATGAGTGTTGATTTACCCGTCTAATGAAAAGAATAAGTATATTTATAAAACGGTAAAGAAGGGGCACTTACACCAGGAGGACCAACAACGGCAATAACGACGGGAGGCGATTCGATGGGTGTACGATCAACCATGGGGACATGAAGTTTCTTTTCACCTAAATCGTTATTTCGACGCACATTCTTTTCGGCTTTGCCAGCACTATTGAAAGTGAAAGCCTTGGGATTACTGGATTTCTTTGCATTCGAAAACTTGTTTTCTTGTTTGCGTTCGACTTTCTTGCCTCCCTTCTTTTTAATATGGGGTTTTTGCGTTTTCTCGTCCATCGCAGTTTGTCGTATAATGAAAGGATCTACTTTAAAAAACGTCAAAAAAAAAAGTCAATTTTTTTTTCTATTCTTTTTTTTTTCGAAAAGACAGTCATGATTACCGGATTAGGTACAGACATTGCATTAAGAGCTTATTTATTTTTTAACTCTTGTGTGCCTGTAGTTCCCTTTCCATGTGTTAGAAAACGATGTGCAGTAATCCGTTGTTGAGCCCTGTGTCACTGTTGATTTAATGATCCACCTTATAAAAAGATACATGTCAATGATGAAAAAAAAAATGGTAGACTCAGGGCATGTCAATACAATCATTCATGTTAAGCCACATTTGCAGTATAATGCTCATTATGAATGTTTCTCTCCAATCCTGACTGCTTGCCCGTTGTACCTTTGGACATGGAAAAAACAGGTAGAATGTCCAAAAAAGGAGTGTGACTATCTTTCGTGGGTTGAAAACTAAGCCATCATGTATGCATTCTGCCCCCTTCTCTCTTACAAAACTCTCTGGGTCACTCTTTTCATGTAATTTTTGCATGTGAAAAAAAAAAATAGGCGGGGGAGGAGTTTATTTTTGTTTATTTTTTCCCCACACACACTTTTTTTGTTTTTGCTTTAATAAACTCATTGAACATACGAGATGGTAAATACAAGGAAAAATAGACTATTACCAGTGTGGGTGTTCAAGTTGGTTGGATTTTCTTCTTTAGCTACAGCACTGATAGGTGTTGCAATTTATTTATTTAAAAAGTATCCGCCACGTCGTAAACTAACGAGAGAACCAGCAGAGGTAAAAACAAGTTATTTTAGACAAAAGTAGGTCTTTATTAAACCTAGCGACAGAACACATCGGAGCATGTGCCCATTGCAACACAGAAAAGTAGTTGGAGTAAAGGGTTTTTTGGCGTTCGGAAGAATAAGAAAAAGATGACAATTTCCTTAAAGAATGTAAAATGAATGGCTCCCTTTTTTTTATATAAATGATATATTAACCTTCTTTTTTCTGACAGACGGTGCTATGGAACCCTTCGCCCGATGTGAATACACCCATGTACGCCTTCCAAGAAAACAGTATTCAGATCCTAACACGACTTTCGTGTCTATACGATATTTATGTGATTGTGCATGTAAATTCAGAGGAGGAAAAAGGTGACATCCAACGTCTATTAGAGAACGCATCATCCACCGATGGATTATTCGTGGATGGCGTAGATAACAGAAAGATCATCTTTTGCTCGGAGGAAGAAGGCAAAATACATATCATTCGACATATTGAACCCCACATGCATGTCGAAGGAGGTTGGGAAAAGGACGATGGAGAGGATATCATTCAAAAGTTAAAACCCTTTGTGTCCAAATTGATTTGGATTCAAAAGAGAAAGGATGCTCCTAGCCATCCTAATGTTGAATTGGCTGATTTATTAATGCATACCTCCATCGCTCAGCAAGTAAAAGATGCTTAATCCCTACTGTCGTACACACTACTTGCCTTATACAGATGACAAAATAAACATTTAATAATTATTTAAAGGCTGGAAAAAAAACCTTTTTTACTCTTTACCTTTCTTCATATCTTATTATTATGATAACTGCTATACTTTTATTCTATTTATTTACACTGACACTAGCTCAGGACTTGATACGCTTACCCATCCTACAACAATCTCACCACGAACAACTCTCTAAACGTGACGTGATTCCAGCGATACCTCTTTACAATGCCAATGCTCGGGAATATCTAGTCCAGATAGGCATCGGCACACCACCACAACTATTTAACGTCACATTGGACACCGGAAGGTAAATACATATATAAAACAAGACAAAAAAATCAGTGTGGAGATACTCAAGACAAGTATAAAATAGCTCGGATTTATGGGTGCCTTCTTCCAAATGTCCAGCCACGACGTGTCCTTATTCAAGATTCATTGAAAAGGATTCAAAAACACTGAACAGCACCAACAAGAATTTTCAGGTACAATACGGGAGCGGATCAGCCCAAGGAAAAGTCGTGTATGATTCTGTGACGATCAATGGTAACTTGACATCAACGCATCAAATAATGGGATTGGCGAATACCACACAAGGTATGTCGGGACCTTCCTCTGCATCCAATGAAAAGGCGAGTGGGATTCTAGGCCTGGGATTTGCTGGATTGATGCGAGATCCCCAAGGAGATGCACCGTTTATTCTCAACCTGTTGAATAACAATATTATCAAGGAACCCGTGTTTTCCATTTATTTAAACAAGCAAGGGGATTACGGTTATACAGGAGAGATTGTCATTGGCGGGTATGAGACAAGTCGGTTTACAGGTCAATTGAGCTTTTTACCGGTAGTAACTTATGGTAGTACGGGTAAAGCCAATCTTGGAGAAACAGGAAGCGCAGAGAATGGAGTGAATAAATATTGGACCATTCCTGGACAAGCAATAGCAGCTTATGATGTAAACGGCACTCAAGTATATGAAACAAGATTAGATCAATTGGAACCCGTGATACTTGACACAGGCACCACATTATCCTATCTGCCCCAAGCCATGGTGACGAGCTTATTAGATTTGGTAACGACGAATTATACCGCATTGGCTTTAAACAGTGGGACAATTCAAGCATACCAAGTGAACTGTCAAGACTTCACACGTCAACATCTTTGGTTTGACTTTCAGTTCTCTCCGTCTACCCTTACATTCTCAAATGATCCTGTAAAGATTCGTGTACCCTTAAATGAAATGGTGCTACCTCAAGATACAAACACGATGGAGACAGCCACGACATGTCTGTTTGGAATCGCACCTATTTCTACCAGTTTTTTAAATTCGGTGGGGTCTGGGTGGATTCTGGGACAAACGGTCCTCAGAAGTGCTTATGTGGTACACGACATGTTGGGTTTACAAGTGGGGATTGGAGCTGCTGCGAATGGATATCATTCACCCACCATGGACGGTGAGGAATCGAACGGTGTTTGTGTTACACCAATTACGTTCTTTCTCTCCGCTTTCTTCTCTTTGTTCACTTATTTAGCAATCATCATGACTGAATAAAAAATAAAATAAACACATGATGTTATGCAGAGCCTGTTAGTTTCTTTTCAATCAACGATGTCATCTTGAGTGTCTATAAATAAAGCAGGTCTTGCTATACTAGTTTTGAAACCACAGCTCTGCTGACCTCCACTATCTCGACATGAGCTGGAGAATGCCATGTCACCGTTTGTCGACATGCTTATACACACGCACACGCATACACGCTTATACAATAAAAAGAAGCAGGCAAGATACAAGCAGGTAGTTAGCATAACAATTACTTGACCCATACTTGTATAGAGTGAGTCTGGACTTGCATGGATGTTTTATGCGTGGTCATTCATCATAAACGGGTAAATCACAGATTTTTTTTTTCTTCTATTTTTCCGAGCCATGGATATTGTTTTTAACTATAAACGTGCTCATTAAGATAATTTATGAGTTTTAAAAAAAAGTATAAATAAAATAGCCACATATATATCGAGCTTTAATAACAATAACAAAAAAAAATTTCTTGGCAGTGATGATTGGGTAATGAAATAAGAGAGCAACTCAGCAAAAGAGGAGTTCGTCATGATGTACATTGTTTTACTTTCCCCGCTCAGTCAAAAAATAGTATAAAAAGGTGTGGCTTCTTAACCGTTTTAATTTCTTCTCTTTTAGTGTCGTACCTTTTTTTTTTATTTTATTTTTTTTTCTTCTCTTTAGAAATGTATATTAGTAGAGCTGTTGTGTTTATAAGCGTATTGATATTTACAGTCAATGCACAAACAATAAGATTACCTATCAGTCGACAACGTCGTGCAGACCCAATGATATCAGCTATTCAAAAGCGAAATGCAGGCTTAACAAAGAGAGACCCATTTTTGGCTTCATTATATAACGACCAAGGTTCACAATACTTGGTCGAAGTCAGTGTAGGTACACCTGCGCAAACCTTTGCGGTTACACTGGATACTGGAAGGTACACACCTATAATGACTTGCCAAGAGAAAAAAAAATTAATCTTTTATTATTATAAAGTGCTGATTTATGGATTCCGGGTTCATCTTGTCCTACCAGTGAGTGTCCCAACGGCGTGTTTAACGAGGCTTCCTCAAGTACATTTAAAAACCTCAACAAATTATTCACCTTGACGTATGGTATTGGTAGTGTGAATGGAACGTATGTCACAGATTCAGTCTCCATTTCTGGTGGAACTGTCCAAAACCAACAATTCGGTTTAGCATCCGATACAAAACAGATCCTAACCAACCCAAACACGATATCCGCTTCCCAGATAGCAAACACATCAAACAAAAACATCAAACAATTAGCAGCAACAAAGGATACAAGCCCCAAGGCAAATGGTATTCTTGGCCTAGGTTTCCCTAAATTAACTGCTGCCTCCAGTAAAGGTCAAGGTGTCTATAACCCTTTTGTATTCAACTTGGCTCAACAAAATTTGATTGCCGATCCCATCTTTTCCATTTATACCAACTCGGCCTCCAAAACAGGTTGGGTAGGCGAAATCATCTTTGGCGGCGTGGATGAATCCAAATATACAGGCAATATCACCTACATGCCCGTTGTCTCTCTCAGCTCCACCAAAACCAGCAGCAGTACAAATAAAAAGCGTGCATTGGATGTCATTAGTGGTAGTAACTATTACTGGATGGTCAATGGTCAAGGTGTCTCTGTGCAAGATTCAGAGGATTCCTCGCGTAACTTAGACCTCAAGTTCTCTTCACCTGGTGCTTTCATCTTGGATACCGGTACCACCTTAACTTATCTCCCTACAGCCATGGCTCAACAAGTACTCGTGGCCGCCGTGGGCGCAAACGGCTATACCACCGATACCAGCTCAGGTACCTATCTCGTCGATTGTCAAGCTGTTTCCACCACAACTCAATTTGTCTTGGATATGTCCGTCTCCAGTGCGGCCGATGCAGCTCCCATCACCTTGTCGGTTCCCATGAGTCAACTCTTTATCCCACTTGACAGTACATCTATTGAAACCGCTACGCAGTGCTTGTTTGGTATTGCACCAAGCGATAGTGTGGGTGTTGGAAGTAACATGTACTTGATTGGCGATTCCGTATTGCGCTCTGCTTACATGGTGTTTGATATGGCCAACAATCGTGTGGGTATTGCTACCGCCGTGGGTGCCACAGGAAGTAGTGTCGATGGTGTATCTGCCCCTTTAGATAGCAGTGCTTTAAAAGCAACACCCAGCTTGTACCTCACCGTAGTCCTCCTTTTGGCTGTATTTACTCTTTAAATGTATACATATAATTATACCTGTTTGTTCTTTTTGTAAATAATAATAAAAAAATACATGTAATACACGCATACATACGTCAATAATTTGTCACACTTAACTATAACGTCACTGTTATCAGTGATATCATGAATATAGGGAGGCTAAAAAAAAAAAAAGAGGACAAACGACCTATAATGAACCTTAAGGTTAGTTTACTTTTTGTAAAGAGGGTGACTAATTTTAATACATGACATGATGGCGTAGTGGCAGTTCATTGTTGGACAGCTTTGGGTTGCACGAAAAAACTTGAGCCACATAATATTTCACTACAGTAAGTAATCTGTATCGGGAAATAAGCCAGTCGCTACTGTCAAATGTAACTCATTGTTAGCAACCTACCTCATGTCATTAGCTGTGCGTGAGTAAATCTTGGTAAAGCAATACTCAATCTGATAGGCCGGAACGATAGATTATTATTAGATTGCGAGCATAAACCTTATACTTTTGTTGCTTCTGTTAATAGGTCAGTGATCTTTGCCATGAGAACCAAACAATGCTCGAACATATATCCTAAATGTTTATGAAATGTTTCAGCTATTGCTGTCTTGTCGGGATTCTGGATTCTACTTTTTCTATTCTTTTAATGCTGTGCTGTTCGGCTGAAAAAAACTTCATTGAACCGGTATAATGGGCATCCTTTGAATATTGGACAATAGGATGAACTTCTTTGTTGCGTAGGATGCACATCTTTGTTGAATCACAGTATAAAATGGGGGGAAGGGCAAGCGGGGAGATGATGTACCTCAGATATGCAAGTCAATGAGTGTTACACAGAGTCATACCCCCTCGAGAAATTTGAAGAAGGAATGTTTACTGGATTAACAATTTTGTAAACTGTCAGAAATGTAACAAAAAAAGAAGAAAATACATATTACTACTTTATATATTAAATAACTGCATTCAATTAAAATGGGATAGCCCGTGGGTGCTGTTTATCCTTAAAATTAAAAAAGAAGAATCTTTTTTTGTTATTGGATATAAATAGTTGTCAAAAAGTGCTGGAGCGGAGATGGGTTGTTATATGAACCCGCCAAGAGAAAGAGACCCCAATGAAGAGATCGACCAGAAGCAAGTCTAGACTGTAAAAGGGAAAAATCATTGGAAATGAGCACTTTTTGACATTGGGTAAGACAAAGGGGTGGATGTTTGTTTTTTTAAACTTTTCCCATTATTTTAGTTTAATTGCGTTAAAAACAGAGAATTTTTATAAGAAAAATATGTGTGTAACGGATCCCATGTCTCGATCCTTTTTTATATAGCTTGTTTGGAACTCCCTTCTTTTTTTTTTTCTATATAAATACATCTACCTTTTTTTTTATTTCTTTTAATTACTCCTAGCATCTTTTTTTTTTTTGGTGAAATGGTTTCGATCATTGTATCTTATTCATCCCTACTACTGTTATCGACCGCAGTTGCCTACGTCATACCTAACAATGACTTTATCCGATTGCCTCTCACCCGACACACACATTTAACCAAACGAGCAGGCTCGGAAGGTTACAAATTGTACAATGCCGATCGAACCGAATATCTCACCAAGATCTACATCGGTACACCCCCACAAGAATTTCAAGTCTCTGTTGACACCGGAAGGTAAAATATATATTTAAAAATACACTAGCAAAAAAAAAGTAGACTATTGAAAGATAATTAAAATAACGTCATACCTTTTAAATTAGTGCAGATACCTGGGTGCCTTGGTCTTCTTGTGCTTCAAATGAATGCCCTTATGCCCGATTTGATTCGTCTAAGAGTAGTACATTTCAAAGCATGAATTTATCTTTTGCATTAACCTACGGTCAGGGCAGTATCCATGGGGAATATGCCAAGGATAAAATCAGTTTATCACCTACATCCAAATTAAGCATCTCACAGACATTCGGCTTAACCAAGTCAGCCAAAGATATTATCACTCAAGGTGTGAAAATGACCTCCAATGGCATTTTGGGTTTGGGATTTCCCGCATTGACCGCCAACAGTGATACGGTAGAAGCCTATAATCCATTTGTGTTTCAACTAGCACAAGAAAACATGATTTCAAATCCGGTTTTTTGTATTTCATTGAATATCGGAGATGGGTGGAGCAGTGAATTGACGATTGGTGGTGTGGATGAGACACGGTACAAAGGAGAGATTTCCTATGTACCTGTAGAAAAGAATACAAACCCAAAGACACAGGAATTAGATTATACTTTCTGGTCTGTACAATTGGAATCTATCGGTGTGGAGAATGGCACAAAAGAACAAGTCAAGTCCAACGTGATTTTGGATACAGGCACGACACTCTCGTACCTGACAAAGACATTGGTCGATCGTATTGTGTCCGATGTAACACAAGAAAAGTTGACATTTGATCTTCAAAATGAACTTTATTTGGTGAAATGTGAATTGAAAACGAGCCACAAAAAGATCTTGTTGGATTTTAAAGGCGCACAACTATCAATTGATCTGGCAGATTTAATCTTACCCTTTGACGATCAACATTGTGCCTTTGGTATCACTTACAACTTTGATAAGAAGAACAGTTTGGTGCTAGGTGATAGCCTTTTACGATCCGCTTTCTTTGTATTTGATTTGGGTCAAAAGAGAGTAGGGATGGCAACTGCCGTCAATTCAGAAAGTAAAGTGATAGCCTTATAGTCATTTATTGGCTGGCCTGTGCTTTCTTGAAACTCCGAAATAGCTCGCACATCACACGACAAAAACTATTGAAATACCGACAACTTTTTTTCTTTTTCTTTCCTTTCAATTTTATTTCCCCTCCCTTCCTCCTCTTTCTTTTTTTTTTTAATTTTTTTTTTTTTTTTTTTTGTGGAGAAGAGTGAGAGTGTGTGTAATTGTTTGTGTGTATAATTATAATCATAATAAAAATAAAACCAGATGGACACAGAAGAATATCATTTGATTGAACGTATTATACAAGCCAGCCCTAATAAAATTAATTTGGGACATCGTGCTCGACGTGAACTTCCCCTAAGAAGGGTCATTTTAGCATCCAGGTAAAGATGATTACATACAAAAAGAGAGAATAAAGATATTCATGCGATTCCTCAAAATAGAACGCTGGAAATGGCTCAACTTGAGCAAAATAGGGTGTTGATGGCCGAAGCAGAAAGCATTCGATTTGACCACCAACAACAAGAACAGTGGGATGATTGGTGGTTCACCTGTAATGACAATAATAGTAACATGAATCATGTAGATCTCGTACCTTCTGCTCTACTTGATCCAAATACTTTATTAGATACAGGCATTATTGACTTTGAATCTTCACCTTTATTTACTGCCAGTAGCAGCAATAACACCACCATTACCAACAACAACACCGCCATTATAAACAACAACACTAGCAGCAGCAACAGCAACATCATCAGCAGCAGCAGTAGTAGTAGTAGCACTGCTATACCCACTACCTCCTTTGAAGACATCGATGTGGGTGATTGGTCATGGCTCAAGGAGGATAAGATTCTCGAGCCTATTTCTGCCAGTGTCTTATTATCTCATATCAATTATGATGAAGACGAATCGGAATCTGAAGAGGATGAACTAGTTGTAGTCCTTGTAAATAAACAGCAACAGGATCCCAATTGGGTCACGATTATACCACAAAAACGTAGTCGACAAGACGAACAAGACATTCATCTACCACCTCGTAAAAAGATTAGTACATAAAATATCAATCATAATCAACACATCTTTTTTTTTTTCTTTCTTGTACATAATAGCAATAAAAAAAAAAGAGTCTCTTTTATTTTTAAATTTTGTACTGCGCCCATATTTTATTTATTTATTTACTTATTATAAGCGAGAACTGCTTTGAAGAGCTCCACCGTCTACTACAATGACAGCACCCACAGTATATTGTCCAGCACGAGAAGCGAGGTAAATACAAGTACCTGCAATATCTTCGGGTGTGCCCACACGACCTACGGGAACACCACTAATAATGGAGTCGCCATGGCTTTTTAAAGTAGCTGCCATCATCTTGCTAGGGAACGAACCAGGTGCAATCGCATTGACCAGAATATGTTGTTGGCCCATTTTACCAGCCAAGTGACGAGTCAAGTGATGAACTGCTGCCTTGGATGCAGAATAAGCATATGTCTCTAAACCAGGAGGCTGTTTTTTTCCCTGTTATTAGTTTTCTTATTCTGTATATTTTTGTATGTACGTACCGTTTCGCCGTTAATCGAGCCAATATTGATCACACGAGAGGGGATATCTTTAGTAGCATTGGCTCTCAAAAGAGGAAGACATCTATGAAGAGTGGATTAGTTTCTCTTTTCAAACCCCCCTTATTTAATAATCTTACGCTTGGGTCAAGGTGAAGATACGAGTGACGTTTAAATTCATGACCTTTTGGAATGCTTCATCGGGGTAAGTATCTAAAGGAGCACCCCAAGTAGCGCCCGCATTATTGACAAGCACATCCAAATCTAAGAGAGAGTTATCAGTATGCGTCATCATATTATAAATGGCTTAATGTTGTACGCACGAGTTTCACGCTTGGTCAATTCAGCAACGAGTTTCTTGATATCATCTACGCTTTGTAAATCAGCAGGCACAGCAATACATTTACCAGGACCCAATGCATTTAATTTAGCAGCAACTTCGTCACAGGCTTTGGCTGAACGACTACTGATGTAGACAATAGCACCACCTTGAACAAAACCCTTTTTTTTTATCGTGTTAGTTGTGATTAAAATTTTAATTTTTTTTTGACTGTTTTATATGTACGGTTGCAATCATTTCGCCAATACCGCGAGAACCACCAGTGACAAGCACGACCTTGCCTTGGACACTAAAGAGAGATTGAACATTCATTTCTGAGATGAGTAAAGAGAAACAAAAAGTATGTGTGGGGAAAAAAATTCTTTTTTTAAATTTACACACTATAAATGATGACTAAGTAGGAATTCCCCGCATAACATCATAAAAAGCCTGTGTGACATGTCACTTTAAAGTAAAAAAAAATTGTTTATTTTTTTTTCTAAATACAAAAAGGATGTGAGGGTGTAAAGATATATGTTAAAAATTTCAGTTTGTCAATGATGTGTGTGTGTGTGTGTTTGGGATATGGATGGGATTTATTCCTTGGTGGCATTAGCAGCAGCAGCAGCGGTGGCAGCAGCAGCAGCTTCCTTCTCAGCCTTCTTGGCTTCTCTAGCAGCTTCCTTGGCAGCATCTCTAGCATCTCTAGCAGCTCTCTCTTCAGCTCTTCTCTTATTTTCAATAGCACGCTTTTCTTCGTACTCCTTTTGCTTGATGTCTCTTTCCTTTCTCTTTTCTTGTTCCTCCTTTTCATACTCATAGAGTTCCATCAATTCTTCCTTGGCTGATTGACAATCCTTCTTACCACCACGTACAGTAATCTCATCAGGGTTGCTGGGAATAGGGGAAGAAGTAGGACTTTCATCACCACGGTTGGTCTTGGGGAACTTAATAAAGACGTTGTACTTGTCTTCAAGCTTCTTGACATAACGACCACTGGGTCCAATCAAGAAACGATGGAATTCCTTGGGTACCTTGAGAGAGAGTGTGACTTGATCAGCTAAATTGGTGATTTGAGACAACACACGTTCTTTAGCGGCTTCCACATTCAAGCGGATACCTTGAATTACAACCTTGACAGGAGCAGCAGAGGCAGCATTCTTCTTGTTCTTGCTGACAACAACCTTTTCTTCTTCACCATTCTTGTTCTCGCCGATATCGATCTTGACACCAAGATCATCCTTAAGCTTGTTGATATGGATACCAGCCTTACCAATGATATGGGCAGAAAAGTTGGCAGGGATAAAGAATTCGGCAGTATAGGACTTGGCGAAATCTTCAGATTGGACAGCCTCATGTGCCTTTTGAATTTGAGCAACTACTTGAGTCACATCCTTGCTAAGACCACGAATCTCTACAGTGTCCTTGGAAGAAGTACCAAAGAGAACAGTGGCTTCAGCATGGGGACCCAAAATGGCGTTCAAGGTAGTACCCTTGGGACCACGGATCAAATCATGGAACTTGGCAGGAATAGAAATCTTCTTGGAAATAAAATCAGATGATTCGGAAGCAATCTTCTTCAAATCGGCAGAAGCGGCTTCAAGAGAGGCCTTGGCAGCAGACTTATCCTCGCCTTCAAAGACAAGTAAGACGGTAGCATTGTTTTCCTTTTCATCAGAAAAGATAACCTTGACGTTGTTGGTGGTTTGGATACGTTCAAGAGCAGCACGGTGAGCAGTCTTGATATGTTGGTGAAGGTAAGGTTCAATATCGACAGTACCAAAGACTTGAGGAGTCAATTCACGCAAGATGCTGGAAATAGCTAATTGAGCTCCAGCAGCATCCTTCTCCACAGTGCTAACAACTTCAAGATGCACAGTCTTGTGAAGTTCTTGAGCGGTAGGGACACCAACTTGAACGTTGTGATCATTTTCAATCTTCTTGATGCTGTTCTTGCTCAAGAGATACTTAAGAGCAAAACGAGCATACTTTAAAGCTTCCTTACCAGAGGACTTGTAGCTTTCAGATAAATCAAGAACACTGACTTGAACAGCACGGACCTTACCCATGACAAAGGTTAAGCCATCCACCAATTTAGCATCAGGACCACGGATGGAGATATTTTCAGAGGATTCCTCAGAGGAAGGAAGCTCGACAGTACAACCAGAACCATGATAGATTTCCTTGAGGACCTCACCGTGCTTACCAAAGAGATACTTGTGTTGACGCTTGGGGATACTGAGACCAACAGTACGACTCAATTTTTCAATGTCGGCATAACTCTTTTCCAAGGCGGACTTGGCCAATTGAACCTTTTCTTTGTCACCCGAGATGGAAATGGAGGTGTCACGGTTAAGAGCACTATCAACAACAATGGCAGGAATTTGGATCTTGACATCAAATTCTTCTTCAATTTGCTTGATGTTGCTATTGTGAGGACCGGCAAGGAAGAGATAGTACTTGCTGTCAAGATGATCTACCTTGATAGTTTGCTTGGCAGTCTATACATTAAGGAAATATTTCATTTAGCAAAAACACAGCGTTCTCTCTCTCTTTTTCGTTTAAACTATCTCTCTTTCTTTTTTACCTTTTCACCAACAATCTTTTCAATTTCTTCCTTGGCAATTCTGATACCAGTAGCATCACCCATAATGGTCACAATGACCAACTCATCAGGGTTTTCCTCATTGAAACCAAAATCTTCATCGTCCTTGCGAGGAAAGTTCACACGCGTGTTGGACTTGGTCTCAATTTGCTTGAGAGTAGCACCCTTGGCACCAATAATGAAACGACGGGTAGAAGAAGGAACAGCAATTTCAACAGTACGCTATAACCAATGGGAAGGATGGGGGTTAATCATCATCATCATCTTTTTAAATAAAAAACTTACCTTGATGACAAGACCAGCAACCAAATCTCTCTTGGCTCTGGCAACTTCAGCAGGGGCACCTTGGATGAGGAAAGTGGTGATGCCAGAACGGTTGGTAGAAGCAATAATGTTGGTACCAGTCTTATTGATGACTTGTTGAATGACATCAGCAGAAGACTTGAAACCAAGGGGTTTACTGTTCAAGTTGGCGATTTGTTGGTTGGCAGGCAACTCCAACACGTCGGTGACTTGAGTAGCGGAAGAAGCCTTTTTTCCACCGGAAGCAGGAGCCATGGGTCTAGTGCGTGTGGTGTTGGCGGTTTGAGGGGCCTTGACACGAGAAGAGGCAGACCAGGCAGAGGCAACGGGGGTACGAGGAGAAGCAGAGAGAGAAGGGAAAGCAGATTCAGAGTTCAAGTCCAAGTTCTTCTTGGTGATGATTTCTCTCTTTACAGGGACGGCCATAGGCTTACCGATAGGTGTGGGGAAATCACCAGCAATCAAAGGTTCATAAGTAGAGTTATCCATAACAACAACTGGGTCATCAGCAGAAGGAACAAAGGGGTCTTCCTCAACCACGTTATTGTTATTAGAAGAGGGCTTGGCAGCTTGAGCGTGAAGAAGTGCTAATTGAGCAGAAGGGGGCAAAGTGTCCAAAGAATCGTTTGAAGTCATGATGAGAAAGAGTTGTACCGTTTTGTTTTTAGAAAGAGAAGAGAACCGTTATTTGATAGATTATTATTATTTTTTATTAATTTCTAAATCTATGTATTTTTTTTTGTAGTGTTCAAAGAAAAAGAGTTATGGAAAATATTCACGAAAAAACAGAGTTTATTATTTGTGTAAAGTTTTTTTTTTTTTAAGTCGCCCTTTGTATTTTATTTTCTAGCCAATGGTAAACTTACATTTTTTTGTAACGTGTCCATAAATTAAGGTCAATCAGATTTTGGCTTTCAAAATACACCAACTGGTGTAAAAATAATAAATAGAAACGTTCCCCCAACCCCCTTTTTTTTTATTATTTGTGTACATTCAATATTTTAAAGCATGGCATTCATTCTTCATGTCGCCAACTTACTTTTCACAAGTCAGTTAGTTAACTCTCATGTACCTCAACCTTACATGGTAAACAGCAATACAAAAAAAAAAAAAAAGGTGTGTGGTGTCATAAGACTAAGCTGTCTATATTAGGACGAGATATTTCATATACCTCAGGCACAACAATACTGCGGTGGCGACTATTTGACGTGGGACCCTAAATTAACTACCCCACCTGGACTGTAAGTTTTTTTAAGGGAGATTAAAAAACAAACATAACTGACGTGTCAAAATGTGTGTGCCTTTTAAATAGGTATTTAATCAGTAATGTGATAGCATACGTTGGAAGTCTATTCCATGTTGATCTCTGTACTGTAAATGCCTTACGTTTCACAAACATACTATTCTCAATTGGATTATATTTTGTGCTTGTTTCGTTGATATCCACATTATCCAACAAGACAACATCATCGTCATGGCAAACCAGTCTATACGCTTTGTCGTTGTCATGGTTTCCGGTGAGCTTCTTTTTCAACTTTTTGTATTATACAGATCCTGGATCCACTTTCTTCGTACTGTCTTGTTATCTCTTGGTGAAAAAGAAGCATTATTTTTTGGCTGGTATCGCGGGTCTTATCTCATTGACGTTTCGTCAGACCAATGTGATCTGGGTCTGTTTGTTCATGATGGTTGTCATTATTGACACTCTATCAGCCATCCCAAAGAAGAAGGAGGATGCGAAAGGGTTATATAATCCTCGTTGCTCCACAATCACTCATCCAGGTAATGTTCTACAAGAGTTTCTGTACCACCTTCGTATTAATCAATTTTTTTTCTCTCTCAGCTCAAGTGATGAAAAGCATAACCAGTCTTTTGTTGAATACGCTCCAGCACTTTATGATTGTGTTACCTAATATCGCTACATTTCTTGTGGCGATTATCTCATTTGCGGGGTTTCTTGTATGGAATGGTGGTATTGTATTAGGTGATCGCTCAAACCATATGGCAGGACTCCATTTCCCACAATTATTCTATTATACCTCATTTCTCTCATTTTTTGCATCTCCATGGACGCTTTCAATGCATGCCATGGCTAACCTATTACAGCTGAATATCAAAAGGTAAAAAAAAAAAAAAGGTTATTTTGTGCAAGGAGGTGTTTAGAAAAGGATTTTGGTGAAAATTACTAAAAATGCTTAAATAATACACAGAACCTTGATTGGTATTGTCTCTGCTATGGTCACACTTGCTTTAATTCATCGATACACGTATGTATATTTTTTCTTCTTTATAAAAGATACACTAACACGTTTCCTTGTAGTTACGAGCACCCGTTCTTATTAAGTGATAATCGACATTACACTTTTTATATCTGGAAAAGGATATACAAGAGACACTGGACAGTGCGCTATTTACTCACTCCTGTGTACTATGTCAGCGGAATCTTGAATCTTTCAACTTTTGGTAATTTTTTTTTTTTTTTTTTTTTTTTTTTTTTTGCATGTATCGTACTTCATTTGTTTAAATATTTTTCTTTGTGTAGCACAACACACAAGCTTTTTGGTATCGTTGGGATATTCGTTTGCGCTTGTTTTGACGTTGGTTCCTTCGCCTTTGCTTGAGTTCCGTTATTTTATTATCCCTTTCTTGTTCTTTATGGTACATATTCCACCTCCCACACAGATATCACGTACTTTGTTGGGATTAGCATTGTACCTTGTCATTCATGTAGTCACTATCTATCTCTTCCTATACAAACCATTTGCATGGCCCAATGAACCCAACGCCACGCAGAGATTTATGTGGTGATAAATAACGCATCTTTTTTTAAAAAAATACGAAAAATAAGGCGAAAAATGTTTATTTACGATTTTTTTGATGTTGTTTATATTATGAGTGAGTTGTAAAAAAAAAAAATGGATTTTCATATTGTTTCTACTTCTTGTGTCTATCGTCGTCACTATCATCATCGTCACGGGCTCTCTTTCCCTTTCCTTTCTTTGCCTTGTTCAAAAAAGTATCTAAACCAAACACATCTTTATCTGTGCTCTTTGCTGCGGGTTTACCCAAAGTCTCTCTTTCGAATTCAACGGGGCCAGTGGAGCTTTCGCCTCCTTCTGTACCTTGGAATCCTCGACTAGAACCAAATCTCTCTGATTTGATAGATCTTTCAAGGTCTTCGGCGTTAGTACTGCCCAATACCTCAGATTCATTATTGTCTCCTCTGTATCTATAGATGGATGTGGATGTTTGGTTGAACAAGGGTTTATCATATGCGGCATAAGCTATAATTTTTTTTGTAAGTGATACAAGCTTTTACATAAAAAAAAAGTAAAATTTACCATCATCGCCCTTGAATCCAGATCCAATACCCTCAGATTGATTGAATAATCTTGCATCATACATGCTTTCTTTACTTAATGTGGGTTTAGCTAAACCAAGTGCAATCTTTTCAGAAATATCACGACCTTGCTCACTAAAAATAAAAATAAAAAATGAATATGTACACTGCAAATATTGATATCAAGAAAGACTTACCGAGCAAGGTGCTTAGCCTTAGCTTCTGTTCCCATTTTACTCATACGCATTTCCTTTTGTCTTTGCTTTTGACGATCATGTCTTAATTGATCACGCTCTCTTGCTTTATCCTCATCATCATCTTCTGCAGCTCCACGTCTCACGGGCGATTCATCCTCGCTGTCTGATTTATCTGATCCTGATTCATCTGTGGAATCATAATCGGCCATAAGTGAACTAGCGGAAGGTCTGTTTGTGTTTATCTCTGATGCTGAAGGAGCATTAGTTGTGGTGGTGGAAGGTTTGAATCCAGCTCTTTCTTCACGGGCCTTTTGAGCGAGTTGACGCAATTTCTCTTCCTCTGCTTCCTTTTGTTTTTGAGCTAATTTTTGTTGCATCAGGTTTCTTTGTCTGACTTCATCACGAGCATGACGATCTGCGGCGTATAAGGCTTCCGAGAATTTGGCAAAATTATCATTGATGGTGAGTTCTTGAAGACCACGACCATCAGCAGCTAAACGTTTATCAAGAGGAATGGTATAACCCTTTGTGTTTTTCCAGTTGGAGACACAAGGAGGAATAACCCATTCAGCTTGTTCTTTGGCAGTCAACTTACGAGGAGGAGAATGCATGACGGGAGCTGGAGGTGATGGAGGACCTCGGGGAACCTTTTTATGTAAATGGCTAGGGGGTTCCATAGGATCACTAGGGGCATCCACCATACGAATAATACGTTGTTTAGCACCCGAATTAAACCCTTCGCCCACTTGACCCTGAGAAGGTGTATAACGGATATAGGTAGGATCCTTATTAGTACCACTACCATTAGGTGGACCCACATTCTTGGGTTGTAAGGCCTTGATTTTGACATTGACAATTTTCTCGAGGGCAAGTCGTGTCTTTTCTGCCACGCTTTGTACTTCTTCTTCACCGGGTCTATCCATAACTAACTTATCGACATCGACATCTTTACGTTCATGGAACGGCACCATGTCCTTGTATGAGCTGTGAATGATTCGATCATCGCCATGACCTTGACGAGCAATAGCATCGTATTTGACATTACCGTCAGCATCTACTTGAAGCGTTAAAGCACCACCTTTACTATCGTTGCTGGATTTGCCATCTTTACGACCCATGCCAAGCGGGTATTGAGCGATATGAACTTCAGGGTATGCACCACCGTTTCCGAAATCCTCAGCAAGTCGTGGTCGAAAGTTTTTACGTTGTCCATAAGGTGGAATGCGATGCTGACTACTTTTGGCAACGATTTGATTGATTTGTTTTTCTAATTGTGGTGCTGAACTAGGCGCTGAAGCCAACGTTTGACGAGGTTTTGGCAAAAGACTATATACAATTGTGTTATTCTTTTTTATTGTGTTGCAAGAAAGGTAAAAAAAGGTTAAATGTTACCTTGAAAGTGAAGCCATGATTATGAAGAAAAAAGAGTTAAAAACTAAAAAACGAAATAAAGCAGGAGTTGTAAAGTTTTTTTTTTTTTTTTTTTTTTTTTCTATTGCAGTTTGCCAACGTCACCGCTCAATGTGATTTTTCTGTGACTATATCCCGCTAACCAATGAAAAGGACGCATAAATTCCCAAAGAATAGGATCTCTCACTCCAAAAAAAGGTTAATGCAATTATATTCATGTAAAATAGAACAAGCGTGTATCATGTACTTAGATTAATGCCTCCATAATTTTTACAAATATTACGATCGTCTATTCCTTTTGTTATAAAACTAAGCCAAAAGGCCCTTAAAGAGGTGTGTCCACTTTTTTAAAAAATCAGCTTATAATCAAAAGTATACATCAATAATAGAAAAGACTAATGAAGAGAAACCCTCTTTAATTGTTTGTATCAACTTTTATAATAAATATAATATCGAGAGTAGCAAATGGTTGAACAAACGCTTCAAGCTGTATCTAAGCTTTTTATCGCGAAGGAGTGTTTTAAAACTTACAATTAGTTAGACAATTATCTCTAACAGGTATATATAAACCGTCCTCTCTTATTTCGGTTTTGCAAAAATAGGACCAAGACAGGTAAGTAAGTCTTTTTTTTTTCGGATTTCGAGACAACAAATTTGCACTTGTTCAAAAACGCTCGGACAACCAAGACAAATGTGTGGTATAAGCAACACATTACAACACAGTTTATTTACATTTGCAGATTCATGTTTTTTTTAAACATTCAGTTCATTCGTTTTCATATTACATCCATCAAAAATGATATTATATATTTGTTCATGGGATCTCAACACACTATGTACAGGATGTAATTCACAGAGGAGAAAGGAACAGTTATGGTCTGTACAATAGGCGTATGCAAACGGTCGTTTACAGAAGCTTTATTGTCAACAAAATCTATTTTAAGGGACAGTAAAATTATATTCAGACAAAAGGAGCAGTCATAAAGTTAAATATATTAAGTACATCAAACTCTCAGTGCTATCTGTATGTTTTTTATAACCTCAAAAAAAGTAGATATTACTAACGAGGTACCCATTAAAAAAATTCAATTGGAATAAGCAGACAGTTATAATTGCATTTATTTCTAGTTAGTTAAAAATAAAAAAAGATGCTAACTGAAGGTGCTTCCCTTAGATCCCAACAGAAAGCTGGTTAACATATCAGACCACAAAAGGGTCGAAGCACAATTTAAACCAAAAAAATTAAGATAATGCACACCAAGTACAAGAGAACCTGATCCTGCCCAAATTTTGCCCGCCCACAATACACAACAGAGAAAGTCACCAAGAATAATACTCCCTGAATCATGTTGGGGTAATGCTTTTTACCTTAGCTACAGAGCCATAGCAGCACTATTAGACGGAGGCAGACACTTCGTGTAGAGAGGTAACTGTCTAGGAAGATTTCACTCTTTGTCTGTTTATATAAATTGCTGTACCCCCCCCCAGCGTGAACCTGTAAAACCTAGGCAAGGCTCTTTCAAGGCGAATTCGAGCACTAAACTTCCCACAACCGTCCGAATGCTCCTAAAGAAAAAACCTAAACGATCAAGAGCGGACTCAACTTGCTACACAACGGCTACGACTATTCATCGTCTTTACTTACTCTTTAAACAATCCGAAGATAGGATACCAGTTTCTAAGAGTTCCTAAAACTAGGAATAAATTCAAGTCGGAATGCACATACGAATGAAGAAATTTATAAAAAGACATTGCACCTGACGTGACCTCTTAAATGAAGCCCATGCCAGTGTAAAGCTGTAAAATATAACGACTTTAATAACCAAAGACTTTCCTAGGTAAACTGATCAAAGAGTACTACAGACTTTAGAACACTGTTCGATTTGACGAGTACTTGAATTCATTTATTTGATAGGAATGAATATGTAGAAGAAAAAGACGAATTTTTTTTTTCCATACCTCAAGCTTCCTTGGAAAGACCAATAAGTTAATTTTCCTCAAAAGGCCTATTCAATATGTCAATTAAAAGGTGGGTAGATAACCACTGTTTGCGGTACTGTTTTAATTTGGGATTGAGTATTTTACGTACATATGGATAACGATAAGCAATGGAATATGACGATGAGAAAAATAAAGGAAGAACGACAGTGGCTTATAAAGATGTAAAAACCTACTACGATGACAGGTTCCGATAGTATGTCAAAAAGGGAAGTATCAACGAGATAGAAAATTACAGTGAAGCATATTTTACTAGCTTTTATGACAGCCAAACGTCACTACGTAAAATGATAGATTATTTTTTATGATATGTGTAGATAGTTAACACAGCTTCTTGTATAGATTCATTTGTTTATGATGGCGACATCTATGATACTACAAAAAACGCTGATAATACAAAAGTCAAGAAAATTATAAGAAATTTAACATTTTAACTATTCTACCGTTACCAGGTCGGAATCCAAATGACCTACTGGACATTGACATACGGTTCTATCTGTATCAGACTGAGATTAAGCACGGAGTAAATATTAAAAAAAAAAAAGTATTTACACAAGGTCTTATCCCAAAGACAATGCTCATGTTGCCAATGATGACACTGAAAAACGTAATGGTTACATTCATTATTGGAAACAGTGAAATGAAATATAGTCAATACGAGAGATCAGCAATCCCTGTCGATAGTGGAGGGACTGGGATCCAAGGAACCATTCCGGAAGAAGTAACCTAATTTTAACAATATCAACAAACAATAAACTGTCCATACATGCATATTTTGACGTGTGAAAGGGCCGCCATGATATTTTTTGCTCATGTTGCAAAAAATTACGCGCATATTTTAAACGTCATGTTATGTGTTCCGATACCTCGTACTTTAGAATTAAAAAGTTAATTTCAAATGCTGCCTTAGATACGCATAATGAGCGTTAAGATATAACGTAAAACTTGATGCAAAATGTACTCAGGAAGTAGAAGTATATAACTTCAAATTTCTAGGAACTTATTCATGTAAAATATGCTTAACAAATCATAGTTTAGATGTATAAAAGAAACTGTTTATTTCAAATTAACGGTTTTTGTCGTGGCGCTTCGTGTGACAATAATAAACCGGCTTAGACAATAATAATGTTGTTATTTATTAATCGTAAACTAAAAGATAATCCCCCTAACTTATACTCCTTCTTCTTTCTTTGCATTATAATCACACTTCTTGTAATATACATCACGTACGTAATTAAATGACAGGAGAATTAAATGGCGATAAAAGTATGATATATAACAAATGTATCAACAATCAACTAAAAACATTATGTATAATCAACAACCTATACAGCTTCGGGTTTATCAGAAAAAACAAAAAAAGATTACGATATTGTTATGGGCATTGACTTTGGAACCACGTATTCTGGTGTTGCTTACGCGAGAGTCGGGGAGATGGAAAGAGGACGTGCTGTCGTCTATGATGTGAGCAAGTGGTAACAGTCTTTTTTGCGTTTCATAAGAGTACGCTTATTCATATATTTGATTTTAGGCCAGGAGTTACAGCCTATAGTCAAACGCCCACAAGATCAGCATATACAAATGGCAAATTAATTAAATGGGGTGGTTTTGGAGAAGTTGCTAAATTCATTCAAATTATCTCGTTGTTTAAACTTCACTTGGACGAAACCAAAAAAGATCTTAACATCCCAGAATTGGCTTCCGGAATAGATGTAGAACAGGCAATTTCAGATTACCTCAAAGCAATTTTTGAACATACGTGCGGGCAGTTGGAAGCCCATTTTGGAAGGTCATTTGATACAAATAAGTTACGGTTCTGCTTGACGGTACCTGTTATTTGGACAGAAAAGGCTAAAATCATAATGCGAGATGCGGTCATTAGAGCTGGACTTATCAGTAAAGAAGATCCACAGGACAGGTTGTTGCTGGTTGGAGAGCCAGAAGCTGCTGCTATGTATTGTGAAACTTTTCTTGATGAATACAATCTTAAACCTGGTCAAAATTTTCTCATTTGTGATGCTGGTGGAGGAACAGTAGATCTTGTGGTATATCGTATATCTGGTGATAAAAAGGGCAAAAATTCGCTTATGGAGGAAGTTGTAGGCGATGGTGCATCATGTGGTTCAACTACCCTGGATGTGAGATTTAGGAGATTTGTTTCTGATAATATCAAATTATTTTTTGAAGATGAAGACCCTTTGACTGACAAAGAGCTGGATGCCATTGTCAAGGTATTCACGGATGAAACAAAGGTATATTAAAAATGAAAAAAGTAAAAATAAAATCGTTCTCTCAAAAGCTTTTAGTCTCAAGTATGCCATCCATCAAATCCCGATTATGACGAGGATTTCTTAATTGTAACGCTCCCTGATCGATTTGATGAATCAGAAGCTGACTGGACCTTGGGCAAACTATTTGTTACGAATTCTCAATTCCATGTGCATCCTGAAGTTATACTATCGGATATCTTTTATCCTGTAGTCAACCAGGTGCTGTCTTTGATTGACACACAGCTGGGAAAAATTGACAGAAAGCTAGACGCGATATTTTTAGTTGGTGGATTCGGCCAATCATCCTATCTGCTTCATAAAATTAAAGATGAGTTTGCCAATGATGTGGCATTGATTTGTGCCCCTAAGCGTGGAGAAATGGCTATAGTCCGTGGAGCTGTCCTGATGGGATTGGATCCCCATTTTGTCAAGCAGCGTATCATACGTCGAACTTATGGATATGAATGCTCTTTGAAATTTGATGAAGAATTAGACCCAGAAAGGTTACGAACTGTTGATCAGAATGGTGAAGTTTACTGTAACAATCGGTTTAAAAGTTATGCTTTGAAAGGAGAAGTCAGGGATGTAGACTATTACGTTTACACATCATTTAAGTGCTATTACAACAAAAATCCAGTACTGCGTTAGTATTCACCAAAGGTACAGGATTATAACATCTAACCAGCCATATATTATAGAATTGTATGCATATGATGGCAATCCTGATGAGCTTCCCAGATATACCACAGATGACACGGTAAAGAAAGTTACTGATTTTGAAATTAAATTGCCAAATCTCCCAGGCAAAGGTCCTAGTGATATTGTTGACTTTGATGTAAAATTTTATCTCTATCAAACTGAAATCAAGCTTGAGGTAGAAATCGAAAACGTAAAAGCGATTTATACAGGCTCTTATAGGTAGGTGGATGATATGTCATTTATTGGAGAAATTGAATGAAGGTCATTCGTCTGGACATAAAAGTCTGGAAACAAGTGATCCAAAGAATCCCTCCTATTTCAAAAAATAGCGCTTAATAAACATTTCAAAGTTTTAGCTTTTAAGAAGATGATGTTTTTGCCTTTTTGCGTAATTATTATAGTAAATTTAAAGCTGTAAGAGTATGAGCAGCTTGGTTGCGATGGGTAGGGATATATCCATTAAAGTGGCTGGGAATAACCAGTTAATCATGGAGCAAAAATCAAATCTTTAGTTTTGAGTGTAAGTATCGCCTAATTTAGAATGCTAAATTATATCCATCATAGATTTCCCAAAAAAAAAAAAAAAAAAAAAAAAAAAGACCGAGAATTCTTGGTTCAATGAAAACTGTCCAGCTGATTCGATAGATTGATGTGTGTAAATGGGGTTATATGTGCAGACATTTTCAATGGTTTTAGTGCTAATTTAGCCATAAAATTTAAAAAAGGGTAAATTCTTGCAAACAGCCAGGAGATTTAAAATAATACAGGATCTTGTATCCAACACATGTGTTTTTGGTATCTTTTCTTAATAAGAGATGTCAGTATACGTAAAGAGGTGTTTTTGAGAGAGCCCACAAGTTTCAAGAGTTGCTATGAATAAATTTAGTCTGGATACTGAACAAGATATATGCATAAATATTTTTTTACCTTTTTTCAAAAAAATGAAATGTATTTCGATACTAAACCAGCTCTCCATCTTGTCCTAAATCCGAAATTTCTATTCTTCAAAACGTGTAATTTAATTCAAGACAGCAGTGATAGCAAATACTCATACTTGTTTAATATGTTCATTATTGGGGTTCCATATGTGAATTCGGTAAGGAATGCTGGCCTATGAAATAATGTTAGTATGGTAGAAATACATGTTGGATAAAAACTTAGATGGTAGTGAGAAATGCTCAATTTCCTGGGTGGGTGTGGATTCGAGTCTGTATAAGTTTTCATCTAGGAGGTATTTTTTATTTCTGCGGGTGAGACAATGAAGAGAGATCAATAAAATACAGGAAAAAAACCTACAGGTCAGTGCCTTGAACAGCTACCGCTCGCTTGTTATGGTGAGTTTATTTGCAGCGAAACTTTATTCCTCACTTATAAAAATCTTTTAGGAATAAGCCCTCTTTCACAGAAAATGCTGACTCATCAAGTAATATTATATATCCACCGGATAGAATCCTCTGTAAATAATGACCAAACAGTCAAGAATATGAAATTAGGAACGGAGAAGTTAGGGCCCCTTACTGTAAAAAAATGCAGAGTTGATGTAGCAAGAGTAAGAGTCCCTGCGACAGCAAAAAGACAACTACACAAAGAAATAAGAGTATCAAGTGCTCATTGTTGAGTATACACTTTATTCAGAAATTATTCGTTCACTGTTGCGAAAAAATCGTTCAAAAATAAAATATAATATCATTCAAGGATGGAAATACAAATGGGTTTAAAAAAGTTAGAGCTCTCTTTAGAAAGTTAAACAGCGCAATGTACTTACATGGAAAGGGTTGAGAGGTAGAGAAATATAAACAGAAATAAAATATAAGAACAAGTACAGTTAGTTATCTAGCAAGCAATAATAAAAAGCCTTACCAAAAAGTGTATTACAGGTAACACCAGCGATAACTGGCATGGATAACTATTCACCCATTCGAGGACGTTTTTTTGAGTGGACATGACGTGCAAATCGTTCTGGGATTTGACCAGTGTTTCTTAAATTTAGAATGATTGAAATCATGTTCAAACAGGCGGCTAAATCTCTGTTCCAAAGCTTATACTGGAATCCTTAGGTTTGCATCTTGGTCATACAAGTTTGATTGGTGCATCTACATCAAAAAGTTTAAAAAAAAATATAAACGTTTCAAGGAGATGTATTTACCTTAAAAGACCATGGCAAAGGGTTAAAGGATAGTTGCTTCGTTGGTAGGGCCTAGGATTGTCGATTTGTTTAAATTTCTTTAGGCTCAAATTATGACAAGACGGACAGCATCGGCTCGTGTTGAATTCGTCGATGAGTAATAGACTAAGATGATTTCGTAAAAGAAGTCGTCTCAATCCGATGCCTCGAATTGGTTCATGATAACGTGCGTTTGGGGCAGACCAGTTTCTCAAGACAAAGATCGCATCCTTACCGAACTTTTGCTTTAAAGATTTTATAAGTTGCATATCAGCACGTTGTTTGTTAAAATACGTAGCTAAACGCAACTTCCGGAGCATGAATTGTGGGTTTTGAGAAGACGTTGTTGTATACCCATAGAAATTGTCGAGGACAGCGTAATTCTGGCCTAGACGTTCGAGAAAACGACGATAACCCTCCATTTCCAGTGAGCTGCTTTGGTTTTCTGCAAGAACATTATCGGCTTGGTAAACAGCAGGATTGTTCGACTTCATTGCTTGTAGAATATTACGATACTTTTTGGATTTTCTGGTTTTGTCCTGGTCCTGCTTAGTATATCGAAACTTAATAGGAGTTTCTACAGTAGATTTTTTATCGACACAAAAGAGAAGGTCTCTTCTTTCGGGATCAATAGCAACACACCGATCATTCACAGCTTTATGTTCTTGAGCACTTAAGTCGCTGATATACTTGAACTTCTCATCTGCCTCTTTTATGGTTGTGGTATAAGATGACTGCCTGTCTATTCTTTTCTTAAGAACTGTTACACCAACACCGTCTGTCTGAATGGTACCGCAAAACCGAAGGAGCTTGTTCTCTTCTTGAGCTTTAAAAGTTTTTGCATTTAGATCAACCACTTGCTTCCAGTAATCCAGCTTATCAATATTATTGGACCATCTGATATATATAATGTTTTGACAAATAATCTTACTATCAATTTGTACATAACCAGGAGACCATGAACGACGGAGAGGAAAGCAACGAAAAGGAAATAAACCTAATGTTTCGAAGAGACGAGCTAGTTGAACAAATGCCATAAAGTGATTTTCAGGTTGCGCTTTGTGATATTCAGATAGCTTGGTAAATAGCGGCTAATATAATTGCGATACTTTATAACTTTTTCTGCACGAGCATTTCCCTTTGTATAGTCTACCAAAGAAAGCCATACTTCAGCAAAAAATTCTTTGTTGATATATTCTTTGAGGTCACATTGAGGGTCTGCTTGCAATTCATTGAGAAATATATACTTGTAAAAATAATATGCATGATTTGTAGTAGTATGAATAACTCTAACAAAATTGTGTAATGTTGTCAAAGACGACTGCTTCCAACCGATGCCAGTGTAATTGACGACTTTACTGCGATAATCCGGTCTTTTGTCGAGAGAGATGCCTCATCCATGATACACTATATAATAACAGTATAAGAAAGGTTGCTTCTAAAATAGCATATAAAGATTACTTAAAAATTCGGAGAGGATTAAAAGCTGAAAGAGAAAGAAGTTTAATCAAAAGGAGAAGATCGTCTATATCTCTCTCTTTTTTTGTAATATGGTACTTTTTTCCGGGCCGGAGTGTACATAAAACAATAAGAACGAATACCAGTAGTGTGTTCCCTTACACTGTTAGAGTAATTGAAGAGTACATGTGTTCGTAGGTGGTAACAGATACACTGTGTCTTACTCAAATACAATACAAATTAGATAAAAAGATAAAATTAATAAAACGAGCCTTTTACACCCTAATTTTTGAAGAATAATAACTACCCTTTTAAATTTTGGGTTTTGTTATTATAGTGAAGAAGAGCGTTTATTAGTTTAGTTTATGAAGTCAAAAGGTAATTTGAATCCAGATACAACATCTTAAATGCATATAATGACTGTATGGATTATAAAAATATTTTATTTTCGTTTATTTCATTCAATTATTATCAAACTAATTTTTCTTTTATTCTTTTTTGTGAACTTGAACGAATTTCCTCCTTGCTCTGCACGAATAATTTAAAAAAATAGTGTATAACAGACATAATAAAAAAAATAATTGTCTCATCACAATAAAAATAAATAATAACGTGCCATCAAGCTTTAACCTGATTAATTTAAAATTTGTTTCAAACTTTATTGCGATCGTCAAGAGTACTTTTTGGTTTTTTTTTTGTTTTTGGCAAGAGTACCCTTCCATTCTTAACATTAGACAGCATCGAAGGTCAAATGAATGCTAGTTACATGTGTATTTATAAAAATAAAAAAACTTATCAGCAAAATGAAGTCGTAATGCGGCTGCGTGGTTTGGCGTAAGCCGAAAAACAAAGAGTCAATTTATGTCGTAACTCAGGGATTTATTCTATACGCATAAATAAACTGAAAACTACAAATTCAATAATGGTTGTCGATGTCTTGTAGAGTCATAAATATGATTGTCTTTAAACAAAGTCGCGTTTATTTGAAAAGTAGGTATTCTATAACTCTTTCACTTGCACACTCTCATTGTTAATTTAATGAATGGAAGACCATTCACACTTCCCAAGAGCATTTGAAACCCGCTTCATGCATTTAGATGGAAGCAAAATTCAGCCAATAGAATTGCTGGAAAAACTATTTTTTATAATCAAGCCAAAAAATAATTTTCTTTTTAGATTTTTTTTCATTTTCATTAATATTAAAAAACCGCGTTAACGGTAAAAAACCAAAGCCCGGTAAACCAAGGCAATATGATTTTATTTTAAAGAAAAAGAAAAAAAAAAAATGAGGAAAAATCCTGCCCTTTTTATACCTTTCCCCCCCCCCTTCAAAAATTTTTTTGGGTAATCACAAGACCCTTTCGTGACGGGGACTTTTTTGCTTCATGCAAAAATTATTTCATGTGATTCGCGCGTTTGCTGCGCAATGCCACTGTCGCGCGCGATACTAGTCCCTCAAACGTTACACAGCTCTATCTCTTTCCAATAAAATTTACTTTATTAAGAGCATGTAAACTCATGTTAGGGTCTTCTTGTAAACTATGTTCGCGTTTAAATGCTTTCTATGCTACTACATGTCCAACGAACGTATTGGAGGCCCTCGCAAAATATTTTTGGCCGTTTTCCACAATGGCCTCAAAGGTCAACATATTCCATTCCTGCATGGCTAAATAAAATAAAAAAGACTTGTATAAAAAAAGAACACTTGGACGATGTCTTTTTGTAGTAAACTGCTACATGTTCCAATAGAGAGACGGCTTATATTCCTCAATTTGTCTTTTGTAAATTAAACGACCTAGTTAATCAGGCACTTTTTTCAATGTTGACTTCCACGTAATGGATTATAAGAAATGGTGTACATTGGGTGGTAGCCACTTAAAGAGCAAGCACATAAGAAGAGAAGTTGTATCTTACGTGCTACATATACTCTTGTTAATGCCCGTTCTCTCGTTTTTCAGTAACGATGTCTAGGCTTTTGGATCTTTGAAATTCCGCCACTCAGCGGCTTTCTCTTGGTATAAAATAAAAGAAACTGATGGTTTGTAAGCCTGAGTTTAATTAACCTGACTAAAGTTTAGAATCAAATCATCTTCACTAATGACTTGATGTTTATTTGGAATGTGGTGAAGACCCATTCATCCATGGGTGTATTACACTAGCTTACAGTAACCTTCAAAAAAAGAGGCGCACAGAAAATTTGCATGATTTAAACAAACAGGATGTAACTAATCCAGTGTCATGTATGAATCGAGGCCATACAGTTAAATAATGATGCACTTCATGTGCAGTTTGGGGATGTATTGCAATAAGTGATGCATCGATAGTAGCTTTTTGCGATTGCACTGTTGTCTACTGTGGTTATATCTTGATATAGTCCTATGAAGTGATGTGTGCAAGCTTATTTTTGATTACGACGATGAGTATGTGTCCTTGTGTATTGTATCACTAACGCTGATACGGGTTGTTTTTGCGGTAGCTAAAACGTTAAAACTAGAATAAAGAGATGTATTGATACTGAATCTGTTAATCATTATGAGTTTGATAACACGCTAATGGATTTTATCAAAAGGTTCTAGTACATTTCCTGTTTTAGGCAGAAAATACACATCATAAAATTGAGTTGCATGACTCTTTACAACAGAGAAATGGTGCGGGTGTTCATTTTATCACCTGTTTAAATTAATATTATAGAGTCATCAAGATATACGACTGTTTCTGTGAAAATAGAATAAAAAACAGGAGAATGAATCAAGATGAAGACACTCACAGACAAAAGCTTTTTAAAGAAACATGGGGTACTTATTATTTCGAGTTATTAATAGGTAATGTGTGATTTTTAATGTTTTGCCCATGAAGGACTTCTGGCAAATTGTATTGGTTTAAGGCATTTGAACTCCACTTCGGGTTGGCGTTACACATGCTTAGCCAGTGTTTGTATGCAAAATCAATGCTATTTTATACAAACTGAAGGACGCCATCGAGTAAGCTATTTTTGTAATCACCTCTATTGTTTTCGAAAAAGAGCTATTATTGATATCTGCTAAGCTTGGATGCCTATTTTAAGTAACACACTTTTTTTATTTTATCAGATATAAAATCAGCATGGTTAAGTATCAGCCAATTAAAAGCTGGCCGAATTGACGTGAAATAAATATGGCCTGTGCGAATTTATATCCACCTGGGGCTAGTGCAGAGGTTTAAATGAAGCATTTGATTGCTTTGTCACGATGCTGTATCACATCATCGTGACCACACTGTGGACGATAAAAAGAAATGTCCTTTTGAATCCGCGCTTTGACTCATATGTCGTATCACACACTGTTGGCAAAACAGGTGGAAAGACTTATTCAAGCAGGCACAGACAATCACCTTTAGTAACCAAGGAAAATTTCTAGTTGTTGCACAAAATCTCATGAAAAACCCGGTATTTTACACGATTCCTCAATTGGCAATAATCAAGATCGCACAATAGTCAATTAGAAGCACGATTTGTTTCTATAGAATTAAGAAAATTAAATACGGGACACTCTTAGATGCGAAGTCTCTCTTTTTTTTGTCTTTTTTTCTATGGCTTTAATAAAGTTATGCATTCGTTTATGAAATTAGTTGACACCCTCACTTGTACCTGTCAAAAACACCTGCTGGTAAATACATTGGTTTACGCTATGCAATAGATATTTGTTTGTACGAAATAAGCAAAATAAAAGAACAGGCTCAATACTAGTAAGATTTAGTAGATAATACAACTGACTTTATAAAAAAAAATCTTAGCAAGGGTTTATTAAACAAGTACAGACAAAGATAAAGTACATAGATAGCCAGAGTGTCTACGTGAATGAATAATAAGTCTATCTATGTTTGCAATGGTTGGCATTGACCCACTCTTTAGTGAATAAACTTGAAAGTGGGACGGATTCACATATATGTTGGACACCACGTTTCTTAAACGATTGGATGAAAGTGACTCCGCTAAAAAAATATGTAAGAGGACTTATGACGACAAACATTTGTTGTTTCTGGCAGACAAATAAATGGATCTGAAACTAGAATTTTCTATTTTAGAACAGAGCTTCTTCAGATTCTTTTTTTTGCAATCGCAGTTTTAATAAAATATTGGAAAACCTATTATATAACAATGCTCTTTCGCTTAAACGCCTTCTTTCTCTCTCTTTAACTTTAATTTTTTTGCCGAAAAAATGCATCGCAGATCAGTGTCTTCAGATTACCACCTTGATACCCAGTCATTAGATCACAGAGGCTCATTCTCCTCTGTCTCGTCGCAGCAGTATTTCCCTCCAGCAATGCTCAATCAACAGCATTTACCTCCTCCTCCACCAAACACTACTCAGAAACCAGCTCATACAAACACATTTGTGCACAAACTATACAAGTAAGAATATTCTCTCCCTTAAAAAAAAAAAAAAGCATGAGATTGACAAAACCTTTTTACTAGCATGGTGGTAGATAATCATTATCAACATTTAATATCATGGGCATATACTGGTTCATCATTTATCGTATGCAACATTATGGAGTTTTCTAGAGATGTTTTGCCAAAACATTTCAAACATAACAATTTTAGTAGTTTTGTCAGACAATTAAACATGTATGTATATATATAAACAAAACAACATAATATGAAACTAACCCAAAATTAGGTATGGATTCCATAAAGTAAATAAATCCCCAAGAGGACATCGTACTTTGGCAGAAAATCAAATTTGGGAATTCTCTCATCCCAAATTCTTACGGAACCGCCCTGACCTTTTGGACGAAATTAAACGCAAATCAATGGAAGCTGACACTGCTAGACGTGAGAATGGTGATTTACAAAGTCATGTCGCCATGTTGCAAGGATCCCAAGCCGAAATGATCCAACAAATTCAGAACTTGTACGAAAACTTTACCGAGGTTATTAAAGAATTGGAAGAAACCAAACAAAAGCAAGAGAGTCAAACACAGTTCATCAAGAGCATGATGAATTATATCTCGCAACAGAATGGAGGTAATGTACTGTGGAAATATATTTAGTGTATAGCTTAGATAAATACTAACCCTTTCATTTTACACACACAGGCCAATTACCAAATGAATTTGTTCATGTGAGCAGCCAATTTGATATAAAGCAAGAGAAACCACCTTCCATCTTTATCACATCGCACGAAGCCAACCACAACAATAATTTATTAGACGACATGTTTGGTCGCTCATCAGGACTTTCAGTACAAACACAAAACCTTCCTTGTAACAGTAACAACAACAATAATAATATCAACAATAATAGTCGTTCGACATTAGGCCCTTATGGAAACCAATTACCACCTAGTCCCAGCCCAAGTATGCTCGTCTCAGATGATGAACTCGATAATTCAATGTACTCTCCAAACTCTCCTCACACTCCAAGACAACCACATAATTACTCCTCATCCTTTATGAATAACTCTCTCGACACTTTATCTCATAGATAAAACCATATACTTGCGGTTTGGCTGGTTCAAACCTGCCCCCACCCCTCACTTACCTAACCCTATTTATTATTTACCACATTTTGTACAATATACACACTACTTTTTTTTATGCATATATTTTTACTACTTTTTTTTTAACATCAAGAACGGTAAATCTTTTTAACTTTGAATAAACAAAAGATACATGTCACTCTCCAAAGATGATTATCCTTTTATGTCACTTCTTTTTGTGAAGATGGGCAAATAGTATCATATATGTTATACTTTTCTGCAAGCGTTTTTAACAACTGGTATAACCAATGATTTTCAGTGGTTAAAAGCAACACTTTATTATTATTTCTTCCAACAAGGAATAGTGATTGATTAAACATGTTCTGTTTTATTCCACCTATTCTTCATTAGAACGCTTTGTGTAACGGTTGTGATAATGGATGACAAGTAGCAGGCCTAACATGATTGCCATGACAAGTACCTTGGCAGAGTAACAGATCAAATTTTGAACATATTGTAACCATTATTGACTATGGGAGTAAGGGACCTGAAATCAATCCAATCTGAATCAAATCTACCAGAAGTTCTTGTTGTGAATATTAAAGACTAAAGTGGAGAAAGGTTTACTTTTATAAAAAACATACTCGAGGACATTCTTTGTATTCTTTTGCCAACTCGAAATAAACTAACTTTATTTTCTTGTGTCTCTGAGTAAACGAAGCGCACTATTAAGGGATTGACGGTTGAAAGTTTCATTACATTGTGAATAGGGCTAATATATTAAGAGTGATAAACAAGAACTGGTTAATGTCAGGATTACTTGATTAATCTTAAAGGGGTTTATTGTTTCTCGTTTCTTATTAGATTTAACTAGTAGAAATTAGTAAGAAAACTCTGACTATAGTTAGTTACTAGATTTTAGTATCTTATACGGCAATTGTCATTTTAAGATGAAAAGAAAAAAAAATGGTTAACTTGAAGATGATACGGTATTAAACAATAAAGGAAAATCGGATGTGAAAAATTTAAGCTTTCACCTCGTTGCACACATGTTTTTTTTATCTGCGCACCATTTTTGTAACCTGAATTACCAGGAATGGAATCGTTCGCAAAATTCATTAATTCTCGGGTTATGACAACCCCCCATGGCACCACGAACCGAGAACTTTTAAAACACAGTGTAGAACGGTAAATGTTGTCACTTTGAGAAAATTGTGTCCATAGCTGTAACTTTCTAAAAAAAAATCAATGGTTAAAAACTTAACCAGAGAACAAGCACTATGCATTTTTTTTTTGTTTGGAGTACTATAGCTAAAAAAAAAAAGCGGAAATGACTAAAGATGTCGATGTATGCTTGGAAGAAACTCCATACAACCCCCCCCGTCATATTGTAATGAAAAAATCAATACATATCCTTACAATTATAACAGATATCCTAGCGTGATTAATTCGACTTCATCATCTTTTTATTTTTTCGTGTGAATTCAGCGGAGAAGAACTGAAACCCCTTATTGTATTGTTTAAAGTAAAAAATGCAACTGGCTTCTTCTTAAGAAATCATGTTTAGTAATAAAATAGCACAGTTGAATTTTTCTCTCTCTAAAGAGTGAAATAGACCTTTTGGTTTAATTCAATTTTTTTTTGATTACGGACATTTAATTTTAAAAAGTAAAGCCACAAAGAACCTTTCAATTTAATGGGAAATTAAAAAAGGAAACCATGCCCCGAAAAATAAAAATAAATATGAATTATATATAGAATAGCCGGCTAAAAGGTTGGAAAGTGTCAACTTTGAATGCTTCTTTTGTCAAATACAAACACTGCTGTAATCACGCATTGATTTAATTTTAGTAACTTGTCACTAACGTAGTCCCACCTCGTTCGTCATCGTTGGACGGGGTATTTGTTTGTTGATGCCCTACTATTTAAACTTAAATGACAACTCTCCGTCAAAAAAGTGATGCCATTGAATACAAATGATGTCTCTTACAGTAAACAACCGCGATACGCCACAACAGCATATGCGCCCTATATATGACATGTGAAGCTGTCAAGTGGTGCATACATCACTGCTTGCTTAGATACAAGCGTCAGACTCACATTACATTATTACGCATTTTTATTATTTTTATTAAGAGTCTATCATACAGCAACCAAAAAGAAAAAATCGATAATTATTATATACATGTATAGGAAAAGAAGAAGGAGCACGATGATCTTTTTAAATACGGTCTCTAAATTTATCGTCTCGATCACTGGACAAGAACCATTTAAAATATTCATAGACACTCCAGCTGATTGCAGTACTTGGCATATTTGTGAGTACACGAGGACGAAATCCTCGAAAGAAACCCATCAAGCCATGTCTGTTGTAAATGATGCGAGCAGCGTCTTTAAAACCTGTAGCATTTCTAATTTCTAAGTCTGTGGAAGATCCTCTTGTTTGTAACAGTGTTTTAATCACATCTAACGGTGTTGTGACAGAAGAAGCAACAGCACCTGAGATGGCACCTGCCATCATGTGCACTTTGGGGTTGTAGGCTCCATTAGGATCTAAACGTGCTCGACAATACTCGTATGTAGCAAATTGAATTGTCTGAAATGGAATAGACATACTAACAGTTGTCGGAAACGATATATAAAAAGCTCTTATTCCTTCCTTGCTATACACTGTTCGAGCACATTCACGCACAGATTTGTATGTCGAATCCTGTAGTTGCATCCTTTGCTTTAAAACTAGTCTGCGTATTAGTCATCTCTCTCTCTCTCTCTCTCTCTCTCTTTTAATTTAACCTACCATCAAAGGGTGTCATCATAAAATCATGAGCAAATGTAGCAATAGCACCAGCAGTACCAGAAGCAATTAATTGGTTGGATATCTCAAATGTACTACCAGGCGCTCTTAATTTTGTATTAAGAGATAATTGATCGCTCAATTTTTCTTTGCAAAACTCATAAGTAGCGAAATGAACAGCATGGGCAGGACCAGCACCTGCAATTACTGAATAAACTCCTCTCCATAAATGTCGACTCTTTTTCCGTAATTGTTTCTGGGACGCGTCCTTGATTACAGTAGTTAATTCCGGCGCAGTCAAAACTTGCATTCTTGTCTGAGAGGGCAGGAGACGAGTAAATAATTATGACTATTGTTAAATATTTCTACTTACTCTGATACTATCAACTGGGTACATAATACAGTGTTCTCCAATACCAGCCAAAGCACCAGCGATAGCATTTTGTCCCATGGTTGAATTAGCACCTAGTGATTCATAATCATGTCCATTATCAATGTCCATTTCTGTTTATTACAAGGAATAAGAACAACAAAAAAACAAAAAACAAAATTGTTTACCCATCTCGGGAACAAAGTTAGATCAAATTGTATGACGTAATTTTAGCTTTATTTTTTTCCTCCTCCTCTTTTATGAAAAATTAAAAACATAAGTTCTCATTACATTGTAGAATGCTTTGCGTTCTACCTACACTAGCTCAGCATTAAAATAAACTGACATTTTGCATGACCAAAAAACTCCATCAGAGACTCCGCTTCATTTCATTTTTTCATCAAAGAAATGCCGCTCTTGTTGTTGTGACACACGATATTTTTGTGCTGTGTTTCACTATGCTCAACAGTAAGACAGCTCTGAAGGGAGATAGTTTAAAAATAATAAGGTCACATCTTGTAAACTAAAGTAAATCTTCGACTTGGATAGGCGTAACTATGGTATATTTCTCTATTCAAATTGTGTATTATTACAATTTAAGTATGTCAGGTGGCTTACAAATAGTCATGAGTGTGCATGAAAATGGACGAAGAAAGCGGCGATTTTTTTGGTCAATTTGATTGGCTGCCATTCAAAGTGTTAAAAGTCAGATTTAAAGTTTTTTATAAATAGTAGTTGAATTTTTTGTGTTTTTTTTTCATTCCGTTCATCTGTGACACTTTTTAAAATTTAGAATGAACGACATTTAGGTCAAATACACTACAATACTCGCAAAACTGCGTATGTAATCTATTCAAGTAGTCTAGTTGTTTTTAGTAACTGTTTTTTTCGAGGACCATAGATTGGCATCGATTTAGTTTCATGACATGTCCATTCCAGTAGTGTGTAAGCAGTACTATCTACATACACCCGTATTGGAATATATATATAGTATTCAGGGCAATCTAATGAAAAAAGAAAGAAGAAACACAGGTTTTCGTCAAGTAATAACAAAGATTGATTGTAACAGTCTTTATATTTATCTGCGAAGAATACATACAACTTTTTTATTAATCCTTCTTGACATCTCTGCTTTTATTGGGCGCAACATCTTCATCATTGTTATTCATAAACTCTTTAGCAATATCCTGTACACCTTCTGCATCAAAACAGTCATCGTAATTCTGATCAACCAACAAATGTGATATGAACCAAAACTGAAGTGAGTACTTGGGATCCACCACCCAATTACGAGTATCACGTACGTCACCTCCCATAAATACGGATTTTTGGGTCAAGAATTGGAAACAATCATCAACATTATAATAGTCTTGAAATATAATCATGCGATCTCGAATCGAAGCACCAGGCACAAAATCAATTCGTATATCATGAGGTATCACACGTTGCAAAGCAGCTAGAAAAGTAAAAATAAATTAAGTATACGTGTTAATGTAAGCGTGGTGATACTTTACTGGGTAATAAAGCCGCGGGAATCAGGTTACCAAGAATACTGCCCAACTTTAATTGAAGCCTTAAAATATGTAAAGCTTGAAGCGATGGCATGTTCACAAAGTCTTCAGATGTTTTAAGTGAGGGCGGTTCAGAGATAACACCAATAATGGGCTTTCGGTGCACTGTCAGTGCTTGGCTTATGGGTGGTTGAACGTCTTTGGGCGAGCAATTGACGGTGTCTTGATATATAGGTGATGACGACGACGACGATGATGATGGTGATGATGATGCTGGAGTATCAGACGACGGTGGCGGAGTAGATGAAGGCTGTTGTGTAGCTGGCTTAGGTGCCTGTTGTTTTGGATGTACTGTTTTACTCTTCTTTTTAGTTCTTGGGAAATTCAGCCTTGGTTCCTGAGAATTCTTATTGAGCGTAATTACTTTTTCTTCAATGTAACTTTGATAGGATGAGAAGGCGAAATCTGATGTCGGGGCATTATTTTTGACGAAATTTGAAAATGAACTGTTTTGAGTGGTGGCGAATAAGGCTTTATCGAAATCGACGACACAATTATTTTCCAACAGCATATCTAATAATGCAGGCGTTTGATGGGCTTCATTTTCTACATGTTGACCATACAGACCAAATACGGGTTTCTTATACTCGCCATTGTTGTTGCTAGGGATAATTCGGGATTCTGTCCAGATATGAGGTACAGAGCCACGGTGAACTAAACAGGATAAGGTCAAATGAAGCACACACGCCTTTAAGTATTTCGCTTCAAATTCAACAATGGCTAATTTTTCTTTTAATTCAGCAATTTCTTGAGTGAATGCTTGCCATTGAAGCTCTTTTTCTGCTTTACGTTGTTGCTCTCGTTCCCGAAAGGCCTTTTGGGCAGTTCGATTTTGAGCTCGACGTTCTTGTAAAGAAGGTGGGTTGGGTTTACGACCGGGTCGCTTTCTTTTCCGAACTCGTTCTCCGTCCTCATTTTCCACACCAAAATCACACTCTTGGTCAAAGTGTTGGAATGAGTATCGATTAGGCAACTCCTCATCGTTTGATGTCGACATTTTTATTGTTTAATACAGAAAAAAGAGAAAAAGAGAGGGCAGGCTAAACCTCTTCTCCGGGGGGGATACAATTTTTGTGTGACATTTATTGTTTTCTCAAAACTTAGTAATGATGCCTACAAAAAAAACTGCCCCAAGCGAAGCTAAAATTCTCCATGTTGTATATGGACGCACTTCGACTCCAACTAAACCATAATTATCAATGATGCAAGCTGTAATAACCTTTGTAATGTAATCGGTAAGTAAAGAAGCCACCGGGAAATTTTTTTCTATTTTTACCTGTGAACAGACAAAGAAGGCAAGTGATGTACCTACACCCAATTTAGGTACAGCTATGATATTAGTAAGGATATAAAAAAAACCACATATGCCACCTATATGTACATTTGTTTAGTTGATCTGTCTAATGGGCCGGTTATATCTTTTTTACCAATCCAAGCGTAGTGTGGAGCCTCTACAAATTAGATGCAACAGATTAGAATACATCTACACTAAATATTCAATCTTTGTTTATTACGCTCAACGTGTGATGTGGGTAAAGGGGTATGCAGTGCACCAATGTCTATACCGAAAAAGATGAAACAGGATAATAACCCGACAGTAAAGTTTACAAAAGAAGAAAATGATCTACCACCGTATCTTGTGAGAGTAGCATTACATCCTTTTATATATCATGTTTGTAAAAAAAATCATGTATAAACAAAGATCAATGTATACATATACCTGCTTGTAAAGCGAGTGTGCAGCCTGCAACTATCAGAAGAAATCCAGAGAAAATTGTATTGTTAAGCAGAGTTTCTTCTGCCATCATAAACAAATTTAGACGTCAAATATAACAAAAAAAAAATAGGGTAAAAGAGAGAAAGAGACAAAATATTTTTTAGGAGAGTATAAAGTTATTTTTCAATCAGTGCACGCGCGAATTTTTTCTATTGGTTTAGAAGTTTAATAATTATATTTTTATACATTAAACAAGAAGATGCTATATTATGCTAGTCATGAGTTCTTTTAAGGTGGTCGTGTTCGAGTTACAGGTCAATGTAACATTTCTTCTCAAAACTTATTTCTGTCCCAATTCTACTTACTTTAGTAAATTTAATTTGCTTCGTATATATTATTTCCAGGAGGCAAGTAATCAATGACAATACATGAATCCGTGAAAATAATAGTTTTAAAAAAAAGAAGAGGGAATAAGAAATATTCCACAAAAGGAGAAAAAGGGTAATTAGATCGAAAATACACTGCATCAAAACAATGCATGATTTATTAAAGTGCACCTTAAAACACCATTTATATAAAAGAGTCATTTCAACTCTATTTTCTCTTCTTTTTTTATCATTATAATTTTATTAAAACATGAAGTGTGTATATCTTGCTACTATCATTGGTGCCTTTGCTGCTACTGCTGTTCATGCTCAATGCGCTTGTGCTCCCACAGACAGCGTCTGTCTCAGTGAATGTGGTATGTCCTCTTTTCTGTTTCTTTATATAATATAAATAAATTTTCTAATCATTCATTTATTCAGTCGGTCAAACTAACAGCTGTATCTCGGCTTGCCGAAGCAATGATTGTTACTCAAACTGTATTTCTAACCACTGGCCTGGTGTTGATCCCGTCTCTTCCGCAACCTCACCTTCAACCACCGCCGCTGTTGTTGAGCCTTCTTCAAGTGCTGCCGTTGTCTCTTCTTCTAGCAGTGATGCTGCTAGTGCTAGTGCTAGTGCTACTGCTACTGCTACCGCTAGTGCTAGTGCCAGTGCTACTTCCGAGCCTTCTGCTTGGTCCTCAGCCGCCGTTGCCACTTCCACTTGGTCTTCTGCCTGGTCTGGTAGCTCTTCTATCGCACCCAGTAGCTCTTCCGCTTGGTCCCAATCATCTGCTGCCTGGACCTCCAGCTCTGCTTGGTCTTCAGGATCCACCTGGGTAGCTAGTCGTAAGTATTTCTATGGATACGTAACTTGTTTCTTTTATGTAACATTTTTTTTTATTTGACTTAGACACTGCTTCTGCTTCTGCGTCCACTTCAGTTGCTGTGAAACCTTCAAGCATCAGTCCTGCAGCTTCTCTTTTGCCTGCCAGCGCTGCTACCACCACGCAAATGTCAAAGGCCATGATTGGTCTTGGCTTCGCATGTGCAGCCTATCTATTGCAGTAAATAATTACTGTCAGTTCCCTTTTTTTCATATACTACTAATTTTGTTTTATTATATCATTAATGTTTTTTTTAATAAAGTTTTTTTTAAGAAAAAAAAAGTGTTTGTGTGTGTAGGTGTGGAGAGAAGGGGCAACAGAAATGTATGTAATAAATCCTAATAGCTAAGAAAAAATATATATATATGGGATTTAGTGGGCATAGCAAAAGAAAGTCAAAAAAGGGATTTATACAAAGTGAGGGGTTAAAAACAAAAAGAAATTTCTCCTTTTGTCAGCTAATGATACACGAGGCTTGGTTGGATCGCCTTTTATAGGACTCGAGATACTTTAGTTGTCTCTTATTAATCGCACCTTGGCGGTGTTTACGAACAAAAGCTACTGAATCCAAAGGATCCATCCCTTCTTCAATCAATGCAATAGCAACTAACACAGGAGCTCTATCAATCTAAATGATTAATATATGTATATTTTAATGATAAACCAATTTACCTTCCTAATCCAGCTACACAGTGAGCTGCAATACAGGGTCTCTTTTTAATGACGGATGGATCTTCATCATCCTTCTCTTCTTGGTCATATTCATCTTGCTCAGTCTTGAAAGTGTTATCCACTAAATTCAACCATTCATCAATAATGATTTTTGATGGTGGATCACCATCCGAGAATATCCAGTCATGAACTTTTATGCCATGATCGTTTAATAATGTCTGCGAATAAGTCGCTTTGCAGCATCGAACAACATCTGTCACATTCCATCGTTCAAACTCCTTTTAGTTTATATTAGTAATAAGCTTATTAGGCTGAGAAAAAGAAAAAAAAATGCTCACTTTTATATATCTGGACATATTACTGATGCATGGGGTGTCAATAATTAAAAATCGAACATCATTATAAACAATGTAACTTGGCGGATTTAAGAGTGGATTTTGAATTTTGGTATATGCAGGTGGTTTCATCATCATCATTGTATAATAAAAAAAGAGGGGTAGGTTTGTTCTGTCGATGTCTATCCTAGAAAGCCTTTATGTATACACGTGGTTGTTGTTTCTATTGTCAATAATCCTCAACATCCAAGAAAAAAAAAAGAAGAACGAAAGAAAGAGAGAAGAAAAAAAGGGATTATTAGACGTTTTATAATTAAACATGTATACAATTGCATCACGTGTGTAACCATTTGCCGTTAATGGAATCATCTGATTTACACAAACATCTAATTTATTCCACCAAACGGAGCAATTTGGCACAATGGAGGTGAAGTATTTGTCCATGCTCACTTTCTCTCACAAAAATACTATCACCGATTATACGATGACATTTCAGACAGGTTGTTTCATAGTCTACCGTAATTGATCCGATTTCTTTATACGTCTTGATCATTTCACTACTCACCTACACACAGAGTATTAGTACATCGAAGGCTTTATTGGTCTCTTTGTACATACCATCAAGTTTTCGCCCCGGCCTAGTGCAACAACAATACGACTTTCATTGTAATCATCCAATGATCTTCGAAGTGATCGAATTAAAAAATCCTGTAACATATGAACTGACCAATCTTCGGGTATAGTTTCAAGAACCTAAATTTTTTTTATGTGAATTTAGTATATAATCCAGAATATTATGATGGACATATACTTTACCTCTAAGGTATCCAAATAAACTCCCTGGGTATTCAGTAAATGCATACTACGCGCAATCATGAGTTTACTAATATATATATATAAATAAAAAAACTTTAGTACTTTAAAATTGTTCTTGATCTAATTCGCTTCTATTTTTACCTATCTTTGATGGCAATGTACGATTTAAACAGCATGGTAAATAGAGCTTTCCTTTCATTTAATTGGTCGGTAGAAAGATAATCTCCATCTTTCTCAGGAATAAGCGTCGGTAATGGCCTTTCTTTAACACCCACTAATGAAGAGGAACGAGGCATTGTTTGGTGCTGCTGCTGCTGCTGTTGTTGCTGATCATTATCATCATCTGAAGCAGCTGCGGGTATGACACCTGTACTTTGTCCATTGGTGACACAATAAGTTTCTGCACCAACGAAATCACTCAATTCATGAATCAGGATATCAAGTGCTTCCTTGTGTTTGCCCATCTGTAGTAATAATGAATTGATAAGTCATAACTTAATCAGTACCATGTGGTCTATTCTTACCCTTCCGAATACAATGGCTTTTTCTATCGCTAAAGGACCAGCCTTTGACAACACGGTTAATAATACTTCCGGCGAATACAATTGAGATCGTAATAACAACCGAATTAACAACAATCGTAACTTGACTAACGGCGTCTTTTGAGATGCGAGGTAACCCACAAAAGTGGATTTACTCAAAGTATCACTCGTATCTGGATTTTCAATCTTCATTGGGTTGACATGTTTTTTGAATCCCTTGACTTGATTTTTATGTGTGAGTCTATAATGTATATAAATAGAACAAAGGTTATAACTTACCTAATTCATCCATTTGCTTTGATTGATTATTATTCTCAATCTCTTTTTGTACGTCACGCACATAACTGCATGCAAGCCTTGTATGGTATTCCGCTCTTTCACTCTTTTGCGTCATGACAAGGTACTCGAGGTATGTCCGGACACCTTCATTACTGTAACTTTCTAATTTGTCAAGAATTTCGTCGGGGTCCATATCTTCTGTACGAGGTGATCGTGTAAAAACCTCCACACCATCGGCAGGGCTTTCATGGGTTAACCACCATGCATATCGCATAATAACAGATAAAGGGAGTTCTTGTGAATGAACGTCCTTTAATAATAATCTCTTGATGCGTGTTAATCCATCTTTAAATTCTTCGTCAGGAAGTTCACCAGAATAAATCCTATCATCATGTATATAAATATAAAAAAATAATCACTTAAATACATACTTTTTTTTCTTACTTTGTCCAGATATCCAAGACCTTCTCATACATGTGTTTGGATTCGTACATGATGGATAATGCATAGTATTTCTTAAAAAAAGAGTAAATATTTGTGTATGTCCTTACTTTTTTTTTGTTTACCTTGGATTTGGATAATGCTTTAGCGCAATCTTCAATACTGCAATCATTAGGCTGTTTTAATAATTCGTAAATAGATTTATCATCCTTTTGCGACATGTAGATTTTTAACAAGGATGTATCAATGACTTTACACAATGTATCATTTTGTCCCATACGATCCCTTCTCTTTCTACGTTCGAGCAATAAATACTTTTTGAGGGCCTCTCTTGCATTCAGTAATAGCACACGGCGCATTTCAGGTTGATTATCTTCGCTGTTTAAACTGTGATTCACCACATCTTTGACAGAACCCACTTCCTCAATTAATGCTCTGACACCGTCAAATAATAGAATAGTAGGTGCTTCCTTCAACCATTTCGATTGAGCCAAACCTTCAAACAGATGAATGACAACACGTGGATCCAAATCACCCTTGGACAATAAAGTGAAGGCATCATCAAATAAGGTTTCCTTTAAAAGCAATAAGCCGGACTTTTGGTAGGTGTAATCCAACTCGGATCGTAGTCTTTCGACATAGACATTGTTATCGCTGGACATGGTGTTACGGGCTTGTTCAGCCAGTTGCATAGCCTCCTCTACCAGATTATTTTCCAACAAACTATCCACTTGCACAACCAAAGGGGTAGACACTTGTGCCAAGACCGTATCATTGCCGTACACTAAAATACGTGCAGCAGCAGTAGAGTAACGGCTGATTTCTCGTTGCAATTGACTGGACAATTCCACATCCTCCTGCTCTTCCTTTTGCCATGGATGTCTCTGTAATTTGTGTGCTAATTCATCCATCCATACTTTAATGCCATGACCTAAAGCCATACCTTTGGCGTCTATACTGGGATCCAAAGGGATGGTCTGCAAAAGTGTTTGATCTAAAATATTGTGGATTTCAATGGAATTATTACGCAAGAGTGCAGCGACATAGGGGAATTCGACGCATAAAGCTTTGGGATAACTGGACCATTGTAAGGTGCCTCGGATGGGATCTCCGTTACCATTGATAAACAAACCAATCTGACCTTCTTCGTTACCACTGACCAATAAAAACTCGTCTTGTTTGACAACGGCTACCAAAGGTCGAGGTTGTGTACCTGAGCCTAATAATAATGTGGGTGTGACAGATACTTGTGGTGTTGGTATCAATTCTGTGACGAAGGATTGTTGTAAATTGATTAATTTGTAGATTTGACTGTCGGCTAAACAAATGATTTTACTGTGTCTTGTTAATGTAAGTGCTCCATCTGGCAGTGGTATTTCCTATCCATCATTTGTTTGGTTTTCTGTAAAAAAAAAAATGTATTGCAAAAATAAAAAGGCGGTACCTTTTTTAGATGCATGGATTCACCAATTTTGTAGATTTGAATGGCTCGTCGTTTGATCACCGATAATTCAACGGTACCATCTTCTCCGATCCTGCCTTCCTCACCAATATCATGAGAAAAACAAGATACGCCTTTGATAGGTTGGATCAAAGGTACGGGAATAGGGTCAAAAAACGGTAAAGAGAAGAACGAGAGTGTGGAATCTATTGGACCAATATTTAATTTTTTTCTCCAATATATGCATCAATTTTCTTTTTTTAGATGTATACCACAAAGTACAACGGCTTTCGAGACTTGAGGTATCAATAAAATGCGTTCGACACTTCTTTTACCGAATCCTAAGTTAATAGTATTTTCTAATCGTGTTGAAAATGTCTAAATATTGTCCTGTTAAAGAAAATTCTTTTTCTTTTGCTTTTATAGACTCTTACTTTATCTGGAGAGGAAGTGTCTTCAATGGAGTAATGTAAAATAACGCCATCAGAAGTACCGCAATAAACATCGCTATCTAATAATAAGTATACTTTAGTATATAACTACCCCCGTGTGTGTATGCGTGCTTTCAAGTACCCCAAGCAGCCACTGAATCTATGCGATTCGTAGATGAGTAACGAATAGTCGGTGAAGTAACGCCATCCGTTGACGGTGACGACGGTGAAGTGGGTCTTCTGGAAAAAAACGAAGTGCTGGTCGAAGCTTGGATCGGCTCTTCTATTCTCGGTGACGAAAGAATTGTCTGTAGCGTATAAGGTGTATAGGGCATATATTATGAGTGAATGGATGAAATAAACGCAAAATGTATCTGTGCACCCTTTTTAAAAAAACACCTGAAATATCGGAACTTGTAAAATGTCACTGCCGGGCTTGAATTATGATACCTTTAAACGTAAACTTATCATGGAACGCTATTATTGACAACAAATTCATCTATAACTAATGAATATACTAACATTTGGCATTTATATTTATTGATTGTGTATTCTCAACAACTCTTACATCAGTAAATTTTTAGATACGTTTTATCTGTGACCAAAAAATAAAGTTTGTCGTGCAAATGGTCATCTCTGCTGCGATTCATGGACGGGTTATTACCCATAAATCAAAAACAAACTCTATGCATAAAGTATAATTCTGCATTTTTATGCAATTTGCATGGTATTTGTATGCTTGCTTCACGTGCGACAAGTATTGGTATTGGGCCTTTTTTTTTTATCTAAGTATGGTGTGACAATATTCCGCAAGGATTATCTCTACCAATGGAAGCTTCTCTTCATCAGATAAAATAAAAATAAAAACCGGTGTAATTATGTTTGTGATGGTCCGAGATTTCTTTGTGTTACTACTGAATAACGAAGACAAATAAAGGGTTGTTATGTTATAGAAGTATAAGAATGAATATATAAATCCATATTAGTTCCTGGGTGGGGCAGCAGATCAGTAACTGGGGAAAATCTTTCGTCTTTTTTTTTTTTATATTATTTTATCTCCCAGCTAATTCAAGACCAGTCCAAAGGTGACGTAGCAATCGTAGTTATTTTGAGAAAGAAATAGTTTTTTTTTATTATTCAACTCAAGTTCCAGGTTTTCCTCATCAGAATTTGGAAAGAGGAGCGACATTGTAACAAGAAAGGAAAGTTTTCCCCATTTCAATCTTTTTTTTTATCGTTTATAATACCCTCTTGTTTCGTTCTTTTCCCTAAAAAAGAAGAAGAAAACAACCTATTCATGTCAGAAAATACAAATCCTGAAAGATCCAGCAGAGATGGACCTCGAACCACTCATGCCGAATATGATTTGCGTGCACGTGTCGAAGAAGTGATGAAGGGATTTCATGGTACCAACGCCATCGCCTATAAAAACAAGAACGAATATGTGACTTATTCAAGACCTGCAGACAGTTTAAGGATAAATCTTGACGACGAATTTATACCGGATCCGAAAGATTATTGGCCTGTCTTAAACAATATGCGTAGGGCTTTGCCTGTCTTACGCATGCAAAGAAGACCTGACCGTGCCGATGATCCTAAATGGAAAGTACCCCATATCGATAAACCTATAGTGTCTGCACCACCCGAATATCCACAATCTAAAGGCCTCAAATTACGACCGATTGATGAGATTATTAAAGACAAGGAACTGTTAAATAGTTTAGCTGCTCCATTAGCAGATAACAAAAAAACAAGTTATCAATCCCACGCCTATGTAACAAACACAAGGACATTCGAGATACCTTCCTCTACTGTTCAAGGTGTATTAAATAACATTTCAGAGTCATCAAGAAAAAGTTCTTATAAACCACTTCCGGCTCCACCTGTTAAAAGCAGATCAAAACCATTGCCGATGACTGCTACGAATCGACCACGTAAATCATCTCTGTTAAAGTCCGAAATTACCACAGCTACGCCACCACCACCACAACCACCAACATGGGCACAGCAGCAAAAATTACCACAACCACAACCATCTGCTCCAGCACAAATAGGATCAAAGAAACCAATGTCTTCGCTGGCAAATAATCCATCACGTCCACGAGTTTCTTCAAAGTCCACATCATCCCAAAAAAACAAATACACTCAGGATATTCCGGTAAAATAATAACACGTCTTGTTGTCCAGGAAACGAGATCTGATAAATTTGATTTTATTTCTAGGATTTAATTGAAGCCCGCAGTTACTTGCTGGGAGAGACAGATGAAGTAGAATTCAGAAAATTAGGCCATCTCTCAGAGTAAGCGATCTTGTGTAAATAATAACTATAGAACAACGTGCTTAATTATCATTTTTTTAGAACACACCCCAACACGCAGACTATGAAGAGACCTGCCTTATTTATTCACTTTAAACATCCTTTACCTGCTTTATCAAAAGCTGCTACGAGAGGATCAATACCCGCCGGTAAAACCATCAAAAAGTCTGAATCAACTGTAAATAAGAGACATAATGTACCAGAAAAAACCCACTCCCGTAAGTGCCTTAACATTGCCACTTTTTTTTATAAAAAAATAACTAACGATAATACAAAGCTATCAAAATTAAACTTGCAGATATACCGACTAATACCATCACACCTACACCCATTAAAAAATCGCTGAGCGATCGCACCAAGGTATCGTCAGTCAAGACCGAAAAACACACACCATTGGAGAAACCAGTTTATCCAAGCTCCATTTCCGCCGCTTATTTAAGCACCACTAAAATTCCAAAGAGAAAGACACGTGAGATTGAACTCGAGGAAGGTGAGACCATCAGTCCATCACCATCCCCTCTCCACTCAACATCCACTCACGTACCTTCTCTTCCGCCGCCACCACCACCACCTACATCAGCTCCTCTGGCTCGAGTAGAATCTTCCAGTCGTAGATCTCGACATGATGATCCTGACGACTTGCCCTCTTCTCTTACAGAATCCAATAGTAGTAGTAGCAGAAAACACTCGAGTAGACGAGATGACGAAAGATCCTCCTCCAGACGTAGTGATAGATACAATGATGACATTCGTCGAGGAAGTACCAGTACGACAGCGTCAAAGAGATCCTCACATTACAGATCAAGGTCAAGATCTAGATCTAGATCCAGATCACCAAAGCGTTCAGGCAGTAGTCGAAGACAGCTCAGCTCAGAGACCTCGCGTCGTAGCGAGAAACGTAAATCATCTGATTCAAAATATGACGCCGAAACTACAGGGAAACGTCAACGATTTGATAAAGAATCAAGTAGTAGTAGCAGAGTTGATAAAGATCATTCGATTAGATCAGATAAGGATCATTCCAGTAGCAGACTTGAGAAGGAGTATTCTAGTAGTAGCAGATCTGAAAAAGAGTATTCTAGCAGCAGTAGAGCCGAAAAGGAGAGAGATCGCGCAGCTGAGAAAGAACGATTGGCTGAAAGAGAAAAGGAAAAGGAACGAGTAGCAGCTGAGAGAGCGGCAGAGAGGGCCGCAGAGAGGGCAACAGAAAGGGCTGCGGAGAAGGAACGTTTGGCAGCAGAGAAGGCAGCAGAAAGATTGGCTGAGAAAGAACGAGTAGCTGCCGAGAAAGAAAAGGAACGATTGGCTGAAAAAGGTCGATTATTGGCTGAAAAGGCAAGAATTGCCGAAAAGGAACGTACTGAAAAGGGAGCCAAGTACAGCACTTCTTCGTCATCCTTGTCCAGCAAGAAACACTCACCAGCATCGACCAGTCATGAAAAGACAGTGTCCGCTACAGCACCGAATGCAGAGACACCTGAACAATTCAAACTGTTTAGTGTTATGTAAGTTATCTTTTCATTCATAATTATAAAATATATCGTTTGTTGATACTTTGTATGAAAATAGGTTCAATAAATTAGCACACGCTTATAAACGACGAGGTGATGGACAAAAAGATCCACTGCATATGATCATCGATCACTTTCACGCTTTCTGTGATTATATCCTGAACTTCTATTATGTCGATCAGATGAATGTAAATGCCAATTTTAAACAAGCATCGATGGTCTGGAAAAGCATATTCCCATTCACAGATATCCTCTTGAAGAAGCTTGAATCTCGTCAAGAATTTGAACTTTACGGACTTTGTGTTAAACTCAACGCGCTTATCCGATACTATATTTACAACCGTATGGAAGCAACGACGCGACCAATGCTGTTACAGCAAATGAATAACACAAAGGGTGATGACCGCTCGTGTTTTGAATTAACCCAAAACCTTCTGCTTGAATATGAAAAGGCGGATCGTACCTATCGAGAATCTGAACGCCACATGAGCTTTAACACTCTGGTGACCAAGTTCCCAGAGACCTTTAAAAACGTATGCGCACAAGGTAATCTTTCGGCAGGTATCACCTTGGGCGGAGAAGCAGGTGTTACTGTCAACCCTATGTACCCTCTCACCCCGTACTCACCTCTCCATCATACTGCCATTGTGGCCAAGTGTATCTTGGCTGAGTACGTGGCTAAAAATAACCTCAAGTACTCACCCATCTCAAATCCTGAGGAGTTCATGTAAATTCTTCTGGATTTTAAGTAATTAATTAAAAAAAAAAATAGTGTATATATAATTCCATGCAAAAAAAGTGTTCGTACATTCATTGTTAACTTGAGAGAGGGATTTTTTCTCAATGATAAATGGCTATGGGTAACACTTTAAACAGTATAAGAGTGTAATTTTCATCTATCATGAATAAATTAGTTTTATGTACACCACGCCATACTTTATCTTTACCATCATTATGCATAAATACCAAATATACATTCGTGTGTATATGGGATGTTAAAAACATTTGATTTAAGTCTAGTCATATCATCAAGCAGGATAGTAAGCGGGACGGCGGTTCTATCGAGAATATTATTCATTTCGATTCAAAATGTATTCATTTTACCGAATCTATATAGAATGACGTCCCGAACCAACCCCTTGCGTGCTATCGATAACGTGTTTTCTATGATGACAAAAACACAACGGTTCATTTTATTTCGGCCAGTTACATTCATTCTTTAGACCGGAAGTCTTTGCTCAGAACATGCAGGTAGGTTTTACACAATAAGGGATTATTATTTTTTTATTTAAAGTATAACAGTTATTCTAATATTTACAAAAAATGTATTTAAATCATGTAGCTTTCAATCTCATGAGAGCTCAAGTGCTTTTCATCTCGGGTTCTATATGTGACGAGCCAATTTCCATTAGGTAGTCGTACATACAAGTTAGAGTACATGTGTTCTTGGGGTTCTTCTTCATCTTGTTGTACTGAAGAGTCATCAGGTAAGAAAAGTGTGCTTGTTAAACTATTAGAATCATTATCACTGCTACTGCATATTGAAGGGCAAAGGGTGTCTTGCTCATCTTCCTTTGGTGGTGTTGGCTTCTTCTTCTTCATGACAAAAGTATTAACCAGAATACCTTTGATATGTTGACATTTAGCAGCCGTAGTCTTCATAAGAGGATGATTATTGTGGATCATGATTGTAAAAATAAAATTAAAAAATTAAAACAAGAAAGAGTTGTATGAAAAAAGAATTTCTATTTTATATAAACAAATGCATAAACTTAATTTATGCTTGTCTAGTTAATATTACTTGATGCAACCTTGCAACATTGTACATAGAAACGGTTTTCAGGTATTCAACCTCGGTTTTATTTCGATCATGTATAAAAAAAAAAAAGAAAAAAAAAAAAAGAAATAAAAAAAAAAAGAAAGAGAAAAAAAAAATAGAGCTTGTTTAAAAAAAAAAAAAAAAAAAAAAAAAAAAAAAAACTTTCCTCTGCTTAGAATTTACTCTTGTTTAGCCATTCATTAGCACCCGCGAACATTTCAAAGGTTGTGGATGTCATTGATTTCGCTTTTAAAAGAGTTTGGACAGCTTGGAACAATTGATTCCAGAATTCAAAGCCGGTTTCCAGGTCAGATTTAACGGATATGCATGTGGGGAAAGCCTTTTCAGTCAAGGACAATGCTTCTAACGCAGATTGTCCTTCTACAATTCTTTCAAGATAGAACTTACAGACAAGACCTAATGCAACATTGGGATCTGCCAAGTAAGGGAGACTGTCTGTGATTTGGAAGTAATCAGTGCGTTCCTTTTTCACCAGTCCGTTCAAAAATAAAGATAAGGTCAACATTTCGCAGAGATTTCGATAGCTACGATTCAGAGCCTTGACAAAACTGTTAAAGACAAGCACATCTCGGTTCAGAGGGCCAGTCCATGGACTACTTTTCAAATTCATGGGCAGTAAAGATAATGCACGAGAAAGTAATATGATATGTTTCTTTTGTGATTCTATGTAAACAAATCAGTATTTCTATCTTCTAAATAGAACCTTCCCATTTTCATAAAATTCTCTTACCATCTCCAAGAGGATGCGAATACGTCTTACTGTATTCCTTATTTGTCAACACTTCGAATCGAATCAATTCAAGTGCCGTCAGTAAAGCTTCTTGTGTCTTGCTAGACTTTAATCCCGTGAAAAGTGCTTGTCCCCAAGGTGTATAAATGTGTTTAGAACTGGTCAAAAAATCTCGAATCTCCAGTGTCTTCCACAGCACATTTGCCACAATCTCATTCTTCTCAACTAGCGTATGTTCGTGTTGACTGATTGTCTTATTAGCTGTACCGGCGTTGTGGACAGAGTTGATACAGAATTTAATATCAATCGTATCCACGTTTTGTCTCTTCAGTTCCCCATCGATAAACTCTTTGGTCACATTCCAAGAACTCGTCTTTTCGTAAATCGTATTTAAAGCCGTAGCATTATGACCTTCGGGTGTAGGTTGATGATGCATGATTTGTTCCTCCGTGGGCTCAAACCAAAAATAACTAGATACCTTACGTGTCTTGTAAAATGGATGAAGTGGCTGAGTTAACAAACTCAGGGTTTGTGTACGGATATTAAGTAATTGGGTTAAAAAATTATGGTATTCAATTGATTCGCCATTGTCCAGAGGTGCGCTTTCGATTAGTACTCCTGAAACAAGGCTATTGACAGACTATACTTGTGTGTTACTATCATCAGAGTGTGTCATTACATGTCTATTTATTACCTGGGGTCCGATTAATCCACGCATCAAATAGTAATAAAGCTCATCTGGTAAGCGATATCCAATAAATTCGTGAATATCGTTGGGTGCATTCTCAATATTCATGGGTTTCACTTCACAATCCTCGTTCATGACTAGATGATACTTGATGGCACAACGTGTACGACAAAATGTATCGATATAATTCGTTTTAGAAATTGTTGGATTATCAGAATAGGCTTGGATTGCGTTAAATCCGGTCTTGTGTTGCTTAATTAAATCGTGCACGCCTAATTTTTCCTGTTAGTCTCTAATCTAATCCGTCCTACTCTTATATACTCTACCATTAAATGTAAAACTGATATGCGAAGTGTTGAGTGGAGGAAAGCTAGGACAGTATTCAAATCCAGCTAAAATACAGATATCGAGAAATTGTTCATCCGATACATGCAAGTCTTGAAGCACCGTTCTTTTGCTGACCCAAAGGTAATTTCCTTTTTCAAAGTCAATTGTTGTTATCATCTTGTCAATATCCCACATTAACAACTCGGAACCTCCACAAACTGCATTCACTAATTGTCTTGGATGTGTGTACATGAATGCAAGCTACAAGACTCTATGTTAGTTCTCGATCATGCCATTTTTTTTTATATACATATATAATTGTCACTTTACCTGTGCCCAGGCGGAATAGGGAGCACGAATAAATTCAACCTTGTTCTTGTTTAAAATATGGAACACAGTGTTTAAAAGTTCAGCTGAATTGATGGCAGAACTACTTGCCCAATTACTCATGGCTAAATCAACTTTTCCTCGATCATAAAAGTCCCATCCGGCAGCACGATGACTTGGACGAGTGTCTTCCGTTGAAAATGGTTTATCTTTACGAATGATAGATAATCCTGAAAATACAAAGATGGGTTGAATTCCACTTGACCTATACAAAAAAAAAAGGACGCGAACATAAACAAGGGGCTTTTCATCGAAATAGATTAACTACTTTACTTGAATCCTTCTAATTCTTTTTCAAGTGTTTCGACAAGTCGAAGAGGTAAACCTCCCATGGCTGTAACTGCATTTTCTTTGGCAAGCACTTTACGTAACCAGTAATTACCATCAATGCCCAATCTCGTTTCCTTGAGCTGTGAAACTGCAGAGGTTTGTATCAAGCGACGTTCGGCCGTAAATACTAGTTTAAGAAGGTTAAGATTAGTTACGTTAACATTAAATTTCAATAAAAGTGCTTTACTATCAAAGTGACGAATAGGCATAATCGTTTGTTTTTTGTTGTTGTTGTTCAAAATGTTTTTTTATGTTATGTTTTTTGTTGTGTAAAAAGGCAAACAAAAAAAAAAAAAGTGCAGCGGGCTTTCTAACCCGTTTAAAAATAACTAATTTTCCAAGTTGCACAACTAAAAGTTCAGGCATAACCATTATCAATACAACCCAATAACCAGTATTACTCTCCAACACCTCATTTCTATTAGTTCCACGTCTAATTTATGTGGCATAGCTTTAATGATGTTGTTTTTCTTGAATCAAGCCAATTCATATATACCACCAACAAGTACTGTCAGTACACTGAGTGCACATTACGCTGGAAGTGTGATGTACGAATTCAAATTCGAAATGAATAGCGCCTTAAATATCAATTATGCCTTATTAGAGCTCAATATAACATTTGGAATATACTTTAATAATTGTATCTAGGGAATATTTCCACATCAGCCAAAAGGGTTTCAGGGCCGAGAGAAAAAAAAATGTAAATTATCAGGAGTGAAATCACATAAAAGCTAAAGTAACTTGCTCCGTCCAAAAATAAATAGGCCTCTCTCTCTCTCTCTCTCTTTATTTATTTTATCGGCTGCTGGTTACATTGATATTGTGTCAGTTAAAAATTATTCAAGTGAAAATATTTCTCGCACGGATAAATCTGATTGTCGTTCATGAAAAATGATCGGGTTCATGTTTGTGATTTAAATTAAACGGTATAGACGATCAACTTCTTATAGACAAGCTTATTGATACATGATTTCAACATTACCAGTCCAAAACATTGAGACAGTATTTAATACTTGAGTGGACCGGATGGTGGACAAACTCCGCTGTCCACTTTAAGCGCTAAAAAATTCTTGCCGGATACTTGGAAAAAATGCTCAGGTAACTGTGTCCACCTGGCCCATCTGATATTATAAAGATAGTGAAAGCCCACTTTCATAGAAATTTTTGAATTGACATCTTTTCTCTGGCCTACCATTGCATACATTCGTACTGGCTTCGTAGCCATTCAAGCGGGATAAGCTCCCAGAACTCAAATTAGTATCCATTCCAGCCATGATAGACAGCTAGATAAACATTGTCACCCTGATTTAATGAACGTTGTTTATTACATACATGTTCTTGTAGTCAAATCGCTCACTGATAAATACACGCTAAGCATTGATAATAATCGTTCATTCTCGTGCTGCATTAATTACGCTGGTATCTAATATGTTGTATAAATAGTGTTATTTCTAGACTCAATAGGTCTTTTTTCAATTAATAAGTTTTAATCTGGTAATACTGAACTGCCGTCGTTTTAAAGATCCAAGTCCTTGTACTTTGCTATCTATTGATCCTTTTTGCCTAACCCAACCAGACGGAAAACAGGTAAAATTGTTTAAAATAAATTTATTGACTAAGTTTTTTCATTAAAGGTGACATACAGAGCGTTTAGTAAACTTTACTTTGAAAGGATGAGGAGTTAGAACAAGACCGGCATTTACAGCACCTTCAATGTCAGGCATCCTATCATAAGGCTCAATAAGACACTTGGAATAAATTTGAACAAATGCCGAAAACATTTCTACGTCAGCTATATGAATCCCTGGACAAATGCGTCTAATAAATATGAGAATCTGTTTATAAGTTTGTTTTCTTAAAGAATTTTTACCTTCCCCATCCAAAGTTATAATGATCTCTATCTTCAATTTTCCCATTAGCTGCCGATTGCATGGTTCTTAAATTATTTAAAAATCTTTCCGGTAAAAATTTCTCAGGTTCGGGATAGATTTCAGGCCGTTTATGGATACTATCCATGTTTGATATTATGCTAGAACCCTCGGGAATTGTATAACCATCAACCTTGACTAAAAATCTGTCAACTTTTTTTTTTTTTTTTTTTTTTTTTTTTTTTTTTGCACATCGGCTGATTAACTAACTACACCTACGTTCATGACGGTTAACATGAATTAGACCAAACGGAGTTGTTGGTTTATAGCGCATACATTCTTTGATTACAGAGATGCAATAGGGCAATTCTTCTCTTTCCTTAAACTGAGGAAGTCGCCCATGACTTTTCATAAAATGATCAATCTCTTCAAACACTTTTTGCTGGACATCCGGATAATGACACATAATTGCAACATTCCAAGTCAAAGTAAGGGTAACCGTATCCATTCCTGCTACTATAAGATCGGCTACAGTCCTGAATTAATATCTGCTTATAGTAAAGCAACTATTTAAACATATTACTCACACATAAATGTAATCAAATCTTCCTCTAGTAAATCAAAATCACTTTCTAAAAGAGATTTAACAGCATTCGGGCCTTCGCGCGCGGCAGCTTCCTTAATCAGCTTTTGATAAAGTGGGTTGCGTCTTTGATTTATATGGTGCTTCATTTTAGCTTCTGTACCAGTCAAGTAATTGTACACAGAAAATATCGGAAGAAAATTAGCTAGATCAGACTCCAATCCACTGAACTTGATGCTTTCTTCCACTAAGCTTGACAACTGAATAAATTCTGGATCTTGAACAGAGTCAAACCTCTTGCCGAATAGCGCAGAGACCATAACATTTATAGAATTTAGAGCAAAAAATTGAGTTGGGTGTGTACCACCATTCTTTTCAGTATGATCAATGCACCTATTGACTAAATCATTGGCTTCACGTTCGATTGAATCCATATATTTGAAAATTTGTTTAGGTCCCATAATGGATGAAACTAAGATTTGAACAAGAGAGTTATTTAAATATGTGTAAGAATATTAGTGATTGTCTTATTACCAACAGATCTTGGATTTGGTCCTGGACCATCTGGTTGAGAGAAAATCATGCCTCTAAGGAATCCATGTTAGATTCAATGTATATTTAAACTCCATAAAGTAAACGCTTACTTTCCATGAAAGCTATAATGTTCATCACCGAAATTATTAACAGGCCGAAAGGAGGTATCAGCACCGTTCGTTGCAAAAATTTTATGGGCCAAGTAGGGATCATCTACTATAATCCATGTCCGAATTCCCATTTTTATTTTCAAAATAGGGCCCAATTTACTGTGCCACTGCGAGAATGTTCTACCTGGTAATGCCCCCAAAGAGAACATATGACCTACTATTGGAAATGATAATGGAGGGGTTGGGATTTCTTTTTGAACTTGTTCATGCTTGACTAAAATTAACTGGTGGAAGGCATATATAACAGTAGCAGCTGCAATAACACATAGCAACTCCTTACGCTCAACACGTGTAGGTATCAATTCAATTGATTTCATTACGTTTTCCATGATCATTATTTATTAATAAGTGAGAACTAAGAAATGCAATCTCAACATAATATATAGTAAAACGGGAAAAGAAACCCAACTCTTTATCGGCTACAATCATGCGAGAATGTGAACTATAGAACTCTTAAAGTCTTATGAGTACACTTATACATTGCCGTTTTTGGGTACGATAATTAAGGTCACGTTTCCCGACTCTCGTTGCTGGCTTGTGAAAAAAAAAATTAATCCACATATCCGTGTGTGAATTTCTTGATTGGATGCTGAAAAGACTATTTTGATTTATCCAGGTCAATACTCTATAAGAAAAAAGAAAAAAAAGAAAGATATATAGACTACCAAACCCAGGGATCGATCAAGTAGGAGATTATAGAAACGCTATAATTTTTAGTCACTGTTATTATCTGACAGAAATGGTGCATTTAGAATATTATCCAATGCCTTCCGTATGCCCTACTTGAGACTGAATTGGATGGCATAAATTGGTGTACAACGTACAAGTTAATAAGCTACCAACATTTGCTAACAGTTACAGGAAGACTTAGATAAGCTATACGAAAGTATATCACAGCAACGGAGTTCCTTTTTGGTTCATCTACATGTTTGAAAAGTTTATGAACATCGGATATGAGAACGACTAATAGCATGTTGGAGTTTTAAATCGTGGTGATCACGGATTTGGTTACCGGGCATTTTATTTTACTTTGGGGTCGATCAAAAAACAATGTGTGTTTGAGTTGAGTACATTTCCTATTTAACAGATAGTTTTAGAGTCAGTCCTTTTAATCTTTTGGATTTAAGAGATTCAGCACCATAATTAGATTAATCAAAATCCCTATCTTGTATTAGTATACGATTACACGATGCTTAATACTTTACATCCCTCATAGATTGCGGAGTAACCACACATACAATCTTAATTTCCGCCTGCTAATGGATCATTTTATCAAACTGTATTAAGAATTATGAAAGAGGGGTATCATTAACTTGTCTTTTACACCAAATAAAACTGTCAGGATTCCTAAGTTTATTTTATGTTAAAGCCAGCTGCAATTGCCGGGCGGTTTGGATGTGGAGCTTTGTTCCTGACATTAATTGCTCTTTAAAGCGTTGTTTCAATATCCTGGGTTTCACCATTTACTTTATAATGCAAAACCGTATCATGTAGAAGACTTGAGACAACGGGACAGTCTTTTCAAAGTTTAGCTTTTAAAGAGGTCTTTGAAAATAACCTTGTTAATAATCATTGCTGCTTGCCTTTGACATTTAAAACTAATTTCTGGGCATTTTGCCATGTTTTGGGTTTGAAAATTTTCAGGCTGGCTTTTGAACAAGTAGCACAAAATACGTAGTCAAACTGGACTTTGACTCAAGAGCAATATAATGATAAGCATACTGTTTGAGCATTTCAAATTGTCAGCCCTTTTTTGGCAGCATCTGGTGTAGGAATTTTTGGCGGAAGTATCATCCAATGACTGCCCCGGATCTATTACGCCATTTGATGACGTCAAAATGTTTTTTATAAAGTTGTTTATTTTCCCACCTACGCCCTTTTTCTTTTCTTTTCCTTATGCACAGTTTCGAGTAAAGCTGCTGTTAGGTGATTCTGGCATGTACGTCTTGCTCGTGGGTGTACCTGCTCTACCTCTACCTACCGTCTAGGCTCTAGGCAGGCGTGGCTATCTTCTGGTTGTTTACACGGTAATGCTTTTAAAAACTGTTGTTGTGTTAATGTCAACAGGCTAATTTTTTTTTCTTTTTTATGTAGCTTGTACGAGGTAGTTTGTGTAGGTTTATGGAGTCGAATATTTGGCATGCTCTTGTACCGCGACAGAGATGCAGACGGTGTTTTCAACAAACATTCGCGTAAATACTAGACATTACAGAGCTGACATGGCGAGTGAGAGATCGAAAGGACACCGTGAAACCGCTAGTACGGACCTTCTTGTGAATCCTAGTTTATCCTCTCATAGTTGGGCGACCTTATCTACGAAAAGGTGTGGCATACTTTTTTTGACCACTTTCCAACGATTGTGTCCGTTTTATAATTGTCAACCAAAGCATAAAAAACGGGTGAGTGCAGACAGAGACTGACTTCCACGCAGTTGCACTTGGGCAATTTTCTTTTTACTGGAAATTGGCGAACAGGTCTCTAAACTTTTATCTTTTCTAAAATAAAGCTTTCTTTTTTTTTTGTCTTCAAAAACTTGCCACACCTTTATAAGACTACACTGTATTAATGTTGAATCTTTTTGTAAAATAGAGATTCGGTTACGAAAGTATATGTGTGAGCAAATCGTTGCTTATTCTGATCGAGCTGAATCAGCTGGACCAACAGATTAATTAGCAGGTGGTAGTACTTGACCCGTATCTATAAAGACTTGTTAATCTTAAAATAAACAATGAAAGGTTGGATAGAATATAACAGTACAATTTAATGCTTTAAAGGTTAGGATCACTGATAAAGACTAAAGTTAAATTAAAAGTTACCTGTGAATAAAGATGGTATGGCTTTCAATCACTAATCAGAAACAAGTCTAAGTCAAAATCTACTAGCAGTGAACGTATTATATGTATATCTAGATATATATTGATGTTGATAACAAAAATGAAAAAATATAATGAGAAATTTTTTATATACACTGAAAGGGATGTGTCTCATTTACTAAGGACGCAAGTAAAACATGTGAATTTAAACAAAGTTATTGAACTCTTAATGAGCATGTCAACTAAAATGTACGGTAATCAGCAAGAAATTTATAGTAGTGCTATCCTTGACATATCATTAAACGGCCAGAGAGAACATTGTCTGCCCTCACTATATTTAGATGGGTATCCCAGAGAGATATTATTAGTCAAATAAACTACACATGATAAATTCTATTCCGTATAACTTGCTGCACTCATTGCCTCAGTTGGCTTTTACCTATTCATAGGTTTACTGCACAACCAAAGCACAATATGCTTAAAATGTATATTCTTGTCTCCGCTTCCCAATATGAAGTCAAAGCCAGCCTACCTCAAAATAAGGAAATCAATCTAGCCTAGTTTGCCACCATGATACATTGCACCATACAGCTTCTGACTACTAGTATCACACAGGGTTATTTCATATCGCGCAAACCAATACTTGGAATGAACGAGCTCACAGTGCCCATACTTTTTTTTTTTTTTTTTTTTTTTTTTTTTTGGACAAGACAAGGAAACTGGGCCGAGTCCTCCAAGCTGAATCGGATGATGCTCAGCCCATGCGTGTAGGTGACACATCCGTACAAAGATCAAAAAAAAAAAAAAGAAGGGAGGGACGATCCTATTATTAGCCTGGCCATGAGACCAACCGAAATGGGATCTTCCAACCAGATTCTCTGTAGAGTTGTTTGTACCAAAACAGGTGAAGGAAGGATACATTATAATTGTTGTTTTCAAAAGATACTTTTGTAGACTGGTTGTGACACCAATGCTGTTCCCATTGAGCGATTGTTTGTCATACAATGCAATCAAGAAATGATGTAACACTATCAATACGGGTTAGTCGCAAAACGGAAACTGACATGTCATTATATGGAATCTTTTTTTTTTTTATTGAGAGAAACAGGATATGTGTGTGGGGAGAGTGAGTAGTAATAATGAAAAAAAAAAGGGGATTAATTGTACAGGGAAAGAAAAAAAAATGGTAGTAGTGGGAAAGGGGTGGTAGGGGGATATATATTTAACCTCTTCCACCATAAGTATAGGTTTCTGAAGTTTTCAGCTGACTGGTAGCAACCGTTAATTGCTTTTTGCTTTTCATTAAATCATGAAAAGACCAGCGTGATGGTTTGTAACTAAGGCGAGAGTGCTGAGAAGAAGTGTCGGTAGAGAGGTCTTGAGGATTGACATAATCGCCATCCCGGTAAGCATTTTCATAGTAACGTCGATCGTGGGATTCAAACTGGGATTGCGACACACGTCTCTTTGTATATTTGTCAACTTTGTAGTAGTCGTAACTATTTTTAATTTTATCTATTAAGCCCATTTTTTTAATGAAAAATTTAAAAAGAGTAAATAAAAGAAGAGAGAAAAAGAATAAAAAACAAAAAAGGTTTTATATTACGCGGGAGAGGGGTACGGCAGATCTCTTTTTTTCGTGGTTAAAATATTTACCAATAACAAGGATGACCAAATCATAGTATCATGTAGTTTTGGGAAAACAACATCATGGTACGCACAAGCCACTGCCTGACGATGCCACTGTAAACCTGTCATTATTTCAAGCTCCTTTTCAAAGCAATAATCCCCGCCCTGGCTATCCTTATTTATAATCTGTGAGTGTTGCTCATTTTAATATACAAAAGTTGAAAGAACCGCCTTTTAGTCCTACCGAGTCTACCATTTCACTTTACAATACACTATTTGAAGCTTTTACATACAACCTTTAAGCTTTAGCTAAAAGCATAACCCCCTACCATTTGAGACAGAGCGCACTGTAAGAGTATCTCTTTAAGAAATAGCAGCGACTCTCTACCGGAACACAGGGTCAAATAACTCGGAGCGCGTATTTTGAAATTGTTCCTTAAGGACAGCCAAAGTGCACGTAGTCGCAACCTAAGATCGGGTGTTTTAGCTGTCCTTAGGATTTTGAAACAAGTATAAACACAATAAAAAAAAAAAACGCAATGGTTAAGAATGACTATATATTAAACGATTTATACTCCTAAAAATTCGGTCGTTACTCTTTCACTCTTGCGCTCGTTTAAGCTCAACCTTGGGCAGAAATGTAATGGTAAAGTCCCAACGACAGACGTTGGAAGTTACTTGAAAAGCACGCGGACAGCATGATTAATATATATTTATTGTTAAATTTACCTCTTGTTGTCAGGTAAGGTATCCGATCCTACATTACAACTACGCACACCGGAGAGGCCCGCTCTTGTTTATTAAGGCTCGTTCACACACTTTTTTGAGTGGATAATTAAGTCATCCTGACATAAGCCATCTCTTGTTTATCAATCTATAAATATAAAACCTGTTCACACACTTTTTTTTTCCACTTGATTATTTAAGTAAGAAAACGATAAAGGTAGTGGTATTTCGATCCCTTTTCTCGAGCCAATCTTTCTTACATACTTATTTTTTGTAAAAAGGTTTGTCAAAAATGACTTCCATATTTTTAGATCCTAATAGAAATTATATGACTTATAGTAATCCCGGCCAAAACTGGGAACCTAAGCTGGGAAGGCTTCCTCGCAAAAAATTGTAATCAGTCATTTACCGTATGATATTTGTAGTTGGAGTATTCTATTTGAGACTTATAATAACATGTGTTCTCTTATAGTGTTTACAAAAAAAAAATAGCTTTCAAAAGTTATTGTTTGAGCATTGCATATGCTCAAACAAAAGCCTGTTTTCTGTTTTCTGTAAGAAACGCGCAAGAAAACGCCAATGTAAGTTTTAATTTAAAGTATTTCATGTCACTATTTGTAGAAAATCACAACTGATATAAAATAGCAGGCTTACATTGAATAAAAAAAAACACGGTGATCATAAACAGTGAGAAAGAAACAGTCGTTGACAAAGACAAAAAATCTGTCGAAGTAACTGACGAGGAAGATGTACCTTCTGATTTGGCCATCAACCACCACCCACATCGTACTTGTCAGTACAGTATCACATATGCAGGCTCTGGGGAAAAGTCGAATAATGCTGAAACTGATATCACTTCAAAATGGGACATTGATAACCTTTGTATATCGGATTTATGTTATTCTCTAAAACAGACAACATCACGTGTGGTTGACAACATTAATCCAGCACAGATTTCCGACATTCGTATACTTGTATTAAATGATATTTACCTATTCGATAAGGATTCATCATTTTCTGTCTCTAATACTTCCTCGGTCATGTTCACAACGCCATAAAACCAACATTCTTTTTTGGGAGCAACACTCCAACCAAAGGCCTTAATTGTTACAATTGGTGTATACAACTAGACACTTGTCCTCCCGTTGATTGGCTTTTGTCTTTAACTTTGTGCGCTGAATTTCTCACTGAAGCTTGCAAATCAGGAAACGTATTGGACGTACATACAGCACAGGTCCTGACACAAATCCTTCTGTTGCTCAATAACAGCCCGATGGATGGTACAGTCAAGGGCAGCTACATCCAACGGCTATTTACAGCCTGATCACAGCTAAATATAGTGTGTGCTCAGGAATATATAGTGTAGGATCGGCTAAATATGATTACCTGTCACCGCTATTTTCCTCTGGTTCACGCTTGAAACTAAAATGGGCGAACGGTCAATTGAAAAACGAGACCGTCAATTTATTTAAAAGTTTACGGTCTCTCGGGTTCCGCCAAATGCGTGGTTTTAATTGCTGAATTCAAACACAAGAATCAAAATTCATACATCGAATCAGATCTTGTAAAGTTAGGAAAGCAGATGAAAATTACACTGAACTTGTTGATCAAGGATGGGGTTAAGAAGCCAAAGGTCTGTGGAATCCGCTGCGAAGGAGAAGAAGTCTACACATTTATTATGGATATCCCTTCACCCAAGCTATATCGCATGTGTAATGTATCAAAGATCAAGCTTTTTAAGAACTTAGACCAAATATCCCTACTTCCAAGCATTTTGTCCCATCTTCTGCATTTAAAAACGATTGCGTGCGAAACTGCATCAAAAATGGAGGAAGCTATTTTATACAAGTATGATAATCTAAAACGTCCCTCACCAAATCCCCCAACGGACTGGATATCAAGTAGCAGTGTCACCGTGAACGTGTGTCTAAAGAACAAACAAAAAAAAAGTAACTTCTCTTCTCAGGTCATTATGAATTATGAAGAGGAGCTTATCTTTAATAAATAGTATAAAACCATTAAAAGCATGTAATAAAATATCTCTTGTCTCGACCAAATAATTAATATGCCTATGATGAACTTTATTACTTTTGTAATCATTACACAATACACGTAATCAAAAGCTTTTAGGGCTAGTACCATGTTAAAATATATATATATATATATATATATATATATATATATATATATATATATATATACCCGGAAACATGGAAAGTTTTACATTTAAATATTTTTGAAATACAGGAAGCTGTATCTTGTTTAGTTATGAAAGGGGAACCAAGAATCAATTGCATTGATGATCCTTAAAAAAAAAATATCTTGACTTCGGCCTGCTGGCTTCCACTCAGAATTTAAACTCGTAAATGAGGATCATTGGTCAGTTAGGAATTCCATATTTAGAATGAACTACCCAACCCTTTTATATGTTTTCTTCCATTTCAATTTACCAAGAAAAATGGGACAAATAAAACGGACAAGAGAGGACGACAGTAAGCAGTAAGGAAGTTATATAGCAAAAGGCTTTAAACTGACACTATATTTTACTAATAGATTCTCTGCAGCCCACTTCAAACTTAATCGCCCCACATGACTATTCATTTAATTTTATACCCACCTTAAAACCTTCGCAAAAAATATTCGATGTTGACATTACTACAACGACTTCAAAACCTGTTCCATTCAGTGTAAACACACTAACTCACCGATTCAATAAACGGGTTGAGAAATTTCGGTGCGAACGACCGAAGACTTTAGTGAAAAAACCCGAAACGGTTAAGGAATATGAATCCATGTACGAACGACATCAGCACATCACCTTCACAATCATCAATTATTTGCAAATGTTTTTCAATGTCATTGTTGTTGGAACCATATTATACATTTTTGTTAAAATTATTCTGGTCGTCAAGCAAGATTTTCGACTCAAGGCTAAAGAGCATTTCGAAGGTAACCATATTAAAAAAAAATGTTTGGTTGTGCCAAAATATTAATTACTTTTTCGGTGTGATAAAAGTGTTACAGCATGACAGATTAACATGTTCAAAGAAATACATGATCAATCATTGTGGAAAAGATGACCAGGTTCCGGCTATCGAGAATATGTGCAATGAATGGGCATCATGCATGCATAAAGACCTTGCTGTGGCCCAGTAAGTGTCAACTGTCATTCTCACCCTCCCATTTATTTTACTGACTCTGTAAAAAAATAGAGCCAAAGTGTCTGCCGAGGCAATAGCAGAGATCATTAATAGCTTCGTCGAACCTATATCCTACAAAGCTCTGGTAAATATGATTACACGTGCATATGATTAGGCATACTGATATTTAAATTCATGTAGATCTTTTTCTCTTTATTAATCATTGGCTCATTATTTTTTTCAAATGTTGCATTTGGAATAGTTAAACGAAAGCACAACAAACTGATACAATTATCATCGTAGGAATAATAAAGTATATCTTTAAACCACGAAACTAAAGCTCCAGTAAGAACTGTGATAATCATAATGAGTGGTCGCTTTTGTTATTTTGCAAAAAACATACGTGTCTTTGCAGTTACAAACACACTCAAATACGTGGATATAGCGCAACATTCAGTTGGACTTGATTGTAAAGTTAGTTGCTTTATGCGGCTGTAAATATTTTATAACGAAAACCACAGCCTGGTAGTAGGTCTATCAATAGCAGTTAAATATCTAAAATACGTGTTTCTTGGGTAACTTTATAAAACACTGATGTCCGTAATTAAGCCAAAGGCGACAAAGTGAAGATGATACTAATAAAAAGCGTTTATCAAGATCTAAACCGAGACTTTTTCTTTTTAAATGTAATACCAATTATGCGTGAAAATTCGAAAAATCTAAATTCTGCGGAGAACGAGCAGAAATAAGTGATGTTTGTAACACTTTAAAATGTGCATTTTGTTTGTCATACCGTGACCAATCTGAGTTGGCTCTAGTTCTTCTGAATGATATAAATGCTCTCAGACCTGTACTTTTTTTTGTTTATTTTTTTTGAAAAAAGGATGTATAGACAGCTTTCCGTGTCCATCACAGCTAACCGTTGTATCCATATCGCATTGTATGTTTATAATAGCATGAAACGGACTGTTTTATTTCTAAACCCCGTAACAATTGTTTGAGGGGGAAAGGTCAAAATTACCTAATCCTGTCAACATGTTCGTTTTTGATAGACATGTGTGTGCATATGAAAAAGTGCAACGCCAGAAAATTAGCTTGTGCACCCCCCTTTTTTTATATCTGAAAAAGACACCATATGAGTCATTATTTTGCTTTTAAGCATCCGACAAGTTTTTTTTAGACTGGTTTCTCCTTTTTCTCTGCTTCTGTTACAACCTTCTTGCAACATGGGAGATTACACGCTTGATAAATTGAGAAGTACTCTCATTCGGTTGGAAGACACCATTATTTTTGGTAAATAAACAAAGAAAGCAAGCGGAGCAACGAAAAAAAAAAACTAAACGTTTCCCTTTTTTTTTTTTTTTTTTTTTGTATGTGAAAGCACTCATTGAAAGAGCTCAGTTTGCCATGAATCCCTGTATTTACCAAAAGGGTGCTTTAGAGTTTAGCGGAGCCACAGGGGATCGTAACTTTTTAGAATATTTCTTTTGGGAAACTGAAAAGGTCCATGGTAAGTGAAAGAAAAAAAAAGATGAAAAGTACAGACAATAACAGTATATGATTAGCCAAAGTCCGTAGATATACTAGGTAGTAACCATAGCAACGCTTTTAAATACCTAACAAGATCTGACATTTTTCTTATCAAAGCCCTGACGAATACGCGTTTACATCACCTTTACCTGAGCCTATTCTCCCTAAGCTTGAATTTGAACAGTTTATTCAACCCGATGATATCAATGTCAATGAAAAGATTATGGATTTTTATGTCCACGATATTCTTCCTACCATTTGTAAGCAAAGTGATGATCAAAACTATGGCAGTTCAGCAACCAAAGATATTGAAGCACTTCAAGCGTTAAGCAAGCGTATTCATTTCGGTAAATAGAAAAAAAGAAAGCAAATATAGAGTGTGTGATTTTTAAATCTCAGAATCTCCTAGGTAAATTTATTGCAGAATCAAAATTTAGATCAAATCCCGAGGAATACATTCGTTTAGCTTTAGCAAATGACAGAGAAAAGATTGATGAATTGTTAACAAACAAACAAGTAGAGAAAAAAGTTTTGGAAAGACTTCGCCGAAAGGCTTTGGTATACGGCCAAACCTTGGATGAGGAACAAGAGGGAACCAGCAAACATTTACGAATTCCCGTGGATGTTGTGGTGGATCTTTATAAAAAATGGGCTATTCCCTTGACAAAAGTAGTCGAAGTGGATTATCTTATTAACCGAGGAAGAGAGGCTCATAAGGCTTCTCAACATCAATTATAGCTAGATATTTTCTTATTTACATCATAAAATAAAAATAAAAAGTTTCTCCCTTTTTTTCCCTTCCTTTTATCTCTTTATTATTAAGAATAAACAAATGACGAATCCTGTACAAACAAGGCAGTTATTTACACCTCAAATTAACGAGAGATCCAGAGTACGACCTGATGTATTTCTTGATATCAATGTTCGTTACCCACCACGCATTCCTCGTTTGATACGAAGACCGGTTATGCCTCTTAGCGATAACGATGCTCGTCCCAGCAGTATCAGTTCAGCCATTTCCATGACAAGAGAGTATGCCACTCGAACTCATACATTTGCTTCTGCCAGTACCAGCAATCGACTAGAAAGTGATGATGAGGATTATCAGCACACGATTCATGATTTACACTGTGCGTCCGATGAGAAAGCCGTGGATCTAGCCGCTCTTTGTGATATGGACATACAGGAACTACCTTCCAATATCAACTATGTTCCCTTAAAGTTTCGTATCCTGTCTGAAGATGGTGGAAGATACAGCTCCACTTACACGGTTGAAAATGTATTACGCAATGATGGTACCGTGTACTGGTAAGTAATCAGTGGTATACATGATGTGCATGCGGCTCACATGATGGTTATAAAGTTCAGAAAAGTGTGGGACTATCAATCTATTATTGGAGTATGTAGGGTCTGAAAGAAACAGTAAATGCTGCTCATTATCTCATATCATTGTCAAATCACCACAATACGGGTACTAACTATGCATAGAACAAGGATAAAAGCTGTTACTCACCTCCTATCTATGATAGATACACAGCGCCTTGTAAAGAGGGCATGATATTCATGTCACATAAGCCCATTAACGTAGAAAGTAAGTGGGTGTATACAGAATGGGATAAACAAGTTGATTTAAACGAGATAATAGATACGCGTGCATTCGACTTATTTACAAGAGAGAATTACGAGCGATATGTAGAGGCAAAACGAGAGGAATTGGATGAGAGTGATCCTGTAGCGTGGTTTAGTGCGATCCATCAGCGACAATGTGTCATTGAAATGAGTGAAAGGTCTGGTAAATACGTGCTTGTGAAATTACTTCGTTCGGATCACGAAACAAGCAACATGGATATACAATACATTGGATTTGTTGGTTATTCAGGTAGTCGATGTTTTGCCAATGGAAGCTTATGCTGAAGAAAAAAAGAAGCTCCCCTATATTTTTTATTATTTTATTCTCTTTCCTCACATTGCTTCTTTAATTTTTTTAAGAGTGCCTTTCCTTTTTTAATCTGCGACTTGTCACCACTGTTTAGTAGTGCATTTACTAAGCCTGTTGCGATATTGTCACTACAGGTTGAAGTTGTTAATCTTTCCTGCCACAAATATATATTATTCTACACACGTTACTTTAAAAATGTTTCATTCATATCTTGTTCGTCTTGTCTCAAGTCAATATCATCATATCCTGGTATAGAAGGCACCAGCTGGAAATGACTTAATTCAAACCCACCCAAAAACTCATTGTCGGTTGGATCACGGAACGCTAAACTACCATGGTTATCTCCCTGCTCTTCATCATCATCCTCGTCATCTTCATAATCCTCGTCATCGTCCTCTGGTAAATCAGGTCCTAATAAATCCGAAAGATAGGCAGGATATCTAGGATGTCCAGAAATCGTCTCTTCTTCTTCTTCTTCCTCCTCATCTTCCTCTCCATCATCACTGCTATATCCTTCAAGATCTTCCAATAACGATCCAACAATATTCACGGGACTTTATGTAGGGTTAGTATCGATTAGTTATTCCTCTTGAAATGCTTATATTTACTTTGCTCCAGTAATGATGAGTGTGGCATTATCTTCCGCTATAAAGGTATGAGATAAAACTTGACGTTCAACCTGTGTAACAATACATCAGAATAAACCAGTGAGAAAAACACGTAGATTACAATTTAATAATTACATGGTCTTTGACAAGAGAGCACAAGACAAATGTTTGACCTTTTGCATGTACTTTTAGCAAGGTCTTTCCATCTTTGGGTTCAGCTTCCAAGGAAATCTAGTCAAACTGTTATAAAGTAATCCTTACAACAACAACAAAAGAGAAATACTTGCCTGATTTATAGTGAGAATGCCTTTATATTTAATAGGATATGATTCTCCTGGAATCAAACGAAGTCCTAACATGAGTGTTGTGTATGAGTGCTTATATAATGTGCATGCTTTCTCTTTTCATTAATGTTTACCCCAGAAAGTGCTTGCCATTGGATAGTTTGCCTTCAGCTAAAAAGAAAAAATAATTTTTTTTTCCCTCTCTCTCTCCCTCCTCCCTTCCCAACTCTCCCCCTTCACTGAGATTTAAACTATAAAAGGGCGTTTTTATTCCACCTCTTTTTTTTTCTTTCATTTCAATCTATTTTTCTTCATGTCTGGACTCAAGAATAATAAACGAGGCAGACCCAAGCGAAATAATATCACGGCTTTACAGCAACACCAGCTGAATGAAGCTACGACCGAAGCCGATACTGCCTTTCAAAACTTGGATATTCAACAACCTTTGACCATTGTCAAGGCCAATGTCGAAGAGGACACCACGATTAGCACCAGCAGTGCCAACTCTGTTGTTCCTGAATCGCTGGTAGCTCGTCTTCCTAAAGTACAATACGAAAAACGCGAGCAACAAGAAGAGGAGGAAGGTGAAGATTATGTAGCAGAACAAAACTATCAACAAGAACATTTGTTATCACTTCATCATCAATCACAGCCCAACTACCCAGATCTACCTTACAAACGACCAGAGAATCATTATATTCACTATATCGAACCCTCTGATGTTGAACTGTATGAGTCTGTGGAATATGATATGGATGAACAAGACAAGGAATGGCTTCAACTGTATAACGCTGAACGAAGAAAGGAATCTCCTGGTGAAATTTCGCCTTACTTATTTGAATGTATCATGGATAAATTGGAAAAAGAGTGGTTCCATCTCGTAAGTATCTTTCTTATTTTATACACCAGAAAACCTGTCAAAAAAAAAAAAATAACAACAACAAATACCCGTAGATAAAAAACGCCCCTAAATTAGATACCGAACAAGTCATTTTACCCGAAGATTCTGCTTGCGCAGTATGTGATGACACCGAAGTAGAAAACAGTAACGCCATTGTCTTTTGTGATGGTTGCAACGTTGCCGTACACCAAGATTGTTACGGCATCCCTTATATACCCGAAGGTCAATGGCTCTGTAGAAAATGTATGATCTCACCCGAATTTCCCGTCTCCTGTATCTTTTGTCCCAATGAAGGCGGTGCTTTCAAACAGACAAATACAAACCAATGGGGTCATCTCCTCTGTGCTATTTGGATACCAGAGGTAGGTGTCAGTAATACCATCTATATGGAACCTATCGATATGATTGGCAATGTTCCCAAAAGCAGGTGGAAATTAACCTGCTTTATCTGTCGAAAACGAGAGGGTGCTTGTATCCAATGTGATAACAAGCATTGTTTCTCTGCTTTCCATGTCACTTGTGCTAAAACTGCCAAACTCTGCATGAAAATGAACTCACATACATCTCAATCTGAGGGTGTCATTCTCAAAGCCTATTGTGATAAACACACTCCCAAGGAATACTCTGTCGAAAAGACATCTTCTACACCGCCTGTTGTTGAAACACCACCAGAAATTCCCTCCGGACGTAGCAGAGGACGCGGTCGAGGTCGAGGTAGAGCCAAATCTTCGTCTCTAGGTAAAAAGCAACAACAAGAAGAGTTCAATAATGTGGCAAATAACAAGGTGGCGCGTGCGCATCAACACCATTATTCCACTGGCGCTCCCATTGCTCCTGATGCTATTTTAGCCAAAATCGATAATTTACCTTGTGTCAAAAACTCGGGTATTCGAAAAAGACCACAGATGGTTACTGCTATTGCGCATTACTGGTCTTTAAAACGAGAGTCCAGAAGAGGTGCTCCTTTACTCAAGCGTCTTCATCTCGAGGTATAACTTGTTACATTAACAACCTGTATTTACAACCCCATTAACTTTATTATTATTACATTATCAGCCTTGGACGGCTTCGTCGAAATATAATCGTGGAGAAAGTGATTTATTATTACGCCAATCTGTCATTACACAACTTCGAGACGACCTGGAAAAGATCCGTCTCTTATCGGAGCAAGTACAAAAACGTGAGCGTCAAAAACTGATTCGTACCAAAGAACAAAAGACTTATATCGAAATGATCTTGTTCCCATTGGAATATGTCATTCGTCCCATTCTCAAGCAATTCATGACCATTGACAAGAAGAAATATTTCCTGAACCATGTCACGGCAGAAGAAGCACCGGATTATCAATCCTTGATTGCTCAAAGTATGTGCTTTTCAGAGATTTACGAAAAGATGGTATCGCATCACTACACAGACCTGGATCAGTTTAAGCATGATGCTTCTCTCATTTGGGAGAATAGTATGGATTACAATGAGGCAGATACGCAATATTATAGAGTCGCCACGCTCTTGAAAAAGGCCTCTGTCAAATTGTTTCAAAAGGCCAAGGAACAAATGTCTCGTTTTGAGTTAAACGGTGGTATGTGGAACGAACCCTTTGATCCTGCCATCTTTGATTATCTGCGTCAAGAGGAAGAAGAAGACGTTGTCGTGGTCGTTGATGAACCAGCTCCCATCGAACCAGCCACTGTATCATTACCCACAGTGGAGGAAAATCCTAAGCAGCAAAATATACCACCATCAACGCAAACACCCCATGAAGTGCATGAGCATTCTATTCAATCACTTGATGTCTCAAAGGAACAAACACCACCACTGCCACCGCCAGTGACACCACTACCACAAGTAACACCACTACCACAATCAACACCATTACCACAAGCAACACCACTACCCCAAGCGACACCACGACCACAAATGACACTACTACCACAAGTGACACCACGGCCACAAGTGACACTACTACCACTACCATCAACACAACCAACAAGCACATCCACTTATTTTGCAGAGCAACACAAGTTGGAACAGCAACGAAAGGAAAAACGTGAGCAAATTCGATTGTTGGAAGAAGCAAAGAAAGCTCAAGCTGCTATGACAGGCGAACAAGGTTCCATCATCAACAATCCTACAACCATGGATTCCTTATTAGGCCCACCACCACCAGCAGTAGCAGCAACGACAACCACTGAATCCAGAGAGACCAACAATGTGAAACGTGAGCCTACGAGTAGATCGAGTATGAAGCGAAAAGAAATCTCTGGACCTTCTCGATTAACACGTAGTGCAGGACTCCAAGCCAGTATACAAGAACTCACGAAACGACCCAAGATATCACAAGAAGCACGAGCATTGTTTGCCTCGTATAATGGAGTGTCTCACTTGAGCAAACCTGTGGAAGTGTACAAGGAGAACCGTAAGAAATCTGCGCCTGTGGGTTGGGTGTATGTAGATGAAGAGGAGGAGGAAGATGAACAACATTCATCCTCAGCTACCGTTGACGACGAAAGTGATCAACCAAGGAGAGGCGTGAAATATACCAAACGTAAGCGAAATGATATTCCTATCCCCAACTTCAAACGAGGTGAGATTGTATGGGCAAGAGTGACCGGTTATCCTTCTCATCCTGCTAAATTCATGAACTTGTCCGACGAGGAAACTTCACCCAAGATTCTGGCTAGTCGACGTTATAAAGGAGATGTATTGGTAGAGTTTCTACAAGTGCCTGAAAACCATAAATGGTAAGTGTGCTCTCTAAGTGTAAAAAACCGCTTCTTTTGTTAATATATATGTATGTAGGGGTTGGGTGGAGAGAAAGTGTATTTGTGAGGTGGGTGATCCATTTGTGGATAGGGCAAGATTGTCAGAATCGTTGGATAAAAAGTACAAGATGAGATCGTATATTATCCAGGAAGCCAAAGAAGGTTACCGTAATGCTGGCTCTATACTTGGCTTGGATCCTGAACCTTTACTCGCTGCAGTATTTGATGAAGATGTCAAACCTAAAAGGAAAAAGAAGCCCATCAGGCGATAACACAATAAAAATAATTCAAAAGCTTGGCTTTATTTTTCTTGTTATGTGTGTGTAAAAGGAATAGGGGGATATAATACAAAAAAGTAATCGTTTACTGAGATAAACGGACATTACTGGAACGCTTAAGCTTAGCTTTGTCTTCGACATTAACCTTTTCTTCAGCTAATTTCTTCATGATGGTGAGTTTACCAACAGCATTGGCTTTAACAGACATTTGCTTTTCGATATTCTTGTTAATATCACCCGTTAATCTCTTATCCAAGGCACGTTGCTTCACAAGAGCCAACTTCTTGGGAGGAATGCTTCTGGCTAATGATGAGCTGTTAATATATAAAATAAGAAAGAGATCCAGACAAATGCAACTTACAGCCTTTCTTCATAATGCCTTTCTTCTCTCTGCCACCCTTTTGCTTGGGCTTTCCTGGCTTTCTTTCTTTTGAACCTTGAACCATGACTGTGGTGAATGAGAATGAGTGGAAGAAAAAAAAAGCTTGCCCTACTTGTTTTGGGTCAGGTGTAATTAGCACTGGCAAAACTCAGCCACCGTTTAAGGTAGGATTGAACGCTGTCACAATGCATGAACAAAGGGGACAAGCCACATGTCAAAGCGAGGAGTTTCAAAACTTTTTTTTTTTTTTTTTTTCCTTCATAAAGGAGAGTTAGGAGGGTTTTTTTTATATTTTCAACTCATTTTGTCAACTTTTTTTTTAAATCAACGTATAGCTTTTTTTTTGGACGATCCATAAATCCTTCAAAAATCACAACTATATAACTTTTTTTTTTTCGAAACTTTCAACAAAAAACTCAAAAAACAACAATGGCTTACGAAGGTGGACGTGGTGGTTTCGGCGGTGATCGTGGAGGCCGTGGTGGTTTCGGTGGTGGCCGTGGTGGAGGCCGTGGTGGTTTCGGTGGCGATCGTGGAGGCCGTGGTGGAGGACGTGGTGGCTTCGGTGGCGATCGTGGAGGCCGTGGTGGCCGTGGTGGTTTCGGCGGTGGTCGTGGTGGAGGCCGCGGTGGTTTCGGTGGCGATCGTGGAGGCCGCGGTGGTGGACGTGGTGGTTTCGGCGGTGATCGTGGAGGTCGTGGTAAGATCCTTAAAGCGACAAGTTGACATTATACACATGACTGACATTTCTTTATTTTATTTATTAAAGGTGGCCGTGGTGGTGCCCGTGGTGGTGCTCGCGGTGGCTTCGGCGGTGGTGCCCGTGGTGGTGCCAAGGTCGTCGTTGAACCTCACAGACATGCCGGTATTTTCGTTGCCCGTGGTAAGGAAGATCTTTTAGTCACCAAGAACCTTGTTCCCGGTGAGGCAGTATATGGTGAGAAGCGTATCTCTATTGATGGACCTGAGGGAACCAAGATTGAATACCGTGTTTGGAATCCTTTCAGAAGTAAGTTGGCCGCTGCTGTTTTAGGTGGTCTTGATCACATTCACATTGCTCCTGGAAAGAAGGTTTTATATCTTGGTGCTGCTTCTGGTACCTCTGTTTCTCATGTTGCTGATATTGTCGGTGCTGAAGGTGCTGTTTATGCTGTCGAATTCTCTCACCGTCCTGGTCGTGATTTAATCAACATGGCCAAGAAGAGAACCAACGTTGTTCCTATCATTGAAGATGCCCGTCATCCCCAAAAGTACCGTATGCTTGTTCCCATGGTTGATGTTATCTTTGCTGATGTTGCCCAACCCGATCAAGCTCGTATTATTGCCTTGAACGCCCATCATTTCCTCAAGAACGAAGGTCACATTGTCATCTCTATCAAGGCTTCTTGTATTGATTCTACTGTCGATGCTGCTACTGTCTTTGCTCGTGAAGTCAAGAAGCTTCAAGAAGAGAGAATTAAGCCTCAAGAACAATTGACTCTTGAACCTTATGAGAGAGATCACGCTGTCGTTGTTGGTAAATATGTCCGTAACAAGTAAATCTCTTCTTTCCATTCTTCATCCTTTTTAGACCTGTAAATAATGTTGGGATTTAAAAAAAAATTAAAATTTTATCTTATTTTAAATTCTTTCGTTTTTTCCCTTTTCTCCACACTACACACTTCTTTTTTTTTTATCTCTTATAAAACCCATTAAAAAAAAAAAAAAAAAAAAAAAATTAAATTTCTACAATAACAAAAGGGTACATGTTTGCGAGTTTAAAACCAGATACGTTTCGTATACACACACACTTCCAAGTGATGGAATTATATGTTTCTCTAGAGGTCAAAGGAGAACAGGGTAAAAAAAAAAATCATACCACCGTTGCCATGACACTCCTGAACTAAAAAGCATAAAAAAGCCTTCAAAATATACGAGTATTTAGTCGCAGACGATACTGGCTGCATAATTCTCAACACACAATCAGGTAACCCTCATAAACACAAACTCCTCTTCATGCTTTAACACACAAGAAAGAACTGGAAATAGGTGCAATGTACGAAATGAAGAATGGACACACAGGCATCATTCAGAATTACCTGAGATTGTATTCAGACACCTTAACAGCATCCACACATTCTCTCTCACCAAATACCCAATATAACCGTTCATTTGTACAGTTGGAACGAAAGATATAATAATAAATACTTTTATAACGTCACTTTATTCACCTTGTCCATTCGTGCCACTTCCTTTTGAACAAGCTCCGTTGTGTCCTTGAGAACCTTGTGTAACTGAAGCACCAGAATAATTTTACTGGTGCCTTCTTGCCCTATAAACTGTTTAGGCTCTGGTAACCCCTTCGCAATATCTAAAAGGACTATTAGTATTCTATCTATATACACTTGAACATTTCCTTTACCGTCAAATGCTCTCAAGATAGTGGGCCCAAAGTGAGGAAACGCTCTTGCTAGATTTACAAACCCAGGAATAGCCTTGACGAGATATTCGGAAGGTACACATGCATTAGATACTTGTCCTTCACGGGTCACCGGAAACGCAATTCTTAATAATCTAGGAAGCACATGCTTCTCTGCTGTTACCAAACTAATTAAAAGAGAGCGTTTTAATAGTCATCTAAAGAATATACACTAATGGGCAAATCCTTACTAGTTTTCAAGCGGATACTTCTCACAGAGATAACACGCAATCAAGATACCAAACACTTGTTTATCTAATTGTGGTTGTCTTGTTAATTCAGGTATAAACGAAAGCACAATATAAATAGACGGTATCAGATCCACTACTACAGGGATCAAATCCGTCGAATATGTTTGAAAGTGTAAAATCTTGGCCAACAGCATTTCTCGGTCTCCATCAATAAATATCGAATGAATGAAATTGCAAATAAGCTTTCTTGACTGATCAAGTGCCTCTACATTCATTGGGGGTTAGCTTTATTTCTTACTGATTTATCACCTTCTTACCCTTGTTGTCTTTGTCTTCGGGCTTTTCCAAGCAAAGCTCCAGCAACAACTGAAGCATAACTGTATCTTGTGCGTTCGTTAATGCTAATACATTACGCGAATTAATCGTATGCTGGTCGATGCGTGGATATACTGTATGATACCGCTTCCAGATACGATGTTTTGAAGTCGTACGCAAACATGATAATACGTGCAACCAGATCGGCAGTAATTGTTCCGATCGAAATAACCGTGCGTCACATTTAAACACGATATGTGGGTTTTGAATCAAATCCATTAAACTGTATTCTTGCGGTGTCAAGCTATTCACAGTGATTTTCCACAACGTATGAGGAATAATGCGATTAAATGACTCCCACGTTGAAATAAAGGCATCGGCTACTCTCACATCTAATCTATAAATGCTGTGAGCACTCCTCCGCTACAGAATTTTTTTTTTTTAAAAAAAAAATTACTTACTGTTTGTTTAAACAAGGTGGTATAAGGATTGAAATCATGTATTTTGCATGTTCTTCTATATCAAATGTCGATAACGTCTCCAGATGGGATAATACTATTCATTTTTTTTTTTTCACTTTTAGTATTCTGCCTTCATGTGTCGCTGCATAAAAGTTTACCATGAATGACAAGCGATGGATTTGTCTCCCATTGATTTAATAGATGCTTTAATTCAACCGCTGGCAAATTCTGGATCCAATCTTTATTGATGGTTTGAATATCCCACAACGCTTCTGATTCGGATTCTTTTCCTTCCTGCAAAAGGAAACTCGTTATATCAAATAATTCAGGGTACAGGTTGGCGGACAGTGATAGTAAATCGGGATAAATGTTCTTGTACGTGCTTTGATTCGCCTCCACATGGTTTAATATAAATCGAATGGATATACAATCGTCGATCGGATACTCTACAATGAGATTAGTTTTTCATGCTCGTTTCCATGCCTTTTATCACATCGTACCGGTTTGTTCAAGGGCAATCGTGGAAGAACTTGCTAGAGCCATAAGCTTTGGCTCGGTTCGAAAGGCAATCACGTAATCGTTGAATTGTAATACATACAGGAGCATTAATATTTGTGTGGTAGTAATGTTGCCTACATCTTGGAAATAAGACTGTACAATATCATTTGGAATTTTTTGACATGTGCTTGTCATGAAGGTACTGTTGAATTGATTAGAAAAGTTATAGATCGATCTTTATTCTTTATTTTCCCAAGTACCTCAAGACAAACTCCCTAATGACAAGACTAAATTTAGGATGGATAGGTAATGTCGCATGGGTCATACAATCAAGTAGCCATTTGGTATAATCAATATTGTGTGAAACACGTCCTTTTAATAATTGGTAAAAAGAATCGAGGTTAAAGCATTTTTTACTCATGGTTTTATAAGAAGGGTCGCTTTTTTTTTCTTTGCGTTTGTTTTCTGTGTGTGGTTAAAATTCAAGGTCAGAGGTTTTTTTAAAGTTTTTTGTAACTTTTTAGTATGGTCAATAGTTAGAACGAATGGGTGATTCTAGAACCCACATCCAATTGATATTCTCTTAGACCAACCTATCATTACCTAAGAATTAGCCTTTGTGTGATAATTTTTTTTTTTCATGCGGTTCCAACTACATCAGTCATTGTTTATATTTTTTATGATAAGTAGATAAAAAGAATGAAATTTCGCACACTCTCTTTCGCTTCCTTCTCATTTTCTTTCATTTTCTTTTCTTTTAATGATTGTGTAAGCTCATTATAACAAATATGTCAATCATATGAAGTTGGTCGGTGGAAATCTCGTTAATTGATTCCTGCGCGTCAGTAGTTAGATGACAAAGCATTTGGCTACCTCAAGAGTGTCATAGCTACTCTTGCCGTTCACCCGTGCTTTGCTTGATTCCTTTGCTTTGGCCTCCGGTGCACATGCCCAAACACGAAGATTAGTTACTATTTTTTATTAGCAACTTCAAGGATTAAAACATGATCTGTTGAGTTTCCAAAAATTTTAGCCATCTTTTGCCAAAGGTGTCAAAATCATGGCAAACGTGGTCAACGTAAGTAGAGTTAGATCAAGAGTAAATAGGCAGCTTTTTTATAAAACTCGTCCCTTTCCACTTAGGCATACATGAACTTGAAATGTGTAAACAACAGGTCTGACTCGATTGTTGAAGTCCCAAACACATCAGTCCCAGCTCCAAGCTTAAGTAAATAGGCTTTGATGCTCACAGCGGAGATCAACATAGCTACAAGTTGAAGCCTTTGATTTGCTTAGATCTCGGTAGTATGTTCATCAATTAAAAAACTATCGGTATAAAATTGATCCTCCAATCAAACCCTTTGTTAAGATTAATTTTTTAAGGGTGTAAATAAAATATCGCTATTCACCTCTTTGGAGTAACAAACCCCCCTTTTTTGTTATTATATTAATGATTACCACCTCAGTAAAAGATATGCTTCAAATGACAAGCTCTCATATCTTGAGTTTCTATGAACTCTATATCTTACCTTCTGTAAAGAACGACAAGAAAAAGCTAACCTATGTTGGCTCTGCTATTGCTGCCACCTTGTTTTACACCTTATATCGGAAAATCGCCTTGCCTCCTGCTGGTATCCGCGCTATCCCAAGAGTAAATTTCTTTTCTTATGTGGCGTCTGTTCTTCAAGGCGAAGATCCTCATCACCAACTGAAGTACTTGTACTCTCCCTTGATCTCTAAGGCAAACGGCGTATATGTGGTAAAGTGCTCAACAACATAATTAAAGTAATGCTATTTATCTATGTTATCATTTTCTTGATTAGCGACCCAACCGCGCTGGATGGTCTGTGTATGTGACTAATCCAGTTGACATCAAAAAAGTTTATTTGAAAGGAGGTAATATTATCCACTTACTTTATTGTTTCATAATGATATTTAACTTTAAAATTAGACCTCTTTCCCAAAGACTCACATTCTTTTGGTGAGGGAGACACGCTGATAAATGGCATGATCCGTACACCCAGTATTCTTACTTCGGTCGGTGCCAAATGGAAGCTTCACAGAAAAGTAAATGTATACTCATGTGTTCAAGACAATAATTTATTACTAACGCATTAAAAAGGCTGCCAACCCTGCTTTTCATCGTGCTATGCCTGTTAATCTTTTCGGAAGATTAACCCAGCAATTGTTTACCGAAATTGAGAAAGAAGATGGAACCATGAACATGTCTGCTTATCTCGAAAGATTCGGTTTTGATGCAATCACTGCTGCCGGATTTGGTATGTTATAAAAAACCCCGCCCGCTTATAAACTAACGGCTCTAAAAACGATGCAAATATTTTTAGGATACAATGCCAACGCTATTGGAGACAAGAATAGTGAATGGGTTAGATATTATACAACCTTAGTCAAAGGTGTTTTTAATCCCTTCTTTTTCCTGTTCCCTATTTTCGATACCAAATTACGTTGGATGTTTCCCTCTCGTGTTCGACTCCATCAGACTTTAAAGGATTTTTTGGCCAAAGTTGAACAAATCATCATTGAAAAGCGTCTATTGATTGCAAAACAGGGTGGTATTGACTCTCTGGATGATGCTGAAAAGGATCTCTGTACATTGATGATCGAAGCTGAAGCTGGTGAAGGTGGTGCTTTAACAAATGAAGAAATGATGGTATTTAATGTTTCATTTAAGATGTTTGACTCTATTGACTCACTTTGATGATTGTAACAGAACGATGTTTTAGCTTTTATTCTTGCCGGACATGATACCACTGCAAATGCTTTGGGATCTGCCATGTACTATCTTGCTAATCACAAAGTAAACTTAAACATGCAATTTACTCATGTATCTTTTACTTATTTAATTTTTTCTGTACAGGACTTCCAACAAAAACTTCGTGATGAAGCAATTCATTATTTAGGCGATGCCCCTTGCGATGTCATTCCTACTGTTGAACAGACAAAGGATATGCCCTATGTAAATATGGTTATCAAAGAGGTATAAGTTTCTTTATATACTGTCCCTAGAATTATATAGATGCTAATTTCTGGTTTTGTAGACTCTCCGTATTATGGGCCCAGCCGTATGGGGTCAACCGCGTGTTGCGGCTGAAGACACTGAACTTGGAGGTTTTATGATTCCTAAGGGTACTATTGTTACCACCGATATTATTGGCGTACAACACGATGCCAATATCTGGCAGGATCCCGAGACTTTTAATCCTGAGCGTTTTAACCCAGAGAATGAAGATAGCAAGCGCATAAACAATGCATGGCTTCCCTTTGGTAATGGTCAACGCCAGTGTATAGGTATGAACATGAGTCTTGCTGAACAACGCGTTCTCTTGATCATGATGGCAAGAAAATATGTATGGTCCTTACCAAAAGACTCTATTCATAAAGATGGCATGGTTATAAATGGCATGGATATTGTCGGCCCCAAAGAGCTTATTCTCGATTTTACTAAACGTTACTAGATAAACACCAAATCCTATTAATTTCGATAGAAGATTTTAAAATACGCAATAAAAGCTCTTTTTTTTCATGCAGCCTATCGGACATGTATACACTGTATCAAAAGTTATCGATTGTTGTTTAAACACGGAAACTATATTAACTTGAAAACCGAGGATTCATTGCGCCAGCGAAACCTGAATGATTGTAACTCAACTCGTATCAAAAGAGCCACGTCACATGATTGGCTAAAATTACCTTATTTGGGTGTATAGATTTTGACAAGCATGGATCCCCTTTTTTCTTTATTTTTACCTTGTTTAGAAAATAAAAAATAGATGGCATGCGGCATGTTCGCGTACTCAATTTATTTCTGTCAAGTATGCTGCCTACGATAAACATACCCCGTCGAAGTCTTTCAACGTGTTTGGGGTGTGGTAAATTTCAATTGAGGACGCCCATGATGCAACATCAACAACAATTACGACATTATACCATGGTAGAGAATGCAAGCTTAACCAAGAAATACGCTGCAGCACACGTCAATTCTCGACCAGCCGAACCCTCTATTGCGATAAACAAACTTTCAGTGCAAGGACGAGCCAATGAGGCACTTGCGATATATCTAAAGTTACTAGCGGAAGGAGGATTTCCTAGTCGAGAGTCCCTTTATCAATTAATTCGAGGACTATACAAGTCGAATAATTTGATAGGCATGTATGCTGTTCATGATACCCTGATTTCTTTCTACAGTCAAAATCAACCTTCGAAACGTAGTGCGCGATCCATGATTTACATGTATACCATGTTGATTAATTTGATTGCCAACAATACCAGACCAGTGGATATGAAGACGATTACACAGCTTTGCAAAGAAATGAATCGATTCAACAATCAAGTGAATGTGGTCCTGTATAATACGCTCATCAAGAGTCTATTGAGCCAAGGACAATTGGAGAGTGCACATGCCATGTTGGATGATTTAAAGAAACACACACAACCTACTCTAGTGACATTTGGGATATTCATGAAAGACGCATCAAGGCGAAAGGATATATCGACGTTATTGCGATATTTAGATGATTTAGACCAGTCCCGGTTAACACCGGATTATGCCATAACCAGCATTGTAGTGACCACCTTATGTGATATGCAAGAGTATGACAAGGCGATAGAAATGGTCGAGAGATTACATAACACCGAAGAGGCAGGGCGGTTGAGCGGTGCCAAATTTAGATTACAATTATTACGATCCATAGAGCATAGACGTCAAAAATAAAAAAATAATAAAAAAATTTGTGGCTTAAATCTCAACCAATCAAATACGTCCATGACTGCTATAAAAAATTTTACAGGAAAAAAATAAATAAATACAATGGAAATCGTGTGCAAGCTCTTTTGCTCTTCCTCTAATTACTTTATTAAAAATGGAACACCAAGTATGTATAGACGAAAGGGATTGTATATCGAGATGGTTTTACTAACAATTATCTCCCACAGACCGAGAAGGCTTTCCAAAAGCAAGCTGGTATTTTCCAAAACTCCAAGGACGCCAAGAAGCGTAACCAACGTTGGTTCAAGGAAGTCGGTTATGGTTTCAAGACCCCCAAGGAAGCCAAGACCGGTACCTACATCGATAAGAAGTGTCCCTTCGTCGGTGAAGTCAACATCCAAGGTCGTATCCTTACCGGTATTGTCACCTCCACCAAGATGAAGCGTACCCTCGTTGTCCGTCGTGATTATCTTCATTACATTCCCAAGTATAACCGTTATGAGAAGCGTCACAAGAACATCTCTGCTCACGTTTCCCCTGCTTTCGAGTCTGCCGCTATTGAAGCGTAAGTACCACCTTTTTTTTATACATATACCACACACGCTACTCTATTGTTCGTTTAAAACAAGAAAATTTATCTGTTTAAAATGATGTGAGTGAAGGAAGAGTCTTTCGTTGGCTTCTTAAAGAATATTTTGTTCTTTAGCATTATCCTTTTACAATGATCTCTTATAAGCATGAAAAAAAAGAGGTTTTTGACGGATAGAGGTAGTTGGTGAGGTAGCGGCTCCACCAAGCCTTTGATATCCACTTGTACTAATTAATTTTTAAATAGTGGTGATCTCGTTACCATTGGTCAATGTCGTCCTCTTTCCAAGACCGTTCGTTTCAACGTCCTTAAGGTCTCCAAGGCTAAGAGTGCTTCCAAGTCCTTCTCCAAGTTCTAAATTTAATTATTTAGCAACTTAACTTTTTGTGCTATAAAAATTTGAATAAAAACGAGTTTCTATAGTTATTTAATCATTGCTTATTATTACCTTTTTGGGGAAGATGCACAGTGTCAATATTTGTGTGCTTATAAAAGGTACCCCCTTAAAAAAAGGTTTGACGCCCAAATGATTTACAGTGTCTGACAACAATTATGGATCGATTACCCGTAAGGATATATACTCCTTTATTTTCGTGAGAGAGCAGAAAGTATGATGATTTGAACCAGTTTTTAGATTGAAAGCCAGTAATCTCTTTACACGCCCCCCGCGTTTCATACTCCTTTTTTCCCTCTTTTTTTAAACTTTTCCCTTTTTTCCTTCTCTGTCTCTCTCTCTCTTTTCCTCTTTACCCACCTCTATTAACAAAAAAAAAAAAAGATGTCAAGTTGTTCAATAGCATCAACTGTGCTGGCATGGTTGCAAAAGGAATTATCCATTTATTCTGAGTTACTTTTAATTTCACCTATTCGCGACCTATCTATAGAATATTGGCAGGGTAAACCTTTATTATGTCTTGCTCATCATTACTTTCCAGAAGCAATACCCAATCTCGTTGAACAACTGTCCGAACAAGCACCTACAACTCTCTTCACTCACAGTCTAACATTGTTTGAACAACGTTTGGGCTTGACACCTCTCGTCGACGACAATTGTACATTGTACTTTTCCAACTTGGCATCTGCCATTCGTGATAGACAACAAGACACACTACGTGACTTACATATTGGACAAACACCAACAGAAGGAAACCCCATAGACATACATCGACTTCAACTCTTGTTGCCATACAACAAACTCTTTCATCAATTGGTCGATTTATCAATACGAGAAGAAGAAGGACTTTCTGTCTCTACACGCTCGCCTTCTCCACGTATCCAAAGTGACGATATATTACCGCCAACAACAGAGGATATACCTTCATTGGACCAAATTCAATCCGATCTAGATAGGCTTGAATCTCGAGAACTGGTTGCTTACCAAACTTATGTTGCTAACTTACCAGATGTTTTACCGTTGGACATTGCAGTCGTGATTTCCGCCATTGATGCAACTCGCGCTGCACTTCATTTGCAGTTGCATAAGGGTGATGTTCTACGCACTACCATTCAATTTACAAACACCGCTGCGTATATTCGCAACGAATTGGAGTTCATTCAGGCCAAAATGTTGAAAACAACCACTACAGATGTCGGTATTCAAGATTTGGAATCCAGATCAAAGGCAGCTGGCCTTGCCATGGATGCTTTACTCGTTAAATTTAAAGACCTCCTGGCCACAGATGCCGTGACAAATCAGGAATACATCTTTTTACGAGAGAAATATCAATTGATTTGTTGTTGGGTAGATGATGTCCGTGTTTGGTTTGTAGAGGCTGAGAGAATTCGCTCTTGGATTGAAACACATATTGCTGCATTGGAAGCTAAACCCAACATGAATGCTTTAGACGAGGTCGAATTAGATTACGAACCATCCACCATTGATGAATTAAACAAGGAACAACAAGTGTTGGAAACACAAGTCGAGTTATTTGATAAAGAGGATATGACACGTCTTCGTGCTCATGTAAAAGCATTGACCGGTGGTAATAAGGATCTTTCGCCTGCAGATACAACCACCATCGAAATCACTTTCACAACACTCATGACTCTGGATCGTCTCATGCATCTTTTACGTAGACACGCTTATGAACTTCAGATGCTGACTTTGCGCATGTATTGGGAACAAGAATACAATGTGTCTGTCACTTGGGTACGTGCCACAGGAGAACATGTGCGTGTCTTTGTCCAACAAAAGGCACGTTGGCGACCTCCGCTTCTGAACGACATAGACGAGGACAAAAAGATGACTGAAAAATCAGAAATCATTGATACTTTAATTGATTTCGAAAAACAGTCTTCTGCCTTCGATCAAGGTCAATTCACTACCACCGTCAACATGTATCAGGATCTCGATGATGCTTGTAACATCGAATTACCTTCTCATCTGGAATCGAGACAAGTCGCTATTGAGGAAGCATTTGAGGAGTTAACCAATCGTATTGCATTTGCACGTCAAGTGGTCGAACAGTACCTGGTTGTGACGGATTTTGTGGATCGCGCCGATAAACTTAAGAACGATGGTGATCTTTTACGTCAAGAGATTACCGTGGCAACAGAGCAACACGGCACTCATTCAACCAACACGGATTTTAGTGATAAGGTAGCGTCTTTTCAGGAAAATGCTGTGCGTCTCGTCACAAGTGTAGCATCACGTGTACCTTACCCAGAAGCATCTCACCCTACTGATGAACAAGGCAATGACGAAGCTAACGATACTATTCGCACGGTGGTAGGTGCACGAAAATCAGGTTTGGTTCTGTTTGGCGAAGCTTTAGATCATAGTCTCGCTTCCTATCGTCGAGCACTTCAATTACAAAAGCGAGCTAAACAACTACAGGATGAAATCGTGCGTTTATTAAGTTGGGTGGATGAACGTATGCGGTCGATTAAGAAATCAAAAGTGGATGTATTTGTTGGTAAATGTGCCTTGGATGAAACAGATCTTGCTCGTTTGAACAAGGAGCGTGACGGACAAGTCGCCAAGATGAAGGGGATCAAGGAGAACGATATCAAGAAATTGTTGGATACAATTGGCGCATTACAAACCACGTCTTCTCAACCACCTACTAATACACACATGTTAGCTTTGGTGTCTGCTTTGAATGAAGGTATGACGAACCTGGGAGATCAATTGGCTGTGTTGGATGATGCACTTCAGTTTCATAGTCTGTGTTTGGATATCTTAGGAAAGCGAATTTCATGGGAAACACAACACGCCAAAACCTCCTTGTGGATCTCCAACATGACTTTCCAAGTCTGGGAATTTGTGGCACGTAAAGCTCAATGGAGAAGTGAAATCGAGATTGTCTTGGATCGAAATACCGTGCAACAAGAATTTGAAGCTATGCAGCAAAAAGTACAAGAGTTTTATTTGGAGCAATTAACTCCTGTGGATCAAACCTTTAAAGATCTATCCAATGGATTCGACATCATTCTTAACAATAGCTGTAAGTCTTTTATCCGGGTTGGTTTATTGCGTGCTTTTTTTTTTAACGAATACTCCTTATTTTTTCCTTTCCAGCTTTTGATGTGAACCAAGCACAAGACAATATTACGCCCCAACATGTACAACGTCGTCAGGATACACTTGATCAGAGCTACAACAATTTGTGTGACTTGATACAGTTCAGTGAGGGAGTCTTAGCACAATATAATGCATTGACTGATTTCTCTACCCAAGTCACTACCTTGGGCGATCAAGGCCGTGGAATTATCTCGGATATTCAAGCCGCCAACGATACCGTGATGAAATTAGCCGATGCCGATGCCCGCCGTGAACAATTTGGGTTGCTTGTGAAAGAATTCAGTCAAAGTGTGATTCAACTCTGGATGCAATCTGGATCTCAATTGCCTTATCCTCAATGTTCTGAGGATGCGCGTGCTACACGTCCATCTACCAGTGATGATGAAATTAGTACAGAAGTAGCCACCGTTATCTTTAAAAACTACACAGAACTGCAAGATCTGGTCAAAAGAATGACGGATTTGTTGCAGCGTTTGGATATTTCTATCGTGCATCGTTTGAAATTAGAACGATGGTGTACGGATTCCGACGCGTTTGATCAAAGCGTTAAGTCTTTGACAGAGAACGTTGATCATGTTTATACGTTTGATTTAAACACCGGTCTTGTACATCAAGGTACCGAACAAGTTCCTATTCAAACTTATATGGAAAAGGTACGTGACTTTGAGGCACAAGTAACAGAACTAGAGAAAGACAAGTACCAGCCTCTCTTACATGATCTGGAAGATTTGAAGCAAGCAGTGGAAAAGGATGATCAGGTGAGATCTGTGGTGGATCCTGCAGTCACCCAAGCTACCATGATAGCTCTTGACATGTCATGGCAAGACTTGAACGTGCGCGTGGACTTGTTCAAAAGTCAAGCAACTGCTTGTCACTATCGTACTGTATGGGAAGAATTATGGGTCACTCAATCACATCAGGTAAATACTATTCAAGACGGTGTGCGTGAATGGATCAATGAAAAGAATGTATGGCTTGCATCTCCTCAAGGTGGTGATTTATTAGACGACTTGATTGCTCGTATGGAAGTGTTTGATGACACATTAGGCACACTTTTAAAAGATGCAGTACCTCCGTTAAATTCTGCTTTTATCGATATGATGACCTTGTACAAATCCAGTGATATGGTGTACACCACTTCTTTAGAAACCAAACAAGACGACCTCGAAAAACTCTCGGTCAAGTTGCAAGACCTGATTTCTACCCAAGTCTCAGAGATTCAGTTCTTAAAATCACGTCATGCTTGGGAGTCTAAAGTCGATCGAGAATTGAAAATCTGTGCTGAAAAGGCGCTTGAAACCGAATCTTTTATTCGTCAATCAGCTCGATGGTCTCCTTCTTATTCCCCTGATCACAATGTAAAGTATGAACCTGCAGATACCCAAGTAGCGGCTTTGGCTTCTTTACTCGACCATCTTGTTTCTTTACAATCTGAAAACGCTCCTCTGTTGCAAACTGAAATGGTCTATAAACGTAAATCCACTTTGGAATCTACCATTGAGCGTGTGCAAGAGCATGTCAAGTTTGTGGACCAAGTTTTAGAACAACGCGATTTGATCTTGACTCGTTTAGCCAATATTGCTGCCTTGGAAACATTGGCCGAGACGATCAAGACACGATTCCTGTCTTCTGATACGGTGGAGGGTCAAGAAAAGGAAGCTTTGCAGGAATATTTGGTACGTGTATCTCAATTAGAATCCCAAATGGTCTATCCAGTACGTCATTACCGCGACCATGATGCTACTTGTCGTGAAGAAGATGATTCTCATAATGCTGCTATGACCGAAATGCTGACAGCTCGTCGTGCGCGTCTTGATGAATTAGGCACTTCATTGGAATCTATTTTGAAATCCAAGGAACGTGTATCACGTTGTAAAGCTGCAGAAGAAACTTACATGTCAGAAGCTACAGCTGTTAAGGACTGGATTGAATCAAAAGCACTGCAATTGGATACTCTTCAACCCTCATTAGCTATCAACGAACTTCGTGTTGCAGTGAATACCGTGAGTGCTTTACAATCTGGAGCAGTGACATATGCAAATTCCGTGCAAAGTCTCAAGGAATCCGCAAATCAATGTGTGGTCATGATTCAACAACAAGGAGATGATGAAAATATTTTGGCTCGTATCCAATCAACACAGCTCAATATGAATGCAGCTTGGGATAACTTGAACCAAAAAATTCAGGTATCTAAAAACGAATGGTCTACAACGTTGAGATACCGTGAGTATATCAAGTGTGTCGAGTCTTTCCGTCAACAATGTCAAGATTTGCACGAAAACGTAGTCAAGATGGATTTATCTCAAGTGACCGAAGATATTACCAACCAATGGCAAAACGATATCGTCATGTTATCCGATACTTATATTGAACAAATCCGTGCTAGACTGGGCGAAGAAAAAGCAAAATCTTCTAGTGAATGTGTATCACCTGCATGGTTGAAGGAAATGACTGAAATGTTGGCTTCTGTATTGCAAGACTTTCAAGGGTTCAAAAAACTCGTAAGTGAGAAAACAACCGAAGCCAATCATCATCGTTTCAAACTCGAATACTTCGTGGGTGCCGATGCTGTAGATGCGTGTATGAATGAAACAAGAGCTGCTTTAGATGCTGAATCTCATCGTATTATCCGCGGTCTGTCTGTAGAAGAGGATCAAGCCACAGTCAAGCAAGTGAATGAATCTTATCAATCCCTTTGTGATGTTTTTGAGAAACATCATGAAACTTATGATGAACAAAGATCCTTTTATCGTTTCTTACAATTGAACAAGGTGTCTCATTTAACCGAGGTAGATACTCGTCAGCAGGCTCTGGAACAACGTTGGAAACAGTTGAAACAAGATGTCAGTCAAGACAAACACCATGTAGATAGTGTCGCGCAATGGTTTGATTTACATGCTAAACTCAACGATATGCAATCCGAGTCTTTGGCCGGTATCTTTGAACGTCTGGAAAATATGGTGTTGGAAGAGACCATGCCTGCCTTTTTGGATAGCGATGCATCACTTTTAAAGGTAGTGGAATCCCGACTTTCATCATGTAACGATATTGCTGTCACTTTATCCGATGACGGTAACTTGGCTTGTTTCCAAACTCGTCATGACCAATTGCAAGCTGATTTGAAGCGCGCTACTGATTTATTGCTTGAGAAAAAATCTGCTGCACAAAAACATGTGGATATTCTCGCCTGTCAACAGTTCTTGCAAGAGGTCAAGGTATGCAGCCAATTACTTGTAAAGGACGTCAATCAACGTTTAGAAGACTTTGTGGTAGAAGAAGGTTCTAGTAAATACATGGAGCAATTATTCAAGTCATTTTCTGCTTCCACCACGGAGGCTCAACAAAGCAAGGTCTATGCACAATCAGTGGCTGTCAATGATCTAGTTGTAGTCTTACAAAGCAAGTACGAAGATGATGACCGATTTGAAGCTATCGAGGCGGACTTAGCACAGAGTATGGAGGCCATGGATAAGGCCTGTGGAGAAGAACAAGCTGTAAACGATGTCATGCGTCGTGTCCTGGGTCATTGTAAGAGTGCAGAAAGTATTGCTTCTTGGGTTGATAACTGCCATTTGGCTACCACGCAAGTCTTGGGCGATCATATGGATGAATCGGAAGCAGCACTGGAGCTTGCTAGTCTCTCACAAAAATTCCTCGATTTTGAAAACGTGATCGAGTCATTCAGCGAACTTTCCAAGACCTTGTTATCAGTAAGAGGAAATAATGCTGTGCAATCTTTAATCAAAATTGTTGAGCAGAATGCTACAGAGATTGAAGGAAAATGGCGTTTGATGGGTGAAGAATTAGAGAGTGTTAAAATCACTGTAGAAAAGACAGCACGTGGTGTCGCTATTGCTCGCAAGATCAAAAATATCATGGCCATGGTAGGAGAGACACGCGAGTGTGTCAGTAGTATTAAGCTCTTTGATTCCGATGACAACTTTAGTATCAATACCCATGATGATGTGGACGATCCACATAGCGATATTGGTGATGTTATTTCTGATGATGATAAAACAGCCATTGGTGGTGAAGAAAAGAAACTTGAAGATATTATCAAAGAAGAACAATCGTTGTTGACCATGTTGCGTCAGTCTGAGGTAGAGGTTATCCAACGCAACCTGAGCATCATGGAATCCGAAGTTAAACCACAAATTGAACTTGAAGTGGAGCAATTGAATACCATGATATCCCAAATTGAAGATATCGATAACACATTTATCCGTCAACATGAAGAGGTGCAAGAATCAGTAGCTAGCTTGTTTGAATTGTTGGATACTAAGTACGGTGAATTAGAAAAGGCTATGGATATCGGTCAATACTTGACGATAGCGGATGAAGTGGAGATTCTACAAACCGCATTTGAAGAAGCCGTTGGTAAATCAGCTCCTCATCATGCTACTTTAATTGGCAGCAGCTTTAGTCGTACCGATTTACAAGCGAGATCTATCGAACTCGACTCCAAGTTCCGTTACTACGAAGAAAAAATTGTGCAGCAAATGACTGCAGCTAAAAAGCAAACGACCCTCATCTCTCAAAAGCATGAAACCGAAGGTATCCTTGCTGCTGCTCATCTCCAGGAAATGGAACACAAATGGATTGCCATCAAGAAGCAATTCAAGACTCGTAAGATTGAACTTAGTCGAACCATTGATACCTCGGTGGATCCTCATGATAAATTGACTCGATCTCGTAAATGCTCTTTACCTACCCGAAAAACGTCTTCCATTTTGCGTGAAAGAGCCGATACTTCCTTAGCCAGACAGCGATTATCACCCACCGCTAGCAGTTCTTCCTCTAGCAGCAAGAGTGGTATCAGTCGTTTGCATCCTAATCGAAGCACAAGCAGGTACCTGACACCACCTTTACAACACCAACCTTCTAAATCCGCTACACATGTAAAACAACATGCGCCCCGTATTGTGGCTCCCAAAGCTCCCTTGAACTCATATGTAGCTGATCCCCATAACGATTTGGATATTGAAATTGGACGTATTGTGAATGAAACTCCTTACCGAGTCAAGGTCAAGATGGTTCCTGGTGAAACAGGTCGTTACTGGTTTGGTAATTTGAACCCAAAGTTAGCTTATTGTCGTGTGCTCAAGAGTAAGATGGTGATGGTACGTGTTGGTGGTGGCTGGACAGAACTCTCTCAGTTCTTGCGTGATCATGCTTTATTGGAAGGTGATTTTATTCCTCGTAGTCAACGTGGTGGAGCAAACAATCATCGTACGCGCATGATTCCCGAAGAAGAAGAACCCAAATCTCCTACCATCCAAGAAGGATTTATCGAGACACGTCGTGATTTTGGTAAGCAACGTAGCGTATCACCTCAAAATAGGTCTTCTACTACTACCAACAGTAGTCGATCCAGTACGTCAAATCATCCTACAGGCTCTCCCAGTCATTCTGCCAGTACCACATCAGGATACAAGGAAGGAGACCGTTTTATTGCTGTAGATCAGCATGGAAATCAGTTAGAGGTCAAAATGCGCAAGGCAATGGATATGGGTCGCACGATGAGCTCAAGCACTGCTAATACCAACGATTATACCAGAAGACGTATGGCACGTCGAAAGGAAAAAACCGGAAATCCTTCTACTTTGACAAGTAACAAGTCTCCTTCCCCTAAAGCGACCACCCCTACCCCTACTAAGGGTACAATGACACCCACAAAAACAATCCCGGCTCCGTCTACGACCCCTACTCCTCCTCCTCCTCCCAGAACAGTAGTGACACCTACCCCTACCAAAGCTACCCCACTGCCTACCACCAAAACCACCAAGGTGAAGGCCACGAAACCCCTTGTAACTAAAAATACCACCACCACCGCCACCGTGAAACCTAATAACCCTCCTAGTAAACATACCAATCCTAATAGTACATAATAACAATAATAATAATAAAAAAAAACCAAATATATATTTTTTTTAATTTATTTGTTCCCCATTTAAAAATTGTCCTTCATTTTACGAAGCTCACCTAAAACATCAATCTCGGATGCATTTTTAGGGTCTTTAACCACGTTTTTAGCGACTTGCTTCACCCTTAAAAACGGGTTAGTTAATTTCTCATTGGCCATGGAGGAAGGTGTGGTACAGCCAATACGCTGTGCCCAGGCTAATTTGTCGGCCACATCCTTGTTTTCGGGTTCGACATGCTGAGCAAACTTTAAATTACTGATGGTATATTCATGACCGAAATAGACCTTGGTGTCATCAGGTAACTCGACTAACTTTGAAAAAGCCTTGTGCATATCGCTAGGTGTTCCCTCAAAGAATCTACCGCATCCCGAAGAAAACAAACAGTCGCCTGTAAAAACAGCACGATCGTCTTCATGATCAATGTAGTAACAAAGGTGGTCCATTGTATGTCCCGTGGTGGATAAAGCCCGAATATTCAACTCGCCTAATTGTACAGTGTCACCGTCCTTTAATATATGTTTGACACCGTCCACTTGCTTTGATCCGCCATAACAATCTAATCCACTCTTTTGCTTCAAAAGTTTGGGGTTACCGCCTGCATGATCCCAATGATGATGCGTGGTAAGAATCCTACAGAATATCAGAATTAAACATCCGCTGTATTATTAATCGATGGATGGGATGGTTACATTGATAATTTGTAATCTGGGAAATCTTCCATAGCTTTCAATACGTTTTCAGGCTCAACAGGGTCTACAGCAGCAGCTATATAAATAAAAAAAAATGGGCAGGTTAGAGTTTAGTAGGATATATATCCTTACTAAGTGTTTACCTTGCTTTGACTTTTCACAAAGAATAATATATGCATAACTTTTTTTTTTTTTTTTGGAGATAAACGAGAGTTTGGTTTGAATGATACATACAGTGATAGTGTGCTTGGTAAATTACTTACTTGTCTTTGAGACAGTTTACGGGCTTGACGATCATGTTTTTGAATAATGTAGGATTGATTCGGGAAAGCATGAAAAGAAGAAACTAAATAAAAATCATGCCAACTGGAAAAGGAACTCGAGAAAAAAAAAGAAGCAACGACGCGTATCACAGTCACATACTATGGAAAAAAAATACATCTGTTGAGAGCACTGTGGGTTTTATTTTTTCTTATTTCACCTCCTTATATATTTTGTACATGTCACGGTTTTACTGGGAGACACCTTTTCTATCACCATTTCTCAACATGGAGCATAAACCGCAATTAAAACGAACAAGATCAACAGAGGCGATGGACAGAAACGTAAAACGGCCCAAAGCATACGAAGAAGCCAAGTAAAGAAAACGGGACAGTTTTAAACCACGATAAGGCAAACAACTGACTATTTTCTATGTAGATCCACTCCTCCTGCTAATACTGAAGCGATATTATACCCCACTGTCTTACCTACACATACCCCTCTGCTAAAGCCTATCTCAATATCCACTAGGACACACACACCAGCGACTGGTTATGCAACTACGCACGCACCTGTCATGAGCTACGAAGGGATCAACGGTCTACTTCACTCTGTCCATATCGAGCGATTTGGCGATCCAGATACTCGGTTACAAGATGAGGAGATGACGGATACACTAGTAGACAATCAGGAATACAATAATATGAATTCGGTGTTGCGACAAGCTTTTTTACAGCGACATTAAAACCCCATTTGGACAATAACTTCTTACCCAATATCTCTTGCTCTGTGTGTGTGAAACACGTGCTAAACTTCTGTACATAAAAAAAGGAATAAAACAGTAAAAATAAAAAAATACTCAGCTTTTATCCTTCCTTCATTCTTAATCTTTCTTCATAATGTTGTCTGTCACTAGCTTTGAAAGTATTCAAGACCACGTCAGCCATGTACGCCAAGTGTTTTTCTCGGGAAAGCAACGTGATTTAAAGTGGCGTAAACACCAAATTCAACGTCTTTATGATCTCGTTGCTGAGAATGAGGAACGTCTTATTGAAGCAATGTATTTTGACATGAACAAGCCTCGTAATGAAGCTCTTGTCGGTGATATTGCCCCTGTACTCGACGAATGCTTGTTCTTTTTAGACGTATGTATATTAATAGACTTTATTCTATGCTCTATTAAACTCTTTTTCTTTTTTTTTTTTAACTGTGACAGAACTTGGATGCATTAGCCAAGGACCAAAAAGTCAAGCCAAGATCTATCATCAACAAGACTGCAAAAGCCATTATCCGCAAGGACCCTCTTGGTGTTGTTCTCATCATTGGTATTTACCCAAATATGCTTATAATTGTTTGCATGATTTTACTAATGCTTTCATTTTATTTATTTTTTTAAGGCTGTTGGAATTACCCAGTTCAATTATCTTTGTTGCCTCTGGTAGGTGCCATTGCAGCAGGTAACTCTGTCATTCTCAAGCTCTCTGAAGTCTCTCCTTATACCGCCGCAGTCATCACAGACCTTTTTCCCAAATACATGGACACCAGCTGCTACAGAATCGTCAATGGCGGTGTGGAACAAACAACCGCTTTATTAAAAGAGCGATTCGATCATATCTTTTACACTGGTAATGGCACTGTGGGCAAGATCATCATGGAAGCTGCTGCCAAACATTTAACTCCCGTCACTTTGGAGCTGGGCGGTAAATCGTAAGTTATTTTTAAACCCTTCCATGCATTCCAATACTTACAACTGTCATAAAATAGTCCCGCTATCATCGCTAATGATGCTGATATGCAATTATCTGCTAACCGTATTGCCTTCGGCAAGTTCTTTAACACTGGACAGGTACAAACATATATCACATGTTAAGCTGTTTTTCTCTTACGCATGTATACTTTAGATTTGTGTAGCTGTCGATCATGTATTTGTACCTGAACACCGTGTCAATGAATTTGTGGCAGCTATGAAAATCACATTAAAGAAATGGTACGGACCTAACCCTCAAGAAAGTGAATCTTATGGTCGTATTATTGCAGACAGACACGTAGATCGTATTGAAGCTGTATTGAACAACAGAACCAGTGGTGAGATAGCTATCGGTGGTCAAATTGATAAATCAGACAGATATATGGCACCCACTGTTGTCGTCAATGTAAAATATGATGATGCTGCTTTAATGAGTGATGAAATTTTTGGTCCCATTTTACCCGTTATCTCGTACAAGGAGATTGATGAAGTCATTGGTCTTATTAACAAGAGGTACTGCCGCGTGTAACTTATCCGATGTACCCTATATTTAAAATAATTTTTATTAGAGAGCCCGCTCTTGCGCTTTATGTTTTCACAAACAAGGAGAAGCTTGCCGAAAAAGGTAAATATAACACAAAGAAAGTAAAACCCAGGTATTCATACTATATTATGTAGTCTTGAGAAACACACAATCCGGTGGTGTTAGTGTCAATGATTGTTTGGTGCATCAAGCAGGTAAATAATAATAATAATAAACTTAAAACAACGAAAATTCACCTTTCTTTGTCTATAAATAGAATACAGCATGCCATTTGGTGGTGTAGGTGGATCTGGTATGGGCAATTACCATGGTGTTAAATCTTTTGATACATTTACGCACGAAAGATCCATGTTGGTTAAGAAGCAAGCAATGGAAGGCACTAATAATGTCAGATATCCCCCTTACACAAGCCGTAAGCTCAATATTTTGCGTGTGGTCCTTGTGGCTCATCCTTGGATGCTCAAATTGAAAGCCAATAAGAGCCCTCTCAAGGTGCTTGCTGTCTTTTTAGCCATCTTATTTTACCTTAAAAGAAAATAAATAAAATAGTGCATGTGACCGTGTCTTATTTTCTCACGCTTCTATTGGACTAAATGTAAATCAGAAAATAAAAAAGCTATATAAAGGGCTTACCTTTTTTATCTCTTTTCCTATATTAAAATTAAAAAATGTCTCAAGTCTCTAAGTTTTTAAAATCTCAAAGTGTATCAGTAATCGGTGTCCCATTCAGTGGAGGTCAACCCCGTGGTGGCGTAGAAGAAGGTCCTTGTCGCCTTGTGGAGTTTGGCTTGTTGAATCAAATCGAAGAGTTGGGTTGGGCAGTGGATTATGAAGGCAATGAAAATATCACTTCTTTACAACCCAAGGAGGATCCTGATACCTTAAACCTGAAGCAACCTAAATATGTGTCTGCAGTCACTCAACACGTATCCAAGCAAATCTATCAATCTGCCAAGGAAGGCAAATTTGTCTTGACTTTGGGTGGTGATCATTCTATTGGCATCGCTACTGTCTCCGGTGTCTTTGGTGCTTATCCTAACGCTTGTCTCATCTGGGTGGATGCACATGCTGATATTAATACTCCCGCCAGTACTGATTCTGGTAATATTCATGGCTGTCCCGTCAGTTTCCTGGCTGGTATTGCAGGAGATCATCCTGATTTCGCTTGGGTGCGTCCCTTGTTAAAGACAGAGAGATTAACTTATATTGGTTTGCGTGATATTGATGCGGGTGAGAAAAAGATTATCAAGGACCTCGGTATCAAGGCCTTTTCCATGCATCATGTTGATAAGTATGGTATTGGTAAAGTGGTGGAATTAGCGCTTGATCATGTTAATCCCAACAGAGATTTACCTATTCATCTCTCATTTGACGTGGACGCATTGGATCCATCTGTCGCTCCTAGCACAGGTACTCCCGTACGTGGTGGTTTGACCTTCAGAGAAGGTCATTACATCTGTGAAGCCATTGCTGAAACTGGACTTTTAGTGGCTGCTGATATTATGGAAGTCAACCCTACTTTAGAAGATACCAATTCCGTATATCAAACCGTTCAAGTCGGCTGTTCCCTTGCACGTTGTTGCTTAGGTGAGACATTATTGTAAATAATAAAAAAGATAACTATCTTATCTATTTCACACGCTTTTTTTTTTTTTTTTTTCGTTGTTGTACCCAATCACAAATTTTTTTATTTTTGACAATCAATAAGGGGGAAAGTGTTATCGCAACTCCCCATCTTGCATCCCCTTGCTTTTTTTTTAGCGCTAAAAACGTCATGGGACATGCGAGACTTTATTTTAACCACTCAAGTGAGTGAAATAAGTGAGTGAAATACATGAAAGCTAAAAATAATCGTTGCGTTAATTATCTGATTACGTTTTTCCTTATCTGATTACCATAACAAATCACAATGTAATTATTTTTTTTTGCGAAGTTTTTATTCACACGCCCCTCCCGCAGTAAGAAAGAAATGTGTGAGCTGCATATGGAGATCAAAAAAAAGTTACATTAAATTATTTCGCTGTTACAAAATCATGCATCCACGGACCCCGTTTTAGCCAAAGTGTTTAGATTATCGTCATTTTCGGTAATCAAACTACCCGGCGCAAGCATAGGATAACCCATTTACTTTCGTACCTGAATGAAAAAAAAAAAAATCCGCTTCGGATCCCACAGCGGGATCGTGCAACAATAAGCTTTCTTAAAAAAGGTAAACAATAGAAATAGTTTCACTTTTGCATTTTATTTACACACACACACACCTAAAAGCATCGCAAGTGCACATGGAAACGGCTTAATTGTCTACCGAATTGGATGCAGTCACTGTTACTAAAATTGGCGATATTTGATTAATCAATCATTTTTCTGACCACCTGTTACAAATGACATTGTGTTACCCTATTTCGTAACTGCGGTTCCCATGTCAAAGTTCATTTAAAATTTGTTATCAAATGACTGAAGATCAATTGATTGAATTATAAACATCGTTTTAATTCATATTTTGCTTTTCATAATATTACTCATTGTAATTATTGCTCACTTCAACTCAGTCTGAATGATGCAATGGTTTCACATATTCACAGGCTAACAGAATTATTTAATAATGCATAACTATGCAGTTGGAAAACTATAGGTACCAACATGTGTATACAACATATATGACATAATGTTTACTGATCGTCCCGATGTGTTTATTTGATTACAGTGTTGTTACTTCAAATTCAGACAAATGCAAATTATTTTTGGACAAACTTATATTTGTTTTCAGACAGGCTTATAATTGTTTTCAGACAAACAGAAATATATTCCGGACAGTCGTAAAAAGATTTTCAGACACATGTAAAAGACAATCAGACAAGATATCCATCCCAGTCAATACAATCTTTTGTGTCGATAATGTTACAAAGAATTTAAAGAGGACATCAAATTATTTTCAACCAACACTTCACGATTTAAGTGAGAAAAAGGTTCCTACACTTGTGCAGATAATTGGCATGATCTACCTGTGATGTAATGATAGAGGCGGGATGTTATTTGGGTAGGACATAGCGGAGGAAAAGATAATGATAGAGAATATGACATAGAAAAACGTACGGCGGCGAAAAACAACGGGTAAGTGATCCTAGATTATGACTACGCGCACTTTACCGGTCCTAAAGAAAAGCGTAATCATAATAATCTATTTAATCAAACTTTGAGACAGCCAAAACTCACTCAACAAAGTTTGTTTAATACGACTTATATTATAAATGAATAAAGTGATTTACATGCCTACAATTATCATACCCAGCCTACTACAAATAACCTCACTTCATAGCATATAGATACAATCTGATATAAAAAATAATAACTTAATTGGTTTGTACAAATACTTTGATAAATTAATAATAAGCAGCGGTCACATCAAATATATATATATATCAGCCTGATGTCGATTTAAACAACAATTATGTCCTTTTCTTTCTAATATCTAAAACGGGATGCGTACACCAATTTATCCTAAAATTGAAGCTTTTATACAGACGAAAAAGCTGAAAAAATATGAAAGCCAACAACAGGAAACTGCTAGTGAAACCATTAACAAACCAAGTAAAAGAAAGAAAGGTAATATAAAAGCTTTCTTCAATGTGTTGTAATAACTAAATCTTCCCAAAGGTGTAAAAAGAAAAGATACCCCAGAAGAGAAAAGGGCAAAAAGTGATGCGAAAAGAGCTAGAAATGTTGTCCCAAATACATCAAGTCTAGTATGTAAGTCCTGCGGTCAAAATGGCCATGCATCTGCTAGGTCCAGAGAATGCCTGAATTATAATTATACAGTAAAAGAATTGATTCAACAAAATCTGGGTTCTCAAGATCAAAGATATACAGTCTCCATACCTCTCAAGTCATTCATGTCTTCAGTAGATGAGAATGCGAATAACACTGCGGTTGAAAAAATCAAAAGTCTTTCAATGTTTTTGCGAAAAGTTGCCTACAACGCTCAGCTTTTTGTCAACTTTTATATTTTGAAACATCCAAACAGTTTGCCTAATGAACTATTGAAACAAAACTTTTGGTATAGCGTATGTAGAGTGGTTTACCAAAATTTATCAGTTCAAAATTTTCAATCACAATATCCTCTTATTCCCCACCTCGCCGAAGTATGGGATGAGCTTAACGGTGTTGAAGGCGTCAACTTGACAGTTGATAAAGGAAATTTAACTCTTTACGGCCAAGTGGTTTCATCCGCTTGTGAATCTATAGCTACTTGTTATAACAACTATTATATAGAGAACTTTGAAAATATTATTGCAAACTATTTTATATACATGATCCGTCAAGCATTTCATGTAAGTGTAAAACCTTGTTAAATATATATATATTAAAAACTTGACATCAATTATTATTTTTTTAAAAGGACATAAAAATGCCCATAGTAAAACATATAGTATACGAACATGTGCTCAATGTACTATTTTCTCCAGGACTGGGAGCCATCAATTCTGACAATATTTCCACTTCTTTGAACAGTGAAGAGCAAGAAAACATTTGTACGTTTTTAAACCCATTGATATTGGAGATCAAGAATCGTATACCAGCATTTCCTGTGACAAAGGCAACTCTAAATAATGCCCCATTCAGCATTATGCCAGTACTTAAGCACATTCTGGAGAAATATGAGTCCTTAATTGTGGAAGCACCGCTACCTGTTCCTGTCTCTCAATTGGAAATCATCTCACAAGAACAATCAGACGAGACCGATCAAGTAAATAAAAGACCAAGAAAAAAGAAGAAAGTAAAAAAAAACAAAAACGACAACAACGGCGTAAAAAGAGATTTCCAGCCGCCTCGTCTCTTCAGTCTATTCCCGAACCCTGGCTTGCATTGGCGTTTCGTTAAAATAGATAGCCAAAATTTGACTGGTCTGTTTCCGACGGCTTCAATGGAACGGTTAGAGGAAGAAACAGTTTTTGAATTCACCCAAAGATATTTTTTTGCCCGTTTTAATTTTGCTAAAATAAACATAAATACGTAGGTACATACGTTTTTAGCAACAAATAAACCTGCTAATTTTCAACTTGTATAGCTTTGAAAAATTAAAAAATTTACCTCAACGAAAAGGAAAGATGTTTATTAATAGCCTGTACACAGATGGGTACACTTGTAGGATTTCTTTTTGCCGAAAGGGATATGCAGAATCTCCTGTGAATGAAACTGCTTTGGAGCTGCAAGATTTCAATAGTGAAGAAATCGATCGTTATTTTAGACCTTGCACAGTAGATCCCAATAGGAAAGATGCTTTTGTGTCATTTCATGGTAACACGGATGTTAGGCGGCTTTCATCTGCCGAATATTACAACATGAATGGAAGTGCCAATCGTATGAAGTTGGAGCAAGACAGGAAGAAAGAACAAGGAGTGCAAACAATCGAGACAAACATACCTTCTGTAAAGTCAGCAGTTACTGATAAATATATTACGCATGTGAAATACATGATGCAACATAAGGACACACTATTTAGTTTTTACAATTTTCAGACAGCAAGAGTCAAATGGTGTAATTACATTGGAAAACAGCGTGCCCTCCAGGATGCTGTAAATATCCTAATTAACGGATCAAAGAAGTACAATAAAGGACGACGAAAGAGAACAAGAAAAAACAAGAGAAAAAGAAGCAAGACAGCTGCAAAGTATCAAAGCAACACCCCTCAAGCCGGATCAAGACAAAGAAAAAGCGCATCCAGGTATTACTCACATATCCATGGATGTTGTTCCTCTTCTAATATTTTTTTTTCTTTTTTAAAAAAAAAAAGAAGCCACAAAGAGAAATTTGAGGAGGGTGACAAAAGTAAAATGCCATTGATAATTTTTGGGGACGGTCTGAAGAATAAAAGTCACGTAAAGATCAGTGGGATTAGGCATGGCGTCTCTGAAATGATATACAGACAGTTGAAGCTGCGGGAAAAACTTGGAGAGTTATTGCTACTTGACATAGATGAATATAAAACATCAAAGGTGAAAGATATACGTGTCTATAACATGTATTTACTAATACAATGTCATTTCTTTCTTAGAACTGCAATAACTGCCTAGAAAGTAGTCTAGAAAACTTTAAGTATAAATGTGGAACGGACAACCGATCAATCCATCAAATATTCTTCTGCAAAAAATGTAATATTCGTTGGAATCGTGACGTTATGGCTACGAAAAACATGTACACCATTGCCACCTCAATTTGGAGAGGTGATGGCCGACCCGATGTCTTTAAAAGACAAAGCGCCACCTACAATGTGGTTGCCACGCCCTCACCGGCGATGGCTTAAAGATACCTACAGGTAAAAAAAAAAAAAAAAAAAAAAAAAAAAAAAAAAAAAAAAAAAGTCTAACACTAAATCTGAATTTCCATTTTTATATCGTCTGAAAAAGGTAAGCAAATGTTTGAAAGTGAATTTTTATTTGTCTGAAAAAAAACTGATGTTGTCTGAATTTGAAGTGTAAACACTGTAGCGAGATTTAAATATATGTAATTTATCTTATCCGAAAAAAACAGCTAATTTCTTTACGCGGTGTTAACTGTTCAATGTCAGCCTAAATCCAAAGACTTGGGTGTCGCATCGCACTTCAAATAAATACCCATTTAGTGGATTCGATGTCAATGCTTAATATATTCATCCGACAGTAGAGTTGTAAGTGGACGATGATTATTCTATGCCAAAACAAATGCCCATAAACAAATCGTGAGTTGACAATTCTTAGGCAATTATTTTAAATTAGTCTAATTGCGCTGATCCCGATATTATCGTGTAAACCGTATAGACCTATTCTCAAATATATCATTAATCAAAGATATAAAACATTGACATGCAATTAGAATAAGCAATATAATAATAAGCGCAAAAGAAAATTTGGGCAGAATTCATCAATGAAAAAAATGTTTTTTTTTTCTTAATTGAATTGATTTGAATGCTTTTAATATTACAAATTTATTTACAAAGGTTGGATGTGCCATCATTAATGACTCTATTCTACAGCTGCGTCACCGTTTATTTGATCTATGTAGTATCCAGCCTCTTCATTCCCAAATTTAAAAGCTTTTTTAAAGTATGTTAAAGCTAGTTCCTTATCCTTATCTACACCAAGTCCGTAGAAATACATTATTCCAGTACTGAGCCAGGATTTGTCGCAAATTTTAAGATCAGATTCGCAAAGTTCATTACTTTTTAAGTACCATTGTAATGCTTCTTCATAATTTACGTCGACACCATATCCATGCCTATAAACGTCGCCCATACAATTGTAACCTTCCGCACTTTTTAAACCGACTGCTTTTTGGAGATATTCCATTGCCTTAGAGTGAGATTGAGGAACTCCAAGACCATCCTGATAAAGTAATCCCAAGTAAGACAGCGCATGACGATGAGAGCCATCAGAGTCTTGACTTTTTAAAGCTGACTCATATAATTCATGTGCTTTTTGATAATCATGTTTTACACCAAGTCCGTTGTGATAAAGCCAGCCAATTTGAATAATAGCACTCTTGTATAAATTCGCTTGAGATTTTTCATACCATGACAACGCTTGAACATAATCGCGCTCCACTCCTAAGCCTTTTTCGTAGAACATACCAATTAGAAACTGACAAGTTTTGTCATTTTTTTCCGCACCCTTTTGCAACCATGACAAAGCCTTCTCAAAACTCTGTTCATCGTCGTCTCGTGCAATATACAATGTAGCCATTTGATCTTCGCCATCGAAGCCCGCGTCCAAATATTTCATATATAAATCAAAAGCAGCTTGAAAATTTCTTTCTATGCCGTATCCACCTCTGGCATATATATGACCCAGCCAATTGCATGACTCCACTGTACCACCTTCCATAGCCTTTAAATACCAGGATTCAGCTTCCTTGTAATCCTTTTGAATACCAAAACCACCAGAAGTATAGAGTGCGCCTATCAAATAGTAATCGAACGACTTATTTCCACCATCATACTTTGAGTACCAGTACAAGGCTTGCTTGAAATCTTTTTCTATGCCATGGCCACCACTGTAAAACATCAGACCGATACAGCGACAAGACATTTGTTCGTTTTCGTCATTGACATCTTTCAAATATTCAAATGCTTTTTTAAAATCGGTTTCAATCCCTTCATCAGGTCCGCATAGATATAGTAACCCAATATCATAACGAGCAACCAAGAATCCATTCTCATACGATTCAAGGAACCATTTTAACGCTTCAGCTTTGTCACAAGCAACACCATTACCTTCTTTGTATAGCTTTCCCAACTCATATTGAGACTCTATGTGGCTATTTTCAGCAGCTCGTAAAAACTTTGGAAATGCCTTGTCATATTGGGATTTCTCGAGGTATTTCATACCACTGTTGTAAAATTCTGTAGGAGTTGAATCTAGAATTGATAAATGTTACATAATGAAAAAGCGAAACACGGTGATTTTTATTTATATCTTACCACTGAAAATTCCCATTGTAACTATTCCTGTTGTTAATCTTGTAATTTTAGTTATATACGTTCAGAGAAAAGCGTTTGTCTAACAGGATCCAATTTATATTTCGTCAAACTGTAGAAGGCTGAGTACTGTACACTTGTCTAAAAATAATCCTCATTTTTCAACCAGTAATAATCTTGGGTAACACACTTGAATTTGAAAAAAAAAAAAAACTTTTTGGAAAACAGTAACTTTCTAAACCAAGCATGAGGATACTTATATTAATAACAGCCCAGTTTCTTAGAATAAGCAATACGATCCGTTAATTTAATCTGTCTCAAGCAGAGGGATAAGCATTGGGTAGATCTGTTTCAGATCAGTATACAAGAATAGACAAAGGATTTTTTTTCACTCTTCTAGAAATTACTGTGCCCGATTGCATAACTTTACCGTTTTCTCGGGTTTTGCTTAGCACTAATGGTGTCATCTGTGAGAAGTGTGTTACCTTCCAATGAGCACTGCGGGGATAAAGTTCCGAGCTCGATCGCATGTTGATAACTATGGCATCTTCAACAAATGGATTCTTTGCTACGAATAATACAATGGTGTATGTTACAAATAAATGATTGTTAATTGTTTCATTCAATATGAGTGTCCTCAATACATCTAGGACTTGACATATTAAAGTACCTGTCATTTTTTTAACTTCTAATAAACTTGTATTTGAGCTCACTGAAAGATGATTCTCATAATGTATAAGTAAACACACACACGTGTATATATATCCATGAGAAGAAGTCTCCCTACCATACAGCTTTTGCGTATAGGGTCAAGTCTAAAAACAGTGATTTCCTTTGTTATTTTGGCTCTAAAAAGGAAAAACAGGACGTCTTATTTATTAAGGACATTGATATGGCCAAGCTGGGACGTTGTATATATGATCTAAGTAAAACTGAGCGGTGGTATTACCAAATTTTAAAGCTTTCTCCAAGTACACCAGGGCCAACTTTTTATTGATTTCTGTACCCAATCCGTTAAGATACATAATTCCAATATTAAGCCACCCTTCGTCGCAAAAGCGCAATGTAAGATTAAACTCTTCTTCCCAAAAGTGCACCGTATCGTCATAACAGTCGTCACATTTCAGGTACCACTGGAATGCCTTTTCATAGTCTATGTCCACACCACATCCATATTTATAAGCATCCCCCATACAATTGTAGCCATAAAGACTTCCTAAATCTACTGCCTTTTGAAAATACTCCATTGCCTTGAAGTGGGATGTAGTCACTCCAAGACCATACTGATATAATATTCCTAGGCAAGCCATTGCATCACCGTGTTCTCCATTGTTATTGCCGGTTTTTAGAGCAGTTTCATATAATTCGTATGCTTTATCAAAATCTTGTGATATACCATAGCCATTCTGATAAAGTAAACCCATACCGACAAAACCAAGGGTGATATTTTTGTCGCAAGCTAATTTATACCAGATAATGGCTTCGTTATAATCCCGCTCGATTCCTATACCTTTTTCGTAAAAAAGTCCAATTGCTACCAGACTGTCGAAACAATCATCCTTTTCTACGGACAATCTAAACAGTGACATAGCCAGTCTAAAATCGTGTTTATCATCATCACGTAAAGTATATAGTACACCCATGCACTCGTAGGCAGGATTGATAACATAAGGTATACAATCCTCTCTTGACCAGTAATCTAAAGCCGAACAATAATCTTTTTCGATGCCATATCCACCTTTGAAATAAATCATGACTAGATTACGACGAATAATTTGCCAAGGTTGTTCCAAAAACTTGTGACACCAGAATTTCGCCTTGGTAAAATCCTTCTGAATTCCAAAGCCGCCCTCTGCGTACATTGCAGCTATGTAATAAAATGATTCTCTTTCATATATATCAATTACGCCTTCGAATATCTGAATCGCTTTTTTGTAATTGGTAATACTTCCTGATTTACTGTAATATATCAAGCCTATTCTAAAACGTGCATCCAAGAAGCCATTATTGAGAGATTTAATGAACCAATGTAAAGCTATCACTTCGTTGCGTTCAACAAAAACGCCCTTATTGTACATTTTACCCAAATGAAATTGAGACTCGGCATGATTTTTGGAAGCTGCTATTTTAATATGAAGAAACGCTTTGTCGTATTCTCCCTTCTTGTAATAATCTATTCCACTTGTGTGATAATCCATAGGTGTAGGTTCTAAAACATAATGTATTATTTCTATAAAAAAACAGGTTTCACTTTTTTTTTTACTTACCCATATTCGCTAAAGATGAAAGAAAAACATTATGAAAACAAACAAACGCTTCTTTTTTATATACATGTCACAAAAGGCGAAGTAGTGTACACCCGTCTAAAAATGGATTCTGGTATAACCTGAGAACATAATTTTAAAGTCACTCGTTCTTAAACTAAACGGCTTCAATAAAACCCACATCCTAGTTAATGCGTGCTTTGAGATCTGTCTTTCTTTCTCCTCAGTACATTCCTACTCATTTTGTACCGTCTGAACTTCCGTTATTTAATTGGGGATAGATGTGGGAACTCATACTTGAGTCTTTCTACTAGTTACATCAGGTATTGGACGGTCGTACTCACTCTATGGACATAGCATCAATTTTATGTTAATATTAGTCTGTGCCTTTCATTTTTAAATGTCACTGTGACCACACAAAATACAGTCAAAATGAATGTTCTATAAAACATTTTTCATGTTTGTCATGACTCATAGAACAGACAGTATTGACTGAAATATTGTCTTTATCGAGAAGTAAAATGCAACCAGAAGCGCCCCTGATTAATCTTGTTGTCTGAACTCATGAGAACGGACTTTCTTACCATATATTCCTAAACCACTACAGCTCCTAAGCAGTATTGGATTTGCAAATAGTGGTTTATTGGCTTAACTCGAGCATGCATTAAGTTTAAAATAAGACAATGGTTTTTATTATTTTATTTATGTACCCAATTGATGTGGCCAAGTGACCACGTTGTTTATATGATCTATGTAAAATTGGGCCGCAGTATTACCAAATTTTAAAGCCTTCTCCAAGTACACCAAGGCCAACTTTTTATTGACATTTGTACCCAATCCATTAAGATACATAATTCCGATATTAAGCCACCCTTCGTCACAAAAGCGCAAAGTAGGTCTAAACCCCTCCTCCCAAAAGTGAACCGTATCGTCATAACAGTCATCACACTTCAAATACCACTGAAATGCCTTTCCATAATCTATGTCTACACCACACCCATATTTATAAGCGTCCCCCATACAATTGTAGCCATAAAGACTTCCTGAATCCACTGCCTTTTGGAAATATTCTATTGCCTTGGAATGAGATGTAGTCACTCCAAGACCATACTGATACAATATTCCTAAGCAAGCCATTGCATCACCGTGTGCTCCATAGTTGTCGTCAGTTTTTAAAGCTGTTTCGTATAATTCGTGTGATTTCGTGAAATCTTGTGGTTTACCAAGACCATTTTGATAAAGCAAACCCATACTAACAAAACCTTGTGCGACTTTTCCTTCGCAAGCATTATTGTAATATACAATGGCTTCGCTATAATTTTGCTCGACTCCTAACCCTTTCTCGTAAAAAATTCCAATCGATACATCATATACTGTCCGAACACTACGATTGGTTAATTGAAACCATGACATAGCCTTGATAAAATCTTGTTCGCCATCGTCGCGTAAAGCATATAATATCCCCATGAAAGCATACGATTTATCATCACTGTTTTGTGACCAATAAGAAGAAGCAATCTGGTAATCTTTTTCGATGCCATAACCACCTTTAAAAAAAATCATGCCAAGATTATCATGACCAACCTTCCAAAACATGTACAAATTTTGTTGTGACCTCCACTTAGCCCCGAAAAAAATTGGTCGAGGATCATACTTGAATTTTTGATACCACATTTTAGCCCTGTAAAAATCCTTCTGGATTCCAAATCCACCTTCTGTATACATGGTAGCGATATAGTGACAGGACTCGTTATCATTTTCACCCGTAACGTCACTCAAAATACTAACTGCTTTTTCATAATTGGGTTTGATATAGCACCCTGTTTTACTAAGATATATCAAGCCAATTTTAAAACGGGCAGCTGAAAATCCGTTATTGAGAGATGTACTGTACCAACGTAGAGCCTCCACTTCGTCACGTTGAACAAAAAAACCCGTATCATACATTTCTCCCAAATGAAATTGAGACTCGGCATAATTACTAACAGCTGCTTTTTTAAGATGCAGAAACGCCTTGTCGTATTCTCCCCTGTTATAATAATCCATTCCAGTTGCATGATATTCTAAGGATGTTGGTTCTAAAGTATAACGTATTATTTTTATAAAAAAATTATTTACTTTTTTTTCTTACCCATACTCACTAAAGATTTACCAAAGGGTCTATAATTAAAAAAAAAAAGAAAACCCCCAATTTATATCACAAAAATGCTAATGGTGCTAAAGAGTTACCCAAATAGAGGTTTGCGTAACCTAGTGATACCATTTTAAAAGGCCTTCATTTCTAATATTAGACGGTTTTGATTTTTATGCTGGAAAGTACAAATTTAGCCCGTCTATCAAATTCTTATTAATTGAGATGACTATCGCTTTGCATTATGTCAATGAAATTACTTATTACTAAAGAGCACTGGTCATAATCATTATTGCGGGGGTATAAAATTTATGTATTATTAATGAGTGGCGTATTGACGTAAAATTAGGATTCAGGTGAACAATCTTCAACATGAAAAGGCCCTCTATCTATTGCTTGCTTTGGCCTTATGTTCCCTTTGATCTGTACTGACTTCCTGCTCTGGCTTAATCGTATTAGTGGCATCCACTTGAAGAGACGTAAAAACTTGTAGTTGTTCCGTAATAGTGGAACTTGCATCATTGGCATGGTTCTGTCCACTAATAATATCAGTTTGAAGCGCTGCGGTATTTATAGATGGGTCAGCATTTACTTGATCGATAAAACGCTGAGCTGTAACATTCCCAAATTTCGATGCCTTCTCTAGGTACACTAAAGCTAGCTTTCTATTTATAGTTGTACCAAATCCATTAAAATACATAGTTCCAATGTTAAGCCATCCTTTATCGCAAAAACGCAGCGGCATTTTGAAGCCATCTTCCCAAAAGTGCACCGTATCGTCAAATAAAGTATCACACTTCAAGTACCACCGAAATGCATTTTCGTAGTCTATATCTACTCCACATCCATACATAAAGACATCGCCCATGTAATTGTAGCCTTTAAGGCTTCCTAATTCAACCGCCTTTTGAAAGTAATGTATTGCTCTGGTATGGGATGTAGTCACTCCTAGACCGTACTGGTATAATATCCCTAAACAAGCCATTGCATCACCGTAACCTGTATTGTCATAGGATTTCAGAGCGGTTCTGTACAATTTGTGTGCTTTATCAAAATCCTGTGATACACCGAGTCCATTCTGATAAAGCAAGCCCATACCCACAAAACCAAGTGCAATATCATCTTCGCTGGCTCTTTTGTACATCTCCATGGCTTTGTTATAGTCTCGCTCAACTCCCAGTCCTTTTTCGTAAAAGATACCAATGGATACTAGACACAGACGTTCATTTTTTTTAAAACATGATATGGCCTTCTCGAAGTTTTGTCATCATCCTCACGTAAAGTATATAGTATACCCATATAGTTTTCAGAACTGTTCAAATCATTCGTGAATTCTTCGGACCAGTAATCCGAGGCTATATGGTAATTTCGCTCAATGCCATATCCGCCTATAAAGTAAAGAATACCTAAAATGCTAAAAGGATAGGCTAATCTTGGAGTAATCTGTAGAAACCAAGTTTCGGCCGCTTTGAAATCTTTCTTCAAACCAAACCCGCCTTCAGCATACATAACACCTATCATATAATAATCATCCTCATGAAATACATTATCCATTTTAGGAAGCAAAACATGGCCTGTCCATAGTCTTTTTCTATGCCGTATCCACCGGTGAAAAACATGATGGCGATAAGGCTACTGGCTAAGTGTTCATCTTTGCCTTGCACATCCTTAAAGAAATGTACTGCCTTCTTGTAATTGATTTTAATGCTCTTTTTTCCGTGGCAGTATAATCTCCCAATATTAAAACTAGCGTCGAGGTATCCATTGATGAGAGATTGATTGAACCAATACAGCGCCAATACTTCATCCGGATTGACTCCCAGCCCGTCTTCATACAATCTTGCCAAGTAGTACTGAGATTCGGCATGACTTTGGTGAGCTGCCCATGTAAACTTTAAAAAGGCCTTATCATATTGTTCCCTCTTGTGAAACTTTAGGCCGCTTTTGTGATATTCGTTGGGTGTCGAATCTAGAAGTCATTTCATTTCTTACAACTGTATCACCCTGACCCTTTTTTTATTTTCTTACCACCCAAAATTCCCATTTCTTCTGCTTTTATTAACCCGTAAAACAAACTTTGACTATCCGAGAATTGAAAGAATGCACTCAAAAATAAAACAAGTCGAAATTGATTTGGATTACAGCAGAAGGCTTGGTATCGCGCATATTTTGTATCACCCTTGTGACATGTTGGTTTTTTCAGAGATATGAAACAAAGGAAGGCATATTACAAAGTCTGTTATTTTGGTACTGATAGTATTGAAAATAAGGATCAGTATTCAGATAAATGTTCTTCGACATTTATGAAAATCCACGAGTCGCTACTAACTCTGGCTATGGAGCAATAACATTTTTCTTTCATTTCATAAAGTAATGCGATTTGTACTTTATTTCATATTCAAGTAAAAGTATTTTAAAGGTTCCTTTTATGATGAAAGAGTCGAAAATAAATCAGTGAAATAAAGCTAACCAATCAATGTTAATAAAAGATTGAACATGGAGAGAAAAAGCGGCGCAAAAATGTCAGAACCAACGTTTTCTTGGTCTCAGAATACAAATTTGATAAGGCGAGTTGCGGTCGAATTTCATTTCTGCAAGTGAAATCATCCTGTCAATTGTCCCCTGCCTTCGTGAAATAGCTGCATCAACGTCATCCGTGTGAGAAAATGTATGAACTTCTGAAAAATTGTCCGGTGAATTTGCTTTTTGTACTTCTGAATTCTGCGCATGAATCAATATGTTAGAAGCTTGAATAGTTGTGGTATTCACAAATGGATCATTGTCGATTTGATCGATGTAGTTTTGAGCTGCGTCGTTCCCAAATTTTGAAGCTTTTTTCAGGTACGCCCAAGCCACTTCTTTATCAATATGTGTACCTAGTCCATGAAAATACATGATGCCAATATTGAGCCATCCTTCATCGCAAAAACGTAGCGGAAGCTTAAAATCCTTCTCCCAAAAGCGCACTGTATTATCATAGCAATTAACACACTTTTCGTACCACTGAAATGCCTTTTTGTGGTCTATATCTACACCGCATCCATATTTATAAGCATCGCCCATACAATTATAGCCATAAAGACTTTTAAGGTCCACTGCCTTTTGAAAATATTCTATTGCTTTGGATTGGGATTTTGTTACTCCAAAACCATATTGGTATAATACTCCCAAGCATGCCATAGCATCACCGAGGTCTGCATCATTACCTTCCATTTCTAGAGCGGTTTCATAGCATTCAAATGCTTTTTGAAAATCTTGTGGTGTCCCAAGACCTTTCTGATGAAGCAAGCCCATTCTCACAAGAGCATATTGTTTTTGTTTGTTAGGAGCTTGTTCATAAAATCTCATAGCTTTGACATCGTTTTTATCAACTCCTAGTCCTTTTTCATAGAAAATACCCGCTGCCAAAAAATATGAATCTGTCTTTTCAAACCATGACATGGCCTTTATAAAATCGTGCTCGTCATCGTCACGGAGAGTATATAATATACCCAAATTATTTTCTAACCCATTGGATTCAATGTTTTTTGACCAATACCTCAAAGCAGCATGGTAATCCCTTTCAAGACCATATCCGCCAATAAAATAAAGGGAGCCTAGAACACCGGACTGGTAATCCACCAATGAATTTATACGCTTAAACCAAGTTGCAGAGGCTTTGAAATCTTTCTGCAAGCCAAACCCACCTTCTGCATACATGACACCAATTGTATAAAAGTGTTTTTCGACGAGTGCACGACTGTATTTTTCAAACCAAGCCAAGGCTCGACTGTAATCCTTCTCTATACCATAACCGCCTTCAAAAAACATGGTACCAATAAAGTCACTGGCAAAGGCTCCCCACGGACCGCCTACGGATTTCAAATAAAGATAGGCCTCCTTGTAACTCTTTCCGATCGTCTTATTTCCATGGTAATATGTACATCCAATGAAGAAACCAGCTTCCAAATACCCATTTTTGAGAGATTCTTTAAACCAATACATTGCAATCTCTTGATCACACTCAAGACCAAAACCGAATTTATAAATCTTGGCCAAGTTAAACTGAGATTCTGCATGATTTTGGTAAGCACCCTGTGTAAATTTCTTAATTGCACAGTCATATTGGCCCAGATTCATGTGCTTTAGGCCACTATCACAATATTCTGAAGGTACTGAATCTACAGAATATTTTATTTTTGTTATATAAAACAAAAGGTTTATGTATTTCCATCATTCAGCTGGGGTCTTACCCCAAAAAATTCCCATGATTTAAATAGAAAATGTGATATTTAGTTTAAATAACTGAAAGAAAAGGGTTTTAAATTAATTTACAACAACAAAAAAAAACAGGAGTGATTATTATCCCCTTTTCTTTAATATAATCAACGAAAATAGGCACTGGGAAATTAGACAAGTATGAAATAGTGAGCACCCATACTCAGATAGGATTGAAAAATTGTGTTACACTATATGCTACAACAGTTGCAGAAATGATGGCATTGTTTTGTATATGTCATTGAGCAAAGTATTTAGAATCATATACTGTGTTGTGTCATGAGTATATCATAGGAGTCTCTGTGCACGCTGTGCCTGATGATGTACATGATGGCTCAGTCGTATAAAATAATAATAATATTAAAAAAAGGGTGATCACGTGGAGTGAATTTCAGCCAATGAGATACAAGGAAGGAGGGCAGTGTGCGGCGATTCTTCAAAAATAATGGCAAAGTCAGCGACGTATCCAACCTTCCTTTTCACATTAGGTAACGTAAAGGGGGTGACATGAAAAAAGGATAAGGGATTGGGAGTGTGTAGAAGATGGATGGATAGAGAAATGGATGGATGAAAAGAGCAAATTATCTGATACAATTTTTTTTTTTTTATTATTATTATTGATTGTGCTCATTAGCCATTATGGAAGCTGTTCAGACATTTGGTCGCAAGGTAAATTACACGATTTCATGGAGAAAAATGCGGAATTAGGGGGAAAAAAAAGCTTGGAAAAGAGAATTAGAATAATAATAAAAATGAAACCCCTCCCAAAAAAAAACTTGTTCGAATAATAGAAAACTGCTACTGCCGTCGCTCATTGTAAGCGTGGTCACGGACTTATCCGTATTAACGGCTCACCCATTGAACTCCTTGAACCCGAGATCTTAAAGTTCAAGGTATATGAAGTCATTCTTCTTTTGGGTGAAGAGCGTTTCGCCAACACTGATATCAGAATCCGTGTCAATGGTGGTGGTCACACCTCTCAAGTTTATGCCATTCGTCAAGCTCTTGCCAAGGCCATTGTTGCTTTCTACCAAAAGTTTGTTGATGAAGCTGCCAAGAAGGAGATTAAGGAAATCCTTGTTCAATACGATCGTACTCTTCTCGTTGCCGATCCTCGTCGTTGTGAACCCAAGAAGTTTGGTGGTCCCGGTGCTCGTGCCCGTTTCCAAAAGTCTTATCGTTAAAGACCCCTTTTATACACATTTTGATAAAGCCTTCTTTTTTTTTTCACATTCATTTTTTTTTGGGGGGTGGTTACATGCTTAAAAAAGATCCCGGGTGCGCCAGTTGGAGTGGGATGCGTTGCGTGGTCGTTTAGGCAGCAGTAAATGTATATTTTAAATCGGGGGGACAGATGTAAACCAATAGAATGTCTTGTTTGGTTTCCATCTTTGGAATGTCACGATTTTTTATTTTTATAATCACACACAATCATCCCGTCTTTTTTTTGTTCATTTGATCACTATAACTCAAATATATCAAACAGAACAAGGTCAAAAGACAATAAGATAGCAAGGCTCATCGGGTATTGCCCTTTGGGTATTTTGCGTACTTTTTTTATAACTGTTATTTTTTTTTTTAAAAGACCGTGAGTGTTTATTATTTTTTTTTTTTTTTTTTTTTTTTTTTACCCAGCTCCAGATATATTTCTATTTTTTTCTTTTTCTTTCTTGTTCAATTGGAATCCCATCAACTTTTATTAAAATGTCTACTGTAAGTTGTGTGAACGCGTTTTACAAGTTTATCATCTCGGCTGACTTTACCTGTAGGAACGTGAAAACAATGTCTATATGGCCAAGCTCGCTGAGCAAGCCGAACGCTACGATGGTAACTCATCATCTTTTGTAAATGTGGAGTTTTGTTAACAAAAAAGTTTTTGTTTTACTATAGAGATGGTCTCCTTCACCAAGGATGTTGCCAAGGTAAATGGGAAACTACATGATGGAGAGGGATGAGAGGATGGTAGACTAAAAAACATGTATATTTTAGATGGGTGTCGAGTTAACTGTTGAAGAACGTAACCTCTTGTCAGTTGCTTATAAGAATGTGATTGGTGCTCGCCGTGCATCTTGGAGAATTGTTTCCTCTATTGAACAAAAGGAAGAGAGCAAGGGTAACTCTGCTCAAGTTGAAAAGATCAAGACCTACCGTCAAAAGATCGAGACTGAGCTCCAAGATGTCTGCAAGGATATTTTGGCTGTTTTAGCAGACAACTTGATCCCCAATGCTCAAGGTGGTGAATCCAAGGTCTTTTATTACAAGATGATGGGTGATTATCACCGTTATCTTGCCGAGTTCCTTACAAGTGAAGCTCGTAAAGAATCCGCTACTCAAGCACATGAGGCCTACAAGACCGCTACCGAAATCGCTCAAACCGAATTAGCCCCTACTCACCCTATTCGTCTTGGCCTTGCCTTGAACTTTTCCGTCTTTTACTATGAAATCCTTAACTCTCCTGATCGTGCCTGTCACCTTGCCAAACAAGCTTTCGATGACGCTATTGCTGAGTTGGATACCTTGAGTGAAGAATCTTACAAGGACTCTACCCTCATCATGCAATTACTGAGAGACAACCTTACCTTGTGGACCTCTGACTTGCAAGAAGGTAATACATTTCATCTTTTATTTTTATAATCTATCTTTGTCCTAACAACATTTATTATTTAGATACCGAAAAGTCAGATGATGTCAAGGCTGAAGCCGTTGACGAGTCCAAGTAAATTTTTTTTTATTAAAACAAACCAAATATATTTTTGTCCCCCCTATAAACAAGTTACATTTTTTTATTTCTGTGTTCTTAAACTGTAATTTTTTTTTTTTTAATAATTGTGATCATTTGTATAATATCTGTTTGTACATAAAAGAGCTGGTGGTGATGGAGAAGGGGATAAAGGACTATTGAATTTACGTGATTTAGCATAAGCAGGTGCCTTTGCGGTTGTTACTGCATGATAGGAATAATGTGGTGGTGGGGGTAATTCTGTAAAGGGTGTCAGTGTTCTTGGGTAGTAACCATGGTGACCGCTATACATGACATTGCTATAGGCAGGTTGACAACTGTCAATTCTTTGCCTGGTATTACTACTATTATTATTATCGTCATTCTCGTCATCATCAGATGATTTACTGCGTTTCCTTATTGGTTGAGTTGAAGCGTAACCTTGTAAATGTGGCATCAGGTCAGCCGAAATTTGTAAGCCAGCGAACTGCGGACTGGCAGAAGGTGTGGGCAATTGATTCTCGAGGACATCATTTTTACTGTAATAACTGACAATATGCAGATAGTTTCCATTCACCATGATACGAATTGTCTTTTTGATGAGACCGTCTTGCTTAAAGTTGTAGGATGTGTTTGCTGTGGTTAATGAACCCACCAGTGCCCTTTCCCGTTGATGTAGTAATGCCGGGTCTCCGTTACTGTTACCGCTGTTATACAAATTGTATCCCTCTCCTTCGGTTGATCTTGTTTCTCGATTAGCTAATTCTCTGTACACGAGAAAGTTACCGAGGATACGTGAAGGGCTCCACAGAAAGCCGTCTGTCCACCTCTTTATGCCTTTTCATGTTATAGTCAGCAAGAATGTTTACATTTATCAATAAGAAGGCTCTTACCGGACTCAGTCTCGTCAAAGACGATGATGGTGCCAGATTTAATGAGACTGCGCTCACGTTCAATGAGTCTGCGATTGATGGTGGGTAAGATCTTGTTTCTGCATGCTTCGATAATCAACAGTGTGTCTGTTGTATTTTCAATGAAGCCATGAAAAGTCTTGGTGAAGGGCATTTAAAAAAAAGTTAATAAGTAGAAAGAAGGGGTGAAAAAGAAGGAAACTAACATTCATTTTTTTTTTTTTTTGTCAAATATAAACAATCTTTTTTTATTTGTTATTTGAACCTCCCCCCCCCCTTTTCTCCTTTTGTTTGTTGTCGGTCAAACTTGTATCGTAGACCCAGATAATAATAACAGAAAGGGGGGGTCATTTTTTCGTCAAATGCAGATCCTACCATGTGGCGTTTCTCACCTTCTTAAAGCTTATTATTTAAATTCGCTCGGAACCCGGCTTGAGGGAAAATTACCACAAGAAAAAATGTGGAAAGCACGATTTGACACTTGTACTACAATAGCAATCCTATTCATGTAGATATACAAAATAAAAAATAAAAAAGACGGGAGTTTAGGGAGGTTGGGCGCTGCAAAGAACGGTTAATTCATAACACCGACTATATTTCTTCTTATTCACCAATCCCTTTTCTTGACTTTTCCCCATAACAGGTTTACTCCAAATAAATTCAAGGGGTTCTCTCTACTATATTATGATTAACGGTCGTTTTATTTATTTATTTACGCGATAGTGTAACTGCCACTCGTCATTTTGACAGTAGTCGTACAAACTATCAGAGTTTGAAAATATACAAAGGTAATTTATTAACAGCAAGCCTATTTTTTCCAGAAAAAATTAATCTAAAAAATCTAGATTCACCTAAATTACAATGAGCTTTAACTTTTTTTTTCTTTCTTCGCTTGATAGTGTTCAAGACAAACGATAAGTATGCCGCTCACCCTCATCGATATTCACTCCGAGGCAGCCGCACCTTGTTAGCACGACGTGCAGCCCAATAAGGGACCTTTTGTTTAATTGGACCGCACTGTCATCAAAGGAGGGGGCAAAAAGACAAGAGCTTCGCCATTGATGCATACGAATAAATTGATCGAAAAAGACCATTTTGAATATGCGTGCTTCTCTTTTTTTTTCCCGGGTCAAGACCCGATTGTGTAAGAGACACACATCTTTTTTTTTTTTGGTTTGTGCTACGGCTTTGAAGAAATATATAGAAGCTGGTTTTCATAATGGCTTTGCGACAAAAAAAAAGTTATTAATAGCTTTGGATGATGCTGAGCTTTTTAATATGTGAAAAAAAGAAAAAAAAAATGCTACGATATAATATGCTTCAAGATACAAGTGATCCGAGTTTTTTTTTGTTTTTTGTTTTTTTTTTGTGGGATGTGCTTTATTCAAATGATTAATATAATGATGCATTAAAAGACTCTCGTGCTTCTATTAATATTACCTTGGTGGCTTTTTGTTTCTTTATTGTTTATATGAGAGGCATCATCAAACGGATCAGAGCTAGATTATGGTAAAATAAATAAAAAAAAGTTGTTTATACACTCTATTTTTGGTCCCCCAAAGTTGTCAATGTTGATATTATTTTCTCGGGTTCTCTATATAAAGAATATACTGATTAAACCTACAATCACTTGTAACACATTATTAGTTTTTCTTTTTCTTTTTTTTTACTATAGTAACTGGACTAGATTACTGTACATATTAAATAAATCCAGTTTCTTCAATGAGAAAACCGTGTCTATCATCCCATTACAAGAAGCTCATATTTATATTATATTTGTGTGTCACATTCATACTATGGTTCACATCGATCGAACCACCTCTTCTCCCCTAATAATTGTGAAGCTGAAGACCACTGATGAAGTATCAATCATAAAACCTTAAAGCTTGAACTTTGAGCTTAAATCTCTTTTACTTACTCTTTCTTCCTTTCAGGCACATTAATCAAATCACTTTATTTGTCTTGGATTATAAACGCACTCCCACCATACGTTTTTCTTTGTACGAGTAACACCTCACGCAGAAGAAGACTCATTTATAAATATAAATGTACGTCCACGTGTTGGGGATATTAAACCTGCCCCTATCTTTTTTTATTTTGCAGTAGTGACGCCCCTATTTTTAGTCTTGTCATGGCTACGATTGGGCCCGTTCAAAGTAAACTCTGATGTTTATCGTATTTAAAAAATAAGCTTTGCGCTAGTATAAAATAAACTTAGGATACGCCACACAAACATGGAATTCTTTTACATGAAGCTAGACTTTAATGGTGCGACAATGTTGAACTGAATGACTATTCAACGCGTCATTGACATGCATATTTTTTGATATATCCATGATTGCATAATTATTGTTTGAAAAAAAAAGGACAGAAATAATTTTAAAAGGCAGCGCTTATATGTAAAGACACAAATTTCACACGTCTTTGTTTATCAACAACAATGATTTTCATTCCTGATCTCTATAATACAGAAAAAAAGGAAGACGAAACATAACTTTTTAAAGGGGAAAGTTGAATTAAAGTTTATTGTGTGAAGAAAGGGTAATGCAATTGTTTGTAAATAATAATAAAAAAAATGTCTTCTAAGTGACTTTTTTTGTGTGTGTTTTCTCTTTTTTTTTTTCTTTAGAAATTAGGTATTAATATGTATGATAAATAATGATGTATTGGGATGAGTTGTTGGTTGATTTTAAATCTTTTCATTGGTGGGCGTGAGCTCGTTATGATAATCCGCCTTTTCGAAATCGGTATGGTCAGATGCAGCAGTGGCTTCTTCAGCCTCCTTATCAACAACATGATCTTCAAGACCAAAGGACTTCATGGGAATCGTGAAACAGAATGTCAGTACCGCAATACAAATAGCGATAATAGACAAAATCATTTGGATATGACCATAGGCTTCCACAACACCATTGTATTGCTCGACAGGGAGATTGGTAGCATACACTGTACTACCCACAATCTTTGCATACTCATATTCTCCAGGAACGAATTTAGCAATTTGGCCGGGGAGCATATTGTTCCAAATGGTACCAGCCATTGTAGAACCAATACTGGCTGCAATAGAACCACCCACTTGCATCATGGCAGTAGCAATAGCCATATCATCATGAGGAACTGAACTTTGGATAGCAACGAGAATAGGCGTGTATAAGAATCCGGATCCCATACCAGCAATCAATTGTGAAATTACGACAAAGGCATCAGAGGAAGTAGGCATACGAGCAGGAATCATCAAACCAACACCAAGAATCATGAGTGAGACACCTACCCAGACATAAGGACGCCACACACGAGTACGCTTCATCATGTATCCAACAAAGACTTCACAGACAATATAAGCAACGTTATAACCACGACCAAGCAACATGGCATCACTGGCTGTAAGCTTACGAGACAGCATGAGGTAAGTAGTAAAGAATTGCCAGTTGGTAGCCGAGATAATGGTTACGGTTGAAAGAGCAAGAACACCATAAAGAGGAGTACGACTTTCCCAACGTGTGATGGGAATAATAGGCTTGAGAGCAAATTTCCATTCCCAAAGAACAAATAAACCCCAAGAGACAACACCACCGACCAAAGTACCAATAGTAGTACCACTCTTCCATCCACCCCAAGAGGGAAGTGCAAGTACAAGAGGAAGCAAGATAAGAGCTAAACCAAGCACTAACAAAAGGCTACCGATAATATCGATTTCGACAACAAACCAAACCAACTTTTGAAAGAAGGAAAGATTCTCGGCTTTACGTGTGGCAGCTTGCTCTTGTTTAAATTCAGTCAATAAGCCAGAGTGTCTGACTTTGAAGTACAACTTCCAAAGTGTGCCGACAAGAGGAACAGCCGTGGCAAAGATAATGATGGTCACAATACCGTAGCCCCAACGCCATTTACCTGCTAAGGAAAGCGCATCGCCAGCACGAGGTGCGACAAAGATATTGATCAAGGAGGGTACGTTATAAAGACCTTGAACAAAACCACGATCAACGACATTGGTTAAATCACCGATGGTGATTGGTCCAAGAATGGAAGTACCAGAGTAACCAAAAGCATAAATTACTTGACCGCCCTAAAAAAAAAAAAGTTAAATTTTGGAGTATTTGAGATATAGGCTGTGTACTTACAATGATGGTGAAATAGTCGGGAGCAGTAGCCATGACAATATAAGCAACAATGTAAAAGGTCAAAGCAACAGAGTAGCATTGAGCTCTACCGTACATATCGGAAAGCTTGGAGTACATGGGTAAAAGTGCGGTTTGAAGGATATACAAGACAGTTGGCAAAAGACTGATTAAATTGTTGGTACCGAAGGTATTTGTGACATTCTGTGTAAGAGACAACACCATGTTTCCTTCAAAGGACATTGCCCATGATAAAAGTAAAAGACTATTGTCATACGTGTTAGACATTTTATATGTGAAAACAAAATTCTGTAAAAAAAAAAGAACTTACCCACAGAAAATGGCATATTTATCGAATTTGGACCATACACGCTTATACAATTCGACGGTTTTGACACCTTCATATGTTCCCTTATTTACTTCGGGAGAAGACATTGTGTATGTAATAAAAAAAAGTGAGATAATTTATGAAAGATGGACACGAATTTAGAGTGCCTTTTTATATAGATTTTTGAATATTAAAACAACGCACATGAATCTGATGATCAGATAATTCTTTTTAGTGCGGAGTCCTGTGTATTCTAATTGGAAATAGTTATTTTTTTTTTTACTAATATATCCTTTTCATGTAACAAGGATCAGGGAAATTCCATTTCTTCTTTATCGACTGAAAGGTCGACCCACAGACAATGCAATTTCTTGATTTAAAACTCATTGGAACAAGGGTCCTATCTGTTTAAAATTCAGTTCACTAAATTCTTTTGTCTCTCTTGGTTCTTATTTCCATAATTCGGTTTTCGGCGTATTGCCTGCAGCAATTGTATTATTCATACACCGGTGGAGTATTTATTTTCTTTTACTTTGGATGAATAAGACAAAATAATTTTTCCGTCACCGCTTAAATCTGATTAGATCCAAAAGATGTTGTACAACCTGGGTTAAGTTCTTTCAGTTTTTATTTTTGGGTAAAAACGTTTAATACATAATCGCACTGAATTCATTGGACACTTGAATACTCTGAACCCTTTCTGTAAATCACTAATGCTATTTTTTTGTCTTTTTTGTAAACATTACTAGCTTGGCACTAAGTAGCCTTCAAATGAAATCAAAGGATTAAAAATGTCCAGGTTACACAGCTGGCTATGTTCTATAAAAAAACATTCCATGGTGCTGAAAGAATTACAACCTACACCCGCTAAACAGAAAAAAAACCAATGGCCTCATGGCTCAATTAAAACCAGGTAACTCAATCTGGTAACTGCTGCCAGAAGCTATTCATTTCATGTCACTCAACCCTACAAAAGGCGCAGTATTGGTGAACTTTTCAAAAAGAAAAAGAAAATGTGGCACCACTGGATCAAAAAGAACAAAAAAAAACGGACACAAATCATTAATGACACGATGATTATTTAAAAGACCGGCCCTATAAAACTTAAAGCCATAACTCCCCGAATTATCGAGATCTTCCATTTTTCTAAATGGAGTTTTTTATTGACGCTGTGGTTCAATATACGTAATTTGATCAAAGGGGCCCAGGTGCCTGATCGATTGGGTTTCATTTTAATAGTGTCATTCATATAACTCTTTCTTGTATACTGAGCAATCATTACTATATAAAATATAGTTTGAAGCAACCCTCAACGCAATATTATATATACATAAAATATTGGTTTATGTTATAGACCCTGTTGAAGTATTAAATCCATTCTAACCTTTCGCTTCCTAAATAAAATGTCAGACTCTATACACTAATAAAAACACGTGAAATGAATAACTGCAAGGTTTTTTTGCCTTGTCACTTCCATTTATAAATCTTTGTCTGGATTCCCCAGAGGAATTGTGGGCCTGTCTGGCTCGTATATTCCATTCTTAAAACAACAAGCTTATCTGAGCACCTTAAATTTAATGCTATTATTGCACCGACAAAGTTTTTAAAAAAATGGCCATTTCTATGTATAAAAAAAGGATGGGAGTGTCTTTGAAGCAAAATCAATTGACGAAGAAAAATATTACGAGGTAATGTGACCCATTGGGCAGATTTAAACAGCTAATAACACCAATTACAGTCATTGTCATTTTTTCAGTTACTCTTTAAGCCATACTATTACTCCCAAAAAGAGTACGTCTCACAAGAAACCTTGATTGCATTTAAGTTGGAAAGTGAGTTATACCTTATTTCGCTCACTTGATTGTATATTTTGACGTTGTATCAAAAACATCATCGAGATAAATCACTCGTCATCAAATTATGATAGATGACTTGTATTTTTTATGATATCTTACATTTTAAAGTGTCATTATACCAAGTAAATTCACGCATCTATCCAGGAAGAAAGCAATACATATATATATATAATGAAATAGTAAGTGTCTATTGTTTAAAAATAGTTGGTCATACAGATGCTTCAAATAAGATGATACTATAATCCCTTCAATCTTTGAAAGGTTGATTCTGTGGCACATTTTTTGGATACGCTGTGTAACTAAAATCAAATAAGCAACTAAGAAGCTTCCGCCTTGGCAAGATGTAATACCTTTGTAATTCTTCTGTTCAATGTAGGAGCAATAGATTACTGAGAGATATGCATAATTGCTTGAAATCAAGAGGTTCTACTTCTACGTATCCCAAAGTGATGGTATCTGCTTTTTATTAATTTGCATCACCATTTACTCATCCAAACATGCAGGTCTATGTGATGGTGGTGGTAGTATTACTGGTGAGGCTAATTTTGTTGCAGATGCTGCTGTTGTGGTGAATGTAGCGATTGCAGCTAGAGCAAAGGGGGATTCTAGAATCCACCTCCAATAAACAGCATATTACATGATATTTATACTCTTTTTACTTTGTTCGATCGGTTGTGCTGTCGACATGTCGAATAAAGATGCGTATTGACAAGTATATCATGCTGTCAATTGTGACATTTTTGGTCATTGCCTTCGCTCTAATATTATTTAGGAGGTATTCGTTATCGATGTAGAAAAACGGGTTGTTTGACACAGATTAGTATTGCTTATAGGTACGAGGGCGTTAGAAGCCTCACATGTGACCAAATAGTTGCATACAAATATTTATGTTTAAACCAATCAATTTTTGTGGAGTGCAGCTATTCTGTTTATAAACTTAATCAATTATGTCATCCTGACATAAACCAGTTTTTGTTTATCACACCCTTTTTTTTTATCTTTCCCTTTTTTTATCATTCCCTTTTTTTTATCATCCTTTCTTTCTGAAGTTTTAAAAGGTAAGTGATAATTCTCTCAAAATAGACGTAACAAACATTTTAATATTTTTTAATAGAAAAAGTATAACTAGCTATCTTACAACAAAGTCGGGTCAGAAATCACTTCAAAATTTCTACGAAACCCACTTGCAGTTGGTCAATGATTATATAGGCCAATTCGAGAAGCATACAGACGCGCATAAAATCTTGTATCCGTCAAAAAAAAGAACACCAAGCCTGAGAATAGATCTGGAGGAAACGTGGCAAACTGAGAGGGGTTTAAGAGAATCCCGAATCCAAGCAAGTCGTGTCTCTACCACACTGATCAAGGCCGCTGGCGAAAAGGCTGACAACATGGTGAAGCTATTGTGCAAGACTTTTGACTTGATGTAATATAAAAAGCACACACTAAATCTGCTCGCACCAAAGTATTTTGGTGGTGACCCGTCTTCCTGTGATTATATGCCCTTTGGTGGTGATATGTCTTCTAGTGGTGGTTATTCTTCTGGTATCGATATATCTTCTGGTGGTGGTCAGTCTTCTAATGGTGATATGTTTTCTGGTGCGACCCGTCTTCTGGAGATGCGCAGTCTTTCAGAGATGCCTAGTCTTCCGGTGATGACCGATCTGTTAGTGACGTTCATTTTTTTGCTGACTCTCGTTTGGAAGAATCAGGCCCCGACGAGAAAGGTTCAGCCTTTAACTATTTATTCAAAAGTACGCTTGTACTGAATGATAGTTCCCCCTTGTGTTATGAACTTTTTCGAGAATACCAAGAAAGCGCTTATAAAAAAGCTAAGGTTCATGGTTTATGCATCGAAAAGATTTGTTTGAGATCCTGTAAGCTGCTAATTACTCGAGTGGATCCGAGATCAGGAAACTAATCTACTCTAATGCATAGGTCACTGAAAAATATCATTTTGCTCAAGAAAGATCATGCCTACCATGATATCGACTTTTCTTCAGTTGCTGACAAATTGCAAAGTCCTTTTTTTAAGGATGATTGCAAAGTTGAAGAATCGATTTTTTTTCAGTTGATTACTATGTTCAGGGTAAATAATATGAAACGAAAAGCATTTTTGAATAGAAATGTAAACAATTTTGTACTAGGGAAATATTAATGATAGGGACGAAGTAAAGATTAAGCTATTCGATCTTTTCAAACAGGCACGTAAACCAGATAGACGTATCATCGATATCTTGATCACCCTGTAAGTAACACATACAAGGTTTAAAAGAACAATCACCCACTAACAAAATGATATGATATCTAGCATGAACAAACTCCCAGCGGAAACAATAAAAGAACATAAAATTGAAGAACAAGAATTTATTGTTAACTACGTTGATCCAGTTCTAAGCTCAATGCTGCATGATCCCGGTGACAACAAGCTGTTTTTCTAGTAAAGAAACAAGTGAGCTGGCAGATAAATGAGAGTCAGCAAAAAAATGAACGTCACTAACAGATCGGTCATCACCGGAAGACTAGGCATCTCTGAAAGACTGCGCATCTCCAGAAGACGGGTCGCACCAGAAAACATATCACCATTAGAAGACTGACCACCACCAGAAGATATATCGATACCAGAAGAATAACCACCACTAGAAGACATATCACCACCAAAGGGCATATAATCACAGGAAGACGGGTCACCATCAAAATACTTTGGTGCGAGCAGATTTAGTGTGTGCTTTTTATATTACATCAAGTCAAAAGTCTTGCACAATAGCTTCACCATGTTGTCAGCCTTTTCGCCAGCGGCCTTGATCAGTGTGGTAGAGACACGACTTGCTTGGATTCGGGATTCTCTTAAACCCCTCTCAGTTTGCCACGTTTCCTCCAGATCTATTCTCAGGCTTGGTGTTCTTTTTTTTGACGGATACAAGATTTTATGCGCGTCTGTATGCTTCTCGAATTGGCCTATATAATCATTGACCAACTGCAAGTGGGTTTCGTAGAAATTTTGAAGTGATTTCTGACCCGACTTTGTTGTAAGATAGCTAGTTATACTTTTTCTATTAAAAAATATTAAAATGTTTGTTACTTTATAATATTTCAAAAAAAAAAAAAATCTTGGTCCCGAATCGACATTGTATGGTCACTTGTAATCAATTACCATTTAATAGTAAGTAAAGGCAATTGTTCGGTTATACATGCTAGTTTTATTACAATTGAGGGCCTATTATACGATCTCATAGTACTGTTCGGACTTGGTAGAAAGAACCGTGGTCACTGGTAAAGTGCAAAGCAAGGCGGTCGTTAGCTCTTGTCTCTGTCGTAGCGTGATGAAAGCAATCTGGATAATGCAAACTCGAAAGAGTGTTGTGTTTTTGGTACAAGGTGAGCGCAAACCCTTGGCACTTTTGTCCGCTTATGGTTTTTTAAATAGAAATTATAAGGTAAGATGTAACCACATAATTTTTTTTTTCAATGGCTAACAATCTTATACAATATTTTAGTGTGTTGTTCAGATAAGGAAGAAAGAACCGTGATCACTGGTAAAGTGCAAAGCAAGGCGGTCGTTAGCTCTTGTCTCTGCCGTAGCGTGATGAAAGCAATCTGGATAATGCAATCTCGAAAGAGTGTTGTGTTTTTGGTACAAGGTGAGCGCAAGCCCTTGGCGCTTTTGTCCGCTCTACGCACCTCCCAATTGCAGCCAAAAGATAAGTCACGATCATGAGTACATGATTAACAATAACCAACTGTATTTAACCATCTCACAGTGCTTTTCTGACTTGATCAAAAAGAGCCAGGATCATTGAACGTAACAGAAGTAATCTGGGTATAATGCAAGCTCGAAAGAGTTGTGTTTGTCGGTACAAGGAGAGCGCAAGCCCTTGGCACTTTTGTCCGCTTATGGTTTTTTAAATAGAAATTATAAGGTAAGATGTAACCACATAATTTTTTTTTTTCAATGGCTAACAATCTTATACAATATTTTAGTGTGTTGTTCAGATAAGGAAAAAAGAACCGTGATCACTGGTAAAGTGCAAGTCAAGCTGGGCGTTAGCTCATTTCCTCGTCGTAATGTGATGAAATTAATCTTAATACAACCCAAAACCGAAAGGTTGCAGTGTTTGTTGATACAAGGTAGACCATGCCTCTTGCTGCCTCTTCTTTTTGTCGCGGCCCTGTGACCCCAAATACTAACTTAACATTGATAATTGTCTTACAGTTGCCGTTAATCACTCCCAAAATATATGGCAGCATTGTCATTAAAGGTCTTTGCTTTGACGTACAGAAGTCTATCCACTATGAGACCATCTTTTTGGGGCAAGTAATAGCTGATACGCTCAATTTAAGAATTTTTGTTCTTGGAAACCCCATGGAAAATCTCTATTGTGCAAGTTCAAAAACCGCTAAACATTGATCAAAGAAGCTTATTAAAGTACACCAACAAAAAATTTATAAAGACCTCGTTATTCTTAGCAGTAAAGTGCTAATCACTCTATCTTTGTATCGTGACTGATTACGACGAATAAAATCCTATTTTTTTTAAAAAAAAAAAAAAAATCTCGGGTGTCCAACCTTTTTAACTCTTTTATAAGCAAAAAAAAAAAACATGAAAGAAGTAATTGAAATTGACGATGACACTTCCATGCAAGACGCCCATTTTCAATTGGTAGAGAACAAACCAAGAAGAATCGTAAGCTACACACCTACTACTGATGGAGTTAAAAAGCTGAAACCCTTCTAGATCTTTTGCATTGACACTTCTGCTGAAATGGCTGAAGAGTTGAAAGCTTCTGCAAACACGGGTATATCTAATACAAACTTATATCATAGGTAAAATACACACGCGAGTGTCTTTACCCCTTCTCTCTCCTTTTCTTTTACAAAAGTCTAAATCGTCTAGTAGCTCACGTATGGAGAGTATACAAAGATTTTTAAAGCGGTTTGCGAATATCAACGCAATGATAGGAAATCGACAAGATCAGTATGCTTTAATGACATTAGCCGAAAATGCAACATGGGTAAGGACTACAATACCCAATGCTTTTATATTTTGATATCTAATTACTGTATTAGTGGTTTGGTTTCGATACAGACATCCAAAAATTAAGCAAAGAAATCAGCTTTCTGGACAGTGAAGTACAGGAATACAATTCAACATTTGGTAACGACACACTTCTTTTTTTATAGGAGATGGAGAGGAATTAGTTTGACCAACACTTACTGTAGATATCAAATCGATTTTTAGAGAAATTGAAAAAAATGCAGACGTGCGTGATGATGCGTATTTCTATCATGTTATTGTCATTTATGCAAGGACAGATGTTATGCCTTATTTGGAACAAAGAGACCAGATTGCACATATTCGGGATTTACCGAATTTTGTGATGGATCTGTTGTTTTTGCATGATGCATCAGATAAAGTGCAGGTAAAACAATGAGAGGAGATTCAGTATTTGTTATAGGACTGACAGTATGTGAAAAGGATGTTTATGACTTTTGGGACCATCTAGATAGTGAGGTACATCAAGGGTGGTATTATGAATCAGGACCCGTTACAGGGAAAGATATGCTGACAAGAGCTTTAGCAGAATTGATAGCACATCCATTACAAAGAGGAAATCAAGAATTTATAAGCAGATAAAAAGAAAACTATTTATTTAAATGTTTTTTTATCCTTCCAATTGTTCTCGTAGGACTCTGTTTTCCTCCATGTATTTCATCATATTTTTATATCTTAGGGCCGATTCCTCTCGCGTGTCATTTAAACTCTTTCGTAATATGGAAACATGTTCATTGACCCTTTCCAACGCACTTTCCAGCTGTTCATTTTGAGAGATTTTCTCAACAAGTTTATCCTGATAAAGTAATAAATCATCCTTCATTAAATCAAACTCCTTAGTCAAATCATGCTGCTGTTGTATTGCTCTGTTCGATAAGACTGGTATCCGACTACCGTGTTTGCTTTTATCTAATTCAAATTCTTCCCTCGAATGATTTATGTCAGCCAATCGTTTTCTATATTGCTCGTTTTCCTCTTTTAAATCCTCTAATTGCTGTAATACATGATCATGTTCCTGGGGATCCACCTGTGCCTTTAAATTCTCCAGCATTTGATCCTTTTCAGCAACTTGGGATTGGAAGGCTGTCAACCTTTCTTGAAGTTCTCGGTTTGTTTCCTTTTGGTGGTCCAATTCATCGTTTGAAATGGATAATTTGTGTTCTAATTCCATTTTTAATTGGGCTACTTGATCATTCGATTCTACCTCCAACCGTTCTGCTTGCTGCTTTAATTCAGTTTCCAACTGTTCATTTTTACTACTGAGTTGATCAATGTGTTGATCCTTTCGTAGCACCTGTTGTTCTAACTGACCTTTTTGCTCTATATACTCAGTCTGTGCATCTACTAATTGGTGCTGAGATAATTCATACTTCCTCTTCCAATCCTCCCTATCAGAGTCATATTTCGAGCTTAGTGAATCCAAGGACGCCTGAACCTTATCTCGCTCCTCTTGTGCTTGGTGTAAGTCTCGTGTCTTTTCCTCAAGGGTAGTTTGGCTCTTTTGTGCTTGCAGATAAGAATGTTGACACTGCTCTTCTAAATCATGTATACGTTCTTCAATGACTTCCGCATGGTTGTCGGTGCCTTGTAAAAGTTTCTGGATAAAGTCTAGCTGAACCAACCTTTGGTCCATTAGAAATTGTAAATTGGCTAATGTCTCGTTATTTTCACGGGTTTTTTGTACTAGTGCATTTCTTATTGATAAAGCTTTTGATTGAAGCATGGCAAAAGAAAAAAAAAATAATATAAAGGGTTTTTTTTTTCTCTCTCAATAATTGTTTACATTCTGTGCGACACTAAATTGCAGCCCGAGGAGAAGGGGGACAATCAGGTGTGTGGTTAACTCGGGGCAGACACATGTGGGAAAGTGTAAAAGAAAAAAAGTCCGGCTCGAAAGTGTGACGTTTGATTCAATGCATGATTAGTTTTTAAAGAAAAGGAAAGGGCTTTATTATTTTTCAAAAGAAATGGAGGGGTATGGATTAATTATAATAATGATATTGTAGACTCCATCGTGCGAAGTCTCTGTCTCATTTGATCCGTACCAAAATTTTCAACCTAATTTTAACAGGGTTTAGAAAAAAAAAAAAAAAGACATATAAGGCATATGCTGGAACTTACATGACGCAGCACAGAAGGGTAAAGATCCCAGGATGGTGTTTCCTGTTGTAAAGGTTGAGGTTGTGGTTGCCATAGGGGATCATCCATCCTATTGGTACGTCTCGACACAACATTCATTGACATAAAATTCGTCTGTTGCTGCTTTTGTGGTCGTGTAGGACGGTGAATATATCCGTTTCCTACTTGTCGAGAGAGACTTGGGTAGAGGTCATAACTGGGTGTCATATAATGTTCATAATATACTCGAGGGGTGGTCTCAAAGTGAACTTCCGTTGTGTTGGACATTTTTAGTTTTTTTTTTCTGGGTGTTGAACCAAGAAAGTAAAGTAGAAAAGAATTTGTTGAGTAAACAAAAAAAGGAAAAATATATATAAAAAAAGGCTGGAATAAATAACAAAATAATTAGGTTGGATTTGACGTTCTTTTTTGATAAGCAAGGAGTACCAGGTGATATTGCAATTATTATATATATATATATATATAATGCATATACAACGCAATCATAGACACGTATGATACAATAAAATAGAATATCTTTATGAAGAAACCAGCTGCTGATCTCATATTTATTTTATAACAGCGTTCTTATTTTAAGACTCATCATGATGTATATATTATTTTATATACACACTCACAAGGAAGGGGGGAAAGGCGGTAAACACGGAATGCATCATGCGGCCAAATCATGTGCCTTTTATGGATGCTCACAGTCTACAAAGTAGCCCTAATTATTTATGTCATAGGTCCTAATAACAGTCCAATGTTAATCATGCAATGCCATTTTATTTGCCCTCTTATTATTTGCACTACATCTCAGTAAACAATCTGGTACATATCCTGAAATACTATGCTAGTCACTTAGTACCCAGCACACACACACTATGTATACGATGGCACGTGTATATAAAATAGAAACGTCCATCCTACCATAGTCCATCGTGTGACTCGCTGACTATTAATAATTTATATTCATCTTGACCGTGCGTGCATAATTCAATTTCGGGGGATTTAATTGCTCTTCATTCTACATGTAGAGACCCGTCTTTTGGGCCTTCTCTGGGTCTTCTTTTTTCATATAAACATGTCAATGCTTGTCTGACCTACTGGCTTGCGGTAATACCTTATTCCGGGATTCTCTTTAGAACCGAACTACACCATCTACTAGATGAAGTAACCTTGCAATAAGATATATAACACATTTCGGCCGGTAATCTTGTACTCATCTATCAAACGGTTATGCATAATCATGATGTAATGACACAGTAGTATTATTCGAATAAAGTTTTTTTGCCTCCGTGCATCCAAGTTGACATACACAAACTACCAAGATCTTATAAAACGCTAATACCACTTCCATATAAAGACCATAATGGGGAACATTATTTCAAAAACCATAGCGACAACATTCTTTTTTTTTCTTATTAACAATGATAATTTTTTTTTTTTTCGGTGTGTATTTCAGAACTCTAGTAACTGATGTTACCGGGATTCTCTTTACGACGGATGTTTCAGATGCTGCTAAATATATACCAAGCTCAAAAGTTGATATGGTACAATACTGTGGCGGATAAACAGTAATTACTAGAACCAAAAGAGATTAGACAAAACAAAACAAAAAACTTGTATTTTGATTACCTTCAAAATAAATTAAGAATGGAAATATTTCATTTAACAAAACTCTATTACGTCAGTGGTATCTAGGCTGGCACATACTATCAAAAAGAATTGGAGTAACACGCACTCGATGGCTAAGAACCGATGACTTTTTTTAAACATATGACAAAATCTAATCATTGTGCTCTTGTGTCCAGCAATGTGATTTCTGTAAATAAAAAAAAAGTCCCCTGATAAAATTTCATTATTTTATTAACCAATACATACCCCATTTTCCCCATAATTTAGAAACCAGCGTGTTCTTTACTCTATATTTTATGCAGACTACTACAGAAAAAAGAAGTTTACACGTATGCATAGACTACATGTACATTTAACTGTGAAATCGAACTCTAGCGGAGACTTATTAAATTAATGCCGCCGGCTTTTAATGAATAGTTCTAAAATTAAAAAAACTTGGTCTGTGCATTGCAGGTTTCACTTCATCGAACGAATTACTCAACATTGTACAAGTGTAAGACCACGTCGTGAAGACTGTGGAGCTCAAATAGGGTTTATTTCCTTTTTTTTTTTTTTTTTTTTTTTTGTCAACCCTAAATATGTGCCGAGTACAAAATTCTAAATCCATGAGCAGCAGTAGAAATTTAAACTCAATGAATGAACATACGATAAAGAAACAGTGTGCCATAATTGAACAAATAAAAAGATTTTTATTTAAATAATGGCAGTACATACATGATAGCTAAAAGAAAAATTTACAAATGAGGGGGGAGGGGGGTGTTTACAGAACAGTGTATCTATTTAGAGACAGACAGAAGGAGGAGAGTTCTTGTTATATACAACATGGAAAGCGGGGGTCTTGATAGGCTTACAGCTGTCACCATAAGTGACAAGGAAGTAATAGTCGCCAGTCTTCTTACCGACATCAACATTAAACCAAGGAGTAGCAATGCTGTCACCGGATACTTCATCAGCAACATTACGTACAAACTTGTTAGTCTTGGATTCATAGAGGTCAACAGAGACAGAAGCGGGATGAGCAGGCTTAGTACCTCCAAAGTCAAAAGAAACCTGGTAACATTGACCAGCGGTAGTAGTAAAGTAAGAATGAGGAGCTGTCACATGGAAACCACTACACTTGTTATTGGCAGGTGCGGCAGAGACAAGAGAAGCAGCAAAAGCCATAAGAGAGACTGATTTGAATAAGGTGAATGAGACCATTGTTAATATTCAAAGAGATTGATGAATTAGTGGTCTTTCTTGACGAAGAAATTATGTGTTGTATTTATACACAAATTTTCTGTCTGGGCTGAAGTATATGAATTATATGGGCTCAAATAGAGTGTAGACTCCCACATATATCTAAACTCTCTGCATTGTAAACAAGTGACAAGGCTGTTTTCAACTACCTTATGAAGAAGGCATATGGAATAGAAATAGATTGGTTGTGTTTTTTAAGCCCTTCCTTTAAAATACTCGTGTAACATGAATTACAGTTTCTATTTGCACTAAGCCTGTTACTGTTGGGGAAATCAACAGCCTCATCTTGTTCGTCTTTTTTATCCTATCCTGTAAAAAAGTTCGCTTTTCATTGAAATAATTTGTTGCATAGATAGATGCTACTGATACGAGAAGGGTTGTTTATAAGGACATTCAATAAGATGTGTCAAATAGGTAGTATCATAGATAAGAATCGAATCATTTACAGCCACAATACACACATGAGGCTTACAATCGTTAGAAAGATTAAACTATAGTAATCAATTACACTCATACACATCAAACATAATAATAAGGCATCTGACTAAAAGAATAGAATAAAAGGGTATAGATACTCTCTGAAACGTTCATTATAAAGAGGATGTACGACATCTAGGAGAGTATTTTATATCTTCCAAATTCAAATATTTTTAAAAAAAAATTAGAGGCATCAGTAGTACCATGTAAAAGCAATATTAATGTCTGTAAAGTTTGTAAGTATTTTCAATCGATCGATGAAATTACAGCAACGGCAGAAATTGGGAAAATAAATGATAATACCCCATTTTTTCAGTTCTTCCAATAGTGCTCTTGTGGCGTGTAACACAAACTTTATCCAAATGTACACACACAATTTGTGTTATTTTATGCCAATGTTACAAGTAAAATCCGGGAAAAAAAGCCATCGTTGTTTCTTTAGGGTAATAAATTTCAAGTACACTAAACCTGTGGAGTTTACATGATTATTCGTCATTTTTACCCTTAAGAAAAAAAGTGTCCAGAACCATGTGTTTCTTGGCACATATACTACAAGCAAAAGTTCAATTGGTGGAATGAAGACCCAAATCTATTGCTATTTTCTTGAAAAACTTAATTGAAAATAAAGACAATGCGTATTCGCAGAAAAAAAAACAATTTTAATTAAGAGTAAGGAAAAGTATGAGATAAATTTTTAAAAGGGGAAGGGTATCTTGTATTTTTGGAAGAAAAAATTACCGCGTTGGCAATTTAGTAAACTTTAATTGGTCTCCACATTATCGGAATTGCTTGGGGTCAAGTCATTTGTATGGATATAATCTTGAGCTTTATAGTTCCCGTATCTTAACGACTTTTTTAGGTACAACATTGCCAACTCAATATTTACACTTGTGCCTAGACCCTCTATATACATAACGGCAAGGTTCAGTAAGCCATCCTCGCTAACATCATGATTGTCAATACACTGCGCGCATTTGGAATACCATCGGAAGGCCTCTTCAAAGTCTATATTTACACCATATCCATATTTATACATGTCACCAATTTTGTTGAAAGCATCTGAAGTACCAGCCTTCAAGAAATACTCCATGGCTTTAGCATAACTCTGGGTTACGCCTAGACCGTCTTGATGTAGCAATCCTATACGAATTAAAGCATAGGGACAATCCAAGTCATCTTCGGAAAATAAAGCTCGTTGATACATATCAAATGCCCTGTTGTGATTCTGTGGTACACCAAACCCCTTGTGATAGAGCCAGCCTATATTAGAAAAAGCTAAGGGTAAACCGCTAAGCGAAGCTTTTCTATACCAAGTCATACTGTCTGAGTAATTTCTGCATACCCCCTGACCCTTTTCATGGATTATACCGATGCGAGCTTGGGCTTCAGCATGATTCTGTCCTGCAGCTTTATCATACCAATATAAGGCTTTTTGGAAGTCTTGCTCATCGTCAGTGCGTAAATTAAATAATAGACCCAGGCCAAATTGCGAGTCCGCGTGTCCAGCGCCTGCGCCTTTCACAAACCATTCGAAAGAGGATCGGTAGTCTCTTTCAACACCATGACCGCCTTGGAAGTAGATAGTGCCAATATTATAGAGAGCATCTGTAGAACCATTTCTAACCGCTTTGAGAAACCATTTTAAAGCCTGCTTGAAATCTTTCTCAATACCGTAACCACCTTCATATAAAATTAAGCCAATGTTATAGGGGTCATCAGCAGAGTCCTCGTTTTGTGATTTTAACAAAAAGTCGAGGGCCTTTATGTAGTTTTTTTCGAATCCATCTTCTCCAATAACATAGAGTAAACCAATTTTGCGGCAAGCTTCGATATAGCCATTTATTGCAGATTTCTTTAGCCAAAAGACGGCTGTATCAAGGTCACGGTTCACACCAAGTCCCTGGAAATATAATGTTGATAAATGGTACTGGGCCAATGTGTTTCCTGAAAGCGCAGCTTTTGCAAACCATTGTGATGCTGATTCGTAACTTTGTTCGACGTCTCCTTTTCCTTCCATGTAAATGACACCGATGTGGTATTGAGCGCTTGGATTATCACCCGAGTTTTGGAACCAAATAAGAGCTTGATTGTAGTCGATGTTCATTGCGCGACCGTAATAAAAAAATTCGCCAATCTTGCATGGGGCTTCTGTTAATCCAGAGGCATTGTAAGCTTTCGTGTACCATAGGAATGCTTCTGTGTAATCTTGCTGCACGCCTTGTCCATTTTCATATAATTCCCCAATGTTGTACAGTGATGTTGCAAGATCCAATCTTGAAGCATCCAAGAACCATTCCAAGGCCTTCCCATAGTCTCGATGAACCCCCTTTCCATCACGGTATAATGTACCGAGTTGACATTGAGCTTCTGCACACCCCAGTGATGCTGCTTGTGTGTACCAATGCAGAGCTAAATCATAATTCTGTTCAACTCCGTTTGGACCTCCTTTGCCTTGTTCGTATAGCATACCGATCATGTAAGGGTAATATGCGCATTCATTACGGCTGTATTCGATACCTCTTGTCAGCCAATGTACGGTTTCTTTATAATTTATATCGATTCCTTTGGCTCCATGGTAATACAATAGCGCGGCAGCAATCTGAGCATCGCTGCAGCCGTTATCGCCGGACTTGATATACCAATTCAATGCGAGTTGACGATTTATCTTTAATCCTAGTCCGCATTCGTATAAATGACCAATATAATACTGTGACATGGCATGGTTTCGTTGTGCTGCGCACATAAAGTTGCTGTATGCCTCTTCGAAATTCGTGTCGTGATAACATTCTAACCCAACCTCATAATAACCTATTATGACAGCGCGATCTATTTAAAGTAATTATTGAGAATGAATATTTATCATACAAAAAAAAAAGTATATAAAGAAGGACTTCTATGAGGGGGAACATACCACTAAAAATTCCCATTATTGTAACTAATTTAGTGTGGATTGAATAAAGTATTACAAGTAGGAGAAAGGAAGAACATTATCGGCCAAAAAGAACTAAAAATAAAAGACTTTTGGTTTTCCGTCACACAGCTTGATTCTTGGATAGCAGTCGCCGTTACACTGGTACAGCTACGTCGCATTGGTAACGCCAACTAATATAACAATCATAATATCAAAGTAATACAATAAAAAATAAAAAAAAAGAGCCATCGCTTTAGCAGAAAATAAAAAAGGCACAAATTGTTTTTTAATCCGTCCTGCATATTAATTAAGATAGTATGCAATGAATTAACATCAAGAACTTCGCCACTTGTATTTCCCACATTTTGTAGAAGCTAGAAAATTATAACCACGATTCTTTTATTGCCTAAAAGATAAAAAATAAAAAAAGTACAAGTGTTACTTTGGCTTAAAAAGTTTATTTTAAAGAGATGCGCTTTGATCTATGACTGTTCTGATGAAGGGAAAATTCCCACGTGGATTGAGTAGATTGTGAATTGCCCGGCAATGGTCCTTTATGGTTATATTCGCGCAGAAGTTTTGATTGGTTCTTTTTTCAGATATTAATACTTTGCAAAGTCATTTGATCTATCAACAATACATGTTAAGGATCTAGATGGGTTCTTATGCTTGTATGCGTTTGAGTAATGCAGCTTGGAAATACGATTTACTGACATTTAATTTGTAGATCTCGATTTAATACTACAACAATGATGGTTATTAATCTATCGATACAAACCATAAGATTACAACAAAGTCAAAGTGAATGATAGAAAGTTATAATTATTCGTGATCACAATTAACGATAATTCGTGAAACTTTCCTACATAGGGTTCCCCAAAGCATCTGTTCATCATAAGGCTAATGTCAAAAGAAAAAGTGTGCTTTTGCCATTTTCTCACACAATTTCCCCAGAAATAGATTGGAAGAAATAAAATAAGAGAACAAAATCTAGATTGCACAAATAGAACTTTTGGCATTCTCAGCATAAAATGTGGGTGGTGCGTCAAGATTACTAATTGCGGAGAAGACAATAGGAACGCTCTTTTAGCTAAATAAAATGCTGCTATCCTATACGTAGCGACATTGGATCGTCATGTGCAACTTTAATAAGACTAAATGTTATGGTTGCCACTCCTACCCATAGCTTCATGGGTTAAAAAAATTTGTGCAGTCCCAAAAAATTTCTATAGATGATACTATGTTAACATTAGACACTAATTGTCATTTTTTTAACAAAAAACTGTTGTATGTGTAAGCTCCTATATCTGGGGCTGCTTGGTAAGCAAGCTGGGGTTGCTGATTGGTAAAATTAAGGGTGCAATCTTCTAATAGTTTCACACTCAGGTTTGAAAATGAAAATGGACAGCAGCGTGCTTTGAACTTTATAGAATTGTCTTTTAAAGTTTAATAACGCAACTTTGTCACACATCCAAGAGCCAGCACGTAAGAAAAGGCATAGTCTATCAAATCAACATACCCAAGTTTTACTACAGTCAGATCTTCTAAATGTAGTGTAAAGCTTAAGTTAACTTCGTATAAATGTGTCAAATAATCCAGCTTCTCTTTTTTTTTTTCACCAAGAGTTTTAAAATCACTGGCCTCGTGATGTGAAAAAGGCGTATTGTGTACGCACTTGTACAATTATGATACATCGCCCTTACTTGGCAATATATCGGGGTAAAAATTTGATGTATGCTACAGTGTCTTTTAAAGTTGTTAAACAACGAATGAGTCAAAATTTAAATGTCGTCATGCCTCTTGTGTAACGCTTGTCAGTAACATTGGTGTCTTGGCTTTTTTACCATTTGGCGTTTGGGTTCAAGATAATAAGACTGTAATATTTAAAGAAAAAAAAACGTTATTACTATAAGATAGAAGCTTAATCAAAAACTGGCTGAAGAAATAAAGTCCTCTTGAACTAAAAATAAACCTTCCGGTGGCTGCCCCTAGAGTCATCCATAAAACTCGGCACAATATAAACAGGACATGTATTTTAACAAATAAAACTAGCATTATTTTATTTAAGCAATAATATACACAAATTTAGTAGGGGTCCAAAATATACAGAAAAATGAAAGGCAAGTTAGATAACTTAACAAACAGAAGGGGGAGAGTTCTTGTTATATACAACATGGAAAGCGGGGGTCTTGATAGGCTTACAGCTGTCACCATAAGTGACAAGGAAGTAATAGTCGCCAGTCTTCTTACCGACATCAACATTAAACCAAGGAGTAGCAATGCTGTCACCGGATACTTCATCAGCAACGTTACGTACAAACTTGTTAGTCTTGGATTCATAGAGGTCAACAGAGACAGAAGCGGGATGAGCAGGCTTAGTACCTCCAAAGTCAAAAGAAACCTGGTAACATTGACCAGCGGTAGTAGTAAAGTAAGAATGAGGAGCTGTCACATGGAAACCACTACACTTGTTATTGGCAGGTGCGGCAGAGACAAGAGAAGCAGCAAAAGCCATAAGAGAAACTGATTTGAATAAGGTGAATGAGACCATTGTTAATGTAAAATAGATATTTAGATAATGTTTTTTTTATCAACAAATGTGAGCTGTATTTATACTATTTTTATTCTTTTTACTTTCTGGCTGAAGCTTTACATATCAGCATCTGTCAGAGGCTCATAACCATGAATGAAAATATATTCTGCATGATTGTTTTATGACAACACCTGATTGGATGAAACATCGTTTTACGCTACACAAAAGTTTAATACGACTTCGCCAAAAATTGTAAAAATTAATTATCAGCCTCGTTTTGGTTCATATATATTTGAATTCGTAGGAAATTCAACTATTGAAGGTGAACGATGTCAAACTTCTAGTTTAGAGACAATTGTTGTCAGAGTACATGTATGCCCTTGAGGTTCTTTATTAAAGTTAAAAAGTAAAGCATCTTTCTGTGTTACAGATATATGTAATTCTTTACAAATGATCCTTCAGCCAACTTCCGCTTTACGTGTTTCCAAAATATAATGACCTACTATTTATATCTCAGCGCAGCCACTTTTTTTTCAAAAAACTCTCGTTATATGGCGTCAATGGTAGAAGCTTTATGTTTAAATGTGTCGCATAATAGGCATGTCTTTGTGTCACATGGTGGTTGCTTGTATTTGAAGACTTTAAGCTACTAAACATATATATAACATGCTTCATAAAAGATAAGAAGACACGTACAATTATTCGAAAAAAGAAGACTCTTTTCGTGTTTGAGCAAGCATTATATAAGAATGCGTCTAAAGAAAGTTTATCATTTCTATGTTCGAAGACAATAACGGAGTATTTGAACCTATAATGTTGTCAAGATGTAATTTATCCGTCAAACCTATTTGCATGAAATCCCGTTATATTTTCAGCTAATTATGACAGAACAACTGTTTGTCAATGCTTGATCTATTGGATACAAGAAAAATAAGTTTGCCTGTAAAGGACTTCATTTTCTGAGCCCTCGAGCTTCTTTGCCATACCAGATATCAAATTATATGGCACAAAAATTTGAAAAATCTAGTGGCATTTTGAACCAGAAAACCAAAAAAATAGCGTAAGACTTAAATCACATGAGCTGAAAGAGTTGAAATAGAGAAGTTGGAGTCAATAATCTTGTATAGAGCAGCATTTAACCAGTTAACACATTGGGATGTGATATTAAATGGTACCATAATATAATAAGTCATTTTAAGTAGGCTTTTTGCATGCTAAGGACATAATTTTATATTCCTTGCAAGTATCTAAAGCCAATGTTTCTCTCCTGTTTAAGATGAGACCTTATTTTAACTATGTTGTTACAGTTTTTAACTAATATAATGTATCTGATTCTGTAATACAAAAAAATATCGAAATGTGATCTTCTTAGAAGTCGTTTTACATATATAATTGTACCGCCCTTATTTCAGTTAGTGCCTTACCGACAGAGGGATTACATTTCACAGTTTGATTTTGTTGAAGTAAAATAGACTAGATTTTGCTTGACAATACATATATTAAACCTACTGCGATTTTTTAGTTACTTAAACACTTCTAGAGTTTTAATAAGGAAGGAGCTTTGATAAGCCCGGACTAAAGCAAGGCCAAGAATAAAAAAACGAACTTTAGACGGTCCAGGAAGAGAGTGGGATCGGAGACCGAACCTAATATAGCTCTGAGGAGTAAAGCAATTGAAGCCGTTGTAACCGATAATACGACTGGATGTAGCTTAGTTTGATCTGCATACCTTTTTATTCTACTTCCAAAAACTTCTTTTTTCTTGTGTTACCCTTCAAAAGGAAAAAAAAAAGCTTAATTTTACTTATGGCACATATTTTTTATAAGAAAATAAACGCGTTTCCAAAGAAAATGCTAATTCATTTTGTTTTCTCCGGACAACTCATTCATTGTATGAACGAGGTCCATGGATAGATCCATCCATCGGATAAATAATATCGGGTCATGAATAATATATTTTTAACTTTTATATTTTGTTTTACCCCAAAAGTGGGTACCGTATAATTGATGGTAGAGGGAAGTTCCTATTTAGATTTGACCTTAAGAGTAGAGTAAGATAGACTAAGTCTTTCACTACAATACGGAAAATTAATTTTAGCTGCCAGACCTGTAGTTCCATAATTCAAACGTTTTAATGTGTAAAAATGAATTATTGCGCCGTTTCAACCGCGGTAGTACACTCGATTTCTATTGATCTTTCGATCAATATTGTAATGTCTAACATGACTGCAGCATAATGTTTAGTTTAATATTATGATCTTATACAACGAATGCTACATTTTTCGAATAATAAGACAAACAAGAGCGTTTTTTATTCTCGCAATAATTGTGATAGTCTTGACAGGGGCGATCCTGATTAGTTATATTTCGTTTAACCTTTATTTACCATTTTTTTTCTGATTTTTTTTGTTTTTCATTAATTACGAGTCTTCCGAGTTGTATTTAACACTTTTTTTGTTAGATATAATTGCAATTACAGTCTATTTCTTTCTAGAAGACTCTAGTCGTGGTGGTCTTCTTAGTAAAAAGTACAGACAGCGTGTAACTCGACATGAGAAGAGATTCTCCGCTCACACGCTAATTTTTGTTTTAAAATTATAAGCTTAAGCATTTTATAAATATGATGTAAACACTGATAATAGACTGAAAACAGAACAAAACAAAAAATACATTGCGTAAGTAGATACAGCATGAAATCTCACAAAACAAAGCAGTCAATGTCTTTCTGGGCTGTCAGTAAAGTTGCAATGATTGGCTTATTTCTAGTCACCGATAAAAAAAATGGTTGGCTATTATTAAGTTCTATTACGCCAGGCCTCAGTAGCACCAACGTTTTTTTTTTCCCTCTTTCTGTCATTATTGTTTTTTTTTTTTTTTTTTTTTTTTTTTGTGTAAATACTTATTTTTTTTTCTTCTTAAAAAAATATACATATCAACGGGAGAATATCGAAAAAGAGAACTAAAGAAAAAGAAACCAAATAAACAAGCAAATGGCTCAAAAAGCAAATAGTCATGATAACCCTCAAAAGAAACATCGTCAAGGTGGTTTGCCAGTGTCTATTCATCCCGACGATGCCAAAGATAAAGTGTTTACCGCCATTTTGAAGGCATTATTAAAGATGGGAAATAAACCAAGCTCACCAAAAGAGCTCGCAAATATTATTGTTAAACATAAATATGCTACACTCGGGTAAGAACTTACTTTTTTGACAACCGTTTTTTTTATACATATGTGTATGTGACAACAATATTGACGCGGTTTCTATTCTTTTATTTTCTCTTCTTTTTGATTTTGTAGTGGTGCTACACCATTTGCTACTGTTTCTTCTCGTATATCTCAGCATTTTAAAAGAGCGGCCGAACACAATCCACCTAGAGCCCCTCTGCTGGCAAAACATGTTGATCAAAATCACTCGAGAAAGATTAATTATTCATTAGCTACAGGTGAAAACGCCGCAGCATCTAACGCCGCCACTCCATCCTCTTCGTCGTCAACAGCAGAACCACATGATGAAAACAAAAACAATACCGCAGCAAATATCAACAATGTGATTGAGCCAAATTTCATTGAGGACCCTTCTCGTACAAATAGTAAGACACGAAGACCTACTACATCCTCGTCTCCACAAGAACAACAACAAAAGATATCACGAAAAGCACAAGAGGTAGATGAAGAAGAAGAGGAAGAGGAAGAGGAAGAAGAGGAAGAAGAAGAGAGTGATCTAGATGAAGATGATGAAGAAGAGGAATCAGTTGTCTTTCATCAATCAAAAAAGCATAAATCTGAACATTTATCACCAGCACCACCAATATCGCCGTCTATTCATCCAATTCAACAAGAACCAAGACCATCTACTATTGAAGGCTATCATCAAATACAACAACATCACGAACATTCTGAAGAACAGGGAAAAGACCATCATGATAATGTATCTGAAGACGAAAGTGATGGAGAACACTCAGATTACCATGAAGAGATGTTACAAGGCGACGAAGATTTAGATATTTTAGCAGCTAGAAGATTATCTAGGAGACAGTCAACAGCCATGAGCAATAAGACCAAGTCCAACATTAATAAAATTATCAATGCAATTAATAATCATGCAGCTACGCCTAATTTAACTTTTCATCATCCTCATGAACCTTCACCGAACGCTCCCACACCACCACCAAAAGATGTTACCATCACACCTACACCTGCTATTACAGATATAGTCCCAACTACACCGCCCATAGAATCAAAACCAATAACTCATCAATCATTACAATTACCACCCTCATCCCCAGCATCTAACAATGTAACAAATATCAGAAAGCCTTCATTTTCGTTCAGTAGCGGTTATCCTGGTGATCAAGAACTCTGGACTCCATTTAGTTTTGAACATGATTTTGATAATGTGTTTTTACAAGATGCTTCGACTGCTCATCATATTCCATTTAATATTGCTACTCCCGAATCAGTGTCTGTATCCGAGCTAGATAATTATTTCTCTAGTACATCTTCGTCGTCCACATCCTCATCTTCAACTAATCGATCACAAAGAAAGAGTTTTTCCTCAGCAATGTTGGGTCCCAATGATAAATCATTACTACAAAAGGTACTTTTAGCTAGTGCAGCTAGAGGTGTAGCCGATAAAATCGACGAAGAGGATGAAGAAGAGGATACTTCAAGACAAGATAAACCTAAAGAAAAGGAGAAAGTAATTGCAGAAGAACCGTCGATTAAATCATCTTTCAGTAGTTCAAGTCTAATGAATGTAGACAATGGTGAAGATTTTGTCAAATTTGAAGATGACGAAAAGAAGGAAAGCCCAACATTACTACCAACTCCACCAAAGAAAGTACCCGAGATATTGCCAGCCACTGCTGCTGTTACTGCTGCACCAACGAATAGTGCTGTTGCACCTACTACGACTAATACTAATCTAAGTGCTGCCGAAATATTGAAATCCATGAATATTCAAAATCTAAACTTATCTGCCCTGCATCAGATGACATCCAACATCCCTAGTTTGCAGCATTTATCTCCCACATTCGATTTAGCAAAGACTATGGCTGCTTATATGCAATCTTTGGCAAAATCTGCTAATGCAAATGCTTCATCATCGTCTTCCACCACAAATTCGCCTCATGCCATGGATTTAAAATCAATTTTGACACGATTTCCTGCACTGGAAGCATTTATTAAAAAGGATCCTGTTGTCACTACGCCTCCCCCTCCGACTCCTCAACCTCCACCATTGGTATCCGCATCAAAGGATTTTGTTCCTAATTTAATTAGTGCTACTGAACCTGTTGTCCATACCTTAACGCCAATGACACCGCCCATGTATATCACATTAATTGACCATATTGCGGTCTGTATTGTTGTTTTAGCAAAGACTGAAACAACACCAGAGTATCGTATTATGCGCCGTGTAGATACTGGATTTATTAACGGTACTGTCTTATTAACAGCAGGAGGAATTGAAACAGAGAGTGAACGCAGTATGATTTTATCTTTTGAAATGGAACGTGTACGTATGCCTAAGAAGAAATCACAACTTTTCGGTACTTGGATTCCACTTAGAAGAGCCCAAGAATTAGCTGTCACTTGTTCCATTCAACATAAATTAGGTCACTTTTTGGAGGATTCGATTGAGTCGTATTTTCCCAATCCTTTGCCGATTCAAGTCAATACAAGAAAACCGCATAGAGATAGTCGATTAACTGCATTGGCTTTAGCTGCTTTACGCTCCGACAATTCTAAATCAAATGGATTCATCGTACCCCCCATTTCTCGACAATCGTCTTCTTCTGGAAGTATGGGCGCAGCACAATTACAAGAACTCTTGTTAACACATCCCAATAAAGCCTTAAAGTCCAATGGCTTAGCAAAAGCTCCGTTGTTGGGGCGTTACGATGAACCAGAACAAAAATCTGTACCTGCATCCACAACTCCATCTGTAGCTAATAGTACGAATAGCAGTACGAGTGGGAAAGATGAAAGCGATGTCGATATTGTCAATAGTAGTGACTCTTCCGTCGCGGCATCTTCATCAAATGAAGAAGAATCTGAATCAGAGGATGCAAACACCACCACTGATTTAGAGGAAATAATGAACCGTGTATCCAACAAACAGCCTTTACATATCCATCCTCGTGATCTTCAAAAAAAGCGAAGAAGAAGTATAAAACCTGAAGATGATCCCGAATCCAAACTACCAAAAGTTGCCCGAAAGAAATCCAGCCTGACAAATACTCCAACTACAGGTGGCGGTAAATGGTCAAGTAACAATAGTAGCTCTGGTAGCACGGCAAAACCAACAACAGTTGCTACAGCAACTCCAAGCACGAAGAAACCATCGACGATCATTATTAAGAAATCAATGACGGGTGGCAAAAAGGCAACTATAAAAAAGGAAGATGAAGAAATAGATAATGTTGTAGTTGAGCATAAGCCGACTGTCGAGACGTCTATCAAGCCAGAGGCACCGTTAAAGTTGGAGACTCCATCACCAGAACCAGTGAAAGAGGAACCGGAAGAAGAAGAGCATGCGGATGAAGATGACGAGGATGAAGACATTGATATTGGTGGCAGTGACTTTGATGATGACCTTCGTTAAAACACACCTCCTTTTTCATATTTATTAACCAAAAATTATACACATATTTTATATCTCTCTCTCTCTCTCTCTCTCTCAGACACACACTCCTCTTTTTTTTTCATGTATACTCTTGTTGTATCACCCTCTCTTTCTCTTTTGTAAATTAAAGTTTTTTATCATTGGACGTGTCTTGTTTGTATAAGGGGTCAGCGTTTATTGTCTAAATGCAAGAGTAGTAGAAAATATTAAGCTCCCTATTGTCACACATGCGTGCCAAATTCCCCCGCATAAACTCCCTGACTTTGTAGGAGCTTTTTTTTTTGAGCTCTAATTAAATGTATAAAAAGAACAAAGAATACTTGAAAGTTACACTTTTTTTTTCCTTTTCTTTATTTCCAAGAAATAATGATTCTCTTTGCAGTTGTACTTCTTTCGGTTTTTCAAATAGTGGAATTGTTAGTACTTGGTAATAAGACGGTGGTATGCTATGGTGGACCTGGTACATATACGGGTGTTGACAGATACAATCAAATTGGCTCCTGGAACCAAACATATCATCCTGCAGACCCACAACAAATTCATGTGTCATGGATATCAGACGGAAAAGCATTTACTGTCCAATTTTCAACAATGGAACCCATAAAAAGATCGACTTTGGTTTATTGGTCTGACGACGAAGACGAAAACGAAACAATAGAAGGAGGCCAGGTACTAGGAATAACTGTATTTCTTTTTTTATAAAATCTTAATTAGAATTTGTCTAGAATTGGGAATTTATAGATGGCGGCATTGCAAAGCATAACCAATTTATGCACACTTTAGCATCCAACAGGTTGTACCCATCTACCTTGTACGAGTACAAAGTAATCACTATAGACAATAAGGACAAGTCGCACGTTTCAAATTCTTTTGAACTACATACACCTGATCTTGATCAATCTACATCCTTCAAATTCATCGCGACCGGTGATGTGGTAAGTTCCGGATATAAAACTGTACTTTAATTTTAAATAACCAACTGTTGTTCAGGGAGTTGTAAATGCTGTGTCTATGCCAGTGTTTAAACAGTTGGCAAAATCGCATGATTATGATTTTGTCGCCATCATGGGTGATCAAGGGTATGATTTAGCTGATTTTAACGGAACAAAGGGTGATGAGTATATGAACTTTGCACAGGAGTTTTATGCCAATGTACCCATTTTAACTACAGCGGGTAACCATGAGAGTGCTTATAATTTTTCCCATTACAAGAATAGGTAAATGAGTTTTTCTTTTTTTTAAAGCAAGAAGTTAACAGATAAATTTCCAGATTTGATCTATTGCCATACAAACAATCTGATTTTTCGGATGCTATGCAGTATTCCATCAATTACAAATCATTGCATTTAATCTCGTTTGCTACGGAAGTCTTCTTTTACGGCTCACCTGAACAAATTCAAACATCGCTTAATTGGTTAGAACAAGACTTGATCAAAGCAACGCGCCAAAGATCCTCCGTACCATGGATTGCTGTTATTGGACATCGACCTTTGTATTGCTCTATATTATCTAACCCAGATTGTGCAGAGAATGCAGAAAGAATCAGATTTGGATTTGATCAGCAATTAGGACTAGAGACTCTTTTGACAAAATACAATGTTGATGCATATATTTGCGGTCATAAACATAATTACGAAAGAACATTTCCTGTACGAAACAATACATTGTTAACAACATCATACCACAATCCACCTTCTTTTTTCCAAGTCATCACAGGTAATGCTGGTAACTATGAAGGTCCTGATCAGTTCGATAATACAAGCGTGTTACCTAACTGGTTAGGACACCGATTCCAAGGCTATGGATTTTCTACAGTTCAGGTATCACATCATCATTTTGATTTACATCATTATGAGACAAACATCGATGGCACTTTGGGAAAGCTACAGGATCATGTTCGTGTATCCAAAACACCAAGCCATGTAAACAAGCAAAAAATTGTGTGAGTCGAGCTCATAAAAAATACACTGTAGATTTGTTTGTCTTTAATCTTCCCCCACCCCTCATCGTAATCTTGCTGTATACAATAAATGTTCTGATTTAATTATTTAAAGAAAAAAAAATCGTCAATAACAATAGAATGAGAATGTGTTTTAATCTTTATTACTTCAAAAACTTCAGATAAACTTGCAACCTACCATATAATGTTTTTTTGATTTTTAAGTTTTTTACTTATTACAAAGGCTGACTGAAAAAGCTGTCGGTTTATATCAATTAATTGGATTGAATTGGTTTCTAACAGGTAATTAATCTCTCATATATTAGTTTTGTTGAGTTATGAGCTTATAATTACGCGTTCTTTTAAAAAAAAAAAAGTTTTACAACGCGAACTTTGACTTTGAAAGACTCTTTAAAAACGTTTTAAAAAACTTCAAGAGATTCTGCCCACATCAAGTAAAGTATATTCGGATCTGAGGTAACTTTTCTTCAAACTATGAATCGCCTATTAAATATTACTATAATTCAATACTCAGAAGGAAATTCATTCAAAAAGACGACTAAGTAAATCTTTCCGGGAAGTAGTCAAATCATTTTCTGAGAAATTTAACTAAAGGCTGTTGTACTATCCAAAAGCAGAGTGAATATGTAAATCAACTTGCTCAATTAAAGATTAACTAAGTCATTAAAATTCAGTGTTTCTGTTAAAACTCGCTGGTTTTTAAAGATTAGCCATGGTCTTGTAGATGATACAGTCCTTTTAAGAGCTATTATCTATGTTGCTAGAACTGCTAACGCCTAATATTTTTTTTAGAACACCCTCGAGGCATTTATATCTTTAGAAGCACATACATTCAAACGGATTGTTACAGAAACGAATTGGTAATTATTTTTGCGTTTTCTTGATAGGGATATACCACTTGTATTTACGATAAATACATCTGGAATATGCTTAGAGCATCACAAAAAAAAATTATTGGCTGGATTTTCCATAAATGCATTATATTAAGAAGGCTGAATGCTTTGAATAGACGCATATGACCTTACAGCCCTGATCTTGACTTGGGATCTCTATTTTAATAGGCATGGAAGCCAGCCCAAGGCATAATGGAAACGCACAGGGTAGAAAACCTAATACTGAAAAGCGTTAGCGACAAAATGCCAAAAAGTCCGAACACACTTAGAGTTTACACAAAAAATCAGTCGAGAAATCATTTCTTCCCCCTCCTTACTTTTTTTTTTTGTTTTATTTTACACATTTTTTAGAAAATGGCTTTATTTGCTAATGCCATTGATTTAACACTTCATAAAGACCGAAAAACCACCAAATTAGCGTCAGTTAATTTCGTCGCGTCCTCACGTGTGTCAGAGGCTTTGGCACAGTCAGGCCATTTAGCACTTAGCGCTCCCTCACAAATAATGGGACAGTTTCAGTTTTTGAAGGTAACTAATAATAATAATAATAAAAAAATAAGGAACATCTTGTCTTTCTAATCTTGGCCTCTTTTTTACATGTATTATTTCGTATGATAGACACTTATTCATCCCAACCTTTGTGAATATGTAGAGATTCATCGAGGAAAGCACGGTAAAAAAGGAATTAACATGTTGATGATTGCATAAAAAACAAAACTCTTATTTAATCATTCTGTAATCAGACCGATTATTTGTGGTATCTGAATATTACGATTCCTCTCTTCAAAAAGCTCGAAACTTGGACTCCAATAATCCACCACCTGTTAGGTAAATTGAACATGATTTATGAAATTCTGCAATATTAAAAAAGGTTATAGTATATCTGTACTCAGACAATGGGCATTTGAAATATTCTCGGCATTACAATTTCTTTATGAAAACGGAATTATTCATGCTACATTATCACCCACCAATATCATGTTGGACACCAAAGTAGGCTACCATTTAAAGAAAGAAGAGGTACGCAATGTCGCTCATATTTGTTGTTCATGTAGAATCATGTCAAATTGTTCGGTTATGGATTACATTATATGACGGATCAAGGCACAAATGTGGATTTTCCCATTGGATATCCCAGCTACCTATCGCCTGAATGTTTAGATGGAAATAGTGGACATAAGCAGGATACTTGGGCGACAGCCATTATACTGATCGAACAATACACTAGAAATTCATTTTGGACAACCAGCGATATCGGCTTGATTTTTGATTCGCTCATGACCTTGAAAGAATGGCATGAGGAAGGTTCAGATATCTGGAATCATCCTGAAATTACTTCACTCGACATCAACAAGACCGTTTTGGCTTTCTTACAACAAAAGAAACATCAAAGTGATGAAGAAGAAGCATTTCATCAATTTATCTTGCAATGTTTGGAAATTGATCCAGAGAAAAGATTAGATACAACACTGGCACTGAGTTTGGATTTTTTCGATAAATCAACCCTCGTGTCAATAGAGTCAGTAGATTGGGTGGAGGGCCCTATTCTTGCTTCAGATGTGATTGAACCAGAAACAATTGATACAAAAAATAGCGCTAGTCAAGAAGATGTACATGGTATTTTGGTAGGTTTACCGACAGCACAAGTTTACAATTTATGGAAATTAGCTGGCGGTGATGTAGAACTAGATCTTGTTAAACGCGGTGTTTTTTTATCCACACCCGTAATTAAGAGATTGCCTCGTGTATGCATGATGCCCGATGGCATAGAAATTGGAGACAAAGTAAATGATACCGCACAATTATATTCAGATGCAATTTACGTACTTGGATTTAAAGAATTATACCAAAGATTAGAAGATGGCAGTAAAAAAGGCTCACCGACGGATACAATTGATTGGGATACGGATTACTTTATGGTGGTGGATGAAAACGATGTTAATTTCTTGGTGGAAGAAGGGGAACAAGAACAAGGTGAAGCATTAGAAGTACTAGATGATTCGGATGAGAATGACTTGATGTTTTCAGATGATGTTGTATCCACTAATTTGGAGATGCCAGTACCTACTACTCCTTCTTCCTCTTCAAGATCATTAAGTAGAACAGTGTCGATGACTGGTATGGGTAGATCTCGCTCCACATCCTCAATTTCAATGAACAGTTCTGCTTCTATACCTACACAATCTACTGTACCTAAACAATTGTTCTTGAGAGAGCAAGACATTAACTATCAATATTATCGACAAACCTTATTTTCGGAATTGTTACGACAATACCCTGCTTCCAGAAAAGAGATTATACATCACGCCAAAGTTGATATTCCACCTTTACTAAGAGGAAAAGTATGGGCTGCTGTATTAGGTGTACGAGGAGACTTAAACCATGCGTATGATCAGATCGACAAATGTGTGGATATGGGATCCGACAGACAGGTAAAAAAATTAAGTGAGGTGAAGGAAAAAATAAAGAGAAACGAAAACTGAATTTAGAGAAATATATATATATATATATGTATAAAAGATTGAGGTAGATGTTCCTAGATGCCATCAGTACAACCAATTATTAGCTTCTTCTACTGGTCACGAAAAATTACGTCGATTACTAAAATCATGGGTGTCTGTCAATACAAAGTTAGTTTACTGGCAAGGTTTAGACTCATTATGCGCCCCATTCTTGACTTTAAATTTCAACGACGAAGCCATTGCCTTTGCTTGTTTACAGCGCTTCATTCCCAAATTTCTCAACAACTTCTTCCTTTCGGATAATGCACCCGTCCTTCAAGAATATTTGGCCGTATTTAGACATCTCTTGAGTTTTCATGACCCCGAATTATCAAGTCATTTGGATCAGATCGGATTTATGCCGGACCTTTACGCTATTCCATGGTTCTTAACCTTGTTTACCCGTAGGTTTTTCATTAATTTTCTGACTTATTGTTACTCAAATTCTTCCTTTTTGCATATAGATGTGTTCCCACTGGATAAAATATATCACTTGTGGGATAAACTGCTGGTAGGACCATCTTCACTACCCCTATTTGCAGGTATCGCTATTTTACGTCAAATCAGAGACACCTTATTATCATATGAATTCAATGATTGCATCGTATTGTTTTCCGATAGTTTTCCCAAAGTGGACATTGAAAAATGCGTGCAAAGCGCATTGAATATGTGTAAGGTGACACCACCCAGTATTTCTTCCCGAGTACATGGTCCCGAAAATGATTTGGAGGACAGTGATGATGTAGAAGATACAAAAGAGGTAACGTACCAAATTTACGGGTCAATCCATATTTATGCCCATCTGATAAGAAAAAGATTCAGGTAGTACAGTGGTGGGGTGAGCCTGTATGCATAGAAACTAAGAAGATTGAATTGGCGCCTCGTCTCTCGGTAAAAGACCTTTCAAAGATTCTCCCTTACTCTCTCATCTTGGACATTCGTTCCGAAACTGAATATGTAAACGGACACGCACCTTCTTCCATGAATGTGATTGCATCGCAGCTATCCAGTTATGCCAATATTTTAAAGAAACTAAACCGTAAATATCATATAGTGATTGCCAATCATGATGACGGAGGACCAGAGGTAAAAATGAAGATAAATAATAAAAGGGTAGGAAAAACTCACCATATTATGCATAGTTTGCTGCTGATTTGGTAAGACACAATTTTCCAAGAACAGCTTTATTGCAAGGCGGTATGGATGCTTTCGAGACACTCAAGGAGAAATCTGCACATACATGTACCTGTCGACCTCAAAAGCAGACGACTGCTGGGTTCAAAGGCAAAGGATCCGAGCCACCTTTTGTTATGTGGCGTTGTAAAGTAGCTCCACCATTAAAAAAGAAATAAAGGGTTTTTTTATTATGAATGATATCACACATTTTTTACAATGCTGTTCCTCTTTCGAGATTTTCACGAATTTCCTTTGTATACTTGTCATAAAATCTTGCAATCTTTTGGTTAAAGACACGATTCTTCTCATTAATCCAGGAGATGTCGTCACTTTCTTCCTTGCGGTCACGAGATCTAGTTTCACGTTGAATGATCCTATTTGAATGAAAAAAATTAATATATAGGCTGTCATATAAATCAAGGAGACACAATCAACGTACTGTTTCTTTGTCTCTGCTGCTAATCTATCAACTGCTTCTTTTGAGGGTTTATCGTCTAATCTTGCATAATCTAAACTATTTGCCATGGCTGAAATATCTGAAGGATCTTCTCCATTACGAATAGCACGTTCGATATCTGCAAGCTTCATGTCTGAATAGGCTGACATGTCTGGTTTGAATTCAGACATGAGACGAATGTATTTCTTATGTGCAGCTTGTGAATGATCTGTATTGTAAAAAAAAAAAGAAAGAAAGAAAGATCGACTTAGCCATCAATGTTTTTAAATGTGTCATGAACTTGCCAGTGAATCCATTATTTGCGGCTCTAGCCTTTTTCTCCATCTTTTTCTCCCAAGAAGCAGCCGATTCAGCAGAATATTTCCAAAACTGTTTACGTTCATAATCCTCTCCTGCGTCTTTTGCTTCTTGTTTCTCTAATAACTTTAAGGCTTCCAATCTTTTCTTTTCGTTCTTTTCTTCAAACTTTGGATTTTCTTTGGTTCTCTGAAATTCGAGATTACGATCACGTCGATTACCTTGCTCTACTTCTGTTGCCTTAAAAAAAAAAGAGAGAATAAAAAGGTTATTTTTAAAATAGGAGTAGTGACTAATGTAAACATACTCTACGCCTTTTCAGTTCCTTTAATTTCGCTAATCGATCAGCAAGACCGCTCTTGGGAGAAGAAGAAGTAGCATCGTCTTTATCGTCTTCGTGTTTACGTTTCGTAGGTGCTGTGGTTGTTTCAACAGACGTTGATTTCACATCCTCTTCCTCCTCTTTGATTGTGACGTCTTCTGTTATTTCTGGTGTCTTTTCTTTTACAGGCTCACTCTTTACAAGTCTGGCTATTTTTTGGGCTGCTGATGCTGCGGTTTTTCTCTTTGGGGGCATAGTATTTTTGAGTTATGTTAAGGATGAAAGAACAAAAAAAAAGAGTGCGAAAAAAAAAATTAATCAAAATCCGGATTTGATGACGTCCATTTAGGAGCCGAATTTTTGAGCGGTTTTTAAAAGTAGAGGGCTGCATTGCTTTTGATTTTTAGGCAGAGGGAAGGGACGCGTTTATTATTTGTTATCTTTGTATCGTAAAATTAGAATTAGAAGGAATGTTTGTAGAATTTATACGAGAGAGAAACCAGTGATTGAAGCTGTTTAATTCTTCGAGCTCAGTTTCGGTCAAAGTATATTGCTGGCGTTTAAGTTTATGAATGTTAGAAAGCAGAGTGTCAAAATCTATTGAAGAATTGCTTGGAGCGGTGAGAGGAGCTTGTTCAGTTGGAGTAAGAAGAGCTGAGCTATCAGGCGAGCTCTGGGGAATGGTTGAAAAAGTGGGGTCGAAAGAAACTAGTAAAAAAAAAAAAAAAAAAAAAAAAAAAAAAATGAAGCCGTAAAGAATTTAATAGTATTTATCTTTACCTTCAAATACAGACAACCAAGACATATCACACTTCAACAAATACATGTGTTTGCATGCGATATTGTTAAAGCGGAAGTCAGGGCAGCTGCAAGTGATCATTTGTAGATCGTCCACCACAACATCATAACTTACACAAGAAGTTGAGAAAGAAGAAATAACATAACCACTTCTACCAGCAGAATCAGTTTTCGCAGTTTCGATGCCATACAGTGTTCTTTACTACACTTCAAGAGTATTTACTTTGGCTTAAGATATCGGGTTTCTTTTTTTTTTTTTTAATATAGAATATCTCTTTATATATCCATAAAAATAAGACACTTCAAAAATAAAAAAACAAGAGGGGAACAGGCTACAGATTTTTGATGGGCAAAGCAACCATGGAGCTTCTAAACCGGTTTTTAAAGCTGATGACTACATTTATTCCCGTGTTAGATCAAACGCCATCTAATTTTTAGGTCTTTTGGATGAGCCTTTGGTCCCCAAATAAACTTAAATGTCCAATAAAAACTTTACATATGCCACTTACTCCCGGTCAATCTCTCACTTAATTTGTAAGAGTTTTCGATTCTCAAACAGCTTCTTTATTTCAAGCCGAAAATCACCCTACTTAATCTGTAAGATATTTCGATTTTCAGTCAAATTCACAGTCTCATGTTTACTTTAACCTACAATTATATGATACCATTAGTAAGAACCTGGAAGCTTAAGACAGAGAGTTTTTTTCTTTTTCTACAAACAAAAAATTAAATTTAACCTAAAACCTAAAACCTGAAATTGATCCTGATAGCAATACATCCACAAACAACTCTTTTAGAGCCATGTAAAACATACACATCAAATTAAAATCAAAAACCTGTTTCCCATCATCATAAAGGTAAAGAGAGTATTATTCTCAATTTGTCGTCGAAACCCCATATTATACAAAAATGACGTCTCTAACAACATTTGATTTGATATATTATTATTTTTTAACTTATAAAAGGGCTTTTTCGACTTTTTCTTTTTTTATTCCTTTGTTCACCAAACGAAAGGTAAAAAGAGGACGGAAGTATCGTAAAATAAGCAAGTATAAATGATACTTAATCTATTTTATTTAATTTTGTAGACAAAATACATATCAAAATGTGGTTGTTTACTTTTGAGCTGATCGTGCTGACCTTTGGTTATCTTTTCCTTTTGTACTGCCCAATTTTTTCCTCATGAAAGGTTTTTTTTAATGGAGGCAAAAGGTTTTCACTGATGCCGGGGTTGGTACCAATACAACATTTATCTATCGGAGGAAGAAGGCAGTCTAGAATTTGGTTTCCGTTACAGACAGTGTCTTACACTGCCACAGGTATGATAATTTTTATATATGTTCTATGCAAAAAGTCGGTCTTACGGTTTATTTTATCATTTTAAAGCATTACTTCTTGATGTATAGCCTATTGGAGCTGTTCCCCCAGTGTCCAGTGGGTGTTATCTGATTAATTGGTAAGTGATATAACTTTTTTCTCTATCATATCTGTTTATGTTCATACTAACGCGAAATTTGTATTACGGCTAGCACAAGACGATGCAAATTACAAGGAAACTTAGAAATGTTTCTATAGCCGCGGTTTCAACACTGTTCGGTCCCATCTCTTTACCAAGTAAGGTCATTCCGCATGAAAAAGCCAAAGGAAAACTCTGACGTCATTCTTTTTTTATTCGGGTATATAACGAGATGCGAGCGGCACGCCCTTATTAATAAGGAGATGCTTTAGGATGATGATGGTTTTCAGAGGACGGATTCTCTCGCCCTCAGTGCAGAAATTCATGCAACTGTTTGTATCTTTTCACCGGAATCACTTGACTTGTAGACAAACAGAAAGATATTTTTCTAATTTGATATATCTAATGAATTGAATAAAGTAGAAAAATAAAATCTTAAACACTAATAAAAAACGCGTCGGTCAATTTTAAGTACGCTTTTCTTAGGGACAGTCAAAGTGCATGTAGTCACAACGTGCAATCTGTGATTTGGCTATCCTTTAGACTTGGAAACAAGAAAACATAATCAAAAACAATATGATTATTATGAATAAATTTATGTTAAATGATTTGTACTTGGTTTTACAGGTCTACCATCACTCCTTCGCCTTTAAGCTCGCTTGATCTGAATCTTACGCAGAAATATTAAGGTAAAGTCCAAACGAGTAGCTAGAAGTAAGTTATAACTCACATATACTAGTTTATAATATATTGGTTGTAATAAATTTGTATCTATTTCAAGTTTATTAAGTTATATTGACCTCTTGGTGAGTATTAAAGTATCATAATCCTAACATTCCGACTACGCGCACCCTGGCCGTCCCTAAGCGACCCGTTTTAAGTAACTACCATAATTGGTTACCTAGATACCTCTACTTGAACCTATTTTCCACGTATTCTGGTTCATGCAACTTTGTTTTTAAAAATCCAAAATCGGCTTCATTTTTGGTTGTTCGGAGCGGGGGAGGGGGTGGGGTCATTGTACTACAAGTTAAAGATCGATGGTAAATAATTTAAATCTAATTTTTACGGCAAATAGCAAAATAGTGGCAAAAACCTAAACATCTGAACTTGAATTAGTTTCAGATAAGCGGCTCTGTCTGCTTTCTTATCACAATAAAACGAAAAAAAAAAGTATCGACACGCAGCTGAATAAGAGGCACATGAAGACATATTATATTTAAATAAATAATTTCTGGTTTTATTATTATAATCCAAATAGAGTTGATTGTATCATAGTAACATCTCCCAGCCACCGGAACAAAATGATATCGATGCAAATTACCTCAGGATCACAAGAAATACTTTTGGGAAACACAAAAAGAACATGATTATGAAGAGTGCGACATAGATTTAGCCACTCAAACATCTTTTTTTCTTATATTCTATCTAATAACTAAGTTTAGGTTCCCCCGTTTCTAAAGTAATCATAGGGGACCCTTATTTTCTATACTTCTTTATACAAATATATGTTCTTTTTTTTAAGGTTGCACTACGTTAAAGTGTGGGGTGATATATTATGACATAGAGAAAGTATATAAATATTTGACCAAATGAATATTACTTCCCACCTTTCGTAAGTTTAAAAGCCCGTGATGGGAAATTTTAAAATGTATTTTTATTATTTCTTTAAAAAAAATGCGCGATTTGTGCGCAAGGGGGATAGATCGGCGTTGATGACAGGGTCAGTCTCAAGAACAGTAGTAGTTACTGTCCATGTGAATAAATGCGAGAACTCTGCGATCCGAGTTTGACCGGTACAAATAAATTTATTGAGTGACAAACAATTTGAGTTTAAAGCTTGTAGAGTTTGAAGAGTAATCATATTACTCTGGACAATGTTGGGAGGTAATGTCACAACCAGTGTATGTAATAAAGGGCAATTTTGAGCAATAGCAATTGTTGCTGTATCTGATAAACAACCACATTTCTCGAGCCTCAAAGTATGGAGAGTGGGACAAAATTGAACAAGTTTTTCTACTTGGTGATCAGTTAGACTACAATGATGGATGGCCAAAGATCTTAGATGAATACGCGGTTCTTGTTGTATAGCTTTGGAAATAGATGTAAATGTGACGGGAGTACAATCATACAAGTGTAATTCTGACAGGCCTTGATTTAATTGGGATTTTAAAAAGAGTTCAAAGAATGTGGCATTTTCTTTCAAGACGTGGATTTGCTGTAAAGATAGAATTTCTAACCGCAATTGTGATAATCCTTCAAAAATGTCTTTGTGAATGATTTGATAGCTATAACCGTCCTTTTCTTTTCGCATGTGTAATGCTAAGCCCACGATCCAATCTTTGTAAGCATATTGTGGATTTGATAATTGGAGCGTAGTCGACAAATAAAACAATGATGTAATGTTGCTAACATAAGGCATGTACCATAACTGACGAAGAGCATGTGGTGACATAGTACGGCAAGTCAGACTTAATTCATATAGCATGGATTGATCAGAATAGTATTCGAGTATAATCAGTACTACATCCAGTGGCAAGCATACTTTGCGCATTTATCTAATCTAGTAACAATAAGAAAGAAAAAGTAAAAAATAGAAAAAAGAAGCTCGTAAAAGATAACCAGAAAAAAAAGGAAAAAGAGTATGGATTATATAATTCGATCGCTCTTATACGTAATGGAACTGTAAAGCGAGGGAAAAAAAGTTACAACTCCTATGGTTTTCATTTACCACGTTTTTATTGTGGTACTCTGGCGCTTTTTTTTTTTTCTTCTTTTTAGGGTCAAGTGCATTTTTTATTTTTATTTTTGTCTGCAGTGAAATATAAAGTAATCGAGCAAATAAGTGGAAATGCTACAGCGGAAAAACGCACTGCAGAACACACACTTTTTTTTTTTTTTTTTTTTTTTTTTTTTTTTGGGAAACTCTTTCCCAGTCAGAACACAACATGTCGTGTGCACCCCGATCGGTTTGGTTTCCTCGAAAAGGAAAGTATAAATCTACTTCTTTGCAAAAGAAGACATCTGTCAGTACATTGTTTGTGCCCCTGCTGTGTGTCATGATATGTTTATCAATTTATTTTTATATTTATATTTGTTAGTGCAATTTACATATGGCAACACAAACCGTGAGTTGAGTGATGGGGGGACAAGTCTTTTTTGTACCTTTCTGTTTCGCCCAATCTTTTTTTAAAAACCCTACTGCATGTCCGTGTAACTGATAACTGAGTTCTTTTATATATTTGTTTATTTTGTTAAATACACCGTATTTCTCTAATCCAGTTTTTGCATTCAATCTCAGAATAAGATAAAAGTACATGTGTTCTAAAAAGATATATCATGGGAAACGCAATCATCTGATAAAAACAGTTTGATGGATATGACAGCAATATTGACATTTGTCATATGAAGCACCATGTTTTAGTATGTTATTCTTTTAAAAAAACAGAGCTACTAACAATGGGTTGAACCAAACTGTTTATGGTAAACCATTTAGGGTCAAGCGCATGGCTTATGCTCCCTTACGCCCAGCCCCCACCCCCACCCCTCAAAAAAGCTTGTTGTTCGGATGGTCTAATTGTATGTCAAATCCGGCATGTCTTTTGACAGTCTAATAAGCACCTGCCTTTTTTCTTCTTTCATGAATTTTGTCATACATTACACTGCTTGAGGAGCATTGGCCAAGTCGGTTTATTTTTGGGTTAAAATGTCATTCGTTATACATTTCTTAATACATAGTAGATTGCCTTAATTTGTCTTTAGTGTCCCGTAATTATCTTTTTACGTGTTACAACCTAGCCGTGATATCCATGTGTCTAACTGTACAGCCATACTTTCTGACTGGAAATCAATTTTTTTTTCGGTATATGCACGCTGCTATTTCAAATGAATTCTCATTACAAACACATTAAATGGAATACTACTAATCTGCTGAAATCTATGTAATACATTGCCCGAGCCATTGTTATTCTTTTATCTACAATAAGCTTTGCCTGGGCTGGGGAAACAATGCTGTAATTTAAACAAGTGATCCTATTCTTTATTTTGATGCACAATGATGTAATAAATACAATTGTATATGATTTCAAGGTAACATTCATTAATATCTAAGTGACACGAAAGCCAAAAGATTGTTTGGCCAATCTTAACACATTCTTTTTCTTTCGGGCTTAAGCCATTTTATTGTTTGCTTCCCAGTTAGGGTGCAATGATTATCCTTTGATATCGCAATGTTTGGGGATACTGATTTAAACACGAGATTTCAATCTCTTTAACAGTTCCAGAACATCTATTTAAGTTTGGGTGACCAAAAAGGAACAAGAGGAATACGTCATCAGCCAAATTGCAGTCTGCACTGAATTCACCCGCATTTTTATTTTTTCTGACTCTCCCCCCTTCCAGCATTATTCTTTGAACCCCTAGTTATAGGCATTATACCGTTTTATATCCAATGAGTACCACTGGAGCTTTTTCGTTAACACAAAAGGTAAAATTTCTAATCTCGTTTCCCAAATTCTTCAAAATAAACTGACCAATTGCACATAACCCCCCAAAAAAAGCTTGCTACGGTAACTGGCGAAGCAACTCGACTTTTTCAACATTGTAATATTACGTCACGCGCAGGATTGACTCCATCTCCACTTTTAAAAAACTATGACCAATGGATACGATTAAACAAAAGTACCGTAAGTTGCATTTTTTAGACGGTAGCTCGTACTTTGTTGCATATGCTTTTATATTGACTCGATACCTAGTTACCATCTTCAATATTAGAATCTAATCTCGGTCAGTTAAATAGAGCAGTCAATAATGCAACACGTTTGCTTAATACAAATCCTAGTCTTGCTTCCAGTATTGGACGACATGCACCACGACCTTTGCAACACCGTACTTTATTTAATAATCAAGGTGGAGCAGCCAATAGAATTATTAATTATCGTCGCCTCAGTAAATTGGAACAGGAAGCTAACGCATCACCTACCGATGTTTTGAAGCAAGCAACACTTTACAAGGTACGCGTTTAACAAAGGAAGAGAGAGAGAGACAGAGAGGTTTTTAATCTATATCGTTATTATAGGAATGGCTGCGAGCAAATAACCCACAAGCAGTAATTACAAGATTTGAACGTGGCAACTTTACACATAACGAAGAATGCTGGCAGTACTATATTGCCGCTTTAGCACAAACCGGTAAATCCGAAGCAGTATTACCACGCATCTTACAAAAATTGGAATCATCGAGTGGAGCAGGCATAGCAGGAGGAGCAACGGGAGAAAATGTGATTTCAAAAGAGATGCTTCAACAAGTGATTGCTAGTCGTCAGGGAGGTCGCACAGTAAAAATGGCAGAGACATCAGCATCAGCATCAGGGACCGGTAATAAATCCAACCCTATCTACGTTGTTGTGGAAGAAGCGCGAAAATACATGTTCTGGAAAGCATTAAGATGGTTTGGTGTGACCGTCACTTATGCTTTTTGTATTCTCACCATTCTTTCTTTGGCTTTGGAGAACTCGGGATTGTTAAAGACAGCAAACTCACAGCAAGAGTATGAACCTGTTACTCAAACCACAGTAACATTTGAAGATGTACAAGGTGTCGATGAAGCTAAACAGGAATTAGAAGAAATTGTAGAGTTTTTGAAAAATCCTCATCGATTTACAGAATTGGGTGGTAAATTACCAAAGGGTGTGTTATTAACAGGTCCACCTGGAACAGGTAAAACCATGTTGGCAAGAGCTGTAGCAGGTGAAGCCAATGTACCCTTCTTTTTCATGAGTGGTAGTGAATTTGATGAGATGTACGTGGGCGTTGGTGCCAGAAGAGTACGTGAGTTGTTTGCTGCTGCTCGTGCCAAGGCTCCCAGTATCGTCTTCATTGATGAAATTGATGCCATTGGTTCCAAGAGAAACCCCAAAGATCAATCTTACATGAAACAAACCTTGAATCAATTGCTAGTGGATCTGGATGGTTTCTCTCAAACTGAAGGTGTGATTTTCATTGCTGCTACCAATTTCCCCGAGCTATTAGACAAGGCCTTGGTGAGACCCGGTCGATTTGATCGTTTAGTCAATGTGCCTTTACCAGATGTACGTGGTCGTATTGAAATTCTTAAACACCACATGAAAAAGATTCATATCGCTAGTGAAGTCGATGTCAGCGTCGTAGCTCGTGGTACACCAGGTTTTAGTGGTGCTGACTTAGCCAATTTGGTCAACCAAGCTGCTATCCAAGCCAGTCGTGAGAACTGTAAACAAGTGAACTTACGTCATTTAGAATACTCCAAGGATAAGATTATCATGGGTGCTGAACGTAAATCAGCAGTTGCAACCGATGAGAGCAAAAGATTAACTGCATACCATGAAGGTGGCCATGCTCTTGTTGCTTATTATACACCGGGTGCTATGCCATTGCATAAAGCAACAATTATGCCCAGAGGTTCTGCATTGGGTATGACTGTGCAATTACCCGAAATTGATAGGGTAAACTAATAATGGCTTAGTATAAACGAAAATATGTTACTAACATAAATCTTGTATAGGATTCGTTCACCAAGAAGGAATTCATTGCGCAAATCGATGTGTGTATGGGCGGCAGAGTGGCTGAAGAGTTAATTTTTGGACAAGAGAATGTGACAAGTGGAGCTAGTAGTGATATTATGAAGGCTACAGATGTAGCTAAACGTATGGTCAGATATTACGGCATGAGCGAAAAGGTGGGACCTGTCAATCATGACGATGAAGACATGCAATTATTAAGTGCACATACAAAGGAGCTGATTGAAAGTGAAATTTTGAATCTCATTGAAACCAGTGAAAAAAGAGCCAAAAAGATTTTGATAGATCATCGCGAGGAGTTAGATAATTTAGCAAATGCATTAATCGAATATGAAACTCTCGATTATCAAGAAATTATAGATTCATTGGCCGGTAAACCCATTTCAAGGTCATAATTTTTTTTTTTTTTCGATTATTATTATTTTTTGCCCTGATTAAAAAAATAAATAATTTTCCCTCTCTCTTTTTCTGCTTTGTCTGTTTGTTTTTTTTTCTCTAAATATTACTGTTGGCAAATATGGATGTCTCTAAGCTCTGCTCTAGTCCACCTACTGATGTTGCTGTATCTACGCCAAAGTATATTCAATAGACTTGTTCTGTTTTGTCTGTCGTTTAACATTCTCGTTCATTTCAGACCTGATCGAGGAAAAACACCTGCTAGTCTAGATTTCATCTTGTCTTCCCATGAGGAACCTACACGAACATTAACAGTTGACCTGGTAACCTTTCTTTTTAAAATTAAAAATCAAAAAAAAAAAATCAGAAAAAAAAAATCACGGTAATAAACTTTTTTAAAGATTGTAGATGAATGTTCAAAGATATGTCAAGGCATTTGGCAATTGCAGTCGTACCACAAGTCAGTTTCGGTAAAAACGAGAGAAAACATGATTGACGACCTTTCGACGAATGCAAATCAACTTTACAATATAATTCGGTCTCCTGGGACAAGTAAAAACAAGAGAAGAGCCTCCAGCCCTTTAAAAAAATACGACGACGATGAGGATGAGGAAGAAGAAGAAGATTACGACGACGATGACGGAGAAGAAGGGACACATGAAAGCATAATAAATCCCTCGTTCAAATTCAAAGTACAGCATAAAATGAGCCCCAAAACAAAATAGAAAATTAGCTAAATTATTATTATTATCACTTAGAATCATGCAGAATACGAATTGATTAGACAAGCAAGGAACTTACAGGATGCTAAAGAAAGCCCTAAATATCGTAGACGAAACGTGAGTTGCAGGATAACTCTAAAAAATAAAAGGGGAGGGGGGAGGTTGGGTATTGATCATGTTTCATAGAGACGTAGTATGGTTGGGCAGAAATGTCATTCTTGCAGTACAACAGAGGTATATCTTCCTAATGTGATTAAATCAATATTAAATTGCTGTAATAGACACCCGAATGGAGAAAAGGTCCTGATGGCGCAAGAACATTGTGTAATGCATGTGGGCTCCGTAAGTATATCAACCCTAGGGAAAAAGGGAAAATTCATTTATTGACATATTCATTTTTATTCTAGATTATTCCAAGTTATTGCGCAAAGGTTCGATCGGTGTCCAAACACAAAACTATTTATTGACGGGTGGCATTAAACCACAAACACCGTCAATAGTATCAGCCTCTGCCATTAGCGATAACAGTAAAAATATGCAATCTTCTGCAATGTCCAATTTCCCATTTGTCTTGATGGACCCCAAATATGGTCTAGGAAGATCCATACAACAAACACCACCAAATTATACCCCATCTTCTGCCACTGATATCACTTCCCCTCTGACTCAACCTCCCCCACCGAACCAGTCATCACATCATTACACCTTAAGCCCACTCCGTATACACCAATGGAAACAGTAATAACATATGTACTCTCTTATTATAATATAACATTTTTGCCCCGCCCTTCCTTTCTCCCCTATTTATTCTAAATACACTTTTATAATTGGTTATTAGAAATCCAAGTATTTCCTTTATCAAAAATTAACTCGTCACACCCGGAACTCACTACATTGCATTGTACTAGTATATCGAATGTTAGTAATACTATAATCACCAGAGGAATTAAAATAGATTAAAGGCTAATAACCCCTCAGTCAATTTAACCTTCTTTTTAGAGTAACAACTAAATTACTACGTTACAGAAAAACCCCCAAACTCGTCCCACGTTGTGCAACATCATCTTGATCGAAACAAAAGTTAGATGGCCTTACCTATATGCAACTTTGAATTCGCGATCGGATGAAAATCCGAAATACGTGTGTGATTCTCAGTAACCATGGGGATCAAAAAAAAAAGTGTATTTTTATCGGAGAACAAAAATGAAAAACAGTTACACTCCATTTTGTTGATCCCCTGTGTCCTTCCGTGACCAATCACGAAATCTTTTGCAGGAACAGAATGTCGTCCAATCACCATCGTGGTAATCTAGCAGTAGAATCCATTGATCTGTGTTTATTTTATTTTTTTCTCATAAAGTCAATTACTATATTCCCAGTTGATATCATTAAAAACATGCCAGACTTTAGCTTTTATGAATAATAATGTGACAGGGACCCTACATACATCACAGTTACAATATCTTGAAAAGTAGTCATTAGTATGACCTTGCTGGTAAAAAACCTCTTATCTGTTTTTTTGGTTTGTTGCACAAGAATACAATGCCTAATAACACCATAACTGATATAACAAGAATATATAGACACCCTCTCTTCAATAACAAAAAAAAATCAAACACATAGTTGAAAAGCATATCTAAAAATTTAGTCAGGATCCGCAATTCATGTTGGTTTACAGTTCTTTCTCTTATCAAACCAAAGATTTATGGGTTTTTCTCTTTTCGCTGACTTTTTGCCTGATAAAAAGATGAAGGGAATGCACATATACAAGCCTCCGCGTAGCCATTCCCGGGTAATACTCTTCTAGAGTGGCTAATGTGTCTCTTTTCTTTTAATTTTAATAAAATGTGTGCTTTTAAACTGTTTAAACTGTCTTTTATTTTCCTGTCTTTCATGTCCATAAAAAAAACAAAGAGCTGGGAAAATCCTCTGATTGAGATTGTTAATCAAATGGTTCTACAATCAGGAAAAGAATCAGCATTTACCTGTTCAAAAACTGGTTTAGAGACAGAGTTTAAAGAATTTGTGAATGCTTGCATTGAAGGCACCCACTCACATGTCACTCATAGTACGCATGCCAATGCTGTAGAAATCTAATTTGGTCCATTAGATTTACAAGAGTTTAGAATTGCTACCATTTTGGAATTTATGGAATATATATTTAATAATTGTATTTCTCGCGTCTTGGATGCTACTCTTCCAACATATCAGAGTTTAGTGTATCATGAAAGACTCGAAAGCCATGAACTCTCAACACATGAGTCCTTAAGTTTGGTCTCTTGAAATGTTCTGTATCGGAACGTTATTCGTTTGACGAAGTTGCACTACGCTAGAATTTGTTTCAACAGATGAACTATCCATTACAAGCCTATCATGGTATATCACTCAGTGACACATACGTTGCCGGAACACTGTTGATATTAGAGAAATTGATCATGATCCTAGTGAAATGAATTAGCTGAAAAATGGTCCTGATAAGTTTTCCTCGACTACAACTCTTTAAAGTAGTGTTTGTTTATGTGTACGATACAGTTATCTTTTTTTGTGGCGAGCACTGCAGGGTTGTATGTGTTTGTTTTATATAATATTAAAAAAAAAAAGAGCTAAGCCCTTGTTGTAAAAGTCAAATATGTGTGTGTTTGTTGTTCTCTCCTCTTTGGTAGTAAAAAAACTACTTCCCCAATAATAGGCGCTTCCGGTCATATGTGATTTATTTCCGCCCGCCCGCATCTTGGTAGCGTCTGATCGAAAATTCACACTGTTTAAAGTTGTACCATGTTTTTAACCAAGGTACAAAAAGGGTACATTTTTTACCCGGAAATGTAGACCAAATTATGCAAATGAAAAATTGTATCGGTAGATAAAAAATAAATGAAACCTTTTTTTTTTTTTTTTTTGTATGTCGTGTTCCCTTCCTGTGTTTCTCCATATTAATAAAAAAAAAACGTATAGCCGGAAACGTGTATTTTCAAAAAAGAAGGGTACATGGGAAAAATATTTTTTATGAAGCGCTGATCTGGGAGATTAATATACTAAAAATATCTTGACACTAAATATGAAACCGTGTTAGAACACACGATGGTAACATGGCGATTTTATTTATTACATAAAAAACCGCATTTTACTCCACCGTCATGACTGAAAGCATTTATTGTGGAAGCTTAAAATGACATCAGACCTAGGAAACACAGGATGACCATAATTTCCTATAATTATGAAAACTTTGTGATACAAATTCTAACTATCTTCCAAATATGATTTGTTTTTCTTGAAACGCAAAGAATAGCACCATATATACAAAAGATGAAGAAGACTTTAATTCGGAAAACTCTGTTTCTACATTATAATAGCACATATACAGTACACTATAAAACAATCATTTTAAGAAAAAATTTAAAGTTTTATTAGAGAAGCTATGACAGGATACCTCCGTTACTTCTTGAAAAAAAAACGCACGTAAAAAAACAAACATTGACTTTATTTAGGGCATACAGCTGGAGGAGAGTTTTTGTTATACAAAACATGGAAGTAAGATGTCTTGATAGGTTTACAACTAGCCCCATAAGTAACGAGAAAGTAGTAATCACCCGTTTTTTGATAACTGCCTAAATCAATATTAAACCAAGGCGAAACAATACCAGTTGCAGCAACATTCTTGACCAAGGTATTGATAAACTTGTCCGTCTTGTATTCGTAAAGATCAATCTTTATTGTTGAAGGTTTAGCAGGTGCAGAAGCCCCAAAATCATACGAGACCTCCTGGCATTGTCCCGCCGTGGTCGTAAAGTAAGTGGTAGGAGATGTGACATGGAAACCTTCACATCCGTCTTTTACAGCCGGTGCAGCAGAGGCAAAAGATACGAGAAGAGTAAAAAGCAAAGCAGCTTGGAGAAGAATGAAAGAAACCATGATTGCTTGAAATTATATTAAACAATGGGATGCAATTTACTCTTGTATTTATACAGTTTTTAGCCTGTTGGAATAAATGCGAACATTTTATTTAGGACGCTAAAAAATGTATATGAGTACGCTTGTTGCTAATTTTAAACACAAAACATGATTTTTTAAAAAAAAATGCTTATAAATAACATAAAAGCCACAATCGACAAAGATATTAGCTCCACCATACCTGGCTACAATTACAGCTACACAATTTTGAAAGTTATGTATAATTCAAAGATGTTCAAACTGATTCTACGCCAACCCACTTTTAAGGTACATCTGCAATTGACCAAACACATTATCAAATACAACTACTTTCTCTTTCATATCTTAAACGAACCTCAGCCACGTTTTACTTGTAGTTTCATTTTTCAAAGTTTAAATCAGAAGATATCATGCATGCTAGATAAAATTCTCACCAAAAATATTTTTGCATAATTACACAAATGCAGAAAAAAAAAATCTATTAAAAGAGTCTGTGCATAATAATGTATAGGTAAAGAATGCTGTCATACATATGGCTCATGGTTACCAACTTACGGGTTCAGATACAATGTATTAACGGTATCCGATTGGTTAATATATGATTATCCTTTCCTACTAATATGCGTAATTGTTAAATTGGAGGTGTAGTAGTAACATTAAAATCGTGGTGTTTTATCATATAGTATAGGTTTTTGAAAACAATTGTTGATTTTTGACAGGCTTAAAATCAAATAAGGGTCATGCACTTTGAAAGTGCTTAAAATAGAGTACATTCTCATTTCAGTAATAGAAAGAAATTATTTAAAAAAAAAAGAAATACGTTCGTTTCTGCATGTGACAATAGTATTTCTGAAACTACTATATCCTCTTAATAATAAAACTTTCTTTGGCCAAATAATAGCTCCATTGGTATTGTTGCATGAATTCTCTGCTTACAATGACGATACAATGTTGATCCACCATATGCTCTCATCACATCGATCAAGTTGTAAAGACTCTATAATTAGTGTTTATCCCAAATCAGTACCAATAATGTGATATAAAACAAAGTCACCCACTAAAAATAATACGATATGCATATTAACTTCATGAAGTCAGTATTTTTTTCACATTGTTACACTGTCCTGTTTATTATTTGGCCTTGGGTTCAGTTTACTCATTTTTCCAGTTTTTGAGCTATTTAGATATTAAAAGTGGCCCTATATTTTACATAAAATATTTTATTCGGTTTGTATATAGCTTTAGACTGATTCGGTAGCTATATGTATACATGACTACTACGAATGAGTAACTACGCAATTCCATTTTAAGACACCTACGTCTGATTCTTTATATATTACATAATCCGTCCATTTGACTGTTTGTCTTGCACTATTGTAAGAACGAGACGGATTAGAATGGCTAAGGTATATAATAAACTCATAAGTTGTGCTATCCTATTCTTGTTAAGGTAGAAACTGGATAGTATTAATATTTTTTATTTTATTTTTATTTATTCTTTTGGTTCAAAATTTAACATTTACAGATGGTTCCTGAATTACACTCTTACTATTACTTTCAGCATTAAAAAGTAATAAGCAGCACTCAATACACCAATACAAAGTATATGAATCTACGTGATGCGATAGATCATTTCTCTTCTTTACAAAAGCTGGCCCAAATTATTTCCATCCTGTACAAATAAGCATATGTTAAAAGTGTGTACGGGATTACCTTATTGGGGGAAGGACAACACATATTTTGGGTGCCTGACTTTAATTATACCAACTATATAAAATAGTCGGCTGATAAGCCGGGTAAGACAACTCATATCTGTTTATCGTAAAAAAGGGTAAGAGAGTCGTGAGAAATTGTTATCACGGTGTTTTAATTCCTCCAGTATAAAAGAAGTGTGCCTTCTGCATCCAAGAGTGTGGGTTTCCCTCCCCTCCCCATCCCCCCTTTTTTTAACCTATGACTACCACTGCTATTACAGCTGAAGAACGCAGCGAATTATTTGTTGCTGCTGCCAAAGGTATTTTGTGACATGAAAGAAATTTTAGGGCTACATATTTATGTTGAAAATAGCTAAGGAAACTTCATACTCTCCCTACTCAAAGTTCAGAGTAGGTGCTGCTCTTTTGGCCGAGGATGGTACAATTTTTAAAGGTAAGTGTCTGTTAAAAATTAATAGGTGGTAAAATATAACTAAGAGTAATTAGGTTGCAATGTGGAAAATGCTTCATACGGTAAGTACATGGCCATGATGGCTAAAAAAAAAGAGAGAGAGAAAACAAAAAACTGACTATTTTAATAGGAGCTGCTATTTGTGCCGAAAGAACTGCTTTTGTAAAAGCTGTGGTAAGAAAAGCAGAAATTCATGAAACAAACAAAAAAAAAAAAAAAAATAACGCAGAAAAAAAAAATAGAGCGAGGGACAATCTAAATTTCGCGCACTGGCTGTTACCTCAGACCAAACCGAATTTATTTCCCCTTGTGGTATTTGCAGGTAAAAAAGAAAAACAAGGTTGGATTGGAATTCGACTAATGATGTAAAAATATAGACAATTTATTTCTGAATTTGTTAAAAGAGATATGCCTGTTTATTTTGTAAATACGTTAGGAGAACACCAAGAATACACATTTGAACAAGTTTTGCCATTTGCATTTGGTGTGGTTGAATCCGAAAAATATTTAATTTAAAATTATTTCATCATGCCTGATGCACCTGCTGTTACAAATCTTGCTAATAAACTAGTCAAAATATTTCTTCGTTGATCTCCATCCAATTTTTGAAATGCCGTGTACACGGATACACCTTAATATTCAGCGTTAGACTTAAAAGAAAATTAACCCAATAAATGTATTATTTACCTTTGTGATCTCTCACTTGACCTAATGTTTTTCCTGCTAGTGCGCCCTAATGATATAATTTTATCGTTACCTAGTGTTATTTCATCATGCTATTCAACACTTACAATGGCTGCTCCAGGAACATTTCCAATAATAAATCCTAGTACAGCTCCAGCTCCAGCACCTATAATTCTCCAAATGTGTGTAGGGTGCTCCACTATATGCATGAAAAACAATTAAAACAGGCTTATTTTTTTTTTACCATCACTTATATTTAACAATACCATCGGGTTTTAGCAGTTCTTCAAAAATATCACCAAAAAGATGATTGGCTTGTGAAGTCGAAGCTTTGGGTCTAGCAGCATTAAATGGGGCAAAACCCTCTTGCTTGCTTCGAGACTTGTCGTAGGCCTCTCGGCGTGAGCGGTCACCCAGGATATAATAAGCATCAGCAACAAGTTGGAACTTTCGTGTGGCTTCTTCTCGATCTTGTTGGCTGGCGGTAGTAGGAAGTCGATCGGGATGATTGACCAAAGCTTGTCTCTTGTAAGCTAATTTTAGAATTAGCTTGGCATTAAACCTCTACCCCATTCTACAGTTTTTACCTTCACGAATTTCGTCGTGTGTACTTGTTACTGGTACTTGGAGTATAGCGTAATAATCTGGAATGCTGGCCATGTTAAATAAAGTGAAGAATAAATAAATAAAAAAAAAAGAAAAAAAAAGAGACGTTGCTTTATTTAAATGGCACGCAACAATGATGTAAGTGATGCAGATCATAAAAGGGTTTGTGACACATACCGGTCCGAAATGCAAAAAAAAAAAAAAAAAAAAAAAAAAAAACAGGAAAAAAGGAATAGGTTTTGGCCAACCAACTCAATGGTAAATACTATTGAGTTGTATGTAGCCGATTCCATAATCTTTTGAATGGTTAAAGTCCAAGTGCAGAAATAGCTGACAAAGATCCATTGTGATAAAATAGTCACAATCCGTATTCTGTTTATTGTTAGGTCTTAGCACAGTTTATATGTTATTGTTGGGCAACGCATACGGACTCACCATATGGATCAACCCTCGACAGCCATTTCTATTAACACTACACGTGATTATTCATATTTTTTATGTATCCTTGTCGCTTTATCTGTCACTTTAAAATCAATGCGGTTGTGTCATTGAACGTTTGCTTTCGACGACTCGACCTCTAACTATATCCTTCCTACCTAAAATCACAACAGGAAAGCCTTGCAAAAAAATAATAAGTTCGATTTAAACTGTGTATTGTCTCATCTTTCTGTATTTGGTGCTGTTATCCCATAACATTACTACCTGGCACGACTACTTTGGCAGCCTATTTAGGGGTTCTTTTATTTTAGGAAAGGCTGCTTAATCTACGAATAGCACAATGAGGTACTACAAATCATCAAGATAAACTATTTAGACGGAGACAGCCCTAGAGAGCAATACAACTTTGTTTTGTAGATTGCTACAGATTAAAAACTTGTTTTACGAGACCACTTGAAAAAGGCTGGGTTCACTCAGTATATTTAGCTGGGCTCGCACTTTCACGCAAAAGGTGGTTAAGCCTAAAGCCTAACCAACGTCACAGTTGTCGTGATCATCAGACACCACAAAAGGTGTTAGTTCATCTAGACAGCAGTACGGTTGCCATGGAAGTCGGGGTCCTTTATTCGTCCAGTCTTGGTTGTTTTTTGGTGCATCTATCAAAGTCTGCGCTTTGTCTTTTTGATGAAAGATTTGACACAAGAAACCTAACTTTCTTCACTGCCCTTGCTTGGGGATCTGGTACAAAAGGCCTAACTCACTTTAGACTCTTTCCTTAAGGCGCTTGATTGAACAAGCCTTGTTATCTGTGGGGTCATTAACCTTGTGTTTAGCTGTTACGGGTTGGTCAGTATCTTGAAAATTATCAAAATTACTGTTGTAATCCTTTATTGTGTTTAATATAGTCGCTGATTAAGTGGATGCAGCGACCATATTCGAATCCCCTCTACCTTTAAGTGTCACTGGTGATGAGAATGCAGACTTCAACTGAAGTATTGCCTTAGAGGAAGGCTTAACTGCAGTACTAAAGGGTTCGGGTAAATACATGCAACTATTGTGTAATGTAAGGACACCTGCTGATTTACATACTTTGTTGTATAGGCCACACTTGAAATCAAAACCAGCGGGTGCCAATTTGCTTTTGTCAGTCGTGTCTTTACTTTTTGCTGGCCATGTCGAAAACATAGGGTTTGGAAATAAAGATTCCAATCTGTGGTGTGTGTATGTGGTTTTTTTTAACTCACCTTTCTGAACATTCACTTTGGACTTTTCTGCTGCTGTATATTCGGTAAAACAGGTAATGTCAAAGATTGACTTTCGCTAATACATGCTAAAATTTCTACCTTGGGTGGTGTTAGTGTGTAAACAAAGCACAAGAGACAGATCTCAGGCAACTCACAGGTCCCAGGCAAAGACCCCTTTTCTGGATATTTCTAACACAACTACCTCGTTTAAACCAGCTGCTGATAATGCTGCGAAGAAAATATTCAAAGCTTGATATGCGCATATGAGTTTGTCACCCAAATACTCGCACTAATGATGGACTCCATGGTCCGTGTTTCAAGTCGGTTTATTTAGAGTCATTAAGCCAACAACCTAAGCGAATAAAAAATATACTAGGCGAATTCCTCCTTTGTCTTTCTTCGTGTGAGACAAGAAAAGAAAAAGATGCACTAACTTTGCGGATCAATTTGCTCACTCTTAGGTTTTTTTTTTTTTTTTTTGCAATCTCATCTGTTGATCATTTTATTCTGACGTAAACCAGTGTTTTTGCATCATGAACAAGTAGAGAAATTCATTTTCTCTTTTTCCAATTCCTTTTAAACGTTAATCAAGTCTTTGAATAAGTGATTTTATGTTTAATTAACCACCTTTCATACACCGATGTGTGCTAGTTCAGCAAATTAATGCAAAAAAAGAAATTAGGCTTTTTTATTTTTAAAATGTGACGCGCATTTTTGCAGCAGGGGCTCGAATTTTAGTCTTTCCACTTTTTTTAGTTTGAATAAAATTTCCGTCTTTATTTATTTTAACCAGCAATATGCTTCGCTTATTGAAACCTAGCTTGAGATGGACGACAAGAAGTTATAATTCGCTTGCACAAGCACTTCCAGTCAGTGGCCAAAATCGCGCTAGACAGTCAGCGGCAGCGTTTCGACCCTTAGCACCGTTAGTCAGTCCACCTGCAGCAGCTAAAGCCAGTAGTCCTGTTGTACAAAAGCCAGGCAGTCGATCCCGTCGCGATGAAGAGATCAGCTCACGTTTTATTACTTTTGTGGATGAACAAGGGCAAGTGCATAACCGTGTTCGAGTCAGTGATGTTTTGAATGAGTTTGACCGGTCCAAGTATTTCTTGGTGGAGGTAGACCCTTTGGCTAAACCTCCTGTGTGTCGATTATTAGATAAGAAGGCGCTCTTTGAAAAGGAAAAGCAAGGTAAAAAGAAGAAGCAGACAGCACCTGAATCAGTATTGAAGGAAATTGTGTTTGGTTGGAACGTCAGTGATCATGATATGGAACACAAGTTGAATAAGGCTATTCAATTTTTGGATAAAGGAAATAAGGTTAAACTTGATATTGTCTATAAACGTGGTCAAAAACGTGTTGACAAGGAAACCCAACAACAAGTGATTGCCACCGTTTCTAGTTTAATGGAAGACTACAAAATAGCTAAACCACCTGCTTTTAATGGTAATAACTGTTCTATGCAATTCGAAAGAAAATAACTCTTCATATCCCCACACACACACCCTTTCCCTTCTCTCTTTGTACACTTATCATTATATTATATAAAAAAAACATTTTATTTCTTTCTACATGGTGGCATGAACTGCCTCTTGTGTTTCGTTACGAATTTGATTCTTTTCTCTTTGTTGAGCAAAGAACTTTTCTAATTGGATAGGATCGATAGGGTAAGTATTTTGGGGTGCAGGAAATTTTCTAGTCTTGACTTCTTCATGATACTCTCTTAGAGCATTAGTAATAATTTGATTCAAGTTACAGTATTGTTTAGTAAATTTGGGTACAAATTTATCAAATAAACCTAAAGCATCATTCTGAACCAAGACTTGACCTGAGCATTGTACACCTGCTCCGATACCAATGGTAGGTACCTTGAGTTGTTCCGTAATATATCCTGCCACTTGTTCCGGGACTGCTTCAATTACCATACCAAATGCTCCAGCTTCTTGTACCGCTAGCGCATCCTTTAATAAGGCTGTGGCCTGTTTAGCGGTCTTTCCTTGTACACGGAACCCTCCTAATGAGGATTGTCTTTGAGGTGTAAGTCCGATATGAGCAAGTACAGGAATACCCACACGGGTGATACGACGAATGGTTTCTGCCATTTCCTCACCGCCTTCTAATTTAACGGCCTGTACAAATGGAGTTTAAATTGTATGTGTTACACAAATGAACATTTAACTTACATCGCAATGGCCTTCCTTCATGAACCGAAGAGAGACTCTGACAGCATCATCAGGGCTGGCTTCATAACTACCATAGGGCAAATCAGCAATAATGAATGGAGCTTTACATCCTCTTGCCACAGCACGGCAATGATGCAACATGTCCTGGTGATTACGGTATGAGTTATAAAGTTCCTTTTTCCCCCATTGTTTTTTTTTTCTTTACTTACATCAACAGTGAGAGGATTTGTAGAGTCAAATCCCAAGCTGACCATGGCTAAAGAATCTCCCACCAGACAAAGATCAATCCCTGCTTGGTCTACCACAAGACCCGAAGGATAATCTTGGGCAGTCATCATGGAGATGGCTTCTTTACGACGATACATGCTTTGAATTGTCTTGATTGAAACTTTAGCCTTGCCTATAATTATTATTATTTTAACGGGGTAAGTTACACAAAGCCCTATTTAATATAAGCCTATTTTTTTTTTTTTTTACTTTGGACGGCTGTTTCCATAGGTCGGCTCGAGTAGCATCGATGACCGGTAAGACTCTTTGAAAAGGCTCTTTGTGCTAAGGTCTTTAATGTAATAGACATTTTATAAAAAGAGAGGAATAATGTTCTGCGCTTGAGTGAGAAGGGAGGGAAATGCAGCTTTGTCAGCCAGTTTTAATAGAAAAAAGAAAATATTTTTTTTTGATAGCCAGCTCGGTAACGTGACTGGTTTCATGTCAACGCTGTGTGTAACACCGTCAGGTTTTGGCGAAGGCATTCAACGCAGCATTCTTTATAAGTTAAGCCAACCGTATGTAGAAGGGGTGCTTTGTGTTCTCAATTGACAATCGAGTGTATTACAAAAGATAAATTATGCTTTGTTATTACAAAACCAGATGTCTATGTATGAGTTCGAATATAAAGAGTACTTTGTCTGATTATTAATTGACAGTTAAATACAGTTCAACATCACACTTTTCTAGTTTACGTACAAATAAATGCTCTGAATTGACAGTTTATAATAGAATGTTTGTACTAAAAGTATGTCTGTATTAAACAACTAAGCCTAGATTATGTAGGTGTCTCCGCTTCTTAATTGATATTTAATCAAAAGAAGAATGGTCTCTGCTCACAATTATAATGTACAGATGAGACACATTGAACAATAGCATAACAACTGGCAGTTTAAAGAGTAGATTAAAAGGTGTTCTGTTTATTAACAGTTAAAAATGTATTATAAAAATATAAAAAAAAAGTGTGTGTGTGTGTGTGTGAAAGAGGGTTATTATACAATTATATATATAAGAAAAAAAAAGGTATGAGGTTTATGAGAGTAAGGTTATTTAGAATTCGATATCATCTTGAGCAAACATGCCACCCAAAGCAACATTTTCACCTGCCGAGAAAGCAGGCATACCTAAGTAAGGACAGGTGGAGCATCTAAAGGCATCACCCAAAGTACAACTACCACAACCCTTCTTCTTTGGTGTAGGATCCACTTCGACAATTTCATCCTCTTGCATATCATCCATCATATCCAATGAAACCACGCCATTTGCTTCTTCTTCTGCTCTACCACATGTACAATTCTTACAAGCCTTTCTCTTTCCATCAGTCAATTCGCAATCATCAGGTCGACTCAAAGATTCTTTACTAGGCTTTACTCGATCCGATTCATCTAATAAAAGGTCTTCATCCTCAATATCATCACTATTCACACTAGCCCACACCACTGCTTTCTTGACGGTGCCAGTAGGCTTCTTTTTGAAATTTAACTTCATCTTTTGTCCTACTTCGTATGCAGGTTTCTTGGCTTCGATGTGTGTAATGCCAAATTTACCACTGAGTCGACTCACTCCTTGCTCAATCTTGGTGGTACCCCACAAATGAAAGAAGGCAGCCAGATCTTTATCAGAGACAGGTGTGACCGACTTGACTGTCACGTCTACAAAACCTGCCAATTTCAACATGGACTCTAAATCGCCTGATTGACGTGTGATGGGACAGATCGTGTTTGCCAAATCCACAAGTAACACAACTTCTTGCAACACAAGTTGGCCGCCTGACGTCAAGGTCGTCAAGTAACGAGATAACATGTCGGGTGTGTGAATCGAGACAGAAGGCGTAAACAAGTTGGAGTAAATCACATTGTAGCTTGACTTGTTCAAGGGAGCTTTTTATGAAAGAAAAAGGATGTCAGGGTTAGATAAGAAAAGCGCATGCGTTAAAGTAAAAAAAAAACAAGGATTACCTTCTGCAACACGATCCATCACCTCAAATGAAACTTGTCCAGTTTCTCCTACTTTGGTTTGAGCAGAGTCCTTGACTTGAACAAATGTGTTTTGGTCAACAGTTGCAGGTGCAACGAATAATGCCTTATCTCCAGTGTGAAGTGAATCAAATGACATTGTTAATGTAAGTAATTTTTTTTTAGTAAGAAAAAGAAAGATAGAAAACTAAAGAATTTTTTTTCTTTCCTATTTGTCAGAAAAAAAACGAGTCAACCGATTAATAATAAGATTTCATTGGCTTACATCATCTTTGCTTCCTTCTTGATTGGTTCCCGACATGAGGATCTTTTGTGCGGGATCTACTTTTTATTATTGTTGTGATTGTTTGATTTTACATCCTGTCTTTGGCCAAGCCATTGATCTACACACTGTTACAATTCTTCATGCTGTGGCAATGGCATTTCTGACATGGTCTTTTTTTTTTTCTTAACCATAGAGATAAAGAATGTAAGAGAGAAAAAGATCTAGTGTTACACACCCACCTTATCAAGGTTTCCGATAAGAGTTATCCAACCTATGAGGAAGACCCCGTACCCTTTTTTTTTCATTAATGTATATACTAAGGGTCATGTGTGTAATGGCCACTCATGGCTGTCTAAAATTCGAGATTTATTTATATACAGTGAGGACCGCAAAATTTTGTCACTTTGAGAAAAATTAATGTCAGCCTATAGCCACGACTTTCAATTTTTTTTTTTCGTTATCAGTTTTGATTTATGTATAGTACAGTTATCGATCGCTAAATAATTTCCTTTTACATTTCCATTAAGATCCATGATATCAAGCAGAGCATTCATGAATCCGATAAAGTGCGCAGTTGCCGTATCGATTCTGAACTATCTTGCGGGCTGCTCTCTTTATTATCAACAATATACTCTGTAACTGGCTCTTCTACAATAAACCAACCTAAATAATATTTTTTTTTCTCTTTGCTACTTTATTTTCTTGCTTGTAATTGTTACATGGAAGACGCTAGATGCATGTATAGCCTTAATCATCGTATGAGATGGGCTCTTCGTTTTAGTTGTCTTCAATATGGAAGACGTTCCAGTATCTGCTCTGGCCCAATCATTTCTGGAATTCATATAAAATCCAGCTTCATCGATAAACATATAGGACTTTAATTCTTAATTCGGGAAATGTCTAGACATCCGTATTTTTTTCACATAAGTCTTTACGTCGACTGGCATGCCGTATCGTCTAAACTTCATAGGATGATCGATTTTTGTTTTCCATAAAATACGCTTCACTATCCTTGGGGGGTTTTTTTTTGCAAATGTTTCTATTTTAAGTAAAGGCCCAAACATTATGGCTGATTAAAAATCATTCTGACATAAGCTCTTGTTTATCACTTTTTTGATTAAACCATCTTATTAGACTCGTTCACACACTTTTTTTCCCTTTTGCTTTTCCTTTAACATACTTCTCTTTAAATGAAAGTTAAAAGGTTGATATATAATAATTTTTGTATTTTTCAAGAAAGACTAAATTATTAGTTCTTTTTTTTTAAAAAGATACATTGCAATTCTTGTGGTATTACAGCTACGGCTAGTCTTTGCTATAGGATGGTCCCTTCCTTGGGTTTTGGAACCCATAGTAGGGACGGTGAATAGCAGGGGTTGCACTCTAAATGGTTTTGATTATATTTGCTTACTGGTCTTGGCCAGGATTGCTGTAACTGGTATAAAAAAATCCTTTTAAAAAAATTCGGAGGTCTAGACATTTCCTTTATTCGAAGTTGGTTTTTTGTAGTTCTAAGAGAAACTATATTTATGAAAAACGAAAAGCTTAATCTTCCTGGTAAGTATTTTCCTTTTCCAATCATTGTTAATTTGGTTTTAATTTCTTTTTTATTTAGAATTCTGGAAACAGCCTGAGAAAGTTTGGCGAAATATTACAAAGTACGACCTTCGCTACTATTACCAGAGTGAATGTACCTGTACCAAGGATGAAGCACACCAATCAGATCCCCAAGATATTCGGTACCTTTTAAAGAAGGCCAAAATCAATACTAATAGCTACAAAGTTCTTAAAAGCTGTGAATCGGTTGCTAAGATATGGCATATTAGTTCAACTATTTATGCAGGTTGCATGAAAATCATGTCAACAGCCACTTCTGGGACCATGTTGAGATCCAACATTTTTCACAGGTAAATTCGAATGAAATGCTAGTTGAGGTGAAATCTCTATTATAATATAATATAATTATCTTTTTGTTTTTATTTTACTTAGTCTCTACTAGCCCCAACTAAAAAAAGAAAGTAGTAGCATTACTACTCCAACTGAAGAGGGTAACTGGTGCCAATTATATTCGTTTATGTATTTGACAAATAATGTGAAATAAACACCAACAAAATTGGAGGGGATTTGCTTAAAAGAAAGAAATACTACCAACAATTATGGTGTATTTATTACTGGTATGATGGAAAAAACTATCAACAGAATTAGTGTCAAAACCCCCATTTGGTAGTTCCACAAGCTCACATCGACCAATATATTTGGCTATGCGTAGGGTGGAAAAAGCAACACTAAACAGTAAATTGGTGCTAAAACTACTACGCTTCCATTTATAGTGCAGGTCTCTGGACGATGTAATTTATGTATGTATATAAACGATAGAATGTTCTTGTTATAGCCACTAATAAACTCGTAGACAAACAATAGAGTCTGCACAAAAAGGAGGATCAAGACATGCGATTCTGTTCAGACATTGGCCGCCATGAGCGTTGGAAAAGAAGATTATGAAGCACAGATTTTTATTTGTTTATCAAACTTGTAAATTCACGTTGTATTATTGTTATATATCAGTTATATGATACTAATATTTACAATCATTTAGAATACAAAAACTTCCATCCCGAAGTCTCTTGTCCGCCACAACTATTCGTGAAACAGAATTGTGGAGCATTGTTTTTGATCCTATTCTCACAACATTGTTCTTTGATCCTGACCGTGACATATTAATTACTTTATTAGATGGTTACTACTTTTTTTTTTTGCATGATTTTATTAAAACAGGCGCTAATATTTGTAACATGTAGGACTAACGCTGTACCTGAAGATGATTGTGCCAGGAAAATAATCTGCGTACAGCCTGATGCAATGATCTGTGAAATCGATCAGCTTAATTAGGGTTGCACGATTGGTTATGGTGAAGCCAAAATAGCAGAGTCAAAACCGAATATTGCAGGTTTAGCCAACGACCTTTTGAGATTAGCAAAGTATGTTGGAGAATCCAACACAGGTGCTATTCTTGTTTTCCAGATCCATGGTATTAATAACATAAATTCCGGTTATTGTGTTGTGTGAGCTACGATTTTTTATACTGCGAATTTTTAATCTATCTCTTTATAAGGATAAAATTCCAAAGTTTATATCACTTAAAAAATGCCAGATAGTTCATTTTACACCATAGTAAAATTATTTGAAATGACGTTCCCAAGAAATCAATGTGTTTACAAACAGAAAAAATATTGGATCATTGATTTCCTTATATAAAGTATTTTGGACGGGATGTTGTGTGACAAAACAAGACGAAGCTGAACTGAAAGAACTTGAATTTTCGAGCTTTGCTATATCAACTATTCATGATATCAAGGGTGGATTCATGAATCGTTCGCAAGAATGCCCACTTGAATACTAAAGTAAGTATATCATACCGTCAAGTTTAATTGTAAACTGTTTTAACGACTTCAACAATAGCCCATAACTTTACCTACGCTTTAAATAACTATAAAGACGGTCTTTTCTTTTATATATGAAAAAAGAATTCACTTTTAATAAAAAAAAAAAGCCTTCAAGCAATATTAATCTTAGTCTGACTGATTTTTTTATCTTTTATTTTTCTGCGTTAAACAACCATTAATTTTTTGGTTACATTTAATTTTCTCAAAGTGACAAAATTTACCGTTCTCACTGTATATGAATTATCTTTTCGATGCTGATGCTGCTGGTGTTTCTTTAAATGCTACAGTTGCTTTCAAGACTGCAGCCACCATCATGTAAATACCTTCGCTTACAAACTCATGCAGACGATACTTTTCCTCTGCCTCTAAAACATACTTGATAGACTGTATACTCCACTCTTGTAACCTCTCTATAAAATGGTAATGTGCATTTATCCACATCAATACTTGTGCGATGTAACCAAAGATAAACCAAACAAGATCAGGAAGCGGGGATTTCTTGATCAGGATCGCTACAGTGACTGCTGTCTCCACTAGGGATTGTCCCCACTGCTTGAACTGATTCATGGCATGGTGTTGGTGATCCATAGAGGGTGGGCTCTCTCTCGCTACACTCACGATACCCACTTTTTCTTGTATACTCTGTAATTTCTCTCCAATTGCTCTTTTTGTATGCATATCGGTCTTGTCTAAATAATTAATTAAAAAAGATACGCGTTACAGAGAGCGAGTTTTTCTGATATAAAAAAAAAGTGATGGCTTACTAGGCAAAGCCATCAAGACTTTATCGACACCGGTCAAATAAATGTCTAATGCCGTGGATTCATGTCCTTGTTCGTACTCATCGGCAGCAATAGAGACTAATTTCATGCCTTGTGAAATACTATGTCGATCAATATGCCCCCCTTGACTAAACGTATGATCCTTGATTTTCTCCGCTAGTGCACTCATCTCTAATGTCCAGGACGTACTGGGTGTAGGAATAACAGGTGGATCGTAAGGTGGTGGTGGCGGAGAACTGTTGCTATATCGACTGGAATCAATCGAAGACGGCGGTGGTTGTGTGCGCTTCGACATATTTTCAATCTTGATGGCTGAATTATATAATAAAGATGACACCAACGAATTCATTGTATTTAGTAAAATGTGGTGGTAAAAGAAAGAGAGAAAGAAGATAAAAATCTTTTATTCTTTCTATACTTCAGCCTCAACCCGGTAATCAATTATATACATATGAAACGCATACACCCTTTTATTTCCCTTGCTTGTTTGTATATCAAGACTTTTTGTAAACTGTGCATTTTGATCAGCTGTGTGGGTAATATTGAAAAGCCGCGTATATCCAGAATAAGGTACTTTATCAGAGGAATGTTGGAGCGATAGCACGTCACTCACTCACACACATGATGAGCAAGATGTGTTTCAACTTGCCATTTATCTCACTTAAAACCACTCTGTGTGTATGTCTATAGGAAAACGTGGCTTCTCTTTTTTTTTTTTTTTTTTTTTTTTTTTTTTTTTTTTTTTTTTTTTTTTTTTTTTTTATTACCAATGCGTCAATATGTCAATTAAGAAAATCAGCCCCTCATTCCCAAACACAACCCGACGCTTTGGTGCGGGACAGATGCAGATTTTTTCAAGCCTTTGTTTATCCTATTACTTTAGGCTCGATGTAAAAAAAAAAAATTGTTACACGAACCACATGCTTTTATTGAAAGGCCACTCAACAAACAAACATACCGTCAATCGGACACCTCGTTGAAAAATATCGGTTACCAATATGAACTTCAATGAGTGCATTGGAAATAAACAAAGTCGTTCCTTTTTTCTTTTTCTTACAAACTATATACTTCATTCATATCCATCTAAAAGAAGCTTTCATGTAAACTTTATATCTCAAAAATTCAAGCCGTCTCGAGGTCGATCATCAAAATTCAGGTGACCTGTAACTAGATCAAGGTCGTAAATCATCCAATAGGCTCGATCTTACCTTAGATAACTACAGAAAAGAGAAAACTAGCTCTTTGCCACTGGAACAAGAGTTCATTTGGGGGTAACGGAGCGAACAACTTAACAATTTCAAAAATGAATCTATGTCACCAGTGTTAGTTGAATTTTTGTGTAGGTGTGTGGACAAAAATTTGTCGATTAAAAACCAGAATTACATATCAAAATGATACTCAAATATGTCACTAGTCCTGAAAACTCTTCCATCTGTAGAAAATGCTCAGATGTTCTGTTACTGTTATTATAGTAAAATCATGGCATCTTTTTTTTTTTCGGTCATTTTATACTGAACTACTATTTTTTCTGCGCAATAGACAAGTACGCTTATTTCGAGAAACTTTCAATGTACAATGGCCAGATGTGTAGGTTCTTACACGCAACCATCAAACTTCCAATTACACCAAGAACATTAGTGGCTTATATACAGAATACACCGAAAATCTTAGCTTGGCAACAAACAGTGGTCGACTACACACTTACACATCATATTATATATTTTCTTGTGTCCCGACTAGCGCCTTTCTCTTAATAGGGTCACTGTATTGCAGATATTATTTCTCAATGATAATGGAATTCAACCCATTCTCGAGAAAAGATCTCTTAGAGGCACTATACCAACCGGTTTTTCTTGCTCCTGTTAAACAGATTTCAAGGTATACAACAAAAAGTTGCCGAAAAGGAAGGATATCTTTGCCAGCAACAGGTTAAAGAATTAGTGGTTGATTCTAAGTAATTACGGACAGTGTTCACATGTAAGAAAGGACGAGTTTGAAGAAGATGGAAAAAATATTGAGTAAGAGTGGGAGGATCGAAATCCTAACTCTGGATTTCGGGCATGAAGTCTATAGATTACAACGAAGCAAAAGGTCATTTTATTCGATTTCACAGTAAGGTATCTCTCCATATTGATCAGAGGCTAAACTAAATTGCTTCGATAAATTAGACATGACGCTGTATATTGAATTGGCCTTTAAGGTACAAGACGGTCTTAGAAAAACGTCGTGCCACTATCGAACTGCCGACAACACCTGCCGAAATGAAAGCATGCTTCGACCAAACTCAGCTGCTTTTCTCTTGGACAATAAGTCTTTAATTTACAGTATCAGTTCTTGCTGATGTGCTGATATGGATCATTCGACAATTAATTCGTTTAGAACAAATACACGTGTCTCTTCTATTATAAACATATCACAACCAGGGATCTTTTCTGGAATTGAATTTACTTCGTTTTTGTGAAGAAAAGAAGGGTCGGTTACAATTGAGCGCCTTGTACGACACCAGCCAAAAATTTAACTCCATCAACAGTAATAAAATCATTTGTTTATTCCGTTTTAAGTGTTACTAGTCTTTGAAAAATAAAGTGCAAGATAAAGCAGCCTTTGTAAATACACCAAACTGATTCAATTCGATTTATCTTTGATTCATGAATTAGAATAAATTCAGCAGAGATTACTCCCTTACATAATCAAGTCATTTCGACTGAAGCACCTCCGATTCAATCTCTTTTTTCGAACACTTTTAAAAAAAGAGTAAGCGGGACTAATAAATGGTACAACCTGTCTAAATTACATCATCTAACAAAAAAAAAAAAAAAAAAAAAAAAAAAAAAAAAAGACCTTCTTAATTTGTACACCGAATGAATAAATAAACTCATCGATAAGCTTATTTGAAATAAACATGACTTAAATGACGATCTGAAACCTTTTGTTGTTGTTGTTGTTGTTGTTATTGAGCATTTATAACAATCAATTGTCCCAGATTACCGTTATTTTGCTTATTTTCTTGTATAAAATGGGCATCGGTAAATCATTTAAACATGTTTTGGTATAAAAAAGTGTACCTTGAAATAACGGCATCTTAACTTTTTAGACTAGTGATACCATGAGGGCCTTTTTTTTTTCTGAGATCAGCTGAGATCAGTCCATGATTTTATTACAATGAAAAGAGATCACAAATCACATAGAAGAACAAGTCGATGGTGTACTTGCCTTATATTCTTTTGCAGATGTTATCTGTTAAGTTAAAAAAAAATGAACCGTGCCTTCTTTTTTTTCTGCAGAGATATAAATCATTTACCGATACTTCATTGTTCATTTAAGCTATTACAATAATTTTAAACTACAACCGTGTTATCTAATATAAGTTAATTAAACATCCTAAACCCTTTTTTTTTTTTTCCAAATATCCTAATCCCCGATAGGGTTTCACCAACAACTTGGAAACCCAGCACAAAGAGGAAAAAAAAAAAATTCTGAATTCTGCATTTCCATACTCGGGGTGTGTCTCTTGTATCAAAATTGACCTCGGGGTCCCAGTTTTATTCATGTGATGACACTGTTGTATTACGTTTAAATCCATGACACAATTTCAGATAAGGAACAATTTTAGATAGAATACAGAGAAAGGAAAAAGAAAAAAAAAAGTTTATTAATATTATTTATCCATTAGTGACACATCTTTTTTAACGCTTCATAGGAGGAGGTCCTCCTTGAGGGTTAAATGGCTTGGCCGTGCTACATTTTAAGCATTGGAACCTAGACGCAAAATTATGGGAATTACACGATGGGCTATTTAACAAAGCATGTTAGTATCTTACACACAGCAAATCAAAAATTACAACTTACCAAATCCAATCGCCAGGTCGGAATTGAGCATTATGGGGTCCACTGCCGCCACCTCCGCCACTACCACCGCCTCCGCCACTTGGTCCCCCACTACCACCATATGCATAACCTCCACTTACACTACCACCACTACTATAAGAATAACCTCCGCCGCCACTGCCACTACCACCACTACCACCACTCGTACCTCCACCATAACCACCACCAGGAACTGCATATTGTCCACTACTACTATTACCATATCCACCACTACCACTAGTTTGAACGTACCCATATCCTACTGCTGCTGCTGCTGCTGCTGCTGCTGCTGATGCTCCGCCGGCTGCGGTTGATGTTGCTCCCGTAGGCGCTACAGCTCCACCATAGCCGCCGCCTACATTAGAGCCATAACCGGTATCTTGTCCATATCCATATCCAGGTTGATGAGGAGAATACTGTTGATGTCCTCCACCTCCTCCACTACTACCTCCGCCACCATTGGGGTTAGGTGTATGACAACGGAAACAACTATTACGAGAAGCGAAATTTTGGAATCCACAAGCAGGGTTAGGACAGTACCAATCACCGGGTCTAAATGTAATGTGATGATGAGGACGAGTACTACCGCTGTTACCATTGCCATAACCACCAGAGGGACCAGCGGAAGACATGGGAGGACCACCACTCGTATTATGTAAGGACATATTATGATGCTGTTGTTGATGGTGATGATGAGGTGCAGTATTGTTAATCTTATTTCCGCCGGGTTTATATCCACCGCATTTCTTACATTGCATACGAGAAGCATAATTATGGAAAGTACAAGAGGGGTTAGGACAAATCCAATCGCCTACACTGAAGGTAGGCATGGGAGGACCATTACCAGCATGAGGTGAGGGAGAAGGGTTCTCAGCATTACACTTGAAACAATGACGACGAGAAGCAAAGTTATGGAAACCGCAATTGAAGCAATTCCAATCTCCTGGACGTAATTGACGGGATTTGGCTTGCAGAGGGAACGAAACAAGCATATTACCAGCAGCATCAATCACACGAGAAGAACTAGGACAGACTTCAATGGGACGGTCACCTAGACAACGACCGTTTAAGGCTAAAGCACGCATGGCATCATGATGTAATGAAAATACAACAAATCCACTAATGCTAGGTTTGGAATTGTCCGAGGGTTGAATCATCATCATGGATTTGGGTCTTAATCCGTTAGAGGAGAACCATGCTTCTAACTCACCTTGGGTGACTTCAAAAGGTAATCCAGTCAAATGAATCACTTGAGATTCTTCCTTCTTGAATTGTTTGAGATCGGCATTTGTATCAATGGGATGCACAAAGACATCACTATGGCGAGACGCTGTCAAATATTTCATAATCTCCACTGTGGTCAAAGCTGCATTTAATCCCACACTTTGTCCTTCTTCGGTCACACGGTTCAAATGAAAGATCTGACACAAGTCGCGTAACGAGGTGGAGCGTAAGCTGACTTCAGGGTGATGTACTTGCCAGCGTTGAATCTCTTGCTTTAAATCAAACATGCGGCAAAAGGACAGATAGTTGGGTAAAGTGATGTTCTTATCGCGTGCTTCACGAGGTAATTGAATGCGAAGGACCCAGCCGCCATGCGTGACAAAGCAAAAGGTCTTGTTTTGAGCTTCGATTTCGGTCTGAATGTAATAGTCGAGTTGTGTCAAGGCATCCTTTAAAGTACCTGCCTCAGCAAGCGTGCTCCATTTGATACCGGTGACTTCAGTACAGAAGGGTGTTAATGGCGTACGTTCGGGTTTGACATAGATTTGTTGTTTATGGAGTACTTCCATGTTGGATGCATTCAACACCACAAACGACAATTCTACATGTCACACGTTAGTTTTGTATGTTTATTGAAGAAGATGGGGGGGCATGCTTACCAATGATTTCAGAATTCTCTTTGGTGACTTGAACAGCTGCAGGATTGGTGGGGTTTTCATCACAAGTAGCTTCCAAATGAAGCACAATTAAACGATCAAAAGGGACGACTGTTTCTAAAGGTACGACAGGTTCGTCTTTGACGGGTAAGGGTTCGTCTTTGATGGGTAAAGGTTCGTAGGCTTCCTCTTCTTGCTCCTCTACTTGTTCTTTTTCTCCTTCTTTTTCCTCTTCTTTAAAAGAAACAGGTTCGTATTCTTCGACGGCGGCAGCGGTGGTTTCTTGTGGTGAGCTCGCTTCTTCTCTAACTACTCGCTTATGAGGTTCTTCATCCACTTCATCTTCAGCCTTACGCTTTTCTGGACGAGGTAGCGTCGATTCCATCTTTTTTATGATTATAGGGTAAGGGGGAAATGAAAAAGAAGAAATTTTTAAGGTAAGCAGGGTATGCGTACTGTGTGTTCGTGTGTTGGGCGTGGAATAAGCCACATATACTTTTAATTTTGGCCCAATCAACGCAAGCAGCAGCTTTTGTGTCTAATACGCCCGGGGGTGTGACTGAGAGTAAGGATTAAAGGTTTTATTTTCATGCTTATTCCGACACTGGCGCGCTCACTTTTCTCAACACGCATACCGAAAATGATTAAGGACCCACTTGTATGGATTGATTGCGAGGTACGTGTTTTTATGGAAGAAAGAAAGGAAGAAGAAAGGCTTACAGGTACACCAGATGACAGGTCTCGATATTAGCAAGGATCACTTGATCGAGATTGCAGTCTTGATTACGGACGGTGATCTTAATATTGTTGCAGAAGTAAAAAAAAAAAAAAAAAAAAAAAAAAAAAAAAAAAAAAAAAAGTGTGGCATGACGTATGACAATTGATTTCTCACATATTATTTTGGGCTATAGGGACCAGAGTTAATTATTCACCAATCAAAGGACGTCATGGATGATATGAATGGTAATAAGAAGAAAACCAATTTTTTTTTTTTCATGCTAATTCTATTTTCGTTTATAGAATGGTGTGTAGAACATCACGGAGCTGTAAGATAAAATGATACTATAATATAATGCGTAAATAACTAATTAAAAGAATTTTCCAAACAGTCTGGATTAACACAACAGGTGCTCGATTCAAAAATCTCTGTGGAGGAAGCCGAGAAACAAGTGACTGAATTTTTAAAGCTGCATGTACCTCAAGGTGTTGCACCTTTAGCAGGCAATTCCGTTCATGCGGATAAAGTTTTCTTGTGTAAGGAGATGCCCAGTGTTGTAGACCATTTACATTACCGTATTGTGGATGTCAGTACCATCAAGGAACTCGCCAAGCGTTGGTATCCTCAGATTGCCAAAGGCGTTGTCAAGAAGGCTGGTCATCGTGCTTTGGATGATATCATTGAGAGCATTGAAGAACTCAAGTACTACAGACAGCATGTGTTTATCAAGTAAAAGGGAGAGATCTGACATTACTGTATATAGTATGGTGAGACAAACCAAAAATAAAGAGACGGGTAAAAAATTAAAAGATGGGGAAAATCCCATCTATCCTCGGGTGGGAGCGATTGGGTAACGGTAAATAGTGCGGGGGAAAACTATACTGAAACTTAAAAATTGGGCAGTCGCTGGGAAAACATGTGAAATATGGAAAAAAAAGCACTCTATTTTTAATAAAGTTGCCTCGGAGCGAAATGGAGTACACCTTTTAAGTTAAAGTGTCGCGCCTTTTTAAAAAGTGCAGTGTCGGTATGTGTTTAGAAAAAAGAAGTGTCGCAGAATTCAAGAAAAGAGTGTTGTAAATATAATTGTTTATTATCCATGTTAAATTTAATGATATTTAAAGAAGGCTATATTCAAAAATATGGCATTACTGACAGTGATCTAAACTTGCTGGCCAAAGTCGTACTATGAAGAGGTGAATAGCATTAATGGGTATGCATTTTAAAATGAAAATTACTAAGCTGTTTACTCTTTTAAATAATCTTTTCTGTAATTTCAAAAGCTGGTCATGACTAACAGCGCTTAGAACTATCAAGTGTCAGAAAGATCCACTAATAAAAACCCCTCTTATTTTAAGTCTACACCACTAAGCAGATGGTTTTCATGGTTACGTACAACACGCACAACTTGAAGGCTCTCGTGTGGAAATCCTCGGAACGCGCTCGAATTTACCAAAAGCAGCAATGAAAACTCCTAGTGATATTAAGCGCTTACCAAAATCAATTATACATGCTATCGCAAATTTGCAAAGATACTCAATGAAGTTTTAGATAACGCTATGTTAGACATTCTAGATGGAGAAAGAGTATCTGAAAGTTCCAAAACCGTGACCAAAAAACCCAGAAAGATTGTTTAACTCACCACAGGCTTCAGCTATTTATATATAATGCTAATACTTCTTTGTACGATGACTTTGGTATGAATTGGACGGGTACTATGGGGTGCATGTTCGCTGTCAAGCCAATTGATGATGTCTTTGTCATTAGAAGACTTTACACACTCACTCTACCCACATATATTGATATATTACCTTCACTTATTGATACTCTTCGCCATCTTTATTCATGGCATAATTATCATGTTCTTATCAAGGATATTGTTCTGAAAGCTCTTTCTAAACGCGAAAAAGAAAGGTTTTTTTTTTCACTTTTGTGCTTGGCATCGGTAGGGCATACTAAGTGCAAGCACTGAAAAAAAAGACACTAGTAACTCAAATAACTGTAGATGCTACCTAGTCATTTTTTGAAGGGTTTTGCGTGCTATTCCACTAGACGTTTTGATGACTGCCTTGCAGGCTATCCTATTTAATAAACAATTATATTTACAATACGACATCTTTTTTTTTTTTAAAAGCACGATACACTTTTCTTGAATTGTGCGACACACTTTTCTAATTAATAAGCTAAAAAAGGAACTAAAGTTGCAATCAGGGTGGGAAATTATAATGGAGAATATTTCCCCAGCGGGGAAGAAACACAAACATAACCTTATCGACCCTTGGAAATCACAGGCTGTGTAACCCATCAAGTATGCAAGAGATCAACATATTCAACATTAGTAATAAAAAAAAAATTATAGTAATAAAAAAGAATAGTGATTTATTAATAAAGTTGAAAAAAGGGGATTATGGAAGAAGAGAAAAAAAAAGAGATTATATATACAACTATAAGATAGTGTTGTTTGGTAAAAGATAATTTGGTTTGAATGGGGGAAGAGGGGGAAAAAAGGGGCACCGCCCCTGTAATAATAATAATAATAAAAATAATAGAGATTAAAAAAAGAGAGTGTTAAATTACTTGTAATTAGGTCCCTTCTCTTCAGTGTTGTCCTTGTATTCATTCTTCACGTTAGCAGCTTCGGTGTCAACAGCAGGTTTTTCTTTGGTAAAGACACCACTGTTACGTCCGGAAAAGTTACTAGGGAAACGACGAGAGCTGGGACGAGAAGCACGTTCAAGTTGAGATTGACTGTCTTGATTCTTATCATACATGGCAGTGGAACCAATATGAGAGGCCATAGACTTGGCATCTTCTTGAATATCTTCGGTAGCAAACAAAACTTCGATTTCTTCGAGAGATTTACCCTTAGTTTCGGGGTACCAGAGATAAATGGGGATCAAAAAGACAATATTGAGAAGACCGAATAACAAGAAGGTCCAATATTTAGCATATTCAAAGAGAACAGGTGCAATCATTGCCACAATAAAGTTACCAAGCCAGTTGGCAGCAGTGGACATGGAGTTACCCTTGGCTCTTAAACCAGTAGAGAAAATTTCAGAAGGATACAACCAAGCTAAACCTAACCAGGCAGCACCAAACACAAAGTTATAGATCATGACAAATGCAACAACAGTATTAGAGGCAGCTTGGTTACCAACAAGAGTAGTACCATCGGGAAGCTTGGTAGAGGTCTCTTCTACGAGATGTTGACAACCACCGACAATCAATAAAGTAGCAGCTTGACCGAGCAAACCAGCATACATGAGCCAACGACGACCAAGACGTTCAATAGTGAAAATAGCAGTAGCAGAACCAATGAAGTAGATAATGGAATCAACACCGGCCATCAACATGGCCTTTTCAGTAGACATACCAGCTTGCATGAAGACATCGGTCAAGTAGTAACTGATAACATTGATACCACCGAATTGTTGAATAAATTGACCACCCATACCCAAAAGTACACGATAACGGTTGTTCATCTTTCCTTTCTTGAAGAGTTCGAGATAAGAGGAAACACCTTCACGTCTTTCGAGTTCGATACCTTCACTGATTTCATTATGTTCGGCAATACAACGAGGATGGTTAACATCACCTTCAGACCAAAGACGGGCCAAAACCATCTTACATTCCTCTTCATGTCCATGGGCTTGCAACCAACGAGGAGATTCAGGTAAAATGAAAGAAGCGATACCTAAAATGATGGCGAAGACCATTTGGAAAGCCAAGGGGAATCTCCAGGCAAATTCACCTTGGACAAAGTAGAGACCATATTCGAGCCAATAAGCGATACCGACACCGACAGTTAACAAGGAAGCTTCAAAAGCAACATGAGCTCCTCTAGACTTGGGTGGGGATAATTCGGCTTGGTAGACAGGAATGGTAGCAGTGTTCATACCGTTTCCGACACCTGTAATGATACGAGCAGCAATCATCATACCGGAATTGACAGCAGCAGTTTGAATGATGGCACCAATACAGAGAATAAGACAGCCATAACGAATAGTCTTTCTACGACCTAAAATATCACCAATACGACCGGTGGATAAAGCACCAGCCATACAACCAATTTCGTAAAGAGCAACAATAGCACCCATCATGGGAGATGAAGGGAAACCCATCGTTTCTTTAAATTTATCGTTTGCAATCACACCTGACATGACACCCTGAAAAAAAGACAGGTTAGTATAAAGATAGATCAAATCGATTTATGAAAAGTGTGACATACTTGATCGTAACCAAAGAGTAAAAAGCCAACAGCGGCTAGTAGGGTCGTTGCCCTCATTAATGCGGCACCTTGTAAAGCCATTTTTTGTTTATATTATGTGAGATTAAGTGATTTAAAAAAAAAGAAGTGGGAAATATAAAGAAAAAAAGTATAGAAAAAAGAAGATAATATTTTCCCCACAATTTTCAAATAGGACGAGGTATTTATACTTTTTTTTTTTTTTTTTTTCTTCTTTTCCTTTTTTCGTTACATGCGTATAACCTTAAAAGAATATTCTGATGGGGAACCACGCATATCGGAGTGTAATTATTAATGTACCTTTTTTTTATATACATAACAAATCATTTTTTTGTTACAGGCGTCATTTGTTAAAATGTGACACAGACTACTGAGATTTTATGCTCATTGTTTTAGTATAAAGCTCCGTTCGAAGCTAGTAACCTGTCTGGGAATATCTGGGAAATAGATTGATTGGCTCCAGTGTACGTCATCTCGAATTTATTCACCTCAATTGATGTACCGTTCATTTTTTTCTATACTTTACCATATTCAAATATTTCTGACGGAATTAAAGAAAGTAAAAAAAAAAAAAAAAAAATTCCAACTTGTAAGGTGTCAGAACAGAATATTAGAGTTTCTGTAAAGACGCAACCAATCAATGCGTTTAGTCACTAAGGGAGCCATCACATGTTTTATAATATATGTAATGCAAATTGTGTGTGTGTATAAACATAACACAAAAACGATGATATAATTATGTTTTGTCTGATCTAGTACTTTTCTGACTATCTCATTTTTTAATTTAAGGTTCCGATTTCTTTGCTAAAAAAGAAAATAATAAAGAGAGGGGAATGATACCATATGGTGATCTTGATACATAGATTGTTGTGTTCATTTCTAAACTTGTAATAGTTAATGTTACTTTACCCTCGGGTTAATTTATGTGTGTGTTCTATTGCTTATCTTTTCTGTTCTGCTACAAAAAAAAAACCCTGCATCATATACAGTCCCCATGAGTTTCTATAAACTTTCTTGTGTCCGGGCAAGCATATGCAAAGCACTCCCTCTTCTGATGCGATCTTCCTAAACATGGACAATCTGTTATTGCCAATCGAGGTAGTCATGACGGCTCCTAACTTTGTAAAAAGGCATAGTCAAAAAGTAAAAGTGCGATTGGTTGGGCACGGTTGCCCATATTTAGTAACCTTACTCACATATGTAATGTGTCAAAAAAATAGAAAAAAAAACCTCACCTGTACACAAAAAATCACTTGGATAGAAAATCAACTTTATCTCTCTCTCTATCTCTAATCCCTGATAAACAACATTCATACAATTTTAATTACAACCAAGTGTGGGTGTGTTTTTTTAGATTTTTACAGCCAAGTTTTAAAAAAAAATGTTCTATATGAAAAAAAGAAAAAAAAAATAGTAGACTGCGTTTAGACTCACATTTAGGAGGGGTTGAGTGTGATAAGCTGCATTTTATTTTATTTTTATTTTATTTTTGCACTATACAATTCTTTTTATATATATATATATATATATTGTTTTTATTACAATGAGTAACGATCGAAGAAAAACTTTACCAGTAGTAAAGATAGAACATGATTTAGATGAGGAGTGTTTACCCAAGCGCGTTTTACCCATTCTTGGAGCACCTTATTCGCCCGAAAGAGACGGGGAGCTCATCCAAGATGAGCCAGTGTCTCCATTAAACACTACCAGCATGCCCATACCTCAACCACCTTCTGCCATTCCCAGTTGGCTTAAACTAGCGGCCGAGGACGAAGAGGGTAAAGGTCAAGCCAATACAAGGGTACGTCATTCGGTTGGTTTAGACGTACCAGGCGCAGTGCATACCATCACCACACCAAGTAAGAAAAACATATATTTGAGCAATCAGCCCAATCCTTTACTAATGTAACCAAATAGAATTAAAAACAGAACGTCAATTAGATAGTAAACTTGTCGTCATTATGGGTAACATTTTTTATTTTTTATTTTTTTTTGCATAATTTATTTACTTAAAAAAAATCTTTAGTCGGATTGCCTGCGCGTGGAAAAAGTTATCTTGTCAAAAAGCTGAGACGTTATTTAAACTGGCTTCAGTATGAAACCAAAGTATTTAATGTGGGTAACATGAGACGTGTAGTAGAAAACTCACAAGACCAATCTGCCAATTTCTTTGACCCAAATAATCAAGACATGAAGAGAATACGTGATGAAATTGCACTGAGTGTCCTTGAACAATTAATTGGTTGGTTAAAAGATGGCGGAAGAGTTGCTATTCATGATGCTACAAATTCAACGCGTGCTAGAAGGTACGTAAGGCCTACTATGGATGACATGATGTAATGAAGAAAAAAAACTCACCATTTTTTTTTATTATTATTGTTACTTTATAGAAAGTTATTAATTGATAGGTTAGAAAGAGAGCCAGAAATTAGAGTGCTGCTAATAGAATCTGTCTGCACCGACCAAATGGTAAGCTGGCATGGAAACGTTCATATCGCATAAAAGTATTCACCTCCCCCATCAGATGCTGGAGCGTAACTTTCGATTGAAATTATCAGGACCAGATTATAAAAACAAGGACCCAGTGGAAGCATTAGCTGATTTCAGATCTCGTGTAACCAATTACGAAAAAGCATATGAACCCATAGGAGATTGGGAAGAAGCACATGATATTCAATTTTGTAAATTGATCAATGTTGGTAAAAAAGTCATTGCTTACAACATTTCCGGTTATCTATCTGGCCAATGTATTTTTTATCTCATGAATTTCAATTTAAATGGTAATATCTCTAAATTAAATACATTACTATCAATTGTATTGATTTTTTTTTTTTTTTTTTAATTAGAGCGTCAAATATTTGTGACCAGACACGGGGAGAGCGAGGATAATGTCACGGGACGCATTGGTGGTGATGCGCCATTATCCGAAAAGGGACAAAAGTTTGCAAAGGCACTTGCCAAATTCACACAATCACAGCGGATCAAATTTGCTTGTGAATTGGCTTCCAAAGCCACAGAACTGGAACCAGAGGAAAATCAAACACATGCAAACGCATTACAGACAACTGCAAAATTTTGTAACTCTCAGTTTACGATCTGGACGAGCATGTTACAAAGATCTATGCAGACTGCAGAGTATTTCGATCCTGATGATTATGATATCAAACATATTCGCTTCTTGAACGAAATTAATTCCGGTGTAAGTTAGAAAAAGATGTTATTTTTTTTTATAATATCCCTTCTAATATGATTTACTTTTACCATAGATTTGTGAGGGTATGACATATCAAGAAATTCAACAGAAACATCCTGCAGAATATAAATCAAGACAAGCAAACAAATTGTTTTATCGCTATCCGGGTATGGGAGGAGAATCCTACATCGATGTCATCCATCGTCTCCAACCCATGATTGTCGAATTAGAACGAATGACTCAATCTTGTTTGATAATCACTCATCGCGTGGTGATGCGTATTCTGTTAGGCTATTTACTGGATTGGACTCGAGAAGAAATGCCCCACATGATGGTGCCTATTCATACGTAAGTTTCTTTTTTTATTATTCATATTATGCAATGTTTATTTTTAACTCTTAAAAAAAAGTGTCTATGAACTGCGTCCTAAGCCATATGGTACTGAATTAAAAAAATGGCAATACATGGAAGATACAGATTCCTTTGTCGAATTCTAAAATTAACTAATTATTTCATAACTCTTTCAAACACATATATTCAACTCACTGCATAAAATGTATCATAAGCACAACTTATTTTATATCCAATATACACACTCTTCAATTCTTTTCGGCGTGATTAAATAATAATCTATTGTAATTACATGATTAAAATATTTGCATGTTTGGCTCCTCACCGCTCTTTAATCTTGGATATATCGAAAATCGTGATTTAACGAGTTAGCCATTTCTTTGTTGTCGTGTCTCGTGAATCGGATTGTCTTTCTTCTGAATGCTGATATTATATAGGTATAACTTTTTTTTTCATCTACCATCTTCTGTGTCGCAATGGTCATAAAAACAAAAAGAATATAACGGTCGAAATAAAACATATGGATTCCGTCTGCATGTACAAAAGCAAATGACCTTATTATACACAAAAATAAATTTAGCTCTAATGTTTTATTAGTAGATTTAGAATAAATAAGAGCAACATAAAAATCATACTTATCTGCCATCTCGGTATAGACTAACTACTACAGCATCACCGCCTAGTTGTAGCATTTAGAGAGACAGCGCCAAGAAATAAGCACACATTTGTATTGCCTCTCCCTTTTTCTTCATCCCTTTTTGTTTCGACATGGTGCTTCCCAAGACGCAATCGATCCCGGTGCATAAAACGCAAAAAGGAGTTATACACCGAATTTAGAAAAGCATTGCATATTTACATGATCCTGGAACTGGGGCTGCTTTTGATTGTAAGGGACAATATCACTAATGCGGGGTAATCTTTATCAGCGACCAACCCAAGTATATTTTCATACTCGTTTTCGGCTCATTTTTCGGCTGGGATGATTATAAAGCAGAACAATTCTGCTAAACACTGTGTAACGGAATGAAATGGTGCCAAGGGACTTCTTTTTCTTTTTAAACAAGGTCCATGTACATATAAACCTCGGGATAAACTAAATTATGTTTAAAGGCCAACATGGGCTGATAATGTTGTTCAAGAAGAAACTTGTAATACAACAAATGAAAGAAAAAGGAGCCCAGACTTGTTTTTTAAGCTATAAATTGTGATTTCAGTAACGGAACTAGCGGTAAACATGGGGAATTACTGAAAACTGATTAAAGCTGCAATACAAACATTTAGCAAATTCGTGTAACCGTCATGTTGACTCACATTCTGTCTTCAATTAGGTCCTTATGGCTCATCAAAGTGGAAAGAAATACTCTCTCGAATCATTAAACAATAGATATCTATCTTTACTTGTTAAAATCAAAGATTACGTATATTTGAAAAAATTAACATTTTTTTTTTAAATAGCTGACAACGAAAAAAAGTTTCAAGTCGTCATTCATGCTCCACTCTCCTCCTCTATTCGAGCGCCGTTGTATCACCAAAAGACCTCAAGATGGTCAGGTTTAACTTTTTTGAAAATGTGCGTCTAAAAAAAAGTTTTTTAGAGAGGAGTTAAAGTTGGAAGAAAGGGAAAAAAAACGAGAATCTTTTACTCGGGAAAAAAAAAAATTAAATCAAGTACAACGCCACTACTAGTAATTTCATCAATGGAATTAGCATAAGTTACGGGTTTCCCCACAAACACACATGTTGAATCTCATGAGTCTATCAAAGGTATGACAAAAGAGTAAGACAAAACCAAACATCAGAAAAAAGAAAAAAATAATTTTCCTCCGTACTTGCCTCATGCTGCCCGAAAAATGATGTAACATGTGATTTTTGGTGCATATTTCATTAAATGTTTTTTTTTCACAAGATAGAAAAACAGAAAAATTGTCATCGCTTGTAATTATAGACCATCATTGTCATCATGTACAATACATTAGCCGCTTACCAACAGATAGGATCGACCTTTAAATAAAAGTTCAGCCCTTTTTATAAAATTACATAGAGTTTGGTTGAGTGGTCTACACTACACACGATCAATTCACATTTATGATTTCGAAATTACGTAATTAAGACTCAACAGTGAAGATCTGCGTAACACATAAAATAGGAAAAAACAAAACCCTATTTATGGGCATAAATAAATACTTTGACTAAACATTGATTCTAAGCCTTCGGCTTTATATGATTATTACAGCAATGTTTCTTAATATTTATTAGTTGCTCTAACATAGTATAATTATATTTAAAAGCTTTATTTTGTATTTGTACATTTTATGAGGAGCGCAGGGAGAAGCAGGGAGGTCGTTCCCAATAACTTATGTTGAGTAGCGGTTTATTGTAGACTCAGATTTGAGTTTTTTCTTCAGAGAGGGCTGATTCAGCTGCCAGATATGACTGAAAAGTACTGATAGCATGAGCGTTAGAACCATTGGAAGTTCCGATAGTAATATCGTAATAACATATACAGTAAGCGTATCATAGTATTCTAATTCTTGAGTAACCCAATATATAGTTAAGTTTGCAATGATTGATACTGCATAAAGTAAAGTGGAAGCAATCAAGGTCTTTTTGGCCTTCCCTGAGCTTAGCGTATTCCAATGGAGTGCGACAAATAATAAAAGAAACATAACAAACACACAATTTCCGCATTTTATAAAGTGTAGCATTTCAGAATTTTCATAATTTCTATAGTCATGGTATGTTTCGCTTTCCGTGCCAATATGTATGATTCCAATGATAATTAGAATACAACTCCATAAATACGCGAAGTAGATAATCCAGGTGTCGGGTTCTTTACTCCGGGTATTGAGTCGTTGGTAGACCATCAGCCCCGGTACAGCAACAAGTGAGCTATGGATGAGAGTGAGAATTTCATTGGGAATAACCACAAAGTCGTATATGCTATTATCGTAAGCTGTCATGAAACTCATGATCAAGCAGATTAATGCAAATATAGCGACGATAAGAGTGATATATACAACGGGTGATCTATAAACTGGACTTTTTATAATGCAAACTATAGCAACAATTATTAAAAGAGACCATAAAACGAGCGGCGCGATAACAAATAAATTTGAGGAATAATCAATAAAATACCACATTTTTGTAGAATAATATGAAAGAAAGGAATATTACTTGGTGATGGGTACTTTTTATATAAAAAAAACAATGATATGCGCTACTTAGCCTCATCACGATGGCAACTGAAACTTAATATCGCACTCACTTTTAATTGTGCCACACAAATATTTAGTATGACTTTTTTTTAAAAAAAACCAAATCACTTGGTTTAGTCATAGTCTCGGAATAGGACAATGCTTTTTTTAGATACCTCATATGTGGCTGGATTGAAAGAAAGATACATTTCAAACTTCGATAATATCACTCTTTACAAAAAAACTAGTGATATTAACTTGCAAAACAGTCGATTTATTGCATAATAAAGTTAACAAAATACGCTACATATGTTTGTTATTCAATGTCTACTGACTACACGACTTCAAAAGTTATTCGTAATACCTATTTCTTAACATCTATACTTTTAAATGAGTAATACCAAGTGGGTATGTACAAATATAAGGACATTTTTTTATGCTCTTATATAAAAAAATGAATTGTTCAGTGTCCAGAGAAGGACATATAAAATAGCAAACATGACAGGTGAAACTGTTGTTAACTAGGCCAACTATTTAGAAAGTAAGTACAAATTTATGCCAAGCAGATAGGAAATTTCTGACAATTATACAACGGAGATACCTGGTCAGTCCGGGCGCAGATCCAATATATCTCTAGATAGCATCTATAGAAAGTATATAATGTCAATATAACTTATATTTATTGTGGCAGATGTAGTATTGCATGCTAATCCAGACAAAGTAGGCCTGATAGTAGCATTTAAAACCAGTTATTTGTACCTATAATAACTTTTAGGTGCATAATTAGAGTTCTTGTCACCAATAGTCCATATAATGGGTCAGGATACAACTCATCAGCCATTGAAAATCAAAAGTAAAATAGAATGGAATGACTGATTACCCTAATAAAAAACGTTTAATATCTCTATTAAAGTATAATTTTCTCTCTGCTCAGCCTGATTATAGTAGGACAATCATTTTCTCTGTACTGTGCTACGCGATACAATTTTAGCAGTAAATTTATTTTTAAATCATACCTTAGAGAGCTGTCATGTGCGCAATCAAAAGTATTTTTATAACGTATGTCAGATGTAAACCGTATTTATGATAAATACTTTCAATAATAACATGGAGGTATTTTTTACAGAAAAAAAAAAAAAAAAAGCCTGCAACCATGCATTTATTTACACTTTTTAAAAGTACGCTTTGACCCGGAACCAGAAACTGATTCATGAAATGATTTTTCATGAATATTATTTTTATTTTTATATACAAATTAATCTTAAATGGGTCTATGGAATTTAGGTATCGCATTCTTATTTTCTGTCATAAGTTACACTTGTAAAAAGTTATCGGTTACATCACTAGCTTCAATATCGTCATCTTCATTATCGTCATCCTCATCTTCAAATTCGAGTTCGCTCTCAGATTCATCCTTTTCATCATCCAGGGGTTTATCCATTGACCAAATATGTCCATACAAAACCGAAATCACGACACACGCAAACATTGGGCATTGGACAAGCGCTACTGATATAGGGTCAAACATGAAATAGTGGGCATCATATGCAACTGAATAGAATATTTCGGAAATCATGTAAAACAGGGTGTACATTAACAAAGTAATTTTGGCTTTTTTGGGGAGTCTTTTCCCATAAATCTTGAGAAGTAATGCAAGGACACCAATAACACCGTAATTGCCACGGGTAATAAACTGACGCAGACTGTCAGATTTAGGAATATCATAATTATTTATACAGGCAAATACAATGCCCGCAACAGTTACAATAAAAACATAAAGGAATCCTAAATAAACAGCCCATCTACCAGATGTTTTTTCTTTCTGTCTGGAAATACGTTGGTAGGCAATCAATCCAGGTAAAGCTGCGAGTGAGGCATAGAGACATTTAAAAATATTTACAGCGACTTGTATTTTGACAAAGGTGTATAAAGAGTGTCCAGTGTATCCCACTGTATTCATGATTGTAGTAAGCAATCCAAATACCGCAGGTAACAAAGCAGCATACACAATTGGTGATCTATATAATGCACTCTTGATTATGCCATATACAATGCCAGTCAATAGAATAAACCATAAGAGAAGTGGTCCTACATGCGTAAGGGGTAAAAGAGGCATAGCTAAAAAAAACGATTGAATAATCGGATAGAAAAATGTTTATTGATTACGCCGAAAAGGGATTTTTATATTTTTCTTTAATCATATCCCATCCGTTACTTAGCCACATTATAATGACACAATAAGGATCTAGATATAGCTATAATGTGACACAAAACACATTTTAGCAGAAAATGTGGGCTGTAATTGCGAGCATATGACCTTTATTTTTTCCTATTATTTGGCTTTAGTATTACCGCTTTTTAAGATATTTGAATATTTTTTTAAAACTTTAAAAAAGCACAGAAATAGGGCCCATATATTTAACATTACATCCTTTGGCTTTGTGGCGTAAAAATAGAATACGTTGTTTATTTTCCATTTACTGTTTGAAACCACTCACTTTTATACAACACCAAAATGATTTTTGAATTTGATTTATTTATACAATGCACATTTTATTATTTGGAATAATGTCAAAAAGTATGTACATAATTCTTTATTAAGTGTATGTATTAAAAAAATGATCTCTTTGTGTTTGTTTGTTGTCATTAATTACACAGCAGGTAAAAAGGCATCCGTAGCATCATAATTGCCTTGATCGTTATTGTCATTGTCGTTGCTATTGTCATTGTCATCATCGCTGTCAGCTTCATCTTCGAATTCAAACTCGCTGTCTGAATTACTTTCTAATAAGATTCCATCCATATTCCAAGTGTGTGCATACAAAGTGACGATTATGAGAGATAGAACCCTTGGTAATTGGATAAGAGCATATGTTATGCCATAATACGTATTAACAGAAATTGCTTGAACAAAATTGATGACCAAAAAGGTAATTTCAGAAGTTAGGTAAGCCAAGGTGTACCAAAGCAAAGTATTCCTAGCTTTTTCATTCAATTTTCTCCAGTGGATCGGAAGAAGTAATGTAAAAACAACAATAAAAAAGCCATGGCCACGGGCAATAACCGAAAATAAGCTATCAGGTACAGCACCGTCGCTAAAGAAATCTGCGAAGAAGGTAGCTGATATGTCCAGACTGATTAAAAAAGAGACGTAGTAGAATCCCACACGGACAAGCCATCTACTGTTTTTTTTGCCCGTTTGTTTAGACAGGCGTGAATAAGCAAGCAGTGCAGGCAAAGGTAGTAATGAGGTACTAATATTTTCAAACCCAGTTTTAACATCTTTAAGGATAGTTATGTGATGCATATTATTGATCCAATCCTGGATATTTGTAATAGCTGACAATAGTCCATATAGAGCAGGTATAAGAGCAGCGTATACAATAAGTGTTCTATATTTTGCATTCTTGATAATGCAGGCAACAATACCAACAGTCAAAAGTGACCATAGAATAAGTGGCACTACAAGTCTATATTCAAAATCGGGCATTGTCAAAAAGAAGAAAATAAATAAGATGAAAAGAGAATGGTTATATGACACACTTGTCCTTTACATATAAATATTAATATGAACAATGGTGTATTTTTCATGTAGCATTGAATAAAGTCCCTCACTGCTTAGCCTCACTACAGTGGCACAAGTGTATGTGGTTATACCTATATTTGTGCTACGCAATACTTTTTTAGCATATCTATTTTTAAAACGGATTGCGATTGTGAACACAGATGATCTTTTTTTTATTTTTTGCATTATTTACGTGCTAAACGTGGCTCAGTATGACATCTGAATATTGCTTTAAAAGGTTAAATGTATACACTAGTAAAATCCTTTACATGAGTATCTGGTTAATAGCAGTCAACGTACGCTCAATTGAAAGCTGTGGAATTGCATTCAAGCATCAGACTTATCCGGAACAATTAAAATTTATTTTATTGTTTACTAAAGTCTTATTCTGACCCGAGATTTAATATTATACTTTATGAAGATATTTGATTTTCGAATAATTATGCACTTGTTTATTTATACAGTAATGTCAATAAGGTATTTATATCGAAGGATATCTAGTGTGAAACATGTACATGTATATTCAAAAGGGGTTGCTTTGTATCTGTTTGTTGTCGTTGATCCCTCGAAAGAAAAAAACGTTTTCCCGTGTATTATATTTTTTAAATCCTTGTACCTGGTAGCCTTAAGACTTGTTTTCTTCGTTGATTTCTACTTTCTCGTCTTGCATGGGTCTCTTCATTGTCCAAAGGTGTCCATATAGAACCGAAATCATGAGAGATAACACCACCGGAAATTCGACAAGAAAAATTGAGACAATGTCTGCAGGAAAATACCTTCTAGCTTTATAAGTTGTAACCAAGTAGAATATTTCTGAAATGACATAAGCTAAGGTATACAGAAGTAAAGTAATCCTGACTTTTCCATGCAGCTTTTTCCAGTACAATGCAAGAAGCAATAGAAATATAGTGATAAAACCGCAATGTACACGGAGAACAAATCCAAAAATTTCTGGAGATCGGTATTCTTCTACAGCAAAAAACGTAACTATAACACCCATGGCCACCACCGGAATCATATAAAGAAACCCAAAATAAACAAGAAAGCGGCCGGTTTTGTAGCCTATTTGCTTAGACATGCGTAGATAAGCCATCAGACCAGGTAAAGATTCAAATGAAACACGCAGAGAATCAAACCCAATTGCGACAGGCACTGTGTAATAATAATGATCTGAGCTAACGATGTTCATGATAGCATACACCAATCCAAATAGAGTAATCGTAAGAGCAGCATAAGAAATATTTGATCTATAAACTGAACTCTTGATTATGCAGAATACAATTCCGACTGTCAAAAGAGACCATAAAATGACTGGTCCTATAAACCAATAGTAAAAAACAGGCATTATCAATATATATATAAAAAAAAAGTAAAATAAGATAAGAAGAAAAGATTTTTGAACACATGCATTTTCTTTTAAATACAAGTGTATATCGTTACAATTAGAAGTTAAACGCTTTCACTGCTTAGCCTCACTGTAGTAGCACGATAGTGTTTAGTGTTTGGGTGTATATTGTGCTACGTGATACATGTTTAGCAGTAGATTTATTTTAAGACGACATTGTGATTCTGAGGGCTTTATCTTCCTATTGATGTGACATGATTGAGGTATTATATATAGAATTGATGCGGTTGATAGTTACTGGAAGAAAGGTATCTGTGAAACCGTGCCTGACTCGAGTATTATCACCGGATTTGAAATTGCCATTAGCCGTCCGATTTCGATTGTACTTCCTACAAATACTCTCAATGCAGCGCGAAAAGATTTTTAGAATGATGGAAATAAAACAATAGGGCTCACGGGCCAAAAGGTAAATATATTTCATCAAGTTTGGTGCTAGTGCCACCGAACTCTGCCTAAAAGGTAAGCACAATATCCAAAAGTCACATAAAAGAGAATCTATCTAACATCTATCTATCCATCAAGACGTGTGTTAATAAGTAAACAGTGCAGGCGAAAATAGCAACGAAATATGCAGAAAACAAAATAAATCTACAACAGACCTTATATAAAAAGAAGAGTCTCAGTAAATTTAGCGAATGCACAGTGTTCAAGACAGTCAAATAGAGTAGCGTACGCAACCAGCAGTATTTAATATGTACTCTTGATGGCGCGGAATGCAGCACCGTTGTCAAAGGGACCACGAGATGAGTGATTCTAAAACAGTAGTTATAAATAATCTTATAAAAATAATACATCAAGCTCTTTATAGAATGAGCTTTGTCTTTAATCAGAGTGTGACAATAGTGGTTTCTGCATACATCTATTGTGCTACATACTACTTTTTTTCTAGTAATATTTTATTTTTTAAAACGAACAATGCAGGATTCTGGCTGAGTGCCATACAACAGCTTTTATCAAATGTGGCGTTAGTAAGACATTTGATTACTATTCTAGGTTCAATGAAATCCATATCACAGAACCAAATTCATACTGATTCGCAGTATGAACAAGGAATCAAAATAAAACATGTAACCAAATTTATATATCTTATAACTATCTAGATCCTACATTCGTAGTATTACCCATGTTGATTAAAGATTGAATATTTGGCGGACATATCATTTGCGTACACGCAAAAGTATAAATGGTAAGGTATGACATGATTGTGATATCAGTTAGCATGCACGCAGCGCATGACAAAATCAGTAACAGATGATGACATCCAGATTGGTAAAGTAAGCAAAAATTAATGTAAAAAAAGGATATTGCCAGGCGAAACTACGTATATTATTTTTAAACAGTATAAAACGTTGTGTTTTTTGCAATTGAGTTTTTCCCAAAATCTTGGATGAGACAAGATCGACAAAGAGTTGGTGACGAAATAATGTAAAATCGTCATTCAACCAAGATTTGATACGCCGTTGTATCACCCCACAATCCCAAATATGGCCAAGCTACATTTGGGTACTTTTTTTTGAACGCAGCCCATTTTTTCAGTTTGAAGAGGAGAATGGAAAGACAAATAAGGTTACTTCAAATGAATATTAAACTATTTTAATTTTACGCTAAGGATTGCGGAGTATCTTCAAAAAAAAAAAAAGATCGACCATTATGTGCAGCGCGGGATTGTTTACAATTACACTAACCATCATTCAGTTTCAAATTTTTGGATGTTATAACATTGTAGAAATCAGATAAAATGTTTGGTTTCGGCAGAAGCTATCCTATTAACTCCAATCATTTGTAAATAAACAAAGGTCGTAAATACAGCAGACTGGACGGTTAAATATTAAGATTGATTCAGATTGTTTCGTGTCCTAATGGACAACCTCCTTTTTATGATAAATATATCTATTTCCCGTCAATCCCTAATCTACATAATAAATGTATACATTTTCAAACTTGAAACCATTCCAAACTTTGTCATGTTGTTCAATAAACAGTTTAAGCGATGATGACACCACCACAGTGGCAACTAAAGGGATATTGTTTCATCAAAATATCAAATCAGGAGTTTCTGAATCATTTATAAATCACGCGGCTTCTAAGTTGTAGGGTTTCAGTACACATTAATAAACGCTTGATTCGGTCTTTAATTATATTTTCATAACAAAGAAAAGGCGAATTAATAGAACTCCCGTGTTTTTCTTTCTTTCTTTTTAAACATGTTCGCGGGATCTGTGCCGTATCTCCAGAAACACGACGCAAGTACCGACAAAAGCTTGCCTATATAATCAACGCAAGCCTGTTTATGATCACAGAAAGGGGTTTTTATGCCGCCCGAGCAAAATATTATTTTATAAATTTAAGGCTTTTTTATTTGTCTAGAATTTATAACGAGTTTGATTAATTAAGCGGTTGTTATATCTTTGTTCTGGAACGACACTTGTTTATTCCCGCTTGCTTATTAAATAAAGTCAAAATCGGATAAATATGTGTTTGATTAAAATTATGGGGTACTGCTGAGATTTTTTCCTCCAGTGGCATCTTTCCAGTTATTGCCACGGCCTTTATTTCGGTTTATTCCAACTAATACGTACGAAAAAAACAGATGTATAAGCAAAATATATTACAGTACCGCATTTTAGGGACAGACAAAGTGCACATAGCGGCAACATGAGATCGGGTATCCTAGCTAACATTGAGAATTAAAAACAAGAATAGTTTACTACTACTGATCAAAAACCATTAGCAAAGAGAGAAAAAAATCGTAGTGTGGATTCAACAATTTCATAGATATTATAACAATAGACGGATTACTTCTTATCGTGCAATATACTTTTATAACCGTTCGAAGTACTTAGCTCTTAATTTTATTTTTTATTATAATAAAACAATGCTTTTAAAAAAAAAGGAAAGGGGTAAAAACAATATGGGCTTTATTCCTGCCTACTAATAGCAATAATAAAAAAAGAAACCCAGTTGTCTTGATATGAGAAATGATCACCAACTATCTTATCGAACTCTTTTCCAACTGCCACAGCTCCTACCTCTAGTTCTTGTATCACTTGTTGTTGTTCATCCCAAATTCTTTCAGATTGGCAAGTAATTCAAACACTTTTACCAAATTGAACTTTCCAGCTTTAGGTTGTTCTCAAGCAAAAAAAGTTTCCTGAACTGAACTGAAGTGCGGAGTTACCTTCCATGGAATTTTATGTAATAAAAACTTCAGGAAACTTCAGGAGAAAAAAAATCCATCTGAAGTCTACCGAGTGAGTGATATTGGATTCGGCACCGAATGGTTCAACCATTACTGCAATTCCTCTATTCTCACTGATACCATATCCATCTAGTAGTTTTCTTTCGAAATTCTTCAACTTATAATCGTTGCTTTGTAACCACGAGCTTTTATTTTCTTTCGATTGTTTTTCGCACCATCTGAATGACATATTTCCATTATGAATCGCAAAGGTTTTTAAAATCGGGATAATTACTTCACAGAAAAATGTCCGTTTGTCTTCGGAATCAACTGGGATAGTTAGATACTAAACATTTATAGTAATAGTCAGAAAGTATATCCTATATTGCCTTCATAAATGGTTTAGATTCTTCCTCCCTTAAATATTTCTTTTTAAATGCATGATTGTCATATAAAATGGTATGATTCAAGAACTCAATGGCACCAGGAATACGTTAAAGAGAAGCGCTTCTTTTTCATTTTTCTTGCTTCGTTAAAAAGTGAATATACAAAGCTTGTTGATTTTTGTTTGGTGGAGAGATACTTGATATCAGCGATTATACTTAATACTTCATAATCTTCTTGTCATGATCAAGTTACACTTTATGCCACAACTATGCTTTATGCCACAACTATGCTTTATGAACAACCAGCTTTCCGACTCAATCTTTATCCTTGATCTGTCAGCTCTTTAAATCCTTTCTCATGATTCACATAAGCTATGACTAACTTAATCTCTTATTTAAATTTTTGTTTTCTTTCTATTAGACATATTTCATAATCATCTTCCCTTTTCTTTTCTTTTCTTTTCTTTACCTTTTCTTTTCTTAAATAAATAAATAACATGCTTTCAAAAAGCTACTCATTTTCTGTCCTGTCCTGCCTGTCTCGTTTCTCCTAGTTCATAGCACTTCTTTTTGTAGACTGGAGGTGTTGGGAGTATATATGCTGCTTTGTAGTTGATGGATAATGAATGACTTGGTAGATTTCACTGTTTTTATATTTTCCTAATATTACATTTGTGTTTAATTGTCAATACAAGCAATATTTTATGCTTTGCTTACTATTTTCCTATCTTCCTTATCAGCTCCAGCATCCTACAATTTCATTTGTAAGAAATAACGAAGAACAATTATTATAATATCCATATATTTGTGTGTGTATATGTGTACGTGTACTTACGCGTTGTGCTCTTTTACCAATACGTGCTACGAGCTTTCCTTCAATTGCCTCCTCAGCTATTTCCTCTTCTTTTTCCTTGTACAATTTTAAGACTTTTTTCTTGCTTCAATCTCTTTGAGATTATAGTAGCGTACGAAAATAGTGTAACTGTTCTTTTGGCCTAGAAAATTGTGTATGCTCGCACAATAATCGCGTAAGAACTGGGAGATCACGCTTTTATTGTCTTCTGTTTCTTCAAAGGTACTGATTTTATGGATAGTCAAAAGAATATTATCATAGACGTTGTTTGCCACCGATTGAAAGTCTATTTGATGATTTTCAAAATAATCGTCTACCAATGCTGCAGCTTTACCCCAATGGTAAGCAGTTAGGGTTATTATTTTGTTGTCTAAATTCAACAGTTGTCTGATTTCTTGACTTATTAACGTATTGCCACGAAGACCTTTCAGGCTTGCCTTTTTTTTGATGTTGACACATCATAAAAAACCGGTTTTTCAGATTGCCGATCGGGACCTGCGGGTTGGAAATGTCTAGTCCTCCGTATTCTTTTTAAACGTATTTTTTTATACCACTTACAAAAATTCCAGCCAAGACCAGTAGGCCAGTATGAGCCGAACCATTTACAGTGTAACACCTGTTATTCACAGTGTGTGAGTTCTTAAAACTCATGAACTCTACCTAGGAGGTCGCCCTCCTATAGCAAAGACTAGCCGCAGCCGCAATATTGCAATATTTCTTCTTCGATTTAGCGTCTTTTCAAAGACACAAGTGTCATTATTAACTAACCATTTTACGTTATCTGTTACTTTCATACGACAAAAGAAGTATGTTAAAGGAAAAGAAAGGGAAAAAAAAAGGGGAACCAGCTTTATTTGTAAGCTGATAAACAAGAGCTTATGTCAGAATTATTTAATTGCTTGTTTCATCTTTCATAATGTCTGGGCCTTTACTTAAAATAGAAACATATGCAAAAACCTCCCAAGTAAGTCAGAAGTTGGTAATTGTCTATCTGCGTTCCAGTAGTAGCTTGTAATGACAGTGAAGCAAATTTTATGGAAAACAGAAATCCACCATCCTATGAACTTTAGACGATATGACATGTCAATCGACGTAAAGACTTATACTCTCATTATGATGTAAAGACTTATACTCTCATTATGATGTAAAAATGATAAAGACTGGTGACCTGTGTGAGATCTGTGGTGTCAACATATTGGATCTTTCTTTACTGCAACCATCACTCGCTTGTGGCTTTGAAGATGATGAAGAAATTATATAGCTGCTTGTTCGAACATTGCTCGACAATGGCGCCACTAATTCTTTCCATTGATCTGTACTTTTAGATCAATCACAGATACATTTGAGTGATGAGTTCAGTTTTTTTCTAACACCCATATGGCTATTTTCTTCGGCTTTAAACAACTGGTAATTTCTAAAAATAGAGTACAAAGCGTCTGATTGGAATATCATATTTATGTGTAATCTTAAACAGCTGTCACTATAAGTTTGTATGCCATCCCGAGTTTATCTTAAACTACACAACATCAAATCAGAAAATACTTGAGGGGTACAGCTCATAAAGCTAGGCACGAAGGATTGCGATTATTCCAAAAGAGTACTATTGGGAGTTGTTCCTTCAAATCTTTGTAACACCTCGGCATGAAAAAGGGGTTGTGATTGGCTAAAGGTACAGAAATAATATACGTCGGTTCCAAAGAAGGGCCGCATTCTCTTTTTCAATTTGTGTCTTAACATGGTTCGTAGTCTCAAAGTTACAAAGGGAACTTATCCTGTGCAATTAACAATTGACGAACAAGGGCTTCGTATTGAAGGAGATTTGAATGCCGCAAAGAAATGTATAGAAAGCATTGAATGTTATACCTCCCCTTCCCCCTTTTTTTTATTCTTACGTTTCGTTTTGTTTTAGCCAAGACAACACGCACAGTGTGCTGTATACCCGTACCTGTCGGAAAGGGTCCCGACCCAACCTTACTGCCGATTGACAACGTCTATATTATTAACGCATATTATCAAGAGCGTACAAAGTCCATTCACATCTACTCTGTATTACCTGAAGATAGAACCATTGAAGAATCACCTGCCGACATTTACAAGTTCGTTTACTCAACTGAAAATGCCGAAGAAGCTATTTCCTTCTGTAAAGAGCTCATGAGTAATGTCTACCAAGACTTGAAATTTGGAAAGAACATGTTAGTTTTAATTAACCCCTTTGGTGGTCAAGGAAAAGCAAAGGAAATCTTTGAGTATCATGTTCGACCAATTTTCGAAGGCGCCAAGTGTAATATTCAGGTCAAATGTAAGGTTAAATAATCCAGTAAGTATTTCTTAACTAAACAAATATATATGACACAAATTTTTAGATACAGAACATCAAGGCCACGCTATTCAAATAGCTAAAGAGCTCGACATCGATGCTTTTGATGCTGTTGTCACTGTCAGTGGTGATGGCGTAATCCATGAAGTCATCAACGGCTTCCTTCAAAGACCTGATGCAAGAGAAGCAATGAAAAGTGTCTCATTAGGTGTCATTCCAGGTGGTACTGGTAACTCCTTGATTATCTCGTTATTAGGAGAAAAAAGAGGATTTGATCCCTGCTTTGCAGCCCTCCAAGTGATTAAAGGTAAGCGGAATAGTTTATCCTCATTTCTTAAGCTAAATGGGGCTTTCTTTTGTAGGAAAATCACTGGCAATGGATTTATGCTCTGTCACTTACGATGATCATCGCTATTTTTCTTTCTTGTCGCAAAACTATGGTATCACATCATACGCAGATCTTGCCACAGAACATTTAAGATGGATGGGCGACACAAGATCCATTGTCGGTTTAATGCAGGAGATCTTTTCACGTCGTTCTTATAAAATCCAAGCAGCTATTCAAGTGACTGAATCCGACAAGCGAAAGATTCAACTGGATTACCGTGATGCCTATCTTAACGAATCAAGTGTCCCTGTCAGTGAATTGGATGGCCAAGTAAAAGACACGATCCCCCCCTTAAACGAACCTGTTCCTAAGGATTGGTTGATTGTTGATGACGACATCTCGTTCTTCTTAGCAAGCAAAGTTCCTTTATTATCAAGAGGGATGCTGAGTCATCCCTGTGCTTTACCAAATGACGGAAATATTGATTTATTATTGATCCGTGGACCACCAAGTATTCCTAAACAGTTGGAGGTATTTAATAAAGTCGAAACCGGTCAACATATGAATAAGGATATTGTAAGTAAGCTATTTTTAGATGTCAAATATGCTAATAATCATTCTAGGTCGAGTATTATAAAGTCAAGGCATTTAGATTAACACCTATTCTGAAACCTGGTCAAAAGGCTTATGTAGCAATTGATGGTGAACATGCCCCTTGTAAACCCTTCCAAGTAGAGGTTCATCCTCGCTTAATTTCTGTGTTGACTATCAGTCCAAACTTTATAGACACAAAAGTATAAAAGAAGTCCAATAAAATAATTTGTGTTTGTTTGTAAATAACAAGTGATATTTATTATAAAATAAAGATATATATATGCAAGTAGTAGGTAAAAAAAGATTATAATGTACAACCCAAAAGAGGGTAAAGAATGAATAGGCTTAAGCCTTACGTTGTTCGGGATTGATAGACTCGCTGGCTAAACTAACGGTATCAGTGTTGTACTGGACAGCACTTTGTGCAACAAAGTCTTCCTCGAATTCGTCAAGATCGCGGCCCTTAGACTCGGGAATCCAAAGCCAGGTAACAACGAAACCCAAGAACATGACGCCGGAGAAGATAGCGAGAACTTCAGGTAAGAAAGCATGGGCACCAGCAGGTCCACCGATATCAACAAGAGCATTGAAGGCAAATGAAGCAAGAATAGCACCGGCCTTACCAGATGCAGCAGAAATACCATGAGCAGAAGCACGAACCTTGGTAGGGAAAACCTCACCGGGAATAATAAAAGTGGTGGAATTGGCACCGAAGTTTTGAAAAAGTTGAGCTAAAGTGAAGAGGAAAATGAAAGCAGGCATAGACTTTTCCAAGAGAATGTTGTAACAACCAGCAAGAATGGCAAAGAGAACAGTGGTAACAGCGAAACCCATCAATTGGATAGTACGACGACCCATCTTTTCAATCAAGAATACAGTAAAGTAGTAACCGGGAACAGAACCAAGACAAGTAATGATAATTTGACCGACAGTATTAGCCCAAAGAGTCTCAAAAGGAGTAGGCTTCTTAGCATAACCAATAGCAGCTAAAATAGCAGAGTTATTAAGACCAAGACCGTAGAAAGCAACATCGAGCAAGAACCAAGAGAGAGATGTACCCAAAAGAACCTTGAAATGTCTCCATTGGCCAAAGTAAGCACGGAATTCAGCCCAATGATCACGCTTTTCTTCAACCTTAGTGTATTGCTTAGATAATTCAGTGGAGACATTTTGACCCTTGGCAGCAGCAGCAGCTTCAACATCATGTTCAACATTAAGAGAATAACGAGGAGATTCGGGCATGGTGAAACGAAGGTAAATAGTACCGACAGCGGGAATAGCACCAAGACCAATACAAAGACGCCAGACATAATCCAAGTTCATCACATCAGCAATAATAGCATTCTTGAAGATGGCAAGAAGAATAAGAGTGACAATAGCAGCAGCCAAGTTACCGACACCTTGCATAGAGAAAATAAGAGCCATCATCATACCACGCTTACCAGCAGTAGACCATTCGGAAGTAATAGTAGCAGACATGGGGTAATCACCACCAATACCAATACCGAGGATTAAACGCCAAAGACCGAGGAAACCAATGGTAGAAACACCGCGAACAGCAGAGGCAGAAGTAGCACAGTTAATTGTACCGAGAATAATAATCAACAATTCGAAACCATAAATCTTACGACCAAGAATGTCACCAAGGAAACCAAACAAAAGTTGGCCGATAAAAGTACCAACGGAAGACATACCCTTAAGGATACCTTCAATGTCAGCAGGGATCTTGTTACCGTTTTCAGCATAGTAAACATAACCAAGCATTGGGGTGATTAAATTGATAATAAAGACATCATATGAATCAGTAAAAAAACCGGCACCAGATGTAAGGATAGTACGAGCAGTGAACCAATTCCAACCACCAGCTCCAGTATCGTCTAATTTTTCAAGTGATTGAAGTTTCTGCTCAGCAGCAGCGAAACGCTCTTGCTCACGTTGTTGTTGAGAAATATCAGTCATAGAAGGATATAAAAGTGATTAAATGAAGTGATGATAATAATAATAAAAAAACTAAAGTAAACGGTCTCCCCTATTTATATAAAAAAGAACCTGATGTCAAGTGAGGTCGTGTGAGTGTAATCATTGGTATTGATTGATCCTGTCTTCATTCATTCCAACATTTCCGAAAAAAATTGAGCCAATCAGATCAAATGATTACCTCGCGTGGACCGCATATTGCTCTTCCTCAGATTTTACTGTGTTTATCGGAGATGAATACATAGCAATCGTATTGGACCATTCACTTTATGAATATCAAACGTGGATAAGTTATTTTAGATTCATTGGTTAAGTGTGCATTTGTCTTTAACTACTATATGTAGCTCTTTTCTTTTTTTGTTTTCTTTTTTTTTTTTTTTTTTGTTACAAGTCATTAAAAGTTTGTTTTCTCCTGTTTTTTTTTCGCATGTAAAAAAATTAGAAAAAAAAAAGTTAAAAAGTGTCATTTATCCGAAAAGGTCTCAATCATGTACAATGAATCTGATCTGTTATTTCGAGTGATGTAGCCAATAGGGCACTTTCAAATTTATCGGCATGGAAAATGAAACATTTTTATTCGTTGAACACGAAATCAAGGGAATAGAGGGAAACTCTGTGAAACCGAAAAGAGCGAATTTAATAATAGTAGAAAATCTCAAAGTACCATGCCCATTTATTATCAAAAATAGAAAAATTAACAGATTTGATTCAAGTAATACAAATCATTGTTGCTGGAAACACCATGCTTTCATATCGTAGTATTTTCAAACGACTCGTTGTATCGTAAAAACCGTAAAAAAAACATATGCGTATCACTTGACTAATTGTTTGTATGTGGCAAAATTATTACTATAATTGTGTAATATAAAATCTCGGGTTAAATGATCATAAGGATAGAATTTCTTGCTTGAATTTTAGTTTCAATCGATGTTTGTAAGCTATTTATCCGGTTAAATATATAGCGAGCCATGGAACTCATTGTGCAATGGAGCTACTACAGTTTTATTAATAATCAGTGCGATTGAATTCTACTGGTATATATACAGGTTGGGCGTGTCATCGCTGTGGTCTAACATTGGCTGCAAACAGGCGCAGAATCTATTACAAATAACATGTTTTTATACCATTTATGTGTTATTTTTGGAATACCACCCATACATGAGTTTATAAACAGAGATCACCAGTTTTTTTCAATTTTTTTTACCATTGTGCGGCACAACTTGTAGCATCAAAAGACATTGTGTCCGGAAAATAAAAGCACCGAAATTATACTCCAATATAAGTCATCATTTTTTGAACCCTAGTTATTGCTATTGACTTAAACATGTGTTATTTTTGAAGAAAATTTGACTGAAGCAGTTTATGTAAGTGCAGAGACCCGTGTAACTAAATATTGAGATAAACAAAGTGGAAACAACCATTTTAAGTGCATAAAAGATGCCAAACTATACCCGTCCGCAGATGATATTATATAATTCTATTGTCACTATTAGTCCGACTGAGGCTGCATTATAAAAGTCAAAGATTAGATTTACCCGCATACCCATCCCCTTTGTTATGCGCTTAAATGATCTTAATTCTGTTGAAGTTTACGTCATAAGTCATGGAAATAAGTTAACGACGTAAACGTTAGTTTAATGATCACATACATAATTTAGGATGCATATATATCAAGCCATATATCGACATGCGCGAAGCCTTGCCATTGGCTATAAAGATCTTTTTCCTCGGAAGATTATGTGATTGAAGCTGTTAAGCGACGTCAGCTAAAGGGTGTTAGCTTTAACGATTATATCGGAGTATGCATGTACAACAATCCCATCATAAAATATAACAGTTAAATCTTACGATTTTAGCTTATGACAGATCAAAAATGATGTTTATGCGAGAAAATTATCAACTGTCTTTGAGACTATGTTATCCTTTTTGGTGGAAACAGCCACCTTTCTTATAAACAGTTAAAACGCAGGTAGTCTCGGCATAGGACCGGATAACTCGATTTTCCCTAAGAAGTCAAGTGGGGTAAGGGCTATCTGTAAGGGACTATAATATGGTATATTCTGTCTAGAATCCGATCTTTTTTTTTATTATGATGCGATCTTGCTCCGGTCCAGCCATAATTCGCACAATCTGTTTTAACTAGAGTACAGACCAATTTTTGAAGTAATTTGGCATGCTTCAATTAAGGGTCGTGCATAAATCGCCTGTTTATTATCATATCAGTGGGAACTTCAAGATAGATATAAAATCCTTTATACACTTACAACGTAATTTTACACCCAAAAATAACTTATTGTAAAACGGAAAAGATCATATAATGACACTCGAGTACAATAACGTTTCATATCTTAATGTTGAAGTCATCAGAATTGCCATTAGCAGGAGTTTAAAGAATACATATAGACTGGTTTAAATGCCACAACTATTTCCAAGTTGTTGCATGTATTTAAGGTATTCAAGGTATTTTTATCTGCGTATATATAGCATTTTACATGCAAAGTTTCGTTTGCGTTACTCCTTCACGTTTCAGACTCTTAAAATGCATGTAAAAATGAGAGCCAAGACACGGTCTTATATTCTGGGAAATTTGATAAAAGCACAGGTTAGCTGTCAAGTTAACCCACTGAATTTATATTCATTCTTACATTAAACAAGACAATAGCATCAATAACTGCTGTTTACTTATTTTTTGTAGCATCCTTTAAAGTTTGTTTATCAAATTTATGTACATAGAGTCTGTTGTTGCTTCGTCTTTTGTAACAATATCAGCAAACTTGAATTAATCATATTTTGGTTTAGATCGATGACTTTTATAAGCCAATTTGATCAGCACTTAATTTTGAAACACGATGAAACATCGGTTCTCTTAAGACATCCACTTTTTTATTGAGGGTAGCCATAATTCACTAAGTCCTAACTTGGAATCAAGTATTTTGACAGTTTATAAGTCTTGAATCACTACAATTTCACGTTTTAAGCTGACATACTTGAGCAAAAAGTTACTAAAAAGCAATGTAACACTTATTTATAAAAACGTATAAAAACATTTGATATTCATACATTTCGATTGTTACCGGTTAAGTAGTAGTAGCCTACCTGTTCTATTTTAAGGGGATTGGCTGGAATTATTTCAGATTGTCTTGAAGACCACTTTACGTGCAAGTGTCTATATTATGAGAAAATAGACTTGGTAACCTAGTTTTTTTTTCTTTCTTTTTTTTGTTTTTTTAAAGATCAGCAAGAGTTGACCTGGTGCAAAGAATATCAAGACTACCGGAGACAAAGAGGCAAAGAAGAGATGAATTAGAGTTCAAAACAAATAAATAAACGTGAATATAAAACGCTAAAGCAAATAGCTGATAACATTTATTATTATAGAATCTTCTAAGCAAATACGTGTTTGTGAGCAAAATGTTTGATACACAAATCATCATAGGTCGTATCATTATTTTTTTAATCGTGCAACAGCAGCAGAAGTATTACTAGATCTACTACCGCCAACACTTTAGGTGAAATTGTTCCCACTTATAACGAGTAAGTATGCACATTATCTGCTTCACATGGAAGCATTTCTTTTAGGAAAACTGGATTTAAAAGTTTCTATATTTATAATCATGACATAAAGACAATGCTTAAAAAAGGGTTGTTAGAAGCCGTAGTCTCGAAAATCAAAATTAATTACCACCAGTCAGCTTTCTGGCGTCTTTGGATCAAGCAATCATCGATTTCCATTCATATCGAATTCCAATTGAAAGATTTGACCTGGCCGAAAATCGGGACAGCCAAGGTGCGCGTATTCGTAATGTCTGATTAAATGATGCCTTAATTGATACCAACATATGGAAAACCTGTTTGCGTATGTTATAGCTTTCTTTCAACTTCTCGTTTGGACTTTACTCTTATGTTTCTACGTAACATTAAGATCAAGCGAGCCTAAGGGTAAAATGGTAACGATGTAATTGACAAAAGAGGTATAAACTGTTCAACATACATTTAATCGTAACTATTACATTGTTTTTGATAATATATTCATGTTTCCGGGTTTGAATGACAGTTAAGACACAGATCTTACCTAGCGATTACGTGCACTTTTCCTGTCCCTAAGAAAAACGGCCAAAAATGAAAGATCCGTCACTCATGCCAATTTAAATTTTGTGTGAGCAATGAAAGTGCAATGTCTACTTTTATTTGAAGAACGCATGTCAATGCAAGTCGCCTTCTCGTTCTGATAGTGGGACATTTTTAAACAAACACAATTTCCGGAAAAAATTGTAAGAAAAGCGAAGAGCGCAAAGATACCATCAGTGAAAACTACTAGAAAATCATAGAATGAAGCAGTTGATATGATAAAAGCAATGATATTCAAGCACTATCTATAAAATACTTACTGCCATCCGAGTATGTCATGGATTAGATAAATCTTTTATTCTCATATTGCTTAAGTTTGGGTAGCTTTTATGCATTTGTCCAATAACACTGTACCACATACATGAACGTTTGACAAATAAAAATTTTTTTGGACCGAATGAATCATGCAAAAAAAAAAAAAAAAAAAAAAAAAAAAATCGGTACCCAGATTCAACACAAGTGAAATATACTAGTTTTACGATTAACAATTACCGATGGCTATGTATGACGCCACGTATAGACAGTAATGTGAGCAAATTGTGCCTAAAAAAAATTTCTGCTCTTGAAAGGAGCAGTACGGGTAAAATAAATAAGCCAATCATGATTTGTTAAAAAAAAAAAAAAAAGATTTCCCCCGAATGATATAAAAAGAGAGGGTATTTTTAAAGGTGGTTAAAACCACAAAAACCATGAAAATTTCTTTAAAGGTACTCCCCGCTCTGACAGGACTTTTATCCTCCTCGTGCTGTATTATTCAATTGGTGCTCAATTTTTTTTCGATCTCTTGTGCCGGTTTTGCGGTGTTGACACCGTACAGACATGTTCTTAGCAGCATCACGGTCCTTTTGCTAAGTTACAATATGTATAACAATGGATTGAAGAACCGCCAAGCTCTCTTTTCCCTGTTATTTTCAGTGGCTTTTATGATCAGTCCCGAGGTAGTCAAGATAGTGAATCATCTGCCAGCAAGAATTAATGGCAGTAAAGGCACAGTTTATTATAGATTTCATTTGGACGGTTTAGGGTGTGAAGCATGTGCAAACCGAATCAAAAATACATTAAATCAAATCGACTGGATTTACGACACGCGTGTATTCTTTGACAATCAAACAGCTATTGTTCAAACGATCGCCCAAAAAGATATAGAACAATTAGTTATAGAAAAAATCAAATCTATTGATTTTAAATATGATGCCCAGGTACTTGATTCATGGGTAGGCTACACTAAATAAATTTTATAGTGTAACCTTGATAGTTTTTTAATAAACCCACTGGATAGCACAAAATTGATTATATTTGTTAGCACATTAATTTATTTTAGCTGTTATTTCCCTCTTTCCCTTTCTCTCCTTTTTTTGTTGTTGTTGTCTTTTTTTTTTTTTGCTTGCCCATTTACACTCCTTCTATCGTGTTTCCTTCCCTATTATATATTAATATCATATATAATTTATCCTCTCCTCATTCCTTCTTTTTTCTCTCATAATTGTGACAACAAAATAATACTTAGATGAGTTTACCTTTAGTTATTCTTTCTTCCATTGCAGTAATGCTGGAAACTGCAGAAGCAATTCCGTTCTCGTGGGCAGACTTGAACAGAAGAGCGCAAGGTAAATTATAATAAAAATATGTCTCGAGAAATAATAGTAATATTTTTATCTATACCAAAAAAAGAATTTGATAATACAACCACAACCACTTCTAAAAAGGAAAACACCACTACCAAAAAAACCACTACTACCACAAAAAAAACTACAACAAAGGCATCCTCCGAAAAGCCAACCTCCACAAAGGCATCCTCCGCAAAGCCAACCTCAGCAAAGGCCATCACCGATGCATCTTCGGCCGTTCCTTCTTCAACCCCCACTTCAGTCACTCCAATGTTGATCCCAGCAGCAACAAACACGGCAATGACATCTGCCACTGTCAGCTCCCCCGCCGCTACTGCATTAGCCGACACAAACAGTGGTGGTGTATCTGGTGGTGCTATTGGTGGTATTGTAGCCGCCATCGTTATTATCATATTGGGTGCCGTCGCCTACTTTTTCGTCCGTCGCAAGAAGAATAACAAGAGTCGTGCAAGACATATGTCAACTAAACCTGATCCATTCACGATGGGATATGGCAGTGACCAAGCATTCCATACTCCACAACCAATGCAACAACAACAGCCAGCATATCAACACCAATACGGTGTTCAGCCTACTGTTGCAGTTACTTCTCCTACTACACCCACTCATTATAACAGCAACACGCAGTTCCAAGATGCTAACAATCATATCATTGCCGAGTCTATGAAGCCTGCAGTTGTTGTACCTCAGTCACAACAGTATCAACCTCAACCTCAAGAATATAAACCCCAACTGAACGAACAATACAACAATGAACACCTTGATCCAATCGTTCCTATCTCCGCTGCTACTGCCGCTGTTGCTGCTGTTCCCGTTTCTGGAGCATTGCTTTCTCCCACACAAGCTGGCTCTGTTGGCGTATTCCATGTTGCAGCAACATATACACCAACCTTGAGTGATGAGATTGATATCCAAACAGGCGATCAAGTTGAAGTTTTAGTTGAGTATGATGATGGATGGTGTCAAGGTATTAATTTGTCACGCGGTAATGCAAAGGGTGTTTTCCCCAAGCATTGTATTGATTATGCATCGGGCGTTTCATCTTCTGGTAATAGTATCGATAGAGTCAAAAGAGTTAGCTCCATGTACATAGCTTAAAATTGACCTTGTTTGTATCATTACTATTATCCTAACCCATCCTTCATTATTATTATATTATATACTGTTTGTTTAAAAAAATAAATAAAAGGTCGAATCACTGACAATTTTTTTGCTACATATGTATAATACCCTTTTGCGATTTAGTAACACTTGTGTCGCACCTAAAAGCAATTGGTGTTGTAATTTCCAAGAAAGGCATGTTGCACACACAGTATTTACATTCATATTGTATCGGAGTCGTCACCATGTGTCTGATCAAGGGATATGTTTGCATTATATCAGTCAATAATTGTCGAGCCTTTTCAAAGTATGTGTCAACTATGACAAAGATATCTAACCAAAAAGATTATTAGACGAAGTATGTAATACGTAATGTAAAACCTTGAGAAGAAAATATATGCATATACCTTTTGTAAAGACTGTATAAATTTGTTTCAATAAATAATTATCTAATAGTTTGCTCTATAAGAGTCGTGCTCTTTTTATTCGAAATATTAAAGAAAACAAATATTGTCTAACTTTAACAGAATATCAGGTCTATAAGAAACATTATCTACTTATAACCCATGCTCATATTGTTAACTATCTTTACTGAATAATCAATTAAAGCATCAGCAACCTAGGTGCCTATATAATATTAGCAGATATCTTCACTTTATTCACCACAACCTCTTTGGATATTAGCACAATCAACTAAGGACTCTATTCTTATCCGAAGTAAGTGACAAGCTTGATATGCCTAGAAATTCTGGTCTTTGTCTGGTTAATAATATTGATTATATATGTGATTTATAGACTGAAAATTGATTTTATTATTTCCAAAATAATTATAAAGTATCTTTTAATATTTGAATTGGGATGAATCTATCATCCGAAGAGTATTACAGTCATTTTGGAATAGATCTTAAGGTATCTATTTTTCCCGTATGTTGACTAACAAACATTCTCTCGCTATTTGCATTAATAACTACTTCAGCCTTAAACTCACATTCTCTGCCGTTTAAAAATGAAACAGTTCTAATAATACTCAACATCTGATATGCATACTATATTTATAAATCAATCCTGTTCATGTAAAATTTACGAGGAAACTTCTGAGCAATTTGACGCGGAGTTTTCGATAAAATGGTTGAAATGCTACGAGTGGTCTATTGAATAAGAAAGAGTATGAGTATCGCCCAAAGAAATTCTAGAAGCACGACGGTACGACCTTTTTGATAGTAAATCCATAAAACTCAGGATGAGCATAAAACCTGTAATTGTGAAGGGCGTACTTTTAACCAACCTTTTTTGTTGTTGTAGATATGGTTGTTACTGTGCTAATATCAAGGTTGTTATGCCTAAGAATGCAAAATTTCCGTGAAAATATAAAAAAGAGATGTTCTTAGCCCTGGCCTCTAAGATTAAGATCCATATACTTCTTGTTTGAGTTGATTAATCTCCATCAGCTGCACAAGCTTCGTTTATTTCGGTCAAGCGTCCTTTCCTGCTTGACCATTCTACTTTTATTACTACGCCATTGTTTAACTGCATCATACCTAGCAAAATTGAGGAGATCGGGGCATCCAAAGCGGCGGTAAAAACATAGATCTTATTGTGATATGACATTATAGTTAAGGATTTGATAATGAAGTCGCACAGAAAAAGCAGATTTCATTATGATGTAAACTAGCTCTGCTAAATATATGTAGATAAAGATAGGTATTGCAGTGCTAGTCTTTGAAGGAAGTAAGAAGCAATTTGACAAAGCCAATCAACATATCAATAGAAAAAGTAACACCATTCTATCTTTCCAAAGGCTTTGATGGTGTTTATTGTTCTACAAGCTCTAAAAACGATAAAGTGGTTGCTTATAAACTAGAATAAGCTGACGGAATAAATTTCACTATCTGCCAAAAAGAAAGGTCATTTTCAGAACACTTAAATTACCACGGCCTGGATAATACATACCACAAAATAGAATCAGTGTCGTTAAAACTAAAACTTAAGATTATCGACTATATGTTTACGAAATAGATTTTAATTCTATATCTTATGAATAGTTTTTATGTCGGCGGCCTTTTATGTCTTAAATAAAACACATGCCCAAATCCTGACGAATTAATGTTCTCAGAATTTCTTATTTCGTTTTCTGACTTTAAGCTTATCGATGGACTTAAAAATTCGGTCTTCATTTACACATTGTATTTAGATGCCAAGCCCAATAGTATATGCGACAATTTATTTTTGGACAGCCCAACATTGGGTGTATGTCTTGTGGAAACAAACAAAGAATTATTGTTTAAGAGGCGACCAAAAGTAATTCAGGGTCCAATAAGAATTTCTTGTGACACTACGTTAAATTATCGTGGTAATTATCATATTTGGTCAACACAAAGGTGACAGAATATGCATGCATAAATAAAAGCAAAGCTTATTTATTTTGTTTTAGCGGAGAGTACTTCGTTCGATGATAATAGAGAGTTTAGGGGACTCAGATTTTCACTAAGTGTTACACTACAGCATTCACAGTGACTTTTATCACTGTCCTAATACAGACTAGTAGAAGGCCAATAACATGAATTTTAAAAAGTTGGTCTTTAAAATATGGGATATTGACAGAAGCGATTGGCTTATTTCAAGGACAGATTAGTGAAAGCGTTTACACTAATAGTGTAAAAAATGGTGAAAAAAAACACTAATCTGATTTCCAAACAGTATAATTTACTTTTTAGTACAGTGTAAATTAATCCCCTAAAGTCTCTAATGTCAAGAAGATCGATTATCGTGCCAAAGACATTTTTTTTTTAAATGGTTTAATTTCGTTCATTGGTGCAAATTGAATTTAGGCCGCTTTATCGCATTTGCCGATGAATAAATCAAGCCTAATAATTGGTGTGGAATCATAATACGTTAGACTCCAACTCAAATTAAAAAAAGCCAAAAATAAAAAACTACCCGGCATTTTTCGGATTCAACGATTATCGTTTATCAACTCGCCTCAAAGATAGACAGATACCATACGAAACGAAGCCGCTATCGTCAGTCAGTCTTGTACAGTCAGGCTTATAGAAATTGGCGTTTTCTAAAAAAATAATTGGCCGAAGGTCAAAAAAAAATTGATCGGATTTTAAAAAATAAATGCCATAAGGTTAAATTATTTTTGGCACAAGTTGGTAACTAACATTGGCCGAAGAATTGCATTTATTATTGACCCAATAGGGACGGGATTTAGCTTAAAGTCATAGAAGATCAATAAAAATATGCAAATTTTGAATAAGATGATGTATTTGGTATGAATAAAACTCGGCTATTACATAAATATCGGACGACAGTTGAGTATTCAGACTTTTCTGGATCTTTGGACTGGTTTTGATCTACAATCAAAAGACGATAAAATTGTTGGATCACTCAGAACGGCCTCTCTCTTGAATTCGTGGAATTCGTTGTCATAAATTAATTTGTCGATGAGGACAGTCTTCAATTTCTTATGAGTACTAGCAAATATGTGTTAGAAGCGTGACTAAAGCTGGTTTGTTTGTATGCAATTTAACTTGAAATTTTTTTGTAGATCACCAACATTGGTAGACAGCCCTGCGAAATCGACTGCTACAAGGCAAATGTCTGTTACTGATGAATTGATGTACGAAATCATGGCTAAGAAAAATATCAGTATCAGTGTTGTTGTTGATAATCATTCACATATTAACAAATACATTGAGTGTTTCCTTTTACGCCTATCAAATCAGTGAGCAAATCAGGGTTGACATTCATGTCTCTTGAGGCGATATTGGCGGCGGCTGAACAAGACCATGACACAAAGAATGTGTCACATAAAGATCTTTCTTTTAAGTACTGCACCATGCTATTCAAAAGCCTTTTTCTGTTTTCTTCATCATTGCGACCAGTAGACTTCCTAGCATATCCAATGATGGTGCATCCTTGCTTTTTTAGAGAGCTTATGTGGTTTTGATAGCGCGGAATAGAAGTAGTGATGGATTTCACAACACCCTCACTAACAGTAGAGAATAAATAATCGTATTTTTAAGAAGCTCAAATAGTATATTACCTCTAAATTCATTCTTCATCACATAAAGTCTCCTATAGCGCTTATTCAATCCTTTACTCCTCTTCCTAGTAAATGGCTCACCCATAAAGCTAACTTTTCTTTTCGAACACCAAGTTGCAAACGCTATTTCAGACTTCTTGTTCATGCATTCAGTTTTCGAAATAACTGAGTCATATATTTCTTTGTTTTCAACTTCCTGAAGGCAATAGACAGCTTCATTTTGAAGATCGGTAGGTTTATAAACCTCATTCAGAAACGTGATTACTTTTCGTTCCAAAACTAATTTAAAATTTTAGTGTCAAAATACGAGGAAGTATCTAGACCTCCGTATTTTTTTCAAACGTATTTTTTTTTATACCACTTACAGGAATTCTAGCCAGAAGACCAGCAGACCAGTATGATTGCACCTATTTACAGTGCAATCCCTATTATTCACAGTCCGTGAGTTCCAAAAACTCAAGAGCTCTGCCTAGGAGGTCGCCCTCGTATAGCAAAGACTAGCTGCAGCCGGAATATCACAATATATATCTTTTTCAATTTAGCTTCTTTTCAAAGAAACAAGAGTCACTACTAAACAAACCTTTTTACGTAATCGGTTACTTTCATACGATAAAAGAAGTATGTTAAGGGAAAAGAAAAGGAGAAGAATAAAGTGTGCGAACCAGCTTTATGTATAGATAAACAAGCTTATGTCAGGATGATTTCATTTGTCTATTTTATCATCCATAATGTTTAAGCCTTTACTTAAAATAGAAACACTTGCAAAAACCTCCCAAGCAAGTCAGAGCTTGGTAATTGTCTATATGTGTTTCAGTAGTAATTTGTAATGACAGCGAAGCAGATTTTATGGAAAACAGAAATCGATCATCCCATGAATTTTATATGATATGGCATGTCAATCAACGTGTAGACCATCGCGTGATTATAAAAAATACGTTTATTTGAAAAAAATACGTTTAAAAAAAATACAAAGTTCTAGATATTTCCAAATTACGAGGAATAACATATAATCTTTCAGTGCTTACCAAGTTCAGATTTTGCTTCTACTGCTTCCTCAAGATCCACAGCTGATTCTTCAGTTAAATAACATTTAAAGGTTGTGGGATTGTTCCGAATCACACTCAAATGCACCATAACAGGTCGCTTAGGATCGTTTTCATAACACAGACATCAAAAGAGCCAAATTCTTCGATCTTTTTCAACAATCTTGCTGCTGTAATCTTCACAAAAAAAAACCTACAGATGGCTTGATCACGAGTTATGTTCATCTGGTGTTGGAGTAAAGAGCAGATCAATTGTTTAGTTCTGAAGCTAGTTGAAGCAGGTTCTTTACCGAACGCGGTTCATTTCTTTTTTTACTGAACGCGGTTCATTTCTTTTTTTACTGAACGCGGTTCATTTCTTTTTTTACTGAACGCGGTTCATTTTTTACAGAACCTAGTTCATTTTTTACTGAACGCATTTCATTTTTTACTGAACCCGGTTCGCAACCTTTCCCAACGCCAAAGGGCAGTTTTTTTTTTTTAAAAAAATTGGAACGACTGTATATTAGAAAGGTGTCTTATTATAACAATTAACAATTTGGCGCTTAGAATGATTACAGAAACCGTTAAGGTCACTGATGAGTATATCATTACAAGCATCAGTAATTCTACTGGACAGATTTTCTTCATTCATTAGTCTGTCACGCTTCATCTTCCCTTTTACTATTGCCCAAAACTGTTCAATAGGGTTCAATTCAGGCGAGTAGGGAGGCAGATACATTACTCTGTAACCCTTACTTTCAATATTTCTTATCATCGGCTTAGACTTTTGAAAAGAAGCATTATCTAGAACTATATAACTCCCTTTAAAAGCTTCTTCGGCATCCAGTACAGCAAGAACTTCGTTAATGAACTTAACGAAGTGAGCAGTTGTTGTACCTTTTTTTACTGAATTATTATCAGTAGAGTCGTTGTTAACCTCTGTATTCTCTCCACTAATTTCTGTTAGTGCTCTTTTTTTCCCTTTCTTGTTTTTAGCAGCCTCGATTTCTTTTTTTGGTGGTGGTTTTCTGACAGCAATGTGAATAATGCTAGAGGAGTGAATGGCACCAATGTTTGTATGTGTTGGTACTCTGGTTTGTGGTTGCTATACGATGGCCTTTTTTTAACTTTTCGATCTGGCCCAATTGAGTCTCATGTTGATGTAGAAACCGGCTTCATCTATAAAAATACAATTTTTTGTAAAATCCAGATCAGAATCTTTCCATTTCATAAACCATTCGAATCGTGTCTGGAGATTCTCTACTGAGTTTCTAACTTCAGGTTCAAAATATATGGCTTTTTTACAGTGATAGGCATAGTATTACGTAAATGGTTGTTCATTTGCGATTTTGAAATGGTGAAGACTTCGAATTGTTCAGTCAAGCTATTTATTATATCATCCACAAATATCTGAGGGTCGTTGTCAAGTAGTTTGGTAAGGTACTCGTTATCCTGCAGTTGTAAATGAGCTTTTTGGACCACTGTTTTTTTCATACAGTACCCATTGTTTCCTTTTCTTCTCGGATTGATGATAAATGTATTAAACTTTGTTTATTGTTCTGTTCTCTATTAGAAACAGCTCTTGATGATAGGTAGAGAGAAGAGAACGTTTCTTTTATTAACAAGTACATAAAACCAAGAAGGAAATAAGTGGTTGCATTAAATCACAAGCATACATTTCCCCTAACATGGATTTTTGTGCAAGTTCGGAATCAACAATACTTTGATCCTTTGGATAGAACTGCAACCTAAAAATAAATGCATCGGCTTTATTTTTTTTTATTTGTAGACGTGACAGAAGGGGAGGATAGTGAATGTTTTACCAATTGTAGTTGTATAGTAGTAAAATGTACTCTTTTCACGGAAGGGTAGGGTAGTAATTTTCTACTCAATAGGACAGTACCCGGCCGATAATAAGTTGGTGATACGGAGGATAATACGTGTCGAGCACATAATATGGGGTTGTTTCGTTTAAAAAACATGTCTATTTTTATTTGAAGTCGGCTATTATACCTTAAAGCTTAAAAAGCAAGAATTCTCTATTTGCACATATCTATGGACCACCGTAAAAATATATATTGTGGGGTTAACAAACAGTTTTTCTTGGTGACATTAGTTTCTTACTCATGCTTACATGAAACGATGCCTCCAGAAAAACAAAGGAATACAAGGGGTAGTGCGGCAAGCTCAAACACGTCTGTCAATAGTGTTGGATGACACCCTTTTCGAACACAGACAGTTGTCTTGGTTTAAAAGAAGGGATATATTTGATGATTAATCAAGTTTATGCCAATATCAACCCCTCTAATATCAATTCAAAATTGATTTGACCAGCTACAACAGAAAAAGCACTGTTTCTCGTTCCAAAAAAAAAAAAAAAAAAAAAAAAAAAAAAAAATGGGAATAGGCTGAGTCAAACAAGGAAGATCTTTTACGATATTTAGATTACAGGTCACCCGATTTGTTTCCGTGAATAAAATTTAAGAATGCAAAGAAAGTACATTTAGAGCAACTGTGGTGATGCGAGCCCTTCGTAAGACGCTACTGATGATGTACGATTATAATCCTGGGTACAATTTTAGCCAACATGTTGGTAGTGTCTTACAAAGGCTATAAAAACATTGAAAGTCCGCTTTATTTTCTTCTAAAAGAGAAAAAAAAAGTATACATCATTTGAAAAGTGTTGTGAGCTGGGAAATAGTGGTATGCTTTTGAAAATGTATTTGCAATAATAACTGCAACTATGGACCAAGGTTTCATTGGTCAGAAAGATAAAAGAATCATCTCTTTTTTTAACCTTTTTTAATGTGGTACAGGCTATGATACATTAAGCGCGGCTGTTTACCTTCTCTTTTATCAACAATAGTCATCTTTACTTACTCTCTTATTTCAAAACCAGCCGATCACTTTTGTGGTAAGCCGTTACGTACTTTAGTGCCATTTCTTATCTCGATTTATGTACGTCTCCGAGGAATAACACTGTTGACTGATTGCATATTGTCTCTCCTTGCACAACATGTACTTGAGATAACACTGGATGAGTTTATGTAGATGTGAAATAAGCAACGTTCTTTAAACATTAGCTATGTTCAACAGCATACATTCTTCGTAGAAAATAAAAAAAGGTCTTACAGTGTAACTTTAAGCTTTGATCTAATTTTTATTTTTATTTTTTTTGCATGACATTGCTCGCCCAGCTTGTATTTTAAAATAACAATCAGTATCTTTGATGTTTGAAAAGGCTTATTGATATTAAATAAGCAACGGGTGTTCAAAATATTCGTAAAGTGACACTATAGTGTTCAGGTCGCGTGGTACTCACACCATATAATGTGCTTTAAGCATTTTTGTTTGTTTGCGGATTTTTGCTGCGGATTTTAAAAATAAACTGACACCCCCACACAAAAATGAGGGGACCTTTCCAGAAATGAAACACAGCTATTTAGGGAATAAAAAACACTTTTTTATTTATATATTGAAGTAAGAAATTAATAAGAATATAAGAATTTTTTTTTGGAGTAAAAAGAGAGAGAGAAAAAGCTTTTGGAGAGAGAGATATATACAATAGTGGAATAGGACGAGTGGATTTTCTTTACAAATAGGGGAAGAAAGGTTCTATAGAAAGAACATTTTTAGAATAAAGAAGCATTATCTTCAGTGGTGTTAAAGATGGAATGACCAAAAGTAGCTAAAGTATGATTTAGAGCAGCCATGTGGGAATGTTCGATATGATATTTCAGACCATTCAAGTTCTTGTATCTTTTGCCGCAGTCGCCAATAGTACACTGATAAGGTTTAGAAGCAATGTTTTCGCTCTCATCAGCTGTCATGTTACAATGGCCGTGTTGATTATGATATTTAAGACCGTTAGGGTTCTTATAAGCCTTGTCACAGCCTCCGACGGGGCATTTATAAGGTTTATCGGCGCCATGATGAAATGAGTTGGCATTGGTTGAAGCTAATAAGGCACCTGCTTGAGCCAAGAATTCTTCATCGGTTAATAAAGGTGATGGTAAATCACCAGAAGCGAGAGCTATTTTCTTAGCAGCAGATTGGGTCAATAAATCAAAAGCACTTAATTGGCCAAAGCTTCTCTTCTTTCCAGTTTTCACTGGTAAATTATCTTCTTCATATGTTGTTGTTGGGGACACAAGGGGTGTAGAGTTGTACAAATCAGAAAGATAGGCAGCAGCTTTCTTTTTCAGTGCTACTATAGTCTCTTGTCCTTCTTGTTCAATGACTGGACTTTCAAGCACGCTACCAGTTTGGCTACTAGATGAAGAGACTGACCAACTGCTACTGCTAGAGCTAGCTTCATTATCATCATAAAAACTACTTTCTTCGTCTTCAAGTCTAACATGACATTCTTCATAATGTTGTAATAAATCATGAAGGTCTTCTAGAATAAGACCACAACAAGCAAAATCACGACAGAATGTGGCTTCTAATTCACGAGACTCAAATGCTCCTTTAATATCACTTTGAGGTTGGCACAATTGAAAGTCATAGGCACTATAAAAATATTAAAATGTTAGCTTCTAATGTGGTTTTGGCTCTCCTGATGTACTTACTCAAAGTTTATGTCTTGTTTGGGTACAGTAATTGTACTCATACGACGAATAGAACTGTATTCAATAGGGACGGGCATCTTTTTTTTTTCTGTGTAAATGTAAGGGGGCTAAAAAAGAAGGGGGAATATTTGTATCGTTGAATACAGTTAAATGAAAAAAAAAAGGGAAACAAAAAAAAAGAAAAGGACAGATTTGATTTCTTATATTTCCCAAAAGCCCAAAAATAAAAAAAATAGTTACACAGACAAAAAATAAGAACACAAATATTTAAACCGGCGTCTAAATAAACAAGTAATACATCTCCGAAATAAAATGGTTCCCTTCTTTTTTTCAACGTTTCACTTGAATTGTTTAAAAGGGCAATTATCAATGAATCGGTGTTACGTTGAACGAGAATTACCTGAAGGACCAACATTTGATTTATAATTTATTTGTATCTTTCACAAGCATGAAAAATAAACTGTCGAATTAGTTGGTATCCAAGGTAACGAGTGGATACTCTATTTAGCCAATATCCATTTATCATTGCCTCAAAAAAAACAATTACATATTTCATTGTGTAACGTTGCTTCCGTTTCAATATTTCGTATTACCAATTGGACAAGTTTAAAAATGTATTATTGACACATAAAAAGTCCGTACAAGGTAAAAAAAATAATTCTAAATCGTTTATTATTGTTGTAGTTATATACAGTTTGATTTTTACTCTTCATCCACTTCATCTTGTTCAATGAGTTTAGCATAGTCTTCATAAGTAGCAAAGGTAGGAAGACGCTCCTTCTCCTTCTTTTGCTTCTTCTTTTGACGATTACTTAATCCCGCAAATTCATCTTCGCTGTCTTGCTTGGCAGCACGCTTCTTGTTGGATGATCCTTCAATTTCTTCCTCATCCATACTAGATGCATTCATCAATTCAAGTTCCTCATCTTCATTTAACAATGGTTCTTCATCCGATCCAAAGTCAGCGTCTTCTTCTCCGAAATCCATCTCCTCGCCTTCTTCTTCATCGTCTTCGCTATCCATCAATAAAGCACGCATAGCTTCATCATCTTCTTCGTCATCTTCATCTTCCTCAATATCATCTTCATCGTCGTTGTCTAATCCACCGGGTATAGATGACATCATTGCACGCCACACTTCATCCTCTTCTTCATTATCATCTGCTGCCTTCTCTTTCTTGGACTTCTTGGGTGCACTTACTGCCTTTTGATTGAAATACTTGTGGAAAAATACTTCATCTGCTTCAACATCCATTTCTTTTTGTTGCAAAAATTTATCCGAATTAAGGGGAACTGTATTTTGTTTGATACCACTTCCTTTTGTGAACATAATACCGCCATCACGCCTGCTACCAGACAGAGGTTGCATAATGGATTGACCCTTGGTAGATCCAGTCTTTTTGGCATTACGATAAATAAATCGATCCAAGAAATGCATCAACGTAAATTGATGTAAATCAGGTTGGTTCTTAATAAGCTCACCTGCGAACAATTGCTCTGTGTACTTGGCAACAGAAGGATGGTAATGTGTTTTGAAAGGGATCTAAAATAAGAAAACAAGGTTTAAGTATTCCAGTTGTGAAATCATAATAAAAAGTGTACTAACCAATTCCCATAAACAACTCTTTTCGGCATTACTAAATCTGGGATCACGCTTTCTACCATCATATTCTCCCTTTCCGTTGCTAGCTCTCTTGGCCTTTTCGGCAGCAATCTTGGCCTTCTTTTCTTCATCGTCATCATCTTCGGGTGCGTCCACAAAGTATTCTTCCTCATCGTCTTCTTCGGGTGTTGTAAGCATAGTACGAAGCCCGGGTTGTGCTTCCATCAATTGACTTAAAAGGAAAAAGATACCAGAAATGAATGCGGGCTGATTACGAGCTGCAATTTGAACCATACGCTTAACATAGGCTTTAACACGACGAGTGTCGGTATCAGCACGAATGGCTTTGAAAAGTAGGTTCAAATACATGGATTGTTTGGAGGAGTGACTGATTCTGGGATCCAATAAGGATTCGTATAATGTACGATAGAAACGATCGGATACATTCTGCTTCACAAGAGAAATCGTAAAAATGAGTGAGAGTGCTTGAATGGCTGCATTGAATGTACTGGCATGAGTCATTCTAAAGAGAACTTCTAAATGCTTCTCGACCCTAAGTTACGAACAAAATATACATACACAAATAATAAATACATGTTATCTTTTTTTTTTTTCAATACTTGTTTCACAACTTACATTTCATCAGAGATGTTGGCGAAATGGAAAGCACGGTTAACACCGGTTAAAATAGCAGCAATCATCTTGGATTGGTGATCTTCCAATTCCATTTCTTCCTTCTTTTGTGCCTTTTCCTTGGCTTCTCTCTTTTTACTCTTCTTTTCGGGTTCGTCAGAAACAACTTCTTCATCCAACTTCTTCTTGTTCTTCAATTCGTCCTTTTCTTCTTCTTCAACAATCTTAAGAAGCTTACGGAAGAAAACAAAGTATAATTCGACAAGCTTATTGGCAACAGCTGAATCCTTGGAGGTCAAAATGGTTTGATTCATTGTGATGATGGCATAATATTGTGCTTTTTCGCTGGTATTGGGGCGCATCACCAATTGTTCCAATTCACGAATAACAAACATCTTCATACCGGGATGTTTGACCAATAATTCGATAAGTAATTGAGAAGTTTTGGCAGCTACCTTATTGTCAGAATCACCCAATTTGTTTACAAGCAATTTGAGCAAATTTTGTTCTTGTTCAGGCTTGTTAGCTAAAAGATCATGCATACAAGTGACCATGTTGTTACGGACATGCATTAAGGTATCACGAGAGAGTTCCTATTGTCAAGAAATTTAATATATGCATCGTTTCCATATGTGCATAATACAACTTACTTCGATCAATTGGAGGAATTCAAGATAAGTCTTTTTGAGGTGATCTTCAAAGATCCATAATAACAAATGCAAGTTGGTAACATCCTTGGATCCAAGAGGTCTATCAGCGAAATAAATCATTTTACGATCAGGCAACACTGAGCCAATGAACAAATCCTTTAAACTGGAAACTGCCATGACAGACTCGTTTCTACCCTTCTTTCTACCCATAGCCATCAATGTATCTAAAGTCTTGATACCGTGCAAAGGTGATTCACGGAACATCAAGGTCAATGCAGACACTTTATCGTTCAATGTACCAGAAGTAATGATGTTGGACATGAAACTACGGTTGGAAGATGTTAAAAGAGGATGTTTTTCTGCTTTGGTGTTTTCTTCAGTTAAAATTTCGCGTGCAAAGCTGTATTTTTCAGATGTTTCCACAGGAGATAAACGTTGAACTCCTTCGACGGAAACGGGAGGAAGTGCCACCTTGTACCAGAAAGGTGTAGGTTCAACAAGCTGTCAAAAATAAAAATAAATTAGGTCAGTTGATGCATATTTCCAACTTGTCATTTGAAGCTTACCAATTTCTTACTGGGAATCAATTTGGGTTGATGGATCTTCATTTCGGAAGGATAGTCTTCCTTTTCAATGACACTCTCAACAGGCTTTGCTTGTTCCTCTTCTTCCTCCTCAGACTCTTCCTCAGACTCTTCTTCCTCGGACTCTTCTTCCACCTCTTCTTCGTCGTCTTCTTCTTCTTCGACAACTTCTTCTTCTTGTTCATCCTCGGTGTCAATATCTTGTTCATACTTTGAAGCAGATAAACCAATGTTGGTCATGAAACTCATCAATTCTTTTTGAAGAGAGGCCTAATACAATTGTGTCAGTTTTACATACAAAGCTCATTCCTTTCTTCTTTACCTCTGTCTTTTCATCATCGCCAGTAACCAAATTATCATTTTCCTCGTTATCAATTTCTTCCAAATATTTAACATCGCCTTTAGTTCCACCTAATGCTAAAATGGCTTCCTTAAGTTTATCGTTTTGTGCTGCAAAAGGGCTCTTCTCATCGCTCTTCTTGTCAGTGAACTTTACTGCCTTGTCTTTTTTATCAAAGGTCTTCTTGTCGACTTTCTTGTCAAAAGTCTTTTTGTCGACTTTCTTGTCCTTTGACTTGTTCTTTCTATCTGCTCCTGCCATTGTATGTAATGAAAAAAAAAAAGTTACAATGAAGAAAAAGATTTGCTTTATTTTGACATAAAAAAAAAGTCAAAAAAAAAAAAAAGTAGTCATGTGACTGCTTTACGGGAAAATAAGCCTCCCCTTCAAATTATCTATCTGCGTTTCTCAACATTTCTAAAAAATTAAGAAGTCAGTATAAGAAGTCAGTAAATATTTCATGATTTATTTTTTTACACTCCTTACCTTTCCAGATATCATGAGATGGAACATCTTCAATAATACTATCTTCCTCCTCCCCCTCTTGTAGAATTTCTTCATCAACGTCATCCTCATTTTCTTCATCGCTTGACAAGTAATGGTCGTAGACGGAAGAAACGCTATGACTAGTAATGATTTAGGAAATAGGCTTTTTTTTTGTATGTATCAACTTACTTTGCAGAGGAAACAACCGAGCTACCATTGTATGACCTGAGATCAGGGTGACCACTGATTGGTGTCCCATCATCTTGCTGTTGTGCTACTATTACATCAGTGTTGTCAATGACAATAGCAGGGACTAAGTAAAATTAAACAAATGTGTGTGCTCAGTGATCACATGTGCAACATGGTACAAGATTTCCATATATTTACCTTCGGGTTGCTTTTTAATGTTTGCTAAATGTTTAAGGAATTTTTTTCTTAAAGCGATCGTTTCTATTAACCCTCTAACTCGATCAATAGAGATCAATGTGTGAATCGCTTCATCCTTTTTCTGATTTTCTAATAACTCTTCCAATCTAAGACAAATAATTTAGATGACTTTTCTTTTTCTTCTTTATACATGCGTCTTACATGAGTGAGTTCTCAGGAACAATTAATTTCCTTTGTGCGAGCATTAGTAACATTTGGTTGAACGATACACCTCTTGCCGTAGATTCCACCAGTGCCGTTTCCCAATAAATCTTTTCTAAATCATGTCTTTTCGCGTGTATTTCTCGTTTATCCAGTTGATTTAGTTTTTCATTTAATGCATGCATGTCTAAATGGTGTCCCGCTTCCTCATTGACAGTATTTGTACTACATTCTTTCACCAAGTTCTTGTACGAGTATTCAGGTTCAAAAATTCTCACAGTGAAAATACCTTCCAATTTACGCCAAAGTGTCATGTACTGACTCGCAGATATATACCCCGTTCTCTCCGTGTCAACAGAAGCCCAAATCATTTTAAATTTACGGATTTCGTCTCGGTTCACCAGCGAGAAATTTGCCTTGATCTGGTACACATACGAAAAATTATCGGCCACAACAGCGACGAAAATGGCAATAAAGATATACATGGAAATAATGTTAAAAGTTAAAAATAAAAAGTACGACCATCTTAAAGAGCCGCAATCTGAATCAAGGTAATCATCTGCAACAACACAATTGGGGAATTCTACCGTGAAATCATGCATAATGGCATTCCATCCTTCTCCCGTAGAATACCGCACCAAGGAAATCATTGTATTGCTGTAGGATCGGAAATTGATGTGCTCTGTTTGCGCACTAGGTCCGTATTTTGTTAGACCAAAGATCTGCATAAACATGATGGCATAGGTCGTCAACACCACAAACCAGACAGCAAACACATTGACGATCTGATATGCAGAGGCTGCCATCGTTGTAAACAGCTGATTCAGACTATCGCTTCGTTGAACCAACTTGAAACAAAGGGCCGTCATAAACAGTTTCTGACTTTCCACGTTCACTTGCAGGTTCGGATTCCCCAAAGTAATAATAGCTGTAATAAAACTTCCGATCACCATGGTCAAATCAAACAAATTCCAGAGATTTCTTCTAAAAGACTTCCATCCAAGACCCAAAAGTTTAACCATGATTTCAAGCCAATATATTCCAATAAACACCAGATAAATATACACCTTTACACGACTCCAGCCTTTAGCCCCATTATCCTCGTTACCATCTAAATCATTAGCAGAGTCTGTGCACAAGAACAAAATATTTAGCGAGATAATGAACGTCATAAACTTGTAAAATTTTCCTCTTTTTTCCACAGTTAAATTGAAGCAAATCTTTCTAAATGGGTTAGATGGCATGACCTTGGGTCTTTTGGCAGGGCGAATCTGGTTTAACAATTTTTTCAGATCTAACCAACGTCGTTGATCACCTGTCAAATACGCTGTACCATTTCTTCTCGTGAAGTTCTCAATAACAACACCCAAAAAGAGCGAGATTACAAAGACAGAACCAGCCAGATTATAGACCATAAAGAAAATACCCCAAAGTTGACTTGCGTCTTGTTGCGTAGCCTGATCTTTACCCATAACACTCATACTTGTAGCCAAAACGTCCACCCAGCCTTCACCTGAGGCAATTTCAAACAGAATCAAAAGCGAGCTCCAGAACGAGTCAAAGCTATACACATACGGGTTGGCCCAAATGCGGGGCATATACATGGTAGCACCATCAGGCTGAGGCTCTTGCATATCCAACATGCCTTCGTTCAAACAGCCAAATTTTGTCATCTCATCACCGTCATTACAGTTATAAAATAAGCCCATAAAGATATTCTGGCCATAAAGAGCAAAAGGCACAATAAGACAAAGACCTAAAGCTGCGGCATCAAGAATACGTGGTAAACCCGTTACCAGAATAGCTGTAAATGTTTCTTTAGCAGGTCCCAGTAAATTAATCAACCGTAAAGCTCTTAATGCTTTAAAAGCTCGAAACCCACGCTCTAGACCTGTAGCGCCTGTGAACCTTCCAAAGTTTGACATGTATAAAGAGATCAAGACAAAGACGTCTAAAAGGTTCCAACCGTTCAGCATATAAGCGTTGGGTGTTAATAAGAGACCATCGGCAATCACCTTAATAAGGAATTCACACGTGAAGATCACCGTAAATGCCCAATCTAGATTAATAAATCTTTGGAGAACAGCCGGGTTACCACGATGTTCGTGCTGATATACTGGCGAGTTGTAAACTGTAAGCACAACATTAGCTAGTACACATATAGTAATGATCGTCAAAAATATTATGCTGCCCCATCTTGAGGGAGGTGTACCAAATATACGCTCACCGCGACTAGGCTGAACAATGAGCTGACACCACCTTCGAATTGGGTTACCGGACGAAAATATATACAAAGATTTATCGTAACTGGGATGAGCTAGAATAAAATCCCGTTTCAAAGCCCTTCGTTCATCAATGTCGTGATCTGCAGCCTCCTGCTGAAAGCGAGTAGCAACATTTTCTCTAAGCGTCGGGTCTACTAAATACCTCAACGATCTTGGTTCATTAATTTCTCCTCCTCGTTTCTTGAAGTCGTAAAAGGTGCCTACTTGATCTAGAGCGTTTGTTCCAGGGTTGAGGTATAGACTGGTTCGATTATTGAACTTTGGTTGGTCTGTCACTTTATTATTAGAATCCGGAAACAGTTTTGACAAGAAGTTCTGTACTCTTTTTAAACCGCCATGTGGCTCATCCACTGATTTTGAAGATACGAGGACAGGCTCATGTTGCTGATCGGCTTCATTCATAAATTCTCGCACAATGCTTTTCTGCACAGACAGTACCAAATTACTAGGAATGTTGGTAACATCCAATTCTTTTGGCTTGGCTTTAAAATATCGATAAATATTCCATCGACTCACCACTGTCTTCTTGTCGATTTCGTTTTCTGTTTTTTTCATGTAGTGAAGAATTTGGTTTTTACGCTTGTCGTTTTCGGCAATTTCAAAATTTTCCATCAATACAGCAATAAACATATTTACCAAAACGACTATTGATAAAAATGCCATTAAATGAGGGAAACGAATATATAAAAAAAACATCTGTCGGTTTTAAAAAAGGTGTACTTACAGTTAGAAAAAGCAAACCAAAAAACAAGAAACAAGGCATAAATGGCACTATTTCCATTGGTAGAACCTGCTTCCATAACATTGTACAATACCGTAGTCCAATCTTCGCCAGAAAATAGCTACATATTAAAAGAGTGAGTCAACTATACTTGTATATAATCCAATCAAAACGTACTTGATATAAACCGACAAATGAATTGTAAATCGAAAAGAATCTCATTTCCTCGCCCGAATCAGATGGAATTACACCTTCAAACAATTGGTAAGCCTACAGTTTTGTCAAAAAATAATTAAATGAGGAATCCATATCGTGTTCAAAAAGCCCACTTGAACTTACAATGATAGCAGTAATAATAGTCGCTAGCACAATGAAGAAGGATAAATTGATCAAACCATGGACACTTCCCAAAACTCGAGACTGTCAATAATAAGACGATTAGTATTGTGCAAAAGCACGCATCAAGCGGCCAAAAAAATGAGATTTAAGAGGGAACAAACCATAAGAGATCTTAAACGAGGAACAGCTGCAACTAGTCTGTATATTCGAAGCACTTGGAATCCAGTGAACCATATATACACCAAGGTATGTTTGCGAATAGGCGGTATTTGTATAATACAGGTGATAACTGCAATGATAAGATCCGTTGAATTCATCTTATTCATGAAAAATCCCTTTAAATCGTTTCTATCATTCAATAATCGCAGCAGTATTTCAAACAGAAAGGCCAAGGATAATACTAATTCAACCATAGACAATGATTCCAATTCGAAATCCGACATGTCATTGTTTTTGGCTGCCATACAAAATAAATCCACGGCGATAAGAAGCAGCCAAAAGGGCTTCATAAAATTAACAATTAAATTCAAAGTTGTCATTTTCCTTAGCTTTAAGGCTTCTTCTCGCTTTGCATCAAAGGCCCAGCCTTCTTCGTCATCTGCTAATACGGGTTTAATACTCGAACTTGTGAAAGCTGAATGTTGAGAATCTTCTCGCACTTTAGCAAACATTTCGGTAATGACGGCGATAAATAAATTGACCAACCAAAAATTCATAACGATGACAATAATAACGAAATAAAGACTTGCGATGAAGTATTCGGCATCCATCATATCGTACATACGATCTGTCCAAGACTGTACTATTTTTTTTAAAAAAATAAATGTCGTTAATCTTCTTTTCAGCCCATCTCCTATTGTTCTTTAAATTACCGCCAGTAATGATCATGACGAGCAGCATGGATTCAAAAATATTATCAAAACTAATTGTCCCGCCAAATGGATTTTCAGTTTCTTGACAGATCAATCCATTCTCACAAATAAATCCTTTCGACCATGGTGCACTCTCATTGTTTTTGAGCTTGTAAGGCACTGTATTGCCGAATTCGTCAATGTACCCCCCACAATATTGACTTAATTCAACGGTGTTTGTACTATTGGCTGGATCTAAATATAGGACAAAATGTTAAATCCCTTTTTCCAATTATCCGGATCCTGTCTTACCATGCCACACGCAATGTCTTTTAAATGAGCCTTTAAATGACTGAACACCGACGATTCTAATGTTTATATATTAGCATATATGCATTATCTTTTACCAAGTATTCACATACGCAAAAATAACGAAAAAGAACAGCACGAAGTACAAGACGTTGACCAATAAAGGTGCAGCCTTTTTCAGACTGTTCAAAATAACTCGATTACCATCTGTGAGGTTTAATAATCGGAGTAGAATGAGCGCTGACAGCATTTTAAATACAAGCAATCGCCGTCCGGCTTCATCGTTAATCTCTTGTTGGGTTAACAACAGTCCAAAATCAATCCAGTAAGCGATAATCGACACAAAATCTATTCGGTTCCAACTATGTCGAAGAAACGCAGTTTTGGTGTGTTTGGGGTTGATAAAGAGTCCATAAACGATAATCTGACATAGCATAAATAGCCTATAGATCATCATTTTTTTTATGTCTTATAAGCCCCTTGGTATTACATTTTTTTACAAAAAAATAAATTAGTGCCACTTACGTGTATAATGAAAATATGACTAAAAGTGAAAACTGATCCCATGTTCCTTCCCATTGGTTTGGTGGCTCTGGATCAGAATTTGTTCCCCAGCCAACAACGAATAAGGTAGTGCCATGAAAGGCCAACAGTAACATCATGAAAGTCTCGTACCATCTTGTAAAAAATATTAAGTGAACGGGCCCCATTTTTTTTTTTTTTTTTTTGTTATCTCTCTCCTTACTTACTTCCAACACAATATATCTGCCAAGAGTATTCGAAACGGATTTGTTGGTGAAAGTAGTTTTAAACTATATCCACTTAAATGAATATATTCTTTGGCATCCTTCTTTTCTGGATTGATATAATACGATGCAGCATGCGCCAGCAAATGATTCGGTTTTGACATATGATATGGTTTATTATGTATACCTTGGTGAATAAGAGGGAAAGTATCTGAATCCGGTCCATTTTGTTGTGGCAGTGCGGTTGTGTGCGGCTGGGCTTGTTGTTGAGGCTGAATATAGCTGTCACTATTATTATTATGCACATTGATAACCCTTTTTGATAATCGACGTATTGCTCTCGATGTTCTTTTGAGTGCAGCCTTCTTATCAAAGTGGATAAACTTATTGATTTTTCTTGTTCGTTGATCTACCTCGGGATCTATTAAGGCAGGCTCATAAACGTGTGAAGCTCTGTGTTGCTGAGATGAAGGTCTGGATGTATCATCTTGTTGTACCTTATTTTGATGAAAACCAGAGACAGATGATGCATTTACTGTTAATCTGGCGGTATCTGAGAAGTCCTGGTTTTCATCATCAAATGAGACCATACTGCTATCCTCAATAATTAAAGGAGTTGGACTTCTTTCTTGTTCGAATTCGGTAATAAAAGCATCCATACTTAGAGGCTGTTTCTTTTGGGTATATCGACGTTGAATATCAGAAGTGTTCACTTTGACTTTGGGTGCAAAAGACATGAAGGATGGCGACTGTTCTTGTTGATCATCTGATTGCACGTCATGCCCAGCCAACAAATTCTCATTCAAAGATCTGTGTAAGCTTTTTTTAACACTTTTTAATTTTTTTATAGAAGGCATAACATTAGAGGAAGAAAGTGTAAAACAAGGGAAAAAAAATTGAGGAGAAGGTTTATAGAAAATGTATTTGCAGACACAAATTGGACATAGATTTTCAAATTGGGCACTTTTTTTTTCATTTTCCGCACAATGTGCTGTGCGTAAAAAGTTAGTAGAGGGGTCTACAACTCCGCACCGAAAATATTCGACACTTTTCACAAAAATTTGAGTTCCTTTAGTCATGCATTTTTTTAAAACCAAAAACTTGTTAATAAAAGGTATCTCAAATTCTACCAAACTTGACAAAATAGCAATATATATATATATTTTGTAAAAAGAAACTTTTTTATTTACGTTAATAAGTGGTATTTGAGCCACGAGCTTTTTTTACTGCCCGGCATCTATCGGGCATACTTTCTACAAGCTTATGACACACTTCATCCCCCAACAACTTCCATTCCTGATGAAGTGCAACCTCCAATTCATTAAGATTTTGAAGCTGGGCTCTTCTTTTAGCAATCCTTTGTCCCAGGAGGCGCCAAAGGTTCTCAATCGGATTCAAATCGGGACTTTGAGCGGGCCATCGCTCAAAGCCTGCAATCCCAGCCTTCTCTTTCCACCACCTCGTATATCCTCCTGTATGGCATGGGGCACCGTCTTCTTGGAAAATAAAGTCATGACCATATTTCTCTGTCAATTGTTCAAGCCAAGGGAGAAAGTTTTGACTTAAACAATTGACATATTTTTCTTGATCGACAGACCCTTTTAGTGTCACCAAAGGGCCCAAACCGCCTGCCCAAAAACATCCCCATACCATCACTGATCCCTTACCAAATTTAAATGTTGGTAAAACAAATCTATCCATATACCTTTCACCCTTCTTTCTAATAACTCTCACACCACCGTCGTTGTGCCTGAGTGCGAATCGCGACTCATCGGACCAGATTACCTTCTTCCAGTCATCTAATGTCCAATTCATCTTGTCGTCGACCCATTCTCTTCGCGTTTTTTTATGTCTAAGACTCAAAAACGGTTTTTTGGAAGGTCTGCAAGAATAAAAACCGTTTTTGCGAAGTGCATTCCTCAATGTCGTCAGGCTGATTGGATCGGTAGCCTTCGCAAGATTTTGCATATGAACACTTAAAGGTTCAAAGGAGTCCCTTCGAACTAAAAGCGTCAGGTGATGCTCAGCTCTTGCTGTCAGCTTTGCTGGTCTTCCTGGACGAGGTTGGACAGTCGTGATCCCTTCAGTTCGATACTTTTTTATAATCGTAACAACGGTTGTTCTAGGAACGCCCAATTCTTTGCTGATTTGGGTACCTGTCCATTTGGCATGCTCTGCCAAACCGCAAATGACTCCACGATCGAAATCTGAAAGTTCCTTGCTTTTTCTAGAGACTTTGTTAGTAATGTCAGTAAGTGGCATGATAAATTGTGTAATAAAATATGAAAGAATCGTTGAACGAAGAAAGAGTAGGTTTATTTATTTTTTTGGCTCAAAACGGAAGTGTCGAATATTTTATGTGCGGAGTTGTACATGTTAAACACAATTTCAAGTCGCTTAAGGACATCCTAATTTGGTTCAATAAAGCTTACAATAAAAATCTTGGTCTCTAAAAAACATCCCCTTCATCAACGTATACAGATAAACTGACATCACTCGAGTGTATTGAGTTTAGGCAGATGAATACAACCTTAACCACGACTCTTAATGAACACCCGATATCTATGAATAAAGTTGATAATATATTATTGGGTAAGATCTGCTCAATTTACCATAAACAATCAAAAAGTCTGGAGTAATTTCAATGGGCAATGTATTTATGCTGCAACAGCTGTTGTTTTTATTTGGCCAAATCATTGTACTACTGAAACAAATAAAAAACTGCCAGGTGACATTGAGTTGAGATTGTCTACATATTATCTCTTCACCTTCATAGATACAAAGGACTTTTTTCATTTTTTTACTACGTTTCAAGAACCAGTTTATAACAAGATTAGGTTTTCTGAATTGTAAATATGATAGTACAAAGAACAGTAGCGTTTTTCCTAGTTACGCATCAGTCCACCGTACATCCAAATGCAATAGTACAGATGAAAAGAAGATTAAAAATAAGGCTATAAACTTCATTGGGTATATCAGTACCTAGCACGAAAGAACAGTTCATAATAATTTATGATAAGTTACAAGTGACAAGGTGTCATATATATAAAAGTAAGCTGTATTATTCTAAAAATCATTTAAAACATTCAATAAAAAGTTTCAGTGAAACTGACTCTCCTTGTTTTTAGTTCATCGCATTTCGACAGACTTTCAGACCTTTTTGCTTTTAGGCAGTCGTAAGTAAACATTGCTTCTGAAAATACTAACCCTCACTCAGCTATGCACTATTCGAAAAAAAATGTCGGACCTTTTAGTCAAACTTGATCAAGATAAACGATTGGCTGAAACTCAGGACTTTTTTTTTCTAAAATTCCGCCTAAAAAAAAGCATATAAATAAAGCACCTTTTTAATTTATTACACCTTTCAGCATCCTTCGCTGACGATATTCAGAATACCTTTTCATATTGCATATTAATAAACAAATCCCCATTCTTTTTAAAACTTTTTCTTTTATTAAAACTTTATTACATCACCTGCTTCTTTTGCATTTTATCAAGTTTTAATAAGTAAGAAAATTAGTTTGCCTTAGCGTGTTTTTATAGTGGATTTTCTTACGTTTTTATTTTATCTAGGGAAATATATATAATATGGCTTCTAATTTCCCTATTCCATCCGTGGCTGCTGCTGGAACTGCTCCTGCTATGAACACGGGTGCTCATATTCCTGCGCCTGCTGCAAATGCTACTCCGCTCCCAGTCTTTTCTCCACGTTCTCCTTCAGCTCCTCATCGACCTGTTACCGCCTATGATGATAAGGATGTTACCACTGCTGCTTTAGTGTTGCAAGATGGGTCTTGTTACCAAGGAATCTCTTTTGGCTTTGAAAAAAAGAGCATTTCTGGCGAATGTGTTTTCCAAACTGGTTAGTTGTAAAATATTCCGTTTTTCGTGAAACATGTCAAATTAAAGATATAAAATAAAACATATTACAGGTATGGTAGGTTATCCAGAGTCATTAACTGATCCATCTTACCGCGGTCAGATTCTGGTGTTGACTTTTCCCTTAGTGGGAAATTATGGCGTACCTTCTCGTTCTGAAATGGATGATCTTTTGAAAGATGTTCCTAAATACTTTGAATCAAATGAAATCCACGTGGCTGGTTTAATTGTTGGCAATTACGCAAAGGATTTTTCTCATTACTTAGCAACGTCTTCTCTTTCTGTTTGGCTGAAAGAAAATAATATCCCTGCTCTCTACGGCATTGATACGCGTGCAATGACCAAAAAGATTCGAACCAAAGGGGCTCTTTTAGGTAAGATCCTTTTTCCTAAATCCATCTCGGGTGGTACAGTGGATGCGGCTGCTTCTGCACTTGGATTGACTAGACCTTCTGATTTGCAACCTTCCGAGCGTTGGATGGTAAAGTATCAAGATGTGGAATGGGTCGACCCAAACAAGAGAAATCTCGTAGCCGAAGTTTCTATCAAGGAACACAAGATCTATTACCCAGATCCTGCAAAGGCTATTAAGACTCCTTATGGTCGCACCATGCGTATCATTGCCGTCGATATCGGTATGAAATATAATCAAATTCGTTGCTTCGTGCATCGTGGTGTCGAATTAAAAATTGTCCCTTGGGATTATGATTTCACGACTGAGCCTATCGACACCTACGACGGTCTTTTCCTTTCAAACGGTCCTGGTGATCCCACTACCATTGATATTACCATAAAAAACACGCGTAAGTTTCTCAAGGATCTTAAAAAACCAGTTTTTGGTATTTGTTTGGGTCACCAAGTTATGGCCCTTGCATCGGGTGCCAAGACACTCAAGATGAAATACGGTAATCGAGGTCAAAACATCCCTTGTACTAGCTTGCTTTCAGGACGCTGTTACATCACATCTCAAAACCATGGTTATGCTGTCGATGCTGCATCCCTTTCTCAAGATTATAGGGAGCTCTTTGTTAATGCAAATGATGGATCCAATGAAGGTGTTATTCACAAGTCTCTTCCAATTTTTTCTGTTCAGTTCCATCCTGAGTCCACCCCTGGTCCTCGTGATACAGAATTCCTGTTTGACGTTTTCCTTAACAACATCAAAGACTGTCTTGATAAGAAGTCGCTGGTACCTGTCCATATGCCAGGTGGCGATATTGTTGAGAATGAAAATAAGAACCCTCGCGTTCATGTCAATAAGGTCCTGGTACTCGGTTCTGGCGGTCTTTCCATCGGCCAAGCTGGCGAGTTTGATTATTCAGGCTCACAAGCAATCAAGGCTTTAAAGGAGGAAGGTATTTATACAGTGTTGATCAACCCAAATATTGCAACAATTCAAACATCGAAGGGCTTGGCCGACAAGGTATATTTTCTGCCCGTTACACCAGAGTATGTTCGGAAGGTAATTCAGTATGAAAAACCTGACGGTATTTATGTCACTTTTGGTGGTCAAACAGCTCTTAGCGTTGGCATTGCTTTAAAGGATGAATTCGAAGGATTAGGCGTGAAGGTTCTTGGTACTTCCATCGATACTATTATTACTACCGAAGATCGTGACCTATTTAATGATGCTCTTGGTGAGATAAACGAAAAGAGCGCTCCTGCCTCCTCAGCCATCACAGTCGAAGAAGCTGTCGCCGCTGCCAACGTTATCGGTTATCCAGTCATTTGTCGTGCTGCTTACGCTCTTGGTGGTCTCGGCTCAGGATTTGCCGACAATGATCAGGAATTAGTCTCGCTTTGTAACAAGGCATTTGCTACTTCTCCTCAAGTCCTCATCGAAAAATCCATGAAGGGCTGGAAGGAAATTGAGTACGAAGTTGTTCGTGATTGTCGTGATAATTGTATTACTGTGTGTAACATGGAAAATTTTGATCCTCTTGGTATCCATACTGGTGATTCGATAGTCATTGCTCCTTCACAAACTTTATCTGATGAGGATTATAATATGCTCCGTACTACGGCCGTAAATGTCATTCGTCATTTAGGTGTTGTCGGTGAGTGTAATATTCAGTATGCTTTAAACCCCTTTAGCAAAGAGTACTGTATTATCGAAGTCAATGCTCGTCTTTCTCGTTCTTCTGCTCTTGCTTCGAAAGCTACTGGTTATCCTCTTGCTTTTGTTGCTGCTAAGCTTGGTTTGGGGATTCCTTTGAATGAAATTAAGAATAGTGTTACCAAGGTTACATGTGCTTGTTTCGAGCCTTCTCTCGATTATGTCGTTGTCAAAATTCCTCGTTGGGATCTCAAGAAATTTAACAGAGTCAGTACAGCCCTTTCTTCTTCTATGAAATCTGTCGGAGAAGTCATGGCAATTGGACGTACATTTGAAGAGACGATTCAAAAAGCGATTCGAGCTATTGATGGTAATTTCATAGGATTTAGTGAGGTATGTTGAATGTGTTTAAGTTTTGAGATGTTAAAGTTTGTGGAGCTGATTGACTTATAGAACGATTTTGTAACGGACGAAGAAATTGATTTTGAGCTGACGCATCCTTCTGATCAACGTTTATTTGCTATCGCAAACGCCATGACAAGAGGTTATTCAGTCGACAAGATTTGGGAAATGACTAATATAGATAAATGGTTCTTGAACAAGTTGCAACATATTGTGTCTTTAGGAAGCCGACTTGACGGTTTCAACAAGTCAAATGTCCCCGGTAACTTAATCCGTTCCGCCAAACAGCTTGGATTTTCAGATCGTCAAATTGCACAACATTTGAACAGTAATGAATTGGCCGTTCGTAGACTTCGTCAAGAATATGGTGTCACACCATTTGTGAAACAAATTGATACCGTAGCTGCTGAATTCCCTGCATTTACTAATTATCTTTACATGACGTATAATGCTGTTGAACATGACATCGAATTTGAAGATAGAGGTATCATGGTGCTTGGTTCAGGTGTGTATCGAATCGGTTCTTCAGTTGAATTTGATTGGTGTGCCGTCCGTGCAATTCGTACTATTCGTGAGCAAGGCTTGAAGACTGTCATGGTTAACTATAATCCTGAAACCGTATCTACTGATTACGACGAGGCCGATAGACTTTACTTTGAAAACATTAACCTCGAACGTATCTTGGACATTTACGAAATAGAGAAGTCCGCAGGTGTCCTAATGGCAATGGGTGGTCAGACTCCTAATAATATTGCTCTGCCTCTTTATCGTCAAAATGTCAAGGTTCTTGGTACTTCTCCTGAAATGATTGACAATGCTGAGAACCGCTACAAGTTCTCTCGTATGTGTGATAGTATTGGCGTAGACCAACCTCTTTGGAAAGAATTGACTAGTTATGAAGAAGCCGAGATTTTCTGTGAAAATGTCGGATTTCCGGTTCTGGTCAGACCCTCTTATGTTCTTTCGGGTGCTGCCATGAATGTTGTTTTCTCCAAGGACGATCTTGCTGCTTACTTGAGAGAGGCAGCAGCAGTTTCTCGTGATCATCCGGTTGTGATCACAAAGTATATAGAGGAAGCTAAGGAAGTCGACATGGATGCTGTAGCTTTGGATGGTAAACTTATAATGCACGTCATTTCAGAGCATGTTGAAAATGCTGGTGTCCATTCTGGTGATGCTACACTTGTTTTGCCTCCTCAAGATTTGGACCCTGAAACCATTCGTAAAATTGAAGTTGCTACAGCCAAAATTGGTCGCGCTTTGAATATTACAGGTCCTTTCAACATTCAGTTTATTGCCAAGAATAACGAGATCAAGGTGATTGAATGTAACGTACGCGCAGCCCGTTCGTCTCCTTTTGTATCCAAGGTTACTGGTGTGGATTTGATTGAAATGGCTACGCTCGCAATGTTAGGTCTTCCTGTCACACCTTATCCCAAGGTCAATATGCCCAAGGATTATGTTGGTATCAAGGTGCCACAATTCTCTTTCAGTCGCTTGTCAGGTGCTGATCCTATTCTTGGTGTGGAAATGGCTTCCACAGGCGAGGTTGCTTGTTTTGGTAAAGATAAATACCAGGCTTATTTAAAGGCGCTTTTGGCAACTGGTTTAACTTTACCCAAGAAGAACATTTTGTTCTCAATCGGCTCTTACAAGGAGAAGCAAGAGTTGTTGCCATCAGTTCGCAAGTTACATAAACTTGGCTATAATATCTTTGCCACCACTGGTACAGCCGACTTTATTTCAGAACATGATATTCCTGTTAAACATCTGGATACTTTGGATGCTGAAACAGATGATCAAATCAAGGCTGAATATTCTCTTCAACAGCATTTATCAAACAACCTGATTGATCTGTATATCAATTTACCTTCACGTAACAGATTCCGTCGTCCAGCTTCTTACATGTCAAAGGGTTACCGTTCTCGTCGTATGGCTGTTGATTATTCTGTTCCTCTTTTGACCAACGTCAAGTGTGCTAAACTCTTTATTGAAGCCCTTGCTAGAAATAAAGATACGGGTATTTTAAGTATTGATTACAAAACAACTCACACTCAAGCTAGCCTTCCCGGTTTATTCAATATCAATAGCTTCATCGAAAATAGTGAAGAATTTGATGATGTTTCCAAAGCTTCCTTATCTGCCGGTTTTACAACCATCTCAGTATTCGCACAAGACGTTATCAACGATTCATCTTTAGAAAAGTTAAGCGATATCTCGCGCAAGGCTTGTTATAACGACTACCTGTTGAATGTTACGGCCACTTATGAGAATGCATCCGAAGTTGGTAATTACGCTTCGGATGCTGCTGCAGTCTACATCAATACCGATCGCATCGGTTCAGGCAAGGTATCCGTATTCGACTCTGTCTTCTCTTCTTGGCCTGTATCTCAACTGATTATCACCGATGCTAAAGGAACTGATCTTGCGTCTATGTTACTTTTGGCTTCTTTACATAATCGTGTGGTTCATGTTTCCAACGTAATGAGTAAAGGAGACTTGGCTCTAATCAAGATGAGCAAAAAGAAGGGTTTGGCTGTCACCTGTGACGTTGCAATCTATTGTCTTTTCTTCACATCCGAAGAGTTTAATGAAACAAAACTCTTACCTACCAAAAAAGAGCAGCAAGCACTATGGAAAAACCTTGATGTTGTTGATTGCTTTACGGTCGGCACTGTGCCTCGTAAGTTGGCAGCAGAATTAGGTCATCAAGCCGATGCTACAGCTGGTATTCATGAAGCTCTTCCCCTTCTTTTGACTGCCGTTGCTGAAGGTCGTCTTAGTATTAAGGATATCTCAGAACGTCTTTATGATCATCCTAAGGCCATTTTTGGTATTTCTGCTCAGCCTGATACAGCGGTCGAAGTTGTTGTCGACCGTAAGGTTTTATGGCCCAAAAACACAAAGAACTGGTCTCCCCTCGCTGGTCGTACTGTATCGGGCTCCGTAGAACGTGTAGTATTAAACGAAACTATCATGTTTATGGATGGATCTTTTGCAAATGAATCATTACTCGGTCGTGATGTTTCTATTCAAGCCCAAGCTGTAAAATTAAGTAGTGACAGTGAACAAAAAGAAACAAAAGGAACTAAACATCAAAAATCTGAGCACCAAATCGAACAGATTGAACAAACCTCAATTGCTCTTGAAAGCAGTGCTGTCAAAGAAGATCGTGCACCACGTGCATCTGATCCTGTTCGTTTAGCTGGAGCAACAGACCAGCAATTAGTATCTTTACAATTGCCTCGCTATGAGATATCCGCCTCTTTGGCTCGTGTTGTTAGCCGCTCTCCTTTCTATCGTAAGCATATCTTGCGCTCTGCACAGTTTGATCGTGACGATCTTCATCTTTTATTCGGTGTTGCTCATGAAATGCGTAACTTGGTTGAACTCTACGGATCTATTAATATTTTGCAAGGCCGCGTGATGAGTACCATGTTCTTTGAGCCTTCAACTCGTACATCTTGTTCTTTTGAAGCTGCTATGTATCGTCTGGGCGGTCAAGTTGTATCTGTTAGTGCTACTACATCTTCTGTTCAAAAAGGAGAATCTCTTGCAGATACAGTTCGTACCCTAGGTTGTTATTCTGATCTCATTGTCTTGCGTCATCCTCAGCCTGGAAGTGCCCAAATTGCTGCAAAATATAGTAAGGTTCCTGTTATTAATGCTGGTGATGGTATTGGTGAACATCCTACCCAAGCTTTCTTGGATACTTTTACCATCCGTGAGGAACTGGGTACTGTCAATGGCTTGACGATCACAATGGTGGGTGACCTTAAGAATGGTCGTACTGTTCATTCGTTGGTCAAAATTTTGGCTTACTATCAAGTCACAATCAATTATGTTTGTCCAGAATCACTGGCCATGCCAAAGGATGTCATGGAGGCTGTTAAAGCTGCGGGTATTCAACAAAATGTTTATGCTACGTTGGACGAAGTAATTGGTAGTACTGATGTTCTTTATATGACTCGTATCCAAAAGGAGCGTTTTGACACTGTGGCCGAATATAACCGTGTGAAGGATGCCTACATCTTGAACAACGATGTTTTGAGTAGAGCCAAGTCCCAAATGATTGTCATGCATCCTCTTCCTCGCGTCAATGAAATCGAACCAGAGGTAGATTTTGATCAGAGAGCTGCTTATTTCCGTCAAATGAGATATGGTCTTTTTGTTCGAATGGCCTTGCTGGCACTTGTTATGGGAACACTACGTGGTTAAACTAGCATTCTTAAATACCCATATTAAAAGCAAAATAAAAATAAAGTATAACAGTAATTAAGAAACCAGACTTCATTTTTATTTTTGTAGCTAGCTTTCTTCAGTTAAACATGGTGCCTCTTCCACCGCTTTACTTTCTACCTTGGTATCTTAAACATTACTTTTCGAGTCATTACAACAATAAATTTTGTACAAATGCTTGTGATAGCGATACTTGGTGGTATATTTATATTTGCAACCAGCACACCGAAAATCTGGATTATCGAAATCAGGCTTTACCTCCGCATGTATTGCCCTATCAATGTCCAGAGCAGACATGAAATGCAAACGTTTCAAATGGTTGAAGTAACTCTCTTTATTCAGAGCCTGAAACCCACACGGGCGGCAGTACCAATCTGTAATGTTAATCTCAGGTTTATCGTCAGGATCAGGGGTTCCATCAAATTTCTTTAAATAGGCTATTATTTCATGGGTTTTTCGTAAATGTTCAAGAAATCTATAATAGTAAGCAAATGTCATGTTACAGGAACGGCAATAACGATTAGGATCAAACGGGCTTGGTGTTATGTTTGAATTTTTGCTGTGCAATTCCTTTTTGTGTTTTCTAAGCTTTTCCCGGTTTTCAAAGACTTGACTACACGTAAAACAGTTCAATCTCAGGTTTAATGCATCTGGTAATGTTTTTTCCGGCTTCTTTATTCGTTTTAACTTATGATTTTGCTCCAAATGAATGTTACGAAGAATTTTTTGAGTGAATTTTTTTCCACAAAAATAGCATCGATACGTTCGTGGTTTTTCGAAATCAAATTTGTTTAGCGTGGTAACAGGGGCTTCCAAATCACAGGTTGGTGATTGATTATCGCGACTGTTGATAAATAAAGGCTCTTTGGGTATAAAATCCACGTTAGTATGACCACGTAAACTTCAACAGTCTTTAATAAGAGCACCTTGCTTAACTTCATTTTTATTACACAGTAAAAATTGTATGGTTCTCAGTGCTTCTTTTTTTATCTTTATAACTGTTTCGTCACTTGTTGTCTCAGGTACTGTCACTGCCGACAGCCCTTTTTCGCACTCTTCCTCTTTCACTATCACGTTGCTCCAAGCATCACGTAATGTTCTGGTAAAACCTATTACTTTTTGGCCCAAAACAGCCTCATTCGACATTGTGCACCTTTGTAAAAAAGTATAAGAGAAAAAGAAAGAAAGAAACAACGGTGGTTACACTTATTGGCGTAATTAGAGCAACCGGATCATGTTATGATTGGATCCAGTCTACAGCATTTGTCATACAGATTTCCTGGTAAACACGCATCACAGCAATAATACCAGCAAAATTATAATCATAATAATATTAACTAAAAAAAGAGTTTGTTTTATATAATGATCAAAATAATTTAATTTAGATTTCATTTTGAATTTTACAGTAGTTAAATAAGAACATAAATCAATGGCCTGCCCATTTTCGGACGATTATAATTATAAACAGCCACGATGTTGTAAGTACCACCTTGCGACTTAAAAATGGGTAAGAGCCGTCTCTCTATTAAAACATGTAGCAGTTTACTACAAAAAGACATCGTCCAAGTGCCCTTTTATTATACAAGTCTTTTTCATTTTCTTTAGCCATGCAGGAATGGAATATGTTGACCTTCGAGGCCATTGTGGAAAACGGCCAAAAATATTTTGCGAGGGCCTCCAATACGTTCGTTGGACATGTAGTAGCATAGAAAGCGTTTAAACGCGAACATAGTTTACAAGAAGACCTTAACATGAGTTTACATGCTCTTAATAAAGTGAATTTTATTGGAAAGAGATAGAGCTGTGTAACGTTTGAGGGACTAGTATCGCGCGCGAGACAGTGGCATTGCGCAGCAAACGCGCGAATCACATGAAATAATTTTTGCATGAAGCAAAAAAGTCCCCGTCACGAAAGGGTCTTGTGATTACCCAAAAATTTTTTTTGAGGGGGTGGGGGAAAAGGTATAAAAAGGGCAGGATTTTTCCTCATTTTTTTTCTTTTCTTTTTCTTTAAAATAAAATCATATTGCCTTGGTTTACCGGGCTTTGGTTTTTTACCGTTAACGCGGTTTTTTAATATTAATGAAAATGAAAAAAAACCTAAAAAGAAAATTATTTTTTGGATTGATTATAAAAAATAGTTTTTCCAGCAATTCTATTGGCTGAATTTTGCTTCCATCTAAATGCATGAAGCGGGTTTCAAATGCTCTTGGGAAGTGTGAATGGTCTTCCATTCATTAAATTAACAATAAGAGTGTGCAAGTGAAAGAGTTATAGAATACCTACTTCTCAAATAAACGCAACTTTGTTTAAAAAAAATCATATTTATGACTCTACAAGACATCGACAACCATTATTGAATTTGTAGTTTTCAGTTTATTAATGCGTATGGAATAGATCCCTGAGTTACGACATAAATTGACTCTTTTTGTTTTTTTTTGACAGCCATGCACTTGAAAAAAAAAAAAAAAAAAAAAACTTAAAAGGCAAGTGTCACGACCCTAATTTTTAAAATCTTTAAAGTATTAGTGAAAAAAACAATAGCATCCACATCCCCAAAGTCAAACATCTTTATTCTTTCCAATACGACATCGAAATTTCTTTAATGACAAAAAAAAAAATTCATCAAAAGATCTATCATAATATCAGCTTTGCCATACTGTCCCCAGATGTCAACACAATTTGCGATAGCTCTACTGATATACCTGTCAAAGTGACAGTAGAGTTCATTTAAGGCTGATAAGAATAAGTGTCATTTAGTAAAAATATGGTCCTGTGAACTCGTAAAGATAATCATAAATGCACATGACATATGGCGCCTAGTTATAGAGTGTTTATATGTATAGGCAATATAATAGTCATCTAAGACACTATAGGTACATGGTCGGCCTTTCTCAATAATAAAATGAGTGTACTTGTACTCTCACAAAGCATTGACTAAAAAAGCCAATATTTAGCCCAGTGAGGATCTATAGGTAATATTTCATCAATTTGAATTGAATACATGTCCAATGCAATCCACAATCAAACGAGATCCAATATCAGATTTCTCCACAGCAGTTGAATTGGGTTATGTAGAATTGGCAGCCTTAAGTTGTTCTCATGCCTTTGTGTAACGAGGATACTGTTGACCGTTTCGGAACCGTAGAGAATGATGGTCACACAGATTTTTCTCATCGGCTTTTGCACAAGGTAAGGCTTTCACGTAATACAAAAATGGTAGGAGAATTATTCATGCAATTTTTTAGGAAGTTACTTTATTTCGTGAATCATTGGAAGGAGTGTAAAAGTATGAGGATCTTAGGGCAAAAAGAAAAAATTTGGAAGCTGATTGAGATAAGAGTCAAAGAGTAGGACAACCTGTTACAAGAGCTATGATGATGAACAGTTTGTCATTCCGCTAAATCAATGATTGATCTTCAGAGTGGCTCTATATCTCCGCTTACCGGAATTGAAGTAGCCACGGTAACGAGTACGATAAACAGTCTATTTGATTTGTTCATATGTTAAATCACTGTCCTGGATCTGATGCTCTCATACATTATTTCCGGAAATTATTGGTGCAAACGTAAAAATCATTTTGGTGCAAACAAACTTTATAATACAATTTATACATGATTTTTTGTAGTGCACCAATTTTTTTTTTTTTTGCACCAGTAATTTCCGGAAATAGTGTAAATTTTGTTAAATCAAACAGATGAAGGAAGTTGGTATCACAACTTTAAAAGCATATGTGTGAAAAGCTCGGTGAGCGGTGAAGAGGGTTTTAAAGTACCGAATGAATTTTGGGGGAAAGAATTTTCAAATGATTTATAAGGAGCTGAAAAAAAACATTATATTTAAAAGATGGGGATTTTTTTGTAGCATAAATATTTATGTGAAACTGTCTGTGCATATGGGGGGCAATAGCCTTAAATTTACACAAACAAAATACCAGCTAAACTCTGTTATTCTAAAAGCGGGTCTTCATTTTCCTTTGGGAGCACGAAAAGCAAGAACATCCAATCTCAGTAGGTTTGTTTAAAAATTTTTTTTTGAGACATAAAGTATTTTTGTTTTTCTTTTTGACAGACCTCAATTTCCCTTGTTTTACTTTGTTCTTTTCACTCATTAAAGATGCCTCATAATATTGAAGCACCCGAGTATCATTTGAGCAGTGCAGGTGTTACAAGAAGAGCATCTGTAGCTCCAACAATAACCAGTAACACATTCAGCAGTAAAGAAGAAGAAAAAGAAGCACGCTTTCCTGAAACTCATGATTCTGCATCAGAACATACAATTGCAGAAAATACACCTAAAGCACCCAATCTCTTTGTTGTATTCAGTGGTCTTCAAATTGCCTTATTTTTAGCTGCTCTTGATGGGTAAGCTAGTCCTGTTTATAACACATAAAAAATCTTGATCTGACACGGTCTTATTAGAACTATTGTCGCAACAGCGTTACCTCGTATCGGATCTGAATTCAATCAAATGACCATTGTCTCTTGGGTTGCTACGGCCTATATCTTGACATTTGATGCGTTTCGTAAGTTAAGATAATGGAAATAAAAACAGATCTCTGACTATTTCTTTAGAGCCACTTTTTTCCAAATTCTCAGATATTTTTGGAAGAAAACTTATTCTCATGGTCGGTATCGTTATTTTCCTGTTTGGCTCTTTGCTTTGCGGTGTAGCCACGGTAAGCGAAAGCAGTAATAGATTGTAGCAAATTTGTATTAACTCGCTCTCGCAGTCAATGATCATGTTAATTATTTTTAGAGCAGTAGCAGGTATCGGAGCCGCCGCTATTTTCTCAATGGTACAAAAAAAAAAAAAAAAAAAAAAAAAAAGGTTTACTAAACCCTCATCGTATTTAGGTGTTTATCATCATCTCTGATTTAGTCCCAATTGAAAAAAGAGGAAGCTATCAAGGGTAAGTCCTTTTAAGAAAATAGTTTCAAAGTTTCATATTCTTAATCATATTTTTTTTAGCGTTGTAAACTCTGTGTTTGCCTTGTCCAGTGTTTGTGGACCCTTAATTGGAGTAAGAACAAATTTTATTGGCGGGAGTGGTGTTACATTTTATTAAGCTATTTTTGGCTCTTTTAGGGAAGTTTTACCGATTACGTAACATGGCGCTGGAATTTTTATATCAAGTAAGTATAAAATCAAATATCTTGACAAGATAATTAAACTATTCCATTTTTATGAAAAAAGCCTGCCTATCGGTGCGGTTGCTATGGTACTTTTGTTTTTCTATTTGAGATTACCTTCACCAACAGGTGGATTGAAGGAAAAGATAAAACGTATTGATTTCATGGGTACAATCATTGTTCTTGCATTTGCCACACTCTTTTTGGTAGCTATGAATTTCGGCGGTCAAGCTTACCCTTGGAAATCAGCTGCTGTTATCGTACCTTTGGTATTGACGGTTCTTTTGATTGCTCTTTTGGTCTATGTCGAAACCAAGGTAGCGGAACCTTTAATGCCTCCCCGCTTGTTTAAGAATCGCTCTGTTGCTGCTGTCTTGGCTACCAACTGGTTCTTTGGTATGACTTTTTTCAGTATGGTTTATTATCTTCCTATTTATTTCCAAGTTATTCGCGGAGATTCTGCCATGTGGTCTGGTATTCGTTTAATTCCAATGGAAATGATGATTGCAGTGTTTTCTACCTTTTCAGGTATTTTTATTTCCAAGAAGGGTATCTTCAAACCTTTACCCCCCATTGGTATGGGACTCTTAACAATTTGTGTGGGATTACTCTCATTATTTGGCAAGGATACTCCTCATTCCAAGGTGTACGGATACACTGTTATTGGAGGCATGGGTATGGGCTGTATGTTCTCATCAGCCATCATTGCACTTCAGGCTTCTGCCGAGCCAAGAGATATTGCAGTTGTTACTGGTCTTGGTAATTTCACACGTATTCTCGGTGGTGCATTGGGTGTAGCCATCTCTTCTGCCATTTTGAATTCTTCTTTGGCAAAAGATTTACCTTTACATGTACCTGCCGATATTGTTCAAAAGGTGCTGGCCTCTTCCGAATTTGTTCGACATGGATGTCCTCCAGAATATTTTGAAATCGTGCTTACTAGCTATCTCGATGCACTTCAAATGATTTGGTATGTTATGGCAGCCATGTGTGGAGTTGGGTTCTTTTGTTCGTTATTGTTGAAAGGCACTAATGTGTCTGATCAACCCACAGATGTTACTGCAGACTCTGAAGCTGACATTAACGAGGGTGCTGTTGCTGTCAATATTGGATCAGACATCAATAAGCAAGTCTAACTTTTCATCGTATATTCATCATATATTATTATACATTCATCTCCCTTTTTACATCTTATATAATTTCCCTTCTCGTCATTGCCCCATAATATTAGACTCGCTTTTTTTTTTTTTTTTTTTTTTTTTTTTAATATATCATCCATTCAAAATAGACTACACATTCAAAAACCATTATTCGACATCTTAACTTGAAAGCGGATAGCGATACTACTACAATACTACTAATGTCCTAATCAGTGTATAAGCATATAGATATGTATGTATAATTTTTTTTTTTTTAAAAAAAAAGGTTAAAAAAGAAAGCATCCTTTTGTATATTTTATAAAATGTATTGTTTTAGTTTTGTTTAGTCTTTCACATTCGTTGTATATAAGGGGGCTCTTCTTCTTCTCAATCAGAATCAAAACGAGTTTAAAATCTAGGTGGGGGACCACCACGACCTCTGAATCCACCACGGCCACCTCTTCCTCTTGCTATTAAAGATGATAGTAACGTGAGTATTTTTTTTTCGCCCAATCCGCATTTTCAATTATTTACCTTGTTGAGCACGGGCGACAGTAGCTCTTCCTCTGCCCAAACCAATGCCTCTACCCTTGAGTCCACCAGGACCAGCTCCCTTGAACATGGGGGCATTCTTTAACATATCGGGTACAATGAAGAATCGGACGTGAGATCCACGAATATAAACTTGATCCAATTGTGAAACTCTTCCATCACGTGCAGTAACTGTAATATCTCTTAATTGAATGTTCATGTTATCTTCGGCTATAAAATATACGCGATTAGTTAAAATTCATCTAAGTTTTCTTTTTAGCATAGATATCAAGCGGCAAAATAAAAAAGTTATCCTGACATCAATAGTTTTCACAGGTTTTACCTTCTAATAATTTTCCACGGTAAAGTTGTCCTGTCTTTAATTCTAAAGAAATAATGTGACCTTGTGCTTCATGAAGAAGTTTAATAGGAACGCCAATAGTCATGATGTAGATTATAAAATTAGCAAAAAATAGTTGAAAGAGATGTCTGGCTAAAAAAAAAATATTGCCCCACTGAGAAAAAAAGTGTGACTGGGCTGACGTACCTGGTGTGGTGTGAAGGGAATCCCCGCCATTGAACCTCGTTTCATTGGCAGCCTATCTTCTCATGCTGGATCATACAAGTGCTGCAAGGAGCTTATTATTGTTCATGTAATTCATACAATTTCTTACAGAGATATAAGCCCCTGATAGAATGAGTATATTAATTGTTTAAAGGCACATATTCTTCTTGCATGTAAAATGGATCTAATAACACTCACTGAAATTCAGATATGCTATAAATGGATCTCAAACTGTAAATAGATATTAATATGAACCACATAATATCCTGTGTCAATAAAACAGTTGCTAGATCGAATTAAAGTTTGTTAAAATACAGCCTTGGCCAATGTGTCAATTTATGCTGAAGCAGGGCTTTAGTGGGTAACATTTATCAACGATTCTTTAAGAAAAATCATCAATGAGATTCATGCGCTATTTGTAATTCTTGAGCAGTGTACAAATTAATGTACCTAAGTGTATTCCTAGGTAACTTCCGACACATAGTAGTAGCGTTTTCTGAATTAAAAGGTTAATTCTGACAGCTATTATTAAAATCATTATGAGAAGGGCTGCATTTTTTATCCTGCGAAAAATAATTACGCGCCTTATTTCTGCCTGTTTGCAAAGTTGCTGAAGATGAAAATGTGTAACATAAGAATTCCTCAATTCAGACTAAAACACTTCATTCAGTAATCAAACATCCTGCTTAAATTCATAAATACATATCCTACCTTCTCTTATTTGGAATAGATTAACAGCCCAGTACCTCTCAATTCATTAAAGCGAAAGATGGGATATATTCTCCAAGCCACATTGTAAAAGGGGCATAAAAAAGGCGTGACTTGCAAATTATATTAAATGGTTAGGGAAACTGTAAAAAAAAAATATAGATCGTTTTCAAACCAACCTTGATTCAATTAAATAACAAAAAAATGAGTAAACTTTTAAAGTACGAGGGGTTTAATTACCTTAGACAAAGACTTATTCTCGCCACTTTGAGTGGTAAACCTGTTCGTATCGAAAAGATTAGATCTGATGACGAAAATCCCGGTTTGAAAGGTGAGTTTTGTCTTGTTATTCTGACAGGCCGATCCGAGAAAGCAATGCTAATCCAAAGTGGTAACTTAGATTTTGAAATGAAATTTCTCAACTTGTTGGAAAAGGTTACAAATGGTTCTGTTATCGAAATCAGTTATACAGGTAAACGCAACAATGTTCTTCCTTAATAGGAAAACGAGACTAAGGACTTGATTTAGGTACTTCTATCCTTTACAGACCAGGAGCCATTGAAGGTGGACGTATTCAACACGATTGTGGCACTGATAGAAGTATCAGTTATTTTTTGGAACCCATGATTGCACTCGCACCTTTTTCAAAGAAACCCTTTGTTTTAATATTGGAGGGTATCACCACTGATCATATCGATCCTTCAGTAAGTTTTTATGGATTTTGAAGAAGGGGAAGAGGATATTGATGTATTATTTTCTAGGTGGATATCATTCGTACAGTGTTATTACCTCAGTTAAAGCGATTTGGTGTTGATCAAAATTTAGAGCTCAAGGTAAAACGATTAAAAAAGAAATGGAAGAGATATCAGCAATGTCTAATAATAGAGAGTAGATCACAAAGAGAGGTGCACCACCATTGGGTGGCGGTGAAGTTATGTTTACTTGTGTGCCTGTCCGTCAATTAAAGCCTATCCAATTCACTGAAGAAGGTCGTATTAAACGTGTCCGTGGTATTGCTTATTGTACTCGTGTGTCACCCCAAACAGCTAATCGTTTAGTCGAATCTGCTCGTTCATTATTGAACAGATACATTCCCGATATTTATATCTACACTGATGTCTATAAGGGTGCTGAAAGTGGTAAATCACCCGGTTTTGCATTATCGTTAGTCGCAGAATCCACCACAGATGTTTTATTATCTGCAGAAAAGGCTGCTGAGCCTGGACAAACACCCGAGGATGTTGGTATCATTGCATCTAAAATGTTACTTAATGAAATTCGTAAGGGTGGATGTGTCGATACTACAAGTCAATGGTTAAATTTATTATTAATGATTTTGGCCCCTGAGGATGTTGGTAAAATTAGAGTTGGTGAGCTTTCTGCATTCACGTAAGTTGCTGATATAGAAAGCCATAGACTTTTCTTGCTAAACAATACCATTTTTATAGTATCCAATATTTGCGTGATCTGAAATCATTTTTTGGTGTATCATTCAAGATCCAACCTGATAATTCTAATGATACCATCGTCATGACATGTATGGGTATCGGTTATGTTAATCAAAACAAAAAGACAACTTAAAAATAACATTTGTACAAAATAAAATATATATAATTTTCCGAGACGACACGACTTATTAGAGCGCATAAATAGCAAGGAACAGGTGGAGACCTTCAACCTGTCGTGAGCAATCCAGTCAAACTTACTGTCATACATTTTCGACTTTAATTTGTGTGCTGAGTGATACACTTTCCTGATCTAGTATTGATTAGTTGTAGGTATCGTTTCATTGTTATTAAATCCTCTCCAAATAAAAAATAGAATATATGTGTATGGCATTATATAGATAATTTAATAAAGTAAGGGATATTGTAAAAGCCAAATAATAAGAAAACCAACCACAAAAAGCCTTTTGTAAGGAGGGTATATGATATGTACAAAGATATAACTATAAGAAGATTTAAAAATGAGGTACATTAAATGCTCTCATTGTCATGTTTACAATAGCAAAAGTGCCTTCACCGAGCACAAATCCACTGGCTACCACCACAATAAACACTTTGCCGACAACTCGATAAGGTTCCAACCAGCTGTGATCTCCTTTGGTTTCACAGTACTTGTTCCAGAAATGCGACACGAAGCCACCAATGACTCGAGCAAGTGTAAAAGCAGGTGGGTTGTACATTCCAATAGCAAATGCAATACCTTGAGGGATAAACTTGGTCCACGAATGTTTAGGGTATAACTCCTTGATCAACACAAATACGGCAAACAAAATGGCAAATGCAAATACAAATTCTGTGACATGCGATGGCAATTCGTGGCCATTGACAAGTCTCGACATATCGAGCCAAACTTGTGCAGTAGGTACGGGAAATTCAGGTCCAGGAATATTGTACACACTTCGGTATAATAAGTAGGCACCTGTGGCAATAAAGACACTGGCAAACGATCCAATCATTTGGCCATAAAATTGAGCTTTGGGAGAAGCACGTAATAAATGCCCGGTCTTCAGGTCCTGCATTAAATCGCCAGCTTGTTGTGCTCCCGCTTCAGCAATCCCACCAGCTATCAAATTGCCCAGGATTGATCCAGGCAAGATACCAGCGAAAAGAACTTGACTGATCTTGGATATACCTGTGACAGGGTTTAAATCAGTCTCACCTAAGGCACGTACACCTAAAATACTTAAAAACATGGCCACCACAACTGCTAAAAGTGTCATACCCGCAGGTAAGACATCAGGTCCAAACACAGTACGAATTAGAGCAATACATGCAATAGTAGAAAGCAAGAGTCCAATGATGGTCACACGTTTGGAAACCTGTTGATTAATGGGAGCATCAACTTCTTCCTCCTCTGTCTCTATATATTCATCTCCATTGTCGCCCGTATTTAACAAGGGTGTATAATCTACCAATTTGTTGCGGTGATAACCAAATTTAATAAGCGTCCTGATAAGCACAACGATAAGGGAAACAATAGATTCAGCAATCATCACGCCCAAAGAGATCCACAAAATCCAACCTTTAGATCCAGTCTTCCAATCCCCAATAGGACCTGGAGCCCATCCAGCATAAAATGCGACAGGCGACAAAACACCCCAACCTACAACACATCCCAACAACATAGATAATGTGGTTGGTAGTCCCATGATAATTCCCTGACCAATGTAACTAAAACTTGGTGTGAAATACCATTCCCAAGCCTTAAAATCGATCAAGTTGAACGTCATCCAGTTAAAAATCGGTAAAGCTGTCAGCACGGGAACAAAATAGCATGTCACGGTGTATACAGAAGATGCCACAAAAGAAACTAATAGTCCACGTAATTTGAGTTTCCAGTTGTTCTCAAAATGCTCCTCGCTTACTGCACTGTAATTCGTAGGTGAGCTACTCATCAAAGGCTGTTGCTCATTTCCTCGACGTCTGCGAAGCACAGTTTTTTTTAAGGTGGGATCTGGTCTTTGGTGGAGCAAGCTGATCATTTGTGCCGTGGCTGTGCCGGAGGGAAATTTAAGTTTTTCTCGAATAATTGTTTGTTTTCGTAGTGGGATTGCAAAAAATACACCGAAAAATGCAACACCCAAAGACCATAAAATCAATTGTCGTCCGTTTAATACCAAAGCACCTCCTTCATTATCGTCTGTCGTCATCAATTCCATTGCAGGTATCACACCAACAAAACCTATAAGAGATCATCAATGAAAAAGAGTTCTTCTCGTCCCTCCAAACACACACTATATATATATTTACCGGCTGCTAATGGCATAGTGGCTGTAGCTACTGCAGTTGTTTGTAATACCACATTTTCGATAGGTCCAAACTTGTGTCTGAGCATTGGTTGAAACGGTTTAAAAATCGCAAACCCCAACAAGGAGGATTGAAGTGACATCATGGAGATCCAGCCTGTCTGGAGACCAAAATACATGTTTGAGAAGCACATTAATGTACCTATCAGTAACCCTAATCCAACTGCTCGAAACTATAGCGGGTTAAACAGTGTAACTTCACATACATACACAAACAAAACTTACTGTGAAATGATTTTGTTCATCCTCGTCTGCGTTGTTAAATACTGCTGGATCTATATTATAAATGATGTTGGATATAGGTTGATACGACGAGAAAATAACATACCTCGAAAAGAATGCATCTCTGAAGGAGATACAGTATGAGTTTTTCTCATGTTTATGTATATTAAGAAGTAAAAACAAGCAAAATAAGAAAAAAAAATTGGTTTTGGCTTTTTATTCAATTTTATTACTAATTCAAGACGATGACGATTATTCAACAGATTGTATTGGCTGAGAGAAAAACAAAGGGTAGTGCAAAGAAGAGCATTATTGGGTCACACCTTTCAAGTTTCAAATTTCGTCTTACTTTTTGAAGGCTACGGTATGTACTCTTTCTTCTATTAATGCTATTCCCCTACGTACCTTTGTAGTGGTTTTTTTAGCTGACACCTTGAGCAACAATAAACATGTTTGTGTGACTGCCCTGAAATAACAAAATTGCAGAAAAAAGAAGGCGGCTGTTCAACAATGCGTAAGAAAACAAGAGTCACCTGCGATCCGGGGGGTGAGCGTTAATTGGTGAGTGGCTTCGCAGGGTGTTTAAAACAAAAAAAAAGGAAGACCCCCAAGCTTGGTCGACTAATCTTTTATTCTCCCCCTGAACTATATAGCAACATGGCAGTAAGTTTACGACCTACACCTTCTTTCTCTTTAACTTATTTCTCAACCAGTCTAGAATTATCAGAAGCACGCCTAGATTCGTCCCAGCAACCCGCACTTTGTAAGAATCTATTACGTTTAATTCAACAACTTGAGCAAGCATTAACACTAATTTGACTTAGAACCACCGCTGTTGAAAGTAAACCCGTTCTCGAATTACCTAAAGCCACCGAGACAGCTACCGAATTCAGTGAAGTCTTTGAAGGTATTAATAAGGAAAAACAGAGAGAAACGTCACTTGGAAACTCAACTTTTTTTTTAAAATCATAGTTCCTAAGCGTATCACACCTACCCATGATATTCCTGTATGCAATCTTCAAATGAGAGGATATCTTCCTCAACAACTGGATTTTTTTGCGGATTTTGCACGTCGTGCAGCTTTCCATATGGGTATGCCTTGTTCTGGCACAGTTCCATTGCCAACCCAAACTTCACATTGGACAGTGATTAGATCACCTTTTGTTCACAAAAAATCACAAGAGAATTTCGAAAGAAAGACACACAAGAGATTACTTCAAATCAAAGATACTCACCCTGAAGTTGTAGATAGATGGATTAAATATTTGACAATGAATGCACCAGCTGGTATTGGTATGCGTGCAACAAAGATCGAATTTGAGTCACTGGGAAAAAAGTAAATCTAGAAAGAATAAACAACAGGTTCCATTATATAACCAAATTGTGACTATGATGTGAGTGTAGTGTGTGTGTGAGTGAGAGTGAATGGGTGTGTGTGAGTAAAGGCACGTGGTGTGAGATGTCTCTTATTTTAAACATACGAGTGTGAGACTTTTTTCTTTTTCTTCTTTTTTCTTCTCTTCTTTAAACATGTCATATTTTAATCCTTCTGTTCAAAACGAATACTCTTCAGCCTTTCCACCGCTACCTTGGACCTTTGCAAACAAATCACATATACCAGTAACAACAGCATCAACCACAACCACAACAACAGTAACATCTCCAACCGTCTGTTTCTTTACTCCGCCTAAATATCCATCTTACCTTAAACATACTAGCTACGCCAATTTAGTCCTAGGGCAATATCATGACAGAAAAGCAAAGAACCCCCTTGCTTTAGATATTGACCTGTCTTTACCCCAGTTCTGGCAAAAAGATGTGAAATCACGACATGCTGAAATCGGAAGCAATGGATATGATTTAACTTTTACAGGTTTGTTATGCAACTACTTTCGTGGGAAAACTATTGTTTACTTTTCTTTATTTTGATGGGCGTTAGGACCGGGTAATTCAATCAGTATGCGAACAAACTTCCCAATGAGACCACAGTGTGGCATTTACTATTATGAGATCCGTGTCTTGAAAAGAGGTCAAGATGCACTTATTGCTGTTGGTTTTTGTAGATACAATAAACTTGATAAATTACCTGGTAAAAGATTTTTCTGATGTTTTTCTTTTTCAAATCTAATCCGTTTATGCTTAGGCTGTGAACAACATTCGTATGGTTACCATGGGCAAAGTGGTCAACTATTCAAACAAGGACACGCGAATCCATTTGGCCCTACATTTACATCACCTGATATCATTGGCTGTGGACTGAATTTTGCTACCAACTCTGCATTTTTCACAAAGAATGGCGTCTTACTTGGCGTTGCTGAAGACATTGATACTTCTGAATTACTTTATCCCTGCATTGGTCTTAGCACTAATGGCGAAAAGATAACTGCCAACTTTGGTCAAGAACCTTTTGCATTTGATATCGACCAATTCGTAAAGGTATTGTTTATACGCTTCTTAAAAAAAAAAAGCACGCCATATTAAAAATGAAACATGCACATCTACAGGAACAACAAGCTATTTCCATTCAATCTATTCACACAGAAAAGCAACAAGCACCGAACGAAAAATACAAGGTAGATTCCAAAGCAGATATGGACCAACTCGTATTATCCTATCTGCTCTACCAAGGCTATACACAAACTGCAAAATCACTCTTAAACAATATTGAGCACGTCAAACAAAAGACCTATACCGACCAGTTTAAGTGTGGTACAGACGAAAACAACAGAACTGCTATTCGAAAGTTGATTCTTGCTGGGTCAGTTGATTCCGCCATCGAACAAACACGGACCATGTACCCTGGTCTTCTTGAAGAGAATGATGATTTATTATTTCAGCTCAAAACGCGTAAATTTCTAGACATATTGATTGACGGTACATTTGCCCCATGTTATAGTAGCGATACGGATGACGATACGAGTAGCTCCTATTCTGGTAGAAGTCGTGCTCTCAGTGTCAGTAGTAGCTTTCATGAGTTACAAAATCAAGTACTCTATGAAGAAAAAGAACAGACACAAATACCTGTCAAATCAACTACATTAAATCTTATCGCTACTCCATTAGCGCCATTGCCTGTAGCCGCGTCGGGAAGACGCTTAAGCTGGGCTGCTATTGCGGCTTCGCCAACTTCCACAATCGACACCTGTGCAGTAGAAGATATGTTTATAGCCACAGGAGGCAAACGAAAGTCAATCACAGCAAAAAGACGCGATAGTCATAGCAGTATCGATGACAGCCACGAAGAAGATATGAAGAAATTATCAGTGATCAGAAAAGCAATGAGCTATGGTCATGAATTGCAAGAAGAATATGGATTGCAACCTAGGTATCTCTCCAAATTAAATGAGCTTTTTGCGATATTGTCATTTTCGGATCCCAAATCATGCCCGTCAGCACATTTATTAGAGCCTTCTCTAAGGGATACAACTGCCTCTGAACTGAACTCTGCGATTAAAAGTAAAGCAAAACCAAAAATGAATCCCCATATCCTGTGTTTACACATGTATTTCTTTTATTTTAAATTCTAGTCTATCAAGGTTGTTCCAAACATTCTAAGCTCGAATCGATTTACAAACAATCCATGCTTACGACTAACGAGCTTGTTATTTCTGGTCACGGTAAGGCATCGTTGCTTCATGTTCAAGAATATTTCATGGGTGTGTGAGGTGAAGAGTGCGAGGGGGAGGAGAGCGGAAGGGTATATTTTCTTTTATTTTTTCTTTTTCTTTTTAATCGCTTTTTTCTTGAACATTCATCCCTTTGGGCCATAACCCATCTTCTTGCCAACCAGTAACAAGTATGGGAATCTTTTTTATGTCAAAAAATAAATACAAACAAAAAAATCATATATGTGCTTGTCATATACTTACGACGTGCTGTAAAGGAATGGGTGTGCGAAAAGTCTCTCGTTGCAGCACCAGGTGTTTATAAATGGCAATACGCTGACCCTCTTGTTCAACAAGACTTTTACATTTCTCTGCATTGACTTTTAATTGCTCGGCATTTGCCTTATAATCTTCATTAGGCGTTATCCAAGCTGCTCGTCTGGCCTCCCAGGCCTCTAACCCAATGGTGGTAGTCATTTACCGAGAATTGAGATGATCAAGGCAAAAAAAAAAAAAAAAAAAAAAAAAAAAAAAAAAATAGGCCTGACAAAAAAAAAGTCTGATGGCAGTGACTTGTATTTCAAGTTGGGGTTCAATTGTTTGTGAGGCTCTTGTTGGTTCCTGAAAAGGCCTTTCCGATGATTTGTACTGTACGCGTTAAAGAATTACAAGAAAAAATGCACACAAAAGCCAGTGTTTTGGTCATTGAACTATTACGGGCTGACTCTACATTTAATATATGCCATGCAAAATGTATTATAATAAGCTGAGAGCTGTAGTATTCATATGAGTACACGACTCGCAGAAAATATTCGTGACCCAATATCACTTTTATTGACAAAGTAAATATTTAGCCCTTGCCCAATTTATTAAAGCATAATGCTTTAAAAATGATATTAAGATGTACCGAACGTTTGAGAAAAGCATCCAAAAGCACTATTTGGAATTTATCACCATGGGACATATAATAAATCGTTCTCCTGTATGTAAAAAATGTCTATAGCTATGTATAACATCATTGTCATCACAACCACAGTAACTAGATAACGTACTCATTAGATACCTGTTTATAAGACTTGTTGTATTGTCTATAATGAGGACTTATTAACATACATGTGGCCAAGTTATCAACTTCTGAAACAATTTAAATATCACGAAGAACATTTATTTTATTTTATATATAATGCATTAAGCCCTGAAAACCCGCCAGCTCTCGAACATAATACGATAGAGGTGCACAATTCACTTCCAGTTTGTAAATTGTATTACTCTGAAGATAAATTAATACAAAGCCTCTGTATCTTTTTATGCCTCAGATAAGGTTTTTAAATCATTTACTCATCAACAAATGTCATTTAGATAGTTTAGGAATATTTTTTTCTGCACTAAATTGGTACTTTTATCGCTTTTGCAGCAATACGCTCGGCGTCAATATGGAACACTGCAATAAGCTGTCTATCAAAAGTTTTTCCTAAAATGGAGGAGGGGTAAAGGGGATTAGACCAGCACTTAAGTTTTTTGGAAGCATAAATTATGTTCCTTAGCCCTCCCGTCTTCTAATGATCTTCCCCATGCAACTAACAACCCCCCTTTGAATTAAGATTATTATGTGATTTCATTAGTTTAACTTTCTCCTTCCCCCTACAAATTCAGGTTTGGTAACGAGGCATTTTTAACAAAAGCAAATAAAAACAGCATATACATAGCTTACGTTCTATATTTATTCTTTGTGCACCGCTTAATTGGCTTTTTTACAAAAAGACCTTCAGCTGAAAAAGGATCAGTAAAAATCATGCGTGAGGACTAAACTTAAAAAACCAAGTAATGATAAATTCCGTGTAAATTTGTTATTCTAAGGATTCATGCTTATTACCAAAACCAAGCACATGGGCCTCTAAAATAACTTTAAACACAATGTGAAAAATAAAATAACTGCTAACTTGTGTGAACCGACTATAATGAGACTACATTCATGTTGATATAGCTTGCGACACATTTATTTTTTGAACTTGAGTACGTCAATTTATATTTATTATTTTGAATCTTATCATGCATGGAAGCATCATACCGTTATACCTGTAGGGTGCCTGTAGAAAAACATCTTTTACGCCAATCCTGGCGGAAAAAAATACAAGTCTGTAGCCAACACGCAGAGGAGTTTTATTTTTAGTTAAAAGCGGTTTTATGAATGATCACTAAAAAAAAAAGTTTTGAGAGGTGGTGCAGTTTCACTGCAACACATGATCTTACATATGATAGCCATATAAGAGAAACTTGTAGTCTTATTTCAGCTTAGTGTCATATTATATAGCTTTACTATACCTTACGAATAACCAAACTCTTTGGAAAATGACTCCAATTCATATATTTCAATTAAAACTTTAACAACGCACGATTTTGACAAGTGTTTCTTTATATGACAGTATCTCGATCTGCGAAAGGCTTCTTTTTTTTTTCGGTCTTATAATTCATCAGATACCCTGACATAACAACGATGTAAAGTGAAAAAGACATCTACAAATTATAGGGGGCCGGTATATTGTACTGCAAAAGTCCGGATGTTGTGTTTTAAGGTAAGGTTTTAAATTATAAAAAGACTATGGGAGTAGTTTGAGACTGTTTATAAGATTGTCCTTTATTAATAAATGAAATGTACGAGTATTTATATAAAAGACTGTCTGCTGTGTTCATATCTCTAGTGCTATCTTGAAGTTATCATTGATTAACCAAAAATGTATACGATTATTACATAGTCACTAATTTAGTCTTGTTCTAATAAATGTAAAGTCTTCTTAACTCTCTTTGCTTTAAACTAAATTTTAAGTATTTCTCAGACGTACTAAATTAGACTTGTGATGTAATATCCTTATAGTTCTTACTATGACATTTATTGTTAAGCTTATATCACAAATGGTATCAGCATGGATAAACCTTTGTTAGCTCTAATATGGCTATAGCCTTGCTAGGTCACCACACCGGATAAACTCCGAATCTAGATTTCTTTTGGCACAAGACACAGTACAACATTCTCATTGAGTAAAGTCAAATCTACTTTGTAAATCTTTCTATCTGCCTGCCTGCCTCAATAAGCGTCTAATATCTTTGTGTGATGGCGACTATCTACAGCAAAACGTGTGCTGACTTGATAACCCCGATTGAATATCATTTTACATCGAAAAAAATAATATAGATCTTACATTTAATAATACTTGTACCATCCTAATAAGCGGAGATGTCACTTTAAAAGTTCATAGTTTATCTGCTATAGACAGTGTTGATACTAACCAAAAGTGCAGAATGTTCGTTGCGGATGAATTAACATGATGCCGTAGCACGGAGTTTGTAAATGACGGATGATCAATTTCTTGTTTAACATCACAAAGTGTAAAGAGAAAGAGAGAAAAAAACAAGCTTATAATCAAAGTTTCAGCCCGTATAGAAAGAAGACGGATGATTAAACATGTATAAATATTGCAAGTTAAAATGAAAATGTTTAAAGAGGTAGAGAGGTGCTTATTTTGGTGAAACTACTTCTTTTGGAAGTAAAACTCGTTACAAGTGTTTAAAAAAGGCAACGTATTGAGTGTGATTCAGGTATCACACAACCATTTGACAGATATATTTTTTTTTGTGTGTTCACACAATAATCAATAAAACCATTAAACAGACCCTGCCCTCTTTTTCTGTTTTATTGTTTACACAAACAAGAACAAGGTAAATAACCCCTTACATTTGACACGCATCTTTTTAGTAAACTAATCGTGCTCTTGTCTTTACTAGCCTCTCTTTTTAACATGGACTCTACAAAATCCAAACGCTTTTCTTTTGCTGGTTTCAGTAGTGGATTGTCCAGAAGTTTATCTTTTTCGAGTGGAACCAAAGTAAAAAAAGAGGAAGTGGTGGCTGCGAAAGACTCAAACCAAGAAGAGTTACGTAAATTAAGCCGAGCCCAAAAATCCAAAAGTTTATATGTAAAGTCGTTTAATAAAAAGACACCAGCTACACAGTTCGACGCTTCCGAAGCAGTTCAAAGCAACAGTAAAGAGATTCGTAGCTCCATTAGAAGATCCTTGTCAGCAGTTTTATACGCTTCTCCTCATTCAACAGATGATGACAAAAGCTATAGCAATAAATTAGTGCCTGTATTAGTGACACCTGGCCTCTCAGAGTCCCTTGGTGGGATTTTAATCGATGACGGCTCCAAAAATAAAATGATGAACAATGAAAAGACAACAGAAAAGAGTATTAAAAAAAAGAGACCAGTTGAATATGACAATTCTTTGGAAATTGTTTCAGAAGACAAAGAAACTACAATCATTTGGCAGGGTTACGGATACACAATTACAGCAGAAGGACAAGAAGAAGTTTCTTCCGAAATGATTACAGAAACAGACTTGGAATCACGTTTTGAGAAGGAAATTTGGAAATCATATTGTGGGCTGATTCATCCTCTTCATTTGTTTCAAGAACTGAACGATGAACAAGTGGTTGTTGACAGAGGTCGTTGGGCAGGTCTAAGTGTAACAGAGTTACGGCGTTATTTTGATAACTATGGCTCCATGTTATTAAAGATTCGTGAATCAAGAATGTTGGAACAGCAAAAGCATTACCAATGTCTGGACAATGTAAAAAAAGAATGGATTATACCGGATATCACCAATAACACTAATATTACAGTCTAAAAATTAATTCATAATAAATTATATACCAATTACTCTTAAGAAGTTTTTACAGGCCTATTCGTGTGCGTAGGGACGACCTATGATCTAATGACTGGTAATTCATAAGATGTAACTATGTGAAATAAATCTATGTGTACATGTACTTGATCAATGCAAACAATTATCGCTAATTAATCATCAGATAAAACCCACAAAGGTGTAGGCTCAAGTTAGCTGTGAGAAAAAAAAAAAAAAAAAAAAAAAGGAATTACGCAAAGTACTTTTTTATCATACATCCGATGCGCGACTGTGTACTGTATAAATGGACATGTGTTCAATGTAGTTTTTTTCCTGGGTCACAAACATTCAAATTAACAGGTCTAAAGTGTGCATATAAACAATGGGCAAACCAAAAGACAATGGAGAATAAGGAAGACAACGGATAGGTAGTAGGATAATTTTGATGTGTACCAATCCAGACCGTGTGAAGAGGAAACCACCTTAAAACTTTTAATGTTCTTATCATTGTTCTCCTATAAGCATTTCAAGAAAAAGCTTGTTGTATCAGGCAGTGACGTTGAAACTATAAGCCATGATTTAAATAGTGAGGCATGGTGTATCATAAAAGGCATCTTTCGACATATATGAAAACTAAATATCAAAGACAATCGTACAAAGGTGTAAATATCCCATAGTCACACAATTCTTGCTCTTTGAACTCTGGAATATAATACCAGGAAATATAACAGTAAATCCCAAAAAAGGACTATAATGAAGATTCAATACTCGCACAATAAGAAATGCAAATCTCCAAGTATAATTTTTTTTTCACGACTGATTTATCGATTAATATCGTTTAATCTGTTCATATAAATATTTAAGTAAGTAATCACAAAGATGAACGACAACGGAGAAGTTAAGATCTAATCTCATAAATCATTCAAAGGCGTTCAGCAATTGTTACAAGCCAAAATGAAAAAAACAGTGCTATTCCACAAATAATTGCAGATGATGGCAACCAAGGATTTGCATGCTATTCTGTTAAACTGTCCTATCTAATAAATAGTTACATGTGCGGCATCTTTTTTTTTTTTTTTTTTTTTTGGCGACAGCATTTTGGCAAAAGGTGTGAAAAGATATGAGCCAAACAGCACAGAAAATTGAGGTTATGTGTGTTTACGTATATGAAACAGAATTTCCGTTTGTATTTGAATCACCATTTTTATTTCTTCCAAAAAAGGTAAGCTGTATATTTGAAAATTAGTTCTAATTCGTCCAGAAGATTGCTTGAAGTATGGATATTGTAAAGCAACATAACCCTTTTTTTTATTGGTAGAAAAGAAACAAGGGGACGTGAAGCATTAACAACAACATTCCAGCAGTATAAATTAGATAAAGGAGGCGGCTATAATTAGAAAAAGTAATCGCATTGGGCTCACAGACCGAATACTATCACACTCCTTTATTTTTTATAACCCCTCTTCTTGGTAAGAACGACGTAATCAGAGAACAAAAAAAAAAGTGGATTTATTGATTAAGATAGGAGAAAATGTCTAATATATGTATAGTGCTGTAAATTAAATAAAGTGCGTGCGTGCGTGCGTACATGTGTGTTTTGTGAGTGAGAGTGCTAAGCGAGTTTATCTGCATCGGTTAGTGTAATTGCAATTATATCATGTCCTTCTTCAGGGTGATGAATGTGTGTAGAAGAATTGCTGGTTCTGTTAGTCACTTTTAAAAGAAGTGGTGTAGCAATTAAAGTTATTGATGTAACGGCCAATAAAAGATAATAAACTTCTCTTGAGATGATCGATAATTGCTTTGCACGAGAAGCAAGTACGAAACCAAATTCGGATATTTGAGCTAAAGCAATGGCCATGGTAGAGGATTTTTGTATATCAAATTTAAATAGATACAATATAATACATGTTGCGATATACTTAAATCCAATAACGCCTCCCGCAAGTGTTAATAGTAACATGGCTTCAGACGCCAAAAAGGAAGGGTATATATGAAGTCCAATTGAGGCAAAAAATAAGCATGCAAACATATCACGAACAGGTTCAATTACAGTAAGGGATGTCTCGAACATGCCTTTACGTGACCTAATTATGACACCAGCCGCAAAACAACCTAATTCCATGCCCAATCCCAGGTGCTCTGAAATTATAAGCATTGTCATGCATATGGCTATAGTACCCAGAAGCATGAGCTCATGGTTCTTCACAATTGATTGTATTGGTATCGATCGTCTGATAGCACGAGGCAGCATCGGTATTAATCGCAAAATAGCATAGCAGACAAGTCCGAATATAACAAACGATATGGTAATTCGAATGACTGCAAAAAGAACTTGGATACCTGATTTAGACAATGCCGGAATAATAGCCTATATTTGTAATTGGTAAATATGTCTGTTCGTCTGTGGTGATAATAACAACTTACTAGCATAAATCCCAAAATAACGTCCTGCATTACTAGTAGGCCATATAAATGATCAAGCTGGTCCAGCTTAATACACTTGACCACAACTGCAGTGGAACTTAGGCTAATACTAGCACCAACAAAAATGGACTCTTTTAGATCTGCACCAATTACCAGCCCCATAATTACAAAGAATAATACCGTGACGAGCAATATAGTCATCGCACCACCTAATGCTAATCTCCACATTTTTTTTAATTTGTCGAGCGAAAATTCAAGGCCAAGTACAAATACAATCAGTACTACACCAAGTTGAGCTAGTGTTTCGACTTGGATCAGCTCCTAATGTTTGTGTAAATATTCATCATTTTCATGCATTTTCATGTGTTTTACCTGTATAAGGTTATAGCCTGATGGCCCTATCATAATACCGGCCAAGATATAACCAAAAAAGGCTTTCCGAAGAAACCGATGATGATATATTTAATAAAATATATATCGATAAATAAATAAATAAAACTAACCTGGTAATCCGATCCAAGTAAACATCCAGCCCAATGCAAATGATGTAACAATAATAAGGATAAAATCGTGAATTAATTGTGTGTCTAATACAAATGTTAACTATAATTACGTAAATAGTAGAATATGTAACCAAACCTTCTATTATGACAGTTGTATCCGATGGTCTCATCATGACATATTCATTATTATCTTGATCGACCAGAGTAACCACGTTTTCATTTCGATCTTTACCAAGTTTTAAGACTGTTTCGATTCTACCATCGTCTGAAGAAAATAAAATCATGTTTTGCTGCATATCGTGTTCTAATTGGTCCGCATTTTCACTGACTTCTTTCAACATGCCGTTCAAAACTTCTTTCATCGATTCTTCATGCAATGTACTATCCACACCTAATTCTATTTCATCGTTACCAGGACTTTTGTGAGCATGGTCCGTATAGCTGCCTGCAACTGACTTGAATCGTTGATGTGATATTTTAACGGCTCGTTGAAAATCAAATGTTAATTTTAATGCTGGGCTTCTAAAATCATACGAGGACTTAAATGCTTCTTGACTGACAGTTTTTTCGTACACTTGTAAAATACCCAGCACAAAGGACTGGAAAGCTTCATAATCGGCTAGTTGCATTCCTGCCAAAGCATATAATTCATCATTACTTTCGCCATGGACTGCTTTAATGCTTTGGTATAAGCGATCCTTTTTAATCTTTAACTGGGTTTCGTGGTCTTCACCCTTTTGTAGAATGTCGTAAAGTTTCTCGGCCTTACTAGGAGATAATGACTATTTTTATCCCAAAGAAGGAAAGATGTATTTATATAACTCATTAGCAAAGGGGAAATACAGGAATAGCATCATGAATATGTACCGGTAGTAAAGAAGACGGTTCTCCACGTGTAAACGGGCTCCAACCGAGGAGAAGTAATACTAGTAAAAATAGCGAGCTCTGGCAGAGTAATCTCATGTAAACGTGGCAAATTAAAAAATCAAGCTGCAGAGGCCTTAGTATTTTTAGTATTTTTGCGAAATAGGACTAAATACCTCAACAGCGATTGGATGTTAATTTTCGGTATGAGTGACGTCGAATACCTTATTGCACAAGGAAACCCAAAAATCGCCTCCTTATCAAACGCCAAAAAAAAGTAATATAAATATAAGCAATTATTCCATTAATTTCCCTTTTTTTTTTCTCACAACTTAACAGCTAAAAAAAAAAAAAAAAACTCAACTATGACAGAACAACCACGTTTACCTCTTGGATATATGATTGAAGACTTAGAAATTGTCAAAGTCCTAAGCATAGGAGCCTTTGGTCAAGTTTATATGGCTAGAAATATACATACATTTAAGCGATATGCAGTAAAGTCTTTACCTCATGCTGGTCTCGACTCTCGTCAACTTGCTTTCCAACAAAATGAAATCACGTTGCATTCGCATCTTTCCGACCATCCGCATATCATCCGACTTGAAAGAGTAGTACGAACATCTGAATGGACTCACGCTATTCTGGAGTATGGATCAGAAGGTGACCTCTTTACAGCTATCATTGATAAAAGCACTTATCATGGCAACCACAATTTGATTCGCAATGTATTTTTACAACTTATTGACGCAGTCAGATATACTCATGACAACCATATCTACCACCGAGATTTGAAGCCTGAAAATATTCTTGTATTCAATAATGGACGTACCTTAAAGCTGGCCGATTTTGGGCTTGCAACTACTGATTCTGTATCAACTGATTATGGATGTGGTTCAACATTTTATTTTTCTCCCGAATGTCAAGGCGGCCTAGACAGACAAAAGCGAGTTGGTTATGCAACTGCTCCTAATGATGTTTGGGCGCTAGGCATCATTTTGATCAATTTATCCGCAGGCCGCAACCCCTGGCGCTTAGCTTCTTTAGAGGACGAAACCTTCCGTGCTTACCTCAACGATCCAAAGCTATTACTCAAGATTTTGCCAATTTCAACCGAATTAAACAAGATTCTCAAGCGTATATTTTGCCTCGATCCTCGCCGTAGAATTACATTAGATGAATTATACAGCAGAATTCAACGCTGTACTTATTTTACTCGTACACCTGAAGTAGAAAAATACGAGTCAATGATGGCTTCTGCTGCCAATTCAGTTGCAACAGCTGGTAGAAGAGCCAGAGCTATTAAAAATATTAAAGTTCCCACTAAAAACGATATTGCAGCCATGAACAATTTACCATCACCACCTGATACGCCCAATACAGGCTATTCAACTGAAGATGAACCTCAACTTTCAACATCTACCTCTTGTTCATCATCTTCATTATTGACAGATGTAGTAGGCACAAACTTCATTATTCCTCAAAAAGGTGACGATCTAGACCCCCAAATTGTCTCATTTATGGTCTAGAACATTTTCTATCTCACACTCCTTATATGCCCCACTTTATATATACCTTCCTGTTTATAGCTTGTTTATTTTATGATTATCCTCCTCCCCCCTTATGTTATCCCATCACTATACTTTTTCATTGTGTCTCATTTATATGTATCTATCTCTACTACTACTATACCTTTACTGCCCCCCTCCTCTTTTTTTCTATGTACATTTTTCCTGTTTATTATTATACCAAGTTTTGTTCGTTGTAAATTTCACTATCTATATAAATCCATCATCATTTTGCTCAAATAAATCATCCAATTCATTTTACATGTAAAAGGAAAAAGATCTGCAATTGGCGTCATTTGACTAAGCATTATTTTTTAATTACAACTATTACTCGAAATAGAGATAACACGGACCAAAAGACTCTATATTTAGTTGATGTTTGTTTACCTGAATTTATTTTTATAAACATTACAGCGGGGAATTATCTTTTAAGTAGCAGTTTTCCCTTTTTTTTTTATTCTACTCCATGCAAATGTCTCTACCCTGGACCTCCCATTTAGATCTTTTTGGAAGCCCTGAATGTGATTATCATGCCCAAGTTACTATAGGGTCCACACTTGTAATGTTGTTTAACAAAATGTCGACTTTTTAATATTATTGCAATCCCGCTAATATTGTTATTTTTAGATGAATCTTGTTTTAGACACAGGTTCGTCCAATACAGCAGTAATTTCTGATTTGTGTCAAGATAATTGCTCGTTTGTGAAGAAACCTTATTTACCTGTTCCAAATATAAACGATTTTGATTCCGTCAATGCTAGTTATGGAAACGCCAAGCTTCGCTCAGCTTGGAAAGGATTTGCAACAAAACAACTGGTGACATTTGAAGGAGTCGAGCAAACGTTTTCCCGCATTGATGCCATTACCGAAAACCAATCATTCTTCATACCACGCTGCTCAGAGAACCAAGGTATTTGGGGTTTAGCATACCCGTCACTTCTGACAAAACCAACTAGTCAATTTAGCCAAGAGCCCTTATTTGATGCTATACGAAAAGAAAAGGCCTTACCGAATGCATTCACATATCAAATCTGTCCAAAATCAGCTGTTGATTCTACATTTGCACACGAAATTAATTTCCTAAGTCAGAATGTATTAATTCGAAACATGAGTAGCAAAACAATTCAAAAAGAGTGTTTACGTGATGGTCATTTTTGGTTAGGTGGGTACCCAAGCCATTCAGTTGCAAGTGAAATTGTTTGGGTACCGTTATCACATCAGCGTTACTATCAAGTCAAAATCGAAAGTTTCCTAGTAAATAATGAAACCGTTGGTATGGAAGATATTAATATGCCAAGAACTATTGTCGATACCGGTACTAAAGATATTGTTTTAAGTCCACAAGTAAGAGGTTTTTAAAATACTTATTTTTGAATTTACGTATGTACACTAAAACATAAGCACACACACACACACAAAAAAAGAATTTGCAAAAGTTATTAAATGCACTGTGGCATTCTAAATTGGTTCAGTTTGACCCTGTTGTTTCAAAAGAGCATGAAAAATCATTTTGGTTTGATCATGCACGATTGACTATTCCCCGAAATGCAATTACCATTGCGCATAATGTATCTCTTCAAATAGAGTTTGAGGATAATAACCGTGTTTCCATACCAATCGAAAATATACTTAATATTAAGCCCTTTGGTCAAGACTGGGTCAACATAAGCTGGACAGGATTTTCAAATAGTGATGGTAAAATGGCTTCAACCATACTAGGTAACACATTATTAAGAGGAAAAACTGTAATTTTTGATAGAGGAGACAAGAGCAGGGTAGGATTTGCTGATGCATTTGCCTGTTGCGACCCTTCTTCAGGTCAAGATGTAAATGTTTTACTCTCTGTTGATAACTCAAGTAGCAGCATCCAATTGATACAAGATCGTCATGAAAATACAATACAGATTTTTTTATTAGCACTTGTTGGGGTGTCTACTCTTGTATTTATCTCGACTTTGGCCCTTGTGATCTCCAATCGTTATCGGAAGACTGTAACCGAAAAGATTGTCGGTATCTAAACTGCACTTCATCTTTCTCACTCACGCAGCATACTACAATTTTAAAACGCGTCCCCTTGATTTTGCTTTCTCATACTTTCTTTTCTACTTCGATTAAAGCATTGCATGCCACCTAATTTATTAAAGTCTATGTCTCATATTTTGTCCCCTGCTTCTCCTTTTAAATTGGCTCTTATCCAACTGGGTAATGTCGGTGCTGACAAAGCCAAGAATTTGGTACACACCCATAAAAAGATTCTCGAGGCTGCTAGCAATGGTGCTCAAGTCGTCGTTTTACCTGTAAGTCTCTGTTATACCACGTGTTATAATGCACCCTTTTAATCGTTTTGTCAAGGAATGTTTCAATTCACCTTATGGAACAAACTTTTTTCCACAGTATGCCGAGCCCTTGAATGGAGAATCCGTCGCCATGTTATCTGCAGCAGCCAAGGTAAGTTTCAACGGCAGCCTGGTTTTCAATAATTCAAACACTATAACTGTAGGAAGCTAACGTGTACCTTATTGGCGGTAAATCCTCTTGATTTTATATGCCTGTTTCCTTTTAATACTAACTAGTTTATTGCAGGTTCCATCCCAGAAAAAGAAGAATCGAGTGGAAATATCTACAATACTTTGACTGCTTATGACCCTACAGGAAAGATGATTGCCAAACATCGTAAAGTTCATCTTTTCGATATTGATGTTCCTGGAAAGATCAGATTCAAGGTACATGGATCATGGGAAAATAAATGAATGTAGCATAATAACACTTTTTAATATGTAGGAGAGTGATACTTTGACAGCAGGAGATTGGTTAACATGCGTCGATACAAGTAGGTTCTGCAGCACAGACAAAATTGAAGGGAAAAAACTGACTTGCATTATTTAGAATATGGTAAGATTGGTGTTGGAATTTGTTATGACATGCGCTTTCCCGAAATGGCTACTATTGCTGCTCGTAAGGGATGTCTGGCCATGATCTATCCTGGTGCTTTTAATCTGACCACTGGCCCTCTTCATTGGGAACTTTTACAGCGTGCTAGGTAACAGGCATTTTGTTTTTGTTTTCGGTAAACATATATTAAAATTTAAATGAATAGGGCTGTTGATAATCAAATGTACGTCGCAGCATGCTCCCCTGCTCGTGATCTTTCTGCAGATTACCATGCCTGGGGCCATTCTACTGTAGTAGACCCAAAGTAAGTAAAGCTTAGAATGGAAGAGAACTGGAAATTTATTATTTGTTTAGGGGCGTTGTTGTTGCTACGACTGAGGAGAAGGAGGACATTGTTTATGCCGATATTGGTAAGTGCACTGACACGAGATTAAATTAGCTACATTTTTAATGAACATTGATAGACCCTGAGCAAGTTAAGGAAGTTCGAACGAACATTCCTCTTTACAACCAACGAAGATTTGATATTTACGACGATGTAAGCGATTCTGTTCAAGAACACGCTGATGGCACATCTACTAAGAAGAATTAAATAAATAAAAATAATCATTTATTTAAAAATATTATTACATGTGGGGGGGGGAATAATGCGTTTTAGAATACAGTGCCTAAAGCTTCAAACCAGCTAACTATACTTGAATCAGTTTGCACGCATTCTTTGAATTCTTCAAAATTGATAAAACCTTCCCGTTCAGTCTTAATGCTTTTAAACGTTTTATCGACCATTTCATTAATAGCACCTTGAGACATGGTTTCCATGATGGGAAACTTTTCTTCCCAAGCTTTTTTGCCTTCGCCACTGTTTCCCAGATTCTTGGTTATTTCATCTTTAGTGTCCGTCAAATTCTTGGACATCGTTAGTCGATGACTATCCGAACGGAGTACATCATCTGTCATTTCCTTAATTTGTGCGTCTGATGCACCAGCTAGCGCCTGCGCTTGTTCAGCTTCTATAGCATATTGCTTTAAAAAGTGATCCTCCTTTAGAGGGTATCGTCTCTTTTTAGTTCTAGTGGTTATATCATCGGTTGAGGGACCTGCCTCAGTTACAAAATTTTCCCCGTCATCACTGCTATCATCCTCACTGTTGTTTCTGTCAGAGGGTGTGGAGGGCATTGCTACATTAAATGCAGCACTGACTGGTTGAGAAGCTGAGAACTCAAAAGTGTCCATCATTTCATCCTCCATTGCACTCACCACATCCCTGACTAATTCCATAGACAAATAAAAGTATGATTTATACATTCGATAGAGTTCATCTCGAGATATATAACCATCTTCATCCAAGTCATACCCCTTGAATGCATCTAAGCTAAATATTTAGTACGCATATAATAACCCAATAGATACTACCTTTGGGTACTCACATTCTATCTTTTCATCAAGGTTTCCTTTACATAGAACACTTAATCCTGCTACAATTTCAGAGAAGTTAATGACATTATCGCCATCCTGATCGAAAAATGCAAATATTCTTTCGGTGATTAAATTCTTTTCTAATCCCAAAGGCCCGAGACATTGCTCAAATGTTTCTCTGTCTATTCCCCCTTCATCTTTATCGACTGTTGAGAGGGATTTAAATTGTTCATAAAGCGCTTCAAGTTCCACTTGATCAACTGAAAAAAAATGCATTAAGTCTAACTAAAGTTATTGGATTAACGATTGAACTTACAATGAGAAGTTTGCTGCAGAGCACGATACTTTTCTGTGGGGACAGGGGGCTTATTATGATGTTTTCCAGGATAAAATGCAGGTAATAATGCACTTCGTGGGTTTGCAAGTGGGGGAATAGGAATTCTGATTTTCAAAAAAACATGCGTATTAATATGGCTGTTGGCTCCTTCACACATTTCACAAAGATCGAAATCAACACAATTGGCACATTTATATCGTACGCCTCTAATAGGTGACATATTACATTTGTTACAAGTGATGCCTCCTAAAACAATAAAAATTTAAAAGCCGGTTAATTTTATAACTTGTAATTTGGCATAATAACATACTATGAATGTAGCCCTCTACAATAATAACAGAAAAAGAAAATGTCTAAGCTTAGAGTCTAATTTATCACCATATGCAACTTTTAGTGCGGTTTACCTTTACGAGATTGGTTGTCTGAAATGGCCGCAAGCAGATTTATTAAATTTCGATTATCATCGTCGCTCCATTCTTTAAACAATGACAACATCTTTCCGTTGTCTGCATCTTCTTCATTTTCCGATACGGTTGCAATCTGGTCATTATCGCTTGGTGTAGTATTCTCAGGCAGGTTTCTATTATTGCCTCTCCGTATGCGGACGTGACGCGACCTTCTCAGTCTACTTGTGGGAGGTGCGGTGGTATCGGCCGGTGTATCGTTTCCTTGTCCAAAATACGATAGTGCTGCTATAGCTGCCAGACCAGTGACTGCACCGGATATTACTAGAATTGCTTGAGATATCCGAAGAGCCATGGTTGCGTGAAAAAGAGAAAAAGAGCAGGACCAACATTAAATGGGCTATAAATATAATACAATTGTTTAAAAAGCCACATTTTATTTCTTTTTCTTTTTCTACACAATGATTGGTCCGGCTATACCTGAAGCATTGCTGAAAAAGAAGCAATCTAACGAATCTGCAATTGTCATTTCATTTTCGGACGACGAGGAAGAAGTGGGTCCTCAGATGGCTGGTCCTCAGATTCCTCAGCATATTTTAGAGGCAAGATCAGTAGGCCCTCAAATTCCAGACCACTTACTTCAACAAAAGAGAGCAAATACCGACGAGATTGCTATTTCTGACGATGAAGAAGAAGAGGAGGTAGGTGATATTGGACCTCAAATACCTCAACACCTTTTGAACAAGACAGACGACGAAAGTACCGCAGGTCCTCAGATACCTCAACACCTTTTGGAAAAAATGAGCAACGTTTTGGAAAATGATATTGTTGGCCCTCAAATCCCTCAGCATATCTTGGAAACAAAGCCTGTTGAGGAAGACATTACTCCGGATGATTTTGCTCCTGCGTTGCCGCCAGATTTGCTTGAACAACGACAAAAGCAAACACCTCAACCTCAAACTGGTAGAAGACGTAGACCTGTGGGCCCAACCTTCCCTACGGGGCCAATCCCAAACCAAGAGGAGGATGAATACATGGTCGGTCCCGCTTTACCAAAAGATTATAATCCTGAGGTTGAGGCCAAGTATTCTGCAATTCATGCAATTGAGGAACGTGCACGTGAAGCAAGAGAAGCTATGGAAAAGGTATGCGGAAGAATGAAATTTACAATTGATTCTGATTGATAAATAGAAAGAAGCCGATAAAGGAAAGGTTCAGAGACCAGACTGGATGTTGGTTCCTCCCGAGGTTGATTACTTAAAAAAAGGTTGGTTAAAAATAATGCAGCATTGGATGTGAATTAACTATTTGCGATAACAGCCAATTCTTCTAAATCGAGACAATTCACCAACAAGACAATGTCTAAAGAAGAACTGGATTCAGCTGAATGGACTATGACACCCGCGCAAAAACAACAGCGCTTAGAAGAAGAACGATCTGGAAAGAGAAAAATGAAGGATGAAGAAACTAATTTCTCGGAATTGGATATCGAAAGAATAAGAAACATCCAAGAATATAATGTACAGTAAAGCACGCAAGGAGAAAACATTGTACTAACACTGCTATCTAGATGCAAACAAGACCGCTGACCTTATTAGAAATACATCAACAGAAAAAGAAGAGATCCAAAGAGCCTACTTCTGATATTGAAGATGTCACAAAACGGGCCTTCGATCGTGAAAAGGATCTTTTGGGCGCTAGAAAAATGGACAGAAAATCGAAGAAAGAAATGTTGAAACAGTCTGCTCAGTTTGGCCAAAAATTCGGTTATGGTAGTAGCTCATTCTTGTAAATAAACTGTTTTTATTGCCATATCATCCTGTATATCTACATATATTGGGACAGTAATAACAACTTCAAAAATACACTAAAGATAGTGGCACAGCAAATAGTATTTATATATGGTGTACTTACCAGTTCAACCAAATCATTTACGGAACACTCATAACTAAAAATTACCAGATTATATAAATAACAGAGCAGCTTATGCGTTAAATAAAGGATTATCTTATTTTTAATTGTCTTACAAGTGTCGGATGTTACATTAGTTATATAAATACTTGATCATTTCATTTCATAAACAGTTTATAATTTTCACTTATTTTAAAACACAACATATACTCATACACATTCAATGCTACTATGGATGTTGGTATAGTTGTTCCTTGTGGCGCTGTTGTTATATTTGACATAAGCATAAAAAGAAATAACAGCATGACTTTGTTCATTTGTATTTTTTTTTATAATAATAGAATAATAAAAAAAGAGTTAGCAGAGGAAACAATAGGATAATAGGACAAAGACAACTTGTTCAATTACTGCATGGGAATAATAGTAATAAAAAAGAACAGTAGCCGAACTTTTTGTATCAAACAACAATGAATCAAGTTGATAATTATACCAAACGGTGCAGGACATCAGATGTTATTTAATAACTTGTGCTTCTTAACTTTCTCGCATCTCAGACAGGTAAGCAGTTGCTATTAATTATCAACGTCATAATGCAACATTTATGACTTGACTTATGTTAGACGATTGGTGTTTACTAAATGCATGAAACTGGACCGGCTCTTTATACATTATCCACCACCAAAACATTATGCATGTGACTATTTACCCAGAGGTTTAAAAAGAAATACTAGTTTATTGGGGCACTGGAAAGGAGGCCCCATCAGATGAGGTAGATCCAAGCAAACATGTGATTGTTTATTTCAGGAGTGTTTGATTCACTTGTGAAAATAATTTTAGCCTCAACCTTTCAATTATAATTAAGCTGAGAAAATCGATTATAGGTTGTGCTTGTAAAAATAGTTATGTTGGAGCTTGTTTTGAGTAACGTTTTTGAAGCAAATAAGGCACATCTTGATTTTATCATGGCTATGTTTGTTTTGAGCCGTTACATCACCCAGCCATTGTTTCATGCATAAAATAAATTACTTTCTTTTTATAGATCAAACCGTCTTTTCTCTTTCTATATCACAATGGACTGCTCTAATGGTAACAACACTAACTAATTTTTAAAGTACAACAAAATATCGAGTATCTCTCTTAAATTTCTTAATAGTTACCGAATATTTTAATATTGGATTAGTCAACTACAAAAATAAAGAGTATCATAAAGCATTTCCAATGTTTTTACTAGCAGCCAGTAAACAAAACGCTATGTCGCAATTTTATTTAGGCCGCATGTTTGAAAACGGCCAAGGTACGCTCCAAGATATTAAACAGGCTCATTTTTATTACCTCCAATCTGGAAATGAAGGGTGTGGTATGGCACAGCATTATTTGGGACAGCTAAACAGGCATGGATGCTCTGGTATGCCAAAAGATTACAGCCAGGCAGTTAATTGGTTTACGAGAGAATTCGACAAAAGTAAAAGCTGTGGTTATCTGCCGGGTCATTCTTATTATCTTTCTGGTCAAATTTATGAGGAAGGGGGATTTGGAATTGAAAAAAGTTATGATATGGCTCTTTATTGGTATCACAAAGCTGACGAGAATAGATATGCAGGTGCTGCATTTAGTATCGGGTTAATTTATAGAAAAGGCAAAGGCGTCAAGCAGAACTATAAACAAGCAATTGATTGGTTTTTAAAAGCTGCGTCGAATAAAGATTACGCCGAAAAAGCATACTACAATTTAGCCGTGATATTTATTGCTGGAGGAAATGGCATCGAAAAAAATTTTAGGCAAGCCTTGGACTGGCTCATGAAATCTGTTGACAGAGGATCAACTCACGGTACGTTAGCCATTGGAAAAATATTTCGAGACGGTGGATTTGGGGTCGATAAAAATCATAAGAAGGCCTTGGATTGGTTTTTGGAAGCTGCTAAAACAAAGTCTCTTACTGCTTACTATAACATTGGATTAATTTACCGTAGCGGTGGATACGGTGTTGACATAAGTTACCCGAACTCGCTGTACTGGACCATGAAAGGTGCTCGCATAGGACATCTTGACTCGCAGTATGGCATGGGATTATTATATACTTTTCGGACTGATGAAAAACAAGACTTTAGACAAGCTTTTTCCTGGTTCCAATCAGCTGCCAATAATAAACATTCCCACTCTCAATTCTATGTTGGATTTTTTTATGAAAAAGGATATGGCGTTGACAAAAGCTATGAAAATGCCATGTCATGGTATAAAAAGTCCGCTGATAATGGACAGTTTTCGGCGTATTCTAGTATAGGATTGCTCTATCATAAAGGCTTGGGTGTTGCACAAGATCATGGAAAAGCACTAGAAATGTATCGTAAGGTGATAAACATGACAGGAGGTCATTTGGATTATGGATCTGCATTTCATGGCATTGGACTATTATACCAAGAAGGCATGATTTTCCCTCAGTCTCACGAAACCGCAATGCATTATTTTCTTATGGCAGCGGAACTAAACAGTGCGGAAGCTTGTAACAGTATCGGGAACATATATAACAGCGGAGATGGTGTAATCATTGATCATAAAAATGCATTCAAGTGGTATTCTAAATGTACAAAACTCGTTGAAGAAAATTTCGATTTTTGTGACGAAGGACTATTTAACCTTGGCTTAATGTATTTCCATGGTTTAGGCACACACGTGAGTTTTGAAATGGCGCTCGTTTATCTAAACAAATCCGTAAAGCAAGGTAACGACAAAGCTCAGACATATATTGATCGGGTACACCGTCAACATGCACAAGAAGCACAAGGTTATCAGCTTTTGTTAGACATGATTTACTCGTTTGGGGAAGAGGCATCAGGAAATAAGGAAAACGTGGATATTCTAATGAACCATTCAGATGGTGTAATAGAGCATGGTCAAAAAGAGTTAAAGCAAAATTCAACAGGTTAAAGTTTTAAATTGGCAATTGAGGCATGAAATTACATATTGTAACAATTTAATAAAAAATGTACTCTGAATTCGTTCAACTTACTAACAAGCTTTTGACCAATCATTTCTGGAATATTTATTTGCATTCTACTGATTGAATAGCACAGCATGGAATTAACATATTGTCTCCTCGCGAAAAAAGCATTATAAAACGTAAATCAATACCATAAACATTGTACATTGATCGCAAAACATATGAATTAACGTGGCATTCCAGCTCGTTATAAAAAATTGTTCTTATTATGCTACAGTCAAACGTTTTTAATTGGCTAAGGCAAATTTTATGAAACATTAATGGAAAATTAGATTTAGGTTTTGTCTAATTTTTAAAATTCCAAATTCATATTTCGTATAGATACCAGTACCCCTTTGTATAGACTGTGAAGATTGCTTGTAAAATTTATAATCATTTACAATCTACTGTATGAACGCATATATAAGCATCCTGAATACTATACGGGACAAGTAATAAATGCTGGTAGGACGAGATATACCTGGTCGGACTTTTACAGGAAAGATCTCCACAAAATGGGTTCAAATCGAATCATCATAGAAGCTGTGGCGAACGAATAAGAACACTTTTAGAAGTGTACAAGATTTTATACATCGATGTTGGGGTATTTCTGGATTAAGGTAGTCTTTAGCATCACCCAACACGAAACATGTCTACTTTTGACCTACTGATCTAGCAAATCCGAAGGAAGAAAAAATCGACTTATTTTTGCGTTTCAATTAGACAAAGACACCGGGAACTTTAAGATTTTTAATGAATTCAGAAGAATAATTTAAGAGTCCTGTCCTCGAATCTTTTGATCGGTATCTTAGTATACGTACTAATTTTACGCGTTAAAGTTATATCAAAAGTGATTGTGTGCGACCACAGCTGTTACTCTTAATACCCGTGCAACGGATAGTGTTAAGCCTTAGTCTTCTTAATTACTTTATTTGGTGTGATTTGTATCTAACACTACTTTCACTTCTTATTCTTCTTTCTAAATTTATATAAAAAATAAGTGATGGGGATTTTCGGTGGTAAATAAACCCAGTTTTCTTTGACGATGATTCATTAGTTTTTAATCACTTTTATTCTATATAATTTAGATACAAAAGTGACAGACTATTATAAAACTGGTTTAAAGCACTTTAAAAAAAAAGAATATAATAAGTCATTTCCAAAGTTTTTGTGGGCTGCTCATAAACAAGATGCAATGTCTCAATATTATTTAGCCGTATCGTTTGAAAATGGTCATGGAGTAGACAAGGATATCAAACAGGCATTATATTGGTACCATAAGGCTGGAGATAACCAATGTGGTGCAGCTCAACATTATTTGGGTTTAGCATATCAGCGTGGATCTTACGATATTGAAGAGGATTATAAAAAGGCCATATATTGGTTTACAAAAGAATTCGAAGAAAATCCCAGCGAAGACTCACAACCGGGTTACTCGTTTTATCTTATCGGGCACATTTATGAAGAAGGAGGATTTGGGATAGAGCAAGATTATAATCTGGCTATGGAGTGGTACACCAAATCTGCAAAAAGCGGATATGTAAACGCAGAAATCAATATTGGTTTATTATATCGAGACGGAAAGGGAGTAGAGCAAGATTATCAGAAAGCTCTAGATTGGTTCTTGAGAGCTGTGACTGATGGGAAAACACATGCTTCTATGTTGCTGTATTACATTGGAGAGCTATATGAAAATGGGCAAGGTGTCGAAAGAGACTATCCCAAAGCTTTATTATGGTATACCAAGGCATATAATGAATCTGGAATCACAAAGGCACCATTCAAGCTAGGAAAATTTTATTATGATGGATTAGGAGTTGAAATCGATTTTAAAATGGCGTTGCTCTGGTTTGAACGTTCTCTAAATATTGCTGAAACATTTGAAGCTCAGTATTATATCGGCATCATATATCTAAAAGAAAAAGGATCAGTAAAAAAAGACTACGGATTAGCTTTCAAATGGTTCACAAAATCCGCTGAGAACAATAATGCAAAGAGTCAGTTCCAACTAGGAAAATTATATCTTGAAGGCCTTGGTGTTGAACGTGACACTGATAAGGCAGCTTTGTGGATAAAGAAATCAGCAAATAATGGTCATTCTGGTGCTCGCTTTCTTATTGGGTACTTGTATGCCATAGGAGAAATCGGCTTACCAAAAGATTTCAAGCAAGCGATTTCTTTTCTTAGTGATCCTGACGAAGAATATGCAGCAAAATCATATTATCATATAGGAGTTATGTCAAGTATCGGTGGATATGGTATCGATAAAGATTTTAGTTATGCTTTAGATTGGTTCTTAAAATCAGTAGATAAAGGTTACACCGACGCTTTACCTGCAATTGCGGCTATATACCGAGAAGGTGGATATGGGGTTGATAAAGATTTGAAACAATCATTGAATTGGTTTTTGAAATCCATCGATGCTGGCCGTCTTGAGGTTTTTACAGACATCGGACTACTTTATGCGGAAGGCGGATATGGCATAGAAAGAAATTACCGTACTGCCTTAGACTGGCTGACAAGAGGTGTCAACAGCGGATATGCTGCTTCAGGCTATGGTATTGGCTTATTATATTCATTACGTCTTGATAACGAACAAAATTTTGAAACTGCCTTACCATGGTTTAAAAAGGCTGCAGAGAAAGATCATGGCAAGTCTCAGTTTTATGTTGGGCTTTTTTACGAAAAAGGTTTTGGTGTCAAGATAAACTACACAAAAGCAATGTATTGGTACAAGAAAGCGGCCGAAAATAAGCAATCTTACGCCCTTGTTAACATGGGCTTGCTTTATTATAAAGGGTTGGGTGTACTTCAAGACTACAATAAAGCGTTGCAAATGTACCAGCTCGCTATAAAATCAAGTGAAAATGGTTTAGACTGCGGATCTGCATATAACAGCTTAGGATTGCTTTACCAAAATAATCATGGAGTCCCACAATCACATAAAAAAGCAATGGAATACTTTCAAAAGGCAGTGGAACTAAAAAGCTTGGATGCCTGCAATAATATGGGCGATATTTACAAATACGGATACGGCGTAGAAGTAGATTACAGCAGAGCATTACAATGGTATTTGAAATGCAATCAATCTGTTGATTACAATTTTAGTGTGTGCGACGAGGGCTTGCTTAATATTGGAATATTGTATCTTCAGGGATTAGGCGTAGATAAAGACTTGGAATTGGCAAAATATTTTTTTAGAAAAGCTTTGAAATATGGGAATGAAAAAGCTCAAGACTGTATTGATCAAGCAATTAGTATTCAAAGAAACACGCCTTCTCCTCAATTGACTTTAAATTATATTGGTGATATCAATTTCAAACCAAATGTATTTGGAGAAGAGGAAACACAACATGTTATTCTTCTGCGAGAAGCTGAAAAGGCAGCAAAAGAAGCAGAGAACAAAGTAGCATTGCTGACGGCCCAGCTTAAAGAATTACAAAAGATCAATATTGAAAAACTGTTTCACCGGCCAAACGAATATTTGACGACTGAAAACTCCAGCTTGGATACGGAAAGCGATGAGAAGGATCTTGGTATTAATTATTCTACCTGTGATGTTGAATTTCATGACTCTCACTTAAATGAGTACTCTCCTTACATCAACTTGAAACCTAATGCAAAAGGATAAAATATTACCATGCTCTACCCTGCATATACCACCATATAACTCAAAAATATAAAGTACATCTCGAGATTGATAGTTAAAAGTTGCCTTAATAATAAAGATAGATTGGCTCCTTTTTTCAATAGTGCCTTATACATCGTGCCACATTGTATGAATCAGGGATTTATTATATAGGAATCAATAAAATAAAAACTACAAGTTCTACATTAGCTGTGTATGTCTTGTAGGGTTGTAGGCCTTTTTTTTTTTTTAAAAAAAAGACATGTTATTTGAGAATCAGGTATTATTTTGCTCTTGGCTTTCTCACTCTCATTATTATTTAAAGAATGGAAGCCCATTGACAAATCCAAAGAGCATGTAAACCCCGCTTCGATTAAAAAGAAATAAAGCTTTTCATGCATTGGCTTGAAGCAAGATCCAGCTTATATAATTTTTTTCTATTTTTATTAAATTATAGATGCAAAATGAAATTTAACATTACTTCTTTATAATATAATGTATTCCTTTATTGCGCGACAGTAGAAACGTCCAGCAGTATCAATAATGATATATTTAAAAGTGAAGTAATAACATGCGTACGTTTTAGTGAAAGGACGTTATATTATAATAAAGAGACGCAACAGGTCGAATGTTGTAATTGTTAGAAGTAGTATAATCACGCAACATTTAGAAAAAAGACACATGTAAAAAAAAAAAAAAAAAAAAAAAAAAAAAAAAAAAAAAAAAAAAAAAAAAAAAACGCGACAGGTAGGAAAAAGATGCAACAGGGCGGAAAACAGCGCAATATTGGGTGGTATTGTTATAAATTTTACTGCCGGAGATAAAAAGATGCAACCTATGATGGCATAAATTTATCGCTTTACCTCCCCATTGCATGGGATTTACTATCGAGTGTGCCTGTGCTTTATTATATCATTTAGACTTCTGAAATAGCTCTACTCTATTCACGATCAGTTACAAGAATGCCCACAAGCACGACAATTATTTTATTGAAGATGGTATCTTGTAAATGTTTTATTAAAGATGTCATCTTTCAAATGCTTGATGCCTTTGATATCTTCTATTTGGTATCTTTTATTTGATATCTTTGACGTTTTTTTCTTTGGTGTTTTATTGGTGTTTTATTGGTGTCTTTGGTGTCGCTGATGCCTTTGACGTCTTTTACATATGCGAAGTTTGTGATATAAAATGCTATGTATGTGATGTTCGTGATGTACGTGATGTTCGTGATATACTAGCTATTGGAAACCGTCAAAATTCTTTCTCCGGTTTATCGTAGTGATTGCTGTCGAGTATGTCGAATATCGTTGCTGTTTTACTGTGATCTATTGGTACCCACAACAAGCTTATAACTATCGTATATGAAGGCTGCAAGAAACAAGTTCACTGCTATAAAGGACAAAGTTAAATCAGATCACGCGAACATATTGAGCCAGTTAGAGACGAAGAACCCTCATTTGCAGTTAAGCATTTACTCAAACGTGCCAAAAAGAAGTTACACCATGTGAGCCCTTGGTATAATCCTGGTAATATAAAATAGTAAATCCAAGAACAGCTATCTTCATCAATTGAATGAACTTTGCTTGTTTATTGCAGTTGCCTCTAAAGTACAGTGAATTTATAGCTTTTTCCGTATGGTTCTTCAACACGTAATGAATTATGCACGCATATTCCGACATGACTGCTCAAAATCAACTTTTTTTTTTAAACTTTGAACCCCTGGGGTTAAAATAAAACGAACCACTTCTTTCCAGTTCAGAAATAAAATTGTCATAAAATGGGTGGACCACGATTAGAAATTATGAAGGTAAATCGACCCTCGACATTTAAAATTCTCTACAAATACCAATAAGCTTCTTAAAGTTTGGCGTGTACGTCTTTTTCCCTGTTGGCATCATGCTTTACTTTGGTGGACCCGAATTTTATGATAATTATGTCAAGGGGATCAAATTTTGGCCCGATATCAACACAACCTACGTAAGAATAGCAGCCATGATATCTATTGGGAAAAAGGGCTAATATAAATAACAGAGACCTCCTACCACTTCTGAAGAGGTGAAGGAAGCTTTAGAGAAAATGAAGTCTGACAGAGAGGATCGTTGGAGAAAGGCGTTCCAAGAAAAGAAGAATGCAAAGGCAGCAGAAGCAGCGGCAGCAGCAACTGATAGCACTCGTACTGAATAAATTTGGGAGGAGGTTTATTGATAATTATGATTTATATACACTTTTTTTTTTTTTATAAATATGTTTGTTTAACGTTCAAGCCATAATTTATTTCTGGATCGCATCAAACGGAAAGCACCAATGGGAATACGCTGCCAACGACTTAAATCTCTTGAATAAGGATCATCTTCTACTTCGGGAGAAGGAGACCTTGAGAGTGACCTTGTATATAATTGAGATGTATCGACCAAATCATCCATTGACACAGCCACTGAGTCCTGATCTTCCATCATATCCTCTAGTTCATCAATTATTGCAGCCGGTGAAGCAGGCGTTGAGAACGACGTTGTCTCCATTGGCTGTAAATTCGTTTCAATGCTCGCACTGAGTGAATTTGACCTTGATATTCTACGCTTTTTGCTATGACCACCACTATCTTCCTCGTTCAATAGGCCGCGTTTCTTATTGTTTTCAATACTCTCGTTAATCGCATCCTGAATTTGCTGTTCTAATGCTAAAGTCGGAAAGGAGCTACCAATGCCGCTGCCAGAGGGTTTTGGTAGTATTTGACGTGATGGATTTAATGCTGTATTGGTGGGTAATGATGATTTTTTTTCTAATGTATTGGTAATATGAGTTGTAGTATGGGGTAATTTATCTGATCCTTTAAGAATGTCTAAAATTTGTTCCTGAAGTTTCAAATCGGTGGAAAGTGAAAGAGCTAAATGATTTGGTAACACGTCGTTGGTAGATGGAGGTGATGAATTATCTATAGGGGATTGCATCGGTGGTGTATCATTCAATGATTCCATTTCCAAATCTTCGTGTATAGGCTGAAGAGGAGCCAAAGAAAGATCATCGGTCACCAGAACGGACAATGCTCTTAAGGCTTCTGAGGTATTAAAATCCTGAGATCCACGGTGTCTTTGTGCTGCAGACACTGCATTACTAGGTAATGAGGGCCTTCTCAAAAAATCTTGATTATGTTGCCTTGATGTTTCTGCAGAAAGTGCATTCAATGCTTGAGCAAGCTCAAAAGGCGATAATTGATACTCTTCACCCAAGGCAGGGGTGTTTATCCCATTGGTTGTATCTCCTCCAGTGTCTGTTGAAATGGGAGCAAATGACTGCATAAATGCAGCAGCGATACTGTCATATATATTACCTTCACTATCCAGTAGTGGTAAAAACGGATTGACTTGTTTATCTTCTTCTGAGTCGTCTGAAATATTGCCATCTTCATCGCTAGGTAAAGCAGTCGTATAATCAAATTCTTCTTCCTCTTCATCTTCATCTGAAGACCAACGATTATTATTTGCGGCATAATAGCCCAATGATAATGGTATATCTGGTTCTTCGTCTTCATCATCGTCTTCATCCTCAATGAACATGCCTTCGTCTAGATCACTATCTAATTCTTCTTCGTCGCTATCTAATGTCATATCGGCAATAATGGCTTGTGTTTCTACATTTTCGATATCCTCATCGTCACCCGAATCTATATGTACACTTGAATAAGATGCTCTACTTTCCGGGTAAGGTGACATAACTAAAGATGAAGAATCTATATCAATATCTTCATTATCCATATTAACATCCTCATCTTCATCATCGTCAGTAAAAAATTCTTCGCTTTCCATTTCAGATTCATTTGATGAGTTTTCAGATAACGGCGACATTGTTTCCAATAAATCATCCAAGTCATCTACCACAACGTCTTCGTCTTCGTCTTCGGAAGACAGTTCTTCTTTTTTAGTGGTGCTTATCGAGGCTGTATTTGGTACAAAGTTTGATTTTTTACCACCTTTAGAAGCATAATGAGGAGCTTTTTGTCGTATAATGTTGGCTAGTAATGTTGTACTTTTCCCTCTTCTAGGTGCGCTCGTCAGTTTTTTCTTCGATTCTTGTTTTTTAGAACCGATCATTTCTACTATAGTATCCTCATCACTACTACTACTGCCGCCACTATCTGTTTGACTATCGCTGCTACCGCTCTCGCTACTACTGCTACCGCTAGATTCTTCTTTTACAATGATTGACTTTTTGGGTTTCATGGTTTTCTTACTTTTGGGCGCTAACGTAGTCTTTTTTATCACAACTACGGAGAACAAAAAAATGAATAAGCTATAACAAATAATGCCTTTGTCTTATTTTACCTATTTTTGGTTGTGCTGGTTCTGTATGTACTATTGGCTGCGGTGGTTGTGGAGGCTGCGGAGGAGGTTGAGGGAGAGGGGAATTAGAGCCACAAGTACAGTCTCCGTCACAAACAGGACAAAGATCTTCATCCTCATCATCTTGATCAATGGATAGTTTTGATATCATTGGAATAATTGCTGGTTCTGGTTTCGGAACTGGTAAAATAATGATAGATTTCTTTTGCGGTATTAATTTCTTGCCTGCACTTGTTGATGGTCTCTTTTTTACTTTTAGACAAGATTTACAGTAATAATGATCAGTCACAGAATTCGGCTTTAATCCAACACAAGCACCATGAAACCATTCTGCATGGACAGAAACAAAATATTAGTAAAAAAATCTTTTTCTTTGGGCTTATTTTGTTACCTTGACATCCGTCGCATTCAATCATGAATTCTTTACCGTCATAACCCTTTCTACAAGTGCAATACTGAGAATCGTCTTTAACCTTCTTCTTCTTGTTTAGGGTCTTTTTGGTCGATTTCTTTTTGGTAGTTGTCTTTTTTTTCACTTGTGCATCGGATAGATCAGAATCAGAGGACAGCGATGAGGCGTCAGAAAGTTGTAAAGACAGATCAGAGTCCGATTGGTGTTGTAAATGTTGCTGATCAACTTGTTTTGATATTTTACTCATGGAAAAAAACCCTCTTGTATCTCTTTTTCACCCTCTTTATATATTTATCTATATTTAACTCGACTTCTTTATTTTATAAAAGCGTATTTTTGGGAGAAAAAAAAAACTGAAACTTTTTTTTGCAAAAAAAAAACTTGGCTGACAATAAAAAAAAACAATTTAAGATCACTTCCTCTTTTGACAGGCTTCACCATAGATTGAGCTACTTTCAGCGGTTGGTTTAATTTTAAAATGGGTTAGTAAGGCTAATCCCTTGATTTGGCTGAAGGGAATAAAAATTTAGCCTTACGGAGGAGGAATTGATCTTTTTGCTTGGGAACAGCCTTAAGAAACCAGTAAAGCTAGTGGTAAGTCCCTATAAAAATAATAGGTGTAATACAAATACATAAAAAAAAGAGACTTTATGCATCAGGTACAGCCATCAACTAATAAAGAAAATATCATTAAAATAGGTGATAAACTGTCGATTTACAGGATAACAGAAAGTTGGGCCAAAATACAAATCTATCTATTACGAGATGATGTAGCCATTCCAAACGTATACCCAACTTTATTGCAAGTGACATTGTTTCCATCACGATAGAATTTGGTTGAATTCAATTTGCTGATTACGATAGTGATCAATAGAAATAAGCGGCAGCAAGGACCCATTTGGTGAACCATGTTTGATCCTCTCGTAGTAACTACAACCAACATAATTTACATGTTTAAGGCAACCATAACCAGCATATTCCGAGTGAATTGACTTTACAGCATATAAAAAAAATACTTTATTAATTTTAAAATTAAAAAAAGTAACTTTGAAAAATTAAATAGCGTGCGCCTGTTTATTACAATTGAATAAATCAGATTGATGTTCATTTTAGCAGCATTTAAATTTTTTGAACGAGATATATCCAAACATCACAAACTAAAAGCCTTAAAAAATATATTAGTCGAAAAAAAAAAAAAAAAAAAAAAAAAGTTGTTAGTAAAACTGCAAAAAAACATCGAAGAGAAAAAAGGGTGACCTTCCTTATATGGCATATTGTTAACCAGTTACTTGCCTTTTTTTTTAGCTCAAGCATTTACTGTTTATTCTATATGTTTTCGCTTTGAACAAGGTTGGTAAACTTTAGATAATAAACGAAAAAAAGACATTTAATAAGTATTAGATAAGCAACGGTTGATAAATTATACAGACGTTGCTTTCCCAACCACTTTTTTGTATAATTGATACAACCTGGCTCATTCTATATTTTCAAGATTTTATGGACTAATTTTGTAAAATTCTCATTCTTTCATCTTTTAAATGAATTCTTTATGTTCCCTATTGGGTATCGTTTTGTGGGGGAGATTTTATGAAGAAAAGAAGAGATTTTAAACCTGATACATCTTAACGTTTTTTAAATCCAATTTTCTGTTCCAAACCTTTTTTCTGAAAATTTTTGACAGAAGAACTATGGTTCCAATGTTTTTAAACAATAATATGAAAGCAGTTTACATTTTAGTTATTAAAACATTTTAGTGATAGCCATCATTTGAAATAAACACAAGGCATGAGGTGGATTTTTTAGCACCCAAAAATTATTTCAGCCAATAAAACAGCAGGGAATGGCTAAAACTGTTACTTCTTTTTAAAAAAAGCTTTGGACTTCATCTGTTTTATTTTTGATAATTTCGCAATAGCATTACGTTTTAGACACAATGTTGGTCATCGATTCTTTTGTAGCCAAATTTTAATTTATTTATAGAAATATGATGTACTATCAGAGTTGTTAGGGCGCTTATAAGTTTCTGTGTGATGGGAAAGACATACCCAATATATTCGTAAAGGAAATGGTCGCTGCCGGGACATTGACGGTTGTGAAGTGGTACAGACATTAAAAGAATTTGTTTTTTTATTATTTATAAATAAACATACAATGAGCATTTATTAGACCTCGAAGGCTGCCTGATGTCAAGCGGCAAAGAGGATCCTCGCCTAAAAAAAAAAAAAAAAAGCACTCATGACGAACATCGTACATGCAAAAATAAAAATTTGAAACAAATTTCAAAATTATCAGGTTTAAGCTTGGTGGCACGTTATCATATAAAATAAAGTCATTGCTTACACACCGAATTAATCAAATGAGACATATCAATAGAAAAAGTGGACCCAAAATTCTCTTGTGAAAATGTGACAAAATCAATAAAAATCACTTTGTTTCAAATTATACAACATATGAGCTCTTATTTATTAAATGTTTAAAAATAAAAAGAAATTTACTCTTCATCCATAGACTCATCTTCATCGCTGTCTTCGCCCTCAGCAACATCTAATTCCATATCTAATTCTTGATCGCATCCATTATATGAGTCGGACATCAAGTAAACCTTGAGAGTGTGTTGGCCGGCTGTAGGAGCATTAAAACCCAACTTAACGGTCAATTTTTGTTGCAAAGTAACCCTCTTGATTGCCAATAAAGTCTTTGTTTCGGGATCACCAATGATAATCCACCAACCTTCATCCTTGGTCTTGGGGAAGAATGGTGCGATCACAGGTCCGACTTCTTGTTCTTCGGCATCCTCATCCACTTCACGTTCAAGTTGAACACGGACGTTGACAAGTCCACCCGCCGCAACACTCTCCTTATCAGCTACATCAAAACCAACTTCAATATTGGGGTATCTGTTGACGAAACGTGCTACTTCGCGCATCTTTCTTTGATCCAAACGGAGACAGTCAGCACGCACATCATCTTCAAGTTCCATAATATCAAACACGGATTCGACATTTTGGGCCTCACAGCGTTTGATAATCTCATTGGTGAAATAAGGAATTTGCTTGAGAGGGGAGTCACGATCCCACATGGCTTGTACAGACATTTGTGATAATTCCATTGCAGCCAATGCGGGCGATAACCAACCGTTAGAAGAAATAACATCCACACAGGCTTGAAGAAGTGGGATAACCTTTTCGACGATTAACGTTTGATCGGCTTGAAGATCAGGTGGTAATTGGACACGAGAGAAATGTGCTTGTAACAAAACATTTGTCTTGATTCTAGGTGTGTTGAATTTAGGATTAGCCAACTTCACAGGAACACGATCGTAGATACGCTTGAGAACATTCTCTTCGTGATGACGAATAGGAATGCCGTCAAATTCAGTAGCAGATGACACAATTTCCAAAAGACCTCTAAGTTTGGTGCCACTTTTCAAACTGACACTGAACATATCTACCGTGGTATAGTTGATGTTGTAATAAGCGGCAATCATACCCAAATTAAGAGGACTAATATCCATTTCATCTTCAATTGTAAGACATTTGGTATCCTCCAAGTCCGTAAGTGTAGATTCAACGAGTTCAGAAAGATGATCAGATAAGTGACGATGCGAAGTACCTTGTAAACCATAGTAATTAGGATTATGAGCCATACGACGATACAAGAAAGACCAGGTAAGATAATCCACAGCATCTTGCTTGTTTTCAATCGTTTTAGTGACAATTTCAGCATTGAAATGATCGTGTAAAAATTGATCCAAATGAGATTCCACAGGCAAAGCCTCGTATAAGAACTTTTTGTAAAATTCCTTCTTGTTGGCTTGACACATGAGAACACATTTACCAGTTTCATCTTCAAGGGGACGGCAGGCACGACCCATCATTTGCAGAACATCGGTGATAGGATAATCAGCATAGCGATGTTCTTTACCCTCAAAGTATTGGGTACCCATCACGACAACCATATGAGAATGAAGAGGAAGGGCCCAACATGTATCACGAGAAGCGATCACGACCTTGATAGCGCCTGATTCATAAAGTTGTTCGACAATTTTCTTATCTTGCTTAGAAAGCGCTTCATGGTAGAAACCGATGCCATGATAAAGAGTTTCAACCAAAGACTTGTCTTGAACACGATCCAAAATGGATTGGATTTCGGATAATTCACAATGTAAAAATTGTTGAGGCTTGTCATCAGCGACACAGTAAGTAATCAAGTCAACTGCAGTAAGCTTACATTGCTTTCTGGAAGGAACAAAAACGATCGAGGGTTTGTTATCAGCATGTGTAGTAATAGCGAGATAAGTAGGTTTAGCCATAGCAATCATAAGCGAAGCGAAATGAGGAACATTATAACTTTGGATATGAATTTCTAAAGGAACAGGACGCACAGAAGGATGGAAGTTGAAAACGGAATGAGAAGTAGCACCGATCCATTCACCCAAGTCACGAGCATTGGCAAGCGAAGTACCCAAAGCAACAATACGGATAGCATTTTGTGTTTGAGAGGCCATGTATCTCATTCTGGAAACAATCACTTCATAAGTAGGACCAAGATCACCGCCAATCATGTGCACTTCATCGGCAATGAATAAATCAACATTTTGAACATTCTTTCTTTGCTTCCAACGACGAGAAATAAGATCCCATTGGGTAGGTGTACAACAGATAATATTACCACGTTCCAATAATTTCAAATCAGCACTAGTTTCACCTGTCAAAGCGACCACTTCCTTACCACCACCAACTTTGCCGAATTTCTCGGTCCATTCAGCAACACGTTGATCTACAAGCTCTTGGAAGGGGGCGACATAGACGGCACGAGAATCACTGGATTTGCTCCACAAATGCAAAAGAGCAAATTCGGCACAAACTGTCTTACCAGAACCAGTGGGAGCACCGATAAATGTGTTGTCATCTGTGGTATAAAGAGCATTGAACACCTGTGTTTGAACAGGATTGAAATGATTGATCCAACCAGAGTAAAGCTTTTCATATTCAGGATTACGTAAAGCAGACACAGGCAAAGGCTGGAGATCATGAAGCTCGGTATGTGGAGCGTACTTTTCGGGAAGAATTAAGTGCTTGAAGGAGATAGGCAGTTTGGACTCACAATGCATCCAACGATCGGCAACAATTGTAACGTAATAGTTAGGAGGCAAAGGTTCAAAGAGGGGTACAGTGAATGAAACTAAATGTTCTTCTTCGGCATAGCGTTGTTTCAATACAAAGTAATCATGATGCAAGATATGTTCACCATCTACATCTTCTACCAAAATCCAGAAGGCCTCAGCAAGACCATGAACTTTTTCATCCCATTGGAAATCAGGTGTAATAGTCAATTCAACCTTGAGCAAAGAACGGGTAACAGGTTGAACATGAGCTTGGATATCCAACTTGGGGAATTGATGCACGAATTTGTGAAGAGTACGACCGGCCTTGGGCTGGCCAATCAATTCACCGAGTTCTTGAGGATTCAAATCAAAGTAACGCTCCCAAGGGAATTCTTTACGTTCTAAACGACGTACAATATCTTGAGGCATAGCCTTGAATTGTCGCAAAGGAGACATAGGTAACCACATACGCTTTTCAACCATTTTACACAAATTGAGTGCCTTTTTGGTCAATTGTGCCCAGCCACGCTTTAAACAAATCTCAAACATGGCGCGAATGATACGGCCTGCACTTTGAGTGACATACACCATATCAGAAACCAAAGCAAAACCTTCCAATTTGAGTTGGGAAATATAAGCTTGTAACAAGACATTAATCTTAGCAGTAGGTTCTTCAAGACTCTCCTTAACAGGAACAGGCACACGCTCCAGCAATTTTTGTAACTCCATCTTTTCTTCTTCACGCACAGGAATATACTTGAATTCATCAGAAAGAGCAAAGACGCGGAAGAGCTCAATTTCACTCATCATGGGACGTAAATGTTGGTTGTAGGTTGACATAGAGTGATGAGTCACATAGTAATGAGAAGCGATACGGCCCAATTCAGTCACTTGGAAACGGCCTGACTTCTTATCATACTTGATCAAGTTGCACTTATCGAGCACAGTAGCAGCAGAATGAATCAGATCCACGCGCTTCTGTTCCAAATGAGGATCATCTTCAAGGTCGTCTTGGGATACATTATAAAGTGAAGGATTACGAAGCATACGTACGTATAAGTAAGTGTATCCTAACCATTGCACAGCTTCATCACGATTTCTGATAGTACCAAGTACGATTTCAGCATTCAAGTTATCAGAAAGTCTGGAGATAAATTGAGATTCGATAGGAAGTTGAGTGTTAAGAAGAGACAAGTAGTATTGTAATTCAGAGTGAGCGGTAATGATGATACCCTCACCATAAGTGTCATATTGAGGACGACCAGCACGACCCAACATTTGGAGAACATCTTGAGGAGAAAGTTCGACCCAGCGACCCTTCTCAGGAGAATAAATCTGTGTACCCTTAATGATAACAGCATGCGCGGGTAAATTGACACCCCAAGCAAGAGTAGCAGTAGAACAAAGCACCTTAATGTGTCCATCGGCAAACAATTCTTCAACGAGCGTACGATCAGCACGTGTCATACCAGCATGATGGATAGCGAAACCATAAGGCAAAAGATCAGCAAGGTTAGCATCCTTTACTGTAGCTGCTTCGGATTGAAGAATTTCACGACTAGCAGAATCTTGTTTCAAGAATCGTGTGATTGTATCTTTATCCAAAGCCATATCACGAAGTGTCTTTGCTGTTTTAGCTGTTTCTTTACGAGAGTGAGCAAATACAAGGACCTATTTTGTACGAACGAAGTTAGATTTTAGATTGTGGGTTATTTAGAATATTTTCTATATTTCTTACCTGATTCTCTTCTCTTTGATCAATTTGTTCGATAACTTTCTCGTAACAAACCTCGTTCATGGTTTGGAAACGCTTGATAGCCTTTTTCTCTGTGACACCAATAAATTGTTGCTTCAAAGGACAAGGACGATAGGAACTATCGAAATGGAATAAACCAGTCTTACTGTTTACACGCAAGAAAGCAGCGACATCGACGTAATTAGGTAGAGTAGCAGATAAACCAACGAGACGAACAAGTTCTTGAGTTTGTTCCATGTTACGGATGGTACGAGAGATAATACTTTCTAAGACTGGACCACGATCATCATGCAGCAAATGAATTTCATCGATGATGATAAGACGTACCAAAGAAGTATAACTACGATCAGTAGCTTTACGAGTGATGACATCCCATTTCTCAGGTGTAGTAACAATAATTTGGGTTTCGGAAATTTGTTGTTTTGTCAATTGACGATCACCAGTTAATTCGGCAACAGCAATTCCGTAAGGCTTGAGACGTTGACTGAAATTACCCACCATTTCTGCAACTAAAGCCTTCATGGGAGCAATATAAACAATCTTGAAAGCATCGAGATCGATAAGGCCAGTTTCAGGATCACGGTTCTTACCGAGCTCATGTAAGATGGTAAGCATAGCAACATTAGTCTTACCAGCACCAGTAGGAGCACACAAAAGGAGGTTCTCGTCACTACCAAAGGCAGTAGGATAAAGTCTACTTTGAACACGGTTCAAGGTTTCAGGACCAACAAAAGCATCTTGAGACCAGTCAGGCATAGATTTGATAGGAATTAACTTTTCACCGGCAGCAAACTCAACAGGTTTAGGAGCAGGCACATGGATTTCCTCATAACCCTTCTTGGATCTTTTAAAAGAGCCATCAGGAAGTTTAACTTTCTTGTTCGACATGAGATGAGAACCTTGTTCAAACGCAAGTGATTCTAAATCTAACATTTGACGAGGTGCTACAGTTGTACCGGGTGTAATGGTAGCAGTAGTAGGTAACTGACCACGACTCCGACCAGTAGATTCTTCATCAATTTCCATCGCTGTATCAACAACACCCTTTCTTTCGAGAGCTTCACCACGACGTTGACGATCACCACTGAGACTTCTTAAAATCCAACCCAAGTTTTTGTTTTGCATTTCAATTTCAAGTGCGGCTCTTTCTTCACCCTCAAGACGGGCAAGACGTGTACACCAATAAATGAGATCACGGTTCTTGGTAAGGATACGAACAAGATCAAACTTATCATAATCGAATAATCCCATCAACTCATTCTCACAATCACGAACGTTGATACTTTCAGAACCTAAAATCTCAAAAGCTTGAACGGTCTTTTCTTGAGCAGTGTGAGCATCAGGATATTGTGCAGCAATTTGACGTTGAAGCCAAAATGCATCAATATCATGAGGAAAAATAGAATCATCATCTTGAGCTGTGGTGGCAGATTTCTTGCTAGACTTCTTTTTCTTTTCCTGTCCAGGGAGTACAGTCTTGAACCCGTCTTCCTCATCCGAGGATTCAGCGGATTCCTCTTGACCTTCAATAACGACATTTAATTCGTCTTCCTCCTCATCCTCATCCTTCATTTCATACTGATCGTCTTCCTCTTCTTCATCCTCGTCGTCATCAAATACAACAGCAACACCGAGTTCGTCATCGATTTCACCCACTTTATCGCCGTTTTCGTCAATATCCATTGCCTCTCCATCAGCTGAATAATCGGTAATCTTTTTAGACAAATTGACAAGTTGAGCAAAGTGTTCAGATTTAATGTTTCCAATTACTGATTCGATTTCCTTCTTCTTATCAAAATCTTTGAGGGTATCAGTTTTTAAAGTTTCTAAAACATCGTCCGCAGCACTTCGAATGACATCACGAGCTTGATCGCCTAAATGCTCGTAAACAAATGACAAAATGTGCTCATAAGCCTCGCGTGTTTCTTTTGTACGAGGTCTATAGTTTAAGCCTTCCCAGTCTTCAGTGGCAGAAAGAACGGATGAATAGCCATATGCTTTACTGATGGCGTTTTCTTCCTTCTTTCGACGTCTCTTTTCATTGGAATCTTCAGATCGTTTAGCAGCAGCCTTCTTCTTCTTTTGTTCAATATCTTTAGGTGCTTCTCTTTCTACACGAGAACCGAATTCTTTGGGATCGATTTTACCCCATAAAGTATCGGGTTCACCGGTGGGTTCCTGATCCCTACGTGGTAACCCTTTACGATTGGCCTGTAAAACCAAACTAGAGGTGGCAGCATATTGATATTGATTAGCTTTAGCAAAGTTTTCAGCCATTTTATTGTTTATCAATATATGGTGTTTATTTCTCTTCCTTTTTGTTGTTGAAAATTAATATAGGTTGCTGAGCTCTATGTTATTTGTCCAACTGTACAAATGTCGTAATAATATATATATATAAAAAAAAAAAGAGGTGTGGACAATGAAAAAAGCAAAGTATTACTTTCAATAATAAACAGCTTAGGCGAGTTGCCCGTTGCGTCATTAAATGTGGCTTGTTTGACTCTCTCGCGTCTACTCCGCTCTTACCGCTGGGATCCAACAATAACTTTTTCGTGTCTTTGAGTGTTTGCCCTGAAGATGTTGTCTTTAAGAGATGATGTGAACCATGAAATAGTTTACTGACACTTTTTTAAAATCATTTGTTGCGTTAATAGCTCTCCTTGGGATTAACGCCTTCTTTGATATCCTCTAAATCTACTAATTGCACTTATATTACTCATGACTAAACGTATTGTTCTTGCTGTGCAGCATTCTATCAAGACCTCACGCTAGGATATCTATATGCCTTATTTATTATTTAGGACTACGGCAATATTGCTAAAAACTCAATATTTTCAATACGATATACTGCTGCAAGTATACAACCACCCGCATCTGTACCAAGCAACAAGACACAATTACAACAAAAAGCTATGTATATACATAGACTCCAGCAATAAAAACAGCTGTAAGGACCGCCGTATACAATTTTTATTCAATTCTCTACCGTATGAGATCTTTTAAGAATGGTTGGTTGTGAACGACATGAAGACCACTGTTTCATAAAGACCATGTTATAAGTGCGTAGGGTGAAATTTATAAGTGGACAACAATGATATCTAACCACGAAACCAGCAAGCTTGATAAAATGTGTAGTACAAGTGTCGCTGTGCGTTTGTTAAATTCTCAAGTACCTATAAAAGTAATGATAAATCTCAGACTGTCCTGATTTTACATAAATCATTAGGGAACACCTGCAATCAACGATACACAAAGACACACTTATGCATCTATCATACATCCTGATAATGTGTTCCAATGTCGTAAAACTAATTGCGATTTTCTCGAAAAATGTCATTTAAAAGAAAAAAGGTTGGCCGTCATTGCAGGACTCATGCAACCAAATAACTGAACAAATGAAGGACGATGCTTGTTTAAGTATATTTCTTCGTTTAGAATCCGCATGAAAAAGCTCATTATCACCTAAGATATAGCGTCATACTTTTCCCAGTTTGTAAACATGAGTTTATACTAGCCATAATTCTGTAAAGACCTACCGTCAAGAAAAAAAATCACGATATATAACATGCGGTACTATTTTTTAACAAACCAAAATTTAGATGAAATTATATAAGATGATTATTGTAGATACATGCCAAAATATCAAATATATCAGCTGGTCTGCATGCAGTAAATAGCTGGAGGCAGGAAAGTCACGCGAGTTCAATAACAATTCGAAACACTATAAAGTCCCAAACATCTTTTTAACGGTCTTTGTTTTTCCCCTTTTCATTCTGGTTCCCTTTTTCTATAAAAGATATCTATTGTACTTTTTATTAGATAAGAAAATTAAATGACCTCTGCTGAATTTGGAAGCCCTTTGCGAAAGTATAAGCTTGTTTTCTTGGGAGAGCAAAGTGGTAAAATTAAATTTTTATTTGACGACAATTTTAAATACTCATAATATTTCAAGTGGGAAAGACATCGCTTATTACTCGATTCATGTACGATACATTTGACAGCACTTATCAGGTGAGTAATACAAGAGAAGAATTAATTATTTTGTTTGTGACTCATTTAAAATAAAAGGCGACGATTGGTATCGATTTTCTTTCAAAAACTATGTATTTAGATAGTAAAACAGTTCGTTTACAGTTATGGGACACAGCTGGTCAGGTATCGTAAAACAATACACAGAAAGAAAAAAAAAAAAAAAACTTTGTTTTAACATCCGCACCTTCTTTTTTGTCCCAAAAGGAACGATTCCGAAGTCTCATCCCGAGTTATATCAGAGATTCTTCCGTAGCTGTAATTGTTTATGACATGTCTAGTAAGTTACTAAAAAATAAAAACTGCTTTCTGTTATTAAAATAGGCTACAAAAAGATCGAGAGTCTTTCTTGAATACATCAAAATGGATAGATGATGTACGTGCAGAAAGAGGAAATGAAGCTATTGTTGTACTAGTGGGAAACAAAACCGATCTTAATGAAAAAAGGTTATTTTTATTTTGTTTACTTTTTTCACTCTTTGTACTCAATCTATTTGTAGGGACGTCACAACAGAAGAAGGAGAAAAGAGAGCTAAAGAATTAAACGTCATGTTTATTGAGACAAGTGCAAAAGCAGGACACAACGTAACCACATTTGTTATTCTAGATAGCTCATCTGAACTTAATTATTTTTCTTCGCTCTGTAGGTAAAGATGCTATTTAAAAAAATTGCACAAGCCTTACCAGGAATTAACGGAAATTCAATCAATGATCAAAAGGATCAAAGTAAGAATGAAAGAAAACGTTCCATCATCATATTAACTTTCTTTTTACATAGTGCAAAAAATCAATCTCAGTAACTCTGGTTCTGAAGCAAGTGGTTGCGCTTGTTAAATCACCTCTAATAATACAGTCTTCAAAAGAAAATGAGAGCTTTTTAGAAACTAAGTTTTTCGACGATTTCTTTTCTTTTGGATTAGACATCTTTAATAAACATTGACCACCTTAAAAATTCCCAGTCCAGCTGCTCCGATTTAGCATGTATTTTAGTTCGTCACTCGCAGTTAAAGAAGAATTTATTTTGGCAATTTTTTTCTTTTAGCGTCAAGTTATGAGACCCATATACTTTCTCTTTTTGTTAAAGATGGTAACTATGGTTACTAAAGAGTAAACAATCTATGTGATGTATTACGGAAACTGTAACGGTATCAACGCGAGGAGAATACTGGAGAAATTGAACTATTTTGAAGAAGAAATTTACTACGAAAAAGCTCCACTAGAACTCAAACTGACCCCTCATCAGCTTCGATTATAAACAACATATCACTTATTTCAAAGGGTGGCTATATTTAATCTATCTAGGCCATATTTTTTAGGATTGTTATAAATGATATTTATTTTTGTGAATCCGGTGATGTTTAAATCACCAAAAAAAAAAAAAAAAAAAAAAAACAATAATAAGAACTTTTGAACGCATTTGATTTTATCTCTGTGTAAAGGCATATTTCAAGCATAGTAGAGATTTAATTTTAATATTACTATGGTAAATGATTCATTACCTGGAATCTGGAAATTCTTAGCGTAACCCAATTTATTTAAAAATGTTGAATCTAAAAGAAGGGAGATTGTTGAGAAACTTATGGCCTTTTCAAATGTAACCGAAAATACTGTATTACCTTCTTTTAGTAAACAACGGTATATATAAACCTTTTTTTTTTCGGCCTAGAACATGTCATAACGCCATGTGGTAACATCCTTAAATATTTTGAGGCACGGTTTAGTCGTTCGTTTTGGATGTTTGTGGGAAAGCATTGTTTACGTACGGATTTCAAGTATGCATTAGGCACAGCGACATCTTATATTCACGTGAATGGAATAAAATAAACACGGCATAAAATTGAAAGACTATTTCCACAATTGGATTTAACAAGCTCGTCTAGATTTCATGATGTATTTCACATTTACACAAACTATTAAGGTATAATCATAAGCAGTTTTTTCTTTTTGGATATATTATATCTCCTTCGGCGTTTTCATCTTTGGCTGTTTAGATAATTTTACGTTGTCACTGAAGGTTAACTTGTGAATCTTTAACATTTTTCATACAAGGCACTTACAAAACATTCTTTAAAAGGAATAAATGAGGAAGAAAAGTTTTAACCTCAAGGGTTTATGTTATGAATATTGATAGCACTGTTTCATCTCATAACTACAAATACTATCCAAATAACCGTTATCACAATGACAGTCTTTCTGTATAGCGCTTGGACAATCTATTTCTTTTAATAAAAAAAAATGTTGGGGTATTTGAAATGGTATAAGTTTTACTTGGCTTCATCTATAAGTAGGCCAAATCCAGAGTCATTGAGCACGATCAAATTCGAATCGACTGTAAATAAAATTAGATTTCCTTTTCTGATAAAAAAAAAAAAGCGCAAAAGACTTACGTGGTGTGCTGCGATCTGAAATAGTAGATCTGCTTGAATAGGAGATTGTATCTGAAACGTCAACATGTTCAATCGTCTTTTTGTTATGTATATTATATTGTTCTGTACGATCTTTAGACGTGTTTACCAAGGCATCATTTAATTGCTTGTTTTGTACAGTTAACCAGTGAACATCCGATTTTAATCCATCTAGGTACTGGGCTTGCTGATTCATAAATTTCTTTGCATCATGCAACTCTGTTAATAAAGCATTTAATTCCGTATAATGATGTTCTTGTACAGATTTTCTCTGTGATCTTAAATATACAATGACAGTTTTATCTATCCAGTGTCTGTAAGCCTTGAATTGAGATTGTACTTTTTCATAAAGAGTTGATTTTTCCTCGACTGTAGAGCGTAAAGTAACAATTTCCTGATCTTTGAGAAGTGCACGGGATTCTAATTGTTTTATGTGTTCTTTTTGCTCTTCTGATAAAGTCATCAGTTCATTATTTACTGTTTTCAAATCTTGTGTTTCATTTTTAGAGGTCTCCAGTTCTTGCATTAATGTAGTGTTGATATTTTGAATGCGGTTTAATTCTTGTTGCAAAAGATTAATTTGTAATTCATTCTTGGTTGCACTATTTTTAGATTCCGATAATTGAGCCGACAATGCTGATATTTGTGCTTCAAGTGCCTCATGCTCTTTTTCAAAATTGGCGATAACAGAAACACTCCTATCTGCTTCTGTTCGATAGTTTTCAATAGCTTGATTCTTTTCCTGTAATTCTATTTCATGCTGAACTTTGTTCGAATTCAGACTTTCTTCAAGCATGTCAATTTTTTTTTGTAACTGAACAGCTTTTGAAGGACGATTCAACTAATAAAAGTAAAAATTAATCCAAAATACCACAGAATTATAAACAAAACATACAGTCTTTTGTAAGGTGGCATTTTTAGCTCTTAAATCAGCTAGCTCTAAATCTTTTGAAATCAGGGTGGATTTGATATCATTCTTTTCGAGTTCCAGAGATTGAATATTTGATTCCATTTTTCTAGATTTCATTTGAAGTGCATCTATCTCTTTTTGCATTGTGTACCTATATTTTTCAAATTGACTATTGGATGTTTCTATTGGATTTGGTAATTTCTTTCTGGTTGGTGAAGGTGTTGTGCTGTCATCATTTGAGCTAGTGCAAGATACTCTTGTATCACTAGACATACTAGCATTAGATCCTTCAACAAGTGCCGAGACATCAAATTCACTAGATTCTGAGCCCTCAACTATTTTACATGTTTTAATAACAAATAAATCGCATTCTGAAAAACAAAAAAAAATTATTACCGCTACCATCGGGAAATCGATTAGTATGACTAAGAAATCCAAATCTCTTGTGTCTGTTTCTGTCCTCAATAGACAAATCATATTCACCAGGTCCAGGAATATAATCCTTGCCAGCTATGGATTTTAACAATAAGTTGAGCAGATATTTAAACGTATCATTTTAATAGTGTGCTACCTTCAGGGAATCGCTTGGATTTTGAAAACATTTGCTCCTATGTGTGTATGTGCGTGTATGTGTGAGTGTAAAACAAGTAAAAGGAAAAAGAGCAAAAAGAGAAAAGGAGTGCGATTAAATAAAAAAAAATTCCAACTTGTTTTATTATTATTTTCGAGTCGGAATATACATATTTCTCATATGAGTTATTGTATTTGTGTACAAGCTTTCTTTTTTTTTTTTTTTTTTTTTTTTTATTCTTTACAATAATTTTTTGACTTGTTCGAGGGCAAAGGGTGCTTAAAAACAAGAAAATAGTTATGTTAGACACTTTTCCCTCTCTCCTTTTTCTCTTAATGCTTACCGGCACGAATGGCAAATACAACAAGGGCAAAGTTGGAAACAGTTGAAACTGTGCGTTGACGAAGCATAGCCTTTTGCTCAGGAGAAAGTTGGGGTTGCTATTTTTCTATATTAATATCACATCTTTTTCCCTAAATCTAAATCTATTACTTGAGGCATGAACATTTTGCGTTTGAAAGTATAGGAAAAGCACTATCAAACCCCCTGGGCATAGACTCCCGCACTACAGCGAAAAAAAAACACTAATATGTGACTTTGGTTTTTAACGCTCAGTTGACACATGCCCTATCCTTCTGGATTCCTTGTTTGACACAGAGTTTTTAATTTACTTCTACCTATTAATACCACTGAGAATGATAAGAATTTATTATGCAAGATAGTTATATATCTAATTATTTAACACTGAAATATCCTGGTTTGTATACAGTGTCTTCACTTGGTTTTTTTATTTATATAGTCAACGCAACGCGCACTGAGCTAAAAAGATTGCGTAACTACGCAAGTTAAAAAAAAAAAGTTGCGTAACTGTGCAGGCTCAGAGAGGCTTTTATTCAACTATACTAGTAACTTTACTTTAGGATTATAGTGGAATCCTCAAAGCCAAAAGATGATTGGGGTAGAATAAACTAATACAGATGACGTATTTTAATGAATGGATCAATACGTATGAAGTATTACGACATGTTTCATTACATGTACAATACCTAAAAGATTATCCAAGATAAGCACTAGGTATCCACATAAAAAAAACAGGGACCGTCATTACCATTTAGTAACCCCAAATTTTTACGTTGGAGGGACTGTCCTCCGTTCAAATCAGAAAACTCTTTTTCAAAATTTGATTTATCAGCTTGTAGATACACAATGAACCAAATGACATATCTTCGCAATGTAAAGACTGTACCGTCTCCTTCAGGCTGGACACCTGAAACAAAGTACATTGACAAATTATTTTGGTCGCCCAATGTACCCATTGAACTTCGAGATTTATTTCAGCCGATGAAAGCCACAGTTGAAGATCCACGACGTACCATAAACTTTATGAATGAACATGTCAATTTAATTGGCACCTTTCCTGGTATTAAGGAACAGAAGAGGAACATAAAGATTAAAAAGTTGACAGATAAAAACCATCCTTGCTGTGGTGCCTATGGGTTATTTGCAGCTCAAACATTACACCCGAAACAGTTAATTTTGGATTATTTAGGTGTGGTTGAATATAAGGACGGTTACGAAGCAACCTCAGATTACGTATTAAGATACGGTACAGAATTGTCGATCGATGCTGGGCGTTGTGGTAATGAAGCCCGATTCTGTAATGATTTTCGTGGTTGTGGGCCTGAACCCAATGTGTGTTTTATGAACTACATGGATGAAAAGTCAAAGCATATTAAAGTTGGTATCTTTGTGAACGGAAATCGAAAGATCAAAAAGGGGGATGAATTGGTAAGTAATTATGAGAAAATCATCACACATGCACTAATATATATAACAAATCAAGTTGGTGACATATGGTAAATCATTTTGGGCTAAAAGAGGTGTGGATATGAGTGGACAACAGCATAAAAAGCAGTGATACCCTTTTACTATTAAAAATAAACTGTATATTTTTTTCATGTATATTTAAAGACTAAGGTTCATGAACTTTCTCTTGGAAAAACACATCCACCATTTACTTGGTTGTCCATCGATATAAATTCTATCTACCAATCTTGCAGCTAATTCTTGACGAAGTTGCTGGAAATATTGCTTCATTTGTTCTATGATTTATGTTAGCACTGCCTCTCTCTCTCTCTCTCTCTCTCTCTCTCTCTCTTTGCTTTTTATGACACCTACCCGCTTGAAATTTGTCAGTAGGACCTTGATACATGGCATTCAAAGGAAATCCGGGATCGCTTGGAATAGAAAAATTGGAGACTGCCAAAGTATTCAAAGACTTGATAGCTTCTCCTTGAGGTGTATTCTTATTTAAAGAACCAAGACATTGTGAAATGAATAAAATCAAGTAAATAAGAACACGGTCTGCATTGCCTTTAATTTCAAAATTACGGAACAAACAGTTTGCACGAAATAAGTCAAGAGCTTCATCAATAATGTCTTCAGCATTGGGATCCGCTAGAAAACTTCAAATTTTAATAACACACGCGATTTTTTTTTTTTTTTTTTTTTTTTTTTTCATCCTGAACTTACCAAAAGGTGCATTGCCTCTAAACTTTGTCTTGATAGGTAATAAAAACATATTACCAATGGACTGGTAATCTCCTTCGTTGAATTGTGAATGGTATGCCTATTTATAAAATAAAATAAGGGCTTAATGCTCATCTTGAAGAAGTTAAGTTTACTCTTTCTCTTACTGGCATAATTAAAGCTAATATGTATCGAGATTGAGGGGAAACAAGTGGTAATAAACCTGAGAAACACCACTTTATACACAACTCGACGTCATTCTCAATTACTATTCAAAAGCCGCAGAACCGCAGCCTTTTTTTGAAAAGATATAAAAACTGTCGCTTTTTTTTTCTTCTTCTGCAGACTTCAACTACTACTTCATTTCTTTTCTTGATGCTCAGTTTCATTCCATTTATTCCTCACGGTACTAAAGGAGTCGATGAAGCTGTATGGCAAACGGCTCGTCGTTCATGGCTGAACAACTTGACAGAGTTACTTAATATGCAAGACGCCGTCTTTGCCAAACAAGTTTTGTCCAACACGACTTTGGCTACATTTATAGATCAAGTCTTCAATGAACAAATGGACAACGACACAGCACCCGTAGATACCCGTTTGATCAAGTACATTTTTCTTTTGTATGCCAGACTCTCTTCTTTAGCCCCGACACACGATCTTTTAAATATCCAGAGACTTTGTAGCTTTGTCATTGTTTACGGTTATTCGAATATCAGTCAGGTCCGTCGTATAGTAGCCAATGCAGTGAATGAATCCGAGTCTTTGGAACAAAACTTACTAGCTACAATGGGTATGCTGATAGATTCGATTCAATCCATGCCTAATTCGCTCAAGAATTCCATCACGGCCGAAACATTGGATCGTGCTTATGTGCTTGTGCGAGTCTTGGACTCTCTATTATCTTCCACCGTTCAACTTTCAGTTATTAAATCAAGCTTTGATACATTGGATCAAGTGTTGATAGATTGTTACAGGGATTTGATACCTACGTTGAAAAAGGCTGTGGAATGCGACGAGTCAAATAAGACGTGCGCTTATCTTATTAAATTGTCACTGGTATCCTCTTTTAATTCTTACGCAGATATGCATTTCTTGACGCCTTTCGGATATATCACTTCTCCAGAAGATCATCATCGACTAGAAAAATACGAGACGACAGCCTCAACGGATTCAGTTTTAGATTGGATGAGCGAAAAGATACTGGGATATATCGAACATAGTGGATTAGAATCGACATGCGCTGCCTTTGAGGATGGACCGATCATTATGGATTGGGAGGTAGAATACAATATTACCGAAAAACTCGATTATATCAACAAAACTTCGTTTTCGGGAGAGGATGAACGTATCGAATTTTTGAAGCTGTCCATGGAGCAAGTGCGAGATTCGAATAATGGTACTAGTGATTGGGGATCAGCATTAAAAACAAGGGCTAAACCTGCTATCAATGGTAAAGCTTCTGCCAAAGATAAATCTGTCGTCTTTGAAAACGTCGAAAGAACATCCAAAATTTCACAGATTCATGACTTATTCCCTGACTTTGGTGACGGTTTTATCGAGGCTTGTTTAGAAGCCAACAATGATGATGTTGAGGTCGTCATTATGCAGTTTTTGGAAGAGAATTTACCAGCTTCTGTGGCTGGATTAGATAGATCAATGGAAAGAAAACCACTCAAGAGTGCGACTGAAACTGTAGCTCAATTAGCTCATTTAGAGGGAGATGCTGCTGCCAAGGATGCTCAAATTCAACAAGCCATTGAACATGAGAGTGTACTCTCTTCAAGACGCAATGTATATGATAATGACGAGTTCGATATTTTCACCCATCGCACAGTAGATACATCCAAGGTTTATACGGGTAAAAAAGATAAAGGGAATGCAGATTCGTTATTGGATGACAAGTCGTTTATTCAAAGCGAAAAGAAGAATGTTTTGCAGCGTGTTGTCGATATGTACGATGATGACTATGATGATACCTATGATGAAATTAATGATGCAGGTGCTCCATCCACACTGGATGGCGATTCTGCTGTGGATATTGTGAAAAAGAAGCAAGAGTTATTAGATCCTGGCATTCAAAATGAAAGTCTTTTGGTCCATAGCTTTACAGAAAATCCCGAATTATTTGGTCGTAATGGTACTGCTCGTAAATCCACAAAGCGTGCCGAGTTAAGGAAACGTACAGAAATGACAGATGAGCAATTAGAGGGTTGGGCTATTATGTTTAACAGAAATGTAAGTGGTGATATATATGTGTGTACGCACTTTTATGCTAATAACTTTTTTTTTTTTTTGAAAATAATAGCCTAGAAAGGATAGAATTTTAGATAAATACATGTTATTTGATGGTAATCAAACCAAGGTAACTGAGGAAGTGACTCAAGCACAAAAGCAAGCATTGAAGAAGGAGAACAAAAAGCCCCCGATCAGCGAAGCTAAAGATCGCTCCTATAAAGACAAGAATAAGGCGAGATTTGGTAATCACAACCGAAAGGCAAATCGTGATAAAAAGGTTGCGAAAGCAGGACCGCCACCATCATAGATTATACACTTTTTTTTAAAAATATATATATACATACATACATATACAACTTTAATATGAATATGCAATATTCTTTTACGTTTAAAAAAGTTTATTTTTGCAATCTATTGTGCTTTCTTGGCAGATGATTCTTTAAGGTACTTGTTGCGTTGAACTCTCATGTGGTTGAAAAGAACAGGGGCGCCTGGCAAGTATAAAGCAAGAATAGCAATATATAAGTAGTAATAGAGTTCTCCCCATTGAGCCTTGACATAAGGCAAGGATTGATAAGTCATCATTAATTCAGAAGAGATACCGGTAGGATACAAGACCAAGAAGAAAGTATAACGAGCCCAGGTAATGAAAGATGGGACGGAAGAAGCCAAGTTGGTGGCATAGTAGGAATAACGCACAACTTCAGCGATACACCATGAAACAATCATTGTGGTGTAAGACCAATGAGAATGGATTTGAGGGAAAGGATAATTGACAGCCCAAATCAAGAAAATTCGGGAAGCAACTTGCATAATTGTGGTCATGATGGGGGTTCTTACCCAGCCTGTGGTAAATGGATTAGTAAAATGTATGTTTCGAGACACAATTGTTTATACCTAACAAAGCGTGTAAAATCTAGCAGGTGTTTCAATTATATAAGTCTCGAGCTTTTTTTATTTATATATATACATAAAAAACAAAAACGTGCTGACATTACCTCGAATAAAGCAGTTGATTGAACAACAATCAAGACAGGCCAAGTAGCCTCAAAGACATTGGTATAGTCCTGGGCCTTGAAGAGTTGTTGGATGGCCAACAAAAGCACATAACCCCAACCAGCCAAGGAGCCGACATTGTATGCGATCAAATAAGCCTTCAAAAGACCGGAAGGTCCTCTGTGGACTTTCTTGGAAGTACTAGGTGAAACTTTTATGGAGACTTAGTTGTTTTTTCATTTTTCCCGAGAAGCAAGAATGCATTTACCTTTAGTCATTTGCTCAACAAAGATACAATAGAAAGGTTTTTTATTTTTTTGCACTCCCACATTTTTTTTATTTGTCCCCAGGTTTTGGTCGTCCCCAATTTGTTACCCTTCAGCTGCCAGTGCTTTAAGCTCCGGATTTATTACTTTTCGCAAGTGTATAACGCGTAAACAGCGAATGTCATTTGTTTATTGGATCTATTCAACTCGCTTTTAGCAAAACGAAACTGGGGAATGGTAAGGTGTGCTTTGGAAACTTAATATAGGCAAATAATTACTGACTGTAGCTATAGCTCGTGTAACATAATAATGAGCTTCTTTTGTATATGAACTGTTGGCACTGGTGAAAAGTGTCAAATCTTTGCAATTAGGATTGAAGAAGCAAAAAATACTCTTCCTAACAACACTTGTTATTTATAGACATTCAAAAAAGATTGCCAACCCCGGATTGTCCTGGATAGCCGGTGCTTGTAACAAACTCTGGTTACGCTTCTTAGTGAATGTGTGGATGTGGTGGTCTCCTTCATCGGCACTGGCATGAAATGCTTTTCATGCCTATGTGCTCTATCCCCTTTTTTTGATATGTATAGAAAAACACTATCTACCAATTCACAACTGGCGGTTAGTCATTTTTTTTTTTTTTTTTTTTTTTTTTTTTTTTTTTTTTTTGACGCCTCTACCTCCGAAAACACTTTGATGGCATGAACAAATAAAGTTGTGCTTCTTGGTGAAAAAATCAAACAAAACCAGGCTGGGGTTTCCAAAATCCAAGCACACTAGACCTTTTTTGAAATAAGCCGTTTAAGAAGGTAAAACCTCTTGGTTAAACGGGAAACAATGCTGTGATATATCCTTTGCGATGTAAATAAGATAGAGGTGCCCAGTTTAACTAATACTTATTTTTCAGAAATTTCTTAATAATTATCTGCCTTATATTCTCTTGTTAATTGATATTTATTCTCTAGATAACAAACAATGTTATTCAGACAGTTTCTAATTTCTTGTTATCTAAACTGACTTCCTATCATTAAACAAGTGCACATGCGAAAGGTTTGTATGCCAATTTAACCATGCAACTTAAAAAATGTCCCGATAAGCCGAGGTATTATGATCCATAAATAAGTACATGGCACACTCGGCTCCAGCTCCTTTTGATTTGCGGCCACTTTGCTCCATGTGTCGGATACCACAAAAATCTTGGAATTCCTCCATAGTTACCAAGTTTGTTGTGTGACGTCCGTTAGGCTTGTATATATATATTCAAGTTTTAAAGGGACTTGTGTCACAAAAGAAAATATATCGTGTATTTGTTTTGGCAATTCCTGCAGCAAATATACTCATTTACAAGCATTGCGCAGCCATAAACAATAATCTGGGATGTAAACACATGGTCTTGGCAAACGAAATTTTTAAAGGGAGACTGGCTGTTGTTACACTATTGTGGGAGTGATGTTAATGCCTTGATTGGCTAAGCATGGATTTTCCGTAATAATGACCTGTTAAAAATGCGCCAGAAGATGGAACTGAGTGTGAGCCACTCCCCCCCCCCCCAGTTTGTTCCGCCAAGTGCGCCCAGAACAAATTTATATTGACAGGTACGACGGCGGGGGGCGCCACAACGTTTTTTAATTAAAGTTTAGTTTAAAAACATATGATTTTTATTAAACGAAAAAAAGAAAAAATGGAATATGTTACAAAGGGGAATGGATTTATAGAAAAGAGTTATTGAACCTGAACGGAAGAAGAAGAGATGTGTTGAACAGGGTCTTTCTTTGCAGAATAGCTTTGGTTCACCCATTGACTCAACTGGTTTAATAGTTTTCTATGCTTTTCCACCACAGTGTCTTTGATTGGTTTCTGTATGGATGTTGGATAAAGAGAATCATCCTTTTCCTCCTTTCTCTTTTCAATCGCTAAGTCGGACATATCGCTTACCAAGAGATCCAAGATATCTTTACTTACAGCTGATTTCTTGGCAGGTGACTGCTTAATCTCATCATCACTGGTAGTAGTGGATTTCTTTTCCTTGACGCTACTAGCATCCTCGTTACTCGTAAATACGTTCATCATGGTTGTAACATTCTTTTTGGATTGGTGGTGGGTTGGTTTAACAGGCTTAAAAGCATCCTGTGTTTTTTCTTCTTTTTCTTGGCTGTTGATTGGATTCTTTTTATATTTAACATCGTCCTTTGAGCTTCCTAAGTTTTGTGATGTACGGAGGTCAGGAGTAAAGTATCCACCGTTGGAAACAATACCTGGCACGTTGGAATAATGATGTCTTACACCATTCATTTGAGGAACTGCTTCTGGCATATTTGAAGGGTAACCGAATTGGTTCAAATTGTCCATCATCGGCTGCATATTATATTCACCATAAAGTTTGGTGGGAGTAGAAGGGTTATAATCTGCCATCTGGTTCTGTTGTTGCTGCTGATGATGCATCATAGGTTGTGATCTCACATACATGTCTTCTTCCACACCTGTAGGATACAGGTCATTGTTGTTTTGAATATTATTGGTCGGTGTGTTGAATTGTAATAACATGTCCGCATAGCTTGGGTTTGCAGGTTGTACGTAGTCATATGACTCTTGTTGTTGCTGCTGTTGTTGTTGTTGTTGTTGTTGTTGTTTGTTATCAAGGCTATCTGTTAACTGAGCCAGCCAGACGTTAAAGTTATTGAGTTGTTCAGCGGTATTCATGTTGAGAGAATTAGGACTAAATGAACCATTGTCTACCATCGTTTGAAACATATCAAGATTACCAATCATGTCTAAAAAAAATTATAAATATACATATATAAAGGAGATGTTTTTAGAATAACAATTACCGGTATTATATTCTGTTTTCATTTGATTAGAAGTCTCATCGACAAACATCAAATTGTTGATAACATCCTCCGGTGCAAAATTGGGCGTCCCAGGTTCTTGCTTGATTGATCGAGAGCACGAACTGTTAAAGCTTTCATAATAGTCGGAAGCAGGTGATACACCACCCATTGTCTGATGTATCCAACCATCTACAAAAAAAAAAAAAAAAAAAAAATTAATACAAAATCGTTATAGTATTATTACTTTGTTAGTTTTACCATCAGAATAAGTGGCTGTACTGTGAGGTGGTGAAATCGGTACTTTTAATGAAGAGGTATGACTAGCTGGTGTTGAGTTTGGAGAAAGCGACATATCAGATTGTCTGGGTGGAGTTAAAGGATGATTCATATCAATGGTTGTACGACTTGAACGCATCTTTACGGGTACAATTGTATCTTCGTTGTGAATTCGTTCATGCTTTTTTAAATCTTGAGGTCGTTTAAAAGATTTATCACAAAACTATAATTTTGTTCTTAGCTTAAAAAAATAATAACAAAATAATAGCGCACTTACGTTACAGTGATGAGGCTTTAATGGCACATGAACTCGAAGATGGCTTGTAATGTGGTCTCTTTTTATAACAGACACTTCACAGTCTTCCCAGTGACAAGTCAAACATAAGTTACCAGTAGACTTTCTTCCGACATGGTCATTCGTTAAATGACTGTAAAGGTGTTCTGGGTCTGTGTAAATCTTACTACAGTTTTCCCAGCCACAATGATATCTTTGTGAATCTCTTGAGTATTCCATTATATAAAAAATGTTTATTCTTTTGAAAAAGTAAATGTATTAAAAGAAGAAAAAGAAAGGAAAAAAAGAAGAAAAAATACTGAAAATATATATATCTTTTTTTTATTCTATTTTTACACTTTTTGGTTCTGCTCTCTCCGGCTTGGCATCTCTGCTCCTCTCCCCCCAAATTTATCGAATCCGCAGTTTCAAACATGGGCCAATCAGAAGCGTTTCATTACTGGATGAATTATGGTTTTAGAATTACATAACAATTATCCAGGAATTTTCTCTACAAAAAGCTTAATGTTTTACCTGATTTAATTTCTTTTTTTCTTTCTTTATCATTATTTTCTCTCTCTTTTTATATTTTATAAATAATGGTTATTCAATCTACTCTCCCATCTATTACCATTCCTGAAACCGATATTCTTCAACTCTTGTTTAAGAATGTTCACAAGACTCCCGAAAACAGAAAACTTTACATCGATGCATTTTCAGGCGAAAGCTTAACTCTGGGACAACTCAAAGATAATGTTTTGCGTTTCGCTGCTTCCCTTCAAGACAGTTTCAATTTCCAAAAGGGCAACGTCGTAGCTATCTATGCTCCTAATCAGGTAAACAAATCGAATTTATTAAAAGTGAATAAATCAAATTTAACATAGATTTGTAGTATGATTATTCTATTCCTTTACTTGGTGCTGTTGCTGCAGGTAAACTTTTAATGCTACACATAATTATACTTTTTTTTTCGTAACCATTCTTCTTTTTCTTTTGTTATTAGGTGGCATTGCTTCTCCTGCTAATCCTGCTTACACCCCTAAAGAACTTGCTTACCAACTTGAAATGACTAGCGCAAAAGTTTTAATTGCACACCCCACAAATGTCGAATCTGCTTTAGCAGCTGCTGATTTGGTCGGACTTCCAAAGTCAAACGTATTTGTTTTCGGTAAACAAGTCATCAATGGCGTTGTTCCTTATTACCAAGCCTTCTTAACAAGTCAACGTAGAGCTGACTTGATCCGTCTTAACGCTGAAGAAGCTAAAGACACTGTTGCCTACCTCTGTTTCTCATCTGGTACTACAGGTAATTAAAATACAAAGCACGGATATTGAATTATATGGTGCTACACAGCGAATACTAATATAAAATTGTTTGTTAGGTAAAAGCAAGGGTGTCATGACAACGTAAGTGTCAAGATTCATCCCTACAAAAAAATAATTATTAACGTGTTTATTTTTAAATTATAGACACACCAATATCACTTCCAATATTCTTCAATATGAAGCTCTTGATGGTAAACATGTCAATGGTGACAATGATAGAATGATTGGTGTTTTGCCATTCTTTCATATCTTTGGTCTTACCTTGTTATTACACATTGCCGTATACTTGGGCACCCCTGTTTTTGTCATGTCTAAATTTGATCTTGTTCAATTCTGTGAGACTGTTCAAAAGCAAAAGATTACTTTTACATGTTTAGTACCTCCCATTATTTTGCTTTTGGCCAAGCATCCTCTTATTGATCAGTACGATTTCACTTCTCTCAAACTCGTTATATGTGGTGCTGCTCCATTGAGTGGCGACCTTTCTCGTCAAGTAAGAGCTCGTTTGCCTAATTTGGTGGTCAAGCAAGGTTATGGCCTGACCGAGACCTCTCCCTGTGCCGTTATTGAACCTACAGATCGTGTTGTCGATGGTAAAGTATTCCAGAATCTTTGTCCTACAGAACTGCAGGAATCACAATTATTAAATCTCATTATATAGGTTCCATTGGTCTTCTTGTCTCCAACATGACCGCCAGAATTGTTGATGACGATGATAAAGGTAAATATATATGGAATAGCATGATTTTTTACCCCATGATTACTAAACCGATATAGATGTGCCTACTGGTGAACGTGGTGAATTATGGCTCAAGGGTCCCAATATTATGAAGGTACACAAATCACATGCATCTTGTATTACATAATTTTATTTTACTTACGGTTGCATTTATTATGCATTTTTTTTATTCTAATAGGGCTACATTAACAACCCTGAGGCTACTGCAGACTGTATTGATAATGAAGGCTATTTCCACACTGGTGATATTGCCATTCAAGATAAGAATGGTCATTTCTTTATCGTTGACCGAAAGAAGGAATTGATTAAATATAAGGGTTTCCAAGTCCCACCTGCAGAATTAGAAGGAATTTTGGTAGGAGATAATAAATTCTATGAAATCTAATCGATTGCTAACATGTATTAATAGCTTCAATCACCTATTATTGCTGACTGTGCAGTTATTGGTGTTTATGATAGCTCCCAAGCTACTGAACTTCCTAGAGGTTATATCACTTTAAGACCTGATGTTCCTGCTACAATCGAAACAGCTGATATCATTAAGAAATTCGTTGCTGATCAAGTTGTTTACTATAAGCAATTGCGTAGTATTGTCTTTATTGACGAAATTCCCAAAAGTGCTGCCGGCAAAATTCTTAGAAGAGTCTTACGTGATGCTGCTGCTGCCGAACAAGCATTGGAGAAGCAAAAATCTAAACTCTAAGATACCCATCAGGTTTTTTTTTAAATTGTTCCCTCATTCGCCCCCATTTATTAGAATAATTTTTTTGACACAATCCCAAAAATCAATAAATATGTAACACCTTTCAATACCTAAAACAAACATCTCTTTCTCATTGGATGGAACTGTTCCGATGATCGCACTTTATATCTTTGCGTGGTTTATGTTTCACTGGATAAACTCTCCCAGGAACCGCCACTTGATGTGATCTGCGAAAAGAAAAAATCCACAGGAAAGAAAACCCCGATCTATGAGTAAATGTCATAATCCCCACAGTCAGAAAATAAGCTGACAAATTAATACGTTAATTCTGCCGTAATTTAATTAAGATTAATATTGTGGGGAATTTTTGCAGTCGAACCTCGGAATTCTATTGATTGTATCAATGTGGAGAAAAAAACGAAAGACCGATAAACGGAAATACATTCTACCTTGAACGGACAAAGTTCACCCATTTAACTCCAATCCTCTGGTGAAGTAATAAACAAATCAAAAATTTATTAAAATCAAAAGAGCTTCTAAAGGCAGACTGTAAACACTACACTACCTTATACTTATCAACCTAAGGATTGTATCACGGGACTAACTTGAGCATTCGACTTATAAATGACTATAGTGATAGGTCTTGATTATAAGTTTTTCGCCGATCCTTCTTTTTGCTTAACCTATCTATTAAATCAATACTTTTCGGGACATATAAGCATTTGATGTATATATTACCCTCCCTCCTCTTATTCTAATATTTATATGAGATCGTTTATAATTGTATCCCCTGTCCTGCCCGTACCCGTCCTCCGCATTTTATGGCAGCCACCATTACTCATCTGGTTTTGAACGATTCGTTCACACATGGTAACTATGATGGATTCTTTTGAATTAATTAATCGTCTTTACCTTACACGTTTTTAAAGGGTGCCACTTTCCTGTCCCCATCTTTCTTTTACGGATACAGAGACAGTTCTTTATTGATACCACATTCTCTAGTGTCGCTTATGTGTTTGATATTGGAAATTGCTTGCCAAAAAAATCTGGTTTTCCAATACACTCAACATCGCACGACTTTCAATATTGCTACAGGAGCATGGCCCACTTTCAAAAGATTAATCAGAGAATCTAGAACTTGAACAAATGATCTCACACAATGCAAATATGATAGGTTGAGATTACAACACAGCGGGTAAATCTTTCCATAATATCAATCACAGCCATTTACGATAATGACAAAGATATTTTTATTAGTTCAGGCATGACTCACTGTGATATCAAACAGCATATCATGCAAAGACCCACTGTGACTGACAATTGGAACCCACCCAACCTTATTTTTTAATAAACTTGAAACATCACCTATTCTTTTCGATTGCATTTTTATCCCCATTTTACTAAATGAAAGCCACTAAAAATTACAGAATCATGAACAAAATTATCAATACTAGTCATAATGAACTTGGCCCCGTTGAATATGCACGTTTAGTTGGTGCGTGAGAGTGGGGATGATCGTTTGTGGAGATTGGCCGTCAGTTTGGTATCCCCAGAGAGACCGTCAGGGATGCTATAAATCGGTATACTAGAACCAACTCCCCATTGCCATTCATGAGAAAGGGGGGCCCAGAAGAAGATTTCTACAGAACAAGAAACTCATTCAAGACTTGCAATTCGTCGCAATCCAGTTAACAGCTACACGGATAATATATAGACCGCGGTCACATCAGGTTTGGAGGTATCTTTAGCGACATACCGCTAATGCATCAAGGAAATGGGGTTCCAACAATGTAAAATCATCGAAGTACCCCTTATTACGGATTATAAAAGAAAAGAGGCTTTTGCAGTGTAAGGATAAGGTGAAATGGCCGTCTAGACAGTGGGGGTTAGTACTTTGGTCTGATGAGTTGATGTTCAGACTTGGAAGAGGTGCAGCGTGAGTTACAGTAATCAGAAAGCCTGGAGAAGGTTTGAAGGAGAGATATAGGGTTGGAACTTTGAATTTTGGCAATATATTGTTGATGATGTGGGGTTGCTTTCACGCAAAAAGTTTGAGCCTGCTCGTCCTTTTGAGAGGCATAATCGAACAAGTTGAGTACATCACAATGCTGTCAAATTATGCTATTCCTTGGAGCCAAAATCAATGCTATATATATAGATAACAAAGACTTTATATACCAAGAAAATGGCGCGCCGATTCACACGGGCAATTATGCTAAGTGGTATAAGCAAAAGACCATGGTAACTGGATTTGACATATGGCCACCAAAAAGTCCAGATTTAAGCCCTATTGAGCATATATGGGGATACCTCAAACTTCGTGTGAATAAGTGCTCAATAGGTGCTACAAGTATTCAAAAGTTTGAGGACATCGTTCAAGACGAATGGTCGAATATTGACACTGGATACCTGGAGGCTTTAGTTTCTTCAATACCCGCCGGATGCAAGGCTGTCATTGAAGCCAAAGAGGCAACACTAGATATTAAATTTTTTTTATCTTGAACTTTTATACGTTGTACTATACATCTTAAAGCATGTTATATAAATTGTTGATGGCACGTTGCTACAGTAAGTTGTCCACTAGAGAAAATTTTATTGAGATGTACTTTTGGCATTTCCAAAAACAGAAAATTTTGGGCGGGTTTCAATTGTGATATTTGAGGGACGCAACAGTGGCATTGAGCAGCAAAAGTGCGATCACATGAAATAATTTTGCATGAATTAAAAGTCCCCGTCACGAAAGGGTCTTATGATAATTTATCCGAAAACTTTTTTTGAAGGGGAAACAAAAGGCAGGATTTTCCCTCATTTTTCAAAAAGAAATTTCTTTTCTTTACAGAAAAATTACTTCCCGTAGTAAGCGTCCGGGGCTGAGGCGGGTCGTATTTTTTTTCTGTGTTCCTGTCCACGGTTTTTTAAATATTAATGAAAATGAAAAATCTTAAAGAAATTCATTGCTATTCTTTTTGGATTGGTTATAATCTTTTTATAAATATTTTTTCCTTGAAATTACTACAACTATGTGCCTACAGTTTCTCTCCAGACATGTATCCCACACCAAATTTTGTCGCCTTTTGTTTAGCTTCTGAAAAAGTATAAAAGAAGGGTACTTCCCTATTCTATTTTTCACTTGGGTTCTGAAAAGATAGGCGGGTGGTATTGGGTCCGGCGTGTATTAGCGCTTGGGTGTTTTCGCTCCCAAACGCTGGCCACTACATCGAAGGAGATAGCGTCCTCAGAACCTTTTTTTTTAATAAAAAATATAAGCAATTCTATTGGCTGAATTTTCGCTTCAAGCCAAATGCATGAAGCGGGTTTTAAATGCGCTTGGGAAGGGTAGGACTCATGTTGTGCGCAAAAGCTCGTTCTGGTCATTTCAATCGAAAAACTTTAGTGATTTTAATGTGAATTAATGTTATGCAAATAGACACTGTAGATATGTACATGTACACATGTAATTCGAACATATGCCTAGTTTTCTTTCTTTAATAACACTTGGGTATTCTCGCCCACACTAACCTTACAAAAAGAGGTTAAAATTCTTTACCGCTTTTCTCTCTTTAATTGCGTGTTATTTTCTTGATTAAGCGGGTGTGTTCCATTACTAAAATACCACATACAGTCTCATTTTATTTGCAAGACAGTTTTTGTGAGCCCCAGGGATTGTTGTTTTTATGATTGGGTACAGCATGGTATTGAAAACCGGGCGTTTCAATGTCTGTAACGAGATGCTTATCACCTTGGATTGCATAGTAAATTCAATGCAATAACATAAATATTCTAGAAAGTTACAAGCAATCCGTTTATTGGGATTGCTACCAGTTTACTATTTAAACGAGAGATATGACTGACTTCATTTTTTTCAGATGATGCGGTTTTTTTAATAGACATGAGAAAATTTAGAGGAGGAACGCAAAATAATGACAAGGGGGTTTCTGACCTATAAATAAGAAGAAGCTTACATCATAAATTGATCATTGTGTGGCTTCCTAAACGCACCAATTACATATTATATCCATCGATATTAGCCGTTTTCAATGAGTGACTGCTGCTCTGATGTGACACTAATGCTGAAGACAAGATTAGAAGGACAATGAGCCGTTATGGTAACCTATTATCACACATAATTCATTGTTTTCTCATGTATCTATGACAAAAGACGCATATGCTGAAGTATTATTATCATCCAATGAAAGTAATCAGCGATCAAAACAGTTAAAAAAAAAGTAGCCAGCCATTGCCTATCTAGAGATAGATAGAGGCACATAAATTTATTTGTCGCATGATATATTTTAATATACCATCTTTATTCGTGGAGATTATATACGATAACTTTACAAATAGGTGATATGCATAGGTGTAAACAAATTAATTATTAGCGCCTACCAGAGTACGTTCAATGGTCTATTGTTTTATTTTAGAGCGCAACAATAACTAGTTTCCTTTTCAAGATTGCTTAGTAGGCTTCCGTATACTACTAAAATAAGAAATAGGACCTTTTGTGCCTGAATGCTAATTCTGTAACTGATTTATTTCGATGAACCCAAAGGATTCAAGAAAATAAAAATATATGGTGATGATTGGCTGTTAGTGGATTCCCCGCTACGATGAATGATAGGCCAACATTAAATTTCAGCTGTGCTTTCCCACATTTTAAAAGCTAAAAAAGGTGTGTGGATAGGAGTATCCCCGACACCACGTTATTGTGAACAGAGAACATGCAATGTTCGTGACACAAGAAAGCCCATTATTATTTTATTTTACTTTCTTCCCTCCCTTTTTTCTTCTTCTTTTTCTTTTCTTTAAATTTTCATTTTTCAGTAATGGCATTCAGTTCAACATTAGACCGAAATTTACAGGAAGTACCAGTAACTGCAACACCTATTTTCGAAGGTCATCTCTCAGTCAAGCGGGATAAAAGACACTGGCAGTGGAGATTGTTTCGATTTGATGGGTCGAATTTCACTTGCCTTTCTAGCCGTAAAGTCAAGCTCAGTAATGAAACAATCACAAATTCGAATTTGTTGGCGACACCCAAAGACAAAAATAATCGAGTCATACAAGCAGCGGACGAAAATAAAATCGAATTTAAATACTACCAATCTCCCGAATGGATGATTGATGTTGTTGATATATCTGCTATTTCTGTCTTAAAAAAGAAAAAATCTACAGTACCATCAAAATGCTTTTCGATTCGCACCTTTTCAGGCCAATGCTTTATCTTGAAGGCTCAAAAACAAAAGGATCTAGAGCGGTGGTTATTCGTATTAACTAAAATGTGGAAATTTACTCAGGCCGTAAATGAGCAAGTACAGCAGTTTTATGTACAGCAACAGCAGCAGCAACAACAACAACAGCAACAACAGCAACAACAGCAACAACAGCAACAGCAGCAACAACAGCAACAGCAGCAACAGCAGCAACAGCAAGAGGAAGAGCAACAGCAACAACAACAAAGAGAAGAAGATGATGATGTACCTCTTGTGCATTCGACTATATCTTTCGAACAAAAATATAATAAACCTATTTTGTCTGATGAAAAGATAAAGGTTATCGACGAATGGAGGAAATCATTAGCAGAATTAATGGCCTGTGATCCGTGTATTAAACAAGTGGTGACACCACCACCTATCGAATCGATACCCGATGACGATACGATGAGCATATTTACAGATATTACTAGTGTGAGTCATCGACAAAGGCCTAATAGTATTAAAAGAGTAAAGAGTCGATCAAGTAGAAAAACCAAAAGTAACAGTATCTCACCTGCACATCAGGAGTTACCTTTGGAGGACAAACCAGTTCCTACACTAAGAAAAAGAAGATCAGACGATGTTCGGAATTGGATGAACAATAATAGAGACAATATCAACTTTTTTCAAGATGTAGGTACTAGCGTAAATGATGAAGAAATTAGTCATGTTAACAATAATAATGATATTCTGAAATACCATACATCAATACGCGGCAAGAAATTAACCCGAGTCAATAATCAAGGAGACCTACTCATAAATAATAATAACGATGATGACACAAGTCTGAACCAAAAGAAAAGAAGGGCATCAATTCCATTACTTTCTACTCAAAATATTAACTCCCTAAGGTCTCCTTTACAAACATTGTCCAAGAAGAAAGAGGAAGAAGAAGAAATGTCTTTGGCTGATCTACAGAAATCTCTTTGGCAAGTTAGCCTACATAACAGATCCACATCTGCTTCTTCTATACAAGACTTACAAAAAAGACAGCAGCAACTATACTTTAACCAGAGCATAGTTGCTCCTGCTATACCTCCACTTCAATTACATACCTCTCCATATCATTACCACCATTATCATCTATTTGATCAAAGTCAAAAAAACTATTCTTACAATAATAAATAGTCAATTCGTACTTTGAATCATATAAAAATGCCAAAAACGTATTCAAATAAACGCGAAGAGAAAATATAGTATTGTCGATAAATTATTTACCAAATATGATAACTCACTACATAATAAAGATTAAGCGAGATTATATTTAACAAGAAAGCAGACAGTGCATAATGTGTGTGTAATTTATAAATTGTTGACTCTGTTGTACTTCTCTTTCTATTATTATCTGAAGTTTCTAGATGTTGTTAAAAAAATATAAAGAAACAAAAACAAGACAAAGAACAAGGAGTTCTAGTCAAATAATATGGTAGAGAGACATTAATGCGGAAAACAGCATGATGGTTATAGCTAGAGCATCCTGGACAGGAGAAGAAAAGTTTTTAAGCGTCACAAGGCATACATGTTTTCTCAACAAACACAGTTTTCCTTAGAAATAAGAATTAGAACATTACATGTATCGTCTATATAGTCAAAACTTTTGATTCGTCTGAAAAACTTGTTTTCTTCTCGTCCAAAAAGGTAAGTATTTCATCTGGACGTAAAGTTTAGTTGAAATGTCTGAATTTATAGTTATTCTGCATTAATATTTCAGTCACAGCTCTTTTCTTTTCCCTATTTTTTTTTCAAAATGAGTGTGTTGGGTAAAGTAACACCTATTCGTGGACCCCTCAGCTACCATTAAACTAACTTTTATTTTTATTTTTGTATAGTAACAACTACCTTCTCTCATGGCGCTGTATTTTACGCAGGCGAAACTCTATCTTGTACCATTTCTTTCACTAATGCTAATAATATTAATAACACTCTTGTAAAAACATCCGTTTCAGCGCCAATACCATTTACAGCTCCACAGCAAACGCGTACAGCTCAAGTTCATCGCAACCCACGATCCATCTCGTCTTTAGCTTCTTCGACACTCGCATTTCTTACTCGTACTCAACCCACTCCTTCTCCACCACCACTACCGCCAACTCCTCTCGTTATTAATCAAGATGATGAAACTCCCATTCCAATCGAACTGGATTCACCTACGCCTCGATCAAGTATAGATACCTTTTTACATCTATCCCCAAGAAGTTCAATGGACTCAAATGCTTCATTTCGTTCTTCGCCACATAATAGACGCTCTTCTAATCTATACAGTTCATCCCCTTTAAAGAATTCGTCAACAGAACACTTACTATGTGGGTTTGCTCAAGTGGTCGGTAGTTTTGTTGCCGATGCAAACTTAATTAACCTCAACGAATTCGATCCCTTAAAACTATATAACATGTATAACCCTCAGGGAGGCTTTAGTGGTGGTGGAGGAGGTTTGATGGTTGCCAAATCAAATTCTCCTTTGGATGCCCGTACTTTACCAGTTTTCTCAACACCGCCTTCTATCTTGTTTGTAGATTTAGATTTAGCACCTGGCGAAACAAAAAAATGTAAGTCTGCCCCTCTAGTCTATGCGTGTATTTTATTATAACTGTACGTACCTTAGTTTCATACAAGATTCAATTGCCTAATGATATACCACCTTCGCATCGAGGAAAAGCCATTCGATTTAATTACTACCTTATGGTAGGCACACAACGAGCACCATCCATGATTAAACAGCCTTCTTTACCCACTCAAGGACAAGTAGTGCAAATTCGGTTCCGAGTGCTTAATCATGTATCAGAAGATGGATCTCGACCTATATATGACTTGATGAACCCAGTGATTCAATATAAGGATGAGGCCACCGTAGATGAATTTGAGAATAAACAGAAAATAAAAAAGAAAAAATCAGTTCAACATTTAGAGGAACGAAAGGCCTTTATGGATTATGTGGACGAACTGTTTGAAAATAGTACAAAAAATACGATGATTCATGAAATAACCCGACGTGAAAGTGATGCGTATGAAGAGAGAAATGCCGACGACCAGTCCGCCATGGAAGGCTCTTGCTCTCAAGTCGTATCGAGGATTACACATCGTAGTAGAAAAGGTATGATTTGTTTACATGTTATTTACATTTTGCTTATCTAATTTTTTTTTTTTTTTTTTTTTTTGGTTTAGCAATGTATGATATCTGTAAAAACAACCAAAGGGTGGCAAAGCTTCATTTAATCAAGACTGCACATAGATTAGGTGAACCAGTCATTGGTGTGCTTGATTTTAGTGAGGCAATTTTATCTACCTATAAGGTAAGGTAATTGAAGGGGGTTTTTTGCTTTGCTTTCGGTTTTAATGTACCTGTGTCTAGATTTCGATATTTCTAGAGAGTAGTGAATCAGTTGAGAATTCTATTGCACTTAGAACACCGCAACATATATCTCGTGTTTCTCGAAAGACGCATTCAGATTTTCATTCCTTTTGTCTAGACAATAAAAGGTTATCGTTCTCTTTACCAATACCAGCAACTGCATCACCTGAATTTCAGACAACTGGAGGTACAGAAATATATACAAGCGACTGATAAATTGAAGGAATGAGGGATAATTAACAAACTTTTATAGTGTCGCTAGAATATTTTTTGAAATTTGAGTTTATAACAGGTATAGATGATCAACCGCCTTTTATTCCAATCAACACGGATGAAAAACATCGTCATTATCAATGCCTCCAGGATATAGAAGTGAGCACTTTTGACTGCCAAATACCATTAACTGTCTATGGCTCCCCTGGAGGTGTAGATAGGGCTTTATATGGTCGTCCACATACATTTAGAGTTCAATAGTAATAATAAAAGTAATATCTAATCATTATGTGCTTCGTTGATGATATATCAAAAAAATATCCTTTGTCAAAAGAGATCGGATCAACAAAATGATATGAATATGCAGGCAAACTGTGCCAAACCCAAATTGAGGAATTTCAGTAACGCAATATACGACTTACAAGGTATTGGCCAATCTTAAACGAAGGTTTTCAAGTGGCGCCTGATGTAAAGTATGCACAGAAAGGGATTTATTTGTTTCCCCTTTTTTATTCTTTCACCATTATACCAAGATGGGTTTGCAAACGAATAATGAACAAGAATCATTGTACTTAAAGGAAATACTTTCAGCAGTCAGTATCCAGTCTAGATTAATGAAGCAATGTCTTGTAAAATACAGTAATAATAATAAAAAGATTGGGATTCTGAAATATGTATGAAAACTGTCTCTTGTTAACACACGACTATATAGGATAAACATAGGCTTATGGATGGCATTAAACATTGCTCCAACATGTTGGCAGAATTACGAACTTCTGCTTTGACGCCTAAACCTTATTATGAACTGTGTATGTGTGATAAGAAATAAGAAGACTGATAATATTTGTAAATTAAACCATATCGTAGATATATCAGTATTTGATTCGATGCGTTACTTGACGGATTACTTGCGCGAGTGTCATGAAACAGGAAAGCATCATTTAGGTGATCTGTATGAATTGGTTCAATACGCGAGTAGTATCATACCCCGTCTTTATCTCATGATCACAGTAGGGTCGATTTACCTAAGTGTCAAAGATTCCCCTCCCCCACCAGATATTATGAGCGATATGATGGAAATGGTCAGAGGTGTTCAGCATCCTCTTCGTGGGCTATTTCTTAGGCATTATTTAGGTGGAATGACTAGAGATTTCCTGCCCAACGAGTAAAATATTAATATATTCTTTAAAAGTTGTATCTAAAAGTATATTTTTCTAGTGGCAGCTATCTCGATGCAGCGATCCAATTTATTCTAACAAATTTTGCTGAAATGAATAAGCTTTGGGTACGATTACAACATATTGGTCACACAAGAGATAAAGCAAAACGGGAGTCTGAACGTAAAGAATTGGGTACACTGGTTGGAACAAATTTGGTCAGATTAAGTCAACTGGAAGGTGTGGATTTAAAAGTATATCAGACAGTAAGTATCAAATGTGACAAATAATAAAAAGGTATTGATTGTGTGCTTAGGATATTTTGCCTGGTATGCTCAGCCAAGTCATCAACTGTAATGATGTCATGGCGCAAGAGTACCTGATGGAAGTTATTATTCAAGTAGGAATAAACAAAACGGCGTGCATCATATAATTTCACAGAACTCATGCTATAATTAGATATTTCCCGATGAGTTCCACATGCATTCATTGAAGCCGTTTTTGGCAACCACAGCACAACTTCACTCCAAAGTAAATATAAAGGCAATTATCATGTCTTTACTTGACCGCTTGACCGCATTTGCCAAAAGTGAAGAGATAGAAGGGAATCTTATGATGAAGGAAGGAACAACCTTGTTTACCATGTTTTGGAACGAAATTATGGAACTAGTAAAGGTATAAACATATAGATATTTCCATATATATATGCTGATAATCTTTTTTTAGACACGTCAGGATTTACCCGTACAAGATCAAACGTCCCTTTTTGTTTCTCTGGCTAATTTTTCTCTATCTTGTTACTCAGACCGTTTAGACTACATTGACCAAATCTTGTTGTTCACCAAAGAGTCCATATTTTTCAAAGATACAGCAGATTTACATTCCAAGCAGTCGGAAACAAATGTTCTGAACCTTTTGTTAGCACCAGCTCGAACCTGGGATGTATTGACATTAATCACTAGCCTCAAATATTACCAACCTTTACTTGCAATGCAGCCGTACAACACACGCCGTTCAGTTGCCTTAGCTATTCTGGATAATATATTGAGCAAGGAAACAAAACTGGAACAGCCACAGCAGGTATATCAGCTACTTGAGATTTGTCATGTCCTGATCAAGGAAGAAAGTACCAGTACAACTGTTTCTGTAACACAACAGTATTATGGGGATGAGGATGACCGAGATGAAAAGGGTTGGGTAGCAAGGCTTGTTCATTTGTTCTATTCGGATGATGAAGATGTCCAATTTTTGGTATGTTTTGCTTTTAAAATATGGAAAAGATGCACATTTAAAACAAAACCTTTTTTTGTTATAGCTATTGTCTGCAGCTAGAAAACAGCTGGAAACAGGTTCAGGTAACCGGATCAAGGCTATATTTCCTTCGTTGATAGTATCCAGCTTAAAATTGGCTAAAAGGTATCATAAATACAACAAAAACAGCCATAAAACGGACGAACCCGAGGAGAATATTAGTGGAGAGGAAGATAATATCAGTATAGTAGAGAAAAGTTCTATTACTGCAGAGGAAAATGACTGTACTAAAGAGGTCAATGCCAGCACTGAAGAGGTTGACATCGCTACAGCAGAAGACAAAAATACTGATTCAGAGGAGAGAAAGGTTACAAACAATACTACAGGGGACGCAGATGTGAATGAATGGGAAAAGAAGATGACAACGTTATACAGATTTATCCATCAAATTATAATGATCCTTTATCGGCAAGGAGATAATACCGAGTCTCAATGCGTACAATTTTCTCTGATGGCAGCACAAAGTGCAGATTATTGTGGGTTTGAGCAAATAGCATATGACTTCTTTTTGGATGCATTCAAAGTGTATGAGGAATCTGTATCGCATTCAAAAGCTCAGTTTGATGCGATTGTGTACAGTATTGGGTCATTGATGAAGACGTCGACAAGGTTCGCTAGTCATTATTCTTACAGTAAACTGAGTACAAAGATCACGCTGTACTGCACAAAGTTATTGAAGAAGCCTGATCAATCGCGGTCTATTTACCTTTCGTCTCACTTATGGGTGAATGAATCCCCCTCACGTGTGTTGGAATGCTTGCAGAAATCACTCAAAATTGCTGATAGCTGCATGGACACTGTCACGAACGAATTGCTCTTTTTAGAGTTATTGAATCAGTACATTTATTACTATGAGCAGGGAAATCCAATGGTAATTTATATTTTTGAACAAGCGGAATGTATCTGACGTACATTTTTTGCAATTAGGTTACTGCGAAATACCTTGATGGGCTTGTCGAGTTAATCCAATCACATTTAGACGTGATTGATCAACCTGACCAACATCCTTTCACGGCTAACTCATCCAGTCTAATTGAACATGAGAAGGATGATATCATTCCCTATGTGACACGTCAATTTGAAACTGCTGTAACATACTTGAAATCCATTAAAGATAGGGACGATTAGAATTTTTTTTTTATTTGTTTTTTGTACATTATCTATTATTAAGTGTGTGTATAGAGATTATTATTTAGACATCTATTAAAAAAAAGTGTTAAAACAAGACTATCAAGATAGATTAATTATATTACCATCATCTTGACAAACTCTTCATAATTGATTTGACCATCACCATCCACATCAGCCTCACGAATCATCTCATCAACTTCTTCCTCTGTCAACTTTTCACCCAGAGAAGTCATAACATGGCGCAACTCGGCAGCAGAGATATAACCGTTACCATCCTTATCAAACACCTTGAAGGCCTCTTGAATTTCTTCCTGGGAATCAGTGTCTTTCATTTTTCTAAGTTTTGGGGTTAAACTTCTTAAATAAAAAAACCCAAATAGGAAAATTAAAATTTTTACCTTGCCAACATTGCCAAGAACTCACTGAAATCGATATGTCCGTTTCCATCACTATCCACTTCATTAATCTAATAGACAAAATATCAGAAACAGCCTTGGAGTAAGATATTATATTGTTTTACTCACCATATCCTGGAGTTCAGCTTCTGTGGGGTTTAAGTTTAAAGAGCGCATAACAGTGCCAAGCTCCTTGGTAGTAATAGCACCATCGCCATCCTTGTCAAATAATTGGAATGCTTCGCGGAACTCTGCAATTTGTTCTTCTGTAAGTTGATCAGCCTATCAAACCAGTACGGTTAATTATTGTTTATTCTATTATTATTATTTTATGTATCATACCATATTGTGTAAAACTTAAAGAGAAAAAAGAAAAACAAAAATACGTGCCGTAATTCTCACTTTTATTTTAAAAAGGAGATTTGACCAAAAGACTAAATACGTCACACAAAAGTCATCACTAATTTTTTTTTTGTAATGCCTATTTACCTGTTTTCCTATTAGTTGACTTGCTGACTCTCTTTTTTTGGCCCTTGTACACCTGCGAAAATTAGGTTCTGCTTAAGTTATAATGCAGCCGCTTCCTTGTAAAAAAGATCTGATAAAAAACATCAAAAATTTATTTTTAGTATGCGGATATTCAATTCAAGGAAACGTCAGAAGTGATAAAATCTAGTTCATAGTTAATTTGCACATGGGAGGCAAAACCCGAGTATAAGTTGCAGATAACTGAAAGCTAAGGTCGCATAGTTTTAAATCACACACTGTCACTAGAAAAATAATTTGGTTAATTAACTTAGGCTTGGCTCATAAAACTATGGCTTTGAACTCATTTTATATGCTGAGCACAATAAAAATGCGTTTAAATTTTATATGACTATCAGATCAAGGTCATTTACAGTTTCCACACTTTAAATTCAGACAAATGAAAATTATTATGTTCGTACAAACTCAAAATGATTTTCATAGTAATTAAATATTATTTCAGATAAATCAGACAAATAAAGATAAAAATTCGGACAATTATTGTAATAGTCTCACCAGCGGCCTTGACTCTGGCCCAGCACTCCTCAATTGGATTAAGAAATAATGAAAAAGGCGACATGAGCAAAGGATTTTTTTCTCTTTTTTTTTGGATCTTAATTTTGGTTGTCCGTTTTTTTTTTTTTTTTTTTTTTTTTTTTTTGTGAAAGGTTACTGCTGTAATTAATGTAAAATATAATAAAAGGAAAAGGGGAAGGGGTTAGTACTGACGGTTACAACTAAGTTGTCTCTGGATTTTTATTCAAAAATAAAATAGAGATAATTCTACAAAACTAACATGGGGAATTATATACAATTTAAAGTAGCTATGAGAAATATCATTGACAATGACCAGCACCGGGGATTCCATATCAAGCAAAACCTTGACAGATATCATTTAATTGACGGTTCTACTAAATATAGAAAAAGAAGGTAGATAGAAGAAAGAAAGATAAAAGCCACGTAAACAGGTTCATGGTTTACCAAACTTAGCATACCGACGCTGCATATAAATTTTAGCTTCCGCGTTTTTCTTTCTCATGCACACACTTCAACAGCAAACACCTACTTCCAGCATGGCGTTTGGGAATGCAGACTTCCTGTCTGTATTATAATGAAGAAGTACTTTTATACGCTTTAGACCAATACAGGTGATGCTGGTTTGTCGCCACTTCATTATAGTAGTTGCCTTTTAAGCCGTTGCGTTGCAGATGAGTTGGTAACCCTTATTTAAGAACAGCTCCTTCGCTTTGGACTACAAGGCATCTCTGTTGGTTGTCATACCCAATTTGTGATATCTCTGGTAAGCTAAACTGTTAAGAAGCTAAAATTGCATCCTACTAACACCGTATTTTAAGTTTTTTAAAAAGCTGTTAATGGGTGCCCGCATTTGATCTATCATTTTTAATCGATTTATTACCGGATAAGTTTACTGGAAATATTTGACATGTTTGGTTTCTACGGTGTATCTATATAGTTTTGATACTTTTAGGAAACAGTGGTTACCGAAAATGTAATAAAGCTATACACTTTCAACACAGATTCGTTCTCTATACCAAGTCAAGTTTTTCTTTTATGTGGATTAGATTTTGACAGTTCATCACCACGATGTTTGATATAATTAATATCTAAATGCGCAAATCGAATTTAGAAATTTAAAATAAGGTTAGATAGAAACACAAAAGGTATCTTCATGCCAGGACAACAACAACGAAGATCCGGACTAACGAAAAGATTCTGTTAACGCTTTTCTTAGGGACAGCCAAATTTTCCTTAGGGACAGCCAAAGTGCACGTAGTCGCAACGTAAAATCTGTGATTTGGATGTTCTGTAGACCTGGGAACAAGGATATACAAAAACAATGTAACAATTACGAATAAATGTATATTAAACGATGTATACTCATTTTGACAATTCTATCATCACTTTTTCGCCTTTGATCTCGTTTGATCTTAATCTTACGCAACAATATTAAGGTAAAGTCCAAACGAGAAGCTGAAAGTAAGCTGTAAAATATATATACTGGTTTACACTATGTTGGTTTTAATAAACGTGTATATATTTCAAGTTGTTAAGTTGTATTGACCTCTTGATGTCTATTAAAGTATAATGATCCCAACATTACGACTACGCGCACCCTGGTTGTCCCTAAGAGACCCGTTCTGTTAAAGCTAAACATTATTCAAAATAAAACTATCTTATCGTAGCCGTCCATGGTACAATATATATATATATATATATAGAAGAAAGAACTTTAGAGCACTGTTATTTGTCAATGTAGAATGATTTAATCAAATAAAATCTCTGTCATAGTATGCTTTCCATTTTCTTTTTTCTTTGCACCTCTATTATGTCGAATGTCTTTTAAGCCCTTTTCTATGAAACAGCCAAATTTCAATAAATATCTCATTTCCCATTGGCCAACTTTTAAAAAAAATTGTACTTGAAACGAAAATCAAAACACGTCGGCATAGACCTTATCCCTGGAAATGTCTAGAACTCCGTATTTTTTTCAAACGTATTTTTTAGAATCACGTGATGGTCTACACATCGATTGACATGCCATATCATCTAAACTTCATGGGATGATCGATTTCTGTTTTCCATAAGATCTGCTTCACTGTCATTACAAGCTACTACTGGAACGCAGATAGACAATTACCAAGCTCTGACTTGCTTGGGAGGTTTTTGCAAGTGTTTCTATTTTAAGTAAAGGCTCAAACATTATGGATGATAAAATAGACAAATGAAATTATCCTGACATAAGCTTGCTTATCTATAAATAACGCTGGTTCACACACTTTATTATTCTCCTTTTCTTTTCCCTTAACATACTTCTTTTATCGTATGAAAGTAACCGATCACGTAAAAAGGTTTGTTTAGTAGTGACTCTTGTTTCTTTGAAAAGAAGCTAAATTGAAAAAGATATATATTGTGATATTGCGGCTGCAGCTAGTCTTTGCTATAGGATGGCGACCTCCTAGGCAGAGCTCTTGAGTTTTTGGAACTCACGGAATGTGAATAGTAGGGATTGCACTGTAAATAGGTGCAATCATACTGGCCTGCTGGTCTTGGCCAGAATTCCTGTAAGTCGCATAAAAAAAATACGTTTGAAAAAATACGGAGGTCTAAACTTTTCCGTTATCCCTTTCGAAATTTACAACAATAATGGGGTTTTTTATGGAATTCTTAAGAAAGAGTTTCAACTCTAAAGGAAAGGGTGATTATGACATTTTACCTGCTTTTAAAGCTAGTCGATCCAACGATCAGGCCTGTGTAGAGAAAGAATTTAAAGACGACGTTTAGAGGACCACTTTTTGGTCACCAGGCAAACTTTAAAGGTGGCCGTGCAGCCAAAAGATATATACAGGCCAACCAATACTCTGAAGTGAGTCATATATAAATTACTGCCGCTCCAAAATTTACCTTTTAAACCAACCTTAACACACTTGAATCCAGAAAAATGAATCGAAAGGAACTCAAGAAGAGGATTTAGAAGAGATCCCGGAAGAGGAAATATCACAGCATGACAAGGTATGTTATACATCTAAAGCAGCAATATTTCTATATAACCACAATATTTATTTCAATTAACACATCTAATAGGCCTAAGATGAAGAAAGATCAATTGACATTGAATTTCCTTCCGATACTAGTGAAGATTACCACACGTTAGTAACTGGACATGAATACAATATTCAAAGCGTCAACGATCAGACTTCCGTACAATGTACAAATTTCTGGTCGTACCAAGAGTTCGGATGTAATATCATCCAGGAATTGAGGACGTTTTGGGATGTGTCATTATATATGGATCCTAAAGGTCTTTCTGATATACGATTATTGTAAGTGCGAAATATATGTGCGTGTTTTCGTCATATAAACATAGTTAATTTAACGTCCTTTCTTTAGAGCAATAAATCATTATATTTACTTGTTTTCATCCAATATCAAAAAAAAGCATCCTCCTCTCGCATGGCTACACGATACAGATATTGATCTTGTAAAAAGACAAAGAGTAAAGAAGTGATGTGTAACACCTTCATATTATCTATTCCATGTTATTAATCTGACATATCCAAGCTGCTTTTTTTTCTTTCGTATCGGTTCTTTAATCAAATTTATCCTTCACAATACTCATAATATACTTTTTTTTTTTTTTTTTTTTTTTTTTTTATAATAAACGTTTTTATTAAAATTACTTTTCTTCTTCTTCTTCTTTTTAAAAAAATCAAGGGGATGGGTAACTGAGGAATAGCATCGCCATTTTACTTACATATACGGGTATCAATTAAATATTAAACTCATTTATCTTGTTCCTTATGCCCTGAAACCCAAATCGATGGTTGAACCCTTCATCTTAAACTGTTCCATCTCCGACTAGTACAAGCAATATAAAAGGAAATACTTCGTTTTAGAATTAATAATTATGCCCACCATAGGAATCAGTATCTAGACCAGGATAACCAGAAATTAAAGTTGGACCACCCTGCTGTTTATACATAGAGTAAACTGGCTGACAAAGGTTAACGAAATTACACTGTTCTTGGGTATACTACAACGACTTCACAAAGCTCACAGTTTTTATCCCGGAAGTTACGTTTAGCTGCGTACATCAACAAACAATGTCTTGTCATGCAGCATGTGCATAGATTTTTTAAAATTAGATTTAAATCTTAATTTCAGAAAAATAATCTGTCCTGATCCTATAATACCAAGAACCGATTCGAAACCCTGGATTAAAAACGCCTAGACATGAGAAGTCAAAGTGAAAAGCAGTAGCCAATCCAGATGATTCCAAAATAGTCATACAGTTAATTTCCCGATTTTGCGGCATTCCGGGACAAGTTGAAATATAATGAGGGTTGTGCCACATTCAATAATTTAAAAAGGGCCAATTGACAAAGATACCTTCTACGGACGTGAAACTATGATAATTTAAAGGGATGATTTACTGCCCCTCCCCCTTATTTCATATGGTGCCTCCAACTTCAAGGGGCAATTGGCAGTTTTGTAATGTTATCCATAATTGAGCAATTTTGGTCTGCTTTAAGGGGAAAGTTCAGCGCATTTAGTTTAGTGATAGCGATAACCTTGGATCAAGATTAGTACAGTCGTATAGTGATGCTAAACTGGTTACGTTTGAAGAAAATAAACAGCCATAGATGTTTACGTAGCGAACCTCTCTGGTCAAGCAAAAATTAGCTACCCATCTACAATTTAAACTATTTTCACGGACTGAGCTAATTAAATTTTATGTAAATCTGAAAATAAGTTCAAAAAACAACTTCAAGGAGATTATTTAGTTACTTTTATTAGCAGTAGTATGACTTTAGACAGTATACATATCCAAGCAATTGTCAAATCGGTTATTGGTATCATGTATGGTGTTTTTGATTATACTCCTTCAACACTCCAAGATCTGCTACCGTGGTTAATTTTTTCCAACCAACTTTCCAGTCATGAGATCTTTATTAGAAAAGCTAGTAATATCCCGACGGTCCTCCGCCTCCAGGAGCGTCAAAGTGTTGAATGAGTCACCTCCTTCTTCCTAATTAAGATTCAGTGCCACTATCATCTAAAAGCTCACCTTGACCATAGTCATAAAAATCTTTATACTCATTTTGCATTTTTATAATAGTTTAAAATGAGATACTTTTTCAAATGATTATTACATAGCTGTCAATTGCAGAGGCAATTTATGCCCTTTGAGATGTGAGAAATTACCCACAATTTAAAAACCCGTCGTTTGGGGTTAGAAGTACACTAAAAAGGTATGTTACACTTCAGTGCGCTCACACAAATGCTTGTTATACAATGAAGGTGTTTTATTCAGACGCACGTAAAGTCTTTTGGACTTCTAATCTTCTTTCTTCCAATAAATTCTCTAATTCACGCTTCTTGGAACGAACATCATCGACAATTCGGTTAAGACGACGCACGGCATCACGAGCTGCATCAATATCACGTTCTTGCTTACGAACCTTGTCCTCAATATCAGATTGATCCGTTAATTGACGAAGTTTATAGTCATAAAGAGCTTGGAATTGATCACGAAGAGGACGGGCGGCAAACGATTCGTAATTATCACTTTGCTTTGCTTCTGCCGCCTTCTTTTCTGCTTCTTTGACACGATCTTTTAATTCTTGCAATTCTCTTTTAAGCATATCTTCTTCGTCATACTTGTTAGCGCCTTGAGTGCCCTTAGATCCTAAAGCTGTACTAGCAGCACCTAAACGATTCACATAACTGTCTGCTAGTTTGGCACTGTTTGACATAGATTGGTTAGTGCCTTTACGCGCTCCTGTACCTGCGCCAGGGCGTTCTCCGAAATCTGCTGCATATTCTCCAGCGAATGCTGCATGAAGATCTGGTGGAAGTTCTTTAGGAATACGCACACCGCGAGTACGTTGGTTTAATACATGGTAAAGCATTAAGCATTGATCTTGTGTAAGTGCGTTGGTATGATTCACATCAATAAGGGTCCTATTCATTTTTAGTGTTAGATACCTGTCATTGGCTCTGCCTCTTCTTTTTAAATTTACCATGCGTTCGTTAAATCTGTACGAGGAAGGCCCAATGTATTGTAGAAGTCATCCATTTGACTGACTATTGATTATATATTGGTTAATAATTTTCATAAAAGAGGGTTATAATAATTACATTTGACTTTTCCACTATCATTGGCATATTTAGCATAAATATTTTGGTATGATGTCATTTCATCTGAGGTCATGTCCCAACTGAATTCAGGCTCTTGTGGTTGCTGTGGTGGATAACCAGTATATTGTTGTTGTTGAAACCCAGTTGGTTGAGATTGCTGGTAGCCAGTGGGTTGAGCCTGTTGATAACCAGTGGGTTGGGTTTGTTGATAGCCCGTAGGTTGGGCTTGTTGGAAGCCAGTGGCTGGGCTCTGTTGGTAACCTCCGTATCCTGTTGGTTGGGCTTGTTGATAGCTAGTCTGTTGAGGTAAGAGATGAACCTTGTTAGCGGGAATGAGAGAAGGAGGAAGTGAGATGGGCGCTTCATTGCCATTGATACAATCAAATGTAAGATGCATGGCAACACAAAACTCTTCGAAATCAAGATTACCATCTTTATCAATATCAGAAAGATCCCTTTTTCGATAAAAACGTTAAAATCATTTCCATTTCCTCAACAAGTTTACTACATTCTCCTTACCAGATGCGCTCTAAGCGGTTAGGAGGTAAATTGGAGTTCAGAAGAACATCACGAGCAGTAGCACCTTTTTAAAGATGTTAAACAATAATCCCAATCTCCAAATATTCGTTTTTTACCAGACATGTAACCATTTACTTGGCCTCTTGCTTGAAAAATTTCGGCATATTTCTGTCTTTCAGCTTGTGTGATTCCACTCATCTTTTTAAACAATTAAAAAAGGAACGTAGATGTGCAAAAAAAAAAAATAGAGAAAATTAAAAAGTAAGTTAAAGGAAGGTGCACAACCTACAGTTTTCACACTTTTAATTCAGAAAATGTTAATTTTTTTTCAGACGAATCAAAATTTACTTTCAGGCATTGACCTACCTTTTTTGGACAAAATAAATAAAAAATCAGACAAATGAAATTTAGTTTTCGGATAATTTGATAAGTTACTCTTTGGTTTACCTGTAAAATCTTTAAACCTTCTCCTCACTTGAGTGAGACGAGGTAACCACATTGGAGGTGGCGTTTAGTCTTTTAAAGACAGTTGGTCGGCCTTGGCCATCCCAAATGGATTGAGATATAGCAAGCATATTTTTCGCAGCCATCACATCACGATTCCAAAAAATATTGCATCGTTTACAAATCAATATTTGATGGATGTGTGAGGATTTTTCGTCAGTACCGCACCTCATGGTTTTTAAATCATTACTAAAACAAGAATTGCATGTCTATAAAACTATAACTTTAGTCGAAGGTATTGATAAATATTAATATACTAACCTTTGATGTTTTGAACTCGTTAATATCAACAAGAAGTAACTCTCCAAGCTTCTCTCTTCTTTTCAATTGTCGGTAAAGCTTTTCCGTTACACCGGAGCGTAAACCCTTAAACTTTGTTTGGCTTTTGTTCTTAAGTCCATCGCCAAAGATGATTAAAGGCATTTTATTACGATCCCCTTCTTCGAATTTCTCTTTATGTTCTCTTTATGCAAGAATCAACTATTTTAGATCTCCTTCGCTTTTTACTCTTCTTCTTATTTTTCCTTCTTTTCTTGTTGTACTTTGTAGATCCATTTAAAAGGATATTAACGGCGTCCTCTATACTCTTTTGTGATGCGATATAATTACACCATCTACTATTGGTAGTTCTAAACCCGTAGAAATTAAACAGTGTATAAATATGTTGGAGAATATACGTAATATACAGTATATAGGTATCATGAGACGTGGTTTTAGGTGAGGGGATATTGGTCTCAATTTGATCAATACCCAAGCTTTTTTTGAGTTCTTGTTCCTGTTTATGTCTTTGCTTAACACCGCCCATATTGTAGTATTCTTTTGAAGAAAGACGTCTCACATCATTGTCTCCATGGTAGAATACAAACACATCCTTCCTTCCGGTATCAACTGTACATGGCCTAAAATAAGTATTAACCTCTTCAGTGTTAAAGTCATCGAGTTCTAGGGCAATGCTTTTAGTTGACGAAGATGGCTCAGTACGACGACAGAATAGTAAGCGGCAAGTATAACCATCGGTGTACATCCCGTTCAAAAACATCTTGCCGTTGGTTGCAGGCAGCTCCTTCAGATCTTTAAGGCTAATAATAATAGACAAAATGTTTATTATTAATATTATATGAAGAAGGTTCTCAATGCTCTTTCTTTCGTATGTACCTTCTAATTTTTAACTTGGCAAAGTTAAAACAATCATAAAAATACCTTTGTGTAAAGCTTAATAAAGTCTCGTCCTTTTCTTTCTTTAACTTTGAGCCAGGGAATATACCAGTAACGTTTTGACTATCGATTTTGATAAAGCGCCACTGCAAACCTGGATTGGGAAACAGGCTAAATACTCTAGGCAGTACAAAATGCTTTACAATATCATCTTCCTTCTTTTTTTCACCAGATTGAACCGAATCTTGAGATGTTCCTGGTTCTGAGTCATGCTTCTGTAAAGTAGAATTTTCCGCAATGATTGATTCATACTTGGATAGAATGTGTTAATGCCGGTAAAATACCAAAAAGGGCAGTATTCTGAGTTGCCTTTGTAATTGTAAACGATGGCAAGCGGTTCTTGAGCTCCACAATTAAAGGGTTTATAAATGCCTGTAAACCATTTTTTGTTTCTTGGCTTAATGGTGGGAGGATATCATCATTTAGAACGGCAACAGGATCAGATGATAGTACTTGATCTAAAACATGTTCATATACAAGTTTCCTTATGACAGATTTTTTAACGTCCTAAGTTAAGTTTGTTAATAACTTGTTAGTGCTTCCTGATAGTAACTTACATGAAATTCTTTACAAATCATATAAATGAAGTAGTTGCAGATAATGTTCTGAAAATTCTCAATGTAATAGTTATTATAGCACGTAGCAGTAGTTTCACATGCAGTTGCAAGCACTTGACCATAATTTTTCAGCCCATCTTTTTCTACGTTTAATTTTACTCCCTCTAGATTATTAAGCTCCATCCATACGTCTTCCAAGTGGTGAATTTTCGCATACTTTAACTGAAAGTCTTTGATCGACAGCTGTTTACAAACCACTCTACACAATGAATACCAGAAATTTTGCTGAAAAAATTCATTGGACAAATTATTGGGGTATTGTAAAATGTAGTCATTGACAAAGATTTGAGCTTTAAACAAAACAAGACGTAAGAAACTAGATAGATCCTGGATCTTGTTTACGGCCTTCTGTAATCGGTCATCATCATCATCTGTTTCATTTAAAAAGCCCTTTAATGGAAGAGATATAGTATATCTGATTTTTAGCACCAAGATCCTTTTCGATCAATTCTTGCAAGGTATAGTTATAGTTAGGGCACAATTTACTTCTCGCAGAAGAATGACCACTTGTATCACAAGACTTGCAAATCAGGGTCGATGAGCTTGAAGACGCAGTGGTCCTGTTTCTTATAGCCACACTCTTTTCTTTTTTCGCTTCAAATGTTTCTTTTCTCTTTATGCCTGATTTATTTTATGAGTTATTATGTTTGGCTATATACCTGAACATATACAGTGCATTTTTACCTCTGTTTCCACCAGCAGTTTGATTCATTGTGCTGGAACTCGTTTCGTCCCCCATCTTAGCAAGTTTAGCTGTTATTTTGGCATTTATAAAATCTTCTGTGTCTGGGTAAATACGAGGTCTCATATTTTTTTTTTGTGAAAGAAGCACTGATTGATTTATTGTCAATTAAATCAAGTTACATTATAATGCTCAAAGTCAACGTCATCTAAAGTAATTGAAATTCCGTTTCTCCCCCTTTTTTACTGTTATAACGTATGTATTAACTGAGGATTTGTGTAAAAAGAGCTCATAAAAATACACCTTTGAATACATTATGAACTATCAATGCAGAATATGAAAACTGTAAAATTCATAGGATACATCCTTTGATAGCCTTTGTCTGGACTTTGTTTTATTCTATTTGTATATATATATATATTACGTTAGTCTGAATCATTTTTTTACTTCTGTCTGAAATATATTTTTGTTCATCTGAAAACATTATTAGGTTTATCTGAAAATAGGTTTTCCTTGTCTGAATTTAAAGTGCACAACCTAATTTGGGGTTTTTTTTTAAACTGTTGTATTTCGCCCCGACAGGATCCTCACGTCCGCTTTAAATTCGGACAAATTAAAGTTGCTTGGAGAGCGGTAAAAAAGTATTCAGACCAACGACAGAAACACTCAAGCATAATAAGATTAGTTTTTATGCAGAGGCTTGTTATGTATATCTCAATAAATTGTATTGTAGAGTGTTAATACTCCGTGCGAATATTTAAATTTTTCGTTTAGCTATTCATGAAATTTTCAAATATTGCTGACAAAATCGTTAAAAAAGTAAAACATCTTGACACCTTCACTAGTATACTAATTAGCGACATGACCATGCATCATGAGGTTACACCCGTCAGAATTGCTGAAAAGCTTAATCTGAATATCAGTTGAAGAGGGCCAAACAACTTCTGATTTAAAGTGAATTTTGATTCGTCCGCAAAAAAGCTAATGCTGTTTGGGTTTAAAGTATGAAGAAAGTACAAACAGAATTACATAGTTCCAACTTTTAAGGCATCATAAAATTCGGCTAAAATACAAAACTGATTATTGAATCCTACTAACTGTCTAAACTTAAACGTAAAGAACAAATATTCGATAACGCAAGTATCAGCATTGGCATGTGTGGGTATGTAAAGCTTACAGGATTATAGGACGGTATTTCAATATTTTATGACCCAGACATCGAGAGGATATTTTTCCGAATCATTGGTTTCATGTTATTCCCTCACCCTTTCTCTTCTTCTGAAAACTAAAATACCAAAATTTCTATAGCATGAGCAACCGCACATATCTAAAAAGCTACATTACCGAAGTGATACTCCCGCCAGATACGATGTGTTACGACCCTGAGGGGTGGGTAAGTAATACTATAGAAATTGTATATATCTAAGCCTTAACACGGTATTATCTATAGGGACCATTTTCTTCGATTAGAAAGCCTGATTTTACACCATGCTTTGAGGACACGTAAATATTATTGTTTTAAAGGGAAAAAAATGAAGGATAGCCCGTGGTATCTTATCCAAGCATTTCATTCTAGATTTATCATGACAATATCGTCTTTTTATCTGATTGTGGCCGGAACAATACGATTTTTTTTATTATACAAACGAGAGCTTTTAATGAAAGATGTTACTAAAAGTTGGCTCTATTTTGTAAAAATGGCAAGTCTTGTTTTATTTGATGCATAATGTACATGTAACCATTTAACAAATTATTATCTACACTAGACGACCTTGATTATTTTGATATTGACAGCTACAACCAGTTTCGTTTTCTCGGTAAATACAACCATTTCAGCTGTGGATGATATGCAGATTGTGGCTCAAGGATTTAATCTATTTGTCTTGGTAAAAAAAGTAGTTATTTGTTGTTTGTTTTATTTTTATTGACGGGGACCAAACAGTTATTGGCAACTTTGTTACATCATTTTGAATATACAAGAAATCCAATTTCGTCTGGTGTCTTGCTTATTTACTGGCTATTGGAAATCATCCTTGGTGGTGTGAAGCTACGTACCATGCTTATTACTCATCGCAGCACAGAAAATCACTCAGATCATTTCGCAATTTATCTTATTCGCTATGCTTTAACAGTTCTTGTGTTTGTATTAGAAAATATACCGAAGCCAAAGAGACAATACATCTTCTTGGATGATGAAGACGAGGTAGAAACAAAAGCACATGATGTACTAAGTGCTCTTCTCTAAAAAAAATCTGTAGATGAATTGCCCCGAAGAGAGAACAAATATTTTCGGTAGATTAACATTTAGTTGGATGACACCTTTAATGCAATTAGGATACAAAACTCCTTTAATAATGGATGATTTGTGGTAATATGGTATAGTAACTGATGATATCAATTATTCATAAATTATTTTATAACAGGAATCTAAAACACGAAGATGAGGCAGAAGTTGTAGGACAGCGATTCCAAAAGTGTTGGGACATCGAAATGAAGAAAGAAAGGTGAGTATAATTAATTGATTTGTGTGCCAACTAATAATCACAAAAACAAAACAAAAAACAAAAAATAAGGCCATCACTGTTCCTTGCACTCGTAAAAAGCATAGGAGGACCATTTTTGTTTGCAGCTGTGAGTCACACGATAATAATAATAGAGAGGTCTAATAATAACAAACAAATTTCTTCTTTAGGTTCTGAAAGCGATACAAGACATTTTGCAATTTACCCAGCCTTTGCTCTTGAGAGAATTAATGGGTTGGGTCACAAGTTATCTGACAAATGAACCTGAACCTGGTTATAGGGGTGTTTTTATTTCAGGTGATGCGTTATAAAGATGAATTATTCAGACGACTGACTTTACATTTCAATAGTTGCTATGTTCATTACAGCTATTTTGCAAACAATGTTTTTACACCAATACTTCCAACTCTGCTTTACGACCGGAATGAAGATGCGCGCAGCTTTAGTTACAGCCATTTATAAAAAAACGCTATTGTTAAGCAATGCAAGCCGTCAGCAATCCACTGTAGGAGAAGTAAGAAAACATCTCAAATTACTAATTTATTAGCCTTTAAAGACAAAAGTGGCTAATTTTTTTTTTTAAAAAAAAAAAAGATTGTGAATCGTATGAGTGTGGATGCACAACGCTTAATGGATCTATGCACTTATTTTCATATAGGCTGGAGCGGACCTTTTCAGATTATTATTGCTTTGTTTCTACTATGGAAGACAATGGGTCCTAGTATTTGGGCTGGTGTAAGTGTCCTTGTGCTTGCTATCCCTTTAAACATGCTTATTGCAAAAACAATGCGTCAATACCAAAAGACTCAGATGACTAACAAAGACTCGAGAGTGAAGCTAATGGTACGTAACATACCGGATCCAACAAAGAAATATTAAAAATTATCTATAGAATGAAATTTTAAATGGCATTCGAGTAATCAAACTGTATGCTTGGGAGGCCCCGTTCATGGAAAAGGTATTTGTAAAAACATAAAGCAACCAAAAAATACTTAAATTCAGTAAAATATTAGATTGGATTTATCCGTAACGATCTAGAATTAGCAATGCTTAAAAAAATCGGGCTACTTTCAGCGGCACAAAGTTTTACTTGGACATCGATACCGTTTTTTGTGTCTATCTTTACCTTTGCGGTATATGTCAGTATTTCATCTACACCATTAACTAGTCAGATCGCGTTTGTTGCTATCTCCTTATTTTCACTTCTCCAGTTTCCCATGGCTATATTTCCCAATGTTATTACATCTATGATAGAAGCAACTGTATCTCTTTACCGTATACAAGATTATTTATCCAGCGAAGAAATTGATTTACAAGCTATCAAACGATACGACTTCCGTGACATTGAAGATTGGGATCCATCTATACCACTTGTTGAAATCAATCATGCCTCATTTAAATGGGATAAAGCGTCGGATCAGACAGACCTTACTGATATATGTCTATATGCCAGAAAAGGTACCCTCACTGCAATCGTAGGTCGAGTAGGTACAGGAAAATCTACTTTGATCAGTGCCATATTGGGAGACAATTTTAAGGTATCTGGAGAGCTGGTTTTACGAGGTAATATCGCCTATGTACCACAACAGCCATGGATCATGAATGCGACTGTTCGAGACAATATCACTTTCGGACTGAAATGGGACCCGATATTTTATGAGCAAGTGCTCGAGTCGTGTTGCTTGAAACAGGATTTGAAAGTGCTCTCAGATGGTGATTTGACAGAAATTGGTGAGCGAGGTATCAATCTTTCAGGTGGACAAAAAGCTCGTATTTCTATTGCCCGTGCTCTTTATGCCCGTGCAGATATTTATCTCTTAGATGATCCACTTAGTGCGGTTGATGCCCATGTTGGACGTCAGTTATTTGATCGGGTTATTGGCCCCAACGGTCTATTAAAAAATAAGGCTCGTCTACTGGTTACACATGCCATCGCTTATCTCGATAAAGTGGATCATATTGTCATGATGCGACACGGTCAAGTTGAACTACAAGGAGCTTATAGCAAACTGATGTTGCACAAAAATAATGAGCTTTATAAGCTGATAAAAGAGTTTGGTAACCAGCTACCGAATGAAGAACAGAATGCTCTAGAACAAGATAGAAACAGTACTTGTTCTTCTGAGGGCGAAGATGTTACTCTAGAACCTTTAGGTGATGAGCATCCAATCAGTATTGAGCATTCAGAAGAAGAAATCTCAATGAATCAAGATGCGCTGCTTTATCGACGTAGAGATCGTAGAGTTAGTATTGGCAGTTTGCTAAGTGAAGTCGCGTCAAGAAGAGCGTCAGTCAGCTCTTCTGTATTCAAAAAAAGCCGCGGTAGGAGGCGAGGAACAAGTCCAGATTGTAGATATGGTGTTGGCAATCTGATGACAGTAGAAGAAAGTGCACAAGGTAAAGTCGATTTCCGTGTCTACAAAGAATACTTCAAAGCTTGTTCTGTTATTGGTATTGTCGGGGTCATTATATTCCAATGCTCTTCTCAAGGATCTCAAGTGGGAGCAAACCTTTGGCTCAAACATTGGAGCGGGAAAAACTTGGAAGATGGAGCAAATAATAACGTATGGGTTTATCTTACTATTTACGCATTAATTGGATGGTCTGGTACCATATTTGCATTTTTGCAAACCATGACTATGTGGGTATATTGTGGTATTCGGTCTGCTCGATTTTTGCATTCTAACATGCTTGAATCCGTCGTCAAATCGCCGATGTCTTTTTTTGACACAACGCCACTAGGAAGAATCTTAAACAGATTTAGTAAGGACCAACACACTATTGATGAAATTTTACCAAGAAATTTCAACATGTATGTTCGAGTCCTTGCACAAGTAATCGCAACTGTTTCGATCATCACATTTTCCACGCCATTTTTTTTACTGTTGGTGATTCCCCTGTTCTTTATTTATATGGGTGTACAACGTTACTACCTTGCAACCTCGCGTGAGCTGAAGCGATTAGACTCAGTCGGTAAAAGCCCAATCTATTCCCATTTTCAAGAAACCATTCAAGGCGTTTCGACAATTCGTGCGTACGATCAACAAAGGGCATTTATCTTTCAAAACCAAGATAAATTAGACAACAATCAACGCGCCTATTTTCCTTCCATTTCTTGTAATCGTTGGTTAGCGGTCCGTCTTGAATTTTTAGGCTCTATCATCATATTTGGGTCTTGCATCTTTGCCGTTTTAGGGGTTTTGTACGGTCCCAAATCGTATATTGATCCAGGCCTGGTGGGTTTGAGTGTCTCATATGCTCTTAGTGTTACACAAGCGCTCAGTTGGGTTATTCGTTCATACTGTGACATTGAAACGAATATTGTTTCTGTAGAACGTGTTAATCAGTATATAGAACTTCCACGTGAAAAGTATGAGGCATCACGTAGTGTTGATCCCATGTGGCCAGCTATTGGGAAAGTTGAATTTAGAGGTTATTCTACACGCTATCGACCCGGGCTTGACCTTTGTTTGAAGAACTTAAGCTTTACAATTAATCCAAAAGAAAAAATCGGTATTGTTGGTCGTACAGGCGCAGGTAAAAGCTCATTGAGTTTGGCGCTCTTCCGTATCATTGAGGCATCAAAAGGTGGCATTATCATCGATGGCGTTGACATTTCCACTCTACGTTTATTCGACCTTCGATCCAGATTAACCATTATCCCCCAAGATCCTGTTCTTTTTGCAGGTAATGTTCGTGATAACTTGGATCCATTTGGTACCCACACCGACATAGAAATCTGGCAAGCTCTGGAAAATGCTCACTTAAAAGATCATGTAACTGGTATGGTTAATCAATTATTTGGAACTGTTCTTGAAGGCGGAGATAATTTTTCAGTTGGCCAAAGACAGGTAAACGGGTTGAAAATAAGACAGGAATATTTAATTTACATTTTGTTTATTTGATCTAGCTCATTTGTCTTGCTAGAGCACTTTTACGCCGCACTACAATCCTAGTTCTGGATGAAGCTACTGCAGCAGTAAGTTAAAAAAACTACACACGTAATATAATTATATCTACTGATACAATTTTATTATTTAGATCGATGTCGAAACAGATTCTATCATTCAAGATACGATTCGCAAACAGTTTAAAGATTGTACTATTCTAACAATCGCTCACCGCATAAATACCGTGTTAGATTCTGACAGGTAGGAAAACCGAATAAAAAATAATGCAATATTAACGATATATTGTTTTACTTTTACAGAATCTTGGTGTTGGATAATGGTTTAATCGGAGAATTTGATACACCTAAAAACTTGCTATCAAATCATGAATCCATGTTCTATTCTCTTTCGAAAGAAGCAGGCCTCGCGGATTGATTTAATACGTTTTTAATAAATTATCCTCACAATTTGATCTGATATCGCTGCTGTAAAAAAAATTGAAGCAGTATGAATGTGTAAAATCATTATTATGCAATGATCATAAAACTGGTTCTATGTACAAACGTGTCTGCATCGTATCTAGTTGCTTCAGATTACATTAGTTAAAAGTGAAGAAACGACAGCTTTTACTAAACTCTTTACGGGGAAATAGGGACCGCCGTCAGAATTGAATACAGCATGTTTCAGAAAGACAATATTCATTTCAAAGGACACGGCCTTTTCGAATATGGTCTGCTTTGCACCGGATCTGTAAACTCCGTCTTACACGCCCGTGTGTGACGTCGAACAGGTTAAGAGGCGTTTTGTTTTGATTCTTTGGTACATATTTCCTTTTTTACAAACAAAACAATGTACCAAGCTTCGTCGAACGAAGCAGAAAAAAAAGTGCCAAAGAAGCAGTTCAAAACAATTGCACCAACCACTGTGACTACAACCACACCCCAGGCACCAACCTTACAAAAGAATGTTCCCCCCTTTTTAAACAAACTATACAGGTATATATCATTTATGCCCTCTCTTAGCTTTATTAAAGGTCTTTTTCTTTAGTATGGTTAGTGATCCAGAGTCTGATGAACTTATATGCTGGGCTGAAGATGGAGTTTCGTTTTTTGTTAATCGACAGGAAGATTTCGCTCGTAAAGTTTTACCTCGTTTCTTTAAACACAAAAAGTTCTCTTCATTCGTTCGGCAACTCAACATGTACGGGTTTCATAAGGTACCTCATTTACAGCAAGGTGTATTGGAAACTGATGGTGAATCGGAACGTTGGGAATTCAGTAATCCTCATTTTCAGCGTGATCAACCGGATCGTTTGCTTTTAGTAAACCGAAAAAAGGGACCCAACACAGACGAAAAAGAAATCTCTAGTATAGATTTACATCATATCTTGGAAGAAATTCAATCGATTAAAAAGCATCAAACGAATATTTCAACACAACTCCAGAATATACAACGAGATAATCAAGTACTTTGGCAAGAAACAATTGCAGCGAGGGAGAGACATCTTCGTCATCAAGAAACTATTGATAAAATTCTTCGGTTTTTGGCATCCGTGTTTTCAAGTAAGGAAAAAAGACCTGCTATTCCGAGAAAAAGAAGGTATCTTTTGGGGCCTGCTGATGGCTCGGATCACGATGAAGGTGATGTCAACGAACCAGATAATGGGGTTCGGAATTCGGCAACTTCGATTACTGAGGAAAGCCGTAAAGCTAATAAAAAGCCCCGCCAAAATGAACCTACTACATCTTTTAATATTGATGATTATGTCAGTGGTAAAAATGAGCTATTGGAATTGAGTAATGCTCTACCTGAACACCTAAAAGATTCTGCTACAAATACCACGTCTTCGGATTTAGAAGATGCTATCGCACTAAACGATCAATCAAAAATTGGTAAGATATATATATAAGTATTCGGAACTTCTTCTGACTCTTGTAAATAATAGATCATTCTGCATTGGCATCAATAAATGACTTCTCCAATATCGCCAATATACCTCAATTACAAAACCTTCAAAGCTTGATCACTTTAGCTCAATCTAATCCTGAACTACTCAATCAATTAACAAACGAAGCATTTTACGGCAATTCAACAGGACCTTTTACCGACCAAAGTGACCAGCAGTATAACAACAATAACAGCTACATGAATAATGACAATAATAGCAACAACGGTATCAATACTTATACTGCGAACAACAACAACAGCAATAATAATGATAACACTAATAAGAATAATTCCTTTGACTCGTCGTTTAACCAATATAAATCCGCCTCTGTGCTGACATCGTCGCCATCAGCAATAAACACAATTGATAATCAACAACAAGCAGCTCGAACAATCAATCAAGTCACAAATACTATCTCAAATATCACTCATACAGCTGACGCATTAAATCAAGACATTGACGACCTTGGGATTAGCCTTCAAGCGTTAGCCCATCATTTAGGATTTGACCCAACTAAAGGAACGCCTGCTGATGACGATAAAATTGATGAAGATGAAGATGACTTATTGGACATGGACGAATTTCTAAATACATACGGTAATAATCTTAAAGTAACTGATTTAGATATTTGCTGATATGTTTTTTGCAGGTCCGGATGTACATCCTGAATTGATTGAGACGGGGACAGAAACAGATTCCATCATATTAGAATTGCCTTCTTCGACTGCTATTGGGCGATCATCTAGTCCTGTAGTTAGTACACCTGGATCGGTCACATCCACGCAGACTACTAATAAAATGTAACAAAATGTAACAAAATGTAACAAAAAAAAGAAAAAAAGAAGTCTTAAATATTATTGACCTTTATTTTTTTTTATTTCAAAAGCAAGTAAGTAATTTTATTAATTATTTTTAAACGCTTGCGGAAGACCGTTTCAGAAGAGATGCAACCATGTTTTCAAGTCTGTTAAAAAATGTTAATAATCATTACATAACGCAGTATACTTTTCCCTTTTACCTTTCAGCACGAGCTCTGGACTCTTTCGCTTCGCTTTGGACGAGCCTTGTAAGCATGTCTACTTCTCTTTCTAATTGTGTATTCTTCTTTTGGTATAATTTTCTCTCTTCGGTTTCTTTTGCGAGTGATGATTCCATTGCATTAAAATGAGTCTGTATTTTATTATGTGCCAGTGTCTTCTCATGTATCTCTCCTTTGTATTGTAGCATTTCTTTTTGCAACATGGCATGAAGTGCGTCCCTTTCTTCATTCTTTTGTCTCGTGGTCTAAAACAAGAAAATATTAGAAAAGAAAAAAACAATTGACTATATTTGTTTGCAAACCTCGATCACTTCTTCTAAATCTGTAATCCTATCATTTTTTAACTGTAGTTCTTGCACATGTTGAACTTCTTGATCTCTCATTTCTGCCCAGAGTTTCTGATTTTCTTCATCCCGTGAGTCTAATTCTGCTTGCAATTCTTCAGAAACCGTCTTGTCGCTTTCAAGGAACCTTAACTTGTCTTGCAAGTCATTGTTTTCTTTGCAAAGTTCATCGCACTGAATCATAAGCGACTCATTTTCCTCGCATTCCTCTTGAATATCTTTGTGGATTTTGGATAACATGACTGCCTGCTCTCCACTAAACTCCTTGGTGGTATTTAGTTCGGCCTGTGTCTGCTCAAGTTTTTCATTTGTCTCCTTCAGCTCTTGCTCCAGAAACTTATATTTGGCAACCCATTGATCTCGCTCCTCTTCCAATGATATGCGTGTCTGATGAGCCTGGCCTAGCAAATTCTGAAGATTTGATATTGTCTCTTCTTGAATTTCCAGTGTCTTGAGCTGGTTTTGATTTTCGGCAGAAAGTTCTTGCAGCTGTTCTTGTGAAGCCGCCAAAACCTGTTCTAAGTCTTCAATCTTTTTATGGTTTGCATTTTCTGTTCCAAATGTATACTGCAGCTCTTTTCGTCTGTGGTAAACTTTCCATAATCTTGATTGCATCATGTCAATATAAATTCTACTATTTCTCTGGATTGTACGAATTAATTTATCTTGAGATTGACGCTGTGTCACTTTACGGCGAGCAATGAGACGAAGACAAGCAGCTTGGATTTTGGTGGCAATTTCAGAAAGACGAATATCACGTTGCTCTTCAAGATCGCCCAAAATACCGGCCTTGAAAAATACTTTGGTTTTACCTATCTGAAACTGGTGTGCTTGCAAACCTGGTACGGACTGTAAAAGCATCTGACATGCTTTGCGGTGATCTTTTTCGTGCATGATTAACTCGGGGGCTAAAAGTTTGTATTGCTCTCTGAACTGTTCAAACAAGAGTCTATTTGGAAATCCAACACGGCAAATTCTAATACCTTCAAGAACACCGTTACATCTTAATTGATGCAAAACTAGTTGGGGTTGAATTTCTCCTGGACGTTTGCGGTCGTTTGGTAAAATACAACGAACGAAATGGGGGTGAGTAGTTTTTAGGGTACTCATCAGAACCGAGAGCTGCTGCTTATGCTTATACCCAACTGTATGAAAGTTTCCTCCGCCTTTACGCAGTCTAAAAAGGGATTTACGAATGTCTACTTGGCGGACGGGCGGTGCTGAAATTGATGTATTGGCCGTTGCGTAGTCTTTAAATAACGTGGCAACATGAGCATTGGTAGACTCAGCGAAAAGACGAGCTATGTGCTCATTTAACGGATCTTTACCACGCTCAATCCAACCAGCAGTGGAATATTTAACTTCTCCGGCGTAATGTTTGATCGAGAAGCCTTCGTTATACATATCACGCTTAAATCGCTCATTGGAGATATTTTGTTCGGTAATCTTTGCTAAAAGGCGATCATCGGTTCCTTGAGTAACACATTCATCTTCAAGGCAGGACAAAATACCAATAGGCTGTAATTATATAACATCAGACTACAGTTGCTTTAATTCTATTCTACTTGGACTTACATTTTTAACACTTTCGATTAAATTAATCGTAGGCTGAAGGTCATTACGGTAATCAAAAGAGTCATCACATGAAATGTTTTCGCGTGCATATTCTTTCTCTTCCAACACAAACATGTTTTGATTAAAGAAATCTTGTAATTTTTCATTCGTGTAATTGATACATAACTGTTCAAAGCTGTTGATTTTGAATATTTCAAACCCTGCAATATCCAATACACCAATAAATCTTTCCCCTTCAGAGATCGACATACCCTCCATTGACTGAGGACCATCAATAGCGGAATTAACACGATTTACCAGCTGACCAAAATTTCTTTCGTATAGAACTTTAGAAAGCGCATCCAAATTATCTTTCACCTGACTTGGTGATTTTGATTGACTAACCCATTCATTACCGGCCCTAATTTGAGGTTCCAACAAATGTTTTTTGAAAAGTTGATGAGAGACACCGAGAATTTCGCATGCATTTTCATAACCACTAATTTCAACCCTACTGTAATTACTGTTTACAATCGTGTTGCCCAAATACAGAACGGCTGCGATAATACGGAAAAATTCTAATTGTTCTTCGGTGGATATACTCATTATATTCATGGATTGTACGAGTTTACTATACTCAGCAGCATCGTCTACGCCCTGGATAGTATGATTCGAATTTTTTGTATAATTGAAATCGGATGGACATTTTTGATCGATCTTTAACAAGACTAACAGACAACTAAATTTAGCATGCCATTTTTTTCGACTTGACACAATAAACTTACCTTTCATTTGAGGGTCTGCATTCAACAATTGATAAAAGATATGATAGTTTCTTTCTTCTAAAGTTTGAGTATGTACACGAGACGTTTCCAGTAAATACCAATCAATAAATGCTCCCCGTATATCGCCATTTCGATTGAAGGCAATTCGAATGAATTTACCAAACCTGGAAGAGTTGTTGTTACGGATGGTTTGCGCATTACCGAACGATTCCAATATAGGATTTGCTTGTAAAATTTGTACTTCCAATTTACTCTTTTGCAGATAATCAGGCCCAAATCCATTACTACCATTTCCAGCAATTGATGCTAGATATTGAATAACAATCTTCGTATTCTCTGTTTTTCCTGCTCCAGATTCACCACTAAATATAATATCAAAACACATATTAATAAAGAATTAATGAGGTGTTATGTATATTCTTTACGTGATAAGGATTGATTGATTTTCTTTATCATGAAGCATATCGTAGAAAGCATGATCAGCAATAGCATAAATATGTGGTGGCACTTCACCTCTTCTCTTCTTTCGATAATGGCGAATTATTTCAGTAGAGTAAATCGGCAAGTAGCGATATGGATTTACTGCGACTAAGAAGAGTCCAGAATAGGTCTATTGGAAAATAAAAATATAAAAATAAAGGTAAGTTTTATCGTGAGCAAATTTAGACAACACTATACTTGCATAAATATCATTTTTTTTATATCTTTGAGTTAAATTATGAACAACGGCTGGTTCATGCATATAAAGCAATTCTGCCATATCTTCTACATGATCGAATTTAGGTGGATTCATCATGAAAACTTTACTTTTTGCAACTTGCTCCTCCTATCAAGAAATATTTAAAACCAAAAACCTAAAAACATTTAAAACAACAAATAACTTACTTTAGAACAATCTTCGTGTTCAACTAATACCACATCCTCTGAAACTTCGCCCACAATCCTGACCTTTGCAAATGCTCGGGAAGAGTCTTTTTCTTCGATCCATGCCAGTTTTTGCAGGTTAAATCCAGCATCATGGTCTATCATTTCATAGGATCGAGGCTTATGGAATACTTCCATCCCATGGCTATGATACATTGTTCCAGCTCCTGACTGATTTAAATTATTTTCTTCATGTGGTGCCATTGTTATAATACAGTTTTGTTTATGTGAAAAAGTAAAGAGATTAAAAGTGTTAATTTCCTTGTATTTATTTTTAAAGTTGTTTAATCAGTCCGAATTAGGGTAAACAAAACAGGACACCGAATTTGGCAACTGTCTGTGTTTGAAAAAATACATAGCATAAAACAAGAGGGGCACAAGCAGTTATTTCGAAACAAAACGATAGTCTGTCTAGAAAGCACTCTTCGTTCATCCGAAGCACAAACATTTTATTCGAATCGTTCATCGCAAACCATAAATTTAGCCATTTCAACGAGTTTTACCGACTTATACATGACTATCGCTGGCCTTCCATCAAGATAACTTCTTTTTTTAAAAAAAATGAGCATTTATTTATTTTAATTACAGTATGAATAATGAGAATTTGTAAAACTTTTTTTTTCTTTTTTTAGGGGTTAAAAAGTTTGGAATAATAAAAAAAAACGATGAATTACAATATGGAGGAGAGTAGAGGTAGACGAATGATTAATATAGAAAGATGTGTTGTTTATAACTCATCCTTGACAGGCTTCTTGGAATCTTCAGCTTCAGCCTTAACCTCTTCTTTGATAGCTTCCTTGATGGCTTCATCTTTGATGGCCTTTTCAACAGCCTCAGCAGCAGGAACAGGAACAACCTCCTCAACAACAGGGGCATCGAAAGACTCAAGATCAAGACTGTCTTCCTCTTCTTCAGGAATAGCAACGTTTTCAGCTTCAGCTTTTTCCTTGGCTTCGGCGGCGAGCTTTTCGGTATGGGCAGCTAAAGCAGCTTCTTCTTCAGAGCGAGAGGCTTTAGTCTCGTCGCGGATCTTTTGAGCTTCTTCGATGTCATCAGTGATAAGAATGTTGTCAAAGATAGTACCAGACTTGACTTGCCAGACATCAATACCAACATTACCAAAGTCATAAGCATAAATTTCGTTATCAACCTTGTATTCAGGGTTATCAATAGTGGGGTGTTCCCATTCACCCTTATAAAGAGGGTTAGCAATCTTCTTGGGGGCCCAGGTACCTAAGAACTCAGGGTTGGGAATGGAAGGAGATTCCCATTCACCATCCATATCATCATCCCAATCTTCAGGCTTCTTTGCAGATGGGTCAGGAATAAACTCAGGAATATCGTCATAACCAGCGGGCTTTACATCATCCACATCGTCAATCATGGCTTCCTCAACCCAATCAGCAGGCTTAGATGCATTAGGATCAGCAATGGTCTTGGGAGGCAAGAAATCCCAATCTTCAAGAAGAGAACCAGAAGCTTGACTCTTACCATCCACCAAGATTTCGTAGGTTTGATCGGGCTTAACAGTGAGAGTATATGTGTGGGTCAAGGTGTCCTTAGGGGCAAGGACAGACTTCTTCAAGTCAAAATTGGTACCGTTGTAATGGAAAATAGCATGAACCATAGCTTTAGGGCCACAAATATCAGGACCAAACATGATGTTGTATTGACTATCACCATTGAACGCCTTGGGATCCAAATTACTATCAAAGATCTATAAAAAAGAATTGCGAGTCAGTTATTTTTACGCGTCTTTCTTTTCAATGAATTAATTATACCTTCAAATAACTTCCACCACAATCGATATCTTGTTCATTCTTGACATCGAATTGGATAACAAGATCCTTATCCTTGTTGTTGAAAGGTTTGATTTTGGTTGAGGTAGCGTAGAAACGATAATCTTCACTGGTTCTGAGACCAGCCTTAGAAGCCTCATCGGAAAACCACTTACCAGGAGAAACCTCAAGCTTACCAAGATCTTCACGATGAGCAGAAGGAGTCCAACGTTCAGTCCATCCTTCACCATCAGAGAAGGTTTCGTAAAGGAAAACTTCAGCAGAAACGACGGCGGCAAGACCAAAAATAGCAGCGATGGTAGGAATCTTCATTGGAAATGACTTTTTTAAAATAGATGTGAAGAAGAAAAAGAGATGAATAACCTGCCTTGGCACCCTTTCGCAATATATATCTATGTCTGAGTTAAATTTCCCCTGCGTTAGCTGAAAAATTGACGTGGCAAACAGGAACTTTGCTGATTGAATTTCTAACCAATAAAGAAACTAGCCTTTTATTTTAATTGATGGCACTTTCTTATTGGCTCAAAATTCTCTTTACCAAATTAGCATTGTTGCTGTGTGTTACATTTCGAACTCTGCCTCATTTTTTTTTATTAATGTATCCAAGGAATTTACCTTATTCATTTTCAATTCGTCTTTTAATTACGTATAAATGCTTTTACTCACAATAAAATTATTTAAACACAAACCATAAAATAACTGCAGAAAATTCAGTAAAAGGGTTTTCTAATCATCACATAATCGTGAGTAATTGTCAGTTACAGTTGCATAAAAATCTGACTTTAGTATCATGTTACACATCTTATTATTCTCATTCGCGTTGAGGAGTATATAAAGAGAAAAAAAAAGTAATGCAACTACATACCGCTACCCCACAGATCATAGGCGGGAAGAGATGATTGAGGAACTGTAATTATCTTGCTTAAAAAATGGTTAGAGCACTTTGGACAGAAACATAAAATATGGCACCATAGAACATTTTTTCATTGTAGCTTGACTATATTGCTTGTTACGCTTATGCTATTTTGTACCACTTAAAAATTATTTTTGTTCGTCGAGAATAAAGGGAAAGAAAGCCTTGTATTTGTGCAATTACACGAATGTTTTGTTAAGTAAGATCATACTCGTAGGTCTTTTCCTGTAGCATCATCCATTGACAACACGTGTCTTTTTTATGTTTGTATGTGTATCTGTGTATCTGTGTGTCTGTGTGTCTGTGTGTGTGTGTGTGTGTGTGTGTGTGTGTGGCGGTGTTCCCAGAAGTTGTATTGGGCTTGTTCCACATGGGCACATAATTACCAATGATGTCCAAGAAAGTATAGTTTTTAATAAAAATGTAGATAATTATTCAATATGAAGAAAAGCCGAGTAGTAAAACATCAAAATAATATTAAACATAACATATTTAGATGGAATACGGCAGAATTACTTTATTTTAATAATAAGAAGAAAAGATGAGGGTCGAGGAAAACCTGTCAACGTCATATTCATTTAGGTGACAGGACACTAGATTTAATTCGTTATCAACACTCGGGATGTCAAGACCAGTATGAGAAAATAGAAAGTGTCACGTCATAGATTATGCGTCTATCTGATATAAACACATAATTATTCTATCCCAAGATACACTCGGTTGTCAATACCAAACCAGCGGTCAATGGGATCGAAATGTAGAATAATATACGTACAATGAGGAATAGTACCTGTTTTTCTATTATACAAAAAAACTAACATACCTTTCCCTTTTTCATTTGAACTAGAATACTTTTATGAGTGATGTTATCTGGTGTTTTGACCTCTTTACATTTATGACAGGCGTAGATTATAAACTTTAATCTAGACGTTATTCCTCCCATATCACGAAGAGAAATATTGGCCATGCATACATCCTTTTATATCATCATCTTCATCAATGTTATTGGTTGATTACATATATACGAAAGCCTGATTTGATGAAGGAAAAAAGGTTGCTGGTCTTGTCACAAAAATAATGAATATTTTAATGGTAAAATGAATGAAAAAAAGGAGGTGGCTACTTGAAGTTTGATGTTGACGGTAACTTCAAGTATTACTACTAAAGTCCCTTGTTCTTCATCTTTTATAATATTTTATACCTAGAATGTCTTCTCATAGTGTTGATATAATTTTGTCTTTATTGCTATCGTGGAACACGTATTCGCAAAGGAAGTGAGTGCAAACTTCCTGACATTGATTAGCTTTTGTTCATTTGGGCAAGCAACGGGTTTGGCACCCCAAAGGTAAGATCGTAGACTAACTACTTCTTGATTTAAAGCTTAATGTAACAATTACTTTACAAGTACCGATTAGTTTGATGTATTTAAATTTGCTTCAATAGTGACTATGGGTTTCAATTCAGTAGCACGTTTGTGAGTAGATTTTGTCCGATTTATGGCTAACTCTGCTTGGTTAAAATGTCGATGATTTAAAAGCAAAGTTTATTATGTAAAATATTAGGGGTTCATATGTCTTCCATTGAAACGCTTCTTCTCTTAGAAGTTTCATGGCAAACTATGACACATAAATAAAAAATGCGCGGTTTAACCCATGTTCCAATGGCTGTATCCGTTGCTCTGCGTTATCTGATTAGTTGCAAAATATACTATCTATAACATTACTAGATGCTGTACTTATTAAGTAACAGATAGATATAGCTTAAAATTTGCTTGTAAAATTTAGGAAAGAACTCTTTTATACATCAGAATACAAAAACAATAAGTGAAGATTTTGTGTATATAAAATCGTATTTAACTATAAATGACGTCAATACGTGAGAAGATTGTTTTCTCTGATAAACTTTATGTAAGCGGTTGGCTGGAAATTTTGGTTGTGGGGTATATGGCTAAAGAGATTTATCGTGTCACCAAATACAAGTCTGTTTGGTTTGCTCTATTTTATATTTTTTATTGACAGTTTTTTTCTCGCAAGTAAAACAAATTGGTCTTCAATGTATATTATACAAAAGAGCAAAACCAGCGTAAGGATTGATTACGATTATGCAATATAGTATGAGCTAGTGGGATCAGATCACTGCTACTAGTTAGTGGCAAAATCTTGTTTCGGTTGATAATGCATTATTTTTTTTATCTTGTATATAAACTACAAAAAGATCGTAGTCCGAACTGAAATGAGAGTTGACTTTTGTCTCATGTTGCCACTCTGCAAAATAAAAGAGGTCGGTGCAAGAAACAGAGGAGAAGGGCGTTGCCATTCAGACCATGGGCAGTCTGACAACATTTCTTATGCAACATACTCCTGTTTCAAACAAAGAACCATGATGTCATGTAAGCATCTCGTTACTTGGAAGATCTTGATATAATCGCGGACCACTAAACATATATAGTCTATCTCTCTTTGGCCCGAGCAAAGATAACACAACGAAAAGATACGAAATTAATATTTCCAAAAACGAATGGTGATAATAATAAAGAATTGACAATGAAATTTATGCATATTATGGACAAAGTAACTGTGGCACCATCCCTCTGATTTACAAAGTATAAGAGAGGAATACCCAGACCAATCCTGAGTGTAAGAAATCTCCTATTTCGTCATGTGCTTTAATTATAAGCTTTTTTTTCTCTCCCTATTAATTGTGATTTGTCTGGTGATTAAACACACGCTATTGTAAAACAGCATAAATAAAACTTTAATATGTTACACACATATGTAAATGATAAGAATCGTGGATGGCTTCTATTTTTAGGATTTCAAAAAGTTGAAGGAGTTTATTTACAAGAAAGAAGGGTATTATAGCTTTAATTTACAAGTGAAAAGAAACAAGTCTATTCATGGGATCTGATGTGACGCTTTGCTTGGTTTCATTTCCTGAACTTTTAAACAGTCGATGAAATATGAATTTGGTAGTACCAATAGACGGTGTATTTGTCTGCACTGGTTTTGCTGGAGTTCCTACAAGAAGCCTGGGTATTATTTCTCGATGCTCTTCACAAAGATAGATTGGGTCAAGGTCAGTTTGGAAGTATGTCATTGTAATTGTAAAATAGATAAGGAAGAAACAAGAAAATTGAATCAAAACGTCTACTTTTAACTAAATTCGACGCGGAACTGAATTTTTTTAAGCTCGCTCCTACTTCCATAAACAGACTTTAAAACAAGCCCCATGAAAAAGAGTCACGATCATTAAACTTGTCCTTTTTGGCGAGAGAAAAAAAAAGTTAGATCGCTCTTCAATAACATTTTAAAAATGGGAACCAAGGAAAAGAAATCAACCATCAAGTTTCAAAAGAACAAACTCAAGGGTGTTGTCAAGAAGAGAAAGGAGACCAACAAATTTAAGAAACAAATTCAGAGACGTCAAATTCGTCGTGGTGCTCCCATCGATCCTCACAAAGGTAAGAAAACTTTTTTATGCAACCTCACACAATTCATTAAACACAGTTTATTAGATGACGAAAAGCCAAAGGAAGAAGCCCCAGTGGACAAGTACGCTCAACATTTTTGTTAAACTTGAAATTATCTTAACAATTTTATATAGTACTCCTATTGTTAATGCGGAAGATTACTTTTGTAACTTTGTCATCGATGCTGAAGAAACACTTGATCTCAGCGACGATGAGGTAATTGATATTGCCATTCAATTCGTTTCTATGTGAACCACGTGCTAATGCATATATCTCTAGGAAGGTGATTTGGATGCATTAGATGCATTTGAGGTTATTTTAGGGCCTGATCAAAATATTGCTGCTGAGGGATTAGATGACGACGAAATCATGTCCGAAAATGATGATGAAGATGAAGATGAAGATGAAGAAGAAGAGATGGATGATGAATATGACTCTGCCGATGAAGAAGAGGATGACGAAGAAGATGAGGACGAGGATGAAGATATGGAAGAGAATGATAAGGCTGATGAAAATGATGATTCAATCGCTGTCACTATGCCCATGTTAAAGGAATGGATTAATGCCGCTAATAAGAAATCACCTGCCGCTTGGAAAAAAATGTTATTGGCCTTCAGATCCATTGTTAGATCTGACGAGCCTGCAAAGACCAAGTTCACATATCGTGTTGAAAGCAGCAAAGGTACAAATGAAAATACAAATGAAAATGAAAATCGCTCTTAACATATTAATCCTTTTTTCTTTCTATGTATATACAGTTTATGCTAAACTTGTTAGAAGCACATTAAAGGCAGCATACCCTATTTTAAGTAATCATATCTACTTTTTAAAAAAGGAAAAGTATCCAGGAAAAACAAAGAATTGGCCCAAATTGGAAAGAGTGATTATCTTGTTCTTCAACAATTGTATTCGTTTCCTTCGGGAGTTATCACACGACGATATTATTCAATACGTCTTGGAACAATTGGCACCATGTACATTATATTTGGGGTGTTTACCCAAGGTCTCCAGAGAATATCTCAGAGTAAGTCCATTTTAACACAAATGTGTCATGACGTTCATTTATCTAATCTTCTTTTTCCGCTACTAGGTTTTATTAGACCGTTGGTCAGATGTCGCACTTTCAGAAGAAACTCGTAACGCATGTTACACAGCAATTAAGCATTTTGCCACCACAGCCATTGATGCTGCTCGTAAAGATTATATGCCTAATGCCTTAAAGGGCGTTTATCTTGTTTTCGCTAATCGTGCCACCAAGATCAATGAAAGCAGCATGCCAGTAATCCAACAAATGCTTGAAGAAGTAGCCGATCTTTACTCCGTCAACCCTAAACAAAGCTACGAACATGCAAATGTCTACGTACGTCAACTTGCAGACCATTTAAAGAAGGCCAAAAAGGAGCAGACAGTAGAGAGTTTCAAACAAATTTATACATGGCAATATGTCAGCTGTCTTGATTTCTGGGCTAGTGTCGTTGCAACTACTTGTGATCCCGCTGTTGGCGAATCATCTCCCATGCAAGCTATTGTTCATCCTTTGGTCGAAGTGTGTCTCCACACAATTCGCTTAAATCCTACAGCACAATTTTTACCTCTTCGTATCCATCTTATTCGTACGCTTACAGGTCTCATTGATTCTACTGGCTATTATATCCCATTGGCGCCCTATTTGTTCGAAATTCTCAGCAGTGATATTTTCAAGGGAAATGGCGCTGTTGCAATCGATTTACCAGAGTTTGAATGGGAGTTACATCTTAAAACACCCAAGAGCTACATGCAAGCAAAGAGTTATCAAGATTCTGTATATAATGTCATGTATGATGGTCTTGTTGACTTTTATGCATGTCTTGGTCTTTCTATTGCATTTCCTGAGTTGGCGATTCCCGCTCTCGATAAAGTAAGTAGCCATATTTCTAATACTGTTTCAGTTATTAACATACTTTAAAGCTCAAGGAGTACCAAACAAAAATGAAGGGAACTAGATTCTTAAAATCTCTCCGTACCTTGATTGAAAAGATGGAAACACATAAAAATTATATCGAACAAAAGCGTGCACCAATTGAATATACACCCAACAAATTAGATGAGGCTACTGCTTTCTTAAGAGCAACAGATTTCGAGACTACACCTCTTGGTAGCTTTTTGAAAAAGAGAAATCAACAAAAATTAATAAATTAGATGTTGCATATCGAAAAAATACAACAACAAAAAAAAAATGCATGTAAATAAAAAATAGCTGTAATTTTACATTGATTGGTGTTTTTTATTTGTTTCATAACTATTGCGAAGACATTAATGTGTCGGCCCTGCAAAAAGAAGAATTGGTTAACATACGTTTTGGATGTTAGTAATAGATGCTTACTTATTTAGTCTCACGATAATATCAGTAGGGATTGCAAAACAAATGAGCCCGGCAAAGGTTAACAGTGTACGTGACTGTGGGTGGAGCGAATTAGTAAAAATCTTCGAGTTACTTTTCATGGTACTTACCCGTGTGGACACAATATTTGAATGTTTTGTTACCCATGCTTTGTATAAGATGTCCATGACATTCAACAAAAGTTCTGGTATATTCTTCTTGACGTTCTCATCCAAGCCTGAAAATCTGTATGCATACAATTGAAGTTGATTAGAGTCTCCCTCCAAAGGAATTATATCGGCTTGTTGTATATGTTGAAGTGCTGTTTCGTATCTTCCTTCTTCATAAGCAACACGGAACAAGAGTGCCTGGATTAGGGTACGAATAGTTGCTTTTCGAGTGTCATCAATAAGTGAGCTGATGTATTCATTACTTTCGTATTGGTTCATCGTTTTAATAGAGAAATCAATAATTTCCTTATTGGACAGTTGTGAAAGCTTGGGGTCAGTGATTCTGTATGACTGAGGCTTTTGTAAGGCGTCACTTAATTCTTTCGCTAATATATCTACCATCATTGTATAGTCCTACAGAAACACATGAATACATCGTACATTTGCACCTTTATATATATACCTACTCTTGATAAGCTATAAGCATAAACAGCGTCAATACATCGACCCGTTTGAGCCCATTTTTCAGCAATAGGCTCAATAATCTTTGCATTAAATTCATTTTCTGACGAAATGTCTAACAAATCCTTCAATTCATCAGCAAAACCAGACTAAAATTTGTAACTTTTGTCTTAGTAAACCCATATCACACTTTTTTTTCTGGCTCACTTACGGCTCTTTCTTGTCCACTTGATCCAAGGATATTCTTGAAGTCTTTGCTTTCTGCTGTGAATTTACAGACATATGTTCTGGCAAGGTTTACCATGTCATTATTCGGATATCCTTTTTTAGGTGAATATAACGAGAGAAGAGCTAAATACTGAAGCGCCTCCTTTGGGCGTTCTAAAAGATAAACCTTGACGTATTGATATATTAAGCGAGGGAAATTTAAGGTTTTGACGTTATTTTCGAGAGTGATCACTACATGGTGTTAAAAATTAAAGCACAATCGATATGGGTGGAAACCTTTTACTTACACATTTGATTGGTTTGGGTCTTGTCCATTGGAGGAACCTTCAATAACCCGCAATAGAATAAGGGAATAGCAAAGTGAACGGCTTCAAGACGAAGTCTTCTTTGCTTATGAAGATGGTCAATGGATTCTTCAAATTGATGTGTTAATAATAGAATCTTGAAAAAAATGTATGGGTTGGGTTCATGACGGTCGAAGTATTCGTTACCGAGATTGGTAATTTCTTTTTGGAGGTCGCAAAGTCGATAGCGTTCAAAATGGTTTTTTTCTGTGGCTGTCACTTCTCTCACCAACATTAACTTATATTATAAAAAAAGTTAAAATACTTCTGCGCCATTGTTATCTAATTCCATATTTTACCTGAAGCCAGATGTAATCTTCGGTGGTTTTAATGACATCAGGGAAGCTCTTCTTATGTAATTCACATCGGCCAATGATTTTATAAATTATTAATTTGTATGGATCCACCTTTGTTGATCCATATCCAAACTTGTGATAATCTGCCAAAATGGACTCTTGAGTATCCTTTGAAACGCTATATTAAATAATTAGAACTGTTTTATCGTATTTAAATTTGCTTGCTTATTTACCAATGATGATCAGCTTTAATATATTCTTTAAAATATTCGACAAATCTTCTTTCCGACGCAAATTTTTCAGCGTTAGACTCAACATATTTAGCAGCAATATCTAAATGACCACAACGTATCAAGATATAGATAAAAACCCAAACTGGGAAACCATCAACAATTTCAAATCGATCATCGGTCCAACCGGATGTTGTTTTAAATACAAGTTCCACAAATGCTCGTAAACGATGTGTGACAGCAGGATTACCACCTGCCTTCACCTTGGTAGCATTCTTGTTTAGATAATCATTCATATATTGAGCAGATCTATAATAAACGTAATTTTAGATTACTTTACCCTATTTTTCTCTATACATTTATACATACTGTTGCTCTAGCCATGATTTGGATGCTTTAATTAATCTACGACGAGTGTTTGTTGCGCTTGTACTGTCGTTAGGCTGAGTAGTATAGTCATGAAGAAATCTGCCTTCTAAGCGATCTTCTACGCCTGATTTATTAATTAGATGACTTAGTATACTCCATGATTCATTTGCACCATCTTGGGACTTTAGTCAAAAATGTTAATACTACTCTACTTTTTCGTATTTTAACACGATTCACTTACTTTCTTCAAATCAGACAGGTTACGGATATTGGCGAGGTTAGTTAATAAGTCAAAATCGTTATTGACTAAACGATTAGCGTTCAAAGTTTTAATGACGTTGGCATACTCAGAAATTCTCTGTAAATCAATATGTTAGTGAAACCTTGTTTTTTCTTTTCTCGCAGCAATATATAAAAAATTTACATTGGCGCCTGTGCTAACATTATCTGTTTCAAAAATTTTATAGTCTGCGACGTTTTCGTCTTCTTCCATACGATCCCTGTCTGTGATATCGAGAAATTCTGCAATTTGTGAATTGAAGAAATCATCAAATTCTTCATTGTTCTGTCGACTCCGTTAGTAAATACAAAAATATTGACAAAATTGATGCTTTACCACTTGTCTTTGCTCTTCAACAGAATTTATCAGCATGTATTCGTGTTCCCTTTGAAGAAATTTCTAAAAAGAAAGATCAGTAACTCTTAATTTGCAACAAGGTCTTAAATGCTAACGTTGATGTTGGTATGGTCTTCTAGTTGTCTGCGTTCAAATATGTTACTGGTGTTAATTGGATTAGATACGTAATCAGTGTCAATTCCACTACTAGCTAAAAAGTCATGTCTATTATAGAGCTTGGTTAATACATTTTAGCTGTCGAAACGACCATATAATGGCTACACACTTACGCTTTTGCATGTAACTCTTGTGTGGGTGGAATTCTTTTATGCATGGCTTCCAATTCTCGATCCATTTGGCTGAGACTTCTCTGCATAGCTGAGACGTTATCATAATTAACTTCAGAGTTAATCAGTGCTGCCTTCTGCCGAAGCTGTTTAAAAAACTCGTTAGACATTGTAGGTTCACGAAAAAGCTAAAAAGGCACACAAAAAAAAATCGCGTCTGCTGAATTTAAAGAATTCCAGTGACAGTCACTGAAATTGGTAGCACATAAAGATTCACAGGTCAGAACTTGGTACTTGTCTATCTACGTTCCAGTAGTAGCTTGTTACGACAGTGAAGCAGATTTTATGGAAAACAGAAATCGATCATCCTATGAATTTTAGATGATATGGCATGTCAATCAACGTGTAGAGTTCTAGACATTTCCGAAATTAACTTCTTGATTGGCACGAAATGGGTTACGTATATCGGCGAAAAAAAAAATCTTCGTACGAAAACCAAGTAAAAGCACTGTACTGTACAAAATTTCTTTATTATAATTGTTTCTATTTCCATGAAAGACATGGTATTTACAATACTTTATATAAATGGACTTGTTTAATTTCCTCTAATTCATCATCGTTAAGATCTTGGAACCAACCGCCATCATAGTTAAGCTTCACTTCCTTCACCCAACCTTTCATTAATTTATTAGCGGACAAACCGGCTTCCTTTAACTGATCTTGTAAAGCAGGAAGAGTAACTAATAACAATCCAGACTTCTTCTTGGTTTCAGCACGTACAAATTTCCAGATTTGTTGTTGCATAGGAAGATCGTTGAAAAATTGGAATACGTTATTCATGATAACAATATCAGCGTCTTTGGATAATAGCTCGGGCATGGTTTGAATATCTTTGCACATAACTTCAATGCGATCATCCATCTTGTATTGCTTGATCATGTCCTTTTGTAACTTTGTAAACCATTCATTGATTTCAACACCAATAATTTTACGAGCACGCGTGAATAAATGGCCCTAGTCAGCAGCATATAAGCCATGTGTATGTATGTGTTTTTCTTTCAAAATTTTAACTTACAGCGTATAAAACGGCACCTAACCTTGATCCAACATCCACAATGACCTTATCTTTCACTTTATCGGCCAAAGCAACCTGATACAAAAATTGCAATTGTAAAACAGAGGCAGAATGAGAAATAAAGTCTAAGTAATACTGTTACTATCATCTCCTTCCGAGAACACATTTATATACTTACTCAAAGGAGCACAATTCTTGGATTTACAGTCTAAACAATAATTTCGAGACATCTTTCCTTCCTCACAAAGGTCATCTACATCCTCTTCAGAAAACAAAAAGCCATCCACGTGAACAGTATTTTGATCTGTGAATCCCTTAAACTAAACTTTTTGTGAGTAGCTATGCCAAATTAAGTTTATATGCGCATTATTTACATCGGGAGTATTGGGAATGACTGTTTTTTCTCCGGGTGCTTCAGCAGAGATAGGAACACGGGTACGAAGATCTTTGATCATTCTACCTAATCTCATCATTTTAGCATCGCTGACAGGTTGATAACTACCATCATGCTCTTCGGTATCCATAGCATCGCCTTCGTCACCGTGGTGATGGTGGATTTGACCGTGGTATTCCTCTATACTAAAGCTGTCAATAACTGTTTCTCACGAAAAGGATTGTCTCACTTACGAAGTGCTGATTGAACAAATTGTTCGAAAGTATGGAATTGAGAGTCGTCAAGCTCAGAAATAAGGTTGACAAATTTTTCCTTGGAGGCCTCAAGGATATCGACTTGTGGTGCTTCACTCATTTCAAAAAATAAAAATAGGGATACAATGAAAGAAAAAAAAATCTGCTATGTGGCTTTTGGGAGCAAATTGCTGCAATCGATTTTTAAAACTCATTGCATTGTTACAATTGTGATTTAATTTCTACAAAGCGGCGCCTATTTCAAACAAAAATACGCTGGAGAGTGTACCAGCACTAACCACAACTTCGGATCTTTCTCTTTCTATGTATTTTGTTTCATCAAAACCAAATGAATCCTTGGGTATTTGGGTGCAGCTTAACCCCCATTTATCCAACAAATACTGTATGCTTCGTTTAGGACTCCTTTCTTGATATGTTGTTATAAATCTGCATTTTGGATTGTGATTATATACGACATAGGACACCAGCACAAGTAAATTTTCAAACTCTGAATATACATTAATGTGATGTCAAATCAAATAATCAAAAAGTACATACGGGATGGTTCATAAAAGGTATCGCTACCAATGATGTAGTCGATCTTGGTTCTCCATTCAGTCTCGACTTTGTTAGTCAGATAATCAATACTTGTATCCGTACCTAGCTTATCCCACACAACAGCGTTTACCCATACATCAGTAACTTTATTTCGCTCGAGGCAAGCATGAACAACAGGTAAAATTTCTGGAATATCGCTAATTATCAAATGGGCTGGCTTTGCAGTTTGGGCAAGTACAAGTGTAGGGATCGAAGTACCTGCACCAACCTAAAATAAATGTTAATAACTGGGTACTTTTCATCAATAATATAGTATTCAACCTCTAACACTGTCTTATTCATAAACCTCTGACGGTAGTACCAAACGAACTCTCCCATCACAAGCGCCGAAGGCCATATATAGCAACCGTATGCTGCGTCAAGTACCTAAAACAAAACGCATATATTGAATTTAAGAATGAGAGATGAAAGGAAAGTTGTTTACCTCCTCTACATAAATGCGTGCTGAGTCGTCTTGATCGGAATAAGTTATCTGCTTTATGCTGCAAGATGATTAGGCCCTCTTTGCTTCGTGTCTGCGAGGTGGTAGTACCTTTTTATGGCCATTTTTTTTTAAAAAAAAAAAAATAAGAGAGAAGAGGTCACAAGAGTGCTTAATATTGAGGATTTATCTACCTTTTCCTTTTCTTTTGAACGAATAAAGAAAATGTCAGCCACAGATGAAGGTATATCAAAAGTGGAATTGCGATGCTAGTTTAATGACTGACAAAACAAGTACAGTGGCCAGTTTGAAATTACAGTTAAAGGAAACTGAGAGTAAATGGAAATCCACACAAGACAAACTCAAAGAAGAACATGGACAGTTAGTGAACTTTCAAAAGAAGCTCGCACAAGCTGGTAGTCATTTGAAAACGTTAGCAGGTGAGAATGCTAATCTTACCAGACAACTTGGCCAAGAAAAAAAGGACAAGCAAAATTTGGTTAAAGAAAAGCAGGAACTAGAAAGTATGCGCCTTGAAGAAACAAAAATTTGGTCAAATAAAGTAGAGCAACTCGAAAAAGATCTGGGGAAAAGTAACGAGGGACATCAGAGAGAGATTTTACAGCTGGTGGATCTATTAGAAACTGCTGCTTTAAAAGAAGATAATAAAAAACATGTACCGGATGTATCTACTTCTACCTTGTTAGACAGTTACATTAAATCAGTACAAAAGAGATTATCTACAGAACCCGTGAAAAGTAATTGACGAAATCGGTAGTAAAAATTGTGTGTATTAAACTCGGTTACCATAGAATCACAAGATGAATCAGAGTGGACAATTAAACAATTAAAGCAAGAGATCCAAGGTAATTAATGCAATGAAAAATAGATAGCTCACATATATTGGTTTACTCATAATTTTTTAGATTTAAAGTCAATAGACTATATAGAACTCATTAAATCCAGCTTGAATAATATACTACAAGACCCTGAAAATGGTACGATCGACATCTCGATTCCATCTTCTTTATTGTTGGTACTTGAACAAGTCCGAAGCACGTTACAAGAACAGCAAGAAAACATACAAAAGGCTATTAAATCGAGTCAATCCCAGGATATGCAACAAGGTAATAATAGAAAATAATGATATAAAACTAATGTTAACCCTTTCTTGTAGACCTGAAACGACAAATTACACAACTAAATATCACCATTAATGAATTGAATGAAGACAAAGAGAGATTGATCTTAGAAAAAGAAGAGATGAACAGTCAGATAGAACAAGTAGAATCCCTTGAGAAGGAGCTTACAGCAGCTCAAGATAAATTGACCGAAGTAGAAAAGCAAAAGCAAGCCAGTCAAGAAAGAGAAAAGCAATTGAGTAAAGAGCATCAATCCTTACTGGGAAAATTGCACCATTTTAAAGAAAACTTGACACCTCGTTTAGAACAAGATAAACAATTGAGACAAAAGGTAGCAGAGTTGACACAAGAGTTGGATATCACCACCCGAGAGCTTGAAAGAAGTAGATCGGACATGATGATGAGGGATGAAGAAACCTCAATTCAGATTCAGAAGCAAGAGCACACTATCTCGCAACTTTCCAACAGGTTGGAAAATGTCCAGAGGGAGCGTGAGGAATACGAAAATATGGCCATGCAATTAGATGCTCAATGTAATCAGGTTCAGGATCAATTAGAATCTGCTAATAACGAACTTGAAAAGTTGAGGGAGGCCATCGCTACCGAACAGATCAAGCATGAGTCTGAAAGATCTAGTCTAGCTAATTTACAGACAGTGCTTGAAGAATTCCAAGCGAGTAAGTGAGCTAAACACCGACATGAAACTTTTTTTTCTTTTCTTAACAAGCTAGTTGATAGCTAAAGATGCAGAGATGCAAGCAGCGGTAGAACATATTGAAAGACAATTGTCAGTTGCTAAAAAGTCTTGGAAGGAATATGAAGAACGAGCTCATGCAGCGGAGGTAAATGAGGAATATCAGTGTGACACTAAACAGGTTTTTAAGTATTCGATTTAGAGTTCTTTAGAGAAATATCAGCAAGATGTTGGAAAGACACAACAATATGAACAGGAGATTAAAGAAAAAAACCTCTTGATTGGTAAATTAAGACACGAAGCCATCATTTTAAATGAACATCTTGTTGAGGCCATGAGGAAATTAAAGGAAGAGACGAGTGAAAACAATGTTGATCGGTGAGTAAATCTGTTTTGATCATAGTCTTAGTTTACTAATGTGCCGAGTAGTCAGCTTATAACGAATTTACTTGTCGGGTTTTTTTTGGCGCCTCGTGGAGATCGTAAACGTTTTGATATTCTGACGATCATTGCCAATGTATTACATTTAAATGAAGAGCAAAAGGAACAAATTGGGTTAACACGACCTAAAGGCGGTGTAAATCTTGTAAATAGAGCACCTTCTTCGATCACAGAACAGCCTCAAAAAGAATCTTTTACGGATGCTTGGATATCATTTTTGTTAAAAGAATCGAGTCCCTTAAGACGTAATAGATCAGCCATTACATTATCACAGACTAATCTTGATGAAAATATTGAATTATAAAGAAAAATAAAAAATGTATCATAGTGCACGGACATGTCAGTAACGAGGTGAAAAAAAAAAGGGAGTATGATAAACCTGCTTGTCAAAAAGGGAAAAAACTCCTATTTGGTATTGTTAAAAGTACAAAAATTTATTGGTATATATATATATAGATAATAGGTATTAGTAGAATGAAATAGGTATGTTTAACTGACAGGTGCGGCAATAGATAATTGAGTGGCGGATCGAATGACTTCAGGTCGATGAGAATCCGGTTCTTTAACTGGACTTGAACAGTCAATTTCATCATCTTCCATCTTGGGTGTTCTTACCATTATACGAATACTGTCAGTAGATGGTGAGCTTGAATGACTTTTTTTTTTCATGGGGGTTGGTTTTTTTAATGGCGTATTTGAAGAACAAGAAGAAGAAGAAGGAGATCCTGAGGATTCTATTTTCATTTAATATAAAGAAGAATGCATCTATTATTATTATTATTATTATTATTTCTCCACTTACCATTTCCATTGGCATCAGGAGGCTCAACCCATTCCGTAGGTATCACACAAGGAAACATAGTTCCCAACTTGGCAGCACGGTTTACCCAACCTGGTGCAGTCTTTCCTGTCAAACTCTTACATAACTCTTCCGAAAAGTGATTGCAATTTCTATATTCAATAATAAATTAGAAACAACATATCATTTGAGATACATAAGTATATACCTTGTCAATAAGTTATAGGAAGTGCCGACATATTCCTTTGATATGTCTTGTAACACTTTATCCACTTGTTTTTGAGTTAATTCGGTGTATCCCATATGAATCGATTGCCTTTTATATAGAAAGTTAGTACTTCATAAAAGTCATTTCTAAACTCCACCATTTTTTACTTGAACAAAAGTCCCTGAGGACCCACTTTAGGCTGCACCATAAACACACCTGTGACATTCTCGTAATCGTGCCCACCAAAGCAATATTCATGATCTCCAATCTCGATGCCCGAATGATAAATTCCTACAAAGGATGAGTGGGCCATGTAAAAAATAGTCTTTTTTTTTTTGTAACATACCGATGCCTAAAGCATGCCCAAAGTTGGTAATGAAACCAGGCTGCAACTAAATAAATGGGTAAGACTTATGAGGAGAATATATTGTAATGTCATTTATTTACCATGTCATAAACATTAAGAACAACTAATTAACAGTAACAATAATTTTTAAGTCCTTCTATTTGCTACAATAAGAAAAAAAAAAGGTACATACTTTTACGCTTTTCCTGCTCGGCGCTTATATCATTTTTATGAAATATCTTTAAAAGTGCGTCAAACATTCAAATAAATAAAAGAAAGAGAAAAAGTGTTCAATAAACAAAAGAGGCTTGAAAGTGATGGGATAACCACAGAAATAAAATAAAAAGGGGTGCTGGGAACGGAGCTGTAAATAATTAAAACTGAAAGACAGAGTATACTTTTTTGGACTTTGGAATAGTGGCGATGACTCTTTTTTTAAGGGAATTACGAGGTCTCCGAGTTTTCTTCCTTCTTCCTTGTTTTTTTTTTTATCTTTTGCTGTTGTTATACTTTTTTCCGTCATTATTAAAATGTTGACACTTTCTTCTATGGCTTTTTGTAAGTGGTAGTTCAACCATTTGACTTTTGAAGTTTTCCAATCCATAAAAATTGAACAAAGTATTCATGTGCTGCGACATGTAAGTTAAGTACAAACCAAATTGCTCCATAGACGCAGTTTTAGGCGAAGGAATGTCAATCTCAATTTTTTCAATGGCCAGTCTATCTTTGCTCCTTCATTCGTGTTACAGTTCCACCCATATTGTAATATTCGATTGCAGACAAGCGGCGTATGTCAGTACCACCGTGATAAGAGATATAAGAGTCCCATCTTCCTGGATCGACAGTGCATGGTTGAAAATACTTATTCACCTCTTCGCTCAAAAGATCGTTCAAGTCTAGACAGGTTTTGTTCTCTGGTGATGATGCAAGCACTTTTCTAGCAAATAGAATTATGCACGGGTAGCCATCGGTATACAATCCGTTAAGACACATTTTTCTTTTTTGTTCAGGAGGTGCTTGGAGGTTTTCACAACTACATATATATATTCGTCAGTAATTCGACTCTTACATATATGTTATAGTAATGTACCATTGGATACACAGCTTCTTAAAAGCAAACATATGATAGAAACATCTCTGTTGATGATCAAAAGAGGATTCATTAACCCGTTTTGTTTGTTTGTCATCTGGAAAAATTCCGGTTAGATTCTGGTCATCAATCTTTATGAACCACCAGTGCAACTTTGGATTCGAGAATAGGCCAAAACGTCTTGGGAGTATGGGCTTCATCGAATCGGTCTTTCTGGGTAGCTTGAGGGTTATAAATATCATCGTATTTTTCAAGGATATGCCGTAATACTGATAAAATTTTAAAGGGTCCGTTGTTTAAGCTTTATTTAATGAACAGAAGTGTGGATTTGCGATTTTTCACTTCTACATATATAATGCATGTTTTCCTATGGTTCCACCAACAAACTGATTCCTTGTGCCACTTCTTGTTTTGTATCGCACCATTGCGAGTTTTGCTTCTCTTTTTGGCCGTAAACTCTTCTGAATCTGGGCAAAATATGAAAGAAGCATTGTTTGATATTTGCCAATTGAAGCAGATTATACTCTAACGCTTCATGTTTACGTCACTGGTGATTAGATATTTACTGTTTATGTAATTAAAAACTGCTATCAATTGTACGTCGATATAATTACATTTAAACAATTAAATGTGAATGTAAAATATAGAAACTGTAAAACTTATTGGACACATGCTTTCCGAGCCTTTGTATGAAGTCTATTCTCATTTTATAATATATATATATACAACAGGCTACTGTCTGAAGTACATTTTTATTTGTCTGAAAACATCTTCAAGTTTATCTGAAAATAATTTTCCTTTGTCTGAATTTAAAGTAATGAAAGGTATAGTTCATAACGAAAGATGATTTAAACCCCTCTATTTATTTCTCTCCGTCAGTCTCGTTCTTCTTGGCAAGGGCAGCTTCTTGCTTAGCACGCATAATGGCAGCATCACTAGAAGAATGCGTCAAGTTCAATTCTTTTCTCAATCAATATCTCTTTTATTTTACCTTTCTTTCTTTTGGGTGAGACTTTGGCCATTCATGTTGGCTTTGCCCTTTTGCTCCTTTTCCTTCTTCTTTTGATTCTTTGCACGAGATTGTTCTCTTTGATTACCGCCTTTGTCCCAAAAAAAAAAAAAAAAAATTAAAAACATGAATTACTCTTTAAGGCAATTAAAATCACTTACGAGCCATGTTTTTTATTAATAGGGGTGATTATTTGAAAAAGAAAAAGAAAAAAAAAAGTTTTTTGAGCCACACCTTTCGTTACAATGTTTGCCCACTTTCGGATTCAGCCAGTTATTGGACGAATCAAAAATGTTGTTTTTTTTAGACAAACGTCCATATTTAAACGTAGTGATCTTTTGTTTGTTTAATGTTTCTCATCGCGTATTTTTTTGTCTTTAAGTAGGCTGTACTTGACGATATTTAGCACATAATTCTTTTAAACACTGACAGGTTTAAATGGCTACCTAATTTAAGCCTAACTTGCAGACACCCATCATAGGACTTTCGGTTTTCTCATGCCAAGTCAACACCCTGCGGTATTTATTGAGAGATATAATCCTTTGTTTAATGTGCTCTACTACTTTCTTGCATGATGAACGACTTAAAAAAGAAAGTATGTTTGTTTTTTTATTTTAAATCATTACTCATATGATTCCATGTCCCATCGGAATTCTTACAGGGGCAGGTGATTTATCATTGTATTTTTTCCATAGCGTAAGCTACATGTTGCTATAAAATTGACAGTCATGTGCTTCCATGTTTTAAAGGGAGGCGTACAAGTATTTTCCTGTATTGAGCCATAAGCTCATATTTAATCGTGCTGCAGAATCACTTGTTATAATACATGTCATGGTCTATGTCTCTTTACCTTTTAAAAAGTTAAATCCAACTCTGTTATTGCCCATAACATGGTCCCTATTTGTCATATACCTATAATTTAGCATGCCTGTCAAATCAAAAGAACATTTAAACGCCCGTCTGTAACATCACTGATTGGCTAAATGTCCGGTGTGACCTCTATTATTATCCCCCTCTCCATGTTGTGTTTTTATTTTTTTTAAGCTTTATTCCTTTGTTCAGTTCATAACATGTCTTTAAGATCTGGTAATGTTGTACTGAATATGTTCTTTATATATTTCTAACCTATTCTCTTTTTTTCAAACTGTATAGTCAGTCACGCTCTTGTTAGCAGCTTAAAGCCTGTCAATAAACTTGCCATTGCCCCCTGTACACGTACTTGTATGGACATTTTCATCAATTATTCTAAAATACTTTGAGCATTAACCCGTTTGTTTAGACGCTACAGCAAAAAAGTCGACCCATCCTCCTAGACGTACTTTTCTCCACAACCAATACACTGATGTCATTAAAAACAACAGAGCTGTCTTCATTTTCCAACACAACAATTTGACAGTAAAGGAATTCACTCAACTCCGACAAGAGCTTGGTCAATTAGCAGGTGGATCTGAATCCAAGTTGCGTGTTTTACGTTCTGGTGTATTCGGTGCTGTTTTGCGTGAGACTAAATTTGCCAATTTGGAACCTTTAGTTAGCGGTCCTACATGTGCTTTAACTACAAATGTTGCTGATAACGAACATCCGGAATTAATGAAGAAGGCCGTTGAGTTATTATCCAAGAACAAAAAGTTGATGTTATTAGGTGGTAAATTAGACAACGTTTTATTGAATCAATCCGATGTGTTGAAGGTGGTTGATTTGCCTTCCATTGATCAACTCAGAGCTCAAGTCGTCAGTGTTATTGAAGCTCCTGCTCGTAAATTGCTTTCTACTCTCGAACAGCCTGCTTCAGAATTAAGCAGCGTTTTAGACAGAAGAATTGATTAAGAAGAAAAATGTGTATAATAATAGAAAAGGGTATTTATTAATAAAGTTGATTTATTATGAAACATGCCGTAAAGGAATACATTGTTATCCATCCTACTTGCTTGTGAGTGCCATCACTACTCGTATCATGATTTGAATCCGTATTATTGTTGGTTGAAATTCCAGATTTAGGATTAGATACGTTAGATTTACAAGTAAATTCGTGCCCTTTAGTCACTCCTCCTTTCAATTTATTGACATCATCACATGAAAAGCTGTTGCTCGATGTCTGAATGTTTAATCCGCCGCGCACATCCACTAGACTAGGTAGATCTACCTTCTCGAAATTACCAGTGATATCCACTGTGCCATCAACTTGTTGCAGTTTAGGTACTTGTACATGTGATAGTTCAGTATTGTTTGCTAAAGACAGAGCTCCTCCCAATACTTGTAACTGAGGGATAGATAAATTGCTTAATCGCTTGTTATTCGATACAGTCAAGGTACCTGCGATTTGGGACATGTTGGGTAATAGCAGTGACGCAAACGTGTTACCGATAAATGAAAGATCCCCTGTCACTTGGTGTACTTGATTCAAGCCCACTAACCTTGCTAAATTACGAAAATCACCTTGATAAATGTTCGAAATGGAAGAAAGCTAAAGCGCAAAGAGTTAAATATCAGATTTTTTTAGGGTATCAATATAATGCTTACATCGAGTGAGAGGTTAGGTGAATTAGCAGAGATAGAAATGACACCACCTACTTGTTGCAGATGATTTAAATTAATATCACGCAGATAGATATTGTTGGCAATGCTAATATCCTTCATTTTGCTAGTTGTAAGGCCTTCGATTTTACTGGCAATTGTGTCGGTTACAGTCAACGTTTCTATTTGTGAAAGGCCCGAAGGAAATTGAATCAAGTCCAGTGCTGGTTGTACAGATATCTCCAGTGATTTTACAGATGTCAATTGTGTCAAATCCAACCGCTTTAATTGTCGATTATTCTGGAATTTAAGCTGTCCATCCACTTGTTGAAGGCTTGCCAATACAATTTGAGATATATCTGCGTTTCCATTAATGATGAGGTCGCCATGTACTTTCTGTAACTGTGATAGATTCAATAAATCATCTGACAAAGTCATATTTTGAATTGTGATGGACCCATCAAATACTTGACAGCCACGAATACTATCCAGCTCTTGTCCGGAGCTGATTTGAATAGGTCCAGTACATCCACTACCGCAAAGGACGGATGATGAAAGTAATAGTATAAGCCCAGTGATGGATAATAAAGTCATTACGAATAATACAATGCGCGTTTTTTTTTAAAAAAGCACTTAAACCTTGCTTATATATGACCGCCATTTTTAGGGAGGTCTAATGAATTTGAACTTATATGACCTTTTACAGAAATACGTCTTTGATGCATATGACCTTTAATAGACTTTATTTAATCAAAGAAGGGGAGATTCCTTTATTTTTATTCTCTTCTTATTAAATAACTTGAGGATGTTACTACAAAAATAAAAAAGGTTATTCATGCAAGGGGTGCCGAGATTCAGTACCCAAGATGAAGAAAAGTATGATTTATGAATGAGCATTCTATCATAAATATGGGTTATATTATAGAGAGGGATAAGAATAAAAAAAGCAAGTGAAAACCTATCTATGTCACTGCTAAAGTGAGGCTCTGATTGGATGAAGGCAAAGAAGGTGTTCTTATCTTTTAGGACAAAAACAACCTAGAGCAATATGTAACATTCTTTTTTTGAAGAAAATCAGATACTATTTATACATACACAGCTTATATCCGTATTAATTCCTCCCCGTCAAACGATCAATGACGCCTATTACTTTTGGCCCCCTTTAAAGCATCGTTGTAAGATAGCTGGAATAAACCGTATACTTGACATATTTTAAAAAGACTGTTGGGAATATTTTTATCAATAGAAAAAGGGAGTAAAAAAGGAAGTTACTTTTTTTTTTGTGATCCGAGCAAGAAACCCTCTAGTACACACTCCTGCATTATTCATTAATTATTTCACGAGCAGTTTAGACAAACCAAAAAATTAATAACCTATCTATTTATTTTTTAGAAACACTTAATTGAACCCCTTTATCTTTTAATGGTATACATCTTTAGACCGTCGTCAATCAGAGCGCGGTAATCATATTGGATATGAGATTTTGTCTTCTGAAGATACTTGAACGATCATCACTGTTCCATAGTTATGAACCACCCCTTCTAGAGAATTTTACAACATTTTGGATTATTAACTATTGAATGAATATGATGAGTGTAATCAAAATGTCTGATTTAAGACTCCCCGAGTTATCTTTGGGACAAGATTTATAGGTCTATAAACTATTGCGCAAATAAATGCACAATATTCACGATTAGTATGTACCTCTTTTACTTTTTTGATCTGATCAATAATATGTCAACAGTGTGTAGTATAATTTTCATTTTACTAGTTTGTTCTCTTCCTTTTTCATCGCCGTATCTTCTCAAAAGCCTGGCAAGTTCTTTCAATGGAGTAAACAATCTAGATCAAAAAAAAAAAAAAAAAAAAAAAAAAAAAGACGTAATATTTACAATACTACGTGATAGTGATAGCAACGCGTTTTATATATCGGATGTTATTAATCTGCAATAGTTCGTCTCTCATAAGGACGCTTGAATAAGGTATGGATACGATCAGAAAAAAAAACGATGTGCTTATAGTCTTGGCCGGAGGTTTTTAATAGTTTTTACAGCAGATATGCGATAAATTAACAAGATAAGTGTATGCTTAATACAAACAAAGGAACAATTCGGGTTGACAAAGGTCTGGACGCACTACATTTTGGTTTTTGCATTAATTTTTAAAGAATTTGATATTTTTTTTTATTATTATTCTTTCTTCCTTGTAATAATTAACCGTTATATTAATGACCATTACGGAAAACACGTCTTGGGCAGAATCTATCCCGCCAAAACAAGGACTGTATGATCCAGACTATGAAAAGGATGCATGCGGTGTTGGATTTATAGTTCAAATTGATGGCACACGTTCACATAAAATTCTGAGTGACGCCAAAAGTATTTTATGTAATATGACGCATCGTGGTGCCAGCGGTGCTGATATTCGCGATGGCGATGGTAGTGGTATCATGACAGGTAAATAAAAACAAAAAGAAACGGTCTACAAAGTTTACAATGCCTGACACATTTATAAAGGTATTCCGGATAATTTTTTTCGCATTGAAGCCAAACGTGAATTAAAATTGGATTTGCCGCCTGAGGGACAGTATGCTGTAGGAAACTTGTTTATGAAGTCTGATTTCTTGGTGGAAAGTAAACAAGTATTTGAAAAATTAGCAGAAGCACTTGAATTGAAGGTTTTGGGCTGGCGTCATGTTCCTCATGATTCAACCATTATTGGACCTGCTGCCAAATCAAAAGAGCCCGTCATTGTGCAACCCTTTGTTGTTGGTCCTCATCTGGACGAAAGGCAATTTGAAAGACAGCTCTATGTTCTTCGTAAACACGCCACTCATACTTTGACCATGAAAAAATGGTTTTATGTATGCTCCCTTTCCAACAAAAATATTGTTTACAAGGGTCAATTAACACCCAAACAAGTCTATGCATATTTTTATGACTTAGTTAACGTAAAGTATGAGACTCACTTTACTTTAGTACATTCCCGTTTTTCTACAAACACATTTCCCTCTTGGGATCGTGCTCAACCTATGCGATGGAGTGCACATAATGGTAAAAGATAATATCTTACATATCAAAAAACCGTTAATAATCTTAATTAGGTGAAATCAACACTTTACGTGGAAATAAGAATTGGATGCGATCACGTGAAGGTTTGATGCAATCTGATACGTTCGGTGCCGGTCTTGAATATTTGTACCCGATTATTGAGGAAGGTGGATCTGATTCAGCAGCATTTGATAATGTTTTAGAGCTTTTAGTTGTCAATGGTGTTCTAACTTTGCCAGAAGCTGTCATGGTGATGATTCCTGAGGCATGGCAAAACAATCCACAGATGGAACCTGAGAAAAAGGAGTTCTATCAATGGGCTGCCACGTTAATGGAGGTAAATTGAAACTAGAAACGAAAAATCACACGTGACTAACATGATTTTTAGCCATGGGATGGACCAGCGCTCTTTACGTTCTCTGATGGTCGATATATAGGGGCCTCTCTTGATCGTAACGGTCTTCGCCCGTGTCGCTATTATATGACTACAGATGGCATCATGTTATGCGCCTCCGAGGTTGGTACAATTTCATTAGACCCGGAAGTAATCGTCGAAAAAGGAAGATTACAACCAGGAAAAATGCTTCTTGTGGATACCCAAGAAGGCCGTGTCGTAGATGATGTTGAACTGAAACTCAAGACTGCACAAAAAGCCAAGTTTGGTGAATGGGTGAAGCAACGTATTGATCTGGAGACACTTGTCACCAAATTGACTGGAGATAATTATCAAGACGAATTGGATGATACATTGTTGCACAAAGACCCCCGTATGAGAGCTTTTGGTTATACTTTGGAGCAAATCAATCTTTTAATGTTGCCAATGGTAAACGAAGGTAAAGAACCTTTGGGTTCGATGGGTAACGATACCTCCTTGGCTTGTCTGTCAAAGCAGCCACGTCTTGTCTTTGAATACTTTAGACAATTGTTTGCTCAAGTTACAAATCCTCCTATTGATCCTATTCGTGAGGAAATAGTCATGTCTCTCGAATGTTATGTGGGCCCCGAAGGAAATCTTTTGGAAATGAATGAAAAGCAATGTAACAGGCTTATTTTGAAATCGCCAATCTTGACTATGAAAGACATTTCTGCTATCAAACAAATGACTAAACTTTATTCTGAATGGAAGGTTGCTACTATCGACATTACTTTTCCTCGTGAAGAAGGCGTGCAAGGTTACGTTAATGCGCTCGAAAGAGCTTGCAACGAAACTACGCAAGCAATCAAAAATGGTTACAAGGTAGTTATCTTAACAGACCGTGCCGTAGGTCCCACCCGTGTTTCTATATCTTCATTAATTGCCATGGGTGGCGTGCATCATCATCTGGTCCGAAACAAATTGCGTAGTCAAGTTGCGTTGATGATTGAAACAGCCGAGGCAAAAGAGGTGCATCACTTTTGTGTCTTGTTGGGCTATGGTGCTGATGCTATTTGCCCTTATCTAGCAATGGAAGCTATGCTGAAACTAATCCGTGAAGGTGCTGTTCGTGAGGGCGTTACCCAAGAGAAAGTTATTTATAATTATAAAAAAGCCATCGATAACGGCATCAAAAAAGTCATGTCAAAGATGGGTATTTCCACGTTGGCTTCTTATAAAGGTGCTCAGATCTTTGAGGCACTGGGTGTGGATGACAGTGTCATCTCTCGTTGCTTTGTAGGTACTGCTTCTCGTATCAAAGGTGTTACATTTGATATATTTGCCTTGGATGCACTTGCTTTACATGAAATGGGATACCCTATGCGTAACAGAGTTCAACCATTGACTTTACCCGAGTCTGGTGAGTATCATTGGCGAAGTGGTGGCGAGGCTCATCTTTTCGAGCCTTCAAGTATGGCTAATCTTCAGAACGCTGTTCGTACCAAAACTCAGTCATCATACGATGCTTATTCTCGCGCCTCTTATGAAGCTGTTCGACAATGTACCTTGCGTGGTTTATTAAAATTTGATTATGAATCATGCAAACCCATTCCTATTGAGCAAGTCGAACCTTGGACCAATATTGTGAAGAGATTTGTAACGGGTGCCATGTCGTATGGTTCTATTTCTTGGGAAACACATACTGCTTTGGCCATAGCTATGAATACGTTAGGAGGAAAATCTAATACAGGTGAAGGAGGAGAAAAGCCAGAAAGATCTCAGCCTTTATCGGATGGACGTAGTATGCGATCAGCTATCAAGCAGGTTGCTTCTGGGCGATTCGGTGTCACCAGTTTCTATTTGGCAGATGCTGAGGAGCTTCAAATTAAGATGGCGCAAGGAGCAAAACCTGGTGAAGGAGGTGAATTAGCAGGTTCGAAAGTTTCGGAGGAAATTGCTTCCACGCGTAAAACTACTCCTGGTATTGGTTTGATCTCTCCTCCGCCTCATCACGATATTTACTCGATTGAAGATTTGAAACAATTGATTTACGATCTAAAATGTGCCAATCCTCGCTCTAGAGTGTCTGTAAAGCTTGTCTCTGAAGTCGGTGTAGGCATCGTTGCTGCCGGTGTTGCCAAAGCAAAATCAGACCATATTTTAATCTCTGGTCATGACGGTGGAACTGGTGCCTCTCGTTGGACAGGTATCAAGTATGCTGGTCTTCCTTGGGAGTTGGGGTTAGCCGAAACTCATCAAACACTTGTTCTAAATGATTTACGTGGTCGTGTTATTGTGCAAACTGATGGCCAGATTAAGACAGGTCGAGATATTGCCATTGCTTGTTTACTAGGAGCTGAGGAGTGGGGATTTGCAACGACACCTCTCATAGCACTTGGTTGTATCATGATGCGAAAATGTCATTTGGTAAGAAGGAAGAGGGGTCTAGATTTCATTAATTAATTCTATTATAATTAGAATACGTGTCCAGTCGGTATCTGTACCCAGGATCCCGAATTAAGAGCCAAATTTCAAGGAGCCCCTGAGCATGTCATTAATTTCTTTTATTATATTGCCGAAGAATTAAGAACTTACATGTCCAAACTTGGATTCAAGACAATTCAAGAGATGGTGGGTAATTGTCAGGTGTTGAAAGTGGATGATTCTCTTCGTACTTTTAAGACTGCTAATTTGGATCTGTCGCCTATCTTAACACCGGCTCATACACTGCGTCCCAATGTAGCCACATACTGTATTAAAAAACAGCAGCATAATTTACATACACGTCTAGATAATTACCTCATTGATGAATCTGATCCTGCCTTTGTCAGCAAACAAAGGGTAAAGATTGAATCCGAGATTGTGAATACAGATCGTGCGGTTGGTGCAACACTTTCTTACCACGTTTCTAAAAAATTCGGGGAACATGGCCTACCCTCAGATACAATCCATGTCAATTTTACAGGCTCAGCAGGCCAATCGTTTGGTGCGTTTTTGGCCCCTGGCATATTTTTTGAACTGGAAGGAGACTCCAATGATTATGTTGGTAAGGGTCTCTCGGGTGGGAAAATAGCCATTTACCCACCTAAATCAAGCCAATTTAAGGCCCAGGAGAACGTGATTATTGGTAATGTTTGTCTTTACGGAGCTACTTCCGGCCAGGCTTTTTTCTCGGGTATTGCAGCAGAGCGGTTCTGTGTAAGAAATTCAGGTGCCATGGCGGTGGTAGAAGGAGTAGGAGATCATGGGTGTGAGTACATGACAGGTGGACGTGTGGTCATCTTGGGAAAAACAGGACGAAATTTTGCTGCCGGTATGTCGGGGGGAATCGCCTATGTTTTAGATCAGGAACAAAAGTTTAAAAATAATGTAAATATGGAAATGGTTGATTTGGAGACAGTTAATTCAGATGAAGAAACAAGTGAATTGCGCTCTTTGATCGAAGACCACCTGCATTATACTGGATCGGAGGTTGCGAGACTCATACTCAAGGATTTTAATAAATGGATACCAAAGTTTGTGAAAGTCATGCCTATCGAGTATCGAAATTTGCTTGAAAAGAAAAAGAACGAAATCAAAGAGGTCAAGAAATGTGAACAACACGTAGCTGAACCTCAAGTCGAAGATGTGGAAGACTCAGTTCTGGATGAAGAAACGATACAAGCACGTCGAAACAAACTGGATAAATTACGAGGGTTCATGAAATACAAACGTAAAACAGATCCTTACCGTGATCCCAAAAAGAGAAGCCATGACTGGAATGAAATCAATCATCGGCTGAGTCGACAAGAATTGCATGTGCAGGCTGCTCGGTGCATGGATTGTGGTGTTCCTTATTGTCAGACTGAAACCGGGTGTCCTATTGGAAATGTTATCCCCAAATGGAATGAACTGGTTTTTAAGGATACTTGGAAGGATGCATTAGACCGTCTCCTGATGACCAATAATTTCCCTGAATTCACGGGTCGTGTCTGGTAAAAAAAAAATTCATCTCGCGCTTATAAATATATAAAAAAAGGTACTAACTCTATTTATACAAAGCCCGGCCCCATGTGAATCAAGTTGTGTTTTAGGTATCAATGAAGCACCCGTGGCAATTAAAAGTATTGAGGGAGCTATTATCGATCGCGGATTTGACGAAGGATGGATCCAACCGCAGCCACCTACTCACCGTACTGGTAAAAAAGTGGCTATTATCGGTTCCGGACCTGCGGGGTTAGCCGCTGCCGACCAATTGAACAAGGCTGGTCACCTTGTTACTGTTTATGACCGGAACGATCGTATGGGAGGTCTTTTAATGTATGGTATTCCCAACATGAAGCTAGACAAGAAAATTGTACAGCGCCGTGTGGATCTTTTATCAGAAGAAGGTGTTGTATTTGTCCCTAATGCCAATGTCGGAGTTGATATCGATGTAAATAATATTCGGGATAAGAACGATGCCTTAATTGTTGCTACAGGTGCCACTTGGCCTAGAGACTTGCAAATTCCTGGTCGAGATTCTGATGGCATTCACTTTGCTATGGACTTTTTACAGGCGAACACCAAAAGTTTGCTTGATTCGGGCTTGAAAGATGGTCACTATCTATCTGCCAAAGATAAGAATGTGATTGTCATTGGTGGTGGTGATACCGGTAATGATTGCATTGGTACTTCTGTTAGACATGGATGTGCTTCAGTCATAAACTTTGAGCTTTTACCTCAACCTCCCCCAACAAGAGCTAGGTAAGTTTTCATCTTTAAACAAATGTACACTGTTGATATTAAGATACCTTGTGACAGCGATAACCAATGGCCTCAGTATGCCAAGGTAATAATAAATAATACTTTCTTGTCACACACACTAACTAATTACTTTATAATAGGTCTTCAAGATAGATTACGGTCATGCGGAAGTTCTGGCTCAATATGGTCGAGATCCTCGTGAATACTGCGTGGTATCAAAAGAATTTGTAAAGCAAGACAATAAAGTCATTGGAATAAATACTGTGCGCGTAGAATGGACCAAGTCTGCTGATGGAAAATGGTCCATGAAAGAATTGCCTGGGACAGAAGAGTTTTTCAAAGCCGACCTGGTGTTACTCTCAATGGTATAACAGGTATTTGTTTTGTTTATAAACTGAGATATTAATACAATATGCAGGGTTTTATGGGACCTACCAAAGAGCTGATTAGCCAGATGGGTTTGAATCAGGATACGCGCACAACAAACATAAGCACACCCAAAGGTAGATATGTGACTTCTGTACCTAATGTCTATGCAGCAGGTGATTGTAGAAGAGGCCAATCTCTGATTGTCTGGGGCATTAATGAAGGTCGCATGTGTGCAAGAGAAGTAGATGAAGCTTTAATGGGAAGTACTTATCTACCAGTTACCGGAGGGATCCAACAACGTTCGGCAATTCCTTCTGCTTTAGCCTGAGAATAAAGCAGACCCTTTTCTTTTTTGTCAATGAACTTTAAATGAATTAGCATAATAAACTCTTATTTTATGCAATTTTTTGGCTAGACTCTTAAAAGAATAAATATTTGTCGACAATCATGTCTTTTTAAGATTTTTACCGAAAATGTGCAATGCCGGGGAACCTCAGTCTTAATTATGTCTCCTTTGTGATACGATGTATGATTACTTTATAGCTTGTTTCTACGAGCTGTGTGTGCGTATTCGAGGAAAACATTTTTTTTTTTCATAAAAACAGACACTTGAAACAAGGAAATATCGATAGAATATCTAGAAATTGATAAGGTAAGACAAGCTCTAGATTAACGCATTTTCAAGCAGATATCTTGAGGTAGTTACTGTGTGTCAAATCCCTACATTAGTCGTGTTTAATTAAATAATCATCCTTGCTGATTTTCTGAGCTGTCATGAGCTCTTTTGACGTTATTTGAGTCTAACCCCGGGAAGATATATATGACAACAGACCTTTTTGGCACAGGTTGATGTTATGATGAACAATGCGGGATATTTCAGGAGTGTTCATATTGGGGAGTGGTTGGTGCATGGGACGGGATGTGATTCCTAAAGCCGATTCTGTGTGACTTTATGGAAACAACATCTGTTTGGAAGTGATGCAGAGACAACAAACAAACAGCGTCTTGGGATTATGTATGTGACAATGCATCTGTGTGCATTAGAGGAATAATCATTAATTGTGCAAAGCCGCATGAAGGAAAAAAAGGAGATGGATGAGTCTTTATAAAGTAATTTTTTCCAGGTTTAACAACGGTTGGTCAGTTTCTTTCGAATTTTACTTTAAATGGTTGTGTGTTGTTATACAAATAAAGTATGTATTTTCTCCCCCCCCGAGAAAGGGTTCTCCCTTTTTTATGAGAAGCCGAGCGAAAGGAAAAACCATGAAGCACATGTTGGGGTTAATATCGTTTACCCATGACAATTAAGTGTTACCAATCAGTCCATGTGAATAAACGAGTAATTGCATTGTTACTCTGCAGGGTCACATTTTCATTGTTTTAATATCATGATTGGTTTAACCGCGACATGAAAACCAAGTTACACCCGTGTCACTGGGGGTTCAGACGGCTAAATGAAATTTTATTTTTATATTTAAACATTGATATTCCGCTCAAACGTTAAAAAGGGGTGTTTATTACAATGAATGAATGTATGATGTATGTGTGTTATATATGTACATTTGGTATAATTTGAATAAAGAAAGGTGTGCTTGTTTCTATACATTCTTTTTAATAAGAGGTATGACGAGTCATTCAGGTGTATATGGGGGAATAGCGATATGAAGGCCAAGGATTGCGGATAAAGTTATTTTTAAATCTTTGGGTGAGATAGGTTTACCAATACAGCCACTCTATTTGCAAAATAAAAATGTATATATTTAGTAACAATGACATTTTAAAGCAGCCTTGTATATATATTTACCATGCCAATCTCTGTATATATCTTGCGCCACTCTTTGGAATCGTTGGTTGTCACCGCAACAATCGGACATTTACGATTTTGAGGCAATATGTCTGATTCTAGGCTGGAACGAATGCGTTTGGTAGTCTCGACACCGTTTAAGATTGGCATGTCGATATCCATTAAAATAAGATCAAAGGGTCTACACTTTAGCACTTCCAGTGCTTTAACACCACTCTTTACCAGCTCGATATGTTCAAATATGTCAGACATATGCATACTCAATAAACGAGATAATATCTGGAGATTGATACTATTATCATCTACGATTATGACATGTAGCCTAGGCAAATGGACGGGATTGGGGGGCGTACTAAATCTTCGTTTATAACTTGGCTTTTTGCTGGGTAATGACAGAGAAGGTAATATGATTGGACTAATATTCATGGGAGGAGAAGGCAAAGAAGTCGATAATGCTTTCATATTAAACGCTTGTTCTCTTTTCATGATTGAGCTAGTTGATTCGATTTCATCAGTAAATATTGAGCCTGAGAATCTAATACAAGTGGGCCTAGGCACTGATTTTCCGTTGTCAAGGATATATATTGTTGGAGTTGAAGGGGTACCATCAGGTGTCGAATCTAATGATACTGAACGTGTCTTACTTTCATAGGCAAAGTAGTCCATTTTGCGATAAAAATTTTTTTAATGATAAAAAAAAAAAAAAATATGAGAGTAGAAAAAAGAAAAAAGTAAAGAATTGAAATGAAAGCTCGAAATTTATAGCTTTCAGGTTTATCGGAACCACCCTTATTAAGACACGGGTCCCGCATAAGAAAGTAATCAGCGGTTCTTCAACATTTACTTGCCTATTTTGAGAGAGTCGAACCAACCAGATTAAGTCTGCCCACACAGCTGAGAAAATAATAATAATAATAATAAAAAAAAAAAAACGTCAGCATGGATTAATTCCACTGATTTTTTTCGCTTGATTTATTAATTCAATGGACAATCAAGAGTTTGACCATCTCAAATGGACCAGCCACTTTACAGTAGAATCTGCGCCTGCCGATCTAAACGATGGGGATAAAATTATCTTGCCAGCCTCTGCACTCGAACAGTTACTCTTAAAAGTAGGCAATTCCGGCAGTTTACCTTCTCCTTTGACTTTTGAGCTACGCCACCCTCATTCGAACGAAATTATTCACTGTGGTGTCAAGGAGTTTTCTTCTAAAGGCAATACTACTCAACTTCCTAGTTGGATCATGTCTGCATTGGGTCTTCAACAAGGTGATCACGTATTGATCAAGTTGGTAATTTTACCCAAAGGAACCTGGACTAACCTACAGCCTATATCGGCTGATTACCAGCAAATCGCCGATTACAGAGCAGCACTCGAAGCACACTTGCGTGCGCATTATAACACTTTAACAAAGGGTCAAGTATTGTCTTGTCGATATGGTGGACGTACGTATCAGTTTAAAGTGTTGGATTTAAAGCCTCAAAATGCAGTGTCAATTACCGATACGGACCTCGAGGTTGATATAAAACATGATGTTGCAAAAGATGACGTACAAACCGATATACCCATTGTTCAAATAAATGATACACTACCACGCATTGAGATACCGAGCGGTTACAAATATTGGAAGCTGGCTTTAAATAATAATCGCAACGTTTCCATCAAATTGACGGTTGAAGCAGGAGATGCAGGTAAAAGAATCTCACAGGCTAAAATTGACTGGGATCGTATTATGTGGAAACTCATTGCATGATAATTATAGATATTGTATGTAGTACAGAGAAAACACCAACATTGGATAATCATGAATGGTCTGATTTAAGTTCGGATAACCAAAGATCCCTCAATCTTGAAAATTTAAAAAGTACGCATTTACATGTGGGTATTCACGCTTATGATAAAAATACAACTGTATCATGGCAAGCTGTACCTTTTACAGCAGTGAATATGGAGGTAGATGAGGAAGATACAACAGGTAAAGAGCAGTGCAAGAATTGTCATGCGTGGGTGTCACAACGATCCTTGGTTCTTCACGAGAACTTTTGTTTACGCAACAATGTTATCTGCTCTTGGGGATGCGGAAAGGTCTTTAAAAAAGATAGCCAAGAATTTAAAGACCATTGGCACTGCGAAGAATGTGATTATGCTGCCGATAGTGGTGGGCCTGAAAAACATATCGAATATTATCATACACCCAAAAAATGTAGATGCTCTCACTTTGTGACGAACTCGTACGAGGCCTTGGCTGAACACAAGAGGACGACTTGCCCAGACAAACTTATTACCTGCCGTTATTGCCATGTTAGTATTTATATCATTTAAAGGAAAAAGAAAAGTACTGAAAATACATTAGATTCTCACCGCTCAAGGCGTGATGTCATTGGACTCGAGAGATAGGCTTCTGGGATTACATTCGCACGAAAGTTATTGCGGGTCACGCACAATAATCTGTCAAAAATGTAACAAGCCTATACCAATCAAAGACATACAAGTTCATGCCAAGATTCATGAAGTTAAAAGGCAACAACAAACTCTACCGGCAATGTGTTGCAATCAAAACTGTATACGACCCAGAACAAAAAACAGACTTTCGTTTTGTCAGTATTGTTTTGGGCCTTTTTGGATAACCGAAGATGATCCAAAGAACGCCAAATTAATCCAACGCGTTGCACGTAGACTCCATTCGCAACTTACGTTAGGATGTGGTAATGAATGGTGCCGGAATAAGGTACATTTTTTTTTTATTAACGACGATAGATGTGCATCATTTAATGTATAATATGTATGTTAGTATTGTGCGTCATTTACCAAAGACCCCAAAGACGCAACCACTGCAGCAAGTTTGTTAATCCCAATGATTAAAAGTTTACCCAGGCAGCTGGCATTGCCTAATCCATCCCCACAACTTTACTTTTGTGTGGATGAAACAACAACCAGAAAAAAGTTTCTGGCTGAGCTTTTAGCCTCTGAATCTAACGGAAAGTATGATTTGGGTTGGTGTGTCAAGGCTATTGAAAACGAACAAGAAGACCTTGATCGTGCAAAAAATTGGTTGAATATAAACGCACCTTATAATGTAACATCAGAGTCTAAATAATAAAATAAAAAAAAAGCCTAAAAAAAAAATATTATTTTTACTCCACATGACGATATTTGTGAACTCGTCATTGTATAAGGCCTTTGAATAAGACCTTCAACGTCACTAAAAGACCGCGACAAATTTTTTTTTTTTTATTATTTTTGTAACTGGATCATTTTCCCATGGCAAATAACTGTTTAGTCACGCAAGGTGTTTCCCAATCAACCTAAACAGAAGAAAAAATAATCATTCCTGTCATCCCTTTTTAACAAAATCCTTTTGGTCTTCTTCCGTTGCATTACACAAACATCTGGTGTTTCAATTCGCGCTCAATTTTTCCATGACCAAAAAAGAATCTTTCAGAGGCTTCTGTTACTTCTTTCCCTTTACAAATAAGGCATTTTTGAATGTTCTAAAGGTTGATTAAAAAAATTGCCATATTGGGAGAAAAAAGGAATCCTTTAAGAGCTTTGGTTTCTGCATTTTTTTCTTGTGTTATTTTTTAACCTCCATTTGGTTACATTTTTATATTGCCACCCACCCCAGAGAAACACCTGTACCTTACTTTTCTGATTTTTTTTTAGGAATAAACATTCTTGGATTGTAAAACAGCGGGCTCAAAACTCAAAATTCCAAAAAAAAAAAAAAAAAAAAAAAAAAATCGGTCCCAAAGTGCCGGTTCCAAGTAAAAGCAAAGTTGTTTGAAAGCCTTCTAGAATAAAATAAGACTTCTAGAATAAAACAAGGCTTCTAGAATAAAACGAGCTTTCTAGAAAAAAAGCTTCCCTAAAAAATAGAATGCCTTATATGAATACGATGTAATTCTTAAACTCTTTTTTTACAAAATGATACCGAGTTCTTGGCCCCCAAAACAGAACACCAAATTTGTACACGAACAAATACCGCTAGTTTGGGAGGAGACGCGAAAAAAAAAATCATGGCCCATCTGACGTTTTATTGGTTACGTATTAAACACCAAATTTACAAAAAAAAAAAAAAATTAATTAACCTTCTTGAGTACAAGAGTGTGGCAAGCAACAGAACTTTTCTTTTATTTAGGTGCCATTTGATGCTTTCTTTAAGGAGTTATAAAGGTTGTCCGTACTACTTTTATATTCTTTTCGTTTTTAAAATTACAAAAAAAAAAAAAAAAAAAAAAAAAAAAATGGATATTTACTGTACTTCTGACCAAGGACAGATAACCCACAAAAAAAAAAGCTAGGTGTAACGTAACGTAACGCTTATGACATATGTGTTTTAGTCTCCAAAACAATTTTTTGTCTTTTAGAAAACTTGAAATGGTTTAAAGTCAATTTTGACGACAGTTATTAAAATTACGTAGTCTATTTTGGCCGTTTGTTAAAACAATCTTATTGACTGATAGACGCACTGCACAAGAAGCAGACTATTGTTAGCAACAGCGTGTGGGTGACTGTTGTAAAAAAAAAAAAAAAAAGGCAAACGTAAACATTTGTTTACAAGATACCAGTTTTTCTAAATAGAAAGCATGAAACTTGATATATGGATTAGGTGGCTCGGAATATCTTAGAGTAACTCACTGAAAAAAACACAAGTCTGTAAACTGAGACAGCCTGTTACAAGATGAGGGCAAACCTCCAAAATATACCCTATTCTCCAATTTATACAAATAAATGATTATTTGTATTAATTAATGTAAATAGGACAATTTTGATATTTAGAGCCTGCGTTATTGTCGTTATCATAAGCGATTTAGCAATACTAAAGCTTTATTATTACTGAAAAATGACGATGTGTTATTAATTTTTTAGAAACAATAATAATGCCGTAGTGTTACTATTATCTTGTGCGACATCACTATATCCAAGTTACCACTGTACTAATGTTGCTATAATTGTATCAGGCCGTTTCTTTATATGTCCATTTAACTTGACCACCACCAGATAGTTTTCTTTTTAGTGCCAGCTAAGATGTTATAACAAGAATATATACATATCACCTTGGTTTGAGTATCAATTTATCTTCTCTAAAAGCGAATTCAAAGGTTAGCTTTGGCATCCTATGTTACATAAATGATAGAGGAAAAAAAAACGAGTACTTATTTGAGCAATGCTCATTGAATTACATTATAAAACTCACAATTACTTTGATAGCCTGCCCCCTCCATTGAGTCTATATCATCAGCCATGGTTTTATGTTAAAGCCTTGCTTGCTTAGGTATTATGATACTCTAACCAATGAATGTCAAATTTTTAAAGCAGCCTTATAATCATTTTTTAAAATCTGGTGTTTCGTTTATCCAGAAGACGACATTTCGTTGCTGTTCTGACACTATCCTTTTATCCTCTATCTCAAATTTTGTAATAGATATCTTATAACACTACACTGTTTATTTTTCTTTTCCTTTTTTCCCCCTTGACCGTTTATTATAGGTTTTGGAGTATATGTCCTGCAGTAAACCTAAACGTATCTTTCGATTAACTAAAGAAGGATGGTATCTGAACCTTATATTTACTAAGTTAATACTCAAAGACCTTTGGGCTTTACAAGAGCACTTTATTTCGATGCTGGGTATATTCCTTTTTCTATAATTTAGTAGTTAATTTAAACACCTTGTTCATAAATGTAGTAACGTTTTGTGCTAAGGATGAATTAGAAGATGTAAAAATGTGCCCGCTTTTCACTCACGTTAAAGTTATAAACAAGGGTTAGTCTGTTCATCTGAAAATTATCAATTAGATAAACGTACATCGCCGGCAACAAGTATCGATTCGAAATACATACATTTTCGCAGTTAGTTTATATCCTTGATTGGAAATCATCTGCCAAAACTTCAATGCAGCTGTTTAAATAAACATATAGCTGAAGACCTTCTATTTGATTGCAGGTCAAATATTTAAATGGCTATCAAATTATTGTCGTCAGAATTTACTAATAAGATTGCGGCCTACGGTTTTTTTCTTCCTGGTTTTCTATCTTTCTATTTCATACGCTCTACTGTTGCCTTAAACATATTGGGAGGGAAGAAATGGTCTGTATAGACAATAACAGGTAAGCAAAATTACAACTTTGTGATTTCGTTGTCGGTATTTGTCATTTTTTTTTAGTCTTAAAAGTTACTTAAAAAGTAATTATGTAGAAAGGCTACGATATGGTGAGTTTCGATTGATTCGATAAACATATAATAAAACATTGTAGCGATTTATCACAAAGTTGTATTTGACTACCAGTAGGAAGCCTTTAAATAAAACTGTCGTTTTTAAAAAAGACTGAAACCACAAAAGACACAGCTGTCTGCGTGCTGTAATTTTTTTGTTTACAATGCCAAAATGCCATGCGCAGTCCTAGTAAATAAATACGATTTTTATAGGTATGGCTATGAGAAATTTTAGATATGCTCGATATATTTTATATCTATGTTTGAGTAGGCTTTTACTTCTGTGCTAAAGATTACGAATTTGATAGTAATAATACTGTAATGATCCCGTGTATTTCTTAAATTTTCATATTTAGAATACTTTATTAACCAGCATAATTATATATATATATATTTATAAAACTTTGTCAACTATCGTATCATTCCGCCTTCCTAGCGTTCGGGAATAATTATTCAGCTTTTGTTTTTGAGGGGAAAAGACACTTAATACTAAAAGAATAAGGATAATTTGATGCATCATGATACAAAAAACGGATGTCCGATTATATACAAATATTTCCGGTATCATTGATATTGTACACTGTAAAATATACAGTAATTAAAAGAGCTATATAAAGTGCAGTACCCACATTGTATATGAGGGGATGGGAGTAATTGAGTTGATTACAAAGATATTTTATGAGTTATCCCAAATTCAGCGTATATACCGACCTGAACATCATTTACCGCTAGAAAATTAGAGTGTAGGAGCTCATTGACATGTTTGTTAATTGTGTGTAACCCTGTTCCTTAAACCGAGATATGGCATCAGACACATATTACCGACAATCTACGCGTGATTCTCTTAAATTAACATTAAACCGCATCCAGACGATCGTTTCTTAATAGGACTAACTGAGCGATGGCCTCATCAATGCATCTTGATTGTTTAATTTGGATCAAAGTTACACAAGCTTGGTTGACGTTTGGTAGCAAGAATATAAAAAGCGTGCAAAATTTCATTGATTGAGTCTATAGTCTTTTGAGCAGGTTCTCTTTCTTATACAATGCAATCACTTTCTATTCTTCTTATTGTACTTTCTGTCTTTTGCATGCTGGTTAATGCAAAGCCATTGAATAAGCGAGCTTTGAAATCTTGTTACAAACAAGCCACAATCACGCAATACTGGATTCCAAAGGAAGGAGATAAGGATATGCTCAACAATGGAAAAACCGTGACATTGACTGGTAGCAAGTCATCTACATTGAAAACCACTGGTGGTTCTACTATTGCCAAAGTCTCCAAAACAACATATGAGGTAAACACTTTCATTTTTTTGATTGTCAATAATCCTTAGATTCTAAATTTTCTATTTATCTTTGCAGAAATTTCAAATGGAAGGTACAGGTTTACTTCAAAATGGTGTCATGGTTAATTTAGACTCTGGAAAAGATACCTTTTTAAAGGTAGACCGAAATGAAAGTCCATACGGTCTTGGTAGTTCTGATGACAATAAGCTTGTGCCCTGGGTGAGTGTTGCCTCAAACGACTTAAAGCATGGCAGCAAGTTGTTTGTTAAGGAATTGAAAGGCGTCAAACTACCTGATGGTAAAGTCCATAATGGCTGTGTCCGTGTAGACGATGAAGGATGGAGTTTCAGTGGATGTCAGATCGATTTTTTTGTACTTCAATATTCAGCCTACGAGAAATTGCAAGACTTAATTCCTGAGCATGTTACTGTCACACAAGATTCCAATTGCAAAATTCTCGATTATGTAACTTCTGCTGTAAAGAAATGGGCAGTCATTTAATAAATAATACAAAGGGGATATTTTGTTTCTTTTTTTTTCCTAAAAAAATAATAATAAATAAAACTGTATGTGTATAACTGAGAATGAAATTGTGCAAGAAAGAGCGAGAGCGAGCGAGAGAGAGAGAGAGAGAATGTGTGTGTGTGTGTGTGTGGGAGGAAGAAGAGATAGATAAAAGAGTGAGATATATACAATATTATGAGGGGAGTCTGTTGAGAGAATAGGGTGTGTGTTTATGAGAAAGTATCATCTTCATCGTACACAACTTCAGATAACGGTGACGGAGGTATATAATTCAGGTCTTGAGGATCGTCTTGCATTTGATAAATGGGACTGTTCGGATTAATAGTTGGTACTGTTTTTGTTGGGAATGGCGAACAGGGTCTTGAGGTTTTCTTTACTGATGAAGGTGAAGTGGATTTCTTTATCTTTTTTGATTTTTTATTGGGTTGTGCCTTTTTCTTTTTAATTTTGCGGTTGGGCCATTCCTGCTTAAAAATTGTAAAATGACGTTCACAACGTGGGCAGCGTTTAGGTCTCCAATCGGTGAATATAGCACTGGGACTCCAAGTCCATGTTGCCAATTCATTAGTTATAGACATGTCTGCCCCCACCTGCTCTGATATATCTTGCTTTTTTAAAGGCCTTGAGCAAGCAATACAGGTTAAATCTTGATTGGTGGTAATTTGTGTTGGTTTCTTCTTGATTGGCTTTACGGGTACTTCATCCTCTTCGTCACTTGACCATGCCGAGCTACTGACTGAGGAAAGATCAGACACGTCGTCAAAGAAGTCATCCAGAAATCTGTCTTCATCCTCTTGTTTACTGAATAGTCCATCATCCATCTCCCGTCGCCAGCAATGATCTTCTTTTTTTTCGAGAAATCTGGGTGATAAGCTTACAGCAGAATCAGCTTTTGATTCATTAGATTCACTTGGCGGTGGTGATGATGCGTGTTGTTTCTTCTTTTGCAGTTGCTGTTGCTGGTACAAAACTCGATGTGTTGCATCACGATGAATTTCGGGGTTAACAACGACTGTTACTGCTCCCTGTTGTTTTTTGGGAGCAACGTGGTTGTTTTCTTCTAAATATTCAACATCCATGACAGCATCCACTAATAAATCCAGTAAAGGACAGTCCGATATTCTACGTTCTGGTTCAGCCACAGGCTCACGATCACTTCCACATAAAAACCCAATCGTCATTACTTTTAAACGAGACGTTCTTTCTGTGGTTGGTGACACAGGTTCAGTTGTCTCTGGGGATGCTATTGGTGATAGTGATCTTGATGGTGGTATTGGTAAAGGTGGAGGGGCCGCTGCCTCTGCTTGTGGTGGTGATACTTGTGGTGGTGCTGTTACCTGTGGTAGTGGTGGCGGTAGTGGTGGTAATGTAGGGATGGTGGGTTCGTCTTTGATAGCGACGGGGGATCCGATTAATTCCTCTAGTGAGTCAGTCGGTTCAATAGAAGGCCTTTTTGATCGACGAGGTGAAGTGGATTGAGTGTAATCTATAGGATAGGATATAGAGTGAGTAAAAGATAAGAATAATAAAAAGATTACAAACCTTCGTGTAAGGCCGGTTTCCTTTTCCGCGTACTACGTCTGGTTCCACATGAATCATCTTCCTTAATATCAGTAATTTCTGTGGGTGTTTCAAGTGTCGCGAAATAACCCATACTTTGTCTAAATAGACAATTTAGTTTTATGAACATTCACACTGACAAAAAATACCTTACTTTTCACACGTAATACATCGACATTCTCCGTTATTTTCACCAAAGTAATGTTTCCCGTAATATACAGTGATCTCTTGACCAAATTTAATTTCTTTTACTACTTTGAAAGTGATTGAATTCTGACCAAGTGATATAAACTACGACAATAAAAATAAAAAAATTCTCATCCAGTTAAAAAATTTTCACCCAAATATATTCGTGTGTGTGTGTGTGTGTGTGTGTGTGTGTAATTTTACCTTGCAATTGGAATCACAATCATGGTTTGCAAAACGAGCAGGACCCAAGAACAGGCAACTGCAGTTTTTACGAGTGGACCACATGACACTAAAATCGCGATTCCCTTTCTTTAATTCGGCATCGTCTTTTGGATCCAAACAAGCTATCATGCCGGTTAATAACCGCATTTCATCACCAACATGCCAATCTTTGGTTGCGACTAAACATGCTTCCACTCTTCTCCCATTACCACCATACCTTCTTGTGTCTCCCACCTCATAACCTGCATTAGGCATGTACCTGATCACAAAAAGAATATATATTTGTACATCTAAAACAACAATATAAATCTCCCCACTTACATGTATAAATATCGCTTCATATGTTGAATGAATTCTTGTACTTGTTTGGGATTCTTGACAGCAAGATAATGTTTAAAATAATCCATACTTGAATGCTTGTTAATTTATTTATTTATTTTTAAATTTTTTTTTTCGCAGTATGTTTCACATACCTTAATAGTTCATTCACTGCATCCATGGGTCTTGCGTTTTCCAAAATGTTTCTTTGGATGATGTCCAGTATCTTGTTATTAGGCACTCTTGGTTTCCGGTGATCATTGTTCATTTTGATTGTGTTGAACCAAAGAAACAGGTTATCCAAAAATATGTCTGTGAATAGATCATCATATCTAGACAGCACCTTAAAGTCCATCAAATTATTTTGTTGCTGCATTCTTGTTATCTTTTGCTCTATAACGACAGTATATAACTGTCCATACAATTATCAGAAAGAGAGAAAAAGGAGGGATCCAAGAAAGAAGAAGAAAAAAAAAAGATATAGTGGCGATTGAAAAAGAAAAAAGAAAAAAAAAAAGGCAGCCAATAACATGACGACGAATGATGTCATTCTTCTCACCTATTTTGTGAGCAAACAGCTGACCCAAAGAATATTTATGTGTATCATAATTTTTTCTTTCTTTGCCTTTCCCTCCTCCTTCTTCTTCTTCTTTAAATAGTTGGAATAATGACAAGGACCGAAGATACACCTAAAGGGTCTATGCTTCAGGTTGATTCACCTGAGCCGACCTTACTTAAAGTGGAAACATTTGATCCTGGGTAAAATATATATATAAAAAAAAAACTTAAAAATCTGGTAACTTTTTTGGTATTCACACATCTTTTTAATGCAGACGAGATTATCAAACTCAGTCGTGGAAAAATGGCCTTGGGAAAACTTCAGAAATATCCATCTATCCTTCCGGCAGAGACTACAGACAAGACGCTTTTTTCTGGAGACTATCCGAAAACGAAATAGATGCAGATTTCAACTTTCCCATATTGTTGGGTTATGAATGGTAAATATAACCCATCATCTTCTATTTGTTTCTTTTCAAATAACTTTACGAAACAGTACAAATATTATTTTACCAAACACGAACTCTCGTAAATCCACAATACATCTAAACCATCGCGGTGAAGAAGCCTCAACAACCATCAAGCCCTTATTCCCTTATTCTTGGAACTCTGAATGGTAATCCAGACAAAAAAAAAAAAAAAAAATGACTATACTCACTATTAATCACATTTTTATATCATCAAGGGTTACCACCTGTAAGGTTACCAATGCTCCTGTTACAAGTCTTCAATTCCTAATCAAACGTGATCTGGGAGTGGCCCAATTTTCAATTGACAAAGTTTCCAGTGAAAGTGCTAAACTTATTCTTGGTGCCTTTGCACTTGTTTATATTGTCGAAGGTAACGTACGTATCAGTTTAGATGAGAATAACCCGCAGAGCTACAATGGTGTCCTGACTGCTGGCCAAACCTTATATGTTGAACGAGATGAAGATGCTAGTCCTACAACCATGTTGATACAAGCCTCGGATCCGACAGGAACTGTTGGTAAACGAGATATTGGTAAGTGCTTTGTTTATATATTTTCATAAAACTGATAAGAGAACGATAGAGGATGCAACCATTGTGACTATACAGATCACCGAGGTTAAACCAAAAGGCGCCCCTTCCATCACTCTATCTGATTATTTTGCGTTACAAACAGCCCCGTTTTCAACGGCAAATACACCTTCTGTTGCAACGCCGGGAGGTCTTGTCACAACTCACATTGAAGACGAATCAAGCCGTCGTCGGGAGCCTAGACGTAAGGGGTCACTTGTTGCATACGATGACAATCTTCCTCAGCACCACGAAAAAACAGAGCCTCGTGAAAAAATTGAATCAACCACCAATCAAATTTACGAACCTCCAACATTTGATTTTTTGAATCTGGATACAGACGTCCCTCCGCCAGTGGTGCGTGATCGTTTAGTGGTTGAGGATTTCCCGAGACATAGCATAAGTACAGCATGGATAAAGATGGTCAAACAAGGCTTAAGCGAGTGGCTAAGAATGCCTGTAATTGTATGTCGAGGAACTGAAGACGGGCCAGTCGTTGGTATTACGGCCGCAGTTCACGGCAACGAGTTGAACGGAGTCCCTTGTATTCATAGGTACGAAGAAAAATATATAGAAAAAAAAAAAAGTAATAAGACTATAAATAGAGTCGTATCTCAAATAGATGTAAACAAACTACACGGAACGGTGGTTGCGGTTCCTTGTGTCAATGTTTCAGGTTATCTCAAATTTATGAGAGAATTTGCTGATGGCAGAGACCTAAATAGATATTTTCCTGGTCGAGAAGATGGGTTTGCATCACAGGTCTATTGCTATCAGTTGATGAATAAAGTGATTTCACAGTTCAACTATCTGATTGATTTACATACAGCAAGTTTTGGAAGGGTCAATTCTTATTATGTTCGAGCAGATATGGTAACAAATAAGAATATTGCTGTATGACGCGGGTATTTTAACACCAATTCTTGTAGAATGACCCAGTTTCGGCCACAATGGCTCGTTTACAACAACCTCAAATTGTCTTACATAATTCGGGCCAAGACGGTACTCTTCGCTCTGCTGCTTCTGCAAGGGGTATTCGAGCTATTACAGTTGAAATTGGCAATCCTCAGCTATTCCAAAGCCAATATGTTCAAGTAAGTTTTTTTCCTGCCTCTTAATAGTTTCACTGTACTAAAAAAATGATTAGTGGTCTTATATCGGCGTTATGCGTATTTTGGAACATTTAGAAATGTATACGTTGGATACATCCGGCGAACTCGGAGGACCTCCTAGTACAATTCTCTGCTCCAAGGGTTTCTGGATTTACACCAAAACCGGCGGCGTTCTAGAGGTTTATCCTGGTGTCAATACAATAATCAAAAAAGGTGATCTGATCGCTCGTATTAAGAATATTTTCGGCAACGTAGTGGATGAGTACTATGCTCCTTGCAGTGGCATTGTAAGTAAAATAAATGTACTGTTACCATAGAAAATAATTAATATATTGTTTTGCAGGTAATTGGTCAAAGCTCAAATCCTGTAGCTATGTCAGGCGATAGAATTGTACACTTGGGTGTAATTAAAAAGAAGAGTGAGAGCCTACCAAAAGAGGCAAAGGAGAATTATTAGGATTTAGAGTCCGAAATGAATAAAGAAAAAAATTTATTAAAAAGAGGGGTGGTTGGGGGAATATGAAGATGATGCAAAAGGATGAAAATTAATTAATAGTAGAGTTGAATGTATGAGGAGAGTATGCGTAAGCAGCCATGGATGGTTTATCAAAAGATTCAGACCGCAGATCAATGGATATTAACTGCTCATTTGAATGATGAAATGATGATGAAGCGGATGTAGTAGTGGTGGTAGTAGTGTTGCCATCGTCAAGTGATGGCATCGGCGAAAGATCAATGTGCTTCTTTCGTGTTTGATCACGCTTTTCTATTAATATTCTTGCTTCAGAGTCATAATCACGAGTTGGATCAATAGGCTCAGGTTCATCGTAAATGATGCCGATTTCTTCAAAAAATAGCTGAATACCATCCATATTACGGATATGATTATCGCTATCAATTATACATTCTTCTGGATTCAGTGGTAAGATGGTGGGTAAGTTTTCTTGACATTCACTATCATCTATCCAGTTATAGTAGATTTCTTCTTCTTCGTGATTATAGTCATCATCATATTGATAATCGTCTTCTTCTGATGTTAAGCAAATAAACCCAGGGATGTAATTCACGTCGTCTTCAAAGTTGTTATTTAGGCTGTAGTCGTTCATTGTTGGTATATGTATGTTATATAAAGATTAAAAATTCAGTAGCTAAAAAAACTAAAAAGCCAAGGTATTTATATTAAAAAAATTTTAAACAAATTGCAAAGAAGGGTTTCGATAATATTCAATTTCAGATCGGGCGTTGTAGGAAGGATTTTATAATTAGCTTGGGATGACCATAGCAATCAAATCTTGTCCAATCGTGTCACTTTTTGATTCTTTGATTGACTCTTTTTGTAGTTTTTTTTCTAAATAAGCAAATAAATAAACCTTCTTGGAAATCCAGACAATCTTAATATTGCTGCATTTGTCATTTGTTGTTCTACTGTGATTAACTCCACCGCGGTCTAGCGTACTAAATTGGATTCCGCTTACACACATTTAGTAACTGAACCGAGCTCCATTTCCTCCGTCACACCCTCATATTATTTGACACTCACTGCACATACACATTGCTATGTAATCGGTTCATCTCGGACTATTTCTCTCCCCGCCATTACCAGAAACTTGAAAGATTGGTGGCTGCAAATGAATTAATCAAGAAAAACGCACTTCGATGTACTGCACCTTCCCTATCGCACAGTATGGCTTAGTTAGTTTTTTTTTATGTGAAAAACATGGTTAGTTAAAATTTCATTTAAATTATCGGATGTTGTTCATCACCGCATGTTTAGGATGGAATATCCTAAATAGGAATATGTTTACGTAAAGAAAAAAAAAGGGTCTTTCTAAACTAGTCCAAAAAGAGTATACGCTACTTCTTTTCATGCGAAAAATTTGCATGTTCCAAATGGAAGGCTCAACATGTTCTCTTAAGACCCCACGTTTCTTGGATTTAGGTGAATTAAGAAGTTTTAGATATTTACAGTGTCTGTTTAGGCTTTGTTCCGGCTTCATTTAATGACGAATGAGGAAACCGTAATCTTGTCTACAGTATTGATCGAGCCTTTAAGTAGATATACGAAATGAAGGATACAATGATGTTTTAGACTTCCAGTAACTGAACGTATTTCTTTGATTTCCAGAATTTTCACTGAAAATTTACTGCGCCATAGTTTTCCCCGTCTTCCATTTTCATGATTCTCAACACAAATAATGCACACGACAATTGTTGAGTGAGAGTTTAACCCTTTTGGTCACCATCGTGTAACGAACTAACCATAGAAACAGAAACACCACTTTATCCAACCAAATTCAGATATATCTATTTGTCGAGGATCATAGGCGTAATAATAAAATAATTGTTACAACACAATAAGGATAAATAAAAAATTCATAAATCAGACGTGATACCCCACTTGTTCTCATCATAGCACAGAAGGTAAAACCTTGTGGCAAGCAATAATTCTGCTTGTATATAAAGCACTGAAATCTGATAGGCCGGTCCTATGACATATTAATAGTTTACGAGCATAAAATCTGTACTCTTGTCATTTGATATGCTAATAGTTGTTGATCGCTCTGATTAATATTTGTATGTATGCTCGGTGTGAAAGGGTTGAATTTAAGATCTGTTTACTATTTATTATCACTTGGTTATTACATCATAGAACAATACTGTGTTGTATATTCTCCCTAAAACAATTTTCATCTAAATATCCAAAGATTTTATTCATAGACCCTCAGAACGCTTTTTAGTATCAAAGTTGAAACAGTATCACTTTTGGTTTTTTACTTTAAATTTTTGTCTTAAACATTGTGGGTGATTAATTCAACAAATATATCATCCAGCACTTATTTATCTGTTTACATACCGTTCTGACATAAATCAGCTCTTGTTCATCAGTCTATAAATATAACTCGTTCACACACACTTGTTTTCTTCCCTTTTTCTTTTCGGTATTTTTATATAATCATGTATGTACAACACTATCTTTTTGAGGGAGAGTAATGCATACTATAAAAATTTTAGTCAATAAAGGTTTTTAATTTGACAAGAAATGCTAAAACGTTAACTCTTTCTTTTTCTTTTCAAAAAAAAAAAAAAAAAAAAAAAAAAAAAAAAAAAAAAAAAAAAAAACTACAATTTTTGCGTTGAAAGAAAAAGAAACTCTCTCCTATCAAATCAAGAATACAAGCAAGAGAGATCAGATATTAATAGCCCTCTGGATGGATTAGCTACCCTAAAATAGTAAGTAGTCAAGACTAATATTGGCTACATGATGGAGGCTTTCCCGTCACTTCTACGCCTCTATTTTACGGTCTCAACCATGTTGGAGCAGAAAATAGAGTGGGTCGTCATTTGCAACCTGCAATACTCAAAAGAAAGGCCACGTGACTCTAGAAATGCCGCAGAAAAAACCAAAAAAAGACGTTGGTGTAGATAGAAAACAAATGCGGATAGGCATTTGCTTGAACTGCAAATTGAATAAGACCGATACCAACGTATCAAAATTTTTCCCAATAAAAGAGTCATGCCGAAGAGAAAACCAATCTTAACTTCCGACAAAATTGCGTTTGGCGGTTTAAAAAGAACTTTGGAAGTAAAACTTCTGTCTGTTGGTTTTGAAACGGAGCTTAATGGATGGGAGTCAAAGTGTATCGCTTTCCAGAAACGTTATTGTGGATTTTAGCAACAAATTTCAGCTTAAAGCAATCCGTATAAAACTATTCCAGTTGAATAACGGATTTAAGTTAAAATTCAAAGATGTAGAGCGCAACATTAAATAGTTGCATAATGGTATTGTAAAAGATAATATGAACAGCATGTCATATTATTTAAACGCATGTTCCAGCAATATACATATTTTTAAAAATAATCCTTTTCTATCTACCAGTTCATCCTTTCAGTATGAAAATTAGCTGCACATTGAAATGTGATTAAAAGAAAAGGATGGAAATAGATTCAATGCCAAAATTTCTAGCCCAAACAAAATTAAACACAATTTAATGTAAAAGTTTCTTTCGTCGACAATAAATAAAAGCATTTCTAAATTATTAAAATTGTAATTTTGTTAAGGGTGTCTCGATCTAGCATCAAAAACATGGTTAATTATGGAGGGTGTATTGTGTTTAATCCATACTAGATTTCGCCGATCAAAATACCAAAAGTGTTTTAAGATCTAAGCATGACTATCTGTAAAAATATCGGAATAGAATCTAAGTAAACAAAATTAGCAAATGTGACAGTTTCAAAAATGATGATCCATACTCGGATAAGGGTAGTTTAACGCGATGTCTATGAGCCATTTCTTCGATGTATTCCTTCCTAATCACATACGGTCTAGTGTATGTGTCTGTCACAACCCGACATGCTTGATGCGCTGAGATAGCTGTACTTCTTACCATAGACCCTAATGCATGACGACTTACTACTATGCCATCCACTAAAGGACCAAATATCTATTTAAATTAAGTGTTATCATCTCTTATTAGTTGTAATTTGAAGCGGACATACCAGGGCGTTCTCGTTGAGTCTTTGACTTGCCGCAATATTTGCCGGTGTAGTCCCTTGAGTGGGAACAAGAATTCTAACCCAATACAAACCGTCTGCACTATTTTTCAAAGGATTGATGAATAGAAAAACCATTGCCTTTGAGTTTGCAGAACTGGAGTTCTTGATTAGTTTTGCAATTGACTTGTAGTTGTCAAGATCCTCAATCCAAATAACACATACATGATCGTCCGACGAGATCTGTTGATGAATCTTTGAAATGGTATTTGCGTTACCCCAAGTAATATTGTTAGCAGGTGGTGATTTTAAAAAATAAGGAACATTAACAATAAATTCAACACTTCGATCGGAATAATAAGGGAGTGTTTCGCATATTGATGAGTCTAGTTTGCCTTTATATCCTTTGTGACTTTTAGTGTTCACCTGATAATCGATTAAATTAGTCGTGCCCTTAAAATTACATGTTATTTTATTTACTCACAGGCCAACCAACGCAGTTAATAAATTGCAGAAATTGATCACTTAAAGGCGGGGGATTTTCTATTAACTCAGACCAAGTAACATCCCCAGATTCAGTGAAATATGCTGATATTGATACGCAATCACGCCTAGACAAGATGTAAGTACCAGAGAAGCTTACACAGTCCAAATACTTACTCATTAAGCATGTCTAGAGTTTCCATTTCAGAAATAACAGAGTCAGTGATATGTAATGGCGTGATATGTTTTCTATTTTTCGGCAATAAAAATCCGATTTGCGACAAAAGCAATCTGAAGCCTCTAGGACTATCACTGTCAATGTTTGGTTTAGTTGAAGGTATGCTGTGTTTAATGTTGGTTCCATTCACTTGCATGCGTGATAGCTCCGACTCCTCTTCACGACTGGACAATACTTTAACTGTTTCCCATTGTTTCCATTCTTCGGATTGCGGAACAAATATGTTGTGTATAGTCGGCATTTCTTTTTCGTTTATAGCTATCGCAGTTGGTACTAACACTGAATGTCCAGGTTCAGTATTTTTGTCATTGTATTCACTGCTCGATGAGACTTTCAAAAGTCCAGATTTAGAAGCTAAAGTACTGACAGGTGAATCCAAAGGGGTTGATGACAATGACGGAGGAAGATCAGAATCCTTATATCGAGTTTCCATTGACCAGACATACTTTCCAGTTGTATCTCTTATGACAGCAATAAGTGAAGGTACATTTTCTGGGCTACCTGGTGTAGGGGTTTGATCTGTAACATCGATAACAGCCAGAAGCGTTTTCCGATCAATTAAAAAATACCGAATCGATGAGTTGCTATCCAAATTACTATCTTGCGTTTGTAAATGCCTAAACTCTTTAAGTTGCAGAACATCATCCACTGTAGCTGACCTGCAATTTCCTAATGTATCTGTATTTGGAAGGGTGAATCGACCCAACTGGTTCACAAATTGAGACATGCAATATTCTGCTGCCATTCTGACTGCCATTTCTTCTTTTTTATGAACAGTGGAATTAGTACGAGGAGTAGGCACAGGTGCTACTAAGTTATTCACGGCATCAGCTTGATGATGGTTGTTATGCTTATTCACGCGAGGGGGCAGTTGAAATAATTGTTTTGTCGGCGGGAAAGCTGTATCCCGTCTTTTTTTTTTCTCGACATTTATAGGCTCAGCTGGAGTGGCCGCTACTGCAGGTTCTCGATCAAAAATTGTGATTCCCTTACTAAGTGTAGCGATAACAGCTTTATAACAGTCGCAATCATCTATTATCCACTGACTGACAAGGATCCACTTCATCATGCAATCGTAAGCTTGTACGATTAAAGGATACGTTTGAACTAGCTTGCCTTGACTAATTAATGTATCGACGTAGCGACTGAGAGCCAGTACAAGTTCCCTTGCTACATTCTAGATTAACTTTTTTTTAATACAACATGTATGGGGGTTTACCATTGGAGAGGAAATAAGCATATATGCCATATACCTTACTGTCCCGCTTTACAAAATCATAAAGGTCTACAAAATCCATCAACACATCAAAAGCTACAAGAGTAACATCAGCAGGCAGCTGCATAGTTAAGATCTACAAAATAAAAGTAAATTCAACAAAAGACTTTACGCGAAACATTTAGTCTAACCTTATCCTGGATCAGTTTTACAACAGTCCCTACTAAACCGGGGCAAAAAGGTACATCTTCAATAACATACACATTTATAAGATGGAGAATATATCTCATATTATACGATGATGTTTCAGTACGCAATGACATTAAAAGAACCTCGAGTATATAAAACTTGAGCTAGTACAACGTATCAGCTAACGTAATCTCTATATTTGGGGCAACTTACAGATAAGAACGGATGATCGGAATCACCTTCTACAGGCTCAGCATAAAGGACACGAATCTACAGTAGTAATTATATTGATAAACTTGTTACTATTCGATAACTGGGGACTTACTAATTGAGTGACCAGCTGCTCTTGCTCTCCTACTAGTGATACATTTTCAGACGAAACATTTTGTTCAAAATCCCAACCTAGTTTGAGCTCTACTCGGTCGAAATGATTCGGTAGACACATTATTGTGCTTAATACCTTAATAGCAGCTAGTCTTAGGTTATCAATAGAAACATTTGTTTTACAATCAAAGCGCATTTTAGGTAAAACCATCCTAATAGCCGAAATAAAATCCGGAACCAGCATACGAACACCTTCCAAATCGGTGGCAAATAGTTCTGTACATGATAGTAATATTGTGGGAAGACATGACTCTGATTTTAATCCAACTGTGAGCGCAGCGTAAAACCTTTCGACATATGTACGCAAAAACGGCTGTCTTCTTTGAGGTTTCGAAAAAATTTTACATAAGGTAGCTAATGATTCGGCACATCCACACTGTGATTCCTGATCAGCGTTAGCGGATTGGGATGCTGCATCAAATAGATAAGTACTAAACATATGCAAGATTGTGTTCCCGTCTGGATATTCTGTGGGATTAATCTCAGGTTGAATATTTTCCGTCGCATTTAAAGTATCTATGAGGTTTCCAACACCAAGCATAGCTAATGAAAAATTACTTGGTGGTAATTGCAATGGATGAGGTATCAGGTAGATGACTCGATGCCAGGCGTAATAAACAAACTCCGAAGGCAAATCCAATTTAACGTTAGGTCCATTCACATATACCCCGTCTGTTCCTTGTCGATCTCCATACATTAGGTTTTGTATTCTTTTTGTCAATGCTAACGAAGTAGAATTCCACTGTTGGATTGCTTTGGATCGATGTGTCCAGCGAGTAAAACAGGTCTGTATTGATACAAATTAATATACTCCCCTAAACTAGGATCCACACATGTGATTTACCTTTAGAATATCCCACATTTCGACGTCCATTGTTGTTGACTTTAACCATAGCTCAAATAAGACCTGGCTCAATCAAACTATTAGTTTTTTTTTTTTATAAAATAAAATAAAAATGTACCTGCAATAAACTGTCGCATAGTTCATCAGCCATGTTCATAACGCCTAAATTCGACGATTCTCCAGTTGGCTCCTTCAATAAATAATCAGTGACGCCTAGCATAACTTTCAACAAAACAGCCCAAGTCTCTGTTGAAAGTACTAAAGTTCGCCCAGCCATTGCGAGGACTTTGAGTGCCTTTTTACATAATTCAATGTGACGTTGCACTAACTGAGAGAGTGTCTCCTTTAATGCAGTTGTTTGTAAATTGTTGCCACTGTTATTATGGCTGCTGCTTGCATTATTATTGCCAGTAATTGGTGTAGCTGAATTAAATGTAAGAGGCACAATGTGATTATGTGCGCTTACAGGTATGTTTATATGGAAAGATGCGTTGTTTCTAATGTTGTTGTTTGCTGTTGAGGTAGAATTAGATTGACCGAGCCCAGATGAGCTTAAAGGGACACTTGATACAGCAGGTGTAGTTGGAGTGGAGGTGTTTCGAGCGATGCGAGGTTGAAAAAGTAATGAAAATTGATGAAAAATAATTTGGTAAAACTCTTGCTCTAAACCTTCTTTAGTCACCGAAGCAGGTCTAGTATTTTGTTCGAATAACCATCTAGCATATATCGATGTCATCGTTTGTCGTAGCCATGTCTTCTAAAGGTAAATTGAATCCTTGTCCAATGACTTCCATGAACCATTTTACATGGGCAGGTGAGGCGAATATACTTGAGTCAGGTGGTTGTTTTCCTGAAGCTGGATGAAGATATCCTGTAATCTCTGAAATTAATACTCTTCTAATAGATAAAGGAAGAGAACCAAGAATATTTGTTTCTAAAATAAAAATATTAAAAAGAATTGAGTTAAAGTTACACCTGGCTATTCAACTATTTACGTGAGTCATGCTGCAGTAATCGAAGTTGAGCTATCCAATCTAAAAACATCAGATATTTCTACAATATTGTAAAAAAAAAAAAGCGTTTTTTCAATAAAGAAGAGCAGAAATTTGATTTATGCGTTTCCCTCAGGCCAATACGAGATTGACCACGTCACGTGGGACATATCGAAAGGGAGAATACCAATGTAAAAGATCGAACATGTACTAATCTCTTAAACTATCTATCAGGGGGTTTATTTTACTTGTGTAATATATACTACTTTTTGTTGTTATTGTAGGCTTTCGGTACTGACTAACTGATTATGAAGTCTAAAGTAAGTGGATTGATTATCCATCAACTCAAAATGTGTCCCTAAATATATTATATAAGTACAAAAAGATTCAAGCGAGACTTTTGAATTTGTTACCTTTCTCAAGAATATTTCCAGGAGTTTTACCCATAACAACAATCATGTCTGCTTTTCTGATAGTAGACAGTCTATGTGCAATGACAAGAACTGTTCTTCCGTACATTAATTTATCAAGCGCATCCTGTACCATTTTTTCGCTTTGAGCTATAAAAAAACAGTGTGTCAAACTTTTTTTTTCTTATTTCCAAATATGTACTTACTATCTAAGGCAGACGTGGCCTCATCCAATATAAGAATCTGGAAATAGCATTCTTAATGTCAGCATATTGATAGATACAAATATAATAAAATACATTACCTTAGGATTTTTTAAGATGGCACGAGCAATAGCAATTCGCTGCTTTTGACCACCAGAGAGTGCAGCACCACGTTCACCGACAATTGTATCATAGCCATCTGGGAACCCTTCAATAAATATTTCGGCGTTTGCTTGCCTAGCTGCCTCTTTAACTTCTTCCATAGTGGCTTCAGGACGTCCATAACGAATGTTTTCTAAAATAGATGTAGCGAATAAAACTGGTTCTTGATTGATGAAACCAATATGATGTCTAAGCCAAGAAGGGTCTAAAGTTTTTAAATCTTGGCCATCAAGAAGAATACTACCATCAGATGGTTCATAGAAACGTTCCAAAAGAGATGCGATTGTGGATTTTCCGGAACCAGAGGGACCGCATAAAGCAACCGTACTGCCCTGAGGCACAACAAGATTAAATTTATCCAACACAATTTGATCAGGACGAGTAGGATAGCTGAATTCGATATCCTTAAAAACAACATCACCTTGAACATTCTTTAGAATTAATCCGCCTCTTAAAGGTACATCAGGATGTAAATGGATGAATTCAAAAACGCGATTGGCAGAAGCTGCAGCTTTAATTGACTGTCCAAACAAAACACCGAGCGAAACTAAAGAGTGTTGTGCAGTTTGGGTAGAAAGCATATATGACATAAGATCTCCACTTGTAAGTTCATTTTTTACTACGAGTGAGCCACCATAATAAAGAACAGTTAACACCATACATCCAACAGAGATATTAGTCAGACCTTGGAAGAGTCCAACATGAAGTCCCATATTTTGATTCGAAACTGCAACTTGGTCACATGCTTCTCTGTAAAGCTCCATTTCACGGTCTTCTGAAGCAAAAGCTCTTACAGTCCGAATATTAGAGATTACTTCACCGGCTACGCCGCCAGAGTAACCATCCAATTGCTTATTATGCTTGCTTAATTTTCTTAAATACGCTCCGTATAAATTCAAAAGAACGTATAGAATGGGCATTGTGCCAAGCATGGTTAAAGTCAAAGAAGTTGAGATCTTAAATAGCTGAATTGAAGACCCAACAGTTTGTGCTACTGATTTGAGACCTTGCGTAACAAGTTGTTTAAATGTGCTCTAAATGGGCGTTATTTATCGTATGAAGGTATCGCTATTATATACTTACTTTGAATTCAGCCACGTCAGCTGTGAGACGACTAACAAGTTCACCACTGCGGTGACAATCAAAGAAAGAAATATCCTGTCTAATAATAGCATTGAATAATTTTGCACGAAGCCTCTTTGCGACATTTTCACCGAAAGTAGAAACGAGAGAAATGTGAGCAAAGGTCAAAAATCCTTGAGCCGTTAAAAGTCCAAATAACTTTAAAGCAGGCCCATTTAAATCACGAATTGCTAAAGCCCCTAATCCATCAGCAGCAGCATTAACACTCATCGACAATACATTAATTAGCTGTCCCGTTACCAGTGGTGTTTGAAGTTGAACAATAGCTGCACCAATAGCTGTCAAAATAATAAATCCAAGCAAAAACATGTCAGGTTTCACTAAATCCCAGATATCACTGGCGATCGTCGTTGGTTTTTCAACAGGTAGTATCTTGTTTAGTACTGTCTTTTTTGTTACTGCTTCTTGAACGATAAAGCTTTGTTGTGGAGTTTGAAACTCGCAATAAACTGTCTTCATTTTAAAAAGCTCAAAGGAGTGTGCAAATTTAAGTCCTGCTGCCAATGAAAATATGGGTAAGCCATTAGCTTTTAAGGATTTCATAGTTCCAAGAATCGTTACTGATTTCAATTTAAAATTGGATTGCTTTGAAGTACTGCGACAACATTAGGTTAAAAATAGATGAAATGGTCACTGGATGTTTACCTCAATTTCGTGATGAGTTGCTCAGTTGACAATGTAGAAACTTTCCTCATGTTTGGTGACCGAAATACAGCAGAGACCTATATTCGTATGTATTAAGGCGTGATTCAAACTAGGTATATTATCATAATTTTACCACATTGCTACAAGGCCGAAGCGCAATTCTAGCTAACAGCAAGGGCATAAATATTTATGGTCGTGGTGCAAAAAGTAAATTAAAATGAGAAGCTGGGATAAGATAGCTGGGGGTTACTCAGACCTTTGGATCCCGCATTGGATATTTACAGTTTCCGTACTTATAAAATCAGTTTTCAGACTAAGTTAAGAAAGGATGTTTTTATTTTACCTGCAGGTATATTTAAGTTATCACCTATAAAGGTACAAGAACTACATCTGGGGTGCTGCTTTGTCGTTGAAACACATTTGGTCGACTGTTGTCGTTCCAAACGGAGGTAGCCATAGAGTCTAAAGGACACCACTTTAATACCTGATGGATTCTGTGACCACCACACTTTAGATTATCTAAGAAAACCAGCCATTCCAGACTCGGTTAATATTGTAGTAATTAGGGCCAGAGAGATGTGCCAGCACGGTAAAAAAGTGAAACAGTTTCTTCCTACCTATCAAGATCTATTATAAGTGGCCTAAATATATGTTCAATCTCTTCACTATTGAAGTTATTTAGCGTAAGAGTGACTTTATCCTAAAATGAACCAATGGTTTTTTTTCCCTCAAAAAGAAGACTCTACGCGTATAATTATTTCGGCATAAAAACTGCTTGTCGTGTTCTTGCAATGGTAGTATTTCTGTCAGCCTTTTAATGCTGAAAATAAACAAGTTGCATATGAAGTAAGAAACAAATAAAATATTGCAGGCTTACCTCTTCATTTGATGTTGAAGCATACAAAGAAATATCTTTGTGTAAAATGAAGTTGCATCTCTCCCTGTTCTTGGCGGATTCGCTTTTCCAAAATCTCTTGTAGGTTTCGATTATAAATTTTAATGAATCGCTATTGTAAGCTTGGATTTGGAAAGAAACTAAACAGCCTTGGTGACTGAAGCCTTTTATTTTTATCTTTATGCTTAGCTTCTCATTCTTTGAAGACATTTTTTTCTTTTCGGATCTTTTCTGTGACTTATTTGAACGTGTAATAATTGCGAATAAAAAGGGAAATTAAAATGGAATACAAAGCAACTTTTATTGTAAATTGGTCCTTTTTATATTCAAAATTTCTTCTGGGCAGATCCAATTAACAGCTTACCCAGAAACTGGAAAATCAGTTACATATGAAACATGGCTTATTGTTATATGAACTCATATCCGGCACTTCTAGGTGCTATAAATATTCAATAAACAACAGAATCATCATCAAAAAAAAAAAAAAACCAATCACGTACCTTTTAGACAAAGAGATAATCAAGCGTGTCCCAAAATACCTCGAACTGTAAAGAATTCTTTGGGATGTTGAGCCGTTTTGCGGACTTTGCTGTCAACACACCATCCTTTCACTCAAGCTCATACATATAACCACTGCTTCCTGAATACAAGCTTGTAAGTTCTACTGTCTTTTGATATTAGATATACTTCCTTATGAAATCAATCGCCATGATGTGGTCAAAAGTGATATTTGTTTTTTAGGATGTTGCGAAAAATTGAAGAATTTGATAGTATATTTTTAGTTTGTTGCTTCAGGTTTATGGCCTCAGAGACTTTCGTGCGCTTCCATTCATTAGCACACATTACAACCTTACCCTTATCGTATTCTGTGGTCATGATTAAGTTAATCTTTCTTCCGTGTCCAAAAGTTCTTCTTCGGATATGTATCCATTTTTTTTTTTTTTTGCCTAACTGGTTCTTCATGTTTGCAAATGCGACTAATGCTCAAGGGTGTCGAGCTCCGAATCAGTAGCTACAACTACCATTTAGAAACACAAAAGCAATTTGATGCACCGATGGATGGCAGCAACAACAGCTAGACTCATGTCTTGTTAAGAAAAAAAAAAGTCGAACAACCTAAATAAACGTCAAAGAACAGCTACATTCAAAGAGAGTGTTGCCATTAACCAAAGTTACAGCACATTGTTAAAAAAATACTTTCATCGCTTACTGATTTGTCAAGCAGATATCTGGAATGAATTTAGCAGCAGTAAGGTCGAAGAATATGACGGTAGTTTTTAACAAGTCGGGGGAAGCGAGTAGGGCGGACTAAGAGGATGAGAAAGAAGATACTTGTGCTGAAGAGAAGATCGAAACCAGTGCTGATCCTGCCAAAGCCAATGCAGAAACTAAAGCAGACATGTCAAAAAATCAATGTCAAGGATGAAGCTGCTGACACACTTTTTCAACTTTTAATGATTGGATTAAAGGATGTAAACGCTAGGAGTAAACCTGCTTTGTATAAGTTGCTCAAGTTATCTGAGAAGAATTCAATAAGGGACAGATTGCTAGTGTTATCCCGCTTACTGTAGAAATAATTTTTTTGGATGGAATTAATAGTATATCCTGTTACAGATTATATTTTGGGATGGGTTTTGCATATATGCAATAAGAAAAGTGAGTGAAGCATAAATTTTAGTTGAAATTATCACCAGCGGTGGCACTTATTCTGTAAAATAAAGCTTTCTCGCCTCGAGCAATGACAGAAATGTTTTGTTTGTCTTACTCAATCTAACCTGATCTAACAGTTGAGCTCGAATGAAGAAAAACATTCTTTCTCCTTCTTCTAGGAAATAAACAATATTACGTTCTTATGAAGGAGATGTGATCTGATTTGTTAATGCTTACCATGATATGTGATATACAATTCTGACTATTATATTCTTATTAAGCAATTCTTAATTGTGGGAACGGTCCTCGATAGTATCAAGTAAAATATTATGGCGAAAACGTCTACAAAGGCCTGCCACTTCTTTTCTATGCCTTGTACAGATATGTTCTTCACTTTGGCTGCTCTTACATATAATTGAGTATTGTTTTGTGTAAAATAATCATGAAATCATAAGATTATTCCTTATAAAGAAGAAAATATGCAAGGACTGTATCTTTCACAAGGCACCCTAAATTGTTCGTTTTCAAATATATCCGATATCTTTGGCTATATTTCTATCCATCCTAAACTTACTGGATAATGGTTTACCGTAGTAACTACCACAGCAAAAAAAATATGTCCGATATGTCGTATAATGGTATTTTGATGTCTTTTTGATGTCATTTTTGTCAAGCGACATAAAAAATAAGTCTCTTTTATGGAGGAGCACAAAAAATAATTTAATAAAATAGAAATTCTATGTCGGCCGCAAAAAGAACATGTGTGATATGAGAATTTGATGACCAGGGACATAAAAGTAATAGTAATATTATGATCGCTTTCAAAAGGACACAAAATATATGTCTCTCATACGTTCTTTACTTATATGTTTTTTTTTGAGGCTGTATAAAAAAAAATATTGATGGTATATATTGTTCAAATGATAATTAGAGCCAAAAATATGGAAATCTACTAAAGGCTTTAACTTTTGCAAGGTACTGTGCTATATGTATTACAACAGGTTAATCATAGTTAAGGCATACTGTATATTCGACGAATTATACAAAACTAGTGAAGGGCATCAAGAATAAACGATTGATCATATTTGAGTAGGCTTTGGATTAAAATTACAGAACAAGATACTTCTTTTTCGGGAATGATTCGATAATTGTACGCAACCTGATCTATTAGCCTCTCGGTAGTGTCCAAAGTTCGACATATTTTTATGTGATTATGTGAATCAGTTGTAAAAGGGATCTCTCTAACAAGGAATATCGTTGTCTCGTTAGATCTCCAAATGCTGTACACCACACCAACTTTTTTTTCAGTGGCCCCATCGAAAGTAACTATTCTTGAACTACCCGATTGATTTATATTTATCCTTAATTGTCGAGAATCTTGTAATCGTTTGTATCCTCCAAACAAAGTAACCAGCATATTCATATCAAAATCTTGGCCGTAATACTCAAAAGCAGCTCTTTTTTTATACGCGTTGTTCCCAATAATATCTTTTAGATTGCAGGTCTTCTGTTTTAAGTAGCATGATCCTGATTCAAATTTATCTTCCAGTTGAATGTTAGCTGTTTTAGTATATTTCGCCTGTATGTCCTCAGCCACAAAGTTATTGATGCATTCAGACGGCTTCGATGATGATCTGATTGAACTCTTTATCATTCCAATGCTCCTTTCTAAACACCTCGCGCTGGTATAACGCATGGGCCCTAACTCTCTGATCGTATCAGCGACATGATTTAGATAATGTTGATTGATAGTAAAAACATTGATGTTTTGAGAGAAATTAACTTTTAAAAAGTATTGCCATTCAATAATACAACTTGATAAATATTTAGTACTGTATATGTATCAAAGGCTAAAGATATGTACACGTACTTTTCTATCTCTTCAACGTCTAGATGTGAGATCGATTTTTTTAAGCATAAAAAGCAAGCTCTTGATATTCTACTTAACGCTTTTTTTATACTTAAGTTCTCTTCATTAAAACGTGTACCAGGGCGTTGCTTTTCATACATTTCTGGCAAGATGGTAGGCACAACATATAATAGAAATTGTATCCAGTCGACACCTCTGCTATATCCAGATTTACAAGATATATCTACACAATATCATTAATTATAATTTATACTTACTTATAAATATGCCATGTTCGCTTACCGATAAATTTGCCTGTCAGCATTTTTGACTCAGAGATCTGTAGCTTTGCCATATGCGAGCCTAATTCAACTCTAAATCGCTTCTGCAAGAACAAGATATTTTTCCTCCCGTATTTATAGTTGTTATTTTCAATTACTTGCCATATTTGCCTGGCAATATTATGACCAAAAAGATGTAGCTCGTCTATACTGTAAAACATTGGCCCATGGAATGACTTAAGAATGGTAAATGGCGACGGATTTTTGAGTCCTTCACGCTAAATATAATTTCCACAAATATTAAGTCACTTATTAATGCAATAACCAAGTATATCTTACATTGTTAGCCAGTTTGTATTCCTCGATGGTTCTTAGCGGTGGCATTTCAGACATATTTTGAGGCGGGGGAAAGAACATTCCTACTTTTTTCATAGTGCTCTGGTCTTCTGAGTCTTTTTGGTGACTGACCCCTTCCATAGGGCATATTCTACAGCCATATTTGCTAGTATGGGATGAGCTTAAGCATAATTCGGCCTGACCCGGAATGTCTCCAATACAATTTAAAACGTGAACGTTAATCTTGTAACTGGTATTTTCATTGATAATTATCATTCCCTTAGATTCTAAAACTAACAGTTCCTTAATTAAAGGAGTCAGATAGCTGAATATATCCGCCTTTTTTGGTCCAGGAGTCACACCCAAGATCAATAGATTTTCTTTTTTATATCTAAATGTGCACATATCAGTCTTTCAATAATTATAGCGGATAACTATACCGGGCTAGTAATACCTTATCTCTGGTGGAAAGTTATAAATAACTGCCATTATTAAAGTCATTGACCTTCCATTTCGTTTAAAGGGTGCAAACCCATCCACGCATAGACCAATAGCTATGTCATACGGATTTTGAAAGAGACTTGTTTTCAGACTTTTGTAAGCATTTCCATCAAATATATCTTGCAACTCCTCGTGTGATTCAGCGCGATTTGTACGGTATAATAATTGTCTTCTACGTTCATTGCACTTGAAAAGCATCGCAATCTGTTGGTGTAATGGAAACATTATTGTTTTACCTTCATGATGAACCCTGCATTTTGTGTTTTTACAAGAATCGATCCCATCTGTAAAAAGGGTGCAACCGTTTTCACATGTTCTATACCCCATTGGAACTATGGGACAAAGCTGCTTGATCAACTTTTTGCCTTGGTATTTAGACATAAGCAATCTGTTATCTACGTTGCATTAGTGGGAAGTCATAAATTTACAATATGGTTGGCCTTACAAAAAAAACTTACCAGGACTAAGCAATGTTATATACTCGTTCATTAACGTGCGCAAAATTTCTTCATCAGCATTGCTTATGTTTGAGGTTGCCAGTTGTTGTTTTATTTGAAGGTCCTTATTTTCCAGCACAGTTAGCTCTTCTTGATTTTTGTCATTTAAATTTATTTTGAAACATTCAGCAATACGAGATTTGTATCTAGTAAACAAAGCGAAATATTTATCGTATACATCGTTATCAAGGAAACCCGAAATATCATCTTCGTAGTTCATATTTTCGTCATCTTTATTAATTACATCGTCTACAAACTAATGGTATCAATAGTCTAAAAAAAGCATAAGTCACGAAGATATTACCTTCATTCAAATTTCCCGAATGGGAGACAGTATAATAGAAGTTGTCAGTAGTTGGCATATCCCAGATAGTATTATCAACATTTTCGTTTGTCTCAAGTAAGCTATCGCCAATGATATTAATCTCGTTCCGACTCATTTCGTTATTTAAATGGTTATGTATATCATGGACAGAGCTGTTGGTTTCATCTGTATTATTCGTGGTATCATCCACTTTAATACTTATTAGTATATTGATTATCTTTTTGTATGGCCCATGGTTTATACTTTTAATGCTCATATTGTTGTTACTCCCATCATAATTTGGATTATATTCATCGAAGGTGTCACTTGTGTTATCGTTTGAGTTATCATGTGAACCACATACTATAGAATCGGTCTGATTAATATACATATTATTCTCTATATGGTTGTCAAAGTGGCATGCAGTGTCTTCTTTAACATCCTACGTGTATGTCAGCACTGTCAGATCAATAAATTCTGGATTAGATTATAATTATTTTTAACCTTATTGTCTTCACCCAGGATAATCCTTCTTCTTCTTTTGGAATCATCTTCTTTTATATGAGCTTCATAGGCTCTTTTCCCTTTGATTGTAATTTTGCAATTTTCACAATATTTCATTTTTGGAGAAAAGCGTAATAAGCAGCTTGGTGCTGCAGAATAGAATTTATAGATGTGACTTGACATCTTGCAGATCAGGAATAAATTTTGTTCACACACCTTGTTTTAACTTTTTGTTTTTTTAAAACCTTTAACAGAAATGACTAAACACGACGAACTTGTTAACCTTATAACTAACTTAAAAGAACAGAATAGCCAAGTTTTACAACTAAACCGAGAGCTAAAAATCAAAGTGGAGGCACTTGAAGCAAAGGTGGACTCATTGGCTGGCGCAAATGATATTTTGAACGCAAGTCTTTCCGAGTGTATAAACAGAACATCGAACAGTAGCGATGACAATTGTGCAGGATTTGTACGTATACCTGAGCCATCCGAGTTGAACAAAAGGGAGGCAATAAGACAATTGATAAAAAAGTATGTAACTGATGACGAAGCTGTATACCATTTTATTTTAAAAGAATGTCGCCAAAACATTACGAGTATCAAGGCTAAATATCCAAATACTAACTGGGGGGAATTGAACGTAAACATAAAATATTCTTTAATAGCAAAAACCACTGGCATTATCGTCGAGACAAATGCAGAGTTAAACTTTCTGAAAAGCTGTCAACGCTTATGGCCTGTAAGATTCATTTGTCAACAGCACTGGAGCTCAAAATCAAGCAAGTTCAGACGCAACAACAAAAATAATAATAATAGTGCTGATGATAACAATACCACTCCTCCGAATGTTCCAAGTTTAGAAGAAGAGGTATGCTTATATTGATGTTTTTTTATAAATGTCATTGCTTACTATTTTTTTTATTTTTACAGCAGAATTAAGCAGATGCATGTAAGAATTTTTCTAATAAAAAGACTGGTCCTTCATTAGCTGGAGCATTTTTGGTTTATAAAATGAAAAAAAAAATGTGAATAAATGGGAGGGGCGATGGGAGGAGGGGAAATAGCGATACCATAAAATAAATCCAAAAAATATTACATAAATATAGGACATAAAAGTATCATAATTTACATGGAACTTACGTATACATAACTATATTGTAAAAAATATGGTAAAATAATGGTAATAAAAAGACATCAAAATTGACACTTTTTACCATATTTCTGAACATAAATTTATGTTCTCAAGGACATAATTTTTACAGAAAAAAGCCATATTTTTTTTTGCTGTGTACTATAAAAAAAAAAAAAATTCAAATGAAAATTTTTCTAGATCCCAGAGAGGCCTTTTTTTACCCTGAATTGCATGCAAATCTTGCAATCATTCAGAGCCAAAAGCGGGAAACCCGATCTACCACACTTTTATAGAACTCCTGCCTTTGTATCTAAATAATAAGTTCTTTCTGAATGCATTGTACCTCCATTTGGAGATAGTTTAGGCACAATTTTGGGGCTATTCAGGATTAAATTCATACTCATTTGGATGTTGGTCAGGTTGAATTTACTGCTGATTTTGATATAGTTCATGAAAATAATCAGTGCTCTTCAGGCATAAATTTACGTCACTTTTGCCTATGTTAAAGATCGTACATTCCCTGATATTGGTATTTCTCAGCTATTTGAGTTTCCATTCATTTGTTTTAATTTAATAAATGAAACCATGGTAATGATTCGATTTCTTATGATCAATAATGAAGCTTCGGGCCTTATTAGCTTGATATTTGCCTTATTCTTTACACGATGTTGCATTATTGGCTATTCTTTTGAAGATTAAATGACATTATTTTTTATTATTGGTTCATTATTAGCGCAAACAAGGGTATCAGTAATATAAAGCGTATCCGGCAGAATAAAAATATATGATTTATAGTCTAAAAAGCAAATTTATTTCATAGAAACAGCGTCGGCAATTATAGACTTGGCAGCAGAGTGGTCTATTTAAAGAATGAGTGAAGGCTTCATTTACATAAGTAGTTCAATAAGCTATACCTGAATTTTATAGCATGAAAGCCGTATATAGCGCGTAGCTGTATGTTAAAGAAAGCATGAGAATAATTTCTGTCAATAATTGAAAAGAAAGGTAGCACTCTTGTAAATAAACCAGGCTTGAGCTCATTCGGTAAATTAAAGCATTTTGATTAGGAATTGGGCGGCTTCCTTTACAATTGGAGATTAGAGACTCAACACGCTTCGCATTTCCAGAGTAACCCACATAGTAAAGACTTGACAGAATAGTAAGGTGAATGAACAATCTCGTTGCCTATAAAAAAAAAGGGGGAGAGGGAAATAGAAATCCGTCCAGACAACATAGAATGAGTGTTAAATTTTTTCGTTTACTTGAATAAGCTGGGACTAGTCTACATAACGCCTGGTTGTAAATTAGAGCAATGTCATTTGAATGTAAACATACAAAAATATATTTGAACTTACTTAATTCTAGAAATGACACCGAAAATTATAAAGAGAGGCGATGAAAAATAATAACAATAATTAAAAAAAAACTGGGACCTGAATAGAGTTCAAAATAAGAGATTGTTATGATGGAGTTTCCTTTATGAGTAAAAAAAGAGGTCCCAATGTCAAAATAAATAAAAATAGACAAAAAATAACTTTTTACCCCTTATTTTTTTTTTTAAAAAACAGTAACAATGTCAAATCAACAAACCCCCCAAAGCCAAGGGGTCAGGCGCTTACCTCCCGCCGTTAAAACTGGCACTACTAGACGTACACCAAGTAACGGTTTTACACCACCTAGTAAACCATCAATAGTGGATACCATGGCAGAAGAACTGGCTGATCTCCGCGAAAGATTGGATCTGCTTGAGAACCCTCCTGTTGCCGATAGAAATGGCCCAATTACAACTGGCACTGATACTGAGATGTCTGTAAGTAAATCTGACGTGCACAAAAAAAGAAATGTCAATAATCATATTAGACATAGGCTGCTATTCGTCAACATTATAGGGACTATATCACTGAAAATGGGATTTGTGGATGGGACTTTTCGATGTCACTTATGAATGGGGTTAATCACCTTATTCTAAAGTACATTTTGAGACAGTTCGAACGACAGGAAATTGCTCAGTTAAATTCCCTTCACCGTCTCCATAAGATGTCCATTACCAAGGAAAAATGCATCAAGCTGCGTGTCAGACGTAATTTCGAAGGTCAAAAGCGTGCTTGGACACAGGCCAATACTCTGAATGATGAAGAGAGACGAATAATTAGTAGAGACAGAAACCAGAGGTCTAGGTTAACTGCTGTAAATATATTGTGTAATTACCAGTGATATACATCTAAAATTACCTTCAATAGAAAATCACAAGGAGAAGAAAAAACTTCCGGTTGTTCGAGGCAGACATTGTAGAATTGTTTCATCCAAAGGAAAGTTGCAAAGCATTTCTTAAAAAGGAGTACATGTCCGAAGACGAAGATGATCAGCTGAATCGCCATGGGCAAACCATCTCATACACCACTCTTCGACCCAGTTGGAGATCCACCCAGGTAAATATACATATATAAAAAAATGCACATACATACATACATACATACATAGTGTCTAATATACCCGTTGTCAATTGTGCCCTAGTTGAATAAAATGTTCGAAGAGCTGGATTCTCCCGCTGGGCGGAGAACTGCTGGACGGCCTTTGCCTCGCAACATCCGAGAGGTCGTATCGTCCTTACCAACTGAAACATTGGCTCGTTTGCCAAGTTGGGGTGTACGACATATGATTGAATGAATAAAAAGCTTTCTTCTCTTCGAAATGTCTATAGTTGTTTTGCATGGAGAACAAAATTAAAAATAAACCAAAAGTGATAATGTTAGAACTTGGATACTACTTTATTGTGGACGAAAAGAATATAATTAAAAAACGTGTTATAAAAATCTATACAATTCTTGATGGTCAATGAGAAAAACTATGGATATTTATATAAGGAACTGGGATAGTTCTAGGGAGAATATTAAGAGCCTTATTGGATCATGATGTAATAATCTGGTGATAGTAAATAATCAGCATGTCTTTAAATTTAGCCCTTCTGTCGTATTTGGGTACGATTCACTTAAGAATAATTAAGCAAATCGTTTAAATAAATAAACTATGAAATAAAACAACCTTTGATGTTGCATATCAGCATACGCTTGTATACTGCTATACAACTTCTCCTACTTCGAGTACATACTTCTATATAAAAGATTGCATGATTGGCCTAAATACGATATACGAATGACAGTTGGATACAGAATGCTATACCACTGAGTTACGATATCACCGATCGAGAAGAGAATCTTCTCAGATCAAATCAAGAATTATAAGATAGAGAAACTTAATGTTAATAGTTCTCTCAATGAAATAGCTAACCAGAGAGAGAATAGAACAGCTATTAATATAAATGGTTCATTTACTTATATATTGATATAATTATACTGCTGATAAAGAGTATAAAGAAATAGTGTATGAATTAATGGATACCTATCCTCTAAAACCAAATATACAAATAACGATAAGACATTTTATATTTGGGATCGTAATTTATTCATTACAAAGATAATGAATAAATGATCAACTATTATGTTCTATTGCCAATTACACTTGACAAACAAGTTTGTGTTGAGGATATCATAGATATAATAATAAAGTTAATTGTCACATCACCTTAAGGATGGATAATAAATATAAAAGTTAATCATGAATCACACATTACCCCGCTTGTTCTCATCCTACCGTTGGAGTCTGTACACAGGGCACATACCTGTGGCGAGTAAATATTTATTCTGCAAAAGCAATACAATCGAATGGGCCTGGACTATAGAATATTAATAGATCCTGAGCACAAATATTACTCTTGTCATTTGATGTTCAACTGTTGATCCCTCTGACTAATATTTATATACTCACTATGGAAGGGCTAAATTTAAAGACATGTTGATTATTTACTATCATCAGATTATTGTACATCATGATCCAATAAGGCGCTTAATATTCTCCTTAGAACTATCCCAGTTCTTTCTGATAGACCATGAAGACATTTTTAATACATTTTTGATACGTTTTTAATTATATTTTTTCGTCCATAATAAAGTGGTATCCAAGTTCTAACAGTATTACTTTTGGTTTATTTTTTATTTTGTTCTCCATGCAAAACAGTTTGCATCTTTTACAGTAACCGTTGCATGATCTGATAAATAAGTGTCTCGTAATACTAAAGATTTATTAGAATACTCATGCTCCCGATCCACTGATATGGGACAACATTAACTGGAAACAATTCTAACGAGTAGTGTTCATTTGACCCAAGGCGGAAAACAAAGTATAGATCTATTCCAAAACTAGAAAGGTTGACTCATCATTAAAACTCAGGAGAGTTGCGCAATATAAAAAGGATCAATTATTTCATAGCAGCAGAGTTCTTTTAGTCTATTCTTACCCCTAATAAAAATATACTTTTATCTCATTACTTTTCTATGTAATATTTTGTCAAATACCACAGCATTGATAAGCCAATGGAAACAGCCTCTGATAGAATTTTTGATTTTGAACTCATTCATCCCGATCTAGTTCATTCCACGTTGCAGTATAATAATCATCAATTCCGTTTTCAGGATCATCACAATTATTTTCAAGTAAGTTTAATTAATAATACTGAAGAACCTATTACAATTGAACTGAACACCCTAAAATAAATCAGCGATCAAAAATACTATAGTTGACGTAGACGAGTCTGAAAATGTGGTAAATGCTCCAAGAGCCACGCTTTTATTTTCCTTTTATGTAATATTTATAAAATAAACTATATAATCTAATGTAACTTTAAAACTGCCTTTCCTCTTCATACCTTCAAAAGGCACGCTTGTTATCAATTTTTTGTATGTGTTATCAATTTTAAGGGTGGGGATTCAGAACCAACTTCTGTACCATGGTGTGGGATTTACCACATTTTCAGACTCGTCTACGTCAACTATAGTATTGTTTGTCGTACCTTTAACAATCCCTATTGACTCCGACTCGTCTTCCAATGTGGTATGGTTTTCAGACATGGAAAAAATTGAGTTGACTATTCCTGTGCTTGTAGATTGTTGAGCTGTCGGCTTATAGTAAAAGTCCTCAAATGTAAATGCTTTTCTGCTCCAATTTGCATGTTGTTTTACTTCCTCAATTGAAGATCCTTTCTCTACTGCCTTTGTACTAGATGCTGACCTGATAGAGTGAGGTTTGTAATCCGAAGTATTAATGCCTGCTTCCGCCATCGAGTTCTTTATCCAACCAGACACTGTTGATGCACGTATAGACCCAACTTTGTTGTTATCGTTGATGTAAGCTAGGAACAAAGTATGTTCTTCTGGTAAATGTTGTCTAATCTGACTCGATTCTGACATAAACCATGCTAGGGTACGCACTGGACATAAATTTTCCTCGTCGATCAATCCAAGTTGGGATGACTTCACATTGGTTTCTTTTGCTTCTCGAAAAATAATGGTTGCTGTTACTATTTCATTGTTGTAAAATTCAAGATGTACATCTCGATGTTGTATACGACCTATGTCACTTCTTGGCCTTCCCATAGTACTCATACACAGAAGTAAAAGTGTCTTAATTTGCAAATCGTATAAACTAAGGTCCTTGGTGTTTTTCAACTTTTTGTTAATATAACTAATCAAAATATTTATATCCCAAGTAACTAATTGACTCTTTATTGGTATCTTAATTTCTTGGTGTCTTTTGGCTTTGAAAAATTCAATGATAATTGGTTGATTGGCCAGTGGCATTTTCTCTGGGTGTAATGTTTTGAATGTTGACGCTAATGCTGAACGTATCCCATTTAGGTGACTGGAAGAAAGATGTTTATATTCCATTAAAAAACGAAAAACTTGTTGTACATCATAATTTGTCGGTTCGATGATTGGTGTTTGTGTCTTGCACCAATTTACCCACTTTTTCCAACCTCCATTGTATACCTTTGTTGTGTTAGTACGTACTGATTTTTCCAGGAAATCTAGAGCGTCTGAACCTATCCCCTCTTGTTTCCTTTTTTTGCGGATAACAGCCAAGCGTTCATCGTCCATCCTTTCAGTCGAAACTGTTGCGGTGGTTGTAGTTGGTGTAATTGTGTGATCATCGGGTACCAATGTTGTGTGGGCCAGTTCGGTGTGATTAATACTACTTTCTGAATTTTTTGTTTGTGTATTTGTTGAATCACTTGAGGGATCAACTTCCATGGGGGAAACAGATACATTCCTTTTTTCAACCACTGTTGTGCCAGTGCATCCGTTGCTGATGCTGTTGGGTCTGGTTGTAGACTCCAGTACAAATTCAGCTGGTTGTTTGTTCTGGACGCAAAGGCGTCTATCTTCAGAGGTCCCCAATGTCTGTTGATTGTTCTGAAGATTGTTTTCGGGAGAGTTGCTTCGTACAATGGTGATTGATGACTTTGACGGCTTAATGCATCGGCCTGAATGTTTTGGATACCTGGTATGTGTTGATACATTACCTTGAACTGACGTTGATTGCATATCTCTTGTATCTCCACTGCTATTGTTTGCAGGTGAATCGACGAGGTCCCTCCTGATTTCGTTGTGTACTTCAGCGCTGTCATATTGTCGGTGAATATTTTGATTACAGATCCTTTCTTCACACATGGTGTATGGAGCTGTAGTGCAAATAGAATTGTTTTTAATTCCCTCACATTGATCGATTGTGAAAGCTCCTCTGCTGTCCATCTCCCCGATGTTTGCATCTGTGGTGATGTTACCCCCCATCCCAGGTCTGATGCATCTGTGTGGATGGTTATTGACGGAGTTAGGTATTGTTTGTGAATCGGTAATCCATTCTTGTGATTGATCCAATTGTTCCACCAGTTTAATTCCGCTATACTGTTTGTTGAGATGGTATAACTCGCCTCCCAATTCTGATGATTTTGGTGAAGACTGTGTGCCAAGTCTCGTTGTAGATACCTGATATGTAATAGGGCTTCTCCTATTGCTGGAATCATCGCTGTCATTTTTCCCATCAAACTTGCAAACCATCGACATGTTCGTGTTTTGGTTGATATTAAGGCTTGGTTTATGCGACTCTTTAATTTTGCCACCTTTTTCTCTGGGACTGAAATCTTCATCGTCTTCGTGTTGAATGTAAAGCCAAGGAACTCCTGAGTTTTCAATGGGGTGAGGATACTCTTCTTCCTGTTGATCAAAAAACCTAAATTCTCTAAGTGAGTAATTACCGTCTTTGTTACTTGATTCATTTTTTCCACCGATTTCTCTAGTATGCAAATATCGTCCAAATAATACACCAAGCGAATGCCCTGTTTCCTCAAAGGCTCCATCACGTGTCTCATAATTTTGCTGAAAATTCTTGGACTCACACTCATCCCGAAGGCAAGTGTCTTGTACTGGTAGACTGTACCTCTGTTCATGAATGTTAGATATTGTCGTGAGTTTGGGTGTATCGGAATGACTACGTAAGCGTCTTTCAAGTCTATCTTGCAAATATAATCTTCCTTTTCCATGATCTCGCGGAGAGCTGGAACTCCTTCCATTTTGAAATGCTGGCATTGAATAAAATGGTTGAGTTTCTGGCAATCTAAAATTGGTCTCCGTTTGTTGGTTTCTTGAATTGTGAAAAAGTTCGATAAGTAATTTGTTGACTGTGATGGGGATATCTCTATTATTCCTGCTTGCATGAATTTGTCTATCGCTTCGTTGACTGCTGTTTGCTCCATCTGGTTCAGGGTTAAATGTCGAATCCTCCATGGTGATGGTTGGCGATAAAATTGAATTTGGTATCCCTGGTTTACGATTGACAATGGCCAAGTGTGTGTTGTCATTTTTTGCCAT